GCATAGCATTTTGATCATTTTCCATTACTATAGTAATAGTCTTGTTTGGGTATACTTCAATAACGAGTGAACATGTCGTATGTCCATGTTTTTATAGAGTCCTCCTCATGCTGAAAGGACCGTTGTAAGCTCTGATCTCAACTCCGAATTCATCGATCGAGCAACTTTGTGATCAGACTTTTGCAGCACGAAAAGACTTGGTGTACAAGACCACTTTCCTTCGACTTGTGCAACTTCAACACAGCGCTATTGTCCTGATCCATAAAACCTTTTCCAGTGATCTTCTCATATAGTATACGCATCTGCGTGGACATGGACTCTTCGCCATAGCGCTCAACAATCTCATCCTCGTCAATTGAATTTCTCAAGTTGCTCTAGCAATAAGGTTCAATGCCAAAAGCGACGCATTCGTTTGTCTTGCCGTGAGACCACCAAGGAGGCAAAATTCCAGTCTGTCCCTCGGCGAGTTGGAGGAACTGTTGGAAAGCAAGAGTGCTGTCTACTTCGCCGGCATAGATGGCGCCCGCATCCTTGTTACCTCCAAAGACGTCGCCGTCCTCGCAGTACAGACGGAAAGTGTCGATGAGGAGTTTGAAGACGTCTTTCTCAGGGCGTTCGCGCAGCCAGGTGCCGGCGTCAAGTTTGTGGAATGGCTCCTTAATGGCTGTTCCTATTGGGTTGCAAGACTTCTGGTGAATCTGCGAGTGTTCTAGTCGACAATTGAAGCTGCAGTACTACGCTCTTTCGCATTTGCCACACCACATGAGGTCCTACCATCGCCGGAGATTGATGCTCGTGAAGCAGTTGGCACATTTGGTGGGCGGAGTGGAGTCGGCCATGATGGTTTGAGTGTCTTGGGGTTCTGTGTGTATGTGAAAGAAATGTGTGCTTGATAAACGTGTGGATAGCGTAATAGACGAGAACGATGATGGAAGAAACAATAAAATTGTGATGTTGATGTCTGAAGGTTGGTGTCTGATGTCAAGAGATCTACTTTTGTAGGTGACGAGGTTCGCTCCTTCCCAACGCACACGAACATACATTTTGCAGCTTGATGTGGGAGACTTCTCTATCAGTGTCTTGCTACTGTCGAACACACAATTAGCTCTGCTGAGGAACGGATTGCTTGATGATCATCAACAGGCTGTTGTGTTATTGTTACACTAAAGATCATAGGGTGGAGCACTTTGAGTCAGAATAATGGAATGAGATTAAACCAAAGCAGCTACGTACAAAGCAGATCAATGAACACATGAGCGGTATCCAAAACGAGAGGAAAAAGACACGAAACCCAAGGAAAAGATCCCAAGCCACCCCTGTACGTCTAACTACCTCGATTAACGTGATAACCAATCGCTGATGTGTGGCTTGCGGTGCGAAAACAAGAAGCAAAATCCAAAATAGAACTATTGCATAACCAAAGAAGGCAACAGTTTATTCGCGATAAACAGTTTGTACTGGGCGATGACTGGGCGACGGATTTACAGCTCTTCCTCGCGCTCGGGAACAACGTCCTCGAGCAAGCCGATCTTCCATGCGGTGAGAAGGCATGCTGCAATGAAAATAAACATGAATCCGACAATGCCGAACCACCAGGCAAGGTTGTGCCCGTCCATACCAGGCACGCGGACGTTCATACCAAAAAGGCCAGTAACCAAGTTGAGAGGAACCAGAATGGTAGCCAAAACAGTAACTCTGGAAAGCAAGGAGTTGGCCTTGTTGCCTTGTGCGATGTTGTCGACCGAGATTTGAGCGAGGTAATTGGAGTGACTACGCGAGAGAATCTTTTCGAAATGTGACAAGTTGCTCATCATAGTGACGACGTGGTCTTGAACGTCAGAGAGATATAGGCCAACATCACCGCGAGGTGCCATGCTGTACTGCTCGTTACAACGTTTGGCGAAGCCTTTAATAACATCTGCCTTGCCGCCAAGCAAGCGAAGCAGAGACATAACCTTCTTTCGGCAAGTGCCAATCTGTCGCAAGATAAGTCGCGAGTCCTCGAAGCGCGCAGTAAAGACACTGTCCTCAATGGCATCGGCCTCATGCTCGACGTCACGCAGGACGGGTCCAAAAGCATCGACAATGTCGTCGATCAAGGCGTAGCAGATCCAATCGGCACTGAGGTTGACGTAGTCACGAAGACGACCGATACGCTTGCGGACGTTAGCAGCGTGAGGGTTGTTGCAGAAAGTGAATGTCAATAGGCCCTCACGGAAGACGACAGTGTATACGTTGATAGGCTCCATGAAGTCTTCGCTCTCCTTGTCCTCCTGGTAGAAGGATCGGAAACAGACAAAGTAGTAGGACTTGAACAGTTCAACCTTCTCACGTGTTTCTTGCGTAGCAATGTCTTCACGAGTCAAAGGATGGACTCCGAATGCCTTGCAGATGGCTGTGATTTCTTCCTCTGAGGGGTTGAGCATGTCAAGCCACCAGACGCCACCATCTGGACCGAGTTCGAACAAGTCTCTGAATGACTCTCCAGGCATGAGAAGACCGCCCAACTCAGGTGCGTGAATAGTCTCATCGATCTCAGAAGAGAAAAAGGTGAACCGGTTGAGGTACTGAGTATGCGATACAACGCGCTCGAGCTCAATCTCGGGTGAAGTGTCTGTCTTCTTGGTGTGGTCCATGGCCTGCTTCTCATCCACAACATCACTGTCGCTTGCATTGGTCTTGGAAGCGCGGAGATCATGGAACACCTTGGGCTCGTGGTGCGTCTTTTGCTTGTTGAAAGGTGGTTGGAAGGGGTGGGAGACAGGGGTCTTTTCGTGCGACTCTGCAACAAACTCCTCAAGCTCCTCAAAGTCAATCAAGTAAGTTTTGCTTTGATCACGCTCGGCAGGGAAGCAAACGTCGTCTTGCACAGAGCTGTGGCGTGATTGCACAGTGTGCGTCGATTTGGTATCGTCATAGGTCGAACGGCGATGCTTGGAGGCGCCAGAGATAGTCCTAGTGAGGTTGAGATTGGCAAAAGGAGGAACGTCACTACTGATGGTGTCGCCTCGACGACGTCTTTGTGGGTTGGCGAAAGCATCGACTGAATTTGGCGGAGAGGTCGATCTTGAGCTGGAAGATTCACGGCTCCTGGGTTTGGTCTCCAAGGCGGGCGGCGGAAGACGTATGGTGTTTCGTCTTCCTACATTCTGCCGAATGGAATTGCGTCGCCATGTGGGAGTCTCATGTACGGAGCGAATGCTGTCATCGTCTTGGTCGTCGATGATTGCATTTTCAAAGTCGCGAGCAATCATTCCTTGTCCGAGTTCGAGTTGTTGGGCAGCAATCATGGCTGCGAGATGCGGGCTATCAGCGAGACTGGCCAGGGTGCCTCTTCGCGAGCCTTGTTGTTCGTGTGCGCGTGGGAGTGATTCCTGTTGGTGTCGGTGGTCGTCGAGATCGGATACGGGAGTGCTGAATCTGGTCTGCGACCTTTCGGATCTGGGGGTCTCGGCCATTTTGATGATTTTCGGATATCCAATTGGGTTCCTCTAAATATGTTCTTGTATGCTGTTCCTTCCAGTTTATGCGCTTATAGGCAATCGAGTGAGCGGCGCGCGCGCGCTCACCGTTGAGAGATGTTCAACTTGAACAGCGGCCTCGCGCAGGGGTCAGCCCTACACTAAGCCGTGAATGATAATTCGCGTTCCAGTCTCTACCCCGTCTTAAAAGAGGGCAGGGATGGGGTTGATTGGTTGTGGTATTAGTAGATGATATGGTAGGTATGGCGTGGACCAGTTAAGGCGGCTTCTTGTCGCCTCCGCAGACCCAAATCTTCGGGCCCTGAGAAGGGAGGCTGAGGGAGAGGAAAAGGCGAGAGCCCGCCAACTTGGTGGTAGCCAGAATGGAAGCGCCGCAGCGGAGGGTCCTGAGGGGTATGTGTGGTACACGAGACGAAGCGGCTGAAGGTCGTTTGTTGGACGATCACCAGTCTCGGGTCTATAGGTGAAGTGGAATCGACAGCGGATCAAGGGCGCGCAAGCGGTCGATTGGCGGATCCAGAGGGTAGTTATGCTAATCCAAGCAGAACTGAGACGGGGAGAGGTGAAGATGACGAAGAGTCACAAGGCCTCGAGGATGGTAGGTAAGAAGGAAGAGTCGAGGACGGTGCGTGGTTCAAGGACGACAGCAACTGACGGCTTTTTCGAGGCACAGACCAGAGCGCAANAGTTGAGAGAGAAAGAGACGCGACCCCAGCCAATCACCAAGCACATGTGTCACTCGCTGGCTCGTTTATGGCCATGTCTTTTCTTTTTTTCCCCGTTCAAATGCCATTTCTATTGAAAAGACATGACTCTCGCCAGCCAAATCTCATCCTCGTCACGGTCTTTGCCTTGATCGAGTATCATCAAATTAATGCACTGCTGCATCCTGCCTTCTTCACGGGTTTGGGCGCGTCCAATCGTCTTCGCACTGACGAACTCTAGCGGCGCGCTAGTTCGGTCGTCCCTTCTCCAAAACCAAAAGCCCCGAGACTGGTAAAACCACACGTCCTTGACTCGAACAACCACCCATCTAGATTCGGCTTGTGTTACCCTTTCTTTGTTCTCACGCGTCCGCCCCTTTGGACTCACGTTTTCTTCAGACGCTGAAGATTCGTGGTTGCGCCCGTCTTTGGAATCTGGACAGCTGCAATCTCGGTAAGCTCGAGCTGCGTGCTGTCCTGCATCTGGCGTTGCCAGGCATCCCGTCCAAGACAACCAAGCCTTGGAATTCGTTGTCGTCGCTGAAAGCCCGTGTCTGTACGCATCATCTGCTATGTAAACAGGCGGTGACATTGCGGCCACGTCTCGCCCATCAATAGTACTACAGAAGCACGATTTGAGGTTACTCAAAATTCTTTGTTCTCGATTCGAGGACTGGTCTCCGTTTGATCATTCATCTGCAGAAAAGCAGCTGGTAAGGAGCAATGTCGTGTCTTGCAATAGCGGAGCTGTGGTGGCATACTGTGGTAAACAACTCTGTCCTACCGATGAACCCCCATTTCGTGACCGGTCAACCTAGATGCTCTCAGGCTTGACTATCCTCTCCTGACTCTCTCTCCAATTGGCGCTCTCGCAGTCGATATTGTAAGGCTCCATCTCTACTTCACGCACATGCTGAGTCTTTATTCCGATCGCACGTGAATTCAGCATATCCACATCAGGGCTTTCTCTGTTGGCCTCGATGACGGTGGTCAGTTTGGCGACATATCTCTCGTCCAACTCCATAAAGTCGTCTGCGTTGCCGCCATTCGTGCTGTTCAACCCACCCATAGATCCAGAGACCTGCTTGGACTTTGAAGATCTGGAAGTTATGGTCCGGTCCTTGTCAATTGCTGTTGCCCAATGTAGCACACAAACGGTGAAAAGAACNNTGTAGAAGGATTAGCAGCTGTATCTTCTGCCCTGCTTTGGTTACCTACTGTCGAGGTTGCACAGGCACAGACAGATGTATCCAGGTTCTCCATCTAGGATCGTGAGGACCGACAAGTTGACAACACTCATTAATAGAGTAGCACAAGATCCCACAAAGGTTCGAATGACCAATGTTCGCATTGCGGAGTCCGTTCCTTGCTTGAACGAGTAGCATTNCTGGAATTTCGAATAAGCAAAGGTGAATCGAGGCCTGCTAATTCTCTTATACTCACTTCGCAGGGGATGCAAGAAAAGCGATGTCAAGTAGACGTTAAGGACGACGTCAAACGTTATAAGTGGTACCAAAGCACGTCTCTTCATGCCAATGACGCAGACACCTCTCTCGTTGATGTATGCGATGCGGCTGTAACACCATTAGCTTACTGGTCTTTCCCGAGCCACGACGAGACTTACAANGACGAAGTTGAGGACGACCAAAACGACGTAGGGGCCTATCAAGTCTGTCAGTAATCATGTTCTATCATGATATCCGGCGGACTTACAGATGACGCCAANAAAGTTGAACAACCATAGCTTGCTCTTCACTCTCGAAGTGTTTGTGGTTCGAATGATGTGAACTTTCTCAACCAAGAAGTAGTAGATCAGCTGGCATTGAGTCAGAACTGTAGAGAATAAGTGTGCTTGACGACTTACAATCTTGGTAGTCATGTAGCAAAGCAGACACAGCAGAATCGCTCCATCGCAAATACTAGCAGATTGGTTCAATGAATATGCTTTGGACAGCACAGCTGTACAGAAAATGAAGAAGAACGAATCAATGTATATCGCAATGATTANCTTGACAGAATGTTAGAAAATTTCCTCGGCGTGAGACGTGACAGTGTTGGCCTTACGGGCATTCGTCATCGAGATGTTTTTCCAACTTTGAATAAACTGTATCCGACGAGCTGACCGATTAGACATGGCTCAAATCCGAGATTCATGAGCATTCTTACTGAGGCAGATGGCGAGCACGCTGATCGTTATCATAGAGAGAGCCATGGTGATGACTCTGGCCGCTTCTGGTACTTCCGTGATCTCGTGAGTATGTGCCTCCATCGTGGCAAGATTGTGTGAGTGTGAGTGAGAGCGAACGAGTATCAATTGCAAAATTTGTCTGCTTCGGGCGGGAATCTATATATCATAGGTCAAGTTCGTATTGGTAAGGGCATGGCCAAGAAGCTAGACAACCATCCTCTTCAATCAATTGTTTCAGACGACAGTTCTACAGATACCCGCGACTCTACCACAAAGTGCGAAGCAATAACACGAACGGCTCCTGAACGGCCCTTCAGTGGATAATCTCAAGTCCCACAACAAGGGTTCTGATAAAGGTCAAGCCGAATCAAAGGTGGCTTTTTATACTTTACCAACCAGGATACGCTGCGAGTAGAGCAAGCATCCAGACCACAGTAAGCTCCAAGGGGAAATCTGATAATAGCAAACCATAGGACATCCAGGCAGCTAGGCCAAAAAGATTGGCTCCCGGAAAAGATCTTTATTCCGTGGTCTGCGAGATCAGTGGTGGAAGCAGCGATCTGGAGGAAAAGTGAGTATGGTTGGGGAGCGGGTAGGGAAGGCCCAGGCCGAAACCGCTTGCGGACCAGCTCGTAACAAACGACCACAACTCGACCCGTTCCACTGTTCCAGACCATGAATGACTGAACTGCGATACACCATCGTCACGGGGCTGCTGAATCACGCTGAGTACAGAGATTATTCATTTGAGGAGCTGTATGACCTATACAGACATGCAGGGTGTGCTAGGAAACGCAACATAGTCAACAGAATAGGCTGTGTATTGCTCAAGAACATTTGCCTACTGATAAACAGCAAGACATAACATTCATCCAGCCCTGTGTACATCAAGGCAATAGCGTAGATTCTATTGTCGGGCCGGGGACGAGTAAGTAGACCATGAGTCGCGGGCAACACGAATGTGAAGGCTGAAGCGATATGGGTAGACCGCGGACATGGAGAGAAGTTGATGCACAGACGAAAACGGCGGTAACTACCGAAAGGCTATCGGAGTCGGGTCGACCCGATAGGGCTTGGGGCTTGATAGGGTTTGTTCCACGTCCACCCGCCGCAAGCCCACATACCTGGCTGAGTATCCAACCTCGAACCTGCCACCGTTGCATCGAGATACGACAGCACTGTCGCCATCACTGACTCGAGTCTCATACCTAAAACAGCCCGAGGACACGCCCTGGCCCGAGTCGCGTCGACAAGCTTACCCACATAGACGACGCAGCTGGCCGCCAGAGACGACCAAGACCCCGCATCCAGACAGACGAGCACACGAACAACCGCAACCATGTCAGAGCGAAGGTCCTGGGCATCCTTTGCTGTATGATCGCATGGCCTCCCTCGGTGGCGAATTCGTATGGCTGACTGGGTCGCGCAGCCCCATGACCACGACTACCCCTCCGCCACTACCAACAACCCTGATGATGCTGCCACCGTCACCGCTCCCACGAGGCTGGACCGGCTTCGTCGCGTTGTCCAGAGAAGCAACGAGCTGGGGCGGGAGTCCGAAGAGGCCGAGCGTAACGCCAGATGGGCTCCTCCACCTTCGCGCCTGAGACGTCGCCGCTACAGGGATCCCACCGAACAGTCTCCTCCACGCTTCACCCGTTCGAACATCGACTAGCCCTCGTCCGACCTTGACGAGCCCAGGCAATGGAATGTCAAGAGACGGAAGCTGACTCACGAGTCAAACTACAAATACGGCCGTTATGGCCAGGTTGAGCCTGGCAGGTTGAGGCTTGAACTCGAGAGCTGCGATGGCGAAGTCCACAATGAAGAGTGTAGCGGCATCGACTTTGGACCCGAGAACATCCTCAAGCACGACAAAAGCGTCTACTGCTCTCGCGCTTCAAAGTGCAACATTGTCTTGCGCCATCACGACGACTCGACCTTTTGTCTGGAGAAGCTGTACATCATTGCGCCTGAAAATGGCTTCACCGCTCCGTGAGATGGTCATGTCCATTTCTCTCTGTATTTCCTGCTAATACATAGCAGGGTAAAGGAGGGTCTGGTCTATGTCGGCATGAGCCGAGACGACCTTCAGCCATATATCAACAGCTCTACTCATTACTTGAATCCACCAAGGAGTCCGCCACCGCGCCGGACCCATGATCCCGTGCGCCTCAGTCTGCTGGAGAGTATTCATGATCCCGAGGTTGCTCGTGCTATTGGCACGCGCAGGGGTGCTGAGCTTCTTTCGCCCATCGACTCTCCAGCAGATGACCAGTCTCAGGACGAGGATGATGCTGATGACATGTGGAACTCCCTTCCTACAACTCGAGATCCCTCATGGCCTCCTATGGATCCAAGTCGGCAGGTTGCAAACAGAAACGACATTGACCTCCGAAATTGTGATGATCCTGCAGATTTGAGAGAGTCTCCAGATGGCCGCATAGTTGTTTTGAGTGACGAGGAAATTACCTGGCCTGAGGATCCTACCAGGCCAGACGTGCTCGCGGATAGAAGGCGTAGGGAGCGAAACTTGCGCGACTCGTATGATGATGAGGATATATGGGAGTCGAGATATCGGACCAATTATGCGCGCATGCGTATACGACAACCACATATATCCATGGAGCGATCCGAAACAGCCCAGTTGAGTCCGGAGCTCGATCGTTATAAAAGCGATACTGTCGCGAGAGCGCGATTTAAGATCAAGGACAACAGACACCGGATAGCCATAAAGTTTGATCCTCCAGTGTACGTGCCTCCGCTTGAGCTTTTATGCATCTCGCTAATTGTTCGGTAGNNATCTGGAACGCATATTCTATTGAAGCTACAGACACCATACGTCAACAAGAACATTGATATACAGACCGTTATGGCAACTGGCTTTGCGGGACCGAGATACTTCCCGGTGATTCAGTTCAAATGATGGGTGGATGCAGTAGTTGTAAGTGCGAATATATATTTACAAGAAGCCCTTTCAAGGGTGATTTATCTACGGCTCGATGAGCCAAAGCCAGTGCTCTCGTACCTCGACGACGATGGCGTAGGAGAGCTCGAGCCTGTACTGCCGCCCCAACCACCACTGTTAGATCTGCCAGCATTGCGTGAACTGCTTGCTCTGTTGCCAGCCATGTATCCCGCGGCGGCACCTGCGGCAGCTCCTGCGCCGGTACCAGTCCAGAAACCGGGTCTCCAACCTTGTCCGTTCTGTGTGCCGTAATTGCGACCTGAGCTCGACTTTCCATATGGCGTGTAAGGTGGTGGTGCATCATCTGTTCATGTTAGCGTTTGCAGATGACCTTACTTTTGAAGCTCGTCTCACCATTGTTNGTCATCTTCACCACCCCAGCCACCTCCATAGCCACGACCTGCGTGCGGTGGGCGCCTGTTGTTTCCTCTGACGCACGAATCCCAGACTCCGTAGACAATCATGCCTGCAACAACTGTGATATCTCTGTCAATCAATGCAGCATGGAGAAGAACAAGCGAGAACTTACACGTGAAGAAAGCCCAAAAGATGAGCTTCTCGCCAGTCGAAGAAGGTCCAGTTCTGTCGTCGCCACCCGCTCTATGACCATACTTCCTCTCACCCTCCTCAGTAAGCACGAGCCTGTAGCTTGCACCACAGCTCCCCTTCAACACATATGGATCCTCAAGTGAATCGTAACCCTCACACGAAACGTCCGTACTGCCCAACTTGAACTCTGGAGGCAGAGAAGCCTTGCAAGTCCACTGTACATTGTCGTCGTCGTAGTCGGAGCCAGCATTAGTGCAGCGCATCACGTCTACATCGTAGAGGCCTCGTGCGTTGCCACCCGTGCATTGAAGCTGGGGAATTGGAGAACTGCGGCGAGCACTGGTTTTCTGACCGGCGCGTAAGGTGAGACTGGAGATTTTGGAGAGGAGAACGCTGTCGGATGGTTTGCGGAGGGCTTGGGAGAGATTCAAGCCTGAGAGGAGGGCTAATAAGAGGGCGGACAACCGCATTGTGGCGGTGTTTTCTCTGATGAACGCTTGTAGCAACGTGTCGATAGCCAACAGACAGATGTTTGCTTCCTGTATATTGTAATTTCTTGATAAGTTTTGTTCTTGAAGAGTGGCGAGGACACGGTGGCAGTGCGATAGACAGTGGCTGATGAAACAAAAGCTGAAGTGGTTGCCTGGTTTTGCGTAGATCACAGCACGCGCGACAAAGAGCAGCACGTCTTGATGCTTTGAGTCGCTTATCGTTGTCTGCCCAATCAGTTTCCTGCAGCCAGACTACAAGTCGCGAACTGGCCTTTGTCTACAATAAACAATGAAGCAAAGAATTACATACTTGTTGTACGAGGCTGGCGGAGTCGACCCTGCGACACTGGACGTCAGTAACGACTCGATAAAGTTGCCAGGCCTCAAGGCTGCTAAAGAATGGAGAGTTACGCTGGGCACACGAGAACTGCCAAAAGAAGTATGGAGGTGCCTCCCTTTTCGAGCCTATTTGAAATCGAACAATCAAGCTAACGATTTTGTTTTCTTAAGNGTCGTTGATGTACTTGAAAACAGCCATGAAATTCACATACGCTGGTCTGCCGAGTGGAACTACGATGCTGTAACACCTTTTTCGTCAAGAGTTCCGTCTGGCTTCCATGTTTTCTATACCCCTGGAGAAAGTGCATCTACGTACGCCTGATAAGTTTTGCCTTTGGTTTGATCTCATGCTAAATGAACTAGGGATACACTATGCCCTTTGCTCGGCAAAGTCTTTGGTGAAACTGTTGAATGTTCATCCGTAGAGGTACTACCTCTCCTCTCGTTGAATCATGCTGAATCACATACTGACTACCCTTTTCCCGTTCAGAAGTCATTTTCAACTCCCCAAGTCTTGTCTGAACGCTTTGCTATGTCCGCAAAGTACCAGTACTATAAGCCCCTAGCGCGTCTAACAAAATTCATCGGCTATATCTCATCAGCTCTCTGCGACCCGTCGGACGCAGCTTGCCACAATCAGGTCACATCTCTTGCTCAAGCCAGCTCCTTGGATATCGACTATGACACAATATCACACGCGCTTCGTGTCAACGCATACTGGGACTGGGCTGTTGCAGCCGATGGCACGCAAGGTGTTTGGGATGAGACTCTACGTTTGCAGCCTTCTTCAGACGCTATCGAAGTCGGCGTCTTGAACGTTGAGAAGCCGACTGAGGAAGGAGAGATTGCACTAAGTGGGCTGCTCACTGTGGTGGGTGAAGACACCAAGCCCAGTGCGACCATGTTTTCCTTCCCGTCAAGACATCATGCTGCGTCAAAGCAGTCTGCAGAACTAACTTTCGAGACGTCGTTCCGTCAACCAACTGGACTACATCCTACCTTGGAGCTCAAGTTTCCTGGGGATGCCCTCGTACAACCAGATGAGTCTTGTGCACTGCACGCTTACCTTACACTACCATCTTCGGTCTTTATAGACCGCTATCAACTGTCCGATCCTCTGTTCCTCGCATCGCAAAAACTAGTCGCTCTGCGCAGTCTCAGCGGTGCCACTGACCTTGAAGCTCCCGTCTGGACAACACCACAGTGGGGCTCGGCGGCACTACTTGAGCTCGCACATCCTGAATCGCCACTTATAAACAACGACACCTGGACTGTGACGGTTCCACTGCACACACGCTACATGCTACCCTCTACGGATGGCACACATGCGGCACACATCCCTTGGCCAGCAATCTTCTGGGCTTGTGAAGCCGAAGACGGGCTGAAAATGGCCGTGAACCCATTCGATCGCACAAACATTGGTTTTGATGGGCTCTTCGGACCCAAGACTCTGTTCCATCATATCGGTGCTTCGGCTGAGACGAAGACATTGATGGAGACGCTCGAGATACCTGTGTTGGACGAAAGTAAGACTAGGTTCGTCGAAGTGGGTACCGGAGTTGCTGTATTGCTCGGGTTTTTATGGGTGATGTGGTGTTTGGTCAGGCCAGCTGGTAAAGAAGTTGCGAAGGCCGGCAAGAAAGAGTAATGGGTACCTACTCAATGTCACACTCTCGACTGTTTCATGAGAGGTCAGATATAAGGCTGCGATCAATCGCTGCACTTCGAGTGGATCAATGCTCCGAGTTCATCGCCAGTGGTATATCATTAGCAACTAATTTGTGGAAGATTCTAGAATATAGCCTCAAATAACCAAGAGGAGCCAAGATGTCTCTGGACGATAAACTGGTTAGGAGCGGTTGGAGTCCGAAGTAGTACCTAGATACCTAGACATTTGCCATGGAGCGAGGTTGACTGTTCTGTGGTGGTATCAAGAAAAACGTGGGTAAAATCGAATGCTACTCCTCTCACTATGTCTTTCCAGACACCGCAACCTTTATATACTCATAGGCTCCCAGTTTCTTTGCACCGGTGGCCGAAGGAGAGCGTAGAAAGAAAGAAAGACAAAAAAGAAATATCGTATGAATAGCTGAGTTGTGGGAGGAGACCTTTGGCAGGGTGCAATTCTTTTTGGCGGTCAATGTTCAATCCAAGCAACCGACCGTCTTTTCGCACTTTGATTTATCTTAGAGGTTTGAGCATAAAGTATGTTTGGAGCGATTTTGATATAGATCTTGTCTCCTTCTAGCCAGCTGGTACCATGAGGGAGAAAAGATCGGACACAGACACAGCGATACCGTCTGTACTTGCGTGGATGCGTTCTACGTGCATGGGACAGAGAAAGCAAAAGGACACGTGTGCATTGAGTCGACAAGGATCAATGGTGGCATGCTATGTTACATACAAGATCTCGATAAACACAACGGTTTCCCATATAGCAAGACCGAGGAACGAGACGAGGTCAACAAAGACAGCAAGGGTCCCTCGGGTATTCTTTCCGCCGGTCAAAGACCCGCGAGTTCCGTATTTGGATGGTCTTACAGTGACTTGACAGACTCATCTGTTGTTGACACGTCGAACGATATGGAAGGCGGAATCGAGATCTACCATCAAGCCGATGTTCGCACATTGTGTATGTTGGAATCTGAAGCTAAGGATTAAAGAATGAAGGATGAGTATCGGAGTACACGCAGCATGTAGAAAGACGCTGGTGGAGCATGTGAAAATAGCCGCCAGGTGAAAGAAGCTTCGACGATGCATGTACATACAAGACGCAGAGAAGGTAGAAACGGATACTCGAACCAGGCGGTTTCGACAAATGGCTCGGGGATCGGAAGAAAGGTGAGGTCCGGCGGCATCAATTGAAAGTAGACGATCTTTGGGTGCCTGAGAATCGAGAAAGCTTTGACCTTCTGGCACCTGTGACGTGCGTGCCTGCCCGCAGTCTGAAAATCGCATAGCATGAGCGAAAGGAAAGAGCGACGACGAGAAAGAGATTTCCGCCCATTGCACCTGACATTATCGACGTGAATCGCACACTCTTCGCGACTTCTGCGTCTACCTCAACAACCTATCGCGCACTGAGACACATGCAGCTTTCTTCGCGCGCAGAGACACACGGAACTTGCTAGACCGGACAAAAGACTCATCGCGTTGAACACTCGGCCCCGGTTTGAGGCCTGATCTGACCTGACCGCAAGACCACCCTTCACACGACTATGCCCACTGGATTGAACAGACGATAGGCGTTTCATTCCTGCTTGACAAGACTTCTGCATCTCACGCTTATATCAATCGCGCCGCTACCACCTTCCCTCGTCAGCCATTGCGACGGGCAACCACTCAGCATCTACTCGCTGCCAGCGACGACTCGTCTCAGCCATACAAACGACAAGATGCAGGCCCAAGCACGCTCCCGCAAGCGTGCGGCCGACGGCAGTGCCCAGGACGCGACATATCCGTACTCGCAGCAGATCCAAGACGCTTCCTTCGGCGTCAACGACCCTCTGGCGCAATACCGCAACCCTCTTCCGAACGACGTATCCAATGCCTTTCCCGACTTTCCACCCTACGACAACTCGACCAACAACGCGAATACCGGTGCCAACTTTTTCCCCGCCCAAGTCCCGACGACTCAGGCGTCCGCTTACGGTCAACCTGTCGCTCCTCCTTCGAATCAGCTTGTACGCAGGAACACCAATCAGCAAGTGGCTCGCACACCTCAAAGAAACCAATGGAGTAACTTTGGCAACCCGACCGACCGTGTATGGGAGGACATGGAGCATGAAGAAGAGCAGGACCTGGACCAGAAGGCTGCCATCGCGAANAAAGACGCCCAGGCCAAACGGAAACAAATTCCTCCATTCGTACAAAAGCTCAGCAGGTACGTTTGTCAAACACCTCCTGACCCTCTACCTCAATAAAGCCCCTGCTAACATACATACAGTTTTCTTGACTCGTCCAACAATACTGAGCTTATTCGGTGGTCAGACGATGGCAACTCGTTCATTGTTCTCGATGAGGATGAATTTGCACGTACCTTGATCCCTGAGCTCTTCAAGCACAACAATTACGCTTCATTCGTGCGTCAACTTAACATGTACGGCTTCCACAAGAAGGTCGGACTCAACGCCAACTCGATGAAAGCCGCCGAAAAGAAAGTCAAGGATCCCAGTGTGTACTGGCATGAGTACTTCAAGAGAGGCCGACCTGATCTGTTGTGGCTGATCCANAAACCTGCGGCCAAATCTTCGAGCTCCAAGAGGAAACGAGACCAAGAAAAGCGCGAACCAGGCGATAGTGATGACGACCACAAGAATTCACCCGACGCTAGCGATGGAGCCGCAGGTCTTATCACAACTCTCCCGCGGCAGGATATGGGCACTTTCCGGACCGAGTTGCAAAAACTGCAACGTCAGCAGAGTGTCATCTCCAAGATGATCACGTCGCTCAAAGATCAAAACGAGCAGTTCTATCGCCAGGCAACTGCTTTCCAGGCTCTCCATGACCGGCATGAAAACTCGATAAATGCCATTCTTACCTTCCTGGCCACCTTTTACAACCGCAGCTTGGATGGACATTCTGGCCCACCTAATCTGGCCAGCTTCCTCAGCAGTGCTTCCGTTCCGCAGCAAGCCCAGCAACAAGGTAGTGTCTTCGACATGGGCGATGGCGACATGAACGAGGGCAGTGCCAACACTACAAACAATCAGCAGCTGCAGCGCTACCAAAAACGACCCTTGCTCTTACCCGCTCCGGGTGCACAAAATCCCTCTGCCTCGCCTTTCTCAAATGCCACTCCATCTGTCCGTTCATCGACCAGCCCTGGCCCTGCACAACAAGGCCAGCAGCCAACACAATATGGGCCACGCCCTCCCCAAGCGCGACCTCACCAACAACAACAACCACAAAGGGCCTCGGTGACTCCTGTCATCAAGGACGATGCACCGACACCCGATTTGTTAAACCAATACCCAGAAAATGACGACGTAATGAACCTCATCCACAATGTAAATGCCAGCAACTCGCCGAATAACGGCGGTGTTGCCGGAGACTACGATATCAACAGCGCACTGGATCACTTGCAGGCTGTCAACAGCAATAGCACACTGACCCCACAACAACGGGAAGACATGCTCTCGATGATAGCAGCATCGGGGGCTACAGGCCCAGGCGCCACCGCTGCTCAGCCCGGTGCCAACAATGCTCTCATGATGCCCAATCCACCAGCAATGCCATCACTCGAGGCCCTCAAACAAAACAATGCGCAGCTCGAGATGCTGTCCAAGATGCAACAAGAGCAGGACTCCAAGGTCGCAGATCTTGCAGGACGCTTACAGCCTCTCTCTCCGACAGGTGCTATCCCAGGCATCAACGCCAACAACTTTGAAGAGTTGGGCAATCCAGGCGACTTCGATATTGACAACTATCTCGAGGATGGATACTTTGCGAGTCTCGGAAACCTGGACACAACGTCTGCGCCTCAGCAATCCACCTATCCAATTACATCCGCACCGCCGCAGGGCATCAACGATGACTTGGGCTTCAACTGGGATTACGCGCAGACGAATGGCATGCCTGACACAGACGATCTGTTCGGTGATGTTGGAGGAACAGGAGTCAACGATGGAAGCTTGGGCATAGACGAGCGTGGAGGCAGAGTCGTTGGTAGCGTTAGTTCCGCAGGCACGAGTCCACCCGACGCGACCAAAGCAGCAGGCGATGACGAAGAGACACCGAGTAAAAAGCGCAAGACGGGCAGTTAGGCTAGCACGATGAAACGCAGCTAGAGATTAATGGCGTTTTCTGCACGAGCTGATCTGGGTGGATAGGCTTTCTTTCAAATTTCTCTCTACTCGATTAGAGCTGCCAGCTAGTATAGAAGCTGGACATTTATCCTTTTCTTACTCCTCTGTTGGCTATTTTTTGTTTCCTGATCGTGCGATCGAACTTCGTGACTCTTCCTTCTTAATGGATATTGATGCGCCTCTAGATGTTACTTCCACTTCTAGTGCCTGTGAATCACAACTCATTCTAATTGTTTCAATCTTACTGTCCCTCTTGTCCTCTGTTGAGATCGGTTGATGGTCCAATCACCGTAAAAGCAAGGAGTGAGACGTGGTGTGGTGTAAACCCAAATCCTCGAATGTTACATCGCGTTATGTCAACGTGCAACAATGGAGCGGTCAGACAGATATCACACAGTCTAAAACTGAGGGTTTCGATGCTCAGAAATATCTCCCTGCAACCACTGAACCGTTACCACATTGTTTAGAGGTAGAAACAGAACAATGATGGGTTTGAGTAGTGGTCGAGAGTGCCACCCTGGCTATACATGCAACCAGAAAGTCATCGATCCGAAAATGGCCACGACCTTTCTACATCGTTGTCCAATCACCAAAAGCAGATCTGAAAAAGCAAAGCTTCTATTATGATGTAGATATGTGAGCTTGCATCCGAATGTGCAGCCATCTCCTGTGAAAAGTGGAAGAAGAAAACGCCGAAGAAATGCAATAAGAAGAGAGACCCCCTTGAGCCAGCCATGCATAGAGGCTGCTACCTTGAACTCCTCGTAGATAGAACGCCACTTGAGAGCACAGCAGTCGTCATCATCAAATCCATCCTGTCGCGCGAATGGCTCATTTCTTCTTTCTAAGAGTCTGACCCTCGCCGGAGAAGAAGTGTTGCTTCTTTTGTTCTTCCCGAGTCTCGTCCTTCTTTGCAGGCTTGGGCTTGACTTCGTAGCCGAAGAATAACTTGTTTGGATCCAGACGCAGTGGTTGAGGGCCATTTCTACGGGGTTGAGGTTTGGCTAGACCAGGAATACCGACTGTTTCTGCGGGTATTGGGGTTGATGTGCCGGTAGAGGAGGGAGTTGCGTTTTTACTGCCTTTCTTTGCGACTAGGCGGTGGCCTTGGGAGAGGAAGTGTGAGGCGGCTGCTGCGTGGCCGGTTACTGCATCTGTACTGGCGGGAGCGATGGCTGAGTAGTTGATAGCTTGGGCCATGGTTCCTTGTGTGTGCATAGGGCCGCCCATGGCTTTGGCCTGAGCAGGTGTGGAAGTACCACTGTTGCGGTCAGGTTCGACATAGCCGACGGGCGTGGCAAAGTCGACGCTCAGATCTGTTTCTTGGACACTGATGGAGTGGGAGTCCTTGTCTGGTTTTACTTCGAGGACGGCGACTTCGTGGATCTGGTCGACGTAATTGAAGGAGAAGATGTCGCCCTTTGTCAGGCACGAGTAGCTGCGGAAGACGTTTTCGAGGACCGCCTTAGGGTCGGAGATGTCGAGGAAGGCCGGGCTTTGGGGTTGCAGCTTGATGAAGGAGCCGGAGGGCAGGTCGGTGGACTTGATTTGGAGGAGGTCGCCGGGGTCCAGCAGGAGCGAGCGCATGATCCAGTTGGGCAGGTAGATCTTGCCCTCCTCGGCGGTGAACTCGAGGACACCGGCATGCGTCTTTGTTTGTTTTGCGCCGTTGATGAGCTCGAAGAGCATGGGATAGGTGATGTGCAGTTGGGTGAGCTTGTCCAGGGCAGAGGCGGGCAGGTAGACCTTGCCGCCGTGGATGACATCCTGACGGTCCGTCTTCATCAGGACTGGGTAGCAGCGGTAGTATTCGTCGAAGCGGCGAGGGCGGCCGCCTCGCGAAAGCATGGCCTGGTTGTACATGGCGAGAGGATCGTGATGATACATGGTGGACGTGCAGCGGTGATGGTCGCCTTGATGTCGATTGAGAGAGACTGAACGTGTCTGTCTTGTGAAAGTCTGGAGTTGCACATGACGAAATCCAACCTTCCATCTGTTTCGAACTCGCACATCCACAACTCACTTTGAACCATTTTTGTAAGATCTAGTCCAATCACAATTCTAATAGTCATGTCATTCTATATAACTCTCTAATAGCCTCTTGTGCGGTAGACGTGATGAATGCGATTGCTTGTATACTGCTGTGCTCCATCAGCACAGACCCATGACGCACGATTCGACATAAACACAAAGTGCTCAGCTCCCAATTCATCTACCAAACACATCAACTCGACTCAACATGACGGGCGGTCGCAACATGTCTGGCGGACACCAGACCATACCTGCTAGTGGAGTTCGTCCCAAGCGCACCGCCGAAGCTTCCGATCGCTACATCTCTCCCGAAAGCAAAAAACCGCGATTCGACCACCGCAACCCTTCGACTCTTGCCCCTGATGCTCCGGAAGAAGACGCCATCCTGGAGCTGGATGAGATCGGAAAGGGCGGTCTGCAGACCAAGCGCAACGCCGTGAAGCTCGATGGTTACGAAAGCGACAGCAGCGACGACAACTTCGAAGCCAGAGCAGATGAAAAGGCAGAGCTTGCCAAGCAGGAAGGAAGATCTCACAACGGAAAAGGCCCAAAGAACGCCGGTTGGGATGCACGCGGCCAGGACTCTGGAAAATCAAAAGACGAAGATGAGATGGACATGTTTGCCGACGTCGACGAAGGCACCGGAGGTGTCGGAGGTACCGCAGATGGCGACGACGATGAAGAGCTCAAAGGTGAAGGCAAGAAGACCAAAAANGATGTACGCTTCATGGATATCGACGACATTGAAGGTCAAGTTCACAAGAGCAAATCTGGCGGCCACGTTCGCGCTGATTTCACTCTCGATCCCAAGGGCAAGTCGCGTGCCGAGGATGATGCCAGTGTCGAGAGCAGTAGCGAGAGTGGTAGCGATTCGGAACGCGACCGTCTGGACGACGAGAACGAAGATGCCGAAGAATTAGGTGCTGGCAGTAAGAAGAAGCATGCCCCTAAACTCGATGCCTTCAACATGCAGCAAGAGGGCGAAGAAGGTCGTTTTGACGAAGCTGGAAACTTCATCCGCAAGGCAGTCGACCCAGACTCTGTTCACGACAGCTGGCTAGAAGGTCTGAACAAAAAGGACATGAAAAAGGCTAAAGCTGCCCAAGAGAAGCGCGACGAAGAGCGAAGGAAACAAACCGCTGCTGACGACGCTCTGCTAACATCCGATCTGCTCTCCACACTTATCACACATCTTCACAAGGGCGAATCAGTGCTCGAAGCTCTACAGCGCCTCAACGCAGCAGCTCCCAAATCAAAGCAGAAGAAAGTACCCAAGTGGAAGCAAAAGAAGCTAGCCGCCAAGTCAGATGCCATGGACGTGGACGCAGATGGAGGTGCTCAGGAAGACCCAGCTGAGAGACGCCGCGTAGCTGCCGTTGAAGCCATCACCGCTGCTGCAGATGCCATATTCAGCCGCAACAACCCCGACATCTACGACCATGAACGCGAACTGCTACAGCGTCTATACAAGCGTGAGACTGGTGAAGATTGGCTCGATCCCGTCGCAGAAACGCCAGCAGACGAGAATGCCATGTTCGAGTTCCGTTGGGTGGATGCTCGAGATGGTGGGCAAACGCATGGTCCTTATGACAAGAACACCATGCGTGCATGGCGTGAAGCCGGATACTTTGGCCAGGAGGCTGAAGTAGAGTTCAGACAGGTTGGTCTGGATGGCTGGTCAAGAAGTGCAGATTTTGACTAGTCACCATCACGATTCTATTGGTATGAATTCACTGGACAAGCACAGGACCGACTCCGTTTGTCTGTGTGACTGCATGACGCATTATCGATCAACTATCTCCCTCGCTCACAGATCGAAGGAAACCGCTGTCTTGGCTTCTCAGTCCATCTCAGCTCAAGTTGAGTCCTCCAAACTTTTGAGAGTCACCCATCTCACTTGCGAGGTCTAGTAGGTGGACGTGGTGAGCGTGGCCGTTGAGCCACAGGTAACGGAGGTGGAAATTCTCGTCTGTCAGGGACAGTAGGCGGAGATGGGGGTGGTGGTCGAAGTCCATCGAGACGGGGCTTTGTAGGTCGACTCATTGGATAGTGCCTGCTCCACGTTTCTCTGATTGCGCTTGCCGAATCTGAGAGAAAACACACAGATCCGAGTTAACATTGAAAAGAGAGAAGTCTATGATTGAAGCTCGATCTGAGTGCAAAATCCGGTATTGCCAAAGCCGTCTGTTTCTTGCTTGTAGCTACTGTGTGTTACATCAATAGCTCATTGCCAACCAAGAATCAGACCTGGAGAGCAGCCAAGAGAAGATACCAACGACATCAAAGCAATGATCTCGGAAGCAAAGCTATCAAACCACTTCACAACAGGAAAGAAGAAGAAGTAGCACAAACACTCTGACCTCAAAAGAAAAGTGACGTGGCCAATACCGGGCTTCCGAAAACCCGGAAGAAGCCTCTAAGCAAGTAGCAAACATTCTGTTGCTAAGCATGTGAAACCATCCCGTTGATACTTTACTCGAAGCTCCAGAGATATAAGCTCGTGCCTGTGACAGGCTATCACGGTGACTTACACACAACCCGGTCACGAAGCTGGAGGGTGGCTGGCAATGGCAACATGTCCACCACCTGACCATACCGTCACCACTGCCAATAACACAAAATGATACTGACTTACCCTTTCGCAGTCGCTGAAGATGACGGTGTGTATGCGGTGTTCAATAGCGCATCTACTCACCATGGACTCTTCAAGGGTAGTATAAGACGACTCTGTATCTTTGATGGAAAGACAAGCAATTCACCAACAACCGAGCTACCAAAAAGTCCAAAGACAACTCTGATATACGAATCTGAACAACCACTCCAGCACACTCTCTACAACTCAAACCAAAGTCTCTGACCCGAATACTCACTTCGAAACATCTCTCTTGCAACAACTACTGGTGCAAAGATGTGCAAGTCTTATACTATCTACTACACAAACTGTGGCCATGGAAAGTATCATCCATGGCTTTGTGAATTCGCAGAATCGGAAAGATCTGTGCGCGCATGTCATGGTTGGAGAAACTCACTACGACAAGTCTTCCACGCCGAAGACAGAGATTGTCCAGACTGTCAAGACAGAAGACTCACACAAACACCATGGAGAGGCTCTGTCAACGACAATGCTCGAGATGATGTGCCCATTCGCAGTAGAAGAGGAAGTTTGCCACAGAGATATGTGCCTACCCCGCCCCCTGCATCTACATCAGGATATGACTATTCCTCGGGATATCGATATGAAGATGGTGAGCAAAGAGGACCGAACGGTGATCCAGATCCATCTCAACGAGAGGTCCGACGCCGCATCTCAAGATGGGCACGCAATATACCTCCACCTGATGCTGCTTCCCATGCCAGCACAGAAAGAGAGCTAGTATATAGGCCGCGCGAGCGAGACAATACTCATCACACCTCCTCGCGCCGTTCCCATTCTGGAGTCGAGAGCCATGTACCGCGTCACCACAGAAGACATACTGATATATACGATCCACGTCCCCATCGCAATGGACACAGTTCCAGAGCAGAGATTGACAGCGATCGCAATTCTTACTATATTCGCGCATCAGATGAAGAGCGCCACCGAAGACCTCATCAGCCTCCCTCTCTTCCTTCTGTGGCAGGAAGTTCCACCACCCACAGATATGATGATCACATCTATGATGACTTTGCCATGACAGTCACCACAAGACACCTCGATGCGGATGGATCAATAATCACCAGAATATATACTCACGAATCAGAACTTCAGTCTGCACGTTCAGAACACATCAGGAATACGGACGCTCAGAATCAAGAAGTTGGCGCAGGTTATCCCAGACTCGTGCGCAAAGGAAGAGGCGTTCATGGAGGAGATGGGAGCATGGCATTGCTCAGAGGTCCGCAGCCACCACAACCACCCAACCCACCACGCCGACTTTGACGAAACAATCATCCGAAGAGATGAAATCTGCGATACCGATGTCCCGGCTTCTGTGTTGTGGTAAATCTCAATTGAATGTGGAGGGAAAGTTTTGAGTTTGTGAGATGAGGTTGTTTCGGGAAATGCCCTTGTACATTGTGTTTGACCAGAAAAATCTTGTCAATGTTGATAGCACTTACCTCGATATATATGCAAGAAAGGAATGAACGTACACTTACATTTGAAACATGAACTCTCGGAATTGGAAGGAGGAGCGCGATCGATAGCTCTTACCCGAAGACCAACCACAATATCGGCCACCTCTTTCTCATCAACTCTATCCTTTTGTGACTTCCTTGACCTGAAGCTTGCCTCACGCAAATGTAGATCTTTTTAAGTTCTCGGCTCCGTAGGTCGACTGATACTCCAATTGTTCAAAGCTTCTGATAGCTCTTGGCCTTGCACTCAGGACTTCAGCTTGACGCCTACCTCTTCTTTTCTCCTCTTCCTTCACCCTCCTCTTTTCCTCTTCATGCCATATCATCTGCAAGAGGCCACAGAGTAGAGAAATCAATCGATCATGCATCTACTCTTCTTCACCACCTCCCTCTTCTCTCTCCTCTCTATCTCCAACGCCTCCAACGACGCAATCACCTACGACATCGCTGGCTGCAATGCCGCCGCCCTCCCCAAACGTCAAGACCTCACCGGCACCTCAATCTCCCTAATTGGCAGCGCCCGCATCTCAGCTTTCTCGTCTGCATCCGCCGCCTTTGTCGCCGCAACCCCACAGCCAAACTCCATCATCTGTCCTGGCGTTATCGGTGCCGCTCCCACGCCTGCAGAGTCTCCGTCTGATGATGTGAGATTGAGGTATGATCCTGGTGCTATTAGTGCGCTTGAGCAGAGGCAGAGTATCAGGCCGCATGAGAGTAGGGTTGGTGGGAGGAGATCTAGAAGGCATTCGAGCCATACTGCTTCGCCGGACGAGGTTGCAGAGGCAGTTGTTACAGATGTTGCAGAGGCTTCTTAGGACTAGGACGCCCGATGACGAAACGTTCTGTCGATACCTGACGGACGTTCTTGAGCTTTCGGCCTCGTCCGTTGTTAGGACTACATTCTCAATCTCAGGTCTTGAGCCTCGTGGGACTACACTGGCTGAGACTCGCACAGAACGTTGGCATCTTTGGGACGACCGCTGGGGTATGAGCTTCCTCAAAGTGTATCACTACGACACAGAAACGTCTATCTGGCGGTAATGTGTTAAGTTTGGTGAAGTTGGAGATCAAAGGATATCAATATCCCCAATGATACGGAAGTGGCTGTGTTACTATACCTTTGGTTCGATCTTGATAGTCAGCTATTCGAAAATCATTTAATACATACCACTCGCCATTGATCGATGTCGCCTGCAACATGGAGCACTTTATGCTGCCGCCTGAAGCATGTGTAGAGACATCAAACTAGAAAACGCTTTCAAAAGGAATAAAATCATGAGCAAAGGAAAGCAAAGAGATTTTGGGCCAAGAGCTCAAGCCGATCAAAAACGATCAACATCTTCAAGAGCCCTTGGGAAAGTATGATTTTCTGATTTTTCTGTTCAAAGTGACAAGGAAAGAAAGACTGGGCGGTAGATCTCAGAAGAATGGCAGAAAGCGCAAAAAGAGAGTGAAGAGAAAATCGCAAACGGCGAAACCAAAGAGCAGCAAGGGGGTATCGTCGCACACCTACCAAAAACGAGAATCGATAGATCGGCGCCGCCTGACTGGGTTCCCTGTCTGTTCCTGTTTCCCATCAACGCCCCAGAATGCCCAGATATGCAACCCTCTGTCGTAAAGAAAAACAAGCAAGTACAGAAAGCAAGCGCATAGAGACTGAAAAAGTAGGAAGTAAAGAAAAGGCATTCGAAAAGAGCAGAAACGATATGATAACTCCAAAATTTCCCCAAGATTCGCAAAGTAAAGAGTCATAGACAAATGCGAAGCTTTGATAGCTCTTGAACTCCCATGCCAATGCTACCATGGCCAAAAGACATCCGAGAAAACATGACCCGTCAGTAAACCTAGTGGCTGGTGAAAGACAAAGGCGAACCGATGCCGAAAGTCGCAGAATGTTCAGACCCAAAGGTCAAGACGCCGTATAGAACCTCTGGTCATTTCGCAACAGGTGTATAGGAAAAACCAAAGAGAAGCGAAGGGTTGACCAGAGCGTACAGCATGTGGCTATAGCAGGCGAATGAAGATCCAGAAGGCAACGATTAGGTGAGTTTGAGCATGCCCCTGAGCTTAGCCTCCATGCCCTTGACATCAGGAGAATGATCAGGTTCAGAGGGACGCTGGGGAGGAGGTGGTTGTGGCCGATGAGCTCCAACATACTGTGCAGGACTGTGGTAAGGCTGAGGCTGGTAGTGATGCTGCTGGGACGAGGCTGCAGCATGTTGAGGACGCGAAATGAAGGGCGACTGAGATTCGAGGTAGGCACGAGGATCAAAAGGTTGCTGCGCATGACCCGCAGGCTCGCGCTTGGGAGTAAGGTTTGCAGTGGTTTGAGGAGAAGAAGGATTGCGAGCAGCATGGAAGAGAGGAGTCAGACTGCGGTTTCCATAATGCAAAGAAGGATCAGCATCAAGCGTGCGCTGCTGCCGAGGCGTCTGGAATGCAGGATTCGGCTGAGCGCGAGGCTGGGCAGGAGAAGTGGTGGNGGGCTGCAGGTTTAAAAAGTTCTTCAGCGATTGCGTATAAGCTTGTCTGTCGATCTCTGCCTGATTACGATTGGCAGCAGGGCTGCTTGAAGAGTCAATGTCTAGGTTGAACATGCCCTTCGCTTCCGGTGGTGTAGCACGTCTCTGGGCCAAAGGAGAACTCTTGATGGCTCGCTCTTGCCTGTCGGCGTTGAAGAATATATCGAGTGGAGATCTCTCCCTCGACAGAGCTTGCGGGGCAGCATTGTCGAGAGACGGCGAAGGCGCATTGAGCTTTGTGGATTCGGCGTCGAGTTTGGCTTGCATGGAATTGCTTGTGGTGACAGGGGGTACCGACTTGCTCGCAAACTTGGGCATCGGCAGATTTGAGGCGGCGGGGGAAGCGTGGAAGGTAGGACCAGCATAGGCAGCAGCTTTCGCAGGAGTAGCGGTAGGTGACTTGTGTTGGGGCTTGGATCGCGCACTTGTGGACTTGGGCACATCACTGTTGGAAGCAGCGCGGTTATCGTTCTGTCTGGGCCTGGACTTCTTTGGCTTTGGAGTGGTCGCTTGCGAGGGAAGGCCTGAATCGGACTGGGTGTTCTTCTCTTCATTGTGAATGTTTCCGTTGCGAATACGCGGCGGCCTGTTGTTGCGCTGGGCGGTAGGTTGTGTAGGGCTGTTGGTCATATTGTGGAATTGGGAACCAAAGGTCGAAGGTTGTTGGAAGGGAGCAGCGATTACTGTAGACATGACCAATGTGCGAGATGGCAGCTTGGTCAGATAGGGAGATGTTGACGTCCTGGAACGGCGCGTAAGACCGAGGTAGATGGGCGACTGAGGGTGCCAACGAGTGCCGGAGTGCGAGTGAACGAAGGGTAGATCACGGAAAGCGGACGACAAGACGTGTAGTAGGTGTCTTTATGAGGGCTGAGACAAGGAGAATGATGGCTTGTCGAGAGTGGGCGCAATGAGACGCACGTGAAGGTGGTCGTGGAGGTGGATTGCGCCCGACGTGGGCAATCGCGCCAATCACGGCGCCGCAGCGGATCTTATCTGCATCTGATCTGACGCATGCGCGTTCGGCTCAAAGCAGCCGAGCTTCCCTCTGTTCCGCGTTTCAAGTGGCAGCAGCTGCCTAGGTAGGTACACGCTCGCCGTCATCAAACATTCACATCTGGTCCACTCTCACATTCTTGCGACACCCGACACTTGCTCCACTCTTCTCAATCCCCGGACCAACTCTTTCCAACCAGCAAACATGGCCGACGTGGAGATGACCGACGCGCCTCCCAAGACCAAGACCTCCAAGGCCGACACTGCTGCCGACTCTGGAAAGAAGCGCTTCGAAGTCAAGAAGGTAAAGTTGCACACCAACTTGTACCCACAGGACCAATGGCTGACTTGTCCCTTCTAGTGGAACGCTGTCGCTCTCTGGGCCTGGGATATTGTCGTCGACAACTGTGCCATTTGCCGTAATCACATCATGGACTTGTGTATGCTCGCTCCCTGTCATACTGTTCTCGCACACGACACTGACCACAAACACAAGGCNATCGATTGTCAAGCCAACCAAGCATCCGCCACCAGTGAGGAATGCACCGTAGCCTGGGGAATCTGCAACGTGAGCGGCAACCATCCACCTCAATTGTCATTTGTACTAACCCCTTCCAAGCACGCCTTCCATTTCCACTGCATCTCACGTTGGCTCAAGACCCGTCAGGTCTGCCCTCTTGACAACAGAGACTGGGAGTTCCAAAAGTACGGCCGATAAATCATTGCTTTCGCCACTTCGACCGACTACATACCCTTGCTTCACCACACTTGCGAGCATTCCAGCGTCGACTTCCCGCGATTCAGCCATCCGCCGCACATCACACCACACCACAAAGGCACAGAAAGAGCCGCTTTGCGGATGGAGAGGAAGACACAAACGATCAGACGTCATCGCATCCGGCCAGACATCACACGACCAAAGAGAAATAGCATTGCAACTCTGCGCGTTTTTGTTGCGCCCACGTTAATGAAAGGCACAAACATGCCGTATTTATGATTCCATAAACTCCTGTGCAGCTAGGCAACTGTAGTTTTACTGCCTTGACCCGTCCTGCGAACGCCCGAACACCTATGCTTTGTATGATTTATTGCACTTTCTTCCCATCGACTGTGATGTCGATGGCCGAGACACCGCCAGCCTTCTTTGCAGGCAGCCACTTGACAGGGTCCTTGTTGTAGAATGGCCATGGCGGTACGCATACGACGAATGTGAGAGCTGCTCCGGCAAGTAGGACCCAGAGAGTGTATTGTATGTTCTGAGTTGCGAAGCCGACCATGAAGCCAACGACNNCTAGAGTAGGGGTCAGCTCTGTGCGATACAGACTGTCGAGTGATGTGCGATTAGGCCACTTGAAATATATGGCAGATGTCGAAGGAAGTAGGATGGACAGAATGGGTGGTCATACTCCGGCGGTGGTCAGTATTACGGTGCAGAACATCTCGACCAGGCGTTGACCCTCAAAGTNCCTAGGAGCTGTCAGCTTCGTCTTGTCCTTCTTGGCTGCAAAACTCCTTACAATTTCGCCCTCCCAGATCTTACGACCGGACTCGATGATTGCGTCCATTGTGAGTTTAGTTTGCGTTGTCGAGATGCGAGATTATGACCAAGCTAGGTTCATAGGTGTTCATCAGGGTCGCGAATGTCCAGCTCGGGGAAGACGATGCCGACTCAGAAAGTCCGTGCACATCCATGACCAACCGCTTGCGCGCGCCGCCGACCAGGTTTGGACTTTGGATGCTTTTACTTTTTGTGAGAACTTGACAATATCTTCTCTCGCTCCATGATCAATCTTGTCTCCTCTTCTGTTCACTCGCCTCAACCATTATATCTTGACTCTCGACTTGGCTTACTGCGACAACCTGAACTCTGAACAAGAACTCCTGCAGGGACCCATCACTTTCTCGAAGCCGCCAGCCCATCTATTTGCAACACAAACCACTTTCACTTGTTTCTATCTCTTCTCTTCTTAGTGCATATACGAGACTTTTGAGTGATCTTCATCCGTCGACCATTTACCAAGAGGAAACATCACAACATCCAGCCATCTCTCATCCGAGAAGGCTCTCATCTCATCAGAATGTCTACAAACGATACGACATTGCCTACAAACGGTGACATCAGTGAGTTATGGAAATTTTGGACCTTGGAAAGTTGGGCGGACCAACTGATAATCGGCNNAGTGGATCAGACCAACGGAGCACCTCAAGACCACGATGCAGCCGCCGAGACTGTCGCCGCCATTGCTCAGGCGCAAGCCATGAGCGCCGGTAAGATCGCCTGTAATATAGATTCTGTCTGGTTGGTCACTAACTTCATTCANGATGAGATTGCTCTATATGATCGTCAAATCCGCCTTTGGGGTGTGCAGGCTCAAGAGAGGTAAGAATTGCCTGCTCTGCATACATTCCGGAGAGCGTACTGACCATCCATGCGTAGAATGCGCTCTGCCAACATTCTGCTCATATCTGTCAAGGCCTTGGGTACAGAGATCGCCAANAACCTCATTCTCAATGGCATTGGCTCCTTGACCATCGTAGACAGCGAGCAAATCACTGAAGATGACCTGGGTGCTCAGTACTTTGTACGCGAGGAAGACATTGGTCGCAACGTGCGTATCTCGGCTCTTTTGAAGTTTGGTCGCAGCTGACCTTTTGTATAGCGAGCAGAGGCTGCTGCAGGGCGTCTTCAAGAGCTGAACCCCAGAGTCGCCGTCAGAACCGACAGCAGCAACATCTTGACCAAGGATCAGACTTACTACGCCCCCTTCCAACTCGTCATTGCATGCGGCCAAAACCTCGAGACCATGTCTACCATCAACGCCGCATGTCGTCTTGTCAACCGTCCATTCTACGCTTCTGGTATCCATGGCTTTTATGGTTTCATCTTTGCCGATCTGATTCTGCACGACTACATTATCGAACGCGAAACCTCGAACATGCCTGCCGTTGTCAAACAGGAATCCGCCACCCGCAGCATCATTGGAGTTTCGACCAAGAAGCAGAACGGCAAGAACATCGAAACTGTCACAAAGCGTGAAATCTACTCACCACTACTCCTGGCCAACACTTCGCCCTTGCCGGACGACTTCATTCGCAACCGCCGTAAGATGAGATCCGTCACACCTCTCCTCCCTTGTCTGCGCGCGCTCTGGGACTTTGAACGCAACCACCACCATCTGCCTGATCAAAACTCCAAATCCGATCTGGCCGAGTTCACTCGCATGGCCACCAACAAGCTTAAGGAGCTCCAAATGCCAGTCGAGACCCTCACAGCCGAGTTCCTCCGCAGCTTCTTGCATAATATTGGCAGCGAGATTGTACCCACTGCTGCATTCGTTGGTGGCAGGTTGGCAGAGGACGTTATCAATGTGCTCGGCAAGCGCGAGCAACCCATCCAGAACTTTGTCATGTTCGATGGTGAGAACTTTGATGGACCCATCTACNNCCCCCTGAACACATTCCTGCAAGCCAACGGCCTGGGTGTTCCTCAGGTACAGCCTTCTGAGCTCGAGATGCAGCAGATGCAGAACGGACACAGCAATGGAGTGCAGATCGACAACGCTATCTCGACTGCACCTGCCAATGGCGAAAATGCCGTCCAAGGAGAGGCTGTTGACGCTATCGTCCTCGAGTAGAGATCATGGTCACATATTCATCGACCAAGTTTCAGACGATCTTTCAGGCTATATGACCTGATGTGTAAAACAGTAACGACAGCAACACTCTAATATCGACCGGAGCAAATGCAAGGGCATGAAGAGAGAACGGGCAAGTGACCAAGAACAGTACCTCCAGGATCAACCCTTGCTACACGGAAACGGAACTCACGCAGACGCAAAACACGGTAGTCAGTGGCTGGGTGTAGACAACAGACGAAAAGAAGGAGAGAAGCCGTCTTGGGCACGGGGAGGCTGTTACTCGAAAAGTTTTGGCTTTCTTCACTCTATCCTCATATTAATTCCCCCAAAGAAGGATCCATAGTCTACATGAACCGGATCTCAAAGCAGAGAATGGAAATTCTTGAAAACAAAACGAACGCCAGATGTGCTCCTCTCCCACATCGATATGCCAGTGGTGATTAATCATCTTCCTCGTGAACCTCTGTCCTTTTCCTCTGCAAGTTCAAACAGTGCCAGCAATGCTCAGCTCACGAATCTCCTGCAAGACCTGCTCAACTCTAGCATCCAAATTGCCATTGGCATACTGATCTCTGGTGTCGGGATCCAAGTACTGCTGCACCTGAGCCATTCTCGAGTAAGCCTCTGCACAGAAGCGCAACTGGATCTTGACGAGGGCCTCGAATGATGGATCAAGGTAAGGGACGCGGAGTTCGATAAGTTGGGGCAGTTCGTTGAAGAGCTGTTCATTGAGTTGTTCGTAGGCGGCGCGGGTCATTTCTGCTTCCTTTTCGGTGCGGGGCAGTTTGGTCACGTCCTTGTCGGGCTTTTCGGTCAGGCGTTTTACTTGGGCGCGGACGCGGTCGTAGTCGAGGAGTTTGTGGTTGCGCTTCTTTATNNGCCTGTTGGTAAGGGAAGTGGTTAGTTATGAGAAGTTCTCAAGGAGAGCTGAAAGGAGTCGAGACTTACACTCGTTGATGTCAGGAAAGTATGCGCAGAAGCGGTTGATGGGGTCAAGGACAGTAGAGCGGAAAGGACCATCCAAGGCCTTGATAGTCTCTGCATCCAGGTCTTCGACAGCCTGCTTGTAGCTGCGCGAGACACCATCATTGGCGCCGGCGTCTCCGTAGAAAGCGTCGATTGTCTCTGCAATGCGCATCTGCGAGGCAGTCATTGCGCGCAAGCTGTCCAGGTAACCCTTTGATTCCTTCTGGAGACGGGTGGCGGCGTTTTCCATGACTCTGTAGCGGCGTTCCTCGACTTCATAGCTGCGATCGTGGGTCTGCTCGACATGGCCGGTCTTGACCATGACCTGGGTGGCAGCCCTGTTGACGTTCTTCTTGAAGCCGGCCCACGACATGGCGACGGCTGACTTGATGGGTGATTTGGTGTTTGTGTCTGATTTGGCGAGAAGTCTGATCTAAGGAGAGAGATTTGCGTGAACCAGGGCAGTGTTAGGTGTGGCTTGTTTGTTCAGTGACTGTGGTATAGAGGGTCCAGCAACCACCGCGTTGTCTCTCCTCCGAGTAGAAGCCGCTGACGTTCCTCTTGTGAGGGCTTGCCGGTCCAGGGCATCTTGCCGATCTACCGACTTGGAGACGCTAGTCAGAGGTCACTACCGATGATCAGCCGCTATCGCCGTTATCACCTCGACGCCGAGTTGCATCTTTCTCTACGCTATGAGAAGACATACATTGCTTGCTGTGCTGCTCTTCAATGTCGTCGAAATTTTGTAGTGCATTATGCGCGCGCTCTGTAAGTCAGAGTGGTGCACGGCGAGCACTGACGCGCTTCTACAGTGCTGAAGCATCGCCAAGGGTCATCTTCTCCGGTATCCAGCCTACCGGGGTACCACATCTCGGCAACTATCTGGGTGCTATGCAGCAATGGGTCAAGCTACAAAATGAAGCCTCCTCCAACACCTCTTTGATATACTCGGTGGTAGATCTGCATGCTATCACTGTACATCAAAATCCTGATGCCTTGAGGACCTCCAAGCGAGAAATGCTGGCTGCTCTTCTTGCTGTTGGACTGGACCCCCAAAAGTGTACTATCTTTTTCCAGAGTGATGTAGGCCTAATCAACCCCAAGTGAGGCCATTTAGGAGAGCTTTTGGGCTGATGGGAAATGTAGGTACCTGCACATTCTGAACTCATGTGGATCTTGAGCTGTTCAGCATCTATGGGTTATCTCTCAAGAATGACACAGTGGAAGGTTGGTCTTCCATTTCCCTTTCCTGATATTTTCTCTACCTCTTCTTCTGTCATCTATCTTATTCGTTTCCGTACCTCTTTCCTAACATGTTCTNNGAAGAGTAAGCTCGACTTGGACGAGAATGCAAANCCCCTGGACCCTTCTACAAAGACAAAGTTGAAACTCGGCCTCTTCTCTTACCCCGTCCTTCAAGCGGCGGACATCCTGATTCATAGAGCCACACATGTACCAGTTGGCCATGACCAGTCTCAACATCTTGAGTTTGCACGAGAATGCGCTGCTGGCTTCAATCATCTGGCTGGCAGTAAAATTCTCGTACAGCCAGAGACACTACTTTGTAAGATATCCTCATCATCAGTTTACGTTGAGCTTAGGAGAACCGTGACAAGCGTATAACAATAGCTTTCAGGCTGACAGAAACAACATAGCNNCCCTGCAAAGCGTGTAATGGCTCTGGACCGACCAACGCACAAAATGTCAAAATCAGCACCAAACCCGAAATCACGCATCCTGATCACGGATTCATCTTCCGCCATCTCGAAAAAGCTGCGTGTGGCTCTCACTGACAGCATCGAAGGCGTGACATACGACCCCTCGACTCGTCCTGGAGTATCAAATCTGATCGAAATTGCTTTCAACCTCGATGGCTCGAATCACGGTGCGGCCAGTCCTGCAGAGTATGCTAAGGAGTTTGAGGGACTAAGTCTCAAGGCGTTGAAGGATAAGGTTGCTGAAGTAGTGGATGGACACCTGACGCCTATTCGTACGAGGTTCGAGGAGATCGTTGGCGGTGATGGAAAGATCATCGAAGAGGCAGCGCGGATTGGCGCTGAAAAGGCGAGAAAATCGGCCGAGTCGACCATGCATGCGGTCAAGCACGCAGTCGGCTTCTAGGGGCAGCGCACCACATGTATAGACGTGCCGTGCTCGAGATTCCATTGTGCTGACGACAGATGCGAAGAGAACAGCGTAATATCCACGCTCGGGGTATCGAACAATATAGACAACAATAATCATATCCACTCCACCCATCTCAGTCTTCGTCACTGTCCTCATCATCACTCTGCTCCATCTTCTTCCTCTTGTTGTTTTTGGCCTGTTGCTTCTGCACCACATCTCCCGCACCCTTGTGCTGGAAAACATAGCTTCTTGACGGCCTCTCTTCACCTTTCCAACCGCCGCCTCCGTCTATGTTGCCCAGAGTACGCGCATGAGCATATCCCGGATACGCGTCAGCCTGGAAACGGAAACTGCGCTGGACTTCCAAGCCAGAGTGACGAGCTAGATCGCGAATATTCCAGAGAGTGTATGGTTCGCCCTCGAACAGAGTAACAATGACAGTACCGTGAGGAGCCAATAGCGGTGCCACAGCCTTGAAGAACGAAACAAGCATTTCNNTAGATTGCAGAATCAGTCATCCACACATCATCCAGATAGGGTCATGCAACAACATACCTTGATTATACCTAACCTGCCTATTCACATCTGTACTCTTTCCACCCACATGAGGGAAGTTGAACAGCACTCTCTCCCACCCTCCAGCTTGTTTCTTGACTTCTTTTTGACCTAGTTTTGTTGCGTCTACGCCGTGTAACACTCTTTGCTCTTCTGCCTCTATCGCATCTTTGTTTTCCTGTGCTTGTGGGTATTTCTCCAATAACTCGGCCGCGGAGTCGTAGGTCGTGGCTAACAGTGCAGCGCATCCATGTGTGTCCACCAGACTTCTGCTGAAACTCAGGTCGCCGTCGCCAATCACTAGGATTCGGTCCAGAGCGTCGAAGGGAATGATGTGTTCTTGGTGTTGTTGCTGTTGCTTTTGTGCAGGTGATACGGTCATTTTCACGGCGGCAGGTTTGGCATGTTGCCGCGACTTGGACTGTTGGTGTTTCGGTCGCGAAGGTCCGTCTCGGACATTGAATTTTGAGCGTCCGCCATTGGACTTTTCGTTGTGCTCTTTGCGTTCTTGCAGCTTGCGGCGCTTGGACTTGCCCATGGTGTCGGTTGGTCGTCGTGTTCCAAGAAGAAAGTTTCTCTTGCGACTTGAAGATTGGAAGATTGATTGTCGGCACGTCATCCGAGAGATCGACAAGAGGGACGGGCCGCCTCCGCAGAGTGCATCGTCAAGCCTCGACATTCGAGACCTCTTTCCCTCTCTTCATCTACGCTTGACAAATTTATATCTCCGGCAGCTCATCATAGAAAATGGTGGGTCGTTTGAGGTCTATACATGGGGATACTTGAGTTTCGAGATGTCGCAACCAACACTGTTTGGCATCGCAGCAAGTATCCGCCGATGAATATATTCATCTTGCTCATCTGCGTAACTCTGTCATAGCTCCCTGAACAGTGGGCTGATCTCGTAGGGAACCTTCCATCATGACCTGATGCCAATATGTGAGAAGTTTCGACAGTCAAAGATATCTTACCTTTCAATTTTCTGATTCCTGTTCTCGGTTGAATCTCTCCCACCAGGCACAAGGACGGCTCTCTACAACATCACCATTATCATGCTGAGTCTTCGATCCCTCTATCTCTGGCTCTTCACTGTCAGCAACCTCACCATCCTCGCCTCAGCCTCACCAATCGACAATGCGATCTCTGCTCCCGAAGTCTCAACGACATCCATCGCTACTCCCCTCATCTCCACCTACACCCACAACCCAAACCTTCCCATTCACCCCCACAAACGCGAGTCCGGTCCGTTCTGCAAGCCCGTAAACCCAGGTCTACACAACTGTGGCTTGATGATGAAGGCCTGCGACATGTTCTACGACCAGTTCCCGTCTGACGATCGGAGGCAGCACAACCGAAACTTCATCTGCAAGAACAACTTGTGTATTCAGACGAAAGGCGATTGCTTTCACCATCATTGCGATTGGTGCAAGTGAGTGTGATGCCGACTTGAGAGATTGGATGGGCCTGTGGTGCTGGTGTTGTCTGCGAACTACAGGAGGCGGACTTCTAGAAACGTGTGGTAGCAGAGAACGTGCAGGGTAGTCAACATCTTTGTTCCGGGACACCGCCTTCTCTGACCTTCTCTCGATGACGAGCGATGAAAATGCACAACACTTCCAAGAAACAAGCGACATCCATCAGAAGGACGAATGTTACATCTCTATTGTCATACGTCTGTCTTGAAAGCAACTACGCATTTTTTTAGTCCATAATAGCCCTATGAATTGTACAAGAGACATGTCGCATTCGAGTGTTTGTTAAAGGATTTGATTTCGCTTTTTCATTCGTGGAGTCAGAAGCCAGGGTACCTCTCGACACTCCATGTCTACTCAAAGCTAATGCTATAGTGTTCCATTATCATTTTCAACAAACCCAGTGCTGAAACCTGCGTGCTTCTGAAGTATGCGCCTGATCATAGCGCTACAGGTGTGGTGGTTCATCCTATCTGATAGAATGGCAGCATATAACGCCACAGTAGGTGCACAAGCCGCGCATCCAAGTGTGTACGTTCAGATCCATTCCTTGAACCGACATGTGATGGGATATGGTTCTAGCAAAAGCAGGACACCAGGTTCCGACTATCCAAGATTGTCCGACCATCATTAAAACTGCTGTTCGTGGTGATACATCTCGTGTAGAGGAATTTCAGCAAGCATCAAGAGCCAAAATCTTCATGTCGCATTAGCTGACACGGGAAGGGCGCTGAAAGCAAACGTCTATCAACCAGCTTCCCGAGTCTGTATGACTCTTGCTGAATAAAGTCATCGACGTGTCTATCTCACCGAACATAAAACACCGCTTTCTAGAAGCAAGAAGCAACAAAGCGACCGAGAAAATAGCCAGGGTATCGTGGAATGGAGGAGTGGGTTTGAAAGGTCGATGAATAATATTTTGCGTGACAGAGTCTGCAAGAGTAGCTCATGCCAGGACGATGGGCATGTGATCTGCATGGCCGAATGCTTTGCCGCAAGATGGGCATTTCCTTGATCGGTTCGCGATGAGGTTTTGTACACAGCCTTGGCAGAAAGTATGACTGCACAGTTTGAGGACGGTGTTGCGCAGATTCGAGTTGCAAACGGGACAAATGGCAATTTTNNCTGTTTGCGATTAGTTCAAGATCGATCAATGCTGTAATGGTGCACTTACACGCCAGTCATCTGATTCAGACTCCCGTCCGGATCCCTTTTTCTTCATGTTGTCAAGAGATTTCTTGGTATCCTCCAAGCGGACCTTGACTTCTTCCAGCTCAACCTCGGCCTGTCGTTTCGCTGATGCTGCTGCTGAAGATGCAGCGTCCTTTGCAGTAACCAACTTCTTCATGTCGGTGATCTGTGTGCGAAGCTTCTCCAGAGTTATGTTTCCTTCGCTGAGTTTTTGCTGCATTGTTCGATTTTGCTGAGAAAGAGAAGTCAATGAATCCTTGGACTCGGAAACCTGCTTCTCCAAATTCATAATCAGAGATCTGCTGTTGTTCTCGGCGTCCTTCAGCTGAGTCACAATCTCGGAACTCTTTGCGTTCTGCGCCTTGAGGGTTCGTAGTTCGTTCTCGCGGGCCTCCTTCGCCTTCATTGCAGCAAAGTACTTTTGATCAGCTTTCGCCTTTTCAGCATTGATGCGTGTGCGCTGTTCTTCCCATTCTGCAATCTCGGATATTTTCCTCTCTGCCAGGCTCTTAGTCTTCTTCCATGCGGCTTCCATAGAGGGCAGTTCGTTGTTAAGCAGTAGATATTGGTTCTCCAGTGTCTTGAGTTTCGATCTCAATTCTTCGGTGGACATGCCTTCCAGAGCCTCGTCAGTAGAAGCAGCCGTGCTCTCTCCGATCTGTAGCTTGAGACGTTCGACTTCTGACTCCAGTGCAGCAACACGAGTCTCTCGGGCAGCTGCCAATTCTTTGATTGAATCCGATGCCACCTGGCTCTGTTCTTGCGATCCCTTACGGACAGAAAGTTCGGCTGATAGTTCATCTCTCGCGTTGCGAATACGGGCAAGATCAGATTCGGCGCGTGCTAGTTGACTTTCGAGATCGGTGGTGTTCGTCTGTGACTCCTCTTCCATGTTATTGCGGTAAGATGTTCTCTCGGCCTGCAGTCTTTGGGCTTCTTCGCGTAATTGCAAATTAGTAGCTTCGAGGTCATTGACACGTTTAATAACGTCTTCATGTTGGGATTTCAGCAGTTTGTAGAGGTCCGTTTTGGCATAATCCTCGTCAGATAGTGATGTGAGCCGGACCTTGGCGGAGGTCAATTCTTCAGTCAGCTGTTTGTTTTCGGCCTCGAGTTGTTCGGTTTGGAGCTTGCGTTTNNTCTCTGACGCAGCGAGAGCCTCCCTACGCGCGGTCTCTGCAGCTGCATGAACGGCACTGTCAACGTCACCGTTGGTCTCGACAGCATCGTTCTTGGTTGGGTTTCTTTCTGATGAAGAGCTGGACTCGGAAGCTCCGCCCATGGTTGCTTGACGCTCGAGCTTTTGTACTTGGGCACTCTTCGCGCGATCGAGTTTCTTTTCGGCAAGAAGGTAACGGTATGATGCCTGTTCCAAGCGTTCTGACAACTGGTCGCGCTCACCAATAATTCTCTGGCTTTCAATAACATGGGCTTTCTCGGCGGCCAACAGAGCGGCTAGTCTTTCTTGCAAACTCCTAACTTCTGGCTCGGCAGCAGGTAGTCTGCCAAAAACATCCTTGATGGCAGCCTTTATTTTAGAAGAGCGGTTCTTGAGGTGGGACTCGAATTGAGAGTGGTCGTCGAAGAGCAGAGATGAGCGGAACAATTCACCAGCCTCGGGTTCCTGATCTGAGACGAGGTCGCCGACCAGAATTCTAATTTCGTCGAGTAACTACACGATCGGCGGCGTCAGTGTCGAGATTCGTTGTATGGGGATGTGTCGGGAAATATTAACCTGGGTGAACCATGAGTCGACAATGCGCAAGTGGTCGTCATGGTGCTGAGAGCGCTTGGACAGGTCTTGGACCTGGGATTCGTAAAGGGCCTTTTCGCGCTTGTACTCCTTCATCTGGCGGAGGATGGCGTCTTTTGGAACNNGACTGTGGACAGTGTCAGTCGGAAGGGTCACGTGGAGGTGATTTGGGCAGGGGTGTGGACTCACCTCGACATCCTTCTCCTTCTCTGAGTCCATCCTCATCTGGGGCGCGTTCTGGGTGGTCTGGTGGCGCTTGCTGGGATAGATGTCGTCCGAGTCGGGCTGGATGGATCTCTTACGCTCGTCCATGGTGGGCTTGTGCGAGTGGACAGAGAGGTTGGTTGTGTCGGAGAGCGTCATGTCACGATCAGCTGGTGCGCGGCGGAGATGGCGACGCTGTAGCTGTCGTGGTGGCGCGGCGGCAGGAGGCAAGAGAGAAGTGAAGGCTGGAGTCGGCGAGAAGGAGAGGGAGTAACTTCGACAAGTTGAATGTTGCGTCGAAGACGGCCTTGGCGCTTTCCGCGTTCGGCGGCCGTCGATCAGAACTTGGACTTTCCAGCAAGGTTGCTTCCTTCCTCGACTCAAGTTCCTGCCCCGACTCACAACTTCTCAGATCCAGCACCCTCACCCGACTCGGACGCTCGTCGACTTGGACAAACAACTGCAAGAAATGCGCGCTTAGCCACCATGGCGCCCTTGACCAGTTCAGCCATCAGTGCGGAAACCCATCTAAACAAAAATCGCGACGCCCCTCACTAACGCGTCTGCCAGACAAGGGCAAGAAGCTCGCTCCCAAAGCTGCTGTCACCCGTCGTCGCCCTGCTGCTGCTGCTCAACCCGCCCAACCTGCCGCTACCACTCAGCCCTCGTCTGAGCAACCTGCTCCCGCTCTCGCACCCGAAGCCACTCCATCCACAATTGTTCCCGACACTGCTGCTGGCGCATCACGACCCAAAACATCCTCGACACGATCCGACCACCATGTACCGACCGCTCCTCTGCCCACCCCTCCCGCAACTCAGCAATCGACGACTCAGCCTACTCATGTCGTCGCTCAACGACCTGTCAGACAGCCCACACCACCTCAACCAACTTCCCTTCCTCACCATGTAGAGCCGTCGCCGCTGTCTCTTGCTCAGTCTGATGTATCGCACCGCCAAACAATTCCGTCTCCTTCTTCGCAACCCCTAGTCACTTCAACCCCGCCTGTAACTCAACCCGAACCACGACAATCCGATCCTCTTACACATCAAGCCTCTCCGCGTTCCCAGCAGTCATCCGCGCATGGTCCGCCCTCTCCCAACCAGCTGGCTGGCCAGNNAAACGCAAGCGTCCGACTCCTCCGCCTCCTGCACCATCCGAGGAATCCACTCTCCAACAACCTCCACCTGTCGTTGCTACTCAACAGGCAACCCCCACATTGGCATCTGATCCCGAAGCTGCTTTGATCAATACCCTCATCAGTCATCAAGAACAACCTCGAGCCCCTGTAGCCCAAATGCTGCCACCCGCCAACCCACCTGCCACAGCCCCGAAGCCTCGCGCAAAGCGACAAAGAAAGACTGCTACTACGACTCAACCACCAGCAGAGACANGACGACTCTTCTCAAGCCGCAGGCGGTGCCCAGGAAGACGTTTCGAACGCGACGCCCGCAACGAAGCCAAAGAAACCCAGAGCCCTAAGAGCCAAGCGCCCACCAAAATCGGTCGCAACAGTTATGGAAGACGAGGATGGAAGTGTTGTCGAGACAGAAGAGCCCGCACCTCGTCCTACTCCCAAGCCGAGAAAGCCTCGTGAAAAGAAGAAGCAAGTGCAGCAAGTCGAGGGTGAAGATGGCACAACTGTCCAGGATGACCCATTGGACGATCCAGAGAACCACGAAATCGATGTCACGGAAACGACGATGCTTGAACTTACCAAGGACAGAGGTCTGGGCAAAGTGTCAGAAAGAGAAATAAAGATGGCCGCCATAAACTGGGACGAGGTGCAAAAGAAGAGAGTGGCAGAAGCAGAAGCTATCCGAGCTGGTATAGATCCTACTACTCTTAACAATCAGCCGGCCGAAAATGCTGAAGCTGGTGACGGAGGCGAGGGCGAGAACACCGAAGAAACACCTCGATCAGCACCTGTGGTGACTGGACCCCGACTACGTCTGGATGCCGAGGGAAATCTGGTCGTGGACGAAGACAGTTTGCGTATTGATCGCCAAGCTCAAGCCGAGCGCAATGCCGAGAACCTGGTCGTTACCGAAAACGATGACTTGACAAAACGTGTCAACCAGATGAGCTGGATCAACGAACGTCGACGTGATCCTACTGATCGTGTGCCCTTCTTCAAGATGAAGTCTGACCCTTGGAGCGACGAGGAGACAGACCGCTTCTATGAAGCCCTTCGCATGTTTGGCACTGACTTTTTCATCATCTCGAAGATGTTCCCACCCAAGACTCGCCGTCAAATCAAGCTGAAGTTTGTTCGCGAAGAACGCCTGGATCCTGACCGCGTGAACCGCGTCTTGGCTGGTGAAGCAGTTCCTATGAACCTCGAGTCGTTCGCAGAAGCCACTGGTCAGGACCTTGGAGGTTTCAAGGACCCACGCGAGCTGGAAGAGGAATTGAGGGTCGAGGGCGAAGAGCAACGTGTGGAGATTGCTCGTAAGAAGAAGGAAATGGAAGAGGCGAAGGAGCAGAGAGATATCCAAATGGCCGCTAGAGAGAAGGACCAGGAAGAACGCGCAGCACAGAGACGCGAGAAGGCCGCTATGCGCCAGAACAAGCGCAGAGGAATCTTTGGCACTGGTACCTTTTGAGCGCGCATCTCTGCTTATGAGGTACATACTGTCATTACCTTGACTTGCTAACGATCACGAAGACACGCTATTATACGAGCAAACAAGAAGACACTCCACACATGCACAAAAGATGCTCGAAGTAGTAAAAAATTGTGGTGGCGTTATACTGTTTGCAGCTATAATATTGTAATCAGTATGATATGACGCTATCCAAGCAGAAAGGCATTCACACTCTGCAGCGTCGTCCGACTGGGATTAGCATCTGGCTTAGCCACCGAGATCCAACTGAGTTTCTGTTTAATGGTCTGCTTGTTGAGTCCATTAGGCGGTTCCTTGATCTCCTCGCCTGGTCTTATGTTCCCATCATCGGTAACGAACAAGCACAAGATTGCCAATGCGACACCCACGCCTTGATCCTTGCCGTTGACATCTGCAACCGCGATACGAGATGCTGGGGATGCAGAAAGTTGTGCTTTGACCGAGGCGATAAGGTTGGGTAGACTGTGTCGTAATTGTCGACTCCCTACTTTCCCATCTGCAAGAGTAAGATGCAAGTATCGTGTTTTCAGCTTTGATCGCAACACCTTGCTCTCTTTCGGCGATACCGTGATCACGATATCTGTTTCTTGTGCGCCTGTCTCTGCCGCATCTATCGTGCCAATCGCGACTCGCTTTCCGGACCCGATGCTAGTGAGCTGTGCCCCCTTGTTCCCGTCGCCTTGGGCCACCAAACCCGCAATCACTTCCTCGATCATGTCTTCGGGTGTGGCAAGCAGGGTCTCAATATGTTGCCAGAAGAGAGGGGCGGTCAGACCTTGAGCCCACGCTTCTGCGTCGTCTGCAGCGCCCTGAACGTATCCGGTCTCTGATGTCGATTCTGAGCCAGAGACGCGCGAAGATGCTGTGAGGAGAACGACTGGATGGAAAGAAGAAAACTCTGGAGGGGAAGCCGGAAGAGAAGATGTTGGCGTCACCCAAATTGGTCGTAATGGTTTGGTGAGCTTTTGGCGGATGGCCGAAAGATCGAGGTCTAATGTTTTGAGAGACTCGACGAAGCCAGATATGCGTGCAGCGATTTGGGCGTGCTCTGATGCTCCGACTACTGTCGGTGGCGTGGTAACCTCATGGCTCTCTGTCTGCTCGGGAAACAGAATGCGATTCATGACTGTTGTCCATATGGGTATCGTCTTTGACAAGGCATCAGGCATGCTCTTTCCTCGGCGTGTAGAGTCAACTATAATGCATCTGTTCCAAAATCAGATCACAAGTCATACTTTATTCATATCCAAGAAGCAACAAAACATACCNNCATCAAACTCTCCTATCGTCTCCAATACCTGCAGATTCAACCTCCTCAAACTGAAACTCCACTGTGCCATATGCCCATCCGTGCTCTTGAAATAGGCACTCTGTTTCTTCTGCTCTGGTGGGATATACCAGCTTCCGCATCTTTCGTTTGCTACCAAGGGCAATCCATAAGCTGAAGCTACCTCGGATACAAAGTGTGCATCTTGCTTGATCGAGCGAAGTCTGTTTGGTATCGATAATGTGCTTCTTTTGAGTTCTCCGAGGACTTTGTTGAAAGAGTTGTTGCTTGTGTTGTTGAAGATTAGGTCTGAGAGTTGAGGGTATGATGAGCTGCTCCCGACTTTATTGCCATGTTCTGTCATGACTTGATCCAGGAATTCTCTCTGGTGTTATGATGTAATGCTCAAGATTCGATTGTGCAGATGTCTGGTTCTTGAGTCGACCTCGTTGGTTGTGTCTTCTTGAAGGGATTCTGCTGTCAAAAGATACGGGCGTTTCTGGAATTGCTCGATCTCTTTTTCAGTCGTGGGAGTCTTTGAGAATGTTGTTATGTAAATATTCACTTGGTATAGTTTTATGCAAAACAAAGATGCCGCCTAGATGTTTAGCCGGCATTTAGCCGTTTGCATAATATCGAACCTCAGTCGGTAAGTAAACTCTTTTCATGTTAACAACCAATTGAACCACCGACAAAGGCATCTCGGAATGCCGGCTGTTGGATCCGATAAGTCCACAGGTTCTGAGACAAGGTTTCGTTTGTAAAGTCGCTGCGCACACTCAAAGAAAGCAAGGCGGTCTGAGAGTACTTACATGCGCCACCGAAGTATTCTGGAACACAACCAGCAGCTCAAAATTCTCCTTCGATAGCTACCAAGTTCGATCTGACCACAAAGCTGGATTTACTGTCAGTGTTGGTCTGATGCCACACAGTTTCACATCCTTACGAAGGATCTTCTGCACACGGGTATCTCTGTGGTCTTTCTGAGGATCGAAGAGAGCTTACTAAGCCTTTCCAGCTCGTAAATGACAGTATACTCGACCCAGTGTTTATATTGGAGATGCCTTTAGGCTCATTTCAAAGACGGGCATATCGAGCTACTCAATACCTATACTGCCGCTGAATTGCTGGTGCTCAATTTTCCAAGGTGTACTAGTCGAGTGCAACAGCCTCGTGCAAGGGGTTCAACACATATCGCTGCTGGTGAGCTTATCATTTGAAAGTACAGGCACATTGAACAACGCCTGCCAGAGCTTCTTGTCTTCTGGGGGCGACCGACATACCTAATCTGTTTGCGTGCCTTAGGGATTCTCTAAAACCTGAATGAAAGCCGGACACACAGAGTCAAGTGACACCGGTGCCTGCCACTGAATGCTGCTGTGGGTATCTCAAAGTTGGAACAGTCAGATGTGAACACCTCGTGCAGCAGATCCGATACACCACCTGTATACACTCGAGCCGGCGAGCTATCAAGTGGCATATAGCAGGCACATTGATACAATTCTTCCGGGCACCTGAAGACTTGAACTTGCATTTCAGGCAAAAGAGTATTTCGGTCTTGAAAGAAGGTTTCAGACCGCTCCCAGAGTCTTACCGTGTTGCTCACACACGATGACATCGTCGTCGAACGGACGGTTGTGTTTCACCTTCACTTCGCGGACGCTGTGTTGTCTCATCCTCACGTCCGTTCACAACAATATCCTCCGCGCTTCTTAAGTCTTTCACCACCATCACCATCTTTCCACACCCATCAATCAGATTTTACCACCACCTTTTCATCAAGACAACTACATCAGCAAGACCGAAATGGCTCCTTGGGATCATACTGAGGACCGTCAGCTCCTCCTCTCTGTTATCTCTGTTGCCCAAGTCAACCCCAACTGGGAGGAAGTTGCCAACCAGATGGGCAAGACCAAGGAGGCTGTTCGGTATGATCATCTTCACTACTGCTACGATCTTTGTCTCACGTGTCCCTCCAGCCAGCGCTTCGCCAAGCTCAAGAAGGAGGCCAGCGAGACCACTACCACCGCCACCGTTGCTGATGGTACCGCTGCTTCCGCTGCTGTCGCTACCCCCACTCCTCGCAAGCGTAAGACCAAGGTCAAGGCCAAGAAGGCTGCTTCGGATGACGACGATGACGATGAAGGCACCCCTCTGACCAAGAAGACCAAGAACTCCAAGAAGGTCGTCAAGCAAGAAGACGAGGACGAGGACGAGGACGAGGCTGAGGCTTAAAGGTAAGACCTCTTCACCACAAAATTAAGTGTCCATACTGACCATCTTCACAGGTTGTGCGACATCTTCCCTCTCAGTTACATGGCTCTAGCGCTGCTTCGATATGATGTTCCTCTGAACAGTCAATACCACGATGATTCTACTGTAAATCTCTACAGAATAGCTTCAATCCTGTTGACTCTGGAAGACAGTAGGAGGACATCCTCGTGTCCGACATTTCGAGTGTTCGTTTGAAAACCAGGTCCACAGTGTGCTCTGCTGTTCACTCTTCTCGTTCACTCGACCAACACGTCGACGATTAAGCGATCGTTCTCGGCGCCAGCCTTTTATTCCCTTCTTTGCTCTAATTTCTCTTCCTCATCCGCACACTCACATCACTCCATCCACCATCACCAACACTTTTGGATCCGCTCTCTTGCTTGTCCAACAACATATCTTTCCCACAACACCATCCACTACTATTCACTAATCCGATCTTCATCATGCCTACCGACTGGAAGAGCATTGAGAGCATGGAGCGCCTCGTCGCCGCCATCATCGCCTCTAGTTGCGGAAAGGTAAGTGACGAGATCATCACGTCTTCTCCCTTATCACTTCTAGTATTGACACACATACAGGTTGACAACCANGCAGTCGCTCGTTACTTCAACGAGACCTATGACGCTATTGAGAATCGCACTCGTGTCTACAAAAAGGCCGCACAGACTCTTGTTAAGGAAGCTGAGGACGCCGGCCGCATGGACATGAACATGAAGAAGTCCGCTGGTGGCAAGAAGACCACCGCCACCCCCAAGAANGGGCGGTTCTTCCACTCCCGACTGTAAGTTTTGTTTTTCAGCAACCATCGAATCTTCACCCATGCTGATGCGAATATAGCCGTCAAGTCCGGTCGCGTCACCAAGCGCGCCCCAATGACCCCATCCAAACTCAAGCGCGCCGTTAACTCTGACGACGAAGACGATGAGCCCATGGGCAATGCTGGCACCACTGCAGGTGCTGCCGACGAGGAAGTCTGATACTGCACTTGTCCGCCCGTCAGCACTTGCTTGAGAAGTCTCGTGTCACACTTCAAGCAAAAATCACGGAGGAGAAGGTTTCAGAGCGAGCAGACCTATATGATTAGGCCGGGTTCCGCATGACAAAGCCAGTAGCGAAAGGAGGACAGCAATCAAATTACCAGACCTCCAAAATCGTGTTTGCCTTTTTCTTTCAGTCGTGATATCGTGCATGCTGGTTGGTGGAATATGCAGTGAGACAAGCGCGCGTGATCGACAAAATGTTGCGTTTTTGATGGTGTCGGTGATGTTGATGCTGAATCTTACGAGGTTCCTGATACTTCGAACCGCGGGTTTAGTTTAGTGAGCTGAATGCATTCTCTCTTCGGCTTCCGTGTACTGCTTTCTTAGGCCATCGTGCTTTGATTCCGTGTTCTTTGTACTCGATATTGGCTAGTTGGTATGGCCATCTCAATATCCTTGCATCGGAGCCCGGGCACGATTATATAGCAGCGATATCACACTCCCAGATACAAATGGCTGCTGTAAAAGCATCTATCGGAATACAAGAACTTCTCAGATCCAGAGCTGTGCCCGCAGAAACCCCAATGAGAAACTGGCTCTCAGTGGACGTTGCTCTGTTTCTAAGAAATCTTGTGCATTTTTATAGTGTCATGTCGTGCTTGTATGGAGTGGACCGTGCTTTCCTGCAGTTGTGTTCCTGTCAGTGACCCTGATGTTGCTCTTTCCCAAGGATGGCTGAGCTCCCAGGAACACGCTTGGCGACGTAACCTGCTATAGAACTGCACAATGCTTATGAGAAGCAGAGAATCGTCCAGTGAAACCCCATGGTTCCATGGACTCTCTCTGGACATCATCTCTAGCTAGAATAGGACTGCGCCTTTTGATAGCGGCTCCAGAAGGATATGGTGTCCGTAGAGATTGTATGGCCGAAGTCGAATATGTGCTTGTTATCATGATGAGTACATTGATCTATAGAAAGGTGACTTGCCGCGCTATGCATACTACAGACACGCTGGCAATCCAACAGAAGCACATGAAGTCTATGCATCCTATGCACCTCCATGTGGACGAGGAGACCTTGTACCGCCAGGATCCAACAACAGATGTGGCTTGATGAAGCCTTCGTCGATCCTCGAGAATAAGGTACCTGCGTCTTCTGTGGTTGCGTTCATCAATTGACTAAACGCTCCGCGAGCAGTGAGGTGGCTTGATTCTGCCTGCCCTGCCTCCATAGCTCTGTCATCAGCGTATGGAGTATCTTCTTCACTCGCTGTGGGAAATGTATTTTGTAGCGGCGATCGTCTAGCTGATGGTGGCAAGTCGAGCCCTGATTCATCATCGTCAGACATATCTCCGTTCTGGTCTGGGTAAAGCAGACCTTGTTCAGCCGCGGCCTGCTCCCGTGCACTCCTGCTGCTTGCTCTTCTGCCGAGTCCGTCGCCGGGACGAATGGGAGGGCTACTGGCATTGCTAGTGCTGTACAGAGCTGCTCTATTCGACTTGCTCTCTGTACGTGGCCGGCCGTTAGCAACACTGGCCAGAGAAATGCCTCCGGCCAGACTCGGGCGTGGCATGTGTCCGAAACCGGCTCCACCTTTCTTAGTAAATGTTCCGTTGGATCCTGGAACCACTTCAATATCGAATTCATCATCACTGTCGATCTCTTCTACGACTCCAGTGCGGATCTCTAAGATCTCCAGCATGCGCGCCGTCGTGCCACCGAAGATGATGACGGTCAAGACTACCACAACCAGTACGGTAGCGCGGAGTGCAAATCCGTTGGGACCTTGTAAGCCAGCAGCCAGAGCGACACCAACAGCACCGCGCAGACCGGCCCAGTAAAGCATCATCTGGTGATTCTTGGGCAGGACGTCTGCTTCTTCACGACCAAGCTTGCGAGCTCTGTACCGGATGAAGTAGTTGATGGCTTTGGATAGCGGGAAGACAGCGCAGTACCGAGCAACACAGATTCCGACCACAGTGACAAGGATAAACAGAGGCTTGTATTCCAGTCCGGCTTCGGTGAAAAGGGAAAGACCCAAATAGATGAAGATAAAATTCTCGGACAGTTGAGCCATGACCTGGAAGATGAATTTCGTTGTGAGCTGAGTGCGGCGAGACATGTTGTGGTAAGCGTAGTGTTTCATGCAAATTCCGCAGAACAGGAGAGACACGATTCCGGACATGTGAATGGCGTTGGAGAAGAAGTAGCATGCATACGCGATGAGAACGACGAGACAGCTCTCGATCTTGGGGAACCGTCTGACCAGGGTATACTTGAGTAACAGACTCGTGCCGATGCCGACGACCAAGCCAATCATCAGACTGCCAAAGAAGACCAGCAAGAAGACGCCAATACTCTCGAACAGACTCAAGATGGTCAAATGGCCTTTGGCAGCGCCTTCTCTGTACTTCTGAGCAGTCTCGAACAGCACAATGGCAATAGCGTCGTTAAGGATCGACTCTCCGAAGATGACAGTGTAGAGTTGTGGGTCAACTTTATAGGTGTTGAAGATGGCAAGAATGGTGACAGGGTCGGTAGCCGAGAGGGTTGCGCCGACAGAGATGGCCTCGACAAAGGTAATGTCTAAGCCCTCGAGGGGAATGCGGGTCCATACGTAGAGAATGAGACCCAAGACCATGGCGGAGATGAAGGTGCCAGCGAAGGCAAAGGTAAGGATGGTTCCAATGTTGCGGAAGAAGTTGCCTTGGTGCAGTTCATAGCCCGAGGCCAGGATGATGGGTGGCAGAAGGAGGTTGAAGAAGAATTGGTAGTCGAAGCTGACAGCGCCGAGTACGGATTGGGCAGCGGTGAGACGAAGGATCAAGCCAATGACCATTCCNNTAGAAGATTCTTAGCGGACGATATCTCGACGTAGGGCGGTATGTGAGAGGATACCTGCAAAGATGGACAAGACGGTCTCGTGTACGGCCTGGATCTTCCTCGTCTGCAGCATGTAACTGGTAAACAGGGCGACGATGAGCAGCATGATCAGGATGAAGAGCGACCATGATGCAAAGATTTCTTTCTGGCCAGCCTCGGGCTCTGTCGCGTCGTGTCAGTTGTCTTGGATGGTGGAGCGGGTGGTGGAAGGATGAGTACCATCTGGGTCGGCGTCTGCAGCCTCGCGTTCTGGGGGGTCGTTGTCAGCATACGATCTGGATAATCAAAAGGAATAGACGGGCGTACTGAGGAGCTCAAAGACGGTGTCGCGCAAGATGGAAGCCATAGTGTCGTATACGGTGGTGGGGGCAGGTCAACTGCCTGTGGAGATTGTTATCGCATACGCATATACGGAGGTTTAAGTGGCTAGGCACGGTCGACTCGCACTCGGGTGCAAAAGGCTAAGAGGAGAACCCGACAGCACAGCGTGGGTGGTGATGGTAGTATATCTAAAAGGCAGCTCCCTTTCTGCCTGGCACAGCACGGCACAGCTTCCACTCTGGAACAAGTCGGAGCACGGACGGCCATGATGAGACGGGAGAGCGTCGCGCGTCACGTCTCCACAAGAAGGTTGTCTCGGCCCGCTGCTGATCTAGCCACTCTCCAACAGTGACCCTGTCCTCCAAGGCCATGGATCCTGAATCTAGAGATACGTCACCCTTACCACAAAAGACGTGGCCGCGGTGGGACAAGGCATATGCCTGTTGAGCCGCCAGTGTTATGTACGAGTACACAAACGACTGTATGGGCTGTGGCCCCTGGACAAGCCAAGTCTTGCCCGAAAGTCTTTCCTGACACCGCCGGGAGACGCTAGCCAACTCTCCCGCTATCATTCGACCCTCCCTACCAACCTGCTCGCCCACCTGCACTCGTGATCATCTTCCTGCGACTACAGTCATGCTGCTTGTTGCCGACTCTCTTGCCTATTAGTCGTCCCTGCCTTGCGACACTTTTGTCCTCCGCGACAAGCCAAAGCAACCCGACACAAGCCTTTGTCCGTCTAGAGCCCATGTGAATAAGGACCCCGCAATCTGATAAACATCAACAACCATCACCACCCTTGACCGCCTCTGTCGACCCATGTCGAACAACAGACCTCTTGCCTCGCCTCGTCCGAGAGGCATTCTCAAAAATGCTTCCTACCATCGCGACTCGTACGATGCCCGGGCAAGCCCTTCCTTGGACATACAGAAAGAGCAGGAGGACCAGGATGAAACCTCTCCCCTGATAGCACCAAGACGTGAAAGTCTCGAGTCTGCACTCACCATCTCGTCCATGCCCTCTCCTGAGGACTCGGACAACTGGAACGACATCCACACCGAAGAGACCAAGAGCCAATGGTACCTGATTCTCTTGACTCTGTCAATCGGTGGCCTCCAGATCGCCTGGTCTGTTGAGCTCTCCAACGGCTCGGTGTGTTCAGCAATACCCCGCCTGATAGCCTTCATAACTGACCTTCCGACANNGCCATATCTACTCAGCTTGGGCATTAGCAAGTCTCTTCTCGCGTTCGTCTGGATCGCTGGCCCGTTGTCTGGTACATTGGTCCAGCCTTATGTCGGCATCAAGAGCGATAGATGTCGCTCGCCGTGGGGAAAGAGAAGGCCATTCATTGTTGGAGGTGCTCTCGCGACCATCATCTCTCTCGTTCTGCTGGCATGGACCAAAGAGATTGTGCGAAACTTCTTTGCTCTCTTCAAAGTCGGCGCCGAGTCCCAGACTGTCCACGTCGTCTCGATCGTGTGGGCCGTGAGCTTCATCTATATTCTTGACTTCTCCATCAACACCAGTACGTCTTGATCGTTGTCGCTGTAGAACACTCAACTGACGATGTTCTCTNNCACAGTCCAAGCTGCCATTCGCGCCTTCATAGTAGACAACGCACCGACTCATCAGCAAAACGATGCCAATGCATGGGCCTCACGCATGTCTGGCTTCGGCAACATCCTGGGCTATCTCTCCGGCTACGTCAACTTGCCCAAGTATCTGGGCTTCTTTGGAAACACGCAGTTCAAGGTCCTCTGTGTCATCGCAGTATTGGCCATGTCAATCACGGTCGGCATATCCTGTGTCACCATCAAGGAACGAGACCCTAGGCTCGAGGGAACCCCGCCACCCCAGAAAGGAGGTGTTTTGTCTTTCTTTGTCGAGCTCTATCGTTCTATGAAGCGTCTGCCTCCGCAAGTCAGAAAGGTTTGCGCCGTTCAGTTCTTTGCCTGGATCGGCTGGTTTCCCTTCCTGTTCTACATCACCACCTACATTGGCGAGATCTATGTTGAGCCATACTTCACTGAGAACCCGCATATGTCACCCAAGGAGATTGACGCCACCTGGGAGCGTGCAACTCGTATCGGCACCTTTGCGCTGTTGATCTTTGCCTTCACCAACTTGGCTGCTGCAGTTGTTTTGCCCTTATTGATTGTTCCTGGTTTTGAGCCTCCGTCGCCCCAACCTCATACTCCGCTTACTCCTCGTGCCTTTACTCCTACTACACCTCGCTCCATGACCGGTAGCGATTACTTCGCGTACACTCCACAACACTCTACGAGCAAGCTCAATCTGGTTGAGCCCAACCGTTGGGAGCGAATCAAGAGTCGTATGCCATCTGTACAGATGAGTACCTTTACACTTCGCCGGGCTTGGATCCTCTCGCACTTGTTATTTGCCGGCGCTACATTCTTGACCTTCTTCGTCCACGACACGACTACAGCTACCGTGCTCGTTGCTTTCATTGGAATCCCGTGGGCATTGAGTAATTGGGCTCCTTTTGCCCTCATTGCTGCCGAGATCTCCAAGCGAGAGGCCATTCGTCGTAATGAGATACCTGCTCCAGCCACTGCTGAGGGTCAGGCTCTGGCCAACGGTGATGACCCGTCTCAGGGTGCTGACCAGGCTGGAGTCATTCTTGGTATCCACAACGTCGCCATCGCTGCACCACAAGTCATTGCGACGCTCGTGTCGAGCGCCATCTTCAAACTTTTGCAAAAGCCTCGTGGAACGCCTGGCGATGACAGTGTTGCCTGGGTCTTGAGATTTGGTGGCTTGGCTGCACTTGTCGCAGCTTACTTGACCACACGCATTGCAGAAGAAGGCGAGGAGGAGGAACAATTGTAGGTTGCGCACTCGGCTATACCAACAAGACTCTTCAGTCAGGAATTCGCGTCATTGTTTCATGGGCGTTGGTTTGTTTGTTTTTGTGATACCATTTCCTCGATTCTACTCTATTCCCTACCGCTCGTACCACCAATCCCCTCAGAAATACATAGCACACCACACGAAGGAATGATGCATGAATATTCAAGATTATCATGATCGTTCTTCCTCTAAAGTATCGACCATGTAGCAAAGTGCGTTTCCAGGGCCCATTCACGACATAAAGTCAAGAATACTGGTACGACAAGACTTGTCCGACCTACTGCATCTCTGGATTCGAGAGACGAGTTCTTGTTGTGATCTCGATCATCACTTTGAACTCCTCGCTAGTGATCCACACTTGAATGTCAACTTTGACTCAGTGCTGACCTGCACGTCTCTCTTTTGTGTCTCGGGTTGATCCTGCTTCACTTGTAGCCGATCAGATTCATACGTCGACGATTCGACGGCTCCAATCTTGCACTGCACCTCTCACTCTGTTCCAACTCGACTCGATCTCTCTGCTCACCTACTTTCCTCCTCTGCTCACACTCTTCTTTCTGCGTCCTCAATCCCTCCTTTAAATCTCCTCCACTCCTTCTCTAACTCTTCTTCCACTTCCATCCTACTCAACCTTTATCGAACCTTCATCAACACTTCTTGTCTTCTAGACACACTCACCTCAACGCTTCTGGTCTTCAAGACACACCCACACCAACACGTCAACTTCACGCGATCTCTTCATCGACGCGCACCTTACCTCTTGATCCTTCATTTCAACTACACAACAAAGAACATCAGCAACATGGTTGTCAAGTGGAGCAGTGAGAAGGATCAGTTCATCCTGACCCACATTCTCGAAGACAAGAACATCAAGATCACCACCGATGTCCTCGACGCCATGATCACTGCCTGGCGTAAGTATCTTCTCTCTTTCCTCACTCTTTGGTTCATCCTTCAGACTTTCTTCCTTCGATCATCGTGCCTTCTTTCTTGATCTTGTTACTCTTCTTCCTTGTCACTCTGTTTTATCTTGACCCACTCACCCAACAACTTNTCACCCTCATGTTCACCTGCACGATTCCAACTCAGCCCTCCACACTCCACCATTGAGATGCCGACTAACCAATCTCAGCCGCTGCCTTCGGCCCTCCCCCCCACCAGAAAGGCCTTCACCGAACACTTCTCCAAGATCCGCAAGAACAGCAAAGTCTTCACCAACGGCGGCGCCTCTGCCCCTTCCACCCCCGCCACCACAATCGCCAGAAAGAGAAAGACTCCCGCCACAAAGACACCTGCCAAACGCAGAAAGGCCAACATTACCTCCGACTCGGAACCCTCTGACGATGAGGCTCCTCCCACCAAGACCCCCGCCAAGCGCAGAAAGAATGTCACTGCTGATGAAGACTCTGATAACGATATGAAAAAGGAGATTGCGGAGTTGGGCGTCAAGGTCAAGGATGAACCTGTTGATGAGGAGGAGAGTCCCAGCAAGAAACCTGCTCGTCGCGGAAAGGAGAGTGTGCAGTATGCTGAGAGCGATGATGGCGAGGTCAGCCACCCTGAGTATGCTGATGAGTATGTTGACCAGGAGGTTGTTGCTGCCATGAGCGCTTACCTCGAGACTCCTGACTCTGAAGATGACGCTGAGGTTTGAGAGAGATTGCCTTCGAAATTGATCAGAGACTCCTTCCAGCAGCAAGGAAGAAGGGGCAACTGCTGCAGAAGGAAAGATGAGCGATGTACAAATAGCATAAGGGATATGCACAAGACGAGGCAGAGCAGAGCCCGGGCTTATATCAAAAACCGATTAATACCTTCGGAACGATAGACTAGCCATGACTCAGATCATGTGCGCTCTTCCGTACTCCTTCATGATCTCCTTGACCCTCTTCAGAGGCAGCGCTTCTACCCTGTGTCCCTCGACTCCCTGCATCGTCTCTGCTATGAACAAACAATTGTAGATTGCTTCTTCCACACACTCTGCGGTAGCCTCAAACAAGGAAGACAACGCCGAATCTTCCACAGCCTTGACTTCTTCGATCATTGTTTTACTTTCACCCTCTGGCGGCCGAGGTTGGTTGACGGGAATCTCATTGCCGGTCGAGAAGGCCAGGAATATTTCGCCGGACATGTTGTGCCCAATACCGCCAACTCAAGATAGTCCGACAGTAGCCCGTTTGGCAATTCGAGTGAGTTGATGAGGTAGCAACGGTGCATCTGTGGCGATAACGACAATGATACTGCCATCTTTCTCCTCCTTGGCCTTCTCCAGCTCTTTCTTTACCTTCTTCCTTGCTTCATCTTTCTGTGCCTCATCAGCCAGTATTCGACCAATGGGTATGCCTGCAATACGTAAATCCTTCATGGCTCTATAGTTTGCCTGAACCATGCAAGCGACTGTGAAGGTCTCATCTCGATGAGAAATTTTGATTCGTCGACTCGAAGATCCATTGCCACCTTTGAAACCATGACAGATCATACCGTTGCCACCTCCTGCATTGCCTTCCTAGACTGCCACACCTGTCTCTACTCTATGCAAGCCCTCGACTACATGCTTGGGCGTAACTGCGAAGGAGGCACAATCATGCAGATATCCATCAGATGTCTCTGCAACCACAGGCAATGCCATAAACGACCTGCCGACAGTCTCGACACCGTATTGGAGAATCCCTTGATGAGCAGCTCCAATGCCAAAAGTACCGGTCAAGACGATAGGCGAGCACAACAGTCCACCCTCCGCGATGAGGTGGCTTCTGGTCATTTCGCCGTAGCCATTGAAGCTGAAAAGACCGGCATAGCAGGCTTTGTGGAACCAGTCCTTGCGTGGGATAATGCATGTGACTCCAGTGTTGATGCTTCCGTCCAAAGACGTGATCTCTTGAGTCGAGATTGCGATGCCAGGCACGTCAGTCAAAGAATTCAGGGGTCCTGGAAGGTGGTCACCGAGGAAGAGGTCTGGTAGGAGGGTACGGATGCGCATGCGAGGCTCTGAGGCCAATAGCCAGGGCCGCTGTTTCTTGACCATTTCTTAGAAAGAAGACACAATTACTCTGATTTGTGTTCAAGACGAATTATGAGAGGAAAGGGACATGGCCGACGGAGAGTGTCTTCTAATCGTACTGATTAGGCAGCAACATTGGGACCAAGGCAGCAATATGTGTAACCAGCCATGATGATCGTAGAATATAGTATTTGAAGCGTCATTAATATGCTGTAGTATGCACAATCAATTACTGTTCAATCGTGTTCAAGACTTGATGATTGTGCATCCATTTGCAGATGGCAACCCTGTCCTTGTCGAGAGATGTCCGCCAAAAGAGATCAGGTTTGGAGTGCTTCAGTGCCCGGACTTGGACGAAGCAGGTTGCGCAAGATTCTGAGATAGCATTGTATACCATGGACAGCGATGAAAGCAAAAAGGACTTGTTGACCTGAGCAAAAGTGTGAAGTGTGAGCATCCTCTCCAGGCAATCGCATCGGGCAAGAACGATCGACCTCCGCCCCGCGAGCGCGTCACAGCTTCAAGACGCGCTTTCCACAATCGCGTGTCAGCCGCGAGCATTCCAGCTTGTCCTTGCCTTGTACTGTACATATTCTTCCACCAACATTTGTACATCGCCATACCGCAGCCCATGCCTCGAACGCGCAATCGCGCCAGTGCTGCGCAGGACAAGGTCGTCGCCGAAGAGTCCGTCGTTGAGGAAGCACCTGCCGAACAAGAGGAAGAGGAGGAGCATCAGAGCATCGAGGGTGCCCCAAGGCCGCTGGACTTCAACGAGTCGCTGACATGGCGCGCCGGCAAGCCTATCGCCGTCGCCGAACTACTACGCCGTCTGAGGACTCTGCACACCGAGCTGAGCCAGCTGGACCAAGAAGATGCACACCGCGACTCTCTCGTGCCTGTCGCGCAAGAGCTGGCCCACCGCAATCTGCTCGAGCATCGCGATCGCGGTGTCAGGGCCTGGTCTGCACTATGTATCGTTGAGATGTTCAAGCTGTTGGCTCCCGATGCCCCGTTCAAGGCCGCCCAATTGAACCAGATCTTCTCTCTCATCATCACTCAAGTCCTGCCTGCCCTCGGCAACCCACAAGACCCCTACAACGAACAACACCTTTCCATCATTCGATCGCTGGATGAGGTCAAGAGTATTGTACTGCTCACCGACATTCCCGGTGCTGATGGTCTACTGTACAAGCTGTTCACAGGCGCCTTCGACATCTTCGCAGATACGTCCAAGAATGTCAAGGCCGAAGAGCTGGGAAAGAACGTCGAGCACCACGTCACAAGTCTGCTCGTTACTGTTGTGGACGAGAGCCCTTCACTGCCTAACGACGTTGTCGATATCATACTGGCACAGTTCCTCCGTCTTGACCCTACTACCTTCCCTCTCCAGCTCAACAAAGCCGCTCTCGAATCCTCGCGTCCCTTTCATCTTCAGTTGCCTCCGCCCGCATACAATATGGCANNAAAAAACATCTGCAGCTCGTGTCCTGACAAGATGTCCCGCATGGTTGCACACTACTTCAATTCCATTATTGCCGACCTCTCGGATGGTATCGACGGTTCAAGCTCAAGAAAGTATACGTCTCGAAGACGATCTGGCGCAGACGACGAGGACGAGGACGAGGATGACAACAATCGTGACGCTCAGCCTGCAGGTCCGTCTGCAGATGAGCTCAAGTCATTGGAGAAGGCCCACAGGCTGTTGCGCGAGCTCTGGAGATCTGCCGCACTGGTCATACAGAACATTGTTCCACAAATTGAATCCGAACTCGGTGCGGAGAACGTGGATATAAGATTCCTGGCCACCGAGACAGTTGGCGATTTGATCTCTGGCATTGGCGCAGCAGGACCTCCCGCTCCAGTCGCGCTCGATCCTGCAGCCTACCCTTCGCAAAGCATTGATCCATCTTCAGTCTACTCTAGAACATACAACTTCCTCACCACTCCAGCGGCTCCTCACGCCTTTTCCTCGGTCCACGCCTCTACATACCAAGGCTTCCTCAATCGTCGCAATGACAAATCCCCTCGAGTTCGTTCTATCTGGGTGACTTGTGCGGGTCGTATTCTGGCCACTTCTGCTGGCGGCGTTGGCCTTGACCCAAATGAGGAGAGTGCTCTGCTCAGATACATCTCCGACATGCTTGTTGATACCGATGAGCATGTTCGCCTTGCTGCTGTCCAGGCTATCGGTCGCTGTGATTTCGAGACCATTGTGCAACGCATCGGTTCGAGCGGTGGTGTCACTACTCCTGATTCTGTACTGTCAAACCTGGCCGACAGAATCAAAGACCGCAAGCATAGCGTCCGTGCTGAGGCCATGTCTCTACTCGGTCGAATCTGGGGTGTTGCTGCAGGTGCTATCACTGAGGGAAATGACAGAGTCCGTATGCTTCTTGGTGCAATTCCTTCGCGCATCTTTGACGCCATCTACATCAACGACCGCGAGATCACCGCGCTGGTGCAACAAGTCCTTTACGATTCACTGCTGCCGCTTAGCTTCCCTCCTATCAAGGCCAAACCTACCTCCAACGGCGATTCACAACGTGTCAGGGACAGTCAAGTACCGGCTTCGCAAGTCGAGAAGACACCCACCCCAGACGCCATTCGTGCTGAGCGAATTTTGGTTTTGGTTCGGGACCTCGAGCAGAAGGCGAAGACGGTGTTCTTCACGTTCCAGGCTAGACAAGCTAAAAGGGCGCAATATCTAGAAGCGTTCCTCAAACGTTGCGAAGATTACAATGGAGGTGTCAATGCAAAGAACGGCAAAGAAGGAAGTGGTTCACTGTCAAAATTGATCGAGTTCTTTGCGCGAGAACGTCCCGAACCCCTTGTGGCCAATGAGCATCTCTGGAAGTTTGCTAAAAAGCACGACAGGAGGTGCTACCAGCTTATTCGATTCGCAGTCAATCCTGATAGCGAGTACAAGAAGGTCGTCAACGCCATCAAAGAACTGACAAAACGTGTTGAAGAACAACCTGGTCATCTTCCAGCGATCTTGACAACCATTCTTCCTGTAATTCACCAAGCCAGTGTATTGGTTTACAGCAAGAGTCATGTCCCTACAATTGTTGACGTTTCACGTACTGAGGACAAGGGTCTTGGTTCGTCTGCACACGAAGTGCTCAGAGAGATCTCAACCCATAATCCTGAGGTCTTCAAAGCACATGTGCGCAGTTTGTGCACCACGCTCCAAGAGCAAGTACCATCGAAAGACAGGCCAACCGATTCTGGAGTTGTCGAAACTCTGAAAGCGTGTGCAGGCTTTGCACAGAGGTTCCCTCAGGAGATCCCTCGCGAGCGTGCCTTTTTACAAGCTATGGTCCAATTTGCCCTTAACGGAAACCCGCCAATAGCTGCAAAGCATGCGGTTTCTGTCATTGTTGCCGCAGATGAGAAAAAGGACATGTACGTCAAAGACATTGTCACTAAGTGTGTGCAAGGCTTTGAATACGGTCAAGATGGCTACCTCTCTAAGCTGGCAGCACTCAGTCAACTTATGCTCCTGTCTGCAAAGGACACAGAAGATGAACATGATAATATCTTGGAAATCGCTATCCAGAAGGTGCTCCTGCAAGTACGAACAGAAGCCAAGCCAGACGACGTCGAATGGCAAGAAGAACCAGACGATGAGTGTGAAGCCAAGATTTGGGCTCTCAAGATTCTAGCGAACCGACTCAGATCTTTTGCTGTGTCTATAGCCGACAATGAGATGGGATCTGTGGTCACAGAACATGCACTTCCAGTGTTCAAGTTGTTGCACCGGATTATTGATAAAGACGGAGAGTTGTCCAAGACCCAGGACGAAACTCCGAAGCCTCATCGTGCGCGCCTGCGATTAAGTGCCGCTGTTCTGCTACTCAAGCTGTGCAGCGCACACAAAAGATTCGATGCACTACTAGAGCCCAAGGATTTCAACCGTCTCATCGTCATCGCTCAAGACCCCTTGCCCGAGGTCCGCTCTGCTTTCGTCGATGCCATCAAGAAGTATCTCGGCCAAGGTAGACTACCTCATCGCTTCTACACTCTAGTCTTTGTCTATGCTTTCGAGCCAAACGTACCCATCAAGAACGCAGCCTCAACATGGCTCAAGGGGCGCGCTGCAGCATTTGCCAAATCAAACGAGACTGTAATGGAGACCAGTTTCGCGCGCTTCATCAGTGTCCTCGCTCATCACCCAGATTTTTCAACGGAGGCAGATAACTTGCAGGACTTTATTGACTACATGATGTTCTATCTCAAGGCTGTTGCTACGCCGGCGAACATCACCCTGATATACCATGTCGCTCAGAGGATGAAGTCTGTTCGGGACGGCATTGATGAGAAGAAGAGCGACAACCTTTACTGTCTGTCCGATATCGCGCAAGCTGTTATCCGCAGATACCAGGAGCTACAGGGTTGGTCGCTGCCAGTATGGTCTGGCAAAGCCCGTCTCCCTGCCGGTCTCTTTGCGTCCCTACCCAATCATGCAGTGGCGCAAGAGATTGCTGACAAGCAGTATGTGCCGGAAGCGCTGATGGACAAGATTGAAGATCTGGTCAGAGATCGTCTGCGTACCAAGAAGCGCAAGTCTGAGAGCACAAGCACACAAGCCAAGAAGCGTGCCAGAGCAAGCGAGGGCAAGTCTTCCAAGGCAACGACGAGCAAGAAAGCCAAGAGCGTCAAGACGCCCAAGAAGAGGAGAGCCTCCAATGCCACGGCCTCTGCGCCAGCGAGCGAGATTCGCCGCAGCTCGCGCAAGTCTGGAGCGAAGAGCTATCTCGAGCAGAGTGACAGTGATGAAGAAGCCGATGGACTCGACGACGCCGACGAAGACGATAGCAATGACGAGGAAAGCGACGCCGAAGACCAAGAGATGGATGATGTAGAAGAGCAGGAGGTAGAGCAGCCAGAACAAGCAGAAGCTGGAACTGATAAAGCCGAAGAAGAAGCAGTCGAGCTCGAAGAAGAGGCCGAAGTACCCACCCCAGAGCCAGTACCTCAATCGAGACGCTCGGGTCGTGCTGCCGTCAAAGGCAAGAAAGCCACTCCAGCTCCTGCTCCCAAGAGGTCGAGTCGAAGAAAGAAGAATGGCGCTGCCAGTGACTCGGAGTTGAGCGATGCACCGTCAGACGTGGAGTAGTGGAATCAAGTTGCATGGCTTTTTAATCATTGTCTTTGTTGAAACATGAATATTGCTTTCTTATTTGCAGCCTTAGCGGCGGGCGTTTTCTTTTTCAGCATGTTTCAATCCGTTCTTATCATCATGTATAGCAACCAGTATCCAAACACAGAATCAAATCACACGTACGACTATCCTCGTATCAAGTCTCGTGCAACATCATGCACACAATGTAAAGCGATCACAATAAAGAGCCAGTGGGATATAATCGTGATTAAATAGTGTAAAATTGATAAGTGGGTATCTAGTCTTTTTCGACAAAACAGCAAAACAAAGTCGTTATAGTATTACAAGAGAGTCCTTTAGTTTTCCAAATCTAAACAGACTGTCTATTGGACGCGCTCGACTTAACCGAAGCGCCGGCCATCGAGTTGTTTCTGCTGGGGCCGTAAATGGCCGAAGCTCTTCTTCCACCGTGTTCCTCACGAGCAGAAGAAAGTTGCTGAGCGAAGGGAGAACGCTTACGGAGAACAGGTCCTTTCCAGTAGATGACGTAGACTGAAACGACAAGGAGGAGCGCAATACAAGCCAGGATGGTCGAAGCGTATTCCAAGTGGTGTTCACCACCGATGTTAGTGTAGAAGGGGGTGGCGGGTACAGTCAGAACACCAGCAAGGAAGTCACGAGACCATCCGTTACCACCAGTGGCAGAGGCTGAGTAAGGACCGTAGGCGCAGATCATGTAGTCGATGGTGGCCATGTAGATCGAGTAGTTGGCAATGCCGATAACTGCACTGAAAATCATGGAGCCAATCCAGTGAATTGGAGGTCCTCCACTGGTCCATGCGAAGCCAATCAGACCGATAGGAAGGCAGGGTACAGTGTAGAGCAGCCACCAGAGGCGCGATTCGTACTGGGCGTGTTCGTCGTTGGGGTTCTCGCGACGCTGTCTTTTGTTACGAGCGATGGCGGGGAAGAATGAGAACCATGCAATAAAGTATCCGATGAGAAGAGGCAAGAAAGCAAGACCGACTTGGTAGGCAGAGAAGCCCCATTGGTCGTAGACGAGAGCGTACGACTGAAGGAACATGAAGATCAGGGCGTCACTGAAACCAGAAAGAAGCGAGAGTGTGAGGACAATGGGCTCAGTCAGGAACATCTTGAAAGGTCGAATCCAGGTCTGGATAATCTCCTTGGCAGAGAAGCGGTCCTTCCAGGGGATCAACTCAGTAGGACCATAGACGTTTGTCTCACCAGCCTTGCGACGTCTCTTAGCGATCTTGTTCAACATAATACTGGTTCTGGTTTCGGGGACGAGGAAGAAGTGGAGAGCTTGGACAAATCCACCGAAGATAAGTTGAATCCAGATGTTCCATCGNNCCTAGCATATGTTAGTGGACAGGACTTGTTGCATTCATCAACGTGGGACATACCATGCAGCGTATTGCTCGACGAACCCACCAACGACGGGACCGAGAACGGAACCACCGACCGAAGAGAAGACGATGAAAGCGACAGCGTACTGCTGCTCGTCGGCCTCCCACATGTCGGCAACCATACCGAGAGTGACCGAACCACCAGCAGAAGACAAACCACCAAGGGCACGACCGGCCATGACGGTTCCAAAGTTTTGTGCGAGAGCGACAGGGAGCTGCCAGATATTGACAAGGAACAAACTGAGCTGGAGGATAGGCCATCTTCCGAGCTCCTCGGACCAGGGTGCCCAAAGCTCACAACCAAAGGCATAGAGGACGAGGAAGATCATAGCACCACAACGAGCAGCCTGAGCGCTGATGTGGAACTCTTCGGTCATGCCAGTGATGGCGTTGCTGTAAAGACTGGTGTTGAAGTTCATCGAGACCTGGACGATGAAGATGACACTAAGAATCATCCACTTCTTCCAGGTAGGAAAGCAGAACCCAAGCTCTTCATAACAGTCGTCTTCTGTCAAGATGATCTTGTCGCTGCCGTCAAATCCGTTGCCTGTCTCCTTCTTGCGAGTTGGTACTTCGGAGTTGTCGACTCTGCGTTCGATCGAGGGTTCCGACGAGTCGGGGTTCTCGACCTTTTCGTTCTCGAACATGCCGGCCATGTCGAGGGTTGTGCGGTTGATAAGATATAACAGCTGATACTGAGTACACCTGCGACGGCAGAGGTGGTATATCTCAGGAGATAAATAGGTCTGACGGTCAAATGAAGCCCGTCAGATGAATGCTGGGGAGACTGGGGAGGGGAAATATGCTGGGGAAGGTGCGCAGGGGACGATCTTGCTGTCTTTATATGGCCGTTTGAATTTCACGCGGAAGGAGCATGATGTCACTCAGCAGGTGGATTCGGAGTCGAGGGATTTGCAGATCTTACTGTGAGCCAGTAGTGATCCGCTCACAAACCAGAAAACCCTACCTCCAACTTGGACGTGATCCGGTGACCGAAGACCCACATGGCCCTAGTTTGAGTGCTTTGGCACAGAATATAAAAGCCCTGATGCGCAAGAACAAACCAATCTGTGGACGTTTGTTCGTTGCTGGACAGTCAAATCTCTTTCGAGTGAATCACTCGAGACCTCTACAATATGTTGTATGAGCATCAGGCTCCAGAAGTTACGAGGTCATGGCCCATGACGACGCACAAAAACAACAAGCATAGGGGATATTTCCGTTACCGCTCGTTTCTTCATACGACGTTACATGCTACATCCGAAAAATAGGATCGCATGGCTGTACGAAAAAGCGTCATCGCGCCAAGCGTATCAAAGACGCCTTGTCCGCGGTTGGCTTGCGCACAAGCATCTTTATTGGTCGTGGCGCCAACCTCCACCTTGATATCATTCGACATCCCACTTCTTGAATAATCCAGGAGCCGATGACACGCGACAGATCATAGATGCCTGAACAGCCCTTCTGCATATATGCTATGCGGTCTCGCTGGAGACTAACAACTGGGCTACATGGGCGAGTACCTGAGGCAACTCCATGACAGCGTGGCTTCACCACCACACAAACCTGAATCGTCTTTAGCCGGGAGCTGGGGGATATCTAGTCCTCCACCACCCAGCACCACTTTTTCTTTGGAACAAGCTTGGGGTCTCCGAATAATTATCTGGCACACCCCGATATTGATGCTTCTCTTCGGCCCGATTCTGTTTGACAAGGTCACAGTCCCGTGGCCGTCGGAACCGATCGAACGGCAAATGATACGGTATCGCCATATTCGGCTTTCGGCCGACGCTTTGACAGCTTCAGGCGCACGGAACGAGCTGATGCCAGAAACGCTTACTCGGAGTATCGCCTCTGCTATATGGTGATCTGTCGGCTGGTGGATCTATAACGGACTCTCTATGCCTGTGCTCTTAGTTCTTGAATGTCTACAGGCTTCATGTCTTGACCCACCAAGTCACCAAGACTCTTGGCAGGAGTTGTGGAAGGAGCGTCCAAAAGCTTGCTCGTACAGACCACAATCAACCCTTTATCGACTCAACAAGAGCAATATGAGCGTGAACGTTTACGCTGGTCGTTCTGCAAGGGAGAAATTATGATGAAGAATGAGCATTGCATGTTGACCAGGGCACAGCTGAAGCAGCAGTTGAAGATTGTGGTTGTATACAGGGGTATCGGTGAGTGATTGAGGAGTGTTGTTTGGTCATAAAAGATGAGTCGTCTGGTCTTAGATGGCCCACTCATTCTTGTTATCATTGGCGGTCACGAAGGGCTCGTCAATACGTTTGACAGCCATTTCACTGCAAAGCACACTGGTGATCTGTTAGCGAATTGCTCAAGGAGCTAGTAGGGACTGACTTACCAAGCGCCCGCAACCAGGGCATCTAACTCCTTAACCATGCGTTCTCGTTTCTTGCCTGTGACAACAGCTCTTCCGACTTCAGTTTGCAGCTCCTTGATGCGCTTGCCCTTGCCCATTCCGACACTCTGAAGCACTATCTTGCCAAGGCAATCGGCATGGAAAGAGTGCTGGCAAGGGAACACGAAAAACTGGCGCATCAATAGGGGAAGCCTGCAGCTCCAGCATTTCTCACCAGGTTCGACGATAGCGTATCTCTGATCGAGGGACTTGATATCTTCCTTGATGTGTTGCGCAGTGTTCGCACTCTCATCCATCTCCCGCTTCAGTCCCTCGATTTGTCGTGAATATTCCTCAAGAGCGGCGCAAATTTCTTCCTTGAAGTCATCAATGACCACAAAGTCTGGGAAGAAGGGGATCAAGTCTTCGATACGTAATAATTCGCAGCGCTTGAGGAAGTCCATGGCGGCCTTGATGCCTTTGCTCTGGCCAATGACCTNTTTGGCAACCTTTAACCACAACTTCTTGCGCAAGGCAGGATCGTTTCCTGGTCGGTCAGCTACGTTCGCTGCTAGATCCATTTCGTCATGCTTAAGCGCCATGTCCACAGCTTGAGCGTATTGGCTCATGGTGCAGTAAATATGCACACATGATTGAACGCGCTGGTGGGCAATGCAGAGGCGGAGAGCAAAGTCTGCATCATAGTTCTGCTCATGGGAGGTACTCTGTGTTTGGAGATACTGGAAGAGTGCAGTCTCATCTTGAGTTGGATGCGCAGCATATATCGAAACCACGGTGTTGTGAACTGCAGTTTCTGTTGAATGGCGTTGATTGATGCAGAATTGGAGATAGCGAACGGCTTGATTCTGNNGTAGTCTGGTCAGTAGGGATCTTCAAGGTTTGTATGCTTTACCGCTTACTTGGTTTAATGGGACGTCTGCCGTCTTGTTGTAGTTGAGGAGAGCTGGTATAAGTTTCTTAGCCTCCAAGTTGTTTTGTCGCATCATGACTTCCACAAGCTCAACAGCAACATGTGTCATCAGAACACTGCTGTACTGATAGAAAATCTCAGGATCCGTCTGCTTTTTGAGGACTGACATTGCCTCCTGCCATCGTTCTCTTTGCACCCAGTACGATAGAACATAGTTGTAGTCGTCAATGATGTTGGCGAAGTAGAGCAATTCTTCTTCTCGGCCATGGCTACTGACCAATTCATAAGTGGTCTTTCTATCCAGGTCAGACTTGTACTTAGAGACAAATTCTTGGAACTCGCGACGCATCGAGGGAAGGTCTTCTTGTACGTTGGCAATAGGAGCTGCTTCAGAGAGCTCCGCTTTGGCCGAGATCGTATCGTCTAGGAGGTTCAGTTTGGCCATAAACAGCTCGACCAACCAACTAGCAACCATGATCCTTTGCATTGTTGAGGATCTCTTGAGGACAGAGAGTTTTGTCAAGAGGTATTTCCTCAAAGCATCTTGCTCTCCTTGATCGATAAAAGTAAGAGCGACCTCTTCGAATGGTTTGGTGCTTCTGCCGTACACAGTCGCAGCTTCTGAGAAGCGGCCTCGAGAGACAAGATAATCTCCAGACGCAGTAGCTACAGCATCCTTCTGTGCTGCAGTTTTAGCGTAGCGTGATGCAGCATCAAACTGCTCATTCCGGAGCATTATTTTCCACACGTCTCTGGCTTCATCTGTGACAACAACTTCGAAGATCTCACGCTGAGTAAACAGCCAGTAAGTATTTTTCTTGTGATCCGCATACAGACCAAGGGGTGCGTTACCAGGTTCTAGAACAAGCTGATCATAGACCAGGCTACCATCAAGCCTGTTGATTGCGACGACGCGACCTTCGATTAGATGGAGGATGTGGAACTGTGTCAGAGAGATGGACGATACAACTTCCACGGAGGGCTTGTTTCGGCCTCCAGAGGTCTGAGAAGGAGGGATGACCGACTTTGGCAACAATTTTGCTGCCGAGAACGGACCCGTTTCTGCGTTTTGAACCAAAGCAGCAAAGTCTCCATGCAATACACCCTGAGAGTTCAGCCAAGCAAAGACATTCTCCTGGGCAGACTCTGCCAGTGATGCCTCTGCTGGTTCCGAAATGTTGACCAAAGTTGAAGGACCGGGAGTCGCATCTTTTAGATGGTGTACCAAAGGTGTCTCCCGCTCGAGAAGCCTAGGATAGATTGAGCCACTGTCTTGACGGCCGCCCTTCCCAACGAAGAGTAACAATCTTGTAGGTGTGGCTACCAGAACGCTGCGCGCATCTGAGGAGATGTCGACGGACAGACCGACGACGGGACCATCCTGAACATTGTATAGGGTCTTCAAGTATTTNNTTTCTTCTCTTCTGTAAAACTCTGTGCTAGGCTCGATGTATGTTTCGTATATGTTGCCGTCAGAAGCACCAATCAGAATCTCTCTGGTCGAGGCGGTCGGTTGTGAAGGGTTCCAAGCAATTGATTCAATCTGAACACCTTTCAGACGGGCCAACGGCTTTGGGGTTCGGGACTGAGTATGTAGATAGTAATTTTCCCNCTGAATGGTCGAAATAACAAGATGGGAGGCCGAAGGGTCGAGGAACAGACGTCGGATGACACCAATCTCGGAGGGTTTTTTGGGAAGGTCGATATCGTCGATATCCTCGGGGCTGTCGAGATCAAATCTCAGGATACGACCGGTAGAAAGGGCGAGAATCAGGACGTTATTGGCGACTTGGGCAGCGACGAAGTCGGAGGATATATCGAAGCGGAGCTGCACTCGTTGGACGTCGAAGACTGGTAGTGAGGGGTCGAAGGCGTCCGGGATGTTGCTGGCGGCAGCAGCATAGCCGCCTGAAGGGTCGTAGGCCATGAGATCGAATTCGGACTATGATTATATCATTGCGTAGTCGAATCATCAATGTAGATGGTATAGAGCCATGTCATCGCGGTCGGCGTTGGTTGATTGATGCTTGGCGGTCACGTCGCGTCTCCCGGGCCCGAGAGCTCGACAGCTTCGACCTGATCCCTTCTACACATCAAACCACATCACAATGTTCGCCGCCCGTTCCGTCCCTCGCGCCCTCAATGGCGCCCGCGCCTTCTCCACCTCGCCCGCCCACTCGCTGGCCCGTATGCAACTCATTGGCCGTCTCGCCGACCAGCCCGAGCTCACTCCCACATCTACCGGCCGCGAAATGGTGCGGTACGCTCTTGGTGTCAAAGGTGGTCCCAAGAACGAGAACGGCGAGAGACAGACCAGCTGGTTCAGAGTCGCCAGTTTCGCCGATGGCCCTGGCAGAGATCTGCTTCTGAGCCTGCCCAAGNNGGGTGAGACACCAACACTCCCGAGTCAACCTGATCCTCTCTGATGCTGATGCTCATTCAGTACCCTCATGTACCTCGAAGCCGATGCTCGTATGGACTCCTTCCAAGCCCAGGATGGCTCTAATCAGACCCGTCTCAATCTCGTTCAGCGTAAGACAAGTCTCGGTCCGTCCAAGACTCGTATAATGAACTGATCCAACACCCAGGCNAACTTCGAGGCTCTCAGCCGTCCCCAGAACCGCTCCGACTCTGATAGAAGTGCCGCCGAAGAGCCCAGCAGTGGCCTTGGTGCATCCTAGATTGTGAATATTTCTCAAGAATGGCTAAACATATGACAATCGTCTGTACAGCATCGATTTTGCACAGATTCCAGGGACGTTAAACCTGCTTGGCTTGAGTAGGCCATACATGTAAAATATCACCATGTTCTCCTCAGACTGAACACCCGACGCTGCCATGTGCCTTGTATCTGTGCATTGCTCTCCTGGCAGCGATCAATGTGAGTAAGATTTTTGTCTCATAAGCTTCCCAGAAAGAAACGCGAGTTGTTGGTTCCGAGTTCGTTTCAATGTAGCATTCCGGTACTGGGTTTCGCAAGACATCGTCTATCTCGCGGCCACACGGAGCAACAGCTAGGCAAAAAGAATGCACAATGGATCAACTTTAAAAGACACGATCAAAGACAGCTGATCGATCCTCATTGGATACAGCTCTATTCCAAGACTATTGTGGGTTTTGACAGCTATACCCGTGAAGACTCTAGCACTCTGGGAGGACTGCAAGACAGAATAGAATTCCAAGGTCAGAGCAGATTTGGGCTTCACTATTTCGGGTGTGAAAGACAGAAGTGGTTTGAATCCGATGCGATGACTGATGGCTCGAAATCGGGTCTTCGCGGAAGACGCGCTGTGGCATGCCTTCGAGTCACTTTCAAGGAAGGCGCGTGCCATCACCCACTCTCAGGCAACCACGGTCGGCACCAGCATTCTTACCATCATCGTCTACTTGCGCGCTGTACCTGTGTGTGACAAGCTCAGCTCACTGGAGCTTCCACATCTTCTACACAAAGCGACCACATAATCATCATCTTCATCAATCCATTAACTTCGTCAACCGTTGATCCTCATATCGATCCGCCAAACAACATCACCGCCAACCATGTGCAACACAGTCACGATACACTACTTCGAAAAGCAGAATCGACGACAGAGACAGCGATACCGAAACACCAAACAGAGGCAGAACACTCGACCGAACATCCGGCAAGACAAGCCCATCCCCATCTCCATCATCATCAAGCAGCCAGAACCAATCTCATTCGCCAGCACCAAAGCTCGTTACCAAGGCAGCCTGCAAGAGTCTGTCAGACATTGTGCTCCGCACCCAACAACGATGCGGTCCTTGCCAGCGCACTTTCAAACGAGGTTTCCTCCAGATCAGAAGAGCACGACAGGAACTGCCATCGCGCAAGAAGCGGAAGCATCTCAAGAGGGGCAGACCAATCTCTGGAGATACCCCGCTCAAAAACGAACTCACGGTAGAGGATCTGTTGAGAGCAGAAGACGAGACTGCGACTGATCTGGAATCTGCGGAAAGGGTGAGCCATATCGTTGTTCCACTGAGATGCAGGAGAGTTTATGAGCTGATGTACTTAGTGATACAGATGAACGCGACTACGCAGACTGTTAACGGCATTACGAAATTACTCCACCTTGAGCCCGCACGCTTCTGGAGATGCTGGAGACGCTTCAATGGTATCGGCCGTCGCTACGTAGACTCTATCAAAAGTTGAGCGAGCAGGATCACAACAGCCGGGTGGTCACTTTGAAGGATCAGCTGCCCATCACGCCCTTACTGAGCTCGAATCTGATCCGACAGAGATTCTCGCATTGCTGCATCCGCATGCATGACATGTTCCAGCACATCAAAAGCAATCGCTCGACTAGGATGTCTCGTTGGTGGCCATCTACTCTCGTCGGGCCGGGACGAGAATACAAAGCATCGTAATCCTACCATTAGTACTCAATCAGTGTAGAGGATGAATTTGAGGCTTTCAAAGAGATCAACATTACACCCATAAACGAACCATCAGAGGGGCTATTTCTCATCATTGGGCCACAAGAAAATAACATAACAACATCAGAAGAGAGTTTTTAAAGGTAAAAATCAAGACAGTCATGAAAAGATGGTATACCAGAAAGTACACAAGAAGCAATCTTCAGTCAAAGTTTTGTCAATCAGTAATGCAGCCTCGATCGTTATAATTGCCGCCTCGAACTGAGAGGTGGCAGGCAGACAAAGTTCAGGGCACGATGCAGCGAAATCCGCATGGTGCGGCCACTTGAGCAGGCATACAGATATCTCTCTCATCTCATCGGCATACTTTGATTGGTGCATTCGGTCCCCTGGGTTGCCGTCGCGCTGCGTTTAAGTTAAGGTGCGACCCGATAAACCATTGCTTTCGCGGCCTCAAACGATTACTGTTTCCGTACCACGCCCGTTAGCGTTGGGATGACCGTGACCCATCGCCATCGCCGTATCCCACATCGCCATCGCCATCGCGGTAGGACGATAACCGTGACGGTCGGCGCAGCCTCTCTACAGAAGCTCTCGGTGGCTGTCGGTTCTCTGACTTCATACGCAGAGTATCGATTGTCAACGATGGCAGGTCGCTCTACCGGAGGATCGGAGGTCGTGATAAATTTGTTAGGGTTGTCTTGATCATGTTATTCTGGCTTCGAGGTGGTTGTATACATTGACTAGGATTTAATCATAACAAGAACAAGCATGCAGATACTAATAGTTGCAGACTGGATGCAATACCATCATTGGAAGTCGAATGGTTGATTGATTGGGCTTCGTTTTAAGAAGCTCAAGGGTGCTGCTGATGCAAAGATTAGCGAGCTGCCAGGCAACAGGATAAGAACAACATGACTCAACGGATTCCACGGCGGTCTTTGGTTGCTCTGGGGGAAACATGTTGGCGATGGCGGGAGCTGAAGTTGAAGCGATATGATAGTTCTGCTAATTGGTGACGATTGATTGAACAGCAATGATACAACAGTTGGCGTGGTGATAGCAATTCTGGTGTCGAGGATAAGAAGAAGAAAATATATTCAGGCTGCTGTTTAGTAATAATCCATTGACGAAGAGCAACACGCTCTCACGACAATCACGAATACTGAGATATTCAAGAGTACGCGGTATGTGGGAATCTGTCCAGTATGAACGAGGAGGATCATCATCATCTAAGATAGCACTACCACATCTACGATAACGATCCGTAGTTTCTCAAGGGAGCGGATGTCAAATGGTGTGGCCGTGGCTATAGATGATCATCCTTGTGGAAATATCACGAGAGGTGTTTATGAAGATCTCCTCTATAGGTGCGGAGGCGGTGTGAACGTGGTATCAAGTTTGGAAGGATGCAAGGGTCGTCATGAGCTATGCAGAGGTTGGTCGCTGACCAGCCACTCCGTCACAATTTGGCATCTAAGGAGTCAATATTAGACGAATGGATCGTGATGGCACACGACCAGAACTGGTCGCTGTAGCGCAGTCGCTCGAGGCTCGTCAGGGGCGAGTGTGTGATTTTCTATGTATGAACGGCTTCACGAAAGATAGATACAAGAGGAACTTTGATGCAGGCAGTATCTTGTAGCAAGTAGTCGCAGGAACAACGTTGCTTGATGAACCGTAGCGAGGGGTTGAGATGAGTGCGTCGGTCGCGGTCGGCTGAGATTATTGTGCTCTTGCGAGAAGATCAAACCCTTGGTCGGAACCATGGGCCGGACGCATCATCAGACCGTATCTCCAGGAATCAGGCACAACGGCAGCACGTATGATTATGAGAGTCTGGACTGTTTATTGTTGACGTTGCAGAAGCGAATGCTGCCAATCCATGTCGTTCGTTGGCACGTTCACCCCTCGCCATACTTTGATGCTTTGAAACAATGGAATCTCCTATTGGAGCTCACTGCGGCTGCCGCAAGCCGTCAGTCGCAACAAACCAAAGATCAAGAACAAAGTGTAGCCGATGTCTTGTTCTGCCATCAGTCGGGCGAAGAGTATCGATCACACGAAATGATCGATGAATGAGCCAAACAGTAGCATTATATACATGAATGGATGGCGCAGATGTAGAAACACCCCTGATGACAGTGTGTTGAGAGCGAAGGCTGACCTGCGCAAAATGTCAGATCTGTGAGGTTAACCCTTATATACTTTTTTTCTTAGGTGGTAGGTAATAATAAAACGAGGACGGCAGTCTGTTTAGTCTGGTGGTCTGGCCAGCCACCCACTTTGCTTACAAGCCTAGTTTTCCCGATCCAGTAGGGGGTCTTTCCCTGGATTCCAGTTTCCAACTGACCGGTCTTGGTTTTTGCTCCCTAGAGTTCACTTTCCTTTTGTGCATCAGCATTTGCCCACCTTGTATGGTTGCGAGTGACTCGGTATACCCTATCGTGAGTAAGAAGGCGGTGGACTTTGTGTGTTATGTAGGCGTGATAAATTTGAGTGGAAGCGAAGGGCTAGGGTTCAATCCTCGATAGCGTCGCTTTCTTTTCGCTCCAGTGGCTCCACATTCTCACTCCGATTTTTGAACTTCGAAACCGATATTTGAGGATCACTCACTAAGTGAGTGAAAGTGTCCCAAGTCGCAGCTGTCAGCATTCCAGGAAGGCCAGAAGGACATCATCGTAGCGCCGGCGGCACTATCAGCACTGACTGCGCGTTTAATCATCCAGCTCTCATTCAAGACAGTGGAGATGCTACGTGATGCGATGGTGGCGATAAATTCCTCGTTTTCCTGTACGCACATGTGTGTAGGAGTAGAGAGATACACTGTACATTGGGAGTACAGTTCGGTATCGACCACCAAGTCACAGCCAATACACCACTGTGATAACCAAATATCTAGAGTAGTGGAAGGCATATATCTGATGCCTGCGTCAGTATTTTGTCAGACACGCCTCCTCGTATATAACCATGACTAGACCCTCGCAGTAAACCACATTTCTACCTTCTGTCTACTGTCAATGTTCATGCAGAGCTGGTACCCGTTGCATTTCATCTAAGACTCTTGACGGCAAGGTCGACTTTCAGCACAAGCGTTGACGCACTGGGCATATGACTCGTGTGTTACTTGTAATAACAGTACAGACTTCTGATCGGATATTGTACCGTTCTCACAAGTCAGCACTAGCTATCGTTGGTCGCCAGAGATATATCAAAAGCGGGTAAGGCTGTCATGCCGTCAGAGAACATGTGAATTCGCACTTCAAAGGCTTTGTAAAGGTTTCGAGACGAGCACCATGGAGATTTTTAAGGAGGCGCAGATAGCAGTATCTGGGTCATGGATAGCTCGGAGTGAGGTATGGTCTCTGGCAGTGCCATGTCGTGATTCGTGGGTGTTGAGTTCGTCGACACAGATATTCTGCATAGGTACTGTAACTTCCATGAAGAGACGTCGTCTCCAGAACTCATCCGAAGATGACGTGCTTGTAGTTCTGAAACGATCAGACATTGTTGCCTTCGCGATGCCTTCCGAATCGAGATGTGGTTTGGGAGCAGTATCAGGACAAAACAGTATGTATGTCAATTGTTCGCGGATATAACACAAAGCGGATCTCTATACCAAAGAAATCTCTCACTTCTCCTGCTGCTGTTCCTTCTTTGTTCTAGCCTCGCTAGCAACACCAGGGATACCCAAACTTTCAAACTCCTCTTCGTACTTTCTCCATACAGCGGCGTCCCGGGCCATGACTTTCTGACGCCGTGACTGATCGCCGTAGATACGCAAGCGTTCGTCCGCTTCTATGACACTGCCGAATATCATACCAGACATTTGGAGGAAGCTGTGGCGGTGTCAGTCTTGTTGCTTCAGTGATTTCTTGGGTCATGAGACTTGATGGAATAGGACGATCTAAGATGGCTTGGCCAAGGAGACTTTGCTCATCATAGAGCGTTTTCGCGACGGCATGTTCATCTGAATAGCAAAGCTTCGAACACAGCACACAAATCACGAAAGCTGCAAAGAAAAGATACATACACCTTGAACTGAACCGTCAGGCCCCGATATACTGGGGAATAAGCATATGCAATGCCAGCTGCGACTGCAGAATAGATGCCCCACTATCGAATACATTAGTTAGACGAGCAATGACATCGCACGCTAGAGCATGCAAAACTTAGGAACATTGAAACTGCTATGAGATTCAGCACTTCGGGAACTGAACATACCCTTGCTGCTCCTGTAACAGCTCCTCTTGTGGCTTGCCACGCTGCTGCGTTTGTCTCCTCGCTGTCCAACTTGCCATGGGCACTGTTTGGTGGCATCCCGGTTCCTGGGTCTATCGATGGAATCGTAGATTTAGAAGACGAGCAAACTCTGTCTTGTCTTGTGCTCTGGAAGATTGTTTTGATGTTCGGGATTAGGTTCGGGGTTTGAAGGTGAAGGTGAAGGAAATGATTACGTCAGGATAGAGTGCCAAGATCATGATATCGTCTTTCTGAAAGTTTGTCACACGCATGGTTATCAAGATACACAACTCTCTCTGGATCAGCAGCCCGCCGAAAGAAAGTCCAAGAGCTCATGGCTTTCGTTGGACATTGATCGGAGTCTATAATGTATTGTGCATCTCTATAGCTCGGATACTGAATTATGAATACGTGGGAAGTTCATGATCGTAAAAAGTGCTACTGCGATTAGGTATAACTACACAAGCAATGGTCATTCTTCTCTTTGCAGCAAGCTCCATCTCAATGCTCCATGCCACATATCAATACTTCGAGACCACTCTTCTACTCGGAGTAGGTGGTGAGCTGATCGGATTAGTAGGCTCTGATCGAGGCACAGTTGAAGGTGCGTCTGATTCAGGCAAGATGAAACCAGTCGAACGTGGACCCGAAGGAGGTAGCACCAATGTCGCACGGCTCTCGGGGACACCAGCCAGCTTGCGAGTCTTTGCGCGCAACACCTCAAGTTCCACCTCCTGCATCTCCTCTGCAGTCAAAGCTTCGTCCTTAGACTCTCCCATAAGAGTCTCCATGGTTTTGATACTACGAATGAACTCGTCCTGACCGCCATGCTGGTTAGTAATGATCTTGTCCATGACGTGTTCGTCTTTGCCAATTTCAGCACTAATGTCTTGTTGTAAAACATCAAATGGTGGCTTCAACCAATCGCCCGGCTTCTTGATGGCGTTGCGCATGGGGTTCTTCTTGTCGACCACGCGAGAAGAGAGACCCGTCTTGAACAGCTGCTTGTCATAGAGTGCGAATTCGAAAGTACCACCAGCGACGAAACGGTAGACGAATACGGGCTTCGTCTGTCCCAGACGATAAGCTCTTCCGATTGCTTGTTCTTCCCAGGTCGGGTTGAAAGCAAAGTCGAAGATGATAACGCGATTGGCCTGTTGGATGTTCAGGCCAAGGCCTCCAGCACGAGTGGATACGAGTAAGACATCGAGTTTTCCATCAGCCATCAACTTCAACACCCTTTCGCGCTTGTCCTGAGCGACATCTCCTTGGATGCGACCATATCTGGCGTCTATGCTTGATAGCATGCGGTCCAAGAAATTCAGGGAGGGAATGCTCTGAGAAAAGATAAGGACCTTGTCGCCAGCTTCGATCGAAAGACGCATAATCTTTTGGACAAGCAGGGTTTTGTAAGACAACTCGATAGAATCGTCTTCAGGAACAACTTTGAGCAATGCTTCAACGACAACCTTATTGATGTCATACTGAGAGATATGCGCATCTGCGTATGCTGCGTCGTCTCCGCCCACTGGTAAATCGTCAGGCGTGTGGGCTGTTCCAGTAATCTGAGCCGCCGTTGACGATGGAGTAGATGCATTCATCAACGATGGACCTGCTATAGATGGACCTTCTGTGGGTGGATCTGCTGCGGATGAGCTTACTAGAGCCTCTGTCTCGGTGACATCGAGCGTGGTTCTCTTGCCCTTCTTGTTGATGGTGGGAGGCTCGAGTAACTTACGTCGAAAGACGATGGGGTGATTGCACAGCAACTGCAAGATAGATAACCAACCAAAGAGCTTTACCTGCGTGATTGTTGTGCCTTCTTCACCGGCCTTGCCATGGAGGATTTCTTTGACATAAGTCTCGTAGCCCAATTTCTGCACATCAGTCAAAGGGACTGTCAGGACGAATTCCACCTTGCTCTTGAGCGAGCCCTTGAGGACCGTGATGTCGGCACGGTTCAACTTCGGGGTGATGATCTCTTTCAATGCTGCAAGCTTTTTCAAGGACCTCCGGACTTCATATCCAGTGCTGTCAATGTAGGTTCCTGCTTCGATTGGTTCTTGATAGTCTGCTTTGAACTCGACTTTGCTGCCGAGGAACTGGGGTGCGACCCAGTCAATCAAAGCGAAGATCTCTGCAGTGTTGTTGCTCATAGGTGAGCCTGTCAGGCCGATGCGACGTAGAGTCTTGATTTTATGAACAGCCAGAGATGTCTTGCTTGAGTCATTCTTGATTGAGTGCACTTCATCGGCAATGACGATATGTGACTTTTGAAGAAGAATTCTGGTAACCAGTTTCTGTTCTTCTTCATTAAAAGCCTCCTTCTTGCTGCTCTGGCCATTGATCAATCTGGTAAACATGTTGTAACCACAGAGCATGATACCGCCAAGATGGCGCCAGCTTTTGAGCTCATCAAGTCTCATTGCTTTGGCTGAGACCTCGCTGTTCAAGCTGAAGACGTTGAACAGCTTGTTAGGGCACCAAGTAGCAATCTCTCGCTTCCAGTTCGCCAGGAGAGATGGTGGACACAGTATGAGCGCTCTGAGCTTGTTCTTAGCCTTTCTCAGATCGTCAGGAAGAACGGAGCGCTTTTCCATGTCCTTCGCAGTCTCAGCTACTGCCGTAAGGAGCGCTAGACTCTGAGCTGTCTTGCCCAAGCCCATCGTGTGAGCCAGCAGACAGCCTTGGCCGTCTTCGTCTTCAGGCGCAGTGATTTCTCTCCACATAAACTTGACGCCCTCAATCTGATGTGGCTTTAGGCGTTTGGCGATGTTGTAGTTGAGATACACATACTTCGAGGGGTCCACGTCATCTGGCGCATAGAGAGGCACCTCATTCACTCCATCCTCGCCGGCCATGAACGATCCAGTTTGGCTGTACTGATGCTGAGATTCGTAGTTGGCGGCTCTCTCGGCTGCCTTGGCGCGTTTTCTGACGGCATCCTGGTCTCTGTTGACTTTCTTCCTACGCACGCTTGAATGACCTGACTTGTCAATTTCAATCGGTTCATCGTCGCTAATATCAATAAACTCGTGGCCCTTAGGCATGGGAGTCTTCCTGAATCGCTTCAGTGCCCTCCAGGCGTACTCGTGCCAGGCGCGCAGATCGTCCGCGTAATCACTTTCACCGTCACCATCCCATGGCCATTCATGTTCGAAGGAAGGAAACTCCGATATGTCCGAATCGAAGAATCTGTGGTCTGCGTGGAGGAAGCACAAGTAAAGTCTGGCTGCATATCGCATGGCTTCGATGTCAGTTTCGTCAAAGCCATTGAAGACCTCTTTCCCTCGTTNTATAACAGAGAGAGCAGCTCTGATCTTTTCGAAGAACTTCGCCATGTTGCCGGTGAATAAACGCGCAAGTGCCTCAATCTGGTCGTTGTGGAGCATGGACGCAATCTTAATCATAATTCGTCTTCGGTCTTGTTCTTCCTCAAGACCTTCGAAAGTCCAGCTTCGGATCTGTGCGAAGGAATCATTGTCTGGGTTTGCCGAATAAGTGATCGCTGTGTACCTTCCCTGCTCTTGCTTCACATCGAGACTCTGTAGGGGATATGGTTGAGTCGTGTCATGTGCCGCAATGGGTCGCACAGGGCTCGACGTTATCTCGATGACTGTTGTGTTCTTATGCGCAGTCGACGATCTTGACTGGATCAACTCCGCAAGCGTAGGCATGCCAGGAGACTCCTGCTCGGGCTCCAGACCAGCAGTGGGTCTATTCTTCTGCGGTGTCTGCATAGCCTCAGAGGTCTTGTCCATATCGGCCAATTGCTGGGGCGGCTCGCTTCCGACAGATCCATGACGTGAGGTCTCGTGCTCAAAGTCAGCGGGTACCTCGATCGCATCGGGCATGTTTTCGTCGGCCATTGTAGTGACGTCTTGATTGTCCTGGCTGGACGTCGTTGTTTCGATTCGCAGGCCGTTCTGGGACGGAGAGTCTTGCATGTCATGATCGGGTTCAGAGTCATGATCGGGTTCAGAATCATGATCGTCTTGGCTTTCTCTAGCGTCTTCGAAGTTCTCGTCGTTGACAATGAAGTCCTGCATGTCTTCGTCTGATAGCTCATGGTCAAGAGCTCTTTTCGAAGGACCATGATGGCCTCTGCCAGATGGCTTGGAACTCCTTGATGTAGCTGCAGGCTCCATCTTGAGTGTCCAAATCCGAGTCTTCCATTCCTCGTGCTCACGGTCGTTGATGGTGGGTTCCAGAGTCACGCAAGCTTGCTCGACCTCTTGCTCGTCTTCCCAAGTGCGGTCCATGAGATTGTTCTTGAAACGCTCAAGTCTCGCATTGAGATGCTCAATTGCCTTGGTCGCGCCCTGGGTCAAGGCGCGAACCGTCTTCGGATTGCNCTTCGCAACACGCCAGACACGGCGTGCTTCCTTCTTGTCGAGCTTGGGTTGCTGGTTGTCACGCCAAGCCTGGGCCTGTAGCTCAATGGTCTTGTCGATCAGAGAAATGACGAGTTCATGACAGAGAATAGGGGCTTCGACAGCGAGGTCTTCCTCTGCCATGTTATCGTCAGATCCGCTGTCAGAATCCTCATGGTCGGCGTTCTGTTCGTCTGCTGAGTCTGCTGAGTCTGAGTCATGTTCTGACTCTCCGTACGTGGGTAAGAGTTCATCAGATCCTCCGTATTTGTCGAGGAGGTAGCCGAACTCGCCAGGACTCATCTGCGTGTCCACTACGTCGTGTTGTTGAAAAGCCAACATTTGAGCTTTCTCACGGATGACTTTGACGCCACTCTCCGAAGACTCAAAAACAGTAACGGATCTGGCGTCCTTGTCTTCGAGCAAGCTTTCGGGGTATGGATAGACTGATAGGGCGGGGTTGCGATGGTATGTGATGAGCTGCGGGTCGAGATGCTGGAAGGCATGCTGCAGTCGACGGTAGACGAACGAAGCATGGCCTGGAAACTCGCTTTTACCGAAAATGGTGAAGTTGTCGTAAGAGTCATCGTCCTCGGCCTCGGTGTGTTTGAGTTCTGAGCCGTAGGTGGTGTCTCCATAAAATATCTCGTCGACGGTGTGTTTCTTGGGACGTAGAAAACCAGAACGTACCGCGAGGGCTGTTGATCGTGCAGTGGGCTCTGATGCGGGCTGGATCGTGGGCTGGGTCGTGACGATCGGACTTTCGGATGCTCCGGGTTGAGCACCGTCGTGAGTGGTGTCGAGGTTCAATCTGCGGCGTTTGCGACCGCCAGAGTCTTCGACCAGCTCCTCTCCTTTGCGGACTCTGCTTCCAACAGGCTCTGTGGGACTCTGTGGACTGGAGAGGTGGGAGGTAGGTAGCAGCGGTGCTGATGACATATCGCTGAAGCGCAAGCTCTCGGCATACGCCGAGGAAGACATGCGCAGTGTATGAACCTTGTTCATGATGCACATGCGCTCTTTCAAGCCAACAATGCCAAACTCGTCTTTCAGAAGGGCGAGATCTACGTATCGGAGGAGCATTTGGCCATCAAGATCGTTGGTGGACCATTGCTGGGCAAGACTACTGAGCTGGTTTTGCTGTAAGAACTCGACAGTATCCGCAGAGGACCACTTGTATGGGTCGGCCTCTGACATGATGAAGGCTTGCGGGTTCTGATAAGACTGGTAGTGTCGTATGATGGAGGGCGAGGTGATGCTATGATGCAGAAATGTTGTGATGTTCTAGCTGTAGGATTGGAGTGATGACGCCAGTGACAGAGAGAAGCCGGCGCTGCCAACTCTTGACAACGGTTGATCCTGTTGGCTCTTCCGATGTCAGTGTCCTGGAAAAGGAGGTGTTGTGATTCTCGACGAAGTGCCAAGGGATGGTGAAAGTGTTGATGTGTGACGCCAGAGACCGAATCGAGAAAACAGGACTCACTGTGGAAAGAAACAGGTCGTTCACTCCGGCGCTGGGCGCTTTAGACGAAATAGATGTGAGTTTGCGTCGCTCTTATGTACATGGAGAGCGTGTGCAAAGCGATCGAAAGAAGTACAGTCCACTGGCGCAGACCACGTTCAGACTGACCGTCGCCTCGGCTGTTGAAGTCGAAGTGATGTGTCTCTTTCTCTGCTTTGCATCTCCTCGAGTCCGATAACAGCTGCTAGTTCTACGCACGCGTTTGATGTCAATGCTGAGATATTCTAGCGTAGATTAACACGACACCAAGACGAACAGCCGCGTCACTACTTCAATGCAGAAGCTCAATGACCTGTCAGAATGGTGACAATCATCAACCTGAGTTTACAGTGATGCGAGCTGTTGCTCCTTGAGCTCTTGACACAGATGAAGAGGTTAGGCAAAAGTTCAGGCACTTGCCGTGACGCGCGATTGCGACAGCGGCCTTCGTCAAACTGCCGCAATTCATCCGGCAGTTGCACCTCGACCACCAACTCTTCTTATCATTCATTGCATACAACCAAGTCTTAGACTCAGAAACACCTTGCCTCACGTCCTTCCTTGCTGTCCTCGCTTCTATCATGTCGCGTGAGATCTACCCCAGATACCCTCCGGATCTCAACGAGGAACAGCTTCAATACTTGATTACTAATGTCAAAGATTGGTCCATTGCAAATGGTCTGGCCGTAAGACCGGTGCCATCTTGGGTTTCGAAAGAACAGGATCCGGTCGGCTCGCTAGCAGTCACCGCTCCTGTTACCCTCTTCCCTAGTTTGTTCCCTAGAAACTGCTTCGAACAAGGTCTTGGCATCCAAACAGCATACAATGAGCTCTATGCTGCTATTGCAAGCAACGAGACTTGGCTTAAGCAGATTGTTGAGGAGTGAGTTTCTCTATATTCTGAGCACGAGCCAGCCTTGGTTTGTGCCAACTCGTCTAACTTCGCGTACAGACTCGTCGAGGTAGATGATTTCATCGCTGAACTGTGGAGGGTTCACCAAGCTGTGAAGAAGGATGGATACGTTCAGGTAGACACTTCTGAAGGATCTTCTAGCCTTGCTGTACTGACGTCTTCCTAGGGTATCACCCTTGGCCTCTTCCGTTCTGATTACATGGTACATCTTGACCCGGCTGACTCTGCTGCCAAACCTACTATCAAGCAAGTAGAATTCAACACCATCGCTTCATCCTTCGGAGGACTCTCTACACAGGTCTCAAAGCTACACAACTATCTTCTGTCTGTAGACGCCTATCCTGAAGAGACCCAATCAACCATCAAGACTTCTTCTCTCCCGCCAAGCACATCAGTCCCATCGCTGGCCGGAGGTCTGGCTGCTGGTCATCAGGCTTATGGTGAATCAAGAAGCGGCTCTCCTCTTTGCATCATATTCCTTGTTCAGGACCCGGAACGCAACGTCTTCGATCAGAGACATTTGGAATACACTCTCTTCAACGAGCACCAAGTTAGAGCTTTCCGTGTGCCCTTCAACAGAATCATGTCTCACACCAGGCTTGACGAGAAGCGGACTTTGCTCTACACTCCTCCTCACGTCCCCAACAAGACGTGGGAGGTCTCACTGGTTTACTTCCGCGCTGGCTACTCTCCTGATGACTATTCCGGAAAAGCTGATTGGGACGCTCGCCTCCATATCGAGCGTAGTGCGGCTGTCAAATGTCCTAGCATTCTGACCCATTTGGCCGGCTCGAAGAAGGTCCAACAAGTTCTCGCGACCCCCAACTCGCCTCATCTTGCCCGCTTCCTTCCGGACAAGAACAAGGCTGCCGAGGTCCTCAAGACGTTTGCACCAATCTATCCTCTCGACAAGAGCGAAGCAGGTCAAGAAGCTTGCAAGCTTGCTCAGAATGCAGAAAGTGCCACCCGCTATGTTCTCAAGCCTCAGCGTGAAGGCGGCGGCAACAATGTTTACCGCAAAGCCATTCCCAAATTCCTGAAAGAGACTCCTGAGTCGCACTGGCCTGCTTACATTCTGATGGAGATGATCGAGCCACCAGCACTGACCAACACCATTTTCCGCAACGGAGAGGTCCAAAAGGGCGGCGTTATCGGAGAATTGGGTGTATATGGTGTTTGCTTGTGGAAGACGAAGAGTGGCGAGGATGGTGTGCAAGAGATGCTCGAGAACAGACAGGCTGGCTATCTGCTCAGAACCAAGGGTGACCAGAGCGAGGAGGGTGGTGTAGCAGCCGGCTTTGGCTCTGTTGACAGTGTCTGTCTAGTAGATGTCTGAGGAGCCAAACGGCCAGTTGTTTGAGACACTCGTACGAAGCACCTATCACAAGCATCATCTCCTTTGAAGAGAATCGGCCTATGTGCATGCTGACTGCTATAGGGAGATAACCGCCTCACAGATGGCCACAATACAAAATACCATTATACACAATAAGTCGTGCCAACGACACTCGCCAAGGCGGACGACAAAGCGATTTCGAAATGAGATGTTTGTACAGCATACTATCCTCATAGTCTGCCAGGTTTCAACTCATGATCGAGCGTAGATTGTTCGCGGATTCGTTCTGTCTTTGTTTGCTGCTAGGCTTCGACTGCCCCAGACATAAACAATATTAACATAGGGAGAACAATAGCAAGAACCACATACACATTCCACAACCTAAACTCATACTCTGAACAAAGAAAAGAAGCCTTTCCTGCCATCATGAAGGACGATTCCGCCAAGACAAGTTACTGTACATGTTTCTTTATACTGAGAGATGCTCATGAGGGCCGAGACACAAACCACAAGGCAAGTTTGTCCTGAAACCGGACATCAAGAGCACATCTCTTTGACCCCGGGAGATTGATATTGTGAACTACATGATGATAAGAAGGCGACATGTGCCGAACAACCGTGACTTCCAAACAGGAACCAGTCATCGAGAAAGAATCGATCTCCTCTCACTCTTTTTGAATCCCACAAGCAACCAAAGAACCCCAAACAAACAAACAAACCCGCAAAGATGCTCAGCCGCAGCCTCAGCATCCTCGTCCTCGGCCTCATCGCCCTCCTCTCCCTCGCCACTCCCGCCGCCGCCGGCCCCGACTTTTGGCAAGTCTGGAACAACCGCAACCAATGCGCCAAAAAGGACGTCCGCGTCGTCGGCGCAATCATGAAGTTCTGCGCCCACAACTTCTGGACTGGAAACGCCTATGCTGCCGACGGCCAGTCTCAATCGGGAGTCAAGGTCGGTGTTGGCGCTAGCTGCAGATATGGCACTTTTGTGCCCAAGGAATGGTGTGAGAGTCAGATGTTGGAGGTGTGTGCTTATGGCAGCGCCAGAGGTCGTGGACAAAGAAAGTATGATAGTGGATGCCAGCACTTCTGGATCACCAATGGATAAGGGAGAGTCCGAATGGCGCTCTTGCCGTTTTGGAAGATGGATGGGGTATATTGGACATGTATAAAGCCGAGTGTCGATTTGTTGGGATTGCTAGTCAATGGAAACATGCTTCTCTCAAACACTTGCGGTCTTCTCGTGTGTCGTAATTACACAAGCTCACTTAGTCCAAGGGCAAGGTTGAAGTAGAGAACGGAGCAACTTGGCTCATGTAAGGTAATATTGTACAAACTCCCCACCATGATCTCCCTTCCATGCAAATGCTTCCCAGTTGTACGCCTGTGCCGCCCAAATGCAATAACTCTCTCTTATAGATCTTCATACCATTAAGCAACAACCTCTTTCTCCTGCGAAGCAAGCACTTGATCGACAGCAGCTGCTCTCTTTCCGGCACCTCTGACATATGCCAACAAACGAAGTGTACCCGAGGGCGTGACACCTTCTATTCTTCGGGCCTGTCCCAGACTCTCGGGTCTAGTAACGCTCAGCACCCTCTTCTCTTCGTTGCTAAGCCCAAAGATGTTCTCGTAGTTGATGTCTGCAGGAAGCAGTAGTTGTTCGTCTCTTTCAAAGTGCTTGGCTTGTGTTTCTTGCTGGGTCACATAGGGAGAGTATGTGCCTTCGATGTCCATACGAGAAACAATGTGAGGGTCGAATTTCGCAATGTCCGGTAATAGAGTGGTGAGGCTGGAAACTGATATGGATGCAAGACGCAAAAGGTCGAATGCGCTGCGTTTGCTGCTGTCGCTGCGGACGGGGAAGCCATGTGATTGCCAGACACTGCTCGACAAGGTGTGTCCTTCCAACAAAGCCTTCAGCTCATCCATCTGTGCTTTCTGCGAGGAGAAGTGGGACCAACGTGAATCCGAGACTACACCAAGCTCTCGTCCTTTGGCGGTAAGACGGAGGTCGGCATTGTCGGCGCGGGCAGACATGCGGTACTCTGATCTCGAGGTAAACATGCGGTATGGCTCCGAGACACCTTTCGTGATCAAGTCGTCTATCATGATACCAATGTACCCATCTGCTCTTGTCAACTGCAACTGTGGCTTCTCCAGTGCAGAATTGCCTGCATTGATACCAGCAACAACGCCCTGAGCAGCGGCTTCTTCGTAGCCTGTTGTGCCGTTGATCTGGCCTGCCAGGAACAACCCTCCAATGGCTTTTGTCTCCAGAGTCTTGCGCAGACTGCGAGGATCCACATAATCGTACTCCACTCCATAGCCTGGTTGTAGCATCTTGACGTTTTCCAGACCCTTGATAGTTTTGAGCATGGCTTCTTGTGCCTCGGCGGGAACAGTCATGGAGATACCGTTCGGGTAGATGACATGATTGTCAAAGCCTTCGGGCTCTAGCCAGATGATGTGGGCGTCTTTTGTATGGAAGCGAATGACTTTGCTTTCGAGAGAGGGGCAGTAGCGGGGACCTTTGACCTCCTCGCGGATATGGATGCTGTTTTGGAGGTTTGCGCGGATGATATCGTGGGTGGCAGGGTTCGTGTGGGTGGACCAGCAGTTTAGTTGATCTTGAACTGTGACGCGGGAGTTGAGGTAGCTGAAGGGCATGGGAGGATCGTCGCCGGGCTGGACATCGAGGCCAGTATAATCGATGGTTCTGCCGTCGAGGCGCGGTGGGGTTCCTGTCTTTAATCTGCCCAGGGTGAAGCCTGCGTCTCGTAAAGACTTGCTCAAGCCTGTCGTTGCTGCTTCTCCCATACGACCCGAGGGGTACGCTTCAAGACCGATGTGAATCTCACCGCCCAAGAAAGTGCCGGTGGTAATGACCACGTTCTTTGTAGGAATCACGTCGCCGCTCTCCAGCCTGACGCCGGTAATCTTTCCATGCTTGCCGTCCGTCATTCCTTCTCTTTGCACGACGATGTCGGCCACTTTGCCCTCAACGACGCTCAAGCCCTTGTAGTTGGTCATGTCCTCCTTCATGTGCTTCTTGTACAGCGCTCTGTCGATTTGGGCACGAGGGCCCCAGACTGCCGGGCCCTTCTTTCTGTTCAAGACGCGGAACTGAACTCCAGCTTTGTCGACGATGCGGCCAACGACACCATCCAGGGCATCAATTTCCCGCAGCATGGTGCCTTTGCCGATTCCACCGAACGAGGGATTGCATGAGCAGACTCCGAGGTTCTCGACCGAGGGAGTGACCAGAGCCGTTCTTGCGCCAGTTCGTGCGGCAGCTGCTGAAGCCTCACAGCCAGCATGGCCGCCTCCGATAACGACTACATCGTAGGGACTGTTCCACAGTCAGTCGCGTGCTCGTGTCTAGATCCAAGATTGATCCTACGCGGTCGTCGGTTCCGAAACAGTGGCGAAGGAGCGGCGCACGAGAATGGCTGACCGCACTCGAGGCGCATGGCCCCAGAGTATGCGCGCTCTGGCAGATACTGCGAGTGCCATGGCGAAACAGGGTTGACTCGAGACAGACAATGACTTTGATGGAAACAAAAAGTTGATGGACCGACCCCAGTCCCTGCGGCTTGGCGATGGCGGCAATGACGCCGGAGGGCATTTCTAATCTAAGCGGGGTCTGTATTTTCTTTGCTGAATCTTGCCTCTCTTCACCACTCCAACACACGACAACTATAACACTCAATACCAACTGTCGCTATGGTATTGGCCAAGAGCAAGCAGTCGGTCGGTCTGGGCAATGCCCTCATGAACGACCGCTTCAAGAACAAGAACTCCAACCAGCACAAGGCCAACGCCGGCGGAATCCAGAGAAAGGGCCAGAATGGAGAGACATACATCACCAACAACAAGCAGGCCGCTGCCTACGAGAAGATGCGCTCCGTCACCGAGCAGGGCGATTTGGACGAGTTCCTGTCCACTGCAGAGCTGGCAGGCACCGACTTTACCGCCGAGAAGATGAACAACGTCAAGATTATCCACAAGGACCAGAAGAACCCTTACCTCTTGTCCTCGACCGAGGAGCGCAATGTCACCAAGAAGCACAACAAGAACAGAAGCCGTCTTACCGTCCCCCGTCGCCCGAAATGGGATGCCACCACTACGAAGGAGGAGCTGAACACACGCGAGAAGGAGGCCATGATCGAGTGGCGCAGAGACCTTGCCGAGCTGCAGGAGAACCAAGATTTGCTCCTGACACCTTTCGAGCGCAACCTCGAAGTCTGGAGACAGCTGTGGCGTGTCATTGAGCGTTCCGACTTGGTCGTGCAGATTGTCGATGCCAGAAACCCCTTGATGTTCCGCAGTGAAGACATGGAGTCATACGTCAAGGAGGTCGACCCCAAGAAGCGCAACCTGTTGCTCGTCAACAAGTCGGATATGATGACTCTCGAGCAGCGCCAGACTTGGGCCAAGTACTTTATCGACAACAACATCAACTTCCGTTTCTTCTCTGCAGAGCTCGCTCGTGAGCTGAATGACGCCAAGGCTGACGAGGAGGAAATGCAGGCTGAAGAGGAGGATAGCGAGGACGATGAGAGCGAGGAGGACGAGGTTGCCGAGGCGCTGGACGCAGATGAGAATGCTCTGGAGCAGGAGGCCAAGAAGCTCGACATCCAAGATGCACAAGAGGAGGACGCCAAGTGGGTGGACGAGGAGACGGTCGACGACAAACACGCTGCACCTGTATCCGATGTCATTCCCATGTCGCTCGAGGAGGCCACGCGCATTCTGACTACCGAGGATCTGGAAGCTCTCTTCTTGGAGCACGCTCCCAAGATGGCTGCCGCCACTGAGGACAAGCCTGCCCGCAAAGTACAGATTGGTCTGGTCGGTTACCCCAACGTCGGTAAATCGTCCACTATCAACGCTCTGCTCGGCGCAAAGAAGGTCTCCGTCTCTGCCACACCCGGTAAGACGAAGCACTTCCAAACCATCCACTACTCGGACCAAGTCGTGCTTTGCGATTGTCCCGGTCTCGTTTTCCCCAACTTTGCCTTCACAAAAGCAGAACTCACATGTAACGGTGTCCTACCCATCGATCAGATGCGCGAGTTCACTGGTCCTGCAACTCTTGTCGCTACCCGCATTCCCAAACCTTTCCTTGAGGCTGTCTACGGTATTAACATCAACATCCGCTCTCGCGAAGAAGGTGGTACCGGCACACCAACTGGTGAGGAGCTACTGCGCGCATACGCCGCCGCTCGTGGTTTCTTCACCCAAGGTCTTGGTCAGCCCGATGAGAGCAGAGCCGCGAGACTGGTCCTCAAGGATTACGTCAAGGGCAAGTTGCTGTTTGTACACCCTCCTCCCTCAGAGCCGCCGATCGACCACAAGCACTTCAACCGTGAACTCTACGACTACAACCACCTTCCTCAAAAGCGACGAGCACAGCTCGCAGCCATGCACTCGGCTGTAATGCATCCCGAAGCACAAACCGGTGACGAGCCATCGCTCATGGAGAACGACGAACTCGACATGGTTCCCATGAGTGGAGCAAAGACACAACGTATGGACAAGCAATTCTTTGCGCCCGGACAAGGTAGAGGAGAGCAAAATCTGCCATTCCATCACAAGTACACGGAGCAAGGACAAAAGAAGGTGGAAAACACTGGTGGCAGGATGTTGACGGGCCGCAAAGCTAAGATCATGCTGGCTCTGGAGAAGGACATGAACCCCGACGACGTGAAAATGATGATGTCGGGTAAGAAGCACTTCAAGGCCAACAAGAGGGCCCAAAAGAAGGTCAGAAGCGAGTACGACATCTAAGGGAATGCATCTTCTGGTTTTGCGCAATTCTCATTTTTACTCTGGTTCACGGCATGCTGGGGCGCTTTTTATGGATATCCCTAAGTTAGTTATCTCGTTGTTCTTCTCGGGTTTGGACGATCATGGACGAAAAGGATCAAATGCAAGCAAGTCTACAAGCAGAATTTCTCAGTCTTTGTCTCGTCCGCCGTGTTAGATTCCTTTGGTTCAGCTATCGCATTCTGGAGGTCAGCAGATATTCGGTCATACGTCTCCGGACCTATATTACTGCTGGATAATGCTCCACTCCATATCCGTAGGCTCAGACTTGGACGTGGTGTTGTTGAAGGAGGAGGAATGGTACAGCCAGGGTCGTACCCAAAGCAAGCATGTGAAAATCCACGCACGGACCTGGATGCCTCGAACACCTTGAAGGGTATCCCCAATTATCAGTCTTCGTGACAGCAAGCCCAGAATGTCATTCCGCCCGCCGGCGAGTCCAGTGCCTGTTGGCTTCTATTCACGGTCGACCCCAAACCTTCCGACCTTGAGGTCATTGACTACCAATGACAGAGAGAATGAGGGCGGCGCGTCGACTTTGACCTCACCCTCCGAGGCAGCATCCATCGAGGACTTTTCCCTGGACGCTCCTGCCTCGATCGACTCTGGCAGTGAAGGTGAAGATGGCGACTCGATGCCCTCGCCACGGCAGCCCATGTATCAACACAAGCAATCGCAATCGCATACCTACCTAGGTCCGGCAACCTTTGCGCCGCCCTTCTACAACCGTCCTCCCACACCCCTACCACCTAGCCCGTCATTGACGAGTCTGCTACGCCCGACCTTCAGTACACACGCCTCAAGGCCAACCACACCAGATCCAAGCAGCGATGAAGGAACCAGCCAGACTCCTAACAGTGCAGCCGCGACCACCCTCACAACCTCCTTCCGCACCGCAAAACCCATTCCCCGCGCCTCGCCAAAAGTTCCTACCTACGAATACTATGGCTTCACACTGTATCTGACCTCGACTCTCGGGTTTGCAATCTATCTGCTCTGGAGTTATCTGCCTTCTCCGTTTTTGCATCAGCTGGGCATCTACTATTACCCAAACCGGTGGTGGAGTTTGGCTATTCCGGCTTGGTTGGTTATGCTTGTCGTGTGGATCTACGTCGCATTGGCTTCATATAACACTGGATACTTGACGCTCAAGATGCATGCTGTCGAGTGCTTGGTTGACGATGCTGCGAACATTGCCGTTGTGGACGGCAAAGGAAACATTATTCGCAAGGACGACGAGGGCAGGTGGAAGTCTCATCGGCGGGACAACAGTGCTGGGAGAAACATGCCGCCCAAAGACTTGCAATGGGATACGCTGTGGAATGAGGGCACGGATGCTGTCATGGATGTGCCCATTGGTGGCGTGTGTGAGGTACTCTATGGCATACCTGACGATGATGACGATGATACTATGTTATGACATATAAGCATATAATGCAAAGCTCTCTCTGGACAACGACCCTGGCTCAAACAACACTGTGTCCTTTTATAGTCAAACAAATAGGGATATGTCCGGAGAGAGAGCACATGAGACAACAGCTGGACGTGGACCCATCATCTATACTTGAGTTCAACGTCCATCAACACTTTCAGGAGTCCTGATTTGTCTTTCCAAACATCTCCATATTTCATGGCCGCGTCAATGATGATTGTTGCTTTGCAGAGAGCCACATCTGAAACGTTTGAAGAAGAGGAGCCAGGTTCGTCAAACAGCACTCCGTCTGACGAACGAGGGGTGGGCCCAAGGCCCCTTTCGCATCCCTTAGCCATCTCCGTGACCTGCGTCAAGAACGCCAGATCCCCGCCCTCGGGGTCCAACACAAGAAGCCAACTCACCATGTCCTTCACATCACTCCTCAGGGGCAGAGTTTTACTCTCTGTCTGCTGACAGAGGACAGTGGCCATGCATCTTGCTCGTGCAGCCCTCACCCNCCTTGAATCTCCTGCTCTGGCTGCCGTACCAAGCGTAAGCAATTCCCAGGCACATGTGAAGTACATGTCGGGGTACAGACGCAATAGAACGGCCAACCACTTCACCAACACGGTGCGGTGACCGGCTGCAGTAGGTTTTATTGATAGATCGTAGCTTGGAGGCGGCTTAGCAGGAGCGAGAGGGCTAGTAAACTCGAAATTCGGCGACAGGGGCTTGGGTGTGGCGACCACTATAGNGGGTGAGATCGAGCGGCCCCTTGGATACACTCCGGATAAGGGCGACTCGTGTCCAGATTCCTGTGCAGAGTCACAAACTTCTTCGTAGAGAATTAGCGCCATGTCGAAGGAAGCCGTCGAGATGACCCCTGGCGTGGTCTCTGGCGCGGACCCTGCCGCAGCCCTTGGCACTGAGTTCCTTCTATAGGGAGGTGGTAGGGATTCACCTCCTGAGATTTCGTCGTGCTTTCGTTTTGACCCCTGTCCACTCCTGTCTTGAGCCTCCTCCTCTAGTGGACACCAACCCTGCGATTCCCATGCGTCAATGACAGCATGTCTCCCTTCGGAGTAGAAGTTGGTGTGGTCGACATTGAAGCCAGTCACAGTAGACTTTACGAGAATGTCCTTTACCTGGAGAAGGCCATGAAGGGCTGGGGAACTGTAAGAGATAAAGAGATCGAAACAAGACGCTTCAGAGAGGGTCTTGAGCTTGCGTAATAAGCTCATGGCCTCTGGCGACACTCGACCAGCGTATGGAAAGCTGGGCATCAGGACTGAGGACTTGGCGGCGAGGGACAACGACGTGCGCACAAGTCGTGACGTGCTGACTGTAGCCTTTGGGTCATCGACAACGTGCAGAGGCACAACGCCGTCTGATATAGCCCAAGAGGCAGGACCGACGGGTTCGAAACCCAGTGATTTGACTGGGACAGTCAAATAGAATAAGCGTGGTTGCCTCCGGCTTACCATCCGGACCTCTTGAGTAAGGACCACGAGCAGCTTGTTCGCTTCATCGTTGTGAGCGATCCAAAGTTTGAGGCCACTCAGATGCTCCCGATCGAACTCGGTATATGTTGGATTGCCTGTTTTTGAAAACAGTGCAACAACGGGCTGCTCGTAAACGACCCAATCGATACTGTTGCTTGGCGAGAGCTGAGCTTCTAGAAGCCTGATAGCTTCTGATTGTTTCGACATTCAAAATGAACAACGATATAGAGACTAGTGGTGCTACATATTAAGGAATAGTCAGTTATAGTGTTGCATGATGTCGTTTTCACATTATGAATTGAGAGCATCGTGCATTTAAGGATAAAAATTGAGAATATGCCCCTGTGCCATGAAGACACAGGTTACCCTCCCACCCGGGATTTGTTTAATGAGGCATCCCTGACCTAGTACCGAGAAGCTGACACAGTCGGACAACTCTGATGCGAAGAGGCCGAGACGAACAGAACAGTGACTGGCCCAGTCGGACAAGCCTCAAGCAACACTGTGTCGAGATCAAGACCGAAGTCAAGACGTTCGGGCAGTGCTGCAGGAGGTGTTGCGTCAAGAGGGGGCAGTATGATACTGACGCGATCGGTTAGTCTTCCAGAGGTTGCGTCAACCGGAAAACAGCGACTAATCAACTCGGACAAGCTTCGGTAGTGCTGGCTCGAGATCAAGACCAAATCAGACAAGCCTTTGCAGGAATGCGTTGATTCACATATGTCAAGACATTCGAGCACTGCTAGGAAGTATTGCGTCGAGGAAGAAAAGCTTAAGACTCACGAGTATTCTGCAGCCGGGCAGGAGCCTACGGCGACTGGTAAAATAAGTGAGCCTGGTACGTTGAAAGAAGGAAGGACGTCGACGCGCGCGCTCATCTGTAGAAACAGGCAGGCGCGTCGTGCTGTTTGTCCAGAGAGCAAACATCGGGTTTCCCAACGCGTCAAAGTCCGTCATGCGGACCTGTCAAAATACACAATAATATTGAGCAGCAGAGCAGTGTTCATTGAGAACTGTTGTTCTTCAGGACTCTCTATGGACATGTCTCTGATCCGAAAACCATTGTGCATTTCTATAGATTCAAATGATCATCTGTGTCAGCATGGGAGGAGGAGGGACAGTTTGGCGAGTCAAGAAGCTGAGGAGGCGGCGCGGCTGCCCCATGTTGATCTGATATGTGGCATCAAGCTCCCCCTTGACTCGAGGGGTAACGCGTACACGGCTTCCACTTCTATGAGATCTTAATTCTTTGACTGTCTGATGGCCCAAGGGCACCTGATCTTATTCACCAGAAGCTGAGAGGTAGCGCGCAAATGGATGCAGCTTGGGCTCAGGTCCACAACCTGATCGAACAGGTGCAGCAAGTGCCGACGCAGCTGTTGTTGGCCGTTGGTTGCTTGTCCGTCCTTTCCTTTGCCATCCTGGTATTGAACCACCCCAAAGCAAGCAGACTCGCGACAACCCTTCTAACTTTAAGCTCANNGCTATATCTTGGTCTGTTTATTGTTGCTCCTGTACCTCGACCGCCGCATGAGTCTGAGAAGAAATACACAACCATCCTGCCCGACGGATCTGTCAGCGACCCTGAAACACAACCATGTTGGTACGACCACCACGTATCCCTCAAGACGCAGGCCCGCAATGGAAAGATCGCTACAAGCGATGCCTTTAGGCCCACCCAGCCCGAAGTCCTGGTCACGGTTGTCGTGCCTGCATACAATGAAGAGCAAAGGATGAGCGGCATGCTCGAGGAGGCTGTCGAGTACCTCCAATCGACCTTTCCGCAGGCGCTGTCATCGCAGTCTACGCCAAGCGACAAGCCCAAAGGCTGGGAGATTCTCGTTGTGAATGACGGCTCTACCGACAGGACCATCGACACGGCCCTGTCCTTCGCTCGCGATCATCAGCTTTGTGCGAACCCACCCACGCCGGCTGGCCCATGGTCCTCGAACGAGGGCCCTAAGACGCGATCCAAATCTGCCCCCAAAGTCGAAACAGTACCCACCAACATTCCTCGTGGCAGCATTCGCGTCATATCCCTAGAACAGAACAGGGGAAAAGGCGGCGCTGTCACCCATGGTATGCGTCATGCAAGAGGGGCATACGTCGTGTTCGCTGATGCCGACGGTGCTTCTCGCTTCTCAGATCTGGGCAAGCTGATGGAGAACTGCGATCGCGTTGCTGATGCCAAGGGAAGAGCTGTTGGTGTTGGAAGCCGAGCACATATGGTTGGTAGCGAAGCTGTTGTCAAGGTAATCGAGTCACAGTTCATGAATCTGGGCATCATCACTGACTCTCTCACANNGCGCTCTTTCTTGCGAAACGCTCTCATGCACTCCTTCCACCTGCTACTTCGCCTTCTTACACCTCCAGCCACATCGTCAATCAAGGACACCCAATGTGGCTTCAAGCTATTCACACGACCTGCTCTCCCCTACATCATCCCATACATGCACAGCGAAGGTTGGATCTTCGATGTCGAGATGCTCATGCTTGCAGAGAGCGCTGGAATCCCAATGGCGGAAGTAGCCATTGGTTGGAAGGAGGTCGGCGGCAGCAAGCTGAATGTTGTCTGGGACTCTTTGGGCATGGCCTGGGGACTCGCTGTTTTGAGGGCTGCATGGATGGTTGGCGTCTACCGGAGGGATGTTTGATTTGATCCGTCCTAGCATTTTGGCCATGTATATCCATTTCACCATAGACAAAAGCAGCCTTGATTCAATTGTTCACTTAGCGTCTTTCAGAGCAGGAAGAATCTGAAGAAGTTGCCCCGTCCTGCCATGCCATCAAATTTTCACGTATGCAGAAGTGTGCCGGGAAGGTTATTGTTTGAGGAAGAGAATGCTGTCATGGAAGGGGGCAGAAGCCACAGAGACATTATTTAGTAGCTCTCTGTGTCCAGTGAGACAAAGACTTTTACATCGCGAAACCCACGACGGCGGTTTATGTTTCATACATCAAAAACAGCCACCTTAAAGGTCGGCACAGGTCTTGGGATACTGGACAGCTCTCTTGACCCACTTCTTGAGTCTGTTGCCGTCAATGGAAACGACCATGTTGACCTTCTGGAGGTTCTGAGCACTGGGCTTGAGAGCCTCCTGGTAAGCGTGAATGTTGCCGTAGCTAGGGCTGGAAGGAGCAGTGTCGACGTCGAGGTAGACTTGGTCAGAGTATTAGCAAGGGATTTCTTGTAGATGGAAACAAGAGATCTGCTTACAGCTTGTGGTGTTCTTGACGATGGTGGGGTCCAGCAAAATAGCGGCAGCGGTCTCGTCCCCTACATATTGTTAGCATTTGTGTCGTTAGACATGACAAGGATACATACAAAGAGGGAAAATGGTGCCGTAGTACTTGTGCATCAAAGTAGAATAAGGGTTCTTGACCTTGTAGATATCATCGAGGTACTCCTGGGTGACAGAGACCTGGTTGGCGACGTTGCCAGCGATGGCTAGAAATACAATCAGTTGTTGTGCTTCATTTGATGTTCCAATCTTTCTTATGAAGGACTTACTGATGTTGGGGAAAGGAGCGGTAAGAGCGATCTTGGTACCCTCAGGGTCAATCATCAAGTTGATCTTTGATATCGTCAGTAGATGCTGCTTGCCAACTTGTTACTTGCACTTACATCGGAGCTCCAGTCAGCTTGCATCACACTGCCGGTGACTTGCAAAAGGTTATCATCGATGTAGCCACCCTTACACAATTATCAGTACTACTTCAATGTTCGCAGATATCACGACTTCGTACCATGATGATAAGCTCCTTTGCGTTTTTGGCAAAGTCAGGATCCATGCGAACAGCAAGAGCAACGTTTGTCAGAGCACCAGCCGAGTAGATCGAGACCTGACCAGGGTACTTGCGAACTTGCTCAATCATGAACCATGCTGCGTCTTTGGAGGCGAATGTGATGTTGGGGTAGCCTTCGAAGAAAGCTGCCTTTGACACGCGAGTTGGGTTGCCTGAAGTTGGGTCGTTTCCCAGTGCTTCGTAGGTCAAGTTTTCTGGAGCAAAAGCTCCTTCCCAGGCTCTAGATTAAACGTCAGATTGTCTCTTTGTATTGGCCTAGTGGTTCAAAGCGGTCGAGGGAGGAGGGCAGATGAATCCCAGAACTCTTGCTTTCGAACTCTGGGCATCCATTTCTTGATCACGATTTCGATTCACTTACAGTTTACCATGAACCATCTCCCACTACAAAACATATTGTCAGTGTAGTTCTCGCGTCGACCAATCACCTGGGCAGACTTACAGTCTGGAAGAGTTCAGGAGTATTAAGAATAGGGTAATCTGCTCCCTTGTGGACAGGGATGCAAGATAGGTTTCCGACCTCAAGAGTCGCAAGAGCATGTCTACAGTGAACTTGATTAGTCCATATCTCTCAATGGTTGGTCTGATGGCATTACAATCCACATTGCAGTGCCCACGAGTTTGCAGTATCAGAAACAAGACCGAGAACGTCCCATCCTGCATCAAGGGCCATAAGGTAGGGAATGAATCCGGCAGTGCTCCAATCGTTGTCCATGATGACCTTGGGCCTACTGCTGTTCTTGGCCGATCTTTCCTGGAAACGCTCCAGAGGAGAGGCTCCAGTCAGACTGGCAGCAACCAAAGAGGTAGCAACGAAGAGTTTTGAGAACGAGGGAGACATTGTAAGTACAGAATCACAATCGGCTTGAAAGACACAAGTTCCACTTGTCTTCTGGCAGTATCTTTATAGTCACACCTACATGGCGGAAAAATCGAAGTCTTGGCGCGTGCTTATCTTTGCCAATATTCAGGTTTGACTTTTGGCAGGTCGATAAGTTGCGGGCGAGCGCCCTGTCGCGTGGCCAACGGCTCGGGCGTCCCTCGATGGTCCGTGGTTTGTATGTGACCACTGGCAAAGGGAAGTGATGGTCACTGGTGAACCGTGTTGGCTCGGGTAGCCGACAGAGAACCATTGATCGGGCAGATAAGAGAGGTACCTATGCACACTGATAAGATACACAAGTAGTCTAGCATCTCGGTCGCCTCCGTGGTGTACCATCACCGAGTTCAAGAGCTACGAAGTATCTGGAGAAGATATCGCTTCCTGTTGGCAAGAGATGTACTCCTATATCCTTTGGCAAGGATGCAGAGCACCAGCTTCATGCTCTAGCTCTGAAGTCTGGACACGACTCCTTGGGCTGACGTGTGGACCAAAAAGCTAGCACCATGGTGGTAGCAATGCGGCATATACCTATTGTCAAGGATGACCAAGTTTTGCAGATCCGCGGACATTGTCGGACCGCAAAGGTGAAGTGACAAGAAAGTCTTTGAACCTCGAGAAAACAAAAGATGTCGCAGCCGTGAATCGAACACGGGGCTCGTGCATGGCAAGCACGAATTTTACCACTAAACCACTGCGACTTTCACGTGAGCGAAACCGCTATCTAGAATAGATGATAGTAAGCTATGCATCACACGCGCGCATTGGTCTCGGATCTCGCAAGCACGGTGAACCAAACCTGCATGCTTCGTCAACGGTGCTGTCATAAACCTTCACACATCACATAACATGGTAAGTAATTTCTGCCAGCTCATTGCTTACAGGCTCAAGTCGCTGACATGTATAGGCTCGTAACGCAGAGAAAGCGCAAAGTACACTCTTCAGATGGAGGGCCCAGCAAGCGGCAGACCTGGGCATTCTCGACACAACGCGCACACGGCGACCAAAGGCCATATCACAACAAGAATCCGTACCCACATGTGAACGCTGGCGCGGCCAGGTGCTCAAAGAGATCTCGCGCAAAGTTTCCAAGATCCAGGATCTATCGCTCTCAGACTTTCAAATTCGCGACATCAACGACGAACTCAACAAGCTCTTCAAAGAAAAATGGCAATGGGAAATGCGTATTCGCGAACTGGGAGGACCCAACTACATGAGAGGAGGTGGTCGTGTTGTCGATGAAGAAGGCCGGGAGATACAAGGAGGTGGAAAAGGCTACCGCTACTTCGGAAGAGCAAAAGAATTGCCTGGTGTCAAAGAACTGTTCGAGGCTGCAAAAGCCAAACCGCAGGAAGAGAAGGCCCTGGAGACGCGCTCAGATCTGCGCCAGAAAGTTGACGCTTCTTACTACGGCTACAACCTTGACGAAGAGGATGGTACATTATTGGCGTACGAGGCACAGAAGGAGAAGGAGGCCTTCGAGCATACTTTGGACAACCAAGAGCCGGATGAGGATGCAGACTGGGAACCTTTGCCTGGAGATTCTGGAGATGGTATCGCATGGAATCTCCCGACTGCAGAAGAAGTCGAGACCGAGCTCATCGAAAGAAGGAAACGAAAGCTGCTCGACAAGCTCTGAAGACTTGGCGGCACTTTGTGCACTCTGCATAGTATGCTTCATGGTGGTCTGTATCACCGCTCTTCTTCGCTTTGCCCAGCTAGTCCGCCGCTCAAACCGCGCCAATCGACCTCACACCAACAACGATGATAGTGCTGTTGGCCGAATTACCGGCATCCCATCCATCTTGCAATCTGCACTAGACGCCAATTCTGCTACTCTCTGTCGAGAAGCTCGATTCTTGTAAATAACGAACTCGCGGTCATCATGTCACAAGGATCAAAAAGTCACACCCACAATGTATTGCATTTTCTTCAATGCATCATGCTGTGCCTGTGTGATGTGCCATACCGTGTGTACAGAAGCTTCCCAGACCCATTCTTGGGTGAGCATTTGACGCTACAGCTTTAACCCTTGAGGAACACTCCAGTTTGAAACCGATTCCAAGGCGTCGAGGTGGTGGCCAAGGGACGATACTTCTCCCATGCAAATGGAGTCAAGAGAATATAGAAGAACAGATCTAGGACAATCGTCCGAATGCATATAGCACCCACAAGATATGCTTCTCCACGGCATGCTTCCTTATCTCGGGCTGAGTGCACGTCCCTTGTGACAATCAACTTCGCTCTTGCCTTGCTCGACCATCTGCACGGCGTACTCCGGACGGCGGTCGCAGCCGCTCGACAGGAAGATTGAGGAGCAGTACGATATCTTCAAACAAGGGTCCTTGATGAAGAGGGTCCGCAACAACGTCAAGCAAGCCGAACAAGGGCACGTCGAGCTTGATATCGGGGGTCTCCGAGTTGCGAAGACAGTGAATATGAACTCGACCAGCATCAACGCTCAACCCTCCCCTTCTAGATATATAACCATCTGCTAGAACATGCATCGACTTATCCAATCTGCTTCACATATCCCTTTCTCCGGAACCTCATCGTTGCGACCATCTATCATCTTCGAGCCTTATCAATTCTGTCCTTACGCCACAATGGCCGTCAAGATCAACAACATCTCTGTGCACAAGGTCCAACCACCAAAAGGTTCAAAGATTGATTTTGGAGCCGAGATCAGGGGAGCAGACTTGGAGAACCTCTCAGGTAACACACTTCATTTGCCTTCTGGACCTTTTGAGCTGATGTTGTATCGTTTCAAANNAGAGGAAGATTTCAAGATCATCAGAAATGCTTTGTACGAGAACAGTGTGGTTCTGTTCAAGAATCAACAATCACTCTCGCCCAAGGCTCAGTTCGAATTGACACAAAAATTTGATCCATCTGCTGGCTCTTATGGACACGGAAAGACAATCGACGCCAAAAGAAGCGTGCTCCACCCTGACCTCAAGACAATCCCTCATCAACCCCAAGTACAAGTCATTGGAAACGGTCCCGTTGCCGAGTTCGAGGGATTGAAAGATATCACACTCAAGCACCCTCACCACAAGACATTCCATAAGACACCAATCAGCGAGGCCGACGACCGGGATGCAACAAGATTCTACCGCTGGCACATTGATGCCGCATTGTACGATCTGTCTCCGCCCAAAGTCACCAGCCTCATGGCTGTCAGTGTTCCCAAGACGGAGTATCAGACGTTAAAGTATGATGACGGAAGTAATGACGAGATGAGAGTACCTCGAGGCAGCACCGCTTTTGTGAGTTCGTACCGCATGTACGATCTCCTCTCAGAAGCCGACAGGGAGTTCGCTCGAACCACAAAGGTGCAATACGCTCCTCATCCTTACATCTGGATGTCGCCGGCACGATCAAGAAGCGATGGTCTTGGACTAGTATCCGACGGTCTTGAGCTCTCTCGAGAAGAGCTGCCGCCAATCGACGAGCAGAAGATCAAGATCTTGCCCATGTGCTGGCGTAATCCGGTCACTGGACGTCTCGCTCTGCAAGTCCATCCGTCTGCGGTTGAAAAGCTTCATCTTGCCGATGGTTCTGTCATTAGCGACCTGAAGCAAGTCCGTGATATTGTCCACAGGCTTCAGAGACCTGGAATTGCCCCTGAGCTGGTGTATGCAGTTAACTGGGATGAAGGAGATCTTGCATTGTTCAACAATGAAGGTGTGATTCACTCGGTCACGGGCTCGTTCTTGCCGGAAGAGGTTCGCATCTTTAGACAGTGTAATCTGGCGGCTTCCGAGGACCCTCTTGGTCCAGAATGATACAAGCATAGAGCATAGAAGGGCAAGAAAGACGAATAGGTTTACATGATAGAATAAAAGACACTTCAGGATTTCGATGCTGTTGATCAGCCACGTGCCTAGGTACTTCGTACATGTGTTGATACCGAGATCCTCTAACTAGATCGCATGTTGCGCAGAAAAAGAAAAGAAAAGTAGCGACGCACGCTGCTTATTACATTGGATATACTCTAGCTTGTTAATCATACTGAATGAATCACGATTCTTTAAGATCTCTGTGTCGATTGTCTGCGTCGCACCAACTTCTCGGCATTTCTCTGCATGAACGATTCTCCCAGGCTACCAACAGTCTGTTGCTTGCTATAGCTTGGTCGAGAAAAGGAACCGTACAAAGATCCTTGAGCTGGTATTTCCTCCGGCATTTGATCGTCGAGATCGAGCTGGGGGTCTTCCCGCACAGAGGGCCTCGAGAAGCCTGGTGAAATTGGCTGGGCAGACGAAGAAGATGAAGTTCCGAAACTCGCTCTGGGGATGTTAAGACTGGGAGGATGGTTGGCTGGTGAGACGTCTCTGTCGCCAGAGCTAGCCGGACTTGCTGCGCGCAAGGTAGATTCCGAGTCCAGACCTGAGTCGACATCTGTATCGATGTCTTCTATCTGCGTAGTGTACATTCCTGAAGGACCAGAGTCATCGAATTCTTCGTCCATAGAGAAGGGTGAAGCTAGCTCAAGGTCGCCATCAGAGCTGATCTTAGTTTGTAGTGGTTCTTGGGGAATATTGGAACCACGAGCAGCTGAGGCAAAACCGAGACTCAATCCTCCAGGTTGGCTACTGGTTTGAGGACTTTGATGAGCACCGGACTCGTTTGCATTGATTGACGGCGATCTCGGAGGTGTGGGTTCACGTGTCTCAGCCTGCGTGGGTTGGGCGGGAGTTTGTACTTCGATGTGTTGAGCGCCAATTTCGTCGTCAGGGCGATGGTCTGAGTCTCTGTTTGCACTCGAGAAGATGTTATCGCTCGGGGCGACCACCGCGTCGCCCACGATGAGTGACACACGTTTCTTGTTTGAGAGTCTTGGGCCAGCCGAAGGCGACTTTAATGCGGATACCAGGCTTCTTCCTTGATCTGAGCCAGATGAAGGCGTTCTTGGGCCTAAGCTCCGCCTGGACGACGGGGACTTGTTGTCGCCGGCAGGATCGGTGTTAGCGCGCTGAAGAGCCTGGCGGTCAGGTACAATGGCCGTCGAGTCAGCAGTATCGCCGAGGACAGGCGCAGAAGGAGAGCGACCAGGACCAGAAGGCCTACTCTCGAGTAGCGGAAGGTATGCAGGGGTGAAGAGGCCTAGGAGCTCGCTCTCCCGTTCATGGCCCTTCTCGCTCGTGCCTCGTGCGTCTTGATTGGTGTCAGCGGCATTTATGAGCTGGTCAGCAGGCGCGGTGTTGGGCGAGGCATTGCCAGGTGTCTGTACCGAAGGTGCAGGCAGGGATCGATAGCGGGTGCGCAACTCGCGTTCGTATAGCTTGAACTCCCTCTCTTTCTGGGCGATGAACTTGTGAATTTGGTCGTCGAGCTGGCGGCGTTTCTGGTCGAGTTCCTTCACGAAGCCGTCGACATCNNGCCCTGGGCCTCGGCGACGACTTCCAGACTCCTGCGTCGCGAAGCCTGGCGTCCCTCGGCGGGGCGCGGGCTCGGGCTCGGAGACTGGTTCGGAGGCTGGTCGGGGGTTGAGTCGGGTGGTTGNCGACGGCGTGTCTCGGTCTTGGTGGTGCTGTGGACTGGCTCGGACAGCTTCAGCTCTGGGTGCAGCGTCTTCTCCAGGCATGGGCATCAATGCGGGGGCAGCCGCCAGGCAGTCGAGGATGTTGCTCATATGCACCTCTCAATCACGTATGTACACTGCTGCTCTGATCGGGAATCGTCAGTCCAATCGAGGCCGGCGGGATTAGGCGAGAGGCGTGGAGTACCATGTGCTCCGGTGCTCACGAGCTCTCCGTACCCGTCAAGACTCAAGAGGAGGTGGGGGATGTCGAGCCTGTCAATGCCGGTGCAAACAAGGCGCAGGCTTCGCTTCAATTCGCAGTGGCCGAGGCGGGACAAAGAATTCAGGTGTCGCGGATTGCCATCGAGACGTGCAGGAATGCCATCTTCTCAGCTCGTCCAGCTGCAGCCCTGCACAAGTAGAGTTGCTGATAAGAGCCGCATCCGAGCTAACCTGGTGCTTGGCCGTACATTGTCCTGATTGGGATTTGCGCTGCGTCATGCTGCTTGTGCTCACGATTCGCGAATCACCGGCACCTATCGCGACGTGATTCTTTTGTCTGCACCTCGCCGCGTGTACTGAGACCCTCTGCGAGTAGCTCGCGCTTAGAATCAAGTGCTGTGAACGTGCTAGTCTGTGAACTCTGTCGGATTCCCTTCGGCGGGCCATCTTCCGTTCTTCGGCTTGCCTATTCGACAGAAGCGACTTCTTCTCCGAGGTTGGTGAACGACTGCGAGGACCTTTTCTGCCCACGTCGTGCCGCTGGCCACCACAACGTCTATCAGCCATCTGTTCTATTCCACTGTCCGCACCCCACGGCATCGTCACCGATCCTAGTTGATCTCCAGGGGGACTGTCGCACACATGGAGGCAGAGAGCGATGACAGGACTGACATGTCCTTGCGGCGAGAGCGTGCCGTCATCGCAGCACAAGCTTGTCAAACTTGTCGGAGTCGGTAAGGCCAAGCAAATCACTCACCATGTCTGTTCATCTTTTACTGACTGTTTCTTTCTCTGGTAATTAGAAAATCCAAATGTGATGAACAAAGGCCCAAGTGCGGCCTCTGTCGGCGGCTCAGTGTTGAGTGTGTCTACCGGGAACCTCAGCCTACNAAAGTAAGTCTGGCATCCAACGACATGCACGACTACTATTTGCTAAAAAGTACCGTGTGTAGAAAGGACAAGACCATGATCTACATTCTTCAGACTTTGCAACGGCTCGAGAACAAGTTCGATACCCTATACGTATCGAAACCCTCGACTCCGGCGAGCAATACCGACTGGAGCACTTCACAATCTGGACCGCGTCCCCCAGGTGTCAATGGTACCATGGGCGCTTCCGGCTCTAACGAATCTCACGTATCCTCTGATAGCGAAATACGCCCAGGAGGTCGTATGGGATCTCAATCATCGTTTCCTCCGGACATGCTGCGCACTTATCAACACTTGACCGTGGCTCACAAAGTCTTGCTTTGGCCATCAATATACCTCCATATCCTGAATTCTGGAATCGCCGTGGCCTCGGATCTACAATACGTGCTCCAAGAAGGGACACCTTGGTTCATCCATCTCGAACTACACAAGCACCCAAAGACGCTTCCCTGGGATACCGATATGCGAACATATCCAATGCCTAGCAGTACTGGAGAGATGAGAGCTGGCTTTATAGGTTTGACGCCAGAGAACGTGCGGAGAATGAGTGATGCATACTTTAGTACCTTCAACATTCTGTTCCCGATTCTCGACAGGCAGATGTTTCTCGAAGACATCCTCGAGCCGGTCTTGCGAAACGGATTTGCGGACTGCGATCCTCAAGGCTGCCTTGTACTACTTGTCTTAGCTCTTGGTCAAACCGCCATCGATGGTGTTTATGGCTCTCCAATCAGCATCATTGAGGGCAATCCCAGTGGTCTACGTGGAGGCACATCGGAGAGACCACCTGGTCTAAATCTTTTCAACGAGGCTCGAAGGCGTATGGGATTCATTATGCATCAATGCACGCTCGAGAATGTGCAAATACATCTGCTCGAATCGTGAGTGGTACGCATTTTGATATGATCATTGCTAACACATATCGCNAGCGCGTACTATGAAGCTTGCGCTCGACACATGGTAAGCAGAGCCTTGAGCGAACAGACATGGACAGTTAATTGAGCCAACTGCGCANNGGACTTCTGGCGGGCTACAGTCGCAGCATCCACTTCTTGTCAAATTCTTATCAAATGGTATGATCTGCTTCAGTATTCCGATTGCCTAGCAGCTAACCAGCTGCCNAGTGAATCTGTTGACTGGTCCACACCACGAGCCGACCTCATAAAGCGTGCATATTGGGCGTGTATGCTCAGCGAAGAGTAAGCATCCCTTACGTGTGGTTGACAGACAGCTGATACTGACGCCTGGTAGNNTATGTATCATCTCGAACTAGATCTCTCACAGACAGGAATTCATACTCTGGAGGATCAAGTCCCACTTCCTTACTTCCACGGCTCAGAAAGCAACTATGGCAGTCCTTCGGATGAAAAGTCACATTTCCAATATCACTTTCTTGCAATGATAGCTTTGCGTAGATTGGTCGCGCGAATCCACGAGTCAATACATTGCTGTAAGTATCTCTTCGAGAAGGAGCGGGCAGCAGCTGACTACGTGCANGCGTCCAATGCGGCGGCCGAGCTATCTGAGGACTACGGTGGTCCACCGGTGCACGTTATCAAGGAACTGGCCCGACAGTTGGAGTCGTGGCGCTCGCTTCTTCCCCGACCTCTCCAATGGTCGGACAATGACAAGACAGAATTTCCAAACATGGGATCGACAGGAGGACACGGTACAGACTCACTCTTCTCGATGGACCAAGGATCTGTCCCGATCAACCACCGAGACAACCTGGACATCATGACAGCACAACTAAGGACGCAGTTCTACTACGCTCGGTTTATGATTTACCGGCCATTTGTTTACAAAGCGTTGCACTTCCCTGAACTGATGACGGAAGAGGATCAAATATGCTGTGCTCTCGCGATACAGTCTACGTGTCTATGGCCGTTAATCCTTGCGCCGCCCAAGAACAAGAAACGACTGGTGCCACACCTGTTTACGTGGACGCAAAATTTTGTGGGCATATTGCTCATACTGCGCATGACGACGGAGAACGAATGCTTGAAGAAGATATGTAACGAGAGAGTGAACCGAAAGGACCTGGAGCAGACGACGACATTGATACTGGAATGGATCCAGGACATCAAACAAGTAGACGGGATTGCAGAGTGGAGCTGGAAGATGCTGGGGCCGCTGTACTCGAGGCATGGATAGGTGGAGCAGTCAAGAGGACGACGATTACCTAGCAACAAACAACAGAAACAACGAATCAAACATTAGTTCTTCTCGTGGCTGGCGCTATGCTCGTGTGCTTGGGGCATTGATTCAGACGCAGGGCAGGTGCCAAGCAAAAGAGAGCGAGGCGGCGTTCGAGTTCGAGGCCGAGCCGGGGCAAGTCTTCGCGATAAATTATTATCAGCCGACTTGCAACGCGATCTAAGGCGTGACAGGCAACTTCGCAGATTCAAGAGACAGACAAGCATGAGGATGAACTGAGGTAGCCATGGACTTGCCATGTTTCAAAGCCGCAGACGAGTGCCATCAGAAGGAGCGCTCCGGGTGCTGCGCCAGCTCGCATACATCTCATCGGGTACGGCATGCGGTGCCGCCGCCATCGTAGCAGAGGAGCGCCGCCGCCAGACAAACCTGGTGTCCAAGATTGCCGAGAACTCGCGCCGACTGAAACAACATCCACGCCATCAACATACCCACGCCGCTCAGCGCAGGAGAGCCGACCACGCTGCCCGTCCGATCGCCACCTCGACCTCTGCTGGGGACCCATTGCCAGACGACAAGCTGCTCTCACTGCCAGACGACAAGCCGCTCCCACAGGCAGAGACCTTTCGTAACGATCTCTTACCGTCCGAGGTCGAGCGAGGTTACGCCAAACTCAACTCACACCAGCCACCTCACGAGGGAAAGAGCCAGCCTACCCACAACCCTCAGCCTATACAACAACCCACCAAGCCAAAGGATCGCCGCCGTGACTTTGACGTGTCCTTCTTCACGACTGATCTAAAAGCCCATGGCCCGACCAGCGCAGTGGCCAGCTTCAACGACCGCTGCAACGAGCTTATTGACCAAGGCCAAAACACAAAGGCATTCGGCCTTCTCAGAGCAGCCAACCATCATTTGCGTGTCGAAGGTATACCCTCGGCTGCACTACATCCTTTCGCTACTCGTCTATTTGATTCAAACCTAGCCGCGCAGAACTATCGCCTTTGTTCTAAGCTGTTGTACCACATGGACCAACAAGGGTGGCCCATCACGCACTGCGTACACAGCCTTGCACTTGCCTGTATCGAGCCTATACGGCCCACAACTCTAATCCTCTTGAAGGAAAAATATGGTGACCGAATTCCTCTTCCTCACAGCACCTATCCTGCTTTGTGTGCAGCATACTCGACATACAGCCCCGAACTCTGCGCCATGTTGTTCGCCAAACATCTACGACAGGAAAACCGCCTGTCAGTGCTTCCTCTATGTGAATCTGCTTGGCCTGCCATCATTGACCACATGTGGTCCGTTACTCACAACTACAACCTTGTCGACTCGCTCTTCATCCGCATGTGCGAGTTGACGGATCACCCGCCTCTGGCTCTTTACAATGCAATGATTCATGTTTGCATCAAGCACGGCAGAATCGATCGAGCTCACCACCATCTCCGTACCATTCAGCAGAGCAAACACCTCCAGCCCGATGTTGTTACTTTTGGCCATTTTGTCTTCAAGGCCGCTTCGGATGCCGATTGGCCGCCTGTGGAGGACTTGATGGCCATGCTGGTCCGAGCTGGAGAAACCGAGGCGCCTCCAGAGAAACGTACTGATCTGTTTGTCCCTGTCCTCAAAGCATATGCCAAGCGTCATCATCCCGAAGAAGTATGGGGTTTTGCCTTCAAAGCTATTGACGAATACGGCGTTCTTCCGGATCCACGTATCTTGAGCACTGGTCTCGGAAATCTCATCAGGATTGGCCGCTTGGGAATGATACCCCCATGGGTTAACAAAATGAGAACCTACGGCCAGGGCGCAGAGATTGCTCCAGGAATAGCATTAGCCATGATGCGGCAATTTTATTTCGACACTAGACCTTCTTATACCATTATGGTATGGCTCTGCCGTCGTTTGATGAACAACGTGCCTGAGTACTGGTCTTCTGGTGTTCTAAACCTGCTGCGTGAGGCTGTGGCGTATGACCTTCGAGGCTACCGAGCCGGGCAAGCCCACAGGATACCGCATGCAATGCATATGCTCAGGATGCTGCAAGAAGTCAGACTGGAATCACCGAGCTTGCCAAAGCCACTCTACTGGAATCAGCTACAGCAGCTCGCGGACCAAGATCAAGCGCGTGTACCGTCCTCAGACTCGAACTTACAGGATGCCGTCAAGAAGGAAGTGCAGACGAAGGATGAGCCAGAAGATCTCCAAGATACTGTGCTGTCAGATGATGAATCATCGATGGATGACCTTTTAGACACTGCACTCTCTGCAGCCAAGTTCAAGAAGTCGTCAAACGAGCACGAGATGCTCATGGCCCTGTCGGAAGGACGTTACACTGATGTTCTGAACCTGTACGAGAGCAGCTTGGGGCAAAGCGGCCTGCCTGCCTCGTCATACTCCCTGGAGATGGCAATGCAGGCTCGTACAAAGTTGCCAGATGATGCTGGAGCGCTTGATGATGGAGCGCTTGGTGACTATATAGACATGGCAAGCGAAGCTGGTATGGACACCATAACGGCACTACTGCCGCTGCTGAACCATCAAGTACAGAATTCTGCAATAGGCTCGCGGATGCATGTTGATGAGCTGTGCGACACCGTGCGGTCTTTCTATGAGAACATGGTCAAGAACAGTGTCACCGTCAGACATCATCTGGCCACATCAGCAGCAACAGTTCTGCTCCAGAATGGCAAGCCAAACGATGCGATACGGCTGCTTTCGCAGATATACCTCTCACCATGGGCCGAGAAGGTACCATTGGATCTACCAGCCATGACTGTGTTGCTACAAGCATACATACACGTACGTCACAGCTTGGGTATCGAGTGGGTTATCAAAGAAGTCTTGGAAAAAGACTACCGCATCGACTACCCCTTCATGACCGTGATCCGAAAGGCCAAAATATCGGCCAAATCACGGGCATCAGTTGGAGGCGAAAAGGGCATGAACAATCTCAGACTGTCAAGAATGCTAGAGTACTACGCAAACGTCTGTAGAGCAAAGCAAATGGCGCAGATCAAGGGAGCATCCCGTCTGGGAAACCGCCTAGTCAATGCCATGATTAAGCTTGCTAGGCCCGCATCGACAGACGCACCCTGGCAGCAACAAGCAAAACGTCACGGCATTGATCCCATGATGTGGTCGGGACGTGGGTCCATGTGGCGCGTTTACTACATTGGAGGATTCCGACGACGACGACGAGGACGGAGGCGACCCAACTTTGCCAAGTACTAAGTCGAGAAAGAGCAGGCGGAGAAGGAACAAGTCAAAATCACTTTGACATGAATGGTCATTGCATCAGCGAATTGTTGTTAGAAGAAAGGCGTTATCAAGGAGTGAAAAAGGCATCTCACGAGCCGACGGGGTTGTAAATATTTGGAGCATTTTGGACACCATTCTGTCACTCTGTAGAAATCATGTACTTGTATGAATGTATCAAAAGACATTTTGAAATCGCTTTTTGATATATTCGTGGTCGTCAAAAAAACTTTCGATGGCTTGAGAATATTATGCTAGTCCAGTCATCCTTTCTCGACCGCAATGCACATCTTTTCTAGTACAAGACCATCACATGGTTTGGCTTTCTCTTCTTTTTTGCTTTTTGTGCATACTCGAGAAGCGTGTGGCTGTCTCGGCTGGCCTCGACTCGTCGTATACCTTGCGAATATGCATTGCTGCCTCATCCACTCTCATTTATCGTCCACCGCTCAGTCCTCATCCCAGTTGGGGTTAGGGCCTGGCGGCTTGGGACCACCTGCCTGGCGGGCAACGATGATCTGGTCGACGCTGAGGACCGTTCTGGCGGACTCGGTGGCGAGCTTGATGGCCCATTGCTTGGTGACCATAAGGTCAAGGATACCTTCGTCTTGAGCATCGAGCACACCATCACCGTTGTTGTTCTCAATATCAACACCAGCACCGCAGACGCTGCCGTCCTTTGACGATTTTACGCTGTGGGAAGTGTAAAGGGAAGCGAGGATCTCGGTGGCGTCGAGACCGGCGCTCTCGGCCAGAAGACGGGGCACCACTTCGAATGCTTCTGCGTACTTGCGGATGGCGTATTGTGAGAGACCAGAGGTCTTGTCTGCAANGGCGGAGATGCGCTCGACGAGCTGCATCTCGGCGGCTCCGGCACCAGGTACAAGGCGGGCGTCTCTGGTGATGGCCTTGACGACGTTGACACCGTCGTCGACGGCGCGCTCTACGTCTTCGAGGTGGTTCTGGGTGGCGCCACGGAGGACAAGGGTGGCGGTGCGGGTGCTGTCGTTCTCCTGGCGGAAGACGGTGACGCGGTCACCGCCAATCTCAATAGTCTCGACAATGTCGACGGAACCCATCTCGTCAGGCATGGGAGCACCGAGACGAGCAAGAGGGGTAGCACCAACGACTCTGCAGAGGCGGCGGAGTTCGAATTTGGACATGATCTTGATGACAAGGATGCCGTAGCGGTTCAGGTAGTGCATGGGCAGCTCACCAACAGAGTTTCCAGCAACAACGACGCGGACGCCCGAGTCGTGCAGCTCCTTGATGGCCTGATCGATTTGTGATTCCTCGCCCTTGGTGAAGTCGAGCATCTCCTGGGCGTTTTTCAGCAGCACAGTGCCCTTGGTCTCGGTCTGTGCAATGTCGATGGGGCAGCTGAAGACACCGACCTTTGCCTTTTGAACGTTCTTGACGGTACCCTCGGGCTCGCGGCCAAAGACCATACCCTTGACAACGCGCGATTGCTCGATAGAGCCACCCATGATCTTGACGACACGGACATTGTCGACGTTGAAGTTGAAGGTGTTCTTGGGCAGGACGGCGAGTACGGCTTCGGCGACCAGGTTGGCCAGAACCTCCTCGTGGCCTGATTGTTTGGCAGCAATGACGGTACGCAGAGCCTTGGACAGCTCCTCCTGGTCGCGCATGTCCTTGACACGGTCGACCTCGAGTTCCTCCAACACTCTCAGAGCTTCCTGACCAGCACGCTCGTAGCCCACGACAATATCACTGGTCTTGAGGCCCATGCGCAACAGCTCCTCGGCCTTCTTGAGCAATTCTCCAGCCAGCACGATGACCATGTTTGTAGCGTCGCCCATCTCGGCCTCTTGCTGTTGACTGGCCATGACCAGCAACTTGGCGGCGGGGTGCACGACTTCGAGTTCTCTGAGGATGGTGGCGGCGTCCGAGGTGAGGATCATCTTTTGCAGGTGGTTGATGACAATCTTGTTGCGTCCGTAGGGGCCTAGCGACGTGGCCACGGTATCTGAGATGGTTCGGCATGCGTCAATGTTGCGCACGACTGCGCCGTCTTCGGCATCGTAGCTNNAGTTGGGTGTTAGTCGACTGCTATTGCTTGTCTCGCACTTGATGATGAACGGCGCCGCAAGCTCCATGGTCGGCGAGCGCCGCCTTGTTGCTCAACAGGACTGTTGGGGAAGCTGGACTCACTTCTGGTAGCCGGCCTTGAACAGGCCGCTGTTGGGAGCATTCGGTATTGAGAGCGACATTGTGGTGTGTGTGCAGGTGGTTGGCCAACAAATAATTATGCTCCAATTGCTAGCAGGCCCAAGAAAACATGCAATCACCGACGCCGCACCCCCGTCGTCCCTCTGCCAAGATCCGTCCGCCGCAGTCACAGATGCTCTCCGAACCTCCTCCATCGTCTAGCCATGCAGAGTCAGATTTATGCTCCTTTTGACCATTACTTGCACGTATTACTTCTATATATCGGAATACGTGACTGTGAGTCATCCTTCTGCGACAATATAGAGCAACATGCAAGCCATAGAAAGATGGTCAAGTCCAACAGGCATATGTTCCGAGAGAGCCATGAGACAGGCACTCTCCATGGAAGCGGCTCTTGGAGTACAGTGTAGACAATATAGCTATAAATGTTACATATCATAGCACATCGGGAAAACAATCTTCACACTCGATCAGCGCGCTATCCGCGTCTTCTATCCATCCTACACGAGTGGTACCAAAGAATGTGGACAAAATGGTTGAAAAGAGGTTGCGTTAGAAGAACAAGTAATGGAAAATAAAACAACGATGATAGCCAAAGGAGAAAGATCAGAAGTGTAAGGGGTATTGCGCCTCTCTGGCCACAGCCTCTGCTGCTGGTCACTGCCGCCGTCCATCTCCTGCTGACATGCCTGCGATGCTTCAGCGGGTCCAGACAATTAAACATACGAAAAACAAAAACTTATCCGCACACAGGTATAAGAAGAGAAGAGAAAAACCTGGTGCCCGTCACTCCTAGCCAACAACTTCCACCAATCGATTATCCTCCGGAACACGTCAAAAAAGAAAAAAGAGAAACGAAAATTATTCTTCTTCCACAGCGTAATCTCCCCAGTCCCGCCAGGGAGGGCCATCTTACTTTTGTACACTGGGTGAGCTGCGCCTCACCCTGCACATCATCCAACGTCCTGCGCCATCCAACGCCTTTGACATATGCTCTTTTTCTGGCTTGTTGTTGTCGCCTTGGTAGTTCATCACAGTGCCACATCGAGCACTAGGCTGACATCGCTGACCTGCGACCCTGCAAGGTCTTCCAGCACCGGAATGAGGTCCAGCAGTTCGTTGTCGTGAGCGTCCGAGAACCAACTGCTAATGGGCACAGCGTGCTGGGGATGGAAAATGTATGAGGTGGGCGAGTTGTCGATGATGATCGTCTCCTTGAGATCGCGGCCGACTTGCGAGAGGTCTTTAACGTAGTTGCCTTGGTGGTTGTAGCAGCTCTCGCGGAACAATCTGTGGTGTACCACTCCATGGATGTCCAATTGGTCCAGAAGCGGGTCTCCGTACTGCCAATAGGGTCAGTTCCACATTTACCAAGAGCAACAACAATAAACGTGCAACAAACCTTNTGAAACCGAAGCCGTGAACACGACAACTTCGTACAGCTCTCCCATTCTCTTCATGAATGCATCGACTCCTGGTCGTTTGATAACATAGACATTATGATACGTCCCTTCTATTTCCACAGGGATAGTAAAGTCCGCCTGGTGTAANNAATCTATTTGGAACACTGTCAGCATTTGGCGTTTGTGGTATCCAAAGTTAGGACCAACCTTGAAACTGCTGTGGACAAGAGTCTCATCCAGGTCCAGGATTAAGCATTTTCTGCCCTTGTGCTCTGGTCTTACAGATGGCAACAACCACTTCTGAGGCTCAGGGCTGGGAACCAGCGATGTGTCGTGGCTAGCCGTGTTGGGGTGTGCCACTTGTGCCTGGCGCTCCACCAGGGGTGGGGGNNGAGGAGGCAGGTCGACCCGTGAGCCAGATTCACGGCGAGCAGAGACATGACCTTCATCCTCGGATGTACCAGCTACGTCGTTGGCCGAAAGAGGTAGCGAAGGGCCGACGTCCGTCATCTCAATGTCCGTGTCCCTAGCCTGTTGTTCCGGAGTGCGATCGGCGATCATAAGATCTTCATCTGCGGTCGTCGCAATGGGAGTAGGAGCTTGAACAACGACATCAGGTTGAGTGAGGTAGGGCGCATCTGAAGAAGCCTGCATTTGCGGGTTTTGACCATGCACAGGCCCAACGGAAGGCATTCCAGTGGCTATTTGAGNGGGCGCAGAGACACCTTCATATCTGGACTCTGACTGACTTTGACCAGGCGGAGACATGTTCTCACTCTCTGCATGAGCTGAAGTGCCGCTCGGCTCGGCAAGGTAAGGGTTGGTGGTCGGCTTCTCATCGATGGTGTCCACTGATTGCATTGTTGGGTTGGAGTTCATTGAGGGTTGTTGGTCGACCTGAGAGGCTTGCGCAGGCACTGACTGGCGAGATGGCACATCCTGATCACCATCCTGGGCGTCGTCCGAGGATCCGCAGCAGCTCAAGAAGGACAGGAACTTCGATTTCTTCTTCGGGCGAGCAGCATTAGACTGCGTGGTGGCTCCGGAGAGNNCGGGCGGGTAGGCTTTTCACTCATTGAAGGGCGGGCGCGATGAGATCGTTTGCTGCTTGCGTTGCTTCCGGTACGGGCACGTGAGCGCAGGCTGCGTTTTGAGCGACGANNGGTGTGACGACGGGCTGGCTTGAAGCGGTAGTAGACGGATGGTCGGGTTGATCAGGCGAAGGTGATGGGGGAACAGCAGTGGCTGCGCTGCTAGTAGTCTCGGCTGTGGTACGGGGAGAATCGGGGGTTGGAGTGAGGTCTGTCGAGGTACGGCCATAACTACATACGTCAGAACGGGAGCGAGGCACACACAGGCAGAGCGGTGCAGGGCATACACAGGAGTAAATTAGTCTATCGTAACTTCTTGATGCGCAAAGGCGAGGAACAGTGTTTGGTGCGAATAAAGAACGTCGAGTCGTGGGGTGTAGTTGAGTGAAAGAGTGACTTGGCGGACGGCAGAGAGAGAGCAGGTGCAGAGATGCAGGCGCTTAACACCACTCGACGGGACTCGGCTGGCCAGACGACAGCGTCCAGGAGTATCGGGCGCGGCGGCGGCGACGACGAGGATCGGGCGGGCAGAGCAGAGCGAAGCGAGGCAAGCGGAATCAGGTCGCCGTGGTCGTCGTGCGGTCGCAGATCAAGGTCGAAGCAAGACGACGATGTAGGTATGTTTGGAAGATGGGCCAACCACCTGCGGCTGGTGCCAAGCGGGCTGCATCGTCCGTGCACTCCCGCGTCTGTGGCTAATCTCACTAGATAAATTCAATTTACTCTGACTGTCTGGTGCTTGGTGCTACGCGACCCTGGTCGCCCTGTGCTATACCTGCCAAATCCATGCGTGTTCCTGCAGCTATTCTCCTGACCGCCTGGCCCTCTGCCACCTGCTTTTCGGCCAGCATGTCGTGGCCAGAGGATTGCTGCAACCGTGGTAAACAAACCGTGCCCCGCGCCAAACAAAGCTCACAGCTTGACCCCATTTCTCTTTAAATGATGTGCCCGTTGGGCGACTTGGGCCCCAGCAACGCCTGCTCTTCTCCCAAACACTGCACCGGCCGTCAATCCGCTACCTGCTCCACATTAGCTTTATCTCTTCTTTCGTCGTCTCGACTTTTGCTTACCTCCGGGATAGTTCGTATAAAACAACCCGCCAACCATTTCTCCTGCTGCAAATAGTCCCTCGATAGGAGACCCATCATTCTTCACCACATTCGCCGTACCGGGTTCAACTGCCAATCCTCCAAACGAAAAGGTTATACCCGAAGTTACTCGAACGGCCAGGAAAGGCCCCTTCACAACAGGTAACGCCCAGTTTGATTTAGGCAGATCCAACGCTGCGCGAGATGACTGTGTCGAGAGACTGTCCTTGATGGATGGATCAAGCTTTGCATCAGGATACTCTTCTCGGTGTGCACGCACCGCTACGTTGTAGTCGTTGATCGTACGCACAAATTCTTGCGGGTCTTTCAACCCCTGCTCTGACAGCTTTCCTGCCAACTCCTCAAGACTCTCTGCTCGAGTCTTGCGAACAATGTCGTCACGGTATTCTTCTTCTCGCAACCAGCCAACGGCGTCTGCGTCCCAAACCTGGAAAGCTAGTCCTTCTGGTTGCTCGAGTATCGCTCTGCCGAACATGGCATACGTGTAACTGAGAAAAGTAAGAGCACAGTCAGCATGTTTCTTGTATAGGATGGTACACGCAGCATTCCAAAACCCTCTGATGGGTTTTGGCATGCGCTACCTGTACCCTCGTGTTACTTACTTTCGAAGATCGACGCCTTCATCGACAAAACGTTGGCCGCGGACATTGAGCATGAGCCCAAGCGGATATCCACTCTTGGTAAACTCATTGGTTTTGTCTCTGTCGCCTCCATCCGGAGGTGAGTCTGCATCCCAACAGACACTGTGACAACCTGTGTGGCTGTAATCGCCTGCTTTTCGCGCATCTAGGTCCAGGGCAGCCAAAAGCATGTCACCAGTATTGTAAGGAGTGCCACGGACGTGAGCAAGCTCCCAGCCAGGTCCCATGAAGGATTTTCTGAGCTCTCGGTTTGCTTCGAACCCACCAGCGCACAGAATTACGCTGGGTGCATACAGCTGAAATTTAGAGTCTGCGTTGCCTTGTTTCGAGACCTCGACTCCAGCTATGCTTCCTTCTCCGTTGAGAAGTAGGCGTTCGACCTTCGTGTCGAACGAGGTAACGATTCCCCTCTTCGTAACAGCTTCAGACAGATTCTTGATCAGACCTTTACCTCCGTCTTTGACCGTAAGTGCCAGACCACCCCAGAACTTCCACCTGCCTTGCACTTCGTAGGCTTGACGTCGGAAACTGAGCCACCAGTCCACGTTTCCATGTTCCTTGAGCCAGCGAACGGTGTCAAGACTGTCGTTCACGAGCACGGCTCCCAATTCCTTGTCGATGCGGCCTCCTGTCACGCGTTGCAGGTCATGTTGGAAGTCCTCTGTGGTATAAGGTGCCAGATCAATCTTGTCCTTCAACTCCGGCGGTACGTTGGATACCAATGGCAGAAGAGATGGTAGACCATCGTGAGCAGTGCGATATGCGCCAGCTGTAAAGTAGCCATTGCCTCCTCTCCATTCGCGTGGTGCCTTCTCGACTATAAGAACGCGGAGGTCGGGGCTAGAGACTTTCGCTGAGAGGGCCGCTGTCAATCCAGCCGCGCCAGATCCGACAACGATGATGTCGTAGTAGTTTGGATCCAGTGGTCCTTGAGGCATCATTCTGTGAATGTCTGATCAAAACTGGTTGTTCTTCCAGTGAGGTGGGTCGAGTTTGTCAACCGAGTTGACACTGCGGCGACTGACGTGTGTCCTCGGTAGAGACCTCGGGAAGAAGTGCGAAGGCACATTGGTGAGTAAAGTAACAACATTTGCCAAATGCGGCAACGCAGACACAATATGTAAGAGACCTCTTTTGCCTCATGATTGCAAGGGCAGCAGATATGCTTGTTGCCAATTGAGACAGAGGAACAAGTACACGGACAGGGTCATACCAATAACGCCTATCCGACGAACATGTTGAACATACAAATGCATTATTAGGATCGTTTTAGCAATTCTGTCTTTCGTTATCGTGCATCAACAGCCCGCTCCCAATGCTCGTCATCTTGTTCCACAGCCCATGTACCATGCTCAGATCCACTCAGATAGCCCTTCAACAGTGCGTGGAGGATATCTCATACAATGATCATGCAAACAACAGTGAGATAACCCAGCCCTACATCAGGTAGGCAGACCCTGTGATACGCGTTGGAAACTGACCAGCTCGAGTTGAGGCACTTCCAGCATCTGGACTTCTTTCTCGTACTCTTGCTCCTTCTCATTCATCCTTCTCCACCAGGCGACAAAGTCAGCAGCCGTCGATCTAGATACTGGCTGTACACCATCGCATCTGAGACCAAGCCAAAGTCTGTCTACAGACTTGCCAATGTGCCTGAAGCAAACCAACGTCTCCGATCGAAGATGATCGAGCTCGGCTTCATACGATCGCAGGAATGTCTCCCAAGCACTCTCGTCGAACTGTTGATCGGTAGCGGTGAGTTCGTTTGAGGATTGACGAGAGATAGGGCTCATTGTTGGCGATGGAGAACCAGCAGACTCTGAAGCGTGTCGGACTCTGGTGGCCAGCATGGAATTAACGTGCTCGAGACTGGCCTTGTCGCGAAATGATGCGCTCATCTCATCAACCTCATCGCCCATGATGCTGTCGCGGGGAGTAAAAGGTGGCGTGTCTGGAGTGGTCGATAAGGTGCTGCCGAAACTTGTCTGAAGTGAAGGGAGAGCAGCTCGTGTCTGAGGAGACGACATTTTCAAAGGTCCTGTGGTAGGGGATTGGGGCGATCCAGTGGCAGAGCAGTCAGAAGTAGTACGCGAGAGATGTCCGTTGGGTCTGGAGGGCCAGCCTCGATGAAGACTTTCGTCATCGAGCTTATCAATTCGAGCCAGTGCTGTGCAAACGGCGGCGCCTGCAGCTTGCCAGTCGTCGAGCTCTGTCACAAGAGGCTCGGGCAAGCGAAGCCTGAGGTCTGCTGGTAATATCCATTCGACAACGAAGGCAGCATTGTAATAGAAAGTATCAGCATCGGCGTCAGCAGGCATCTCATGCTCCTGATTGCGACTGAAGTCTGTCTCGAGGCTTGAGGTGGTGATCCAGTTAGCATAATGTCATGCGAGCGGATTGTGCATGCGTTTGAGTAAGTTTGTTCGACCCGACTGCCATGCTTTGCACAGTGGGGAGATCTGCTCAATAGAAGCATCTTTCTGGAGTTTACGTACTANTGTGCGGTGTGAAACGCGTGACTGTCTCCACGAAGGACGACGATGGCGAGGTTGAGTTGCGGGAGGCATAGTGGAGCTGTTCTGATGGATGCAAATGGTCAAGAGATAGCAACATCAGAGAGTGATGTGCCGAGGTATACAGAGCAAAGAAGATCTTGATAGGAGCGTCGAGGAGATGGAGACAAGACTGTAGAGGAAGATGCCGAAGGAGGGGAAAGGTCATTTATACGGAGGGAAAGAGCTCAGCAGGGCTAAGCAAGCAAGAGCTACCCGCGTACCAAGACATCAGGGAAGAGCAAAACGAAGCTCATCATCCCCAGAAAATGATTGCCCATCAAGGAGGGGAGGTCTACATGATCACTTGTGACAGCTTTGATGTATCAAGGATTGTCTCTGTTCTGTTGTTCCGAACGCCGCCCTTTCTGATTCCTGTTGGTAGTAAGCACGTTCGTCGATGTTTCTTGTAAAAGTGGAAGGACCCCAGACGTAGCGTGGCAGTTCCGCAGGAGGTACCATAATGCCCTGATTTGAACTTGATGGACTGCAACACGCTAGTGCTCAGGGTGACATCAATTAGACCATATAATGTTGACACGAATCAAACACACACCTGTCATTGATGATAAGACCGGCTGGTTATACATTAGCATCTGCTCATGCATCATGCACAACGATGGTCTTGGTCTATGGTTTGTTCGTTCAGGATGTCAGTGATTGAGTTTTAGCCAACAAACGATGTTCAGTGGTCAAAGCCAAAAGGTACAGCAAGCCTTTTGATTGGATTGACAAGTATCACTTCTACTGCCAGGTCAAAGGGTGAGATGGAGGAGCTGGCCCGCGCCGGAGATAGAGAGGAAGATCGCATAACGGAATGGTAGAACAGTCAGATTATGATGCTTTTTGTTCAGCGGAGTACACAAGGGTCTCAAAACCGGACGAATACAAAGACTGGCGTCGGACGCTGAGAATAAGTCCAACATGGTATATCGCGAGGAGGCAGAAAAGGACAAAAACACAGAAAGTCTACTCCAGACTACAAAGGGAAAAGGAACGGTCAGCAAGGCAAAGAGATAAACAAGAGGAAACTCACCGTTCAATCAGGTGCAGACCAGAGGCAGTTTCGACTACATGGCTGACCTCGCCAGGCTTCAGAGCAAATGCGGCATCTTCAAACTCCTTCTGCATGTCGCCCTTGCCAAAGAAACCNNGCTGGGAGGAGTGGGTCAGTGGATGAGAGTCTCCAAGAAGATGCAATGAGACATACAGGTCACCTCTCTTTCTAGAGCTGCTACAATCGCTCTCAGTGGTGGCCAGGTCGCCGAGGCTGGTTGCGCCGCTTCTGATTCTGGCTTCGTGGCCGAGGATGATGGTCATAGCATCGTCCTTGGAGCGAGTGATCTGGGCCTCACGCCAACTCGAAGGGCGGCGAGAGTCTTTGTGCTTGACGAGCAGATGCGAGGCGCGGATCTTGCCTTCTTGTTGGCCTTGGCCGTCGGGTCGCAGGCTGGCAGAGCTGTGGTAGGTGCCCATGTAATGCTTCAGAGTCTCGCTGTCGGTGCCGGAAGGAGGCTCCCATCTGCTCTCCTTGGTCGAGGGGTTGAAATAGTAGGGGAGGTTCTTGGAGTTGGAGTGTCTAACCTCCCAGCCGCTGGGAAGACCGGTAGCCTGGAGAGCGATGGACGTGTCAGAGGCAGGCGCGAGAGCGAGAGTGGATGGGCACGAGTGGGAGACAAGACGATGGCGGGGAAAAGGCACGACTCACCATGATTCTGGAGATATGCGGATTGGACTGGATTGGATTGGCTTGTTCAGGCACACGCNGCTTGACAGAGATGGAGTGCGGGGAAAGTGACAGAAAGATGAGGGATGCGGTTGTTTGATGCGTCGAGACTCGAACGCCGAACGCGAAGGAAGACCGCGCTTGGCGCTGCTGCTTGCCGATGCCCTGGCAACAACTTCCATCATACCTACCAACCTAAGTCCGTCACTCTTGCGCCTGCGCCATCTTGACCACCGCCGCCGCCGCTCGCTTTCACCATCGCATACCCAAGTCACGCGACACAGCATCTGCCTCATCCTTACCCACCACCATGGCCTCCCACGACTCCCCCNNCTCGGACGATGCGACCAACGCTCAGAACGAGAAGATCAAGTTCAGATTCTGTCGCGAATGGTACACATGATCCATGCGTGTCCTGCTTTGGCCGTGTGCTGACCGCCTGCGCNNCAGTTCAAACATGCTCTACCCGCGCGAGGACAAAGAGACGGATCAGCTCATCTTCCAGTGTCGCAACTGCCAGTGGCCCACTGCTGTCGGCCCAACCTGTATCTACCGTAACGAGGTCATGGGCAACCTGATCGAAACCGCAGGTGTCGTTACAGATGTCGCTTCAGACCCAACAGTACGCCACTCCCATGGGCGCATCCACTTGAACCACGCTTACCCGATCGTANNGCTGCCCCGTGTTGAGAGAGACTGCAACAACCCACGATGCGGCGGAAGAGAAGCCGTCTTCTTCCAGAGTCAGATGCGTAACGCTGAGACGGGCATGAAGCTCTTCTACGTCTGCTGCGAGTGCGGCAAGACCACCACTTAACGACCCGACGATTGCATTTCTGGCGTACAAGGTTGCATGGGGACCGGAGTCTTTGCTTGGGTTGGACATTTCAAAGAGACATGAGGAGAAAGAAAAGGAAACAGGCACAGATGGAAGAGAGAAGGCAGGAGGGAAAAGAGACAAAAGTAGAGGGCATTTTCGCATTCATGCTGATGCCCAGTCAGCGACCGAAGCATATCGGTTCGACATCAAGATGACTGCCTTGATCCGCTGGATGTTTTTGTGGGATATCTCAAGAGACTCTCCTAATCGTACACGGCAACCTTTTTGCCAAAACAGAGTCGTTCGCCTGTCCCAAAACCGTGTCGCCCGAAACGCCTGTGCTATGCTCCCAGAAACCCCACACTTTTATCATGTTTTACAAATGCATGGGAGCCAAACTCAGGATCTTGGACCATTGCATGTTGCGGAGCTCGCTTCCGACGATACNCTAGACGGCGTCAGTTGATGTGCGACGGCCAAGGCGACAGATATGCGCACCGTTCAGTCTTGAGCCGATGGGCTCTCCTCCCTTGTTGATGAGAACGCAGGCGTTGTCATCGAACTTGACAACACTGCCATCGGGTCTTTGGTATTTCTTTGCGGTACGGACGACGACGGCGTGTCTGATGTCGCCACGGCGGACTTTGTTGGCTGCGCTGATGGACACACTGCCTCCGGGGCCCGATTCGGGACCAAAGTTGCGCTGCTTCTGCACGACGACGATGATACGGTCGCCTAGGGAATAGCGTTAGATGTCGACGAGGGCAGGTCAATGGCTAAGCGGAGAGTGCTGACCGATCTTTGCGGCTCTCTTCATCTTGAGCACCTTGACACACTCGACCAGGGCAGCGCCCGAGTTGTCAATGCAGTTGAGCATAGACTGGCCACCAACAGTCAGCGCGCGTAAGACATGCACTCATGCAAACAACCGACCTTGAGCTGGATCATGTTTGCGACGGGTCGTTCAGGTAGTTAGTTCCTTCGTCCAACAACCACCCAGTCGCCGGACGCGAGTGATGGATGCAACAAGATTAAACTTCGCACGAGTCTTGGCGGCCGGCGCGTCTTCCATGGCCTCTCCTGCCTTCTCCGCCATTCATGCCTCCGCTATTGTCGTGTTTTCTGCATTGTATTGTGACTCGGTCCAGTCTCTCACTACCGGCTAGTCGCATCATTGTCGAGTGCAATCATGTCCATTAGGTGAAGCCTTGCGCTCCTTGTCTGTTTCTTGGTGCTATTGTCCGGTCCGGCGCATTCCTCTGTTTTCATTCATCACCCTCCCCTTTCCCGTTCCTTGACTTTGCTTCTTCCGGCCAACCCACCTGTTGTTTGAGCATTTCTCTGTTTCTTTGCACGTTCAAGATGCCGGCGCGTACCCTTTCCTCGGAGGACTCGATNGCCCAAAAAGGAGGCCTGACCCTGGCCCGACTCGTCGACTATGATGATCGCATCACAGATGCACTCATTGATCGCGTGAGTACTCGTCGCAATCATGAAAGTGCTCCGACCTGGACACTTACCGCCTACAGNGTCTACTACTGGACGACCATCCGTAAGCTACGCACCAACCGCCCTCTCGGATCCCGGGGCATCAGAGAGGACGATGTCGCACGCATCCTGCAGACTCATGTCATCTTGAAGAAGGATGCCGCCACGGCCGCCCAGCATCTGTTACAGCTGCCTGCTTTGGCCCACTATTTCAACACCCTCTCCTCCAAGGAAGAGAAGAAACACTTCCAGGACCATTTCAGGAAATATGTCAATATCTATCTTCCCGACTGTCCATTTGAGGTTACAACCACCAACCGCTACACCATCACCACCCATGAGGCTGCAACTGTCGCCCGCAAACCCATTCGCAGAAACGAGACCATCAAATACTTGACTGGAGTCCAGGTTGCCATGTCTGAAGCCGATGAAAAGTTTCTTGGTATAAATGACTTCAGTGTCGTCATGTCCAGTCGCAAGAAGCATCCGTCTCTATTCCTTGGTCCCGCACGCTTCGCCAACCACGATTGTAACGCGAACGCTAAGCTTATCCCCATGGGTCACAATGGCATGTCAATCGTTAGCGCTCGAGACATTGAAGTTGGCGAGGAGATCACCGTCACCTACGGAGAGGACTATTTTGGAGAAGACAACTGCGAGTGCCTGTGTGCAACCTGCGAACGCCTACAACGAAATGGGTGGTCAAGGCGACCACTAATGTCCAGGCACAACAACGGCACGCCAGGACCGCCGTCATCTGGACAGAATAAGAGGAAATTCACGCCAGACATTACACCCGCTGTCGCAAGCCCTCCTTCGTCCAAACGCCTGAAACTTCCCGTTCCATCTTCAACACCAAAAGCGCCGCCACAGATTCCTACTATCAAAACAGAAGTCAGCATGTCCTCAACGTTGGAGGTGTCACCACAAGTTCCGATTATAAAGAGAGAGATCAGTGCTTCTTCGACCTTGCGAATGGTCACTACCAACGACAGCGAAAGTGATACCTTGGGATCGGCATTGTTCAAGCCAAAACAAAAGCTGAAACATCGTTATGGGAAGGTTGGCCGGCCACCTAAGCGGATGCACGAAGCTACACGCTCTAGCTCACCATCGTCGTCCACCACAGAAGACGTCTCACAGACATCTTCAGTCACAACGGATCCCACATCCGTTGACGAACCNCCTGCCGAATCAGATCTATCAGACCTTTCCGAAAGCTACGAATTGGATGACACTTTGCGCGAAGTCATCCAACGAAAGCCCAGACCAGTCAGAATGACAACCAGACAAAGCTTACGGAAACAACTCTCTATACCAATACCCACCATCGAGGGCACCGACTCAGATGTCGAAGAGGATTCAGCAGTAGATCGCAGGAAGCCTGGCGATTACACATTGACGGCTCGCCTGCTAACGAGTGCTGTGTCGCGCTGGGTCGAGTGCCGCAACTGTGACGATTACTTCATTCAACACGAGGCCAAACTGACACGTATCAACTGTCCCCGCTGCGAGAGACACAGTAAACTTTATGGTTACGCCTGGCCCAAGACGGACAAGGAGGGCAAGCACGACACAGAAGAAAGAATACTTGATCATCGTACTGTCAACCGATTCCTGCATCCGAGCGAGGAGCGAACCACGAAGAAGAGTCGCAAAAGCTTGAGCCAGATGGTTTCTGAGCGAGAGAGAAGCTTGCGGGAGAGTGAAGAGGCAGAGTCGCAAGAAGGCAGGAGAAGCAGGAGAAGGTACAGCTCATAGCGCATTATGTATTATTTGTATTGATATATATGGCATAAACAGGGCCCTTTTAGAGAAAAACATGTGCTAAGATATATAGAACATGTGGTCAACTTCGATAAGTAGCCCCTCTTCCCGGTCAGCAGGTGGTGCTATAGTATGCTATAAAAATGCACAGTTGTTTACAGAATTATATGTGTGGCCGTAGAAGCAGCCTCGAGATGAAAGCTCTCCTTGGACGACACTTTATTCTAGAAAACGTTGTGCATTTCTATAGTTACAGTATAACAGTCTTCAGCATACGGAGACGCAAAGGTAGGTCCAGCAAGGAATTGGAGTTGACCACATGTTCTCTGAAAGGGGCCCTCATAAACATTACTTATATTAATTCTTCTGTCTCTTTCTCTTCATTACGACGTAAACTTGCTGAGCGAGCGAATCTTCTTGCCGTAGATGAAGAAGAGGATCGGGACTGGGAACAGGGCTACCGTGAGGAAGCCGAGAAGGGACATGGCNNCTGAAAAACATGTCAGCTCTGTTGGAGTGGAAATCATCGACAACCTTGTGCTTACCCAGGGAACACCAAGACGTCCGAATAAGTAGTTTGCAAACATTGGGAAACCAGCTCCTAGCCATGATCGGAAGAATGTGTTTGCGGCAATGGCAGAGTTTGCGTTGACTTTGTAGACNNCTGTTGCAATAATTAGCATTCAAACATCAAGTGCTAGGGTCACACGACTTACATCAATGATATAGTTCAAGCCCTGCAAGAAGACAAGCAAGACACCAGCACCGATGAAGGCTCCCGAGATGACCTGAGGCACCCAGATAATGTTTGGGTTGGATGTCCATGCAAACCAGAACATGCCAATCGGCAGCAAAGCGCCACCGACAATCATGGGAATCATTCTTTCCTCCGGCACGACATCGCCGGTCTCTTCCATCTTCCTGGCGAATCTGGTCTTGGTGAAGTAGGCGATGAAACCAGATCCAAAGGCCACTCCAACGATGATGGCAGCGAAGGGCAGGGCGCCGACGCCAGCATTCCAACCGCGTTCTTGTTGGAAGGCGATTGGGTAGGCTTCGAAGCAGAGGTAGAGGAACCCATAGATAAAGCCCATGTACAGTGTGACTAANNGTAAAGGGTCAACATGCTTCTTCTACAACAGTGGAAAAGCCATCTGCCAGGCTCTGGCATGCGCTGCTGCAATCTCGCCTTACGTACCCAGTATCAAGATTGGTTCCATGGCAAGCATTTGGAAAGGCTTCAGCAAGTAACGATGTGCGATGTCCTTCAGGTCGACCTCGTTCTCATCAGACTTTGCGTGGATGGCCCAGTTCTTCGTAGCAAAACGAATCTTCTTTGCTCTGCGCGAAAGCAAGACAGGGGCAAGAGTCTGAGAAGGTCAGCATTGTGAAGCATTTCGTGGACTTTTATCAGATTGTACCTCAGGGATGACGACGAATCCAATGATTCCGAAGAACATGGCCATGATCAGTGTGATCCAAGCAGTCCATCTCCAACCCAGGTAGCTCATGGTAATGAAACCTCCCACAATCGGACCTGCCACAGGGCCGATGAAAGTCGCTGACGCAAAGACGGCAACTGCGATACCTCGATCGACTGGTCCGAACATACTACAGGTTTCAGTCAGCAAGATAGTCCAAAAGAGGAGCATCATGTCTCTCANCTCTGCAAGCAACCCTCCGATGATTCCCAAAGGAGCCGATGCAGCAAAACCTCCGAAGAATCTACAAATGAAGATTGTGTAAACATTTTGTGCGANCCTAAGGATTCGAAGTGGTCAGCAAGGGTCTTGTATAGAAGCAGCATGTAAGTGACTTACCGCCACGGGGATCTGGAAGATGGCGAAAATGAAGAAACCTATGAATAAAGGAATCTTGCGGCCAAAAAGCTCCGAGAAAGGACTCCAGACGATAGGTCNCTCCTTGTGGTCAGCAACAAGCAATTGATAACATCTTTGTCGTAACTCACCGAATGCAAAACCAAGGACGAATAGAGAGGTTCCCAAAATCATAACCTCACTGCTGACGCCGAAGATCTGCGATGTCACAGTGGTGGCAGTACTGAAAACAGATGAAGCGAAAGTCACGGAGAATGTCATTAGACCAGCGACGACTGTAATCATCCATTTCTTCCAAGCAGGAAAGTTCATCGGGTTGCCTGGATCATCGGGACTATCCCAGTCAATCAGATTGGGATCTTTTTCCTCTTCTTCTCCGTCGTCCTTCTCATCATTCTTCTCATTGAGACTGCGGTTGGTGCGTTCTCTTTGCATCTCAACATCGGCTTCAGAACTGAAATTTTCTTCATTAGATCCTGCCGTGAGACCTGCTGGAAGGCCAGTCTTGGTCTTGGGCTTGCGGTTCTGGTCGTCGTCTTCCTTTGTTTCGCTGGGACCTGAGATGCTCGATCTGGTTGAGTGTGCAGTGGTGGTTCCAGAAATGCTAGCGGCCCTGTTTTGATGCTGTGTCTGCTGTTCTGTGTGAAGAGGTATATGCTGATCCGAGGTCAAGAGTACATCAGGGGCATAAGTCTGACGGCCACTAGCCGTCCTGATAATGCCATCTCCATAGTTTTCAGCCATGGCAATTGTGGCTTCTCCGGATAGAAAACCAGCGAAAAGATGTTATAGAAGCTATTGATACACCTACATCTGAGAAGGGCACTCTACCCTTTTTCATCAATGCCTACGCGTCCGGATTGCTCGGAAGGATACAGCCTCTACACAAATTCACCATGAATCGTAGTGATGGAAGCTCGGAATGACGCCATGTGCCAAACGTTATCGATTGGTTTTGGAGAGCAAATAGGGAACGCCGTTGAACTAGTTTTCCCTCGGAGCATTTTCATCTACTGGCTGCAGCTCGCATGCTGTCGGGGACTGATGATAAGCAAAAGGATCTGACAGATGTTATGCTCGCTGGCACCACTGGTTTGACCATCGCTATTCAAGGGCCTTCACGCTTGTCTCCACGACACACCTACAAACCTACAAACCTTGATGGTTCGGAGTTCCAGATGCAGTGATTTGGGCGAATTCGTGACGACATTGTCGCCCGTGTGCTTTGTCGAGAGTCGAGACGGGTGTGGTCCAAGGTTGGTGTTACAAAAATCGCAGAGCCTCAAAACATCGTCACTGTGTGGCTTGCGCCTCGAACAGGCAAAGCCCAAACTTCAATGCTGAATCCTTTGACGAAGAAGATATTGAGAGTGTGCGATGAGCCATCTGCCGTGTCAGACGAGGGCGACTCAAGGCACGTTTGGTGATGGATGCAAAGAATGTTCGTGTGATTGGCCAAATTATATCCAGGCAGATCTAAGATAGGCCATCCTGGGCAATGCTTGAACACGGTTATATAGTACAGGTATAATTTACATGAGTTGTCGGCGCTGAGTAGCAAACTATGCTCGAGTACTGGGAGCTCAGACTTGAGTAGCGACAGGCGTGGGTTCTGGAATTGACTGCTTCATAGCTGGGGCCTCCCTGTCCACGATGGTGGCCTCTCTGGAAGGATCCGAGAAAGAGATATCTCCGCTAGCAATCTCGGAGTCGTGGATTCTGTCAAGATCTCTGAGGTTCTTCTTCATGTAGCTGACAACGTTTGCGACAGCGGCAGCATCGACGTTCTCGTCACCGCCGAAGACGTTTCTCCAAATGGCAGTAGCAAGGACAGCGTCACCCTTGACCAAGCCCTCGTCGTAGGCGGCGAGCACACCACGCCATTGCACAAAGAGATCCTTGAGATACTTGTTGCGCACACTGCGAGCGGCGATGTTGTGCAAGGCTGCCATACGATCTTCGGCGGCGTAGAAGTAGTGATCGAGCAAGTTCTGGTGCCAATGGTGGGCGTGCTGCTGGGGGAACATCCTCAGTCGTACCGTGACGAGATAGATGTGCAGGAAAGTGATTTGGGCCCAAGTGTTGAAGGTCGGGGTCAGACCCAGCTCTATCAAGAGGTTAGCCAGCCGTGTATTGAGATCAGAAGTGTAGAAGCAAGCGTTACCTTCGTACCACCAACCTGAGCCAACGCCCAGGTCCTCTCCTTTTGGCGATCTTAGCGGTTCCTCGCCTTCAGCGACAGTAGGCATGCTGTACTCTCCAGCGCGAGCGCATGCGCGAAAAAGGTCCTCGGTAGCGCCGTAGGCGACATATGGTTCTGTGGCAGCCTTCATCTGCTTTTGTGCTCGCATGCGCTGGGCGAACTTCTGCATGGTTGACGCATCTGGTCCATCCTGGCCCTTTGCTGCTTCGAAACGGCTGGCAACAGTCGAAAAGGTACGTCCTAGAAATTGACTACGAGGCGAAAGACGGCTGTGCACGATGCGACCCTGGGAAAAGCGTGGTCAGAGGCTGCTTGACTNGTACGGTGGGAGCAGACTCACGTTGATCTGGCGAGAAGACGCTTGTCTCAATGCGCGGACGCAGCTGTTGCAGACGTTGTTGGAAGCCATTGTATGATGGTGCTATGTTTGGTGCTTGTATGGGCAAAATTTCATGACCGACACATGCAGCTTCCACATGCTCCCCCAGACGATGGATCCTCGACCGACCGCTGACGACATCAACCACATCATCAAAGCATTTCAATGGCCAAGTCAATCTCACTGCATTGCAAACGAACATTTCATCCAAGCAAAAAACCAATATGCATAATGAATGAAGCTCGTCACTAGATATGTTCAAAATCCCAGTCGCCTTCGCTTTTTCGCCCAAAATCACTTTGACGCCCTCCTAAACTTTCATACAGCGAAGGTTAATCTATCTTGTCAAACAGCCAGCGCTTGACAAGGGCCTAGTCATATAATAGACCAATCATTGAATCATCTCTGTATCGTCTTAGCGTTTGTCTGATAGAAAGAACCATTGTTACTCACGCGTCCTCTCCGCTGGCCACCACCACCAACCTGGCCTTGCTGTTGAGGATAGTACCCTACAGGATACTGATATGCACCCATACCCACGTTAGGGTTAAATCCTGGTGGAGCAAATCCATTCTGTACAACATGTGCACCAGGGGCGGCAATAGGTGAAGCATTGAGGCTTCCTCTTCCATAGGGGTCCATCATTTGAGGTCNCCCTGGCCCGAAGCCATTCATCGGGGNGTAAAATCCGCCAGGGCGCTGAGCCGCGGCGTGCTGTTGAGCGAGCATGGCATGTTGATACTGCATCTGCTGAGGCGTAACCGGCGAAATGTTTGACATCGCCGGACTATGAGTATAAGCCGGAGTCATAAGGCCTGAGTTTCCGTAGGGGTCGAATGCGTTGGAGTCTATGCTGGCCGTCCTCTGAAGTGTAGGTCCCATCATGTGCTCGAGCGGCTGTTGAGGCGCCATGCCTCCGTACTGCTGACGACCATAAACGCTCTGGTTGTCGAGATGGGCCATATGCCCGTTTGCACCAGGACCTCTTGACGATGACCTAGTCTGGCTGGCATCACGGCTGGCCGATGCTCCTCCATGACGGGTCGAAAGACCAACTTCATCCATCAATCGCTTGTAACCCTGTTGGGGTTGTGCCTTGAGGCGGAGCAACACATTACGGACGTTCTCCAAGACCTCTGGACGCATCTTCTCATCCAGGAAAGGAGTGGTAAGCACCTTGAAGATGAATGTCGCTCCGCAAGCCGAATCGCTGAGGACGTCCTGCAGAACAGTATCGTTGGGCGAGAAGAACAAGGCACGAAGAACCGCTTCGCGCGCGTCTGCTTCACTTCTCTGGTTTATGATTTTCAGCACGGTAAGGTATGCAACCTTGTGTGTACACAGATGGACCAAGTGAGGTATAAGTCGCGGAGCCAGCACGGATCGGCGGCGAGGGAAAGTGCAGGTGTCCAGGAACCAGGTCAACAGCAAAGCACCGTTGGTGTTGGTTGCAAGCTGTACACTGTGGAGGGCAATGGCTGACGCCAACATTCTCTGTTGGTCTCTCGAAGCAAAGTGGCTTTCAAGACAAGCTCTCATGGCGCGAGCACCAAATCTGCCCTGGGCAACCTCCCACAGTCTTTGAAGCATAGCGTCGAAGATGAAATCATTGCCGGGAGCCTGGAAACGCAAGCAGCACTGGATAACGTAGTTACCATATTGGTCCAGAAACAATGCCAGTGTATAAGGGCGCAATGCGTCCACAATCATGTTGACCTGGGTAGGCGTCTTGGCAACATCGATAATCTTCTGAGCAGCCCAAGTGCCGTTCTTATGGACGCCAATCTCGGCAAGATGAGGAGCAATCTCGCGTAGCATGGCCTCCTTTACAGGTTCCGAGCAGTATTCAAACAGCTTCTGTACGACCGTGTTGCCTAGATAGTCAGAGGCAAGTTCGGCAATCTCAGGTAGCATATCCATGGCGATGTTTTCAATTTCAGCAGGCGAGCAACTGTTGTTGTCGATGCGCTTTCTGATCTCGCGCAAGCGAGNGGCATCATGGACACGGTTTGGACTAGGCTCTGGGACGCCAGGGATCTCAGGATGATACAGGTCATAGCTGATAGCTTGCTCAACGTTGGCGTTGATCCTGACCTGTTCCTCTTTGTTGGCACCCAGTTCCTGAATAATGCCGTAGATTTCGCTGCGCATATCACGCAGGTTTGGGGTGAGCAAAGCAGCAGCTGCAGTCTCCGCATTGATGTTGATTGGCTTGAGTCCAGTTGAGTCACCTGCGTTGCCGACCTGGTTGTCGCGAGCGAATGGGTCAGGACTGGGAGAGTGGAATGAGCCAGGTGCACCAGGAGTAACTGTGTTACTTGGGACCTTTGCGTAGCCAATGCGAATAGGACCAGCTCCAGGGAATATTTCCTTGTTGTTAAGCTGAGACTTGGCCTGAACAGCGCTCTCCAAAGTTTCGAAGTTTACAAAGCCGCAACTTTTGTGGGTAAGGACCCTGGTGGATTCGATAGGGCCAAAGTTGCCAAATATAACATTCAAGGAAGAAACGGTAGTCGAAGGTGGGATATTTCCGAGCCAAAGCGCACGCGTTGGGTTCTCGAGGAGGCTATCGTCAGAAACGTCAAGCATTGGCTTTTGATCCAGGTGCATCTGCTGCACAGCGTCGGTAAGTCCACTGTAGTCGAGGCCTTCGTGCTCTTGGAAGTCGGATGCGGAGATGCTGTTATCCAGGCGCGAAGGGGTGGGGATGTAGTTGCGAAGAAGCCTGGACGAAGGAGAGTCGAGCACACCTGCAGTCCTCGCACGAGGCCTACTGGCACTGGCCAGGTTAGTGAAGGCTTGGACCTCGAGATTGTGCTGACGGACAGCCTCCTGAACAGCCAGAGCCTGTGCGGCAGTGATGTCTGCACCAGAGGGGACGCCATACATGCTTGCATATGCATCATAATCATCCTCCTCATCATCGGCGTACTTTTCCTTGGCATTAACCGAATATGATCTGAAGCGATTCGCGTTCCTGTTATAAGCATTCAGAGCGGCAAGGTCAGCAATCGTTGGACCTGGAATGCCCGTTTGACCGGCACCGATCATGTTAGAATGATGTGGTCTGCCAGGCTGAGGAGTGTCGACAAGACCAAGGTAGTCCAAGGTCTTGACATCGTTGTCGTTGAAAGAGTCACGCGAGGAATGTGCAGGAGACGAGGGGCCGTCAGAAGAGCGGATACTCTGCAGTGTGGATGCTCTCTCTCGACCGGAAGTCCATCCGTTGGAAAAGTAGGGCGGTCCGAAGCCGCCGGGTGTGTTGTTGAGAAGAGCCGGACGCTGGGGCATAGAGCCCGCTCTCAAGCGAGAAAGCAGCGACTTCTGAGAAGGATTGATGGCAGAGGCTGTGGTCGTGCTCGACTCTGGAGGTGTACCGATGCTGGCCTGGAGAGGGCTAGTAGAAGGTGTCGGACGCGAGGTCTTGGGGACCAATGACGGCTGAGACGATTGGTGGCCGAGAGTACCGACAGGAGGGAATCGCGATGGCACGGTACCTGCTCGCATGCGGCGACCTGTAGCGGGTGCTGTGGATAGGTCGGTGGCGGATTGATCGAAGTCTGGAAAACTGTCGCTGCTGGGAGACTCTGGAATGGTCTCGCGGAGAGGAGTAGAATGGCCACTGCCTGAGGTCGGAGGACCCCAGATCTGTGGGCTCACGCCTTCCTGAGCTTGAATCTCTCGAGCTCTGTCGCGTTTATTGTCAGTCATTGTGGCTCCCGATATGTTTGGTAGAGGATGTCACCTTTTGCTGAACAGACGACTACCATATTCTTTTGAAGGAGAGCCAGCTCCAGACCTATTGATCAAGCCAATGGGACCGGCAGAGGCCAAGCTGTTGCCCAGCGGATATCTCAAGCCCGAGCCCGAAGGAGGCTCGTTGGGTGAATTGGCAGTGGTGGACGAGGCCGAGCGAGATTGATAGCTGACTTGCGGCAGGTTGTCAAGGTTGATCTTGTGTTCGGGACGGGTGGGGTGAGCCATGACTATGTGGACACAGCAGTATGATGCAGTGCTGGGCTGGTTTGCCAGAAACCGAAGTGCGCTGGAGGGTCCAGTCTAGCTGGTTGTCGTGGATGCGTGAGACTTGAGGGGCTGTAGACTCGAACGTGTCGATCGAAGCGGGCGACAATGTACAATCGAGGGCGGCGATGAGGACAGCGTGTCAAAGCTTGCGGGCAGAACAGCTGGGGCTTCCGAGACGGAACGGGGAGATACAGTAGCAGTTCTAAGGGAGAGAGACAGAGCGGAAATCAAATGACGCGTGCCTCGATGAGAATAGTATGAATGCGAAGGTCTTCAGGGGAACGCGAGCCAAGAAACGGGCTGGAGAAGCCACTCGGAGCGCTGGATGATGTCGAGTATCGAGCGTCGGGTCGATGCTATGCAGATGCAGATGTGGATGCGGATGCAGATGCAGATGGGCTTGATGCAGAAGATTGCACAAAGAGTATGTACTGAGAAACGAAGGACGCACCGAGTGGGAGAAGCAGCTTGTGGAGATGTCAGAGGTGCAGCACTCAGCACAGCTTTTGTCAACTTCCATCGAGTGTGGGGTTGTCTTTGACATCGCTTTGCAACCATCTTCCTCGCTGTTGCGTGGCAGTTTCACGACTACATCCGTTATGTGGCTTTGCAAAGAGTAGAGAAACATCTACGTTTGTTGCATATCCCTAGCCCACCTCGTTCGAGCAAGCGCTGGACAACGAGCATCTGACCATGTTTATTTGTAACCAAGGATCGAGATTTGTTCATCCAGGCAGCTCTAATGCATAGCTATAAGGCCATACATCCTTTAACCATGTTAGCAAGCACAAGCTCTATAGCGTTCGTTGGACTTCGCGATATGCTGCAACATCTTCTGTAGTCTTGATATATAGCACAGCGAAAGAGTTTACAATGAACAGTAGGAGCTCATCCGGAAGATGGTTCATGGTAGAATGCAATGATTGTAGTCGAGAGGGGCTCACCCGTATCTGGTTGACTGACAGCTTTGAAAGAAGATCGTGCTGGTTTCAAGAATCTTGGAGGATTAAATCAATATTCTGCACGCACCCAACACGAGGCCGAGCAGAGGGAGTATGTTGAGATAAGCAGGTGTCCAGCTGCAGCTTTGACATGGTGTTTTGTTCTTGCGGAAGTTCGTAACATGATATATACAGAAGCTAAGGGTAGAGGCAACTCAGTCACCTCCGAGTCATCAGACATTATAAAACCGCTCTAACATTAATCGCAAATTCATTCTGTAGTCGACACTGGTGGAAAGGGCCAAACTCTTTCACGAACATCGAGATCAGCCGTTGTACCAACCACGAGCACCAATGGCTGCTCCATTTCCGCCAGTCCCACGATGAGGAATCAGCGGTTCAGTAATGTTGAATGCTTGTATCAAGCGCTGCCAGGTGCTGTAGTCTATGCTGAAGACAGCTTGATGCCGCATGGAGCTCTTTTCACGCTGTTGTGCTACTGTTTGTGGTATCGATGGTACNNTGTATGCTCTTAGAAACTCAATATTCAGCCAGACTCGTCGAAGCGACTTACCCAGGGTAGGCAGTCCGTTATCATCCATCTCTAGACCGACGTTACCTTCTTTTATCAGAAAGCTGATGTAGAAGATGTTTTCCACAGTTTGTCCAAAACTGTGGGGGTTGATAGCGAAGTCAAATAGACTCGGTCCAGATGTGGGAGTGATTCGATGTCGCTTCATCTCTGCTAATGCTTGGTCGTCGTCTAGTTCGCCGAGGGCTTCTACCGCGGCCATAGCGGTCGCGCAATGGTCGTCAAGGATCTTCTTGATGTTTTGACATAGTGTTGTCAAGGCATTGTTCTCATTGGTTTGGAGGTCTCGTTCAGTAAGAGCCTCTGGCCGGACTTCCTTGATGGTAGAATCTTTGCGTTGGCGAGCACGACGTTGAATCTGAGCGCGGATTTTCTTCTGGACAGACAGCGGACCAAGTAGAAAGCTCGGAGCGGGCGGTCGCAAGTTGTAAGGGAAACAGGCGTGTGTTCCGAGGTGGGCCCAGTCAAGAACATCGTTTGGGTCCTGATCTTCGTCCTCCTCCTCGTCATCGTCATCGCCGCCACGACGACTCTGCCGTTGTCTGCGGCGTTGTGTTGAGGTAGCAGAAGCGTTGGCCTGGTCGTTCCTCATGAACATGATGCATTTCGAGACAAATTCGTCAACATCGACACCAGTAGAGTTATCGCCGAGGGTGAGCTGAGCGGATGCCTTCAATAGCATATCGGAGATACCGACGAACAAGCGGGAGTCGACAGTCGCATCCGATGTTTGCTTGACGCCATTGAAGACTTCATTTGCTCGATCAATGACGGACTCGAGCTGACCGCCGTCTTGAAGGTAAACATCTCGGTTCTCTGGTAGATGTTAGTCTGAATGCCAGTGAGAGTATGATATACAAGAACAAGCACCATTGAATTCGCGCTCCAAGGCACGAGACTTCTTTTNTATCTCTTGGCGCTCATGCTGGTCTTGGGTAGGATCGTAGAAGCGTGATTCATCGGGTTCTCCATCATTGGCAGCGGAAGCAGTAGGACGAGGTTGAGTTCTCCTCCTCTTGGCAGAGTAAGAATCAGATGTGGTCGACTGCATGCGGCCTTTTTCTCTATCGCGAGGAGCTGAAGTCGTCTGGTTTTCTTTATCGGACGAGAGATTCGGGGATGAGGGCGCGACGGAAGAGGGAGCGGCAGGAAGGTTCGATGAACGGGCAGGAGTCTCGGAGGGGCGTTGGTTCACGCGAGCCATCGCTCAGCGAGAGTTGCGACAGTGAACAAACAGATAGGTGACGGCCAGCAGATACAACAATTCGACCAGGCAGGCAGAGCAAGATCGCGTCTTGGGGAAGCTGCGAACAATTAAGGTACACGCGACGGGCACGCGTTGAGCCAATCAGGCAAGAGCGGGTAAGCATCACGACGGCTTGGCGCATCGATCGTCATAGCCAAGTGCTCCGCCAGCTGGATCGAGACGAGACATGGATCATAGTTTTTGTATTCTCTGACCACTTTCTCTCCTTTCTGTCGCGACACACACAAACATGAGTCTCCGCGCACCTCTCGGTCTCTCACGGCGGGCATTGCCTGCCCAGATTGCAAAGTATGCCGCCACGCAGCAACAATCCATGGCTACTGTCGTGCCGCCTGTCACCCAAGACAACACTGGCTCCAAGGGCCCCACCGCCATGGTCTTTATGAACATGGGCGGCCCTTCGACTACTGCCGAGGTCGGCGACTTCCTCAGCAGGTTGTTTGTGAGTTTGCCAGCTCGTCTTCTTTAGTCTCTATCAGCTGCTTACTCGCAATCANNGGCAGATGGCGACTTGATTCCTCTCGGCAGACTGCANAACTACCTCGGTCCTCTCATCTCCAAGCGCCGTACTCCCAAGATTCAGAAGCAATACGCTGCAATTGGCGGTGGTTCGCCCATTCGTAAATGGTCCGAGTACCAGAGCTCCGAGATGTGCAAGATCCTCGACAAGATTTCGCCCGAGACCGCCCCTCACAAACCTTATGTCGCGTTCCGCTACGCCGCCNNCCCCCTGACCGAGGAGATGTATCAGAGATTGTTCGACGATGGTTTTGGTAACGGAAAGGGAGGCAGAGCTGTCGCCTTCACCCAATACCCGCAGTATTCGTGCAGCACCACTGGAAGCTCCCTGAACGAGCTATGGAAATGGCGCCAAAGACTCGAGACCAAGCGTGCAGGCGGTGAGGTTGACGAGGCTGGCGCCATCACCTGGAGTGTCATTGATCGCTGGCCTTCGCACCCGGGCCTCATCGAAGCCTTTGCTCAAAACATCGAGGCCAAGTTGCTCGAGTATCCCGAGGAGACAAGAAAGGACGTTGTGCTGCTCTTCTCGGCTCACTCCCTGCCCATGAGCGTGGTCAACAGAGGCGACCCTTACCCAGCCGAGGTGGCTGCTACCGTCTACGCCGTCCAACAGCGCTTGGGCTTCAAGAACCCTCACCGTTTGGTCTGGCAGTCCCAGGTCGGGCCTTCTGCCTGGTTGGGTGCCCAGACCAGCGACACCGTGACAAACTTCGTCAAGAGAGGTCAGAAGGATCTCATCCTCATTCCTATTGCCTTTACCTCGGATCACATCGAAACCCTGTTCGAAGTCGATCAGGAGATCATTCACGAGGCCAACGAGCTGGGCGCAGAAGGTCGTGTGAAGCGAGCAGACTCCCTGAACGGCAGTCCTGTTTTCATTAGAGGTCTGGCCGAGCTTGCGAGAGATCACTTGGCGAGTGGAGATGTTGGCAGTAGGCAGTTGGGCTTGAGGTGTCCTGGCTGCACCAGCCAGAGATGTCTGGAGACCAAGAAGTTCTTCATGAAGCAAGAGGCGTTGCTGTAGTCGCAGGCTTGACATGATTGAAACTCTGTAATTCTAGGAAAATCACGATACCCTTTTGTAACTATGTCTGTTTGGGCCTGTATAATCCCATGTTGTTTCTAGCTTATGGCAAGATCTGGTTCCTCGCACGCTTAAGCCTGTCACTCTCAACCTCCTCCAACATGATGCAGAGGTGCATATTAGCCACGGAGATACACATGTCATGGAGAACATATTATGGACAATGTGAACGTGCCTGCGAGCATGGGCTGGTGGGATAAGAAAATATAAATACAGTCACGGAAATTTCTGTAGGATTGGTCACTATTAAATTATTTACATTGCTTCGTTGCTTTGCAGCTGTGTTCTCTAGAACAATAATCATGAATCTTCGTCTGCTGCAGCCTTCTCAAGATAGACATGTGGTCTAATGAAGAAACTGAGCACAAATGCCAGGCCGAAGGTGGCGGTGAGGCAGACAAACACCGTTTGCGTAAACTTTCCGACAGTCGCCGAGTATATAGCATTGAAAATAGTAGGGGCGATAACTCGGGCCAAGGCATGTAAAAGTCCAGACGCACCGAGCAGTTGGCCGGTCTTCTCATGCGGTACATGCTTAGTCAGCGCTGACTGAAGAGTTGGCGAGCCAATACCTCCGATGCTTGCTATGCTGCCAGAGAGAATCATCAGCGGACCGGTACGAGCGAGGGTGTATCCAAGGTATCCCAAAGTATCAAAGAAGACCGCGACGCGGACGACGACAAGATCGAATGTATCACTACCGGAGCTACGCTGCTTGGTCTCGCTTGCCTTGCCGCGAACATAGCGTGTGACCAGCGGTAAGACGACAATAAGACACAAGACTCTGCAAGTGTTGACAATGGACAAGAAGATGCCAGACTCGAACGACTCCCAGTTGAATTGGTAGCGGGCGTAGATGACAATGATTGTCATGCTTCCCATTGCAACACCAAACAATATGGTATCAACAGCAGCCAAGAGCACAAGGTTACGTCTGAGCGCAGGTGAAGAACCCTCGCCGGTAGGCCACAGAATCTTGAGCGGCTCCAGGATGTTGACAGCTCGGACCCGATCGATCCAGTCGGAAGAGCCCCTTTGAGCCTTGTCTACTTGATGCTTCTCCCGAGCAGCTTGCTGGCGACGCTGAGAGAGTGATTCGGGGACACAGAAAGCGATGAAGAGGATGAAGGCTGCGTGTACAGCAAGCGAAGCATAGAAGATGGACAGAATCTTTCCTGTAGCCTTAACGATAAGTCCTCCGAGGATAGGTCCCAAAGCAATACCAGTGAAGAGACAGCCATGGAGATAACCAAAGGAGATGTTACGGCGGGCCGGAGGAGTGCAATCGGTAGCGTAGGCATTGGCGATGGCCATGGCGGCAATGAAGGAGCCAGAAAGACCATCTAGAGCATAACCAACCAGAATCCAGTTGACCGGGAAGGTCTCGGGCTTGGTAGCAGCCATGATGATCAGGGCATCTCCTGCAATGATGCCCATGCTTGTCAGGGCGAGGATCTTTGTGCGGCCAAAGCGATCTGAAAGAGCACCCAGCTTCGGACTAGTGATGGCTGAGAGAAGTCCAGCAATCAGGTTTCCGTACAGGGTGAATTGTGCGACCCTGGCCTGCACTTCTGGAGATCTGCACTGAGGGTTCTCGCCCTCGAACAAGATGGGCAAGAAAGAATGGCCGGGGTTCTTGGTCTGCTGCTCGGACATGTATTCGCGACAGACAAGGTTGAGGATGAGATTGATTCTCGGGGATATAATGGCGCCAAATGCCAGAGTCATGACGAAGAAGGGTGCCAGGACAAAGTAGATGGAAGGCTTGCGGTACCATGGGAGGTGGTCGAAGTCGGCGACACCAGCCCACTCGTGGCCTGAACCAGCATCACTCGGTCTTCTTTGGCGGGGTTCAGAGGGCAGTAATGGGTCCTGCTCGTCTGTGGCCACTCGTGCATCTATGCCTCCTCTTGCAACGGTAGTGTTCTCTTCGCCCGAATGAGTGCTAGCCGGCCGTGACCTGGAGACGTTGGCCTTCTTCGATCTGATTTCGGCTTCGCCAATGAAGGCTGCATCCGTGTCGTTGTCCATGTTGCCGCCCTCGAGTGCTTAAGATGTGCCGGCGTTTGGCGACGAGTCGTGGTGGACGGGAGCGTTTGCAAAGGAGCAACAAAGACTCGAGGCACAAGGAAAGAATCAAAGGATGCTAGGATTGGTAATCCATCAGGGAAACTCTCTGAGCGCGGCAGCTGGCCAACATCCTGATCCCTAGCTTTCCTTTCGATGCACCTTTACCCAGATAACGACGCGGGCCGGCCAATGGTCACCCGAAAGTCTACACGTAATGATCCGCACATCTCTTTCACACGCGAGCCTCACTTTCGCCAACCGCTGGAGCCGCATCGCCTACAAACTTGATTGTCTCGCACACTGTCGTGCTGATAAACATGATTTGACCACTGCTTCTCTGTGTCAGCAGCCCATTCACTGCTTCAACACTGCCTGTATCTCATCTGGTATTCGTTGAGGCTCTGCATCTCCGATCTGGTTTGTGGCGCATCCTCATGTACCATGACGCGCTACCAACTAGTATCGGCCTTGTCAGCCACCAAGACCCGACCAGGATGCAGCCGTGGTGACCCTGGCTGTCTCTAAACGGAGTATAGATATTAGACTGGATTCCAACAAAACGGTCGTGTGCTGAAGAAAATTACACTGTAACATGTAGATGCATGATAGTTTCTAGTGAGGGGCTAGTCTCCAGATAAGACGTCGTGTCAAGGGGTCTATGGCCACTTTTCTGTTTCGATAGCAATTGTGCATGTTTATCATCCAACATCGTTATCCAAGTTCGCGTAGTTAAGACAATGTGGAGCGCCCGGGGAAGAATAATATTGGTTCAGATCTGCGGAGATGAATATGTACAATATATACATCTACCCATAGGCAGCCTATTACCATGTCTCTTGTTTATAACGGCCATCTTTTTCCATCTGATCAAGATACCCATCTGCCTTTTCGGCCTCCATCTGGCCATGTTCTCTGAGCACATCTGACAATGCCTCACGAACTCCCTTGGGCATATTTCCAGAAGATCCACAGACATACACCTTGCCTCCATCTCGCTCGAGCACTTGATAGACAAGACTCGCTTGTTGACGAATCAAGTCTTGAACGTATGTCCTCGGCTTGTCTTGGTCGCGCGAGAACCCAGGAAATACAGTGAGGCCTTGGCCTGTAAGATCCTGCCATTCGTCGCGGAAGAAATAATCGGCTTCCTCTTTACGGCAGCCGAAGAACAACAAACTGGGCTGCCTCGAGCCACTCTCTCTTGCCCATTCCAAGCGCTCATAAACCATCGATCGCATTGGCGCAACACCCGTGCCTGGGCCGATCATAAGCACAGGTACGTTGGCCTCGTCTGGGCTCACATTCAGATAGCCCGGTTGGACCGTAAGGCTAAGTTGTTGTCCAGCCTGCAATGTTGCGATGTAACGAGTGCAGACCCCGTAGCGCTTGCGTAGTTTGATGATGGGGTTAGGAGGGTTTGCGATTGCTACAAGCAACTGCACTCTGGTATCACCATCTCCAAAGCGCTTCAAGCGGCCTCCACTTGCAATACTGAACTGGCGGCCCCTCATGACTGGGATTATGTTCAGAGTGTATTCCCAAGGGATCTTGACGCTCGGGAATTCAGGCATTATCTCAAGAATGGTTCGCCTTGGTCGAGTTGTATAGTCCCATAACTCATCAATCAGCTCAGGGTTAGCTAATTCCAGGATACGTTCCTTCTGGTAACCCTCGTCTTCGTTGCCTTCCTTAGTAAAATGTGCCAGCGAGGCAAAGAACGTCCTCCGAGGTATTGAGAGTATGTCCAGGTAGTTCGTTAGTAGCTCGCGCATTGTGAAGTTTGACTTCTTCGAGTCAAGATATCTGAGAGGCGAGGGAGGGTAAGTAGGCAAATCAAAAACTTCTGCTGTAGGAACAAGCTCCAAAGAAGTATCGGCCATAGATTCCCAGCCCATACATTCGATGAATTGGTCCACATCCTTGGGAAAATTCTTAGGATATACGACAGCGACAGCGCCAGGTCCGTAATCAATACTTGAAGGCACTCGAAAATCCAGGAGCCGCACATCTTGAGTATGATCAGAAGGAGTCAGACGTGTGTTCGCTATCAAGTCGGCGGTAACACTGTCTCCAATTGGTAGAAGGTCATTTGCAGGCGGAGTGTCCAAGGTAAGGGCCTGAGAAGGGGTTGCGGCTTCATCGTAAGTAATGCTGCTCCCATTGGTCTCGGTGGTAGAGAGTCTGAGACGCCATTTGGGCTTTAGGAAAACGTCCTCGGCAATGATATCCTGTCCTTCAGGCAAGGGGAACTGTCGTAAAAGTCCTTGCTTCAGATCCACAATCCATGCACGGAATTCACCATTATGACCTTCTGGATGTTGCTCGTTGCCTTCTCCACGTGCACAGAACAGCTTCGCACCTAACTGCAGCATACGATTGTGTAGCATACGGTGGGCAACATTATATTGTGGATATGAGCTGTCACCTAGACCAAAGGTGGTGAAATTAACGCGTCTTAGAACGCCCGGCCGAAGCTGACTGCTCAACAAGACTTTCCAGAAGGAGCGAGCATTCTGTGGAAACTCGCCCTGCCCAGTGGTGGATATAGCTACTATGATGATGGTATGCTTGAGTAGATCACNGCTATCGAAGGTCAGAGAAGGCACAGCTAGGAATGATGGAATAGCACACACAAGTTCTATCGAGTCAAGGTCTATGACAGTAGTATCAAATCGCAGACGCTCAGTCAAACGAGCAATCTCTTGAGCAACATCTTGAGCATTGCCTGTCTCTGAACCATACAGGATCAAAGCAGAACGAGGCTTTGCAGCAGTTTGCCNTGCACCAGTCAGAGCAGGTTATCGTAGAGGATATGTCATTGACAATCACCTTTTGGCAGGAGACTGTCCAGTTACCGCAGCATCGTGCCCGGAGACACCATTCTGAAGGTGTGTCATGCAGTAGCGCGGCTGTCTCGTGTCAATTTATGGGACGGCCAACCGGAATGTTCGTCTGCGGCGAGTCGAAGGCGGAGTGTGTGGATAGGTACTCGAGTAGTCTTGATTGTAAGTTGAAATAGAAATCCTCACAGAAAGTCTGACAAGAGTGATGGTTCAGTTCTTGAGGCGACTTCTAGGTCCTTCCTTCCCCACGACGCCAGCAAGTTACGCCAGCCAAGAAAGGACGTGGACCCTGCTGAGCAGCGACTGCCGAAATTCGACCGGGCGAGAAGTCAAGCCACCTAGTTTACGAGACAACAACACCTTCCATTCACACCACCTACCACACAGCAAAGTGACAAACTTTCCACCCTCTCCTCATCCCCAACACCACGAATCGGGCACCTAGCTACCCAGAACTCTCCCTCGTCAAGCCAGTTTCCACCACAACAGGCGGTCTCGACAATCCAACCAACCTCCCCAGACCTCACAGCTCCAGCGTCATCCACCTACCAACGTCATAATGTCCGTCGAAGCTGCCACCGCCCAAATGGCAAACACTACCATCACCGAGCCCACCTCGACCGCCGAGGGTGCTTCAGTCGGAGCCGGCGGCGACAAGCCCATCAACGCCTCTCAGAACGAGGCCGTCATCGCCAGCGCCGCCGAGGGTAGAAGACTCTACATTGGAAACCTCGCCTATGCGACCACTGAGGGAGAGTTGAAGGATTTCTTCAAGGACTACCTTGTGTGAGTCTCGCCGTTTTGATTGTGGTCTTCACCCCTGACTTTAGCTACAGTNGAGACGACTTCCATCCCCACCAANCCCCGTACCACTCGTCCTGTCGGCTACGCCTTCGTCGACGTCTCGACTCCTTCTGAGGCTGAGCGCGCCATTAGTGAGTTGAACGGCAAGACCATTCTCGACCGCAAGGTCTCCGTCCAGCTCGCTCGCAAGCCCGAGCCTGCCCAGGAGGGTAACGAGAGTGCCGAGCCTGCTCGCCGTCGTAGCTCTACTCGCGGTCGTGGCCGTGGCCGCGGTCGTGGTGGCCGTTCTGGCCGTGGTCACGTAAGTCATCATGCACAGAATTCATTTTGGACCAAAAACTAACAAGCATAGGGTCGCAACGCCGAGGACCAGGCCACTGACGCACCTGCCGACTCAACTGATGGACCTACCAACGTTCCTGGCCAGGTCCTTCCTCTGACCGAGACCACTAACGAGGCTCTTTCTGCCGCCCCTGGTGACAAGGACACCATGACCGCTAACCCCAACAAGACCGGCAAGACTGACGCTCTTCGCCCTCGCAAGCAGCGCGGTCCCCCTGAGGATGGCGTTCCCTCCAAGACCAAGGTCATGGTCGCTAACCTCCCATACGACCTTCGCGAGGAGAAGGTGAGCTTGTGAAACCAAAACGTGTCGCGTGACCATTATGCTAAACTCGTCTTGACANNGCTCCTTGAAATCTTCGCCGAGTACAAGCCCACCTCAGCCAAGATCGCTCTTCGTCCCATCCCTCGCTTCATGGTCCGCAAGCTTCAAGCTCGCAACGAGCCCCGTAAGGGCCGTGGCTTCGGCTTCGTCACTCTCGAATCCGAGGAGCTTCAGCAGAAGGCTTGCTCCGACATGAACGGCAAGGAGATTGAGGGCCGTGAGATCGCTGTCNNAAGGTCGCCATTGACAGCCCCGGAAAGGAGGACGAAGACCCCAACGCTCCCATCGAGGGCGAGGCCGAGACTGACGGCAAGNCCTTCCACTGCCGAGGGATCTGCCAACACCTCCGCTGCCGTCGCCGAGTAAACCGACACTACCGAGCACGACGGACCGAGCACACCTGGATGCCAGACTTTGGTCTGAAGCACCATAAGAAGCACCAAGCATTACGGCGGCCGTACAAATCGCAGCATGACCTAGGTGCGGCGTCAAGTTGACTGCGAAGATTTGTTGAAGCCGGTTGCGCAAAAGATATGATTTCCACATGACATTTATATGCCCTACCCTTCCTTCTCTATTCTACATGGTAACTTGACGACCATCGAATATGTATTAGTATGACGAAAGAAAAGCGATCATGATTCAACCATCTTTGTTTATTGAACTTGTTATGTGCATTGTGATGACTAGAGGCTTCAAAGCTTTATCCTGGGATGGCTCCGGCCGGCGTTGATAGAAGCAACCAAGGCATATCGTGTAGATGAGAAACTTGATCACAGCAGGACGCAGTATGACACTGCAGTTGTAAGAGAACTGAGTAGCGATAAATCAAAGGAGGATGTTGAAAGCGTCAGGCCGAGTTTTGTATGGGCACCCCTCATGAGTCCAAACAGCCCAGGCGAATGCCGAGGTCGGAATCGCCTGCCCAAACTTGCTTGTGACGGCCGTCTTGTCCGCTCGTCCAACTTATTTCGCATCACTCTTCCTACAAAATGTCTGGTCTACGAATCCTCGTGCCGGTCAAGCGCGTCATTGACTATGCTGTCAGTCCACTCGAATAGATGTTCACGTCTGGAAGTCTGTGATTGACACCGCCCACANNGGTCAAGCCTCGAGTCAACAAGGCCCAGACGGCCGTCGAGACTACCGGAGTCAAGCACAGTATGAACCCATTCGACGAGCTCTCGATCGAAGAGGCTGTCCGTATGCGCGAACGCAAAGCCCCGGTCGAGGACATTCTCGCCTTTTCCGCCGGTCCCACCAAGTCCCAGGACATTCTGCGTACCGCCATGGCCATGGGTGCCGACCGTGCACTCCACATTGTCGAAGAGAAGACCGAACTGGAGCCTTTGAGCGTCGCCAAGTTGCTCAAGAAGGTTGTCGAGGACGAAAACCGCAACCTTGTCATTCTGGGCAAGCAGAGCATCGACGACGATGCCAACCAGACTGGCCAAATGCTTGCTGGTCTGCTGGGCTGGGCTCAGGCTACCCAGGCCTCCAAGGTCGAAGTTGAGGGTGACACATGTACCGTGACCAGAGAGGTCGACGGCGGAGTCGAGACATTGCGCGCCAAGCTACCCATGGTCATCACTACCGACTTGCGATTGAACGAGCCGCGCTACGCCAGTCTGCCAAACATCATGAAGGCCAAGAAGAAGCCGCTGGTCAAGAAGACCATGGAGGACTATGGCATCGATCTCACCAAGCGCCTCAAGCATGTCAAGGTCACCGAGCCCCCACCGAGACAGGGAGGCGGTAAGGTCGAGGACGTTGATGGCATGATTTCCAAGCTCAAGGAGCTGGGCGCGTTATAGAGGAGCCTCTAGAGAGCTCTGATCTTGATACCATGTATTTGTTCTGGCATGACAATATAACTATTTGCTTGAACCAAATCATTTTGTCTTGATTACGTGCTTCTACCAGTCGCCCCAAGTATCATCGCTCGACTTTTGCTGTGAACTTGTAGGCTTCTTCATGGCGCTCGTCCCTATACTGGAGGAAGCGGCCTTCTTCTGTGTTGCAGTCTCACCAGCAGCAGCAAAGTCGTCCCAGAAGTCCTTCTTGTCGTTTGCAGGTCCCTGAGGGGCGTCACCAAAACTGTCCCAGAAGTCTCGCTTGTCTGCTGCTGGACCTTTGCCTCCCTTGGGTGTCAGTCTCTCGTCACCCTCAACGAAGCGGTTAAAGGTCTCGGCGGCTGTCTTTGTGCTTGTCTGCAGACCCTGACCCAATTGTGCTGCTGTCATGCGTGCCTGGGCAGCAAGATCGGCTTCTGCCAGNNCTGTTAAAGTGTCAGTCCTGGAGTATCAAAGCGTGTCAGCCAGACCGACCTTCTGCATGTTGGGCTTGACCCAACCATCATAACCGGTCTTTGCTTGTTTGGTCACGGTGCTGCTCAGCCAACCAAACCCCTTTGTGAGTGCTGCGACGGGATCCTTCTGGAAATCATCCACGCCAGGGATTGTGGTCGAGTTTGAGGAGGACGAAGGCATGGGCTCGCTGCCGAAACCGGCGTACTTGCCGCCCTGGTTAGGATGTAGAGTGTCCGGTCTGTGAGCGTTCTCGGCGCCCATGCGGGCAAAGTAGGCTTCGTTCTGGACCTTTTGCGAGGGAGGAGCAGCAGACGAGGCACCAAGGGGAGTTTGGCTTCTGCTGGTCGAAGCCGAGGAGGCAGGCTTTGCGCGAGCAGCCATGCCACTGCTCTTTGTGCCAGGTACGTATTCCTTGCCCTCGACCTTTGCGGTCAGGCGCTCTTTCCACTCCTCACCGGCGTCGCTGTCGTAGCGTTCCTGGATGGTGCATTCGTCAAAGGTGCGGCCTTGGAGGGAGTTTGATTCGTGAGCATCGAAGAAGTCCTTCCAAGGCTTGTTGCCGCCCTTGGACATGCGCTCGACCTCCTGGACTTTGAACGAGTCCATGGTGATTGATCGCACAAAGGAGATGTGGACGCCGAGAGAGCGGTGGGTACCAGAGCAGGACAGACAGAAGAAGATGCCGAACTTGGGCGAGGCNNCTTGGTGCACAGGTGAGCGGACAATTGTGCAGGGGAACGGGTGTCAGTGGCATACCCATTGCGGGCTGGGAGCACCGCAGTCGACGCAGCGGTTGTTCTCGTTGGTCTTTTGGATGTCTAGGAGCTTGCTCTTGGTTTCGGGATCAACCTGCAGACATCTTGTTGGCACAAACAACACCCTGGACGGAGCAGCTATCTGACCTCCCACATTTTGTTGCTCATCTTGACGGCGGTCGCGTGTGTGTCAGACCGAAATGCGACTTGAAGGGTGTTGTGACGGAGCAAAGAATGGAAAGGAGAGTGAGATGGTGAAAGCAATAATAATCCGTTGTTATCAGCTTCCCCTTGGTTTCGATAGTCGCATTGTCGCTCCACTGCTGGCTGCTGGCCGCTGGCCGAGGCACGTCATCCGCCAAGCACGACCTTTTGTTGCTCTACCATTTCTTGCCCTCACTCAGACCTACGCCTGCACACGCGAATCTCTGTCATTGACAATTGAATGCCACCATGGACTACAATTCGCTCACTGTCGCCAAGCTCAAGGATGAATTGAAGGAACGCGATATCCCCAGCACCGGCCTCAAGCTCAAGAAGGACTTTGTCGACCGTCTGGAGCAGCACGACCAAGAAACACTGAATCAACAACCAAATGTCGAGCACACTGCCCCGGAACCCTCTCTCGATACCCCAACAGAAGAGCCCGCCGGTATANNGACCCTCCCAGTGCCACAGACCCACCACCAGCCAGCGAGGACAAGCCAGAACCGACCGACCATCAAGAGCCTGCAGGCGCAGAGCCCACCCACGAAACAATCCCAGACGCAGCTCTCTCGCCCCAACCAGAANGCCAGGGACCAGCTGCCAGTCGCCGCTACGCCTGAGCCTGTCAAGACGGAAGAGCCGGTCTCGGCTGATGGTAAAAAGAGAAAGAGACGCAGCCCCAGTCCGCTTATGTCCGAAGACGTTGTCCACAAGAAACTAAAGCAAGAGGCTGATGGTCCAGTCGTCCACTCACCGACTGACCAAGACCCCGTCAAGGACGATGTACCCATGCCCGATGTTCCTTTGGAGCAACCCGATCTTACCCTTCAGCCAATGTCAACCAGCGACGACTTGACACAACCATTCACCAATGATCCCGACAAGCCAAGGTCAACCCGAAGTCCCAATGAGCGTCGTTTCAAGAATCTGATTAGCCCTGCCGAGTCTGACCCCGTCCAGCCCACACCCGAGCCTGCTGATGTTGCTGTATCTCCTGCGATCCACCCCGCTACTCGTGCTCTGTACATCCGCGATCTCGTTCGTCCCATCAACCCCAGTGGCTTGAGGGATCACCTTGAAGACATTGCCAGACCNCCAGACCATTCTGATACCTCCGCTTCCCTGGTCGAAGAATGTTATGTCGATGCTCTGCGCACACATGCCTTTGTCCTATTCACATCCATATCTGCTGCTTCTAGGGCGCGAGCCAGCACGCATGCTCGAATCTGGCCCCCAGAGCCCATGCGTAAGCAGCTCTGGGTAGACTTCTTTCCTGAGGAGCGTTTCCAAGAGTATCTTGAAACTGAGCGAGCAAGCGGAGGCTCAAGGCCTAGTCAGGCAAAACGCTGGGAGATTGTTTATAATCCTCTCGGTGACGGAGTCGATGTACAGCTTGTTGAGGCGGGTCCTGCTGTCCACCGTGCTTCAACGCATGCTGGCGCACCAAACGCTCCTCCCACTGGGCCCAGGGGCAGCATGTCGAGCGGAAGACGACCTTCGTTCGCTCAAGGCGAGCATGGACGCTCTTCTCAGCCTGTTCCTGTACCTCCTCCGCGACGCGGCCCAAGGGTAGTCGAAGAAGCAAGTACTCCGTTCCTAGAACTGGACAAGCTCTTCAACTTCACCTCGACCAAGCCAAAGCTATACTGGCAGCCAGTAAGTGACGATCTCGCCGATAACAGGCTCGGCGAGCTGGATCGTGAGACCAGCAGAGATTGGGACCCTCGCGCCGATATGAAGAGAAACGGCGATTCACTGGGTCGCGGTCTCGATCAACTAAAGCGTTACACCTTCGAGGATGGTGATGTTCTTGTCGATGGTGGCCCTGAATTTGGCGGAGGTCGTGCATTCGCGCGAGCTGGCAACCGTGGACGTGGTCGAAGGAATGGAGATAGTTATCGTGGTGGCCGCTAGATTCGAGCCAACATGATATGCAGCAGCATGTAGCGACTGAAGCACCCACCCCAGGTAGGCATTCCTTGCTGTCAACTGCACTTGGTTAGTAGAAATTTGCTCCATCAAAAGTACTTAGATGTTGTATGCAACCGTTTGACCACCATCTCTCCTTGAATCCGTACAGACCTTCCTGTCTTCAGATGTGTTGCCTAGGTCTTACGCATGAGAGCCGCCTGTACTCTTCCTGTAGCATGTCGAGGTAGTGCATGCAGCTTCCACTCCTCTGTGGTCCTCAAAGTAGCTCGTGAGCTCTAGTCGACAAGGACCAGGTGCTGTTGAAGTTCTGGACATCCTCATCTCGACAAGGATTTGATCTTTTCTTCCTTGCGCTATACACGCACAGTCTCTCATCGACACCAGACCATCGCGATGAAGCCACAGAGCCATACACGATGAAACGCGCAAACCACAATACTAAAAATGTCATCAAAGCCTTTCGGTACCACACATCTTTCTGCCAATCCTCGCCCGGCAACTGACCATCTACAACCGTCAAATCCAGGCGTTTTTACGCACCGCATAGGCACATACGCATTGGGGCCATGTCTGCTCATGTGCTAGACTAATCATTGTCAGTTTCCATCAATATCTTGAAAACAGTCTTACGAGAAGCAAAGCGTATGTCTCACGAGAAGCAGAGCAAGAACATGTGATCTTCTAGCTCAATTGGGCTAGCGTGGAGAGCTATGCTGATGGTAACTGTATGGCATCGTTGCTTCGGATCCGTTCCCTGTAGAGCGACACAACGAATGTCATCGTATGACAGAATGGACGCACTGTGTTGATGTCGCGTACGAAGCGCTCCTGGTTTCCTGTGAGTACAGCTCTGTTCGCAGTTACGGAACAAGAGAGCCGTGGTGGAAGGGTGGATGAAATTGATACAATGAGAGGGAGGAGAGCTGCAGGCGTCAAGACATGCGAAGGAATGGGATGATTTATTCTTGATTCTTTTGTACAGTAAAATTCCAACACCTATAAAGGATAGGTAGGAAAGGCGCCGTGGATGACACCAAGGTCTCTATGTGTTGTTGATAATAAATGTAGAAGAACAAAGAACCAGGGCATTTTGGCCCAAACGCCCGCTAATAACCATAGGATAAATAAACAAGAAGAATTCTGTAGTCAATGGATAGAATAAAGAAAAAAGTGTGTGCACGTCGTGGTCGCGTGAGCAAGTGGCGGAGATAGAAGGCAAGCAGCGAAGCCACTTAGTCGTCGACTGGATCGGGGTTGGTGACACCCAAGGGCCGAGAGTAGTCTCGTTGGTCTTGCATGGTGCCGATACTCGCGCGACTGCCGTTTTGCTCCCAGTGCTGCATCAGGGCAGCAGGGTTCAGTCGCTGATCGTAAACAAGCGGACGGCTATTACGTCTGTCACCATCTGGGCTGGTAGGAATTGGTGCAGTCGATTCGCTGCCTTGGTATCTGTGGCCCGTTGTCGAATCATCAGGGAACTTCTCCATGTCGACAGCGGTGCCTGCAGGGGACAGTAGACCGGTTTTGCTGAGAACGCTAGTGTTGCGTTCCATTCTTCTTCGAGCAGAACCTGACCCAGAGCCTGACCTCGGAGACTCTGGATCGGATGTCTCGGACCGTTTTCTGCGCCAAAGAAAGAATGCACCCGCCAGGAGCAGAGCAACACCAGCAACAGAGCCGATGACAGCGCCGGCCACAGTTCCACCAGAAACACCTTTTCGTTCGGTATCATGCAGCGAGCCAGCACCGGGGGTCACGACAGCGGTACTTGTGACCGTTTGCGTAACAGGAGCGCCCGAAAGGGTAACGACACGGGTGCTGACGAAGGTGGTGTGAGATAGTGAACTGGTATCGGAGTCCGCGGAAGTAGAAGAAGGGCTGCTTGTCACAACAGCTCCTTGAGTAGAGGTGATGGAGAAAGATGTTGAGGTTGGTGTGGATGAAGGTGTTGAAGAAGTTGTTGTTGAAGAAGGCGTCGAAGAAGATGATGTTGTTGTAGGCTTGCTCGAAGAGGACTAAATGGCTATTAGCACAAGGAAAAGACGGGCAGAGTATAGCAAAGCAGTATGTGGTTGCAGACGAAAGAGAATTCTGGGTAGGCATACAGGCGTGATATAGGATACGACGACCGAAGCACTCTGCTTTACGGTCACGGTGACAGGAACAGAGGTAAACACGGTGGTATCGCTCTGTACGGAGGAAGNCTGCCTGAGCGGAGGAGGGAGAGGGTGATGAGGTGGGCGTCTAAGCAGACATGTGGTTCAGTTGATATGCAGGGCAGCGAGGGTGTTGTTTTGCAGATTATGTAGAGGTACAACAGTTTGGGAAATCAAGTCATGGCTTACCGATTGCTGCGTTGAGGATTGAGCGGCACTGCTGGTGGAGCTACTGCTTGAGCCAGAACCTAGGGTGCCTGATGGATCGATGTTGAGCTTGATGTAGCCGTAGAGGCCGTTGTCCTTGTCACCGCAGCTCTCGCTGGGATAACCAGGACAGGATTGACTGCATTGCGAGACGTCAAGCTGGTCTGCAGGAGCGTAGTTTGAGCACCAGCATTGCTGGTACTGGACGATAGCAAAGGCGTAGTTGGCAGCGCATTCGTCATGGCAGGCACCATTGGACTGGTAAATGTTGGTCACTGCTTGCACGTCAGCAGGCTGGCACACATGGAGCCGCAACATGAGACATGTGCTCAGTGCTCAATGCTCACCAGCGTCATAGTCGGAGCCCGAGTTCTGGCTCGAGCAGTATGTCTGGCTCAGACCGTGAGCGTGTTGCCAGAAGCTCGACATGAGAGCCAGTGGCAGCAGCAAAAGTTGGCCGCTGCGAAGACTGCCCCGAGACAACATGGTGATATGGGAGCCCCGTCGGATGCCAAGACACAGACAGAGGGGACTTTGAGGGGCCGGTCGTCAACAAGTCACACTGCAGCGACAAAGCGACTTGCAGCGACTTGGTCTTGGGTGGTGCAGGGATGCTGGATGTTGGAGGCGCAAACGTGTCGATCGAGCAGACGCGCTGCGGAAGAAAAAGAGTGTTGGGACTCGTCCACGCTCGTCGCAGAATTACAGAGTCGAGTCGGCGTATCGCGAGCGGGCTGGGCACATTTCCATCAACTGTCCTTGGCCAGGGGGGAGAGCTAGTGCGCAATCTGTCTCCAGGTAGGGGCGTCGATATAGTCGAACAGCGAAGCAAGGACCAGGGCGCGAAGAGAGAGGCAAGCTCCAGCTGGGTGGTGATTGTAGACTGGGATTGAGAAGAGAGAGGAAGAGCTAGCTAGGTAGCTACGAAAACAAGAACGCCAGCAAGCAAGCAAAGCAACCAAGCAAACGATGGCACAAAACGCACAATGTTATTGCAGCCGTTGGGTAATAATGTTGACTCGTCTATTTGCAAGACTCGAGTGGTCGACAACGCTAACCAGCATAGCCAAAGTCTGCCGCCTCTCTTGATTATGATTTGCACTCTGCCGGCCCGCTGTTTCATCATTTCGAGCCAAACAGGTTCGCAAATCTCCATCGACCTCGTCATCTTGTGAGACACGTCCAATGAAGCCGTCTGCTCCGATGCCTTGGTGCCCGCTGTCCAAGATTCGCGTCTGATCTGCCGCCGTCGTGCTCATCATGGTTTCCTGTTTGTCCGCCGTGTCACCCCTTCTTGTGAAGCATATTCAATCAACTTGCTCACCCAACTGCACCAACCGCTTGAACATGTAACAAAGAATTGCGTCCTCTGCCGGACACCGCTTGGTCTTTGTCACCCGCCGCATGCACACGCGATCCATAACGACTAGAGCATCCTCTACACATGTCCCGACGTTTGCGCACAGACATTTGCAATCTAATGCCTACAGCTTGGCCTTGCCGCCCTTGACTCCCTCAACAGTCGCTCCACTCAGGATGAAGTCTGGATAACTCCAAGTGGAACCCGGTCCGCCAGCGTTGACTCTCCAGCTGCCTCCATCTACCACGACTGTTGAGCCATTGACAAAATTGCCTGCATCAGAGAACAGATAGACGGTTGCGTCTGCTATATCTTTGACCGACCCCAGCCGACCCAGAGGCACCCTCTTTGCCGACTTTGCAACACTCTCCGGGTCGCTCTTGGCCAATCGTTCCATGCCTTCTGTGCCACCGATGGGACCTGGTGCAATGACATTCGAAGTGACGCCCAGCGGTCCATACTCGATGGCAACCGCATTAGAGAGAGAATCGACGGCTGCTTTGGCGGCTGAAACATGAGTCTGCAGAGGCAGACCGGTATAGTGAATTGTTGCCGAGACAAAGATGATTCTCCCACCAGAGCTCGGGTTTGTCGCATCTACAGTGCTGCTCTTGGCGCTCTGAACCAGGTAAGGCAGCGTCGCTTTGACCGTGTTGTAGCTGCCGAGGACATCGATATCGATGACGGACTTGAAGGCGTTGGCACTGAGCTGTGACATTGGCGCCAGAAAGTTGCCTGCTGCACCGGCAATGACAAAATCTATGCCTCCCAATTCCCTGGCAGTTCTATCTGCAGCATCTTGCAGGGCTTTAGGGTCGCGGACGTCGACTCCAGCGATTGCGAGTACACGAGCGCCAGGGCGGGCAGTGGCAATGTCGGCCGCCATTCGCTCCGTCTTTTCCTTGTTACGGCCAATGATGGCGGCAGATGCTCCTAGATGAACAAGAGCTCTGGTTTGAGCACTGCAAATGGAACCAGCACCACCTGTGCAAAACAGAACCTTGTNCCTCTGGACGGGTCAATTAGCAGTGCGCGGACCCTTTTCCATGCAACATGTGAACACACTGAAGAGGCCATCTTTCCACGCGTCACTGAGGTATTCCTTCTTTTCTTGTGGCATGTTTACAACTGCTCAGAGTAGACGAGTTTGTGTTGTGTCGAGCGATCAGAAGTCTGGTTGGGCGACGCTGGTATGTTGGCTATGGTGGTGGTGGTATGCAGGAGGAGGAAGAGAAGGTCAAGCAGCATGGCGAGCGTGTTCAAAGGTCGTGTCAGCTCCAGCTGAGCGGCACGAGGCTGCCGAGGTAGACGTGTTTCAGGGCTAGACCACCGAGGTGTATAGTCATCATATGCGTATGCGGTTTGAGACAAGGAGATGGCGAGTTATGAGATCTATACCATGACCCTTCAACAAGAAGCTTTTCAAGAAGACTAGGAACATGTGATACCAAAGGTTTAAACGCTGGACTGATGTGTTTGTTGCGCAAGTTGCAAAAGCATGCGTGCTTGTGCTGGGTGCATAGCCGTTGGAGTGTGGGGATGGATGCACGGATCTGACGTAGTGCAGTATGGGGGAGGGTCAAGGTGAAATGACAGACAGTCAGTGTCAAGGCGAGCATACAGCCATCATCTCGAACGACACATTGAGTCTGTCGCAAGCATCTACCGACGCATTCGAAAATGCCATCTGCCATCGCCGCCTGCAAATTCGTGGGCACCACGAGTCTGGGTCTCTTCGCGGTGAGCTCGGAGCCTCTCTCTGAGCACTTGTCACGCTCAATCAACTGACATGGAATGCAGGGTGCCTCGTACTCGTTGGCCGCCTTGTCCATACCGTCGCTGCTAGCTCTTCCCTCGGCAAAGCCCGCCCATCATGTCCTGCTATCGCTGAAACAAAGCGCCTCGCTGCACTTGCGCTCGCTTGCCGTCATCTCGTTGCTCTCCTTCAACCTTGCCTACGCTCTCTCGCCAGCACGTGCCAGACATCCCTACCTGCTCTGGACTTCTCTTGTCGCTGGTCTCGCCGCCGCCTCGGATCTTATCCCTGGTCAAACTCTGCCCGCTCAGAGCCAAGACGACGTCAATGGCGAAACGGTCGAGAAGGCTGTCAGATCTTCCCAAACCCTGGAGCAGGCAAGGGCTACTATCGGCTTTGCTGGCTTCGCAATGGCCGTCATTGGCATATGGGGCGACGGTGCCTGAGCTGTCACTTGGCTTCTGCGCCCGAGAACCAACACCCACGTCACGTCCTTCAACACTTTGAGCTCCTGTAAGCTCTGAACTGCGCACAAGCCACATCCTTCCACCCATCTGATTATGCAGACATACGTATCAATGAATCCAGCTTTTCAAGTACTCGCATGGTTTTCGCAGTATGCCACTTGTCCGTGCAAAGATGCCGCTCGAGGCCTTGCCGCCCTCGTCCGTCATGGCCCTGACGATCGTGCTCTTCTTAAACTCGCGGATTCAGAAGCGGCGAACCTCGATAGAGTAAGGTCTGCGATGACGCAGCTGGCCGCGAGGGCGTGGCAAAGGGGCCTATGACTCTATGCTTCTCCAAATCCGGTCCTACAAGACTATTCATGAAGAGACCAGATTCAGACCCATCGAAGAAAGCCCTGCAACGGAACAAATCTTGTCCGGAATATCCCGCCGCTCTAAACAACTTTGTAACATCCTTCGACATGTGTTGGCTTCCCGACTGCCTGACTCCTAAATGCGTACTTTCTCTTCTCGCTCTGGCCCTATTGTTGCACCGATCTTGGACAAAACTCTCACTGCTATCACATTTGCGAGTAGAAATCTGTATCGTATCATCGAACAGGATTGAACTTGAAACAAGCCGAATCTTGAGGACGCTTCCTGCCATGCTTGAGCTTCGCAAACCTCCATCATGATGCATCGACGTACCAAGTCTTGTGATGCCATGGCTTTGCTTCCGAGTCTGCCATGTGCAATCTCTCGTCCTGCAAGTAACGAAGTATTTGCATCATTTGCCAACGATGTCTCGTCCGAGATAACGCTCGTTCGTGAAGAGCCCCTTTCTGACCAAGACCTTACCATGCACAACTCAACTGCGCAGGACCCATGTCCACAGACCGTTTTGTAATCTCTTTTTATTCCCGAACGAGCATTGCTGTATTTTCATGAACATACCAGGACCGTATCTTCTCTGTTCTCAATAGAGATCCTGATCAATCCTTAGTATCTCTGGCAAGCGCTGAACACCGCAAGGTCAGATATATGTACCCTCTGCACGTCAACAAAGTCCTACTGTCCCGAAAGCGACTCTTGCACGAGACTTTAATGCTGGACTTTTCTGATGCGATAGAGATTGGACTGACGGTCTTGCTTGTAGTTCTCACAGGGGTTGTATGTTCCATACATTTTATAAACAAGACTTTCGCTGATAAAAAGTGCCGCTCTATGAGAAGAGGCTGACCATCCGAAGAACTCATTGTATGTTTTCGTGATATTGATATTGACGCAGTCATGTTCATCAATGAGTATAGGAAAGTCATGGCTGTTGGACTCAAAGTAATGCTGACAAAGCTCGCCTTTCCGAGATGATTTAGTGGTTACGATAGGATCATAAGTGCATACCGGACTTCCCACAAGGGTTGAAACTGCTGCAGACCTCATCTACGAGGCTCTCTCTTACAGGAAGAACTGGCACTTGAGTATCTAGGTTGAGTACGTACATCTGCAACTACGTATATGCAGTTTATCTTACTGGATAGTTCCATATCCCCTTTGCAAAATGGTAAAGCAAACCTACAGGGACATACTAGAGGTATGAGCGCGTGTTTCCAAGACTCACATCCATCTCACAGTTCGATACAAGTTCTCTGTGAATACTCTGTACTGCTAATGTCCTTGACCGGCCATCCATTGCCAATTGCGACCTCGTGATTCTTTTTTTCTCTTTCTAAATCACACTCAACTGTAGAATTGTATGGGTATCCTGAAGTAACAGAACTTTTCTGTCGAGAACTTCAAAGTTTCCTGCCGCTTTGTGATTATATCGTCGATCGTTTAGCCAGATCTAGTGTCATTGAGGGCTTGTTGTGTGCTAAACCTCATCTCAGACAGAAGAGGGATTCAAGCAAAGTCTTCTCAAAACATCACCATGAAATGTTTCGATGTGATCGCTGAGGACTCTAGAATTCTATGGTCCGACCCGTCATCGATCAAGAACAGCTACAATGTATACTATCACTAACAACTCAGGTGATCGCTGATGGAATTGGGTGCTTGACCTGCAAGAACTTTGGACATGGCAGAGTTGGCTGCAGTACTTCATGTCCACTCATCTGGCATACCGCTGGTCGAAGGAGACAGACAAGATCACAACCGATGGACATGATATTATGATCACAGAAGACAATCACAAGACAAGAGACACATTGATGATAAGAGAAACAATCGATTCATACATTGGTAGTCAGCGAAACAGCGACTCCTGGTGCTAATGCATACATAACCTAAAGAATGAAAACCCCTGTCGACAATAGGACATGCTGAGCAGCTCGTGCGGATGAGAAGAAACAACCTCCGATGAAAGAAACAAAGCAAAGAACAAAAGCAACCCCTCCTGATCATAACAAATGCGAGGCAGCATGGTGAAGAACAGAAACAAGTGGTATCAAAAGACGAGAACAAACGCCTGCCGATCATGATGCAGAGTCAAGTCGACTCATGGATGAAAGGTGATGCGATTAAGAACGAGAAGTTGCCACGGCATCACAGACCTTGTAAGTGGTGCTGAACGGCTTGGTGACAGTGTGACGCATGGTGGAGACGTCAGTGGCAACGCTGGTGAGGAGCTTGGTGTGAACGCGAAGCTGCGTCTTGGTGAAGACGCTGGTGATGGTGTGAGTGACAGGCTTCATGGTGACGACGCTAGCGATGACGCTGGTCGAGTGGGCAGCCTCGGTGGTAAGAGAGCAAGCTAAGCTTGCAGTGGAAGTGGCAGTGACGGTCTTGACGGTGGACTTGATGGCCTTGACGGAAGTGGTGGACTGAGTGTCGCGGAGGCATCCAGCGATGTCCTGACCGCAAACCCACTTCCACGAGTGACCGGCGATGGCAGTGTTGTCGTCCTTGTGGTGAAGAGAAACGCTGTGGCAGACGCCAAGCTCGTGAGTGTTGTCGAGGTGGATGACTTCAGCACCGTTCTTGTGGCACTTCTCATCGCTGAAGACGAGAACAGAGCATGGCTGAGAACCATCGAGCTTGGACTTGCCCTTGCCACGGGTGATCTGAGCTCTGATGGAGAAGAAAGGCTTTGCGAAGGTGTGGCAGTCGTTGTACACCTGTCTGTCGGAGTCACGGTCCAGAGCGTTGTTACAGTTGGCGCCATCGGCAGGGAAGACGCGGACGTGGTCACGGACGGCGTCAGTGTCGACAGCTCTTGCGGAGATGATGTCGTGTTCGTTGTCGGAGAGGTCAGACCAGTCGTCGTCGATCTTGACTCCACAGACAAACTTGAACGATCCGAAGGGGCCGTTCTCAAGACCATGCTCGAAGGCGCACTGAGCATCGTCAGTCTCCTCGAGGTCGGCGATGATGGTGCCATCCTCGGAACAGGCGTTGTTCTCAAAGGCAGCGAGAACACAGCGCTCCTCAGCCGACCTGGAGGCAAAATTCATGGCGAATCTGGAACGCAAGCTCTTGAAGTCGTCTTGGTCAACGGGGTAACATGCGTCGTAGAATAGGCGAAGCTCTGTGTCGAAGGTGGCGTTGACACAGTGCTCAGTGTCACCGAGGCTGACATAGAGCTTGTCGCCAGCGTGGAGGACGGAGTTGACTTCCTCTTTGGTGATGTTGAAGTCGTCGGGAACCTCAATCTCAGGAGTGCCGGTGCAATTGGCGCTGTAGACAACCGAAGAGGTGACCGAAGGGTAGCCAGTGGTGGCGAGAGCTCCAGTGATGGCAGTGGAGATGCCGAACAACTGTGTGATGGTCAGCGAGTGTGAACAAGGATGGCTGATGATGATGGAAGATGGCTGATGACGATGATGGATGGTGATGAGTGAGTACGTACAGTAGTGGCCTTCATGTTGGCGGGTGAGCTGAAGACAGAAGAGTCGTTGACTGGAGAGCGGCGTGCTCGAAGATGAAGATGTCACTGAGTCGATGATGCAGCCTGATGGTGCGATGGAAGAGACAAACAAGAGGGGATGGGATGATGTGGGAGCGTGTTGTTTGGGTGATGGAGTGGTGGAAGAGGAAAGGTGGGAAGAAGGGCTTTTAAACAGGTTGGGCCCTCACCAAAGGAAAAAATCCGCGCGGCGTGATGCTCTTTCCCTCGACGCTCGTCGACGGCGTTGTGTTGGGATGGCGTTGCGCGTTGCTGTGCTGCTGCCTGAGGCCTCCTTCCCTCAACGACAGTCGACAGCTTCGCGTTCTCAGCGACGTTCAAGGGGTTCCGTGAGTGATGACTTCCCTCGAGAACACCTGAGCGACTTGCTTACGACTTTCACCAACCATTGGCCCAACCAAAAAGAAGTTGGTGTGCTTTCAGGGGCAGTCTCGTCGGACCTCCCTGGCTGGTGACTTCCTTGTGAACAACATCCTGTCTGTCAATGAACACATCCACCATGTATGATACTGCTATGCTCTTCCGGCTGGGGCGCGGCGAGTGTTGGATCTCTTGGAAGTAGCCGTGTGCAATGACACGAGAACCCTTTTGCGTGCCACGTTGGTGGTATGGCTGTTGGATACTACGATGCTCTGAGATTGACATGGTCATGGGGGAATAGCCTGAGAACAGGCCACTCTCGTAGAACTCAATGCAAATCATCAGAACACTGTATCTCGACTTCTACTTGAGAGTATCTCGATAATGATGAAACTCGATTCTGCTGCGAAGCCCGTACCTGCAACTGATCTCATATCAGTGAGGATTGAGCTGTGCACACCAGCAACGAACCCCCACCAGAGCTGATCGCTGCAAGTTCTTGCATCCTATGATGCTTCCGATGTCCAGCGTTGTGCCCAGGAGAGAGTTCGAACAACAAAATTTCCTGTTTTCCTTTTGTACTGCGAGAGGACTATCCATTCCGAAGCATAACAACGCAACGTGTGCCTTTGGACCACTGAAAGGACGAGTTTAAATTCTCAAGCACTTCGGCAGGGCCGGGCCATGTCTGTACATCAGGAGAGCTAGCGACGATGCTATTGGTGGTTTCAAGAGTCCTTGCCGACAGATAACTTTTCCTGTATCACAACGTCAAGAAGTTGAGGTCTTCGGTCCGAGGATCGTCTGTGCCTATACAACTGTTAGCTCAAGATATCAATCTAACATACTAATTTGCGATCGATGCTGCTACACATGCCTTACAATCAAAACATGGCTGCGGAATCAAGATACAAGGCAAAACGCAAAACTTCATGAGGGGTATCTTAATATGCTAAACAGGAATGCAACGAAACAATAGACACAAGCCCATGATATGTACCCAGGCCTCTCAACAACAGTTTCTCAGGACTGAGAGTACCATGGACCTTGTTGACCAGCGGCGGGAAACGCGTCCTGAGGGGGAACAGCCGATGTGTTGTTTGCCGGAGAGCTCTGGTTCACGCGAAACACACCACGCCCGTTCTGAGTAGGTTGCACTTGAAACATGTCAGTTACCCAGCGTAAACAAGACAACTCACTACTTACCTTGTATCCAGCGCGAATCTGGAACGGGTGCCTTGTCGAATCTGAGGATCGAGGGATAGTTGCAAACGGTTCCTCGTAGCTGGCAGGAGTTACAGACAGGTTGCAAACCATCGCACTGNNTTTCTGTCAGTAAGCTTCGGAATCGGACACAAGAGGTCAGCAGCCGTACCTGGGTATGCGCAGCTTTGCACTTGAAACAAGGGACAGCAAGCTTTGAGAAGCGACCAACATCAGGTGGTTGCGGTTGCTGGTAAGCTGGGTTGAAGCTTGGATGACTCGCAAGGGGAGGGTAATTGCCAGAAAGAGTGTTGGACGAGATGGTGACAGGAGCCGAAGGCGGAGTCCGCCAGAGAGGAGCCGGAGGCGGCGACGGCGATGACTCAGCATTCAGCTCCTGGTTCAGAGTGGAGGTGTTAGGTGGAGCCATCGACCGTTGCAGAATCTCAACCAGCGACAAAGGACGTTCCACTTGATCTGCTAGTTGAACAGGCTGTATTTTCTGGCGCTTCGAGCGGGGCTGACTGGCACTCTCATTGGTCTTGCGAAGGGGCTTCTTTGCAACTGGAAGCTCTACGGGGTCAGAATAGGGTTGGAAGGCCGAGGGATCAACATCATGGAGGATAANAGAGTTCTCGTGGGTGTCTTGGTCTACAAAAGACACCAGGCTTGCATCAGGTGTGGTTTCCGCCACTGACTGCTGTGTGATGGACTTCCGCTTTGAATCTTTACGTGGAGGCGGGCGTCTCTCAGCGACCGTCTTGTGGATGGCGTGATGCTTGTAGACAACCTCGACAGACTGGCGCATGGCAGAGAACTTGACTGCGATCTGACCCTTGCAGTCGTAGGTGGGTTTGCGAACACCGCGAGTGTTGGCACCAGGGCGCCGGGTTGCAGCATTGGTGGCACGGAAGCCATTGGCGTGTCTGTCCTTGTTTTCCAGCGAGTCGAGACAAGTGTACGAGTAGCGATAACCGTTGTCGTCTTTGCTGGACCAGTTGTTGTTGAAGCAGTACTTGAAGCCATCAAGGTGTTGGATCTGCTGGACAATGCCCTTGGCAGCAGCGCGCTGCCATATCTGTCGCTGCTTGAGGTCGTCGATGTTTACTAGTTCCAGCACCGTCTTGTATTCCAACTGCTGCTCTTGATCTTGCTCCTGCTCCTGTTCTGCTTGGTGCTGTTCGTGGACCGAGCCGATATCGTGTCCGCCGAGATCTAGCTCGTCGCCAAAGCCATCAAAGGGCATGTAGCTGGGTCGACGGCGAGGGTGGGAGGTTTCGGTGGGAGACTTGAGAGGTAGAGCGGCATGAATGGCCAAGGTCATAGCACACGAGACATATTGCGGGAGGGCGTCGGGGGTTGTGGCATTGTCCATGTACTGGCGTAGGGCGGTTTTGAGGTCGTCGAGCGACTCGAATACCGTGTCCAAATTGGTGTAGTCCTTGCGAGGCCGGTGCGGCCGCCGCGCCCTGGGCTGGTGTTGCGCCTGTCCCGCCGTCGGCGCTATTGACGTGTTCATACTGCAGGCTGAGTATCTCAAGATACTCGTTCGAGGCTAGTCTGTCGCGTTCACCAGAGCAAAATCGTTGTCGCATCGAAAGCCGTCACGTCGACTTCTACCATTTCCCCGCCATTGACGGTCCCGCCTCTAGCCCGATTAGGCGAGTCAGTATTGTAACGCTTCCAAGTTGTCTTCGACGCTCCGTTCATGCCTCTCTCGGCGACCTGAGGCTCACACGCACAATAGACCATGTTTTTACACCACATTCTGTGTCATAACATATGTATAGCTTCCGTCTGTCCAAATATGAAGCGGAAGCTTGAAGAAACACACGTACTGTACGAGTACTACGTCCTCAGCAATTGCGACGTCTGTGCGGCTCCTCGGTCCACTGTGCAGGCTCGAAGCATCGTCACCTAGCGAGGGTCTTCTATTGCGATACTCAACCGGTCATACATTCAAAGCGGCATCTCTTGGATTCCTGAAGCTATTCACGTTGTCCAAGATATCATTAGCAAGAAACCAGACCATCCGAGGCTCCCCGCACTGCCACAGACCGAGGTCGATTTATGAGCATGCAAGAGTGAACGCCATTTATCTCGGACACCAACCACAACCTGTTCCTCGAAAGGGGCTATGTTCTGCTAACAGTGGACAGCTATGTCGACTGACAAGATCTCTCCTGACGATAGCCGGATAACTCATTGTGAGGCTGATCTTAACGGCCAAACATACCGTACGCGCATGTCCCTGATCAGAAACTCGATCGACTGTTGTTGACCTGTAAAGATNTACATACTCGGTGTGCCAAAGCATGGAACATTCAAAGCTACTGTGTTCCTTATCCACGGGTGGCCAGACCTTTGGTATGGTTGGCGCTACCAGATACCATTCCTCATCCAGCAGAACTTGCGCGTCGTCGTTCCTGATATGATGGGATATGGTGGAACAGTGAGTTGAGCGAGATGAGCTTTTCCCACTCCAATGGCTAAGCACTCGTATATTAGNAATGCTCCACGCTCACCACCTGCTGATTTACGCCTCTATTCCATCAAACGAGCAGCCGACGACATTTTTGCGTTGGCCAAGCAACTAGGCGCCCCTAAGATCATCTTGGGTGGCCACGACTGGGGCGGCTTCGTGGTATACCGGACTGCACAATGGTTCCCAGAGCTCGTTACTCATGTCTTCTCTGTATGCACACCATACACGGTTCCTTCGAAGCATTACATCTCGCTCGCTGAGATGGTCAACGGTCCCTTGCCTCAATTTGGGTACCAATTGCAACTCGCAGGGCCTGAGCTGGAGGCCAATATCAAGTCTTACGATCAGGTCAAAGGGTTTTTGAAGGCTCTATATGGCGGAAGATCTGCTTCAGGCAAACCCTGCTTTCGACCAGAGACTGGTATAGACCTTGAAGGGTTAAAGACGATCGGTCTGGCACCCTCGCTCAACGGNGAAGGTGTGTCCAGATGGAACTGATTTGTGATTCAAGGCTGATCTGACACATACTTGCAGGAGCTTGAACACTATACCAAAGAGTACATGCGTCACGGACTACATGGACCCTTGAATTGGTATCGAACACGTCGCATAAACTTTGAAGATGACCTGAAGTAAGTGACCCTTAGAGGACCAAGCAATCTACATCTAACGAATTTAGGNCTGGGGACGAAGAAGGTTAGGCAACCGGTCTTGTTCATCTCTGGTAAGCTTGATGCAGTGCTGACACCGGAGATGTCAAAAGGTATGGAGGCATTTATACCATTTCTGAGAAGGAGGGAAGTAGAAACTGGTCACTGGGCTTTGACACAAGTCCCTGAAGAAGTAAACAAGATTGTGGAAGAGTGGTTTGTTGAGGTAGTCTTCGGCGCGAAGAGTATCTTGTGATTCTTCCTTCTCAACCTGTCATCGGGTATCTCTATCGATGCATCATCTATTCCTACCTCCTCCCTCATCAGAATCTGCCACGCGCATGGCCAAACTTAATCCGTCTGTACCGGCTTCGACACGTACTACGTTCGACGAGCGTGCGTCGAGGTTAGCTTGCGCCAGCGACACTTGGCCATTGTCCAGATCGAATACCCAGTAACCCGCCCTCATCACACTGTTGCTTGTAACCAAAAACCCTTCTTCAGCCTCGTCAACCCGTAGCCAGCACATTGGTCGACCGAAACGATCTGTCACGGCACTTCCATCCTTGGATGTAAGTGGAGTGAAGAGATCAGCTAGCTCAAATTTCAGTACGGCGGTGTTGGTTCCAATACCAGCAAAAGTAATCTCAAAGTGGGTAGTGTTTGCGAGACCACGAGCCACGTCACTGCAGGGCCTAACGAAGCCGTCATCAGCGATATCAGTGCCAGGATATTCCCCATCTGCTGGTTCGACTCCCGCATATCCAAGCACCTTATGATATGCACTAGTCGGCAATTGCCATCCAGGGGTTCCTGTATCCGGAACGGTCAGAATCTTCCTGCCCTTAGTAGAGCTGACGATAGTCTGGTTCGGCCCGTCATGAGGTTTCATTGTGACTGATTCCAGATATAGGTAGAAGTTTTCAACAGATTCTTGGTCCAGACTCAACAGGTTGAGCGTGGTCAGTGGACCCTCATACTTGTCAGTATCGAGCCCGCCAAACAATATAGAGCCATGCAGATCCAGCGCATTCAAGTAAATGCTATAGAAGCGTGATGGGATAGCACCACCTTGAACAAGCGCCTCGACAAAGCTCGGGAAGTTCTTCACTCTAGTGCGGTGTCTCACATGAGCCATGTTACTTGAGTATCCGAGACCCATGATTCCCACATTGGGGAGATATCGATCTTTGACCTGGTAGGCAAGTCCCACAGGAANGTTCTCGATCCTCACATTGTCTAGAAAATACGTCAGTCATCCCTCTGGAAGTACCATGGGTGGCCAGTCAATCGACTTTGTTTTGGATGCATACATACTCATCTGTATCATATCTGTGATGAGATCGCCCTNTTTCCGAGAACCATCGACATAGCCCGCATCAAGAGCTCCAGGGTAAGTTATCTCTAGTGTCGATGATATGTTCGGATCAAACTGGCCGTTGAAACAGCCACGAGCTGTGCAAGAAGAGGAGTTCATGGCGGAGAGGATTGTATCACTACTTCCAGTATCGATCAGAAGAGTCTGTAACTGACCAGGAGTTCCAACGGTCACATTTGCGTAGTAGGCCATGCCGCGCACATCAGTGTCATCAACGCTACTCGTTAGAGCAAGCTCGACAGTGTTCGGAGGACTGATTGCTGATCTCGCATAGCAGAAAAGTAGAGAGAGACAGGAAATGATCCCCAGGAAGAAATTCATGGTTGTTGGTGAAGGAAGTGGACTGAATTTTGATATCGTTCAAAAGCTAGAGCCCAAGATCTGTGAGGAGAGGAATTTCAGAGGAAAGATGGATAAGAGCTCAATTCATAGCGAGATGTGGTCTCGGCATTACTCACCATACATACAGACGATTGGTTGTTATATCGATTGTATACATGACTCACTAAACTTAGATACTCACGAAGGCATGCCAATGTGAAATTTTGCTCGCATCTTGCTCAATTTCGTCACATGGGAGTTGAGTTATATGTCGAGGACGACAGGCAGTCGTAATCTGAGGTCATGCTTGAACAGACAACTGTTCTCGCCCACTCATGAGAATTCTGACTCGATATGACTTCGGATGTTGCCTTGGCTCTGAGCAATGGGTCGCATTTGGTGTGCGATATTTTCAGCTCTAAGTCGTCGATAATGATGGCCGAGGTACTGATTCCATGGGCAATAAATTTTCAAGGCGTTCAATCGAGCGTGAGATTGAGCATTATCAAGACGTTGGGCCATTCGTTTTCAAACGACCACCATGGGGTCGAGAACTCGAACTTAGTTATGGCGTGGAGATCTGTCCGATACGTTTGGAAAAGGCAAGTGAGGGGATCTTTGCTTCTTCTGATACATGTGGGAAGTTGTAGGTATGACCCTGTTCTTTGTCTAGGATGATGTCAGCGCCTTCTCGAATTGTCGCCTCGATAGCATTCACACCAGTGGTACTCTTGAAACCTCCAAGCATTACGCACAAAGGCCAACCCCATACTCTCCTTTTGAATACCTCTCACCTACGCAAACCGATACGAACAACTAGGGCCAATATGGCAGACTCAGAAAGAGCGGCGACGCCACCAAGAACAGCTCGACCTGGCTCCATACCACGATCGCCAATGACGCCAGAAAAGATTCGACGCATGGTACAGGAAGTGGGCCTTGCTAGAGGGAAAAAGATGCTGACATGGTATACANNGGAAGAAGCGCGCCTGAGAGCAAAAGCCCTACGATCACAGCAACTTGCTTCAAGTCAAGAAGCACCGGCGAATCGCACGCCCTCAGGGTTCCTCGCTGGACAAAAGCGACCGCACACTGCTCTATCTGGAACCTCGGTGCAACCAAACCAACGCGATGCACGACAGGCAACCTCTGGCGACAAAGATGGCTTCAGCAAACCAGCTCGCGACTCGGGCATTGAACCAGCCAAAAAGTTTCAGAAGTTTGTCGAATATGACTTTAGCAAGATGACGGATACCAAGGGCGGATTCTTGACAGCCGAAGACGATCCACACAATAGGGCGTTACACACTCCAAACCAAGAGCAAAAGCCCGCCAACATGACGTTGAAGGAATGGGAAAAGGCACAGTTGATCAAGAAGCTAAAGAACGAAAGAGCTGGCCCTTACGAACCAGGTCTCAGTGCTCTGGGAGGCGCNAAAGAGCAGAAGAAATGCAGAGAGTGCGGCACTCTGGAGATTGACTGGAAATGGGACGATGTGTTTGGGTGTCAAGTATGCAAAGCGTGTCAGGAGAAGTTACCAGACAAGTACAGCTTACTCACCAAGACGGAAGCACGAGAGGACTATCTCCTTACGGACCCGGAGCTCAAAGATGAACAACTACTGCCACGGTTGGAGAAGCCGAATCCGCACAAGTCAACGTGGAACAACATGATGCTATATCTGCGCTACCAGGTAGAAGAGTACGCGTTTTCGGACAAGAAATGGGGCAGCCCAGAAGCACTAGACGAGGAGTTTGAAAGGAGGCAGGGCGAGGCCAAGCGAAGAAAGGAGGCCAAGTTCAAGAGCAAGTTGAACGACCTGAAAAGGAGAACGCGAGTGGATGCATACAAGCGCCAAAAGGCGGGGGTCGAGGGAGGAAACTTCGGAGACAAGCTTTGGGGCGCAAAGCACGAACATGAATGGGGTCGAGCGGTCGAGAACCCAGAGACTGGCGCAACCATCAAGACGTGCGTCGAGTGTGGCATGGAGGTTGAGGAGCTGGAGTTCTGATCAGGAGGAACGGCGGACACACAGTACAGTAGTCATGATACCCCTTATTAACGCGACAAATACGTGCATCAGTTAGACATGCGCTGAGCACGGAGGTGATTGATCGACATGAACCGAGGCGTGGCTGCATTGTGGCATGACGATCATTCCAAACAGCTCCAGCTAGTCGAGCAAGCACGCTTTATTTGTCAATGGACCAAAAGTCTACAGACATCCACCTCCTGTAGCATACATCTCCTCTTACAATCAACTCAACACCCCGACGCGCTTCCCCAGTCGCATCGACGCAAGCTCCAGGCTCGTCCCACCCACCATGACGCAAGCAGCGGTAGCAGTAACGCCCCAAAAGCGCAAGCAAGTCCTCAAGGTGCTCTTCATCTCGCTTCTGCTTGATCTCGTGAGTCGCGTCAACCATTGTCCATCTGCCAGCACCGGTCTGACCGTCATGTCTACTTCANNGATCTCCTTTACCTTCATCCTCCCGCTGTTTCCCAAGCTCCTCGAGTTCTACCGCGCCGTCGATGCCTCGGTCACGTCTTCATCGTCAAGTCCAACTCTCNNCCTCTCTCGTGTCCTGGGTCTGCTCAATGCGTACAAGAATACCTTTGCCAAACCAATCAATGATCGCTACGACATTGTCCTGTTGGGAGGCGCACTGGGCTCGCTGTTCTCCTTCTGCCAGGCCATCGCCTCTCCTGTCATTGGCCGCCTCTCCGATCGCTACGGCCGCCGTACTGCCTTGTTATGGAGCATGGTTGGCAACATCCTTAGTGTCGCTCTCTGGGTCGCCGCTACAGACTTCCGCACCTTTCTTGCCAGTCGCGTTGTCGGCGGACTGAGCGAGGGCAACGTCCAGTTGGCCATGGCCATCGCTACCGACATTAGTGATGACAAGCAGCGTGGTGCAACCATGGCTCTGGTCGGCGCTTGCTTTAGCATTGCCTTTACCTTCGGTCCTGCTCTGGGTGCTGCCTTGTCAACCGTCACTATCGTGCAAAGCAATCCCTTCGCTACCGCTGCTGGCTTCTCGCTCTTCCTCATCGTTACCGAGACTCTGTATCTCTACTTCTGCCTGCCCGAGACACATGTTGTCAGCTCTACCCCGAACAAGAACAAGACAGATGAATCCAAAGAGACCACGACTCAGCGCACCAATTCACACGCTCTACTCAACTTCACCCATTTGGCTTTCATCCTCTTCTTCAGCGGGATGGAATTCTCCCTACCATTCATGACCTACGATCTCTTCAACTACGGCAGCAAGGATACTGGACGCCTCCTCGGCTTCATTGGTATCGTTGCTTCTGTCCTTCAAGGCACCGTGACCCGTCGCATGCACCCTCTCCGTGTGGTACAGATGGGTGTTGTATCGTGCCTGCTAGCCTTCGTCCTGCTCGCTCGCCTCACAACGGAGGCCCAGCTCTACGGTGCTGCCGCTTTGCTCGCTGTAACCAGTGCCACTGTCGTAACGGGCCTCAACAGTCTAAGCAGTTTCGAAGCTGGCGCTTCTGAGCGCGGCAACAAGCTCGGCAATCACAGGTCGTTTGGCCAAATTGGTCGTACGCTAGGTCCTCTGTCCTTCTGCTCGTTATACTGGTGGGCCGGCCGTGACGTCGCATATGCTGTCGGGGCCACAGGCATGCTTGGAGTTGTCGCACTTGCATTCGGTGGTCTTCGTAAGCCTGTACAAGCATAGAATGGCCAAACTGTCTGTGCAGTTTGAGACACTGTTTGGAATTTTCGCACGTCGCATTTAGTACAAAAATATGTCCTTGTTCTCACACTGTCTAGATTGGAAGCGTTGTCAGATTGAACTCACAGCAACCCGTCCATTCCCATCACCTAGCAAAGCTGGACCATGTGCGCCTCACACCTGGCACAAACCGTCGCCTTCCACTCGTCCTCAAACTCTACATACTCTGGACAAGTCTCGTCTGTACCTAACCTCTTGCAACCCCCTTGCAGCATGAGCATTTGAGCTTTGGTTTCATCGATAGTTGTCCTCTTCCATGAACGTCTCGGAGTTGATTCGCTGCATCGACGATGTGACTGATTCTTGCATACAACAGAATAACGGTATGTTGTGACGGGGTTGATGACTGCCCAAGGTGCGAGATTGTGTAAGACCAAGGACCATTTAGATAGTCACAAGTTCTTGCAAAGCGTATAACAGGGTTTACATCAAGGCTAGCAAACCAGTCATGGGTGGAGTTGAACTTGTATTGATGCCCAGAAAGAGATCTTTGCGGACTTGCCATGTTCGACGTGCTGTGGAGCAATCCTTCTGCAAGAACTATAACACAGGGATAGCCTTTTCGATATTGACCTCAAATTAAGGTCAACTATAGCATTTGCCCCGGATTTTTTCGAGGAGAATGAGCAATATCTCTGACACCCTTTTGCTATACTTGTGATTGGGTATAGTAAGTCATGGCTGTGAACATACCAACCAATCGCTTACAGACATGGCGAGTAATAACGATATCACATCTCAGTATATATCAACCTCGTCACTATCTTTTCTTTGGAACTCCTTCCCTTCAAAACTTCTTCGCCAACAATTATGAAGTTCCATATGACGGTCCTTCCATATATCTCTCTGCTACTTGGCTGCACAAGAGCAGCAAGCAGGCACCCGAATACCGTCGAACTTGCCTTGATGAGCAGTGTTGGCAATACTGGTGGCCTGCAGTACTTCGTCAATCTCACTGTTGGCATCCCTGGACAATTGCAGACAGTTTTCATCGACACNCATTGCAGCAACACTTTTCTCTTTGCCTCTAACGCATCATTCTGTGAAACTCATAATCGTGTCGGCGGCACTTTCGATCCGTCCAAGTCCTCAACAAGAGGGACGACCAACCCTGGAGCTTTCATGGCAAACTTCATGATGGGATCTACCTGGTTCAAGGGCGACTATATCAGAGATACAGTCCAGATAAGTAAGCAAGGGTTTCCTTCAGGATCAACTGCCGATGATCTGCATTTGCCACTTAAAGGATATTGGCTAACAAAATCAGATGATTAGATGGTTATGAAACTTCCATTCGGACTTGCCAATGAATTGAACGAAACCTTTGAGCCTTTTACAGAGATTATGGGTCTCGGCTACTCGAGCAACATGCCTCACTGGAGTCGAAAGGGGAAGCATAGTGAGAAGACNATTCCCCCAAGCTTCGTTGAAGGGCTTGTCCAAGCTAGTGCCATCTCTTCACGTCTCTACAGTATTTACCTTAACAAACTGGATCAATATGGCTCGATCCTGTTCGGTGGAGTTGACACCGCTAAATACCAGGGCCCATTGACCACACTCAACTTCTTGCATTCGCGCAACACGGGAAAGGTCGATAATTTCTACCTGCATGTCAAGGAAATCAAGATCAAACCGTATAACGAATCATGCCGGACTATTTTCCGCTCTACCAACGACCACAAGATCAGAACTAAACCAGATACAGGAACCCCTGATTGGCAACTACCGACAAGCGTGTACCAAGAGGTTATCAGGCATGCGGGCTGTGAGCCTTCAGAAGAATCATGGCCTGGAGTCCCTAAGGGAAAATTCGTCAGACCGTGCAGTGAAGTGGCTCGAGGTAGCGCCAACACCGCTCATTTTGAGGTCACCTTCGCTGGTAACGGAAGCAACACTGCCAGTCTACGCCTAGAGCTAGCCGATCTGTTCTCTCCGATCACGAAAAAGGATGGCAGCGCAGCAACTGATGATTCTGGTCAACCGATGTGCTGGCTACGAGTCACGCGGCAACCGTATGACGGCCGAACCCGTTTGACATCAAGTTCGGTCATGCGAGCTGGATTCTGGATGTTTGATCTGGATAACGGTCAAGTGTCAATGGCACAAGCCAACCTAGGAGCAAACTCATCAAATGTGGTTCAGGTCGAAGCTGGTGCAGAGGGGTTGAAAGAAGCCGTTCACAACCTCAAAGGTGAGACTCANAAAGACAAGGTCGAAGGTCTAATGTCAGCTTCGGTGACATATGAATTGTCGACCGCTACCAACATTATTGGCTATGCTACAGGCACAGAGTCCTACCCAACACCAACGGGTATAGGATTGTACAATCCTTCGAACGACCACAGTCCGCGTCGTAGTCGGAACAATGCGCATGTGCATCTTTTTGAAAACACAGCTACTATCGTGGGTCTTGAGGTTTCTGGCTTCTGGGTTATCTGTGTTGCTGTTGTCGTGACGATGGGTACTCTCGCCCTTTAGGAGCGTAGTGTGAGAGAAAGAAATGGGAGGTTTATACCCTTGAGTAGTTCAAATACAGAGTTCAGATCAACTTTGATTATCTCCAACTTTTGGTGGTTGTTCATGCTGAGAGGCCACAAGAGCAGTTTGCACAGAGGGTTTTGTGTAATGATATCGGCAGAAGAGGTACGGCCAATGCTGCTGAAGGTGTCGAGTGAGCCACTCATATCAGAAACCTCGAACTGTGATGACCGGGACTGTTGTTAGCTACATCTCAGTGTACCCTGGCATTGTGCAAGAGTCGATATGGCTTTCTAAATATTCAGAGAAGGCTTTCATTGAGAGCGAAACCTATTCTGACCGTCAAAATCTAGTATGGATAAAAATATGTCAGGAAAGAAAGCACACTCTTACAGGCTCTCGGTATATGATACAAAGGGAAACAAGAAACAAGTTCAACCGATCTGTGTGCGAACTGTTGGCGGCGGCGGCGTGACTTCCTCGAGCTCAACTCGTTCAATATGAGAATGAGTCGCCCAGTCCTTTCCAACCATACTGCTATCGTCGAAGTCCATCCTGTTCTCGTAGTGTTCATGCTGTGTGACGGTTGTGCGAACGGTGATGGGTTCTGTAGATCCTCTTTCGGCGTTGTCGTATGTACCCACGTAGCTCGTGACCCTCCTGAGTCTGTAGTCCTTCATCTTATCCAGGGCTGTCTTGAAGTCGTCGAGAATGACTGTGTCTGTCATGCATTTGAAGATGAAGGACAGTTTCCAGAACGGGTTGATGCCGTCAGGCAATCCTTTGCTAGGGATAACATGGGTAACGCTAAGGATATCGACAAAGAGGAACATGACCGACAAGGTCATTACCACGAGAAGGACACCGAAGCGAGGAGAGATGCGGACGAGCTCAACGAAGCCGAAATCGTATCTCTTCTTGATGTTGTAAACGAGGTTCAGGATTGTGAATATCCACCATGGATCTCTATAGTTACAGTCAGAGGTTGATCAAGAATACAGAACACAGGCATCTGCATACCTGAACAAGGCCTCGAAAGGTCGGAGGTGTTCAAAGACCTTGTGATTGATGTTGTTGAAGTAGAGGAAGTTTGCAGTGATTTCGGCAACCCAGTAAGGCTGCACCATGATAACAGTGCCGATATAGACCATGGACATTTTTCGACTCAAGAAAGGCTTGTTCTTCATCCATGAGATGACATTGTGTAAACTCCAACTGATGTTGAGGAACAGAGCTCCTACAGATTCATACCATCCATAGTATGGCGGGTCGGGAANAATGAACGTTCCTTGGAATAGACCAAAGATCANACTGTTAGAATCTCATCGTGTCAGTACAAGGCTTTATTTCTCCAGTCGCAACGACGATATTGAGCTTAGTGACTGGAGGCCGAGAGCCGAGATATATAGCACCGCGATGAGGCCGAATGACACAGACGCACAGAGCCATCCCCAGCCTGGAGAAAATGGGGAAGTCGATGTGGGGATATATGGTATACAAACCTCTATTAGGATGAGATGATGGAGGACGACTCTCTTTCGCATGTTTGCAATTGTGATACACGCCATGGTCATTAGACTGCCAAACATCAGGCCCTTGGTCATCAGGTCAGCTATGCTGGCGTTTCCACCCTTCGTGTTCTTACTTACCTGAGCCCATGCCTCGAGCGTCAACCCATGCGGATCGCTAGGCTTCTCGATGAGACCCATGTCTCGAGTCTCAATTTGCAAGGGGCTGACAGGGAGGTCAGATCGACGTTAGTGATCAACGAGGGTTCAATGGAAGTTAGAAATCCTTCGAAGGTTGGTAGACAAAGAAAAGTACAAAGGAAAGAGATGAGACTTGCGAGACCTGGAACAAGCGCAAGTCAAGGATAAGAATCTTGAGGCAGAACAGCTACAAGAGCTTGCAAGAAAAGTTATAGGGTCCGTTCGCGAGAAGGATCGTGGGGACCAGCGAGCAATATTGACTAAACCATGTGGAGATCTACGCGTAGATCGCGAAACGACCATGTCAAGGGGATCCTCCCCATGACTTACCCCATCTGGAGAGTGCAAACGGCCGCCCCATGGAGCAAAGTGTGATGCTGTTGGTGAGTAGTTCGGTACTGACTACTCGAGGCTGAAGTTTCGTGGACCAACTAGACCGCGTCCAGTGATGGCGCCTTGAAAGGCCATGGAATTGGACGGGTTACGGGCAAGTAAGCGACGTACGTAAGTTTTACGAGCCGACAGTAGGCGCCGTGTGGATTATACTTTGCCACGAGGATGGCCATGGCTGGAGTCGAGTCAGGGTACGTTCTTAACGAACGCCATGTCGCGTTTCTAGTGGCCTTCCATGCCAACTTTGTCGATAGCGACCTCTCCTTCGACGGTGAACCATGTGAGCCATGTGCAGTGATGTGTCTTTCAGGACTCTCTAGAGGCCTTCAATTCTGGTTGAAGGATTGTCTTATCAATGCATGTTCCGACTTGCAGGTCTTGCATCGGCGGACAAATCCGAGAACCGGCAACCAGAAATCCTCAATGCGAGGTCTTGACGGTCCAGGTTCTTCCGATGATCACCAGACAGCTCGTGATCAGAGAGATTTGATCAGCAGAAGCTTTGACATGACAGCTGAACCTCGCATGTTGGTTCTCTGTTTAGGATCCAGAGGAGCGTGTGCTGACAGCACTTCCAAGATCCAACAAGCAAAGCCCTTCGAGTGGTGTCCTTTGTGGGGATCGGGACATCTCGCCGGCTAATTTACCTCGGTCTATCTTATCAGATGATCGATTTTAATATCTATCCATTCACCAAGCCATTCTCGAGACTGTTTCTTATAGCTACTGATTGAAGCAGGTTCATTTCATTGTCTCATATCTTCTTTGTTGAAATCGTTGTGCAAACAAGATCCAATGTGATACTTGGTCGACTAACAAGACCCGTCGCGCCTCCAAGATACGTGGCTTTGCGGTCCAGCCTAACAGAAAAGCCTTTCCAGTTCTCTCATCTCCATCACAATCTATACTTGAAAGCAGTGCGGTATGGTCATAGCATATGAACACAGGCTTTGGAACGGAAGATCTCAGTCGTATCGAGTGTCGACTAAAAGCTTGGCTTTCAGCCACTGCCTTAGCCAAATCATTTCTCGCATCCTTCAGCTTCTAGACGGTCTTCAAAGCACTCTGAAGAACGCATACAACTACACAAGACTACCTCCTACGGACCAGTTGCTTATCTCTTCAGATGCGGCCCTAGATGCTTACATTAGATTGCTCCTGAAAGACCGTCAATGGCCTGTACTCGAGGCTGTGAGCAAGTTTTCTACACAAAATACATTGCGACCTCTTCACCGAATGGATTCGGCTTGGCAGCGCCTTCTCCATGGCAGTGCATTCGGACTGTGGGACATCATAGCCTATCGTTTCTGACTGTATGACTAGTAGACTGCAAGATGACTACAAATTTGCCGCGCACAAATGAGTCTTTGTCGAGACCCTCCCGACCCTGCTTGCAACAAGCAGCTAAGAGATCCTTTGTAGTTAAGTCAAGAGTACACTTGGATATCTCCTGGCGAGACGAAGCTGCAATCACTAGACTTTATTCAGCCCCAGTAAAATAGCAATTTGTCTCCCCTTCGCAACGGTCGCCCGTTTATCGTAACACTTGCCGTTGCTAGAGTATTTGTGTGGACATAACCCCTCTCTATTAGCCACTTTCACTTTTCGCGTCGACCGCAAACATGTTCAAGAGTCCGGTGTATGCTTTGATATGGATACTGTTTGCAGTCCTTGGTTCTGTCAGAGGTGACAATCAGATCTCTCTGTCAAAGCGAGCGACGATCGACTTGGCCATTACTGCTAACTTCCCGGATCCGAGCATCATCAAAGTCAACGGCACCTGGTACGCATTTGCTACCCATACTCGAGGCACCGATATCAAGATTCAAGTAGCTCGATCTTCGAATTTTGATGATTGGTCGATAGTGAGGAACGCAGATGGCTCGCAGTTCGATGCTCTACCTATACTTCCAGCTTGGGTGCGGATGGCCAATTATCTGACGTGGGCTCCGGACGTCCAACAGTTGGTGGGTGTTCTGTGTCTACATGGAGTTGCTTGTTTGCTGACTTGTCTTCAGGATGATGGTTCCTTTATCATGTATTATTCAGCCACTGCGGCAGCTAGGCCTGATGGATCGAAACATTGCGTCGGCGCTGCCACTTCCCCAACGATCCTGGGCCCATATACAGGCCTGACTGATGCGCTTTTCTGTCCGCTATCCAAAGGAGGCGCCATCGATGCCTCTGGCTTCAAGGACAGGAATGGCAAACGATACGTCGTATATAAAGTCGACGGTAATTCGATTGGTCACGGNGGNGCTTGCGGCAACACTGTCGCACCCATCGTAGGCACGCCACTGATGATTCAACCGGTGGCTGCCGACGGTTATACCTTTACTGGAAATGCAGCTGCTCTTTTGGACAACAACGGTGTCGCGGATCAGGGCATCCTGGAGGCCCCAGTATTGACACGTTCTCGAGCCGGCATCTACTTTCTCTTCTTCAGCAGCGGTTGCTTCGCCACTTCGGGATACACGGTCTCTTATGCAACGGCGACCAATCTGATGGGACCATACACACGTGCAAATAGTCCATTATTCGAGACTGGAGACGGGAACGGACTCAAAGCTCCTGGCGGTATGTCGGTCTGGGGCGATAACAGACACATGGTCCTTCACGCAAATAATGCAGGTGGTCGTTCTATGTATACCACTCTGATAGCGCTCAAAGGAACGGAAGTCATCACCATTTGAGAGGAATCTATCGATATGGCAATAGCCGTTCTTGAGCCCATTCTGGGAAGAGATCGCGTTGCTTGCATGCGAATAGACCAACAAAGTACCAGCAACTAATTCATAACTCTGTGTGATGGTTTCTCATATATTGGATAGAGATATCAACTTGGCATCCGGAGGCGCAAAGATATACTGCTTCGTGTGTAGCGTAAAGAGGTTTGGATAACGTGGCAGGCATTGTTGGCTCATACAAGCAAACCGATGGAAGGGCTGAAAACTATGGCCTTCACAAGCCGGTCATCACGAGAAGTCGAAGAGGGAGAAATGATCTCTTCAATGTTGTCTGGTCTTGGGATAATTGTGTAATTTCATAACTTTGCACCCCACAGGTCGTCACGTTGTGCGTGCTTGGCATTGTCGCATTACATCAAGGTCGGAGACGGGACTTGTTGACTAAGTGGCCAGTCACGATGGACTAACAACTGCGTCTTCACGCTACAAATCCTTTCGTTCACCTTCAACCCGCCCGAGAAAACGCGAACACAAGTGACCATGGAGCGCTTGAGAAAGATGTGGCAGCAAGAGCAGGACTATGAGCCCATCGAAGGAGCTTCGGCCGACGAGGAACGACGGAGACAGGAGCTGCGGGAGTCGACGTCTTTCTCATGGACAGAATACTCCATCTTCCTGCTGCTGGGAGTGGCCATGCTGTGGGCGTGGAACATGCTTCTGGCGGCAGGTCCCTACTTCCAAAGCCGCTTCGCGTCGAGCGACCGCCTTCTGGACAATTTCCAGGCCTCTGAATTGGCTGTGTCCAGCATCACGAACCTGGGCAGTATGCTCGTCCTTACGAATATGCAGGCTCGCGCTTCGTATCCTCGCCGTATCGTCGTATCCCTCTTGATCAATCTGCTCGCTTTCGCATTGCTCGCTCTCTCGACGTGGTTTGCTCTCGGCGTCAGCGCCAACGCCTACTTCGCCTTCCTCATCGTCATCGTCTTCGTCACCAGTTTGGCAGCTGGCCTGTGCCAGAACGGTGTCTTTGCTTTCGTCTCCGGGTTTGCCCAGCCGGCATATACACAGGCCATCATGGTTGGACAAGGTGTCGCTGGTGTGCTTCCTTGCATTGCTCAGATCGTCTCGGTCCTCTCCGTCACAAACCTGCAGCCAGGTGAGCCATCCGATGACGGGCCAAGAGGTTCTGCACCGGCGGTTCCAGGAACCGCCGCTTTCGCCTACTTCATTACTGCCACCGTCATATGTGCTTCTACGCTTGCCGCATTCTTGTACCTTGTTCGACAAAACAATGCCAAGAGCGCTGCAACTTATCAAGATATGGCCTCCAGTGTTGGCAGCCTGGAACAGCCCGAGAGAAACACAGTGCCACTCACCGTGCTCTTGCGCAAGCTGCGCTGGCTCGCAGCTGCAGTCTTTTTGACATTTACTGTCACCATGATGTTCCCAATTTATACCCAACGCATATTGAGTGTCAACGCAACTCACTCGTCGTCTCGCCTTTTCCAAGCCCCTTCTTTCATACCATTGGCTTTCCTTTTCTGGAATGCCGGTGATCTACTAGGTCGCTTGCTGCCCGCCGTGCCTCGCCTCTCCCTGATCCACCGACCAAAGCTTATCTTCATACTCTCCATCGCCCGTGTGTGCTTCATCCCATTGTATCATCTCTGCAATATTCGTGGACAAGGCGCTGTCGTTGACAGCGACGTTTTCTACTTGATTGTCGTTCAACTGCTGTTTGGCATATCAAATGGCTATCTTGGCAGTATGTGTATGATGGGTGCTGCCGAGTGGGTTGAACCAGAAGAACGAGAGGCTTCGGGTGGATTCATGGGCTTGTGTCTGGTGGCTGGTCTGGCATTTGGCAGTTTGATCAGTTTCTTCGCTGCAAGGGCGTAGGTAGATCATGGAAGACGATACATTTTCCACTGACAAGGCATGATATGCTGTCCATTGCTCGCATACACCAGCTCAAACGCGAGAGCAACCCTCCACGTCAGCAGGTACAGACTACATTTCCTCGCACCTCCATCAACGGTTCTACTTTTCATTCAGCTTGGTGAACAAGTGATAGAGCTACCAACGATCCATGCAGCAGCTTCAGCTAGTGTCTTAGCTCTGACTGTCGCTCTGTCCTCCGCAATGTCAGTATCGTGACTGTTCACAAGCTTGTCCGCTGTCATCACGTCGAGTAGCACGTGTATGTGGACAAAGGGAAGATCGATCTCCAACTGCGGAGTCTACCCCGAAGTCGAACACAAATACTGTTTGGTCTTCTTGATCACATACAGCACTCTTGATGCTCTTGGAGCTATCAGTATTCTTCACAATGGCCTCGAACACAGCTTTTCGGAGGACTTCAAAAACATATCTTGAATGTAAAATGTGTGTCGATGGCCGCAACAGCAAGACGGTTGCACAAACGTGCTCGTGTTCGCATACAGATTAAGACAGAAGGCACAGCTTAGCCTCAACAGAAGCGCCATCGCTCGAACCATAGGAGTTATGACAGCATGTCGTTGCGATTCTCAAGCTAGCTCTGTATCCGAAGATCGCTCAGCCAGGCATTTGTCTTCGATACGACCAAATTCACGCTAGCTGAGTCGTGGAGAAGCAGGCAGTGTTGCATCTAGAGTTGGCTTCAAGAGTCCCTTATAGCACAGGACCCTGAAACCCACGCTATCGGGCTAGGTTGCGGACTACAAGGACTACGGACCTGCAGTTACACGCCACGAAGTTTGACCATGGGTAGTAAGAGACAAAGGTCAGGAGAGCTACAGCTTTCGGTCATCAAGTCAGACATCTGGTTTGGGCGAAGTTGAAAGACCAACTTATAGGTTGGAAACGTGCCTGTACACGTCTTCTGACCGATCATATTGATGTCATGCCATCTGAAGCGCTATGCGAGGAGTCTTGATCTGCTTCAAAGATACTGCAGGAACACGGGCTTGGTAAGAACATCTTTATACAACGCTACCCAATACTTCGTGGTCAATACTCTATCGGCTGGCCATGTTTTCCACACCTCTCGCGAGGTCCGCACACGTGGCCACGAACCCCCAGCTCTTTGCCGCATTGAACTCGATACACTGCTGCGAGAAACTCGGGCTGGTCGTTCCGCATGCGTCCTTGAGCATCACGCAATCGTAACCCTTGCTAAATGCATCAGTGAAGGTCCCGCTGACGCATTGATCGGTGTTGACTCCTGCAAAGAGCAGACTGCGTATTCCCTTCTCTTGCAAGAAGTCCTCGCAGTCAGTGCGAGCCCNCCACATACCGCTCATACGATCTTTGTTAATCCAGCAGCCGATACCTTCTTCATATAAAGTGTCGAGAGGAGGATATAATGCTGAGTTCCAGGCATCGCGCATTAAAAGGCGTCCTCCATCAACGGTCGTACCATCTGGAAGCTCTAGATTCCCGCACCATGAGCCGAGACCCTTGTAGATGCGTTTGTCTTTGCCGTTCTCCAGTACAACAGTGTCCTGAGGGTTGACCTTTGGGGTACCCGCTGCTCCATCTTGTTCTCGGAAGACGTCTCCTCTGCCGTCTCGGTCTCNGACTTCCTCGTCCTCATCGTCTAGGACTACCTCGAATCCGAAGGCCCTCTTAATCGCAGGGGGCATGAGGTCGAGGTCTTTGTCTGTCAAACCCCAATTCAGCCATACGACCTGCATTCCCGCCTTCCTTGCTGCAGGGATAGCGTATTGCTCCAAGTTCTTGACCGCGTCGTGGCCAGCCCCTTTTTNTCTTCCGAATGCTTCTGATAGAAAGAAGTTCTGCATGTCAATGATGACAAGGGCTGTCTTCTGGGGGTCCAGGGTAATGGGTGTAGTTGATGTGATTATGTCTAGTCGAGGCGAGATTGCTTCGCTGGAAGGCGATTGTGGATGCGTGAGATCAAAGCTGTTTTCCTTGGATGAGTGCAGCCAGAAATTATCGGCATTGCCAATGATAGCTTTGCGCCCCTTGCCCATGATTGCGTAGAATGTACAGAGTGACTGTGCGTAGAGCTTGATTTAATTGACGTTGGTGGTGGTATTTCCAAGTCAGTCTGGCGAGGTCAAGTTGTTCCACAGCTTCTGCCGTAGTTTTTATATCGAATTTCCTTATCTACCTGTTATCTTTGAAATGTAACAAGCAGTTGTCCTCGAAGGTAATGTTTCATAGGCCGAGGAGCAAAATGAGCGGGGACGGCTATGAAGCAGCTTCCTATTCTGGACATGATCTCCCCAAACTCCCCTATCTTTATAAACATCTTGTCTCCAACCTCCTCTTCTGGCTGTTGGGTTGCTGACATGAATTCTCGGTGTCTAATTACACATTGCGTGATGATCATCGATTTCCAATTCACAGTCAACCATTTTGGCTCAGTTGCAGCGTGAACAAGGCTCATGTATAACGTCTGATCATGTGCTATGATGACAGAATCCAACATCACTGGAAACCCAGAGAGACGTGTTTAAATGAATCCAATCTTGCCCTTCGTGTGTTGCAAATTTCCTGTCCATTACTCTGCATGTGTCTAACCCTTACATGCAATGCACACTTATAAGTCATTCGGTTGCGGATTGTTCGGTCTTGTTGATTCATATCACGCGTGGCGAGCGAGAAAAGCATCAGAAGTGCACTTGTGTCAGCAATCCATGGACCCAGCTGTATAGTAAGTACCAAGCCTGTTTTGGGATTGTGTTATGGCCGTAAAGTGCCAGTGGCATTATTCGCAGACTGGGAAGAAGGCCACTTCTCCGTCTGGATAGGCTGACATAGTAGCTCTACTGAACCATCAGAAGAAGAGTAAGCAGTCTGACGTCGCGTTCCTGTCTTGGCTCTACGGATCGGCGGAGGGACCGAAGCAATGGTTGATTAGAGATGCCAGGAAATTCTCAGGATGTGTTAAATTTGCTGATTCTGGTGTGCTTCCTGATGATAACTTCTTGCAATCAGTGAAAGGTTCTCTTCTGGTAACCGTGAGTCTTGTTCTTGGTATCACTGTCCAGCTGAGCGTCCAGTTGGACGTCGTTCTTACAACTGCGAGGTGTGTGGATTGGGTATCGCCACTGAACGGATCGGGGTTAAACGTGTGCTAGGAAACAGGCAATTAGCCATAGCCAAGCGAGCACATCGTCAATTACGGCAAACAGCATGTGAAAGGCTTGAATAAATGTGAATATTGGTCAGTAGTGGAACAGGACATCGAAATAAATATCATGTACCATTCACGCGGCCTCGGCGAGTTTTCCGACGAGGTATCTGTCCTGAATAAAAGGTACAATCACATCAGCCTCGATTGGCATGTCGAGGTCATCGCTTTGGGGTACGTCTCGTTGCACTCGGACCAAACGGCACTGTGCCAAGTGGTTTGGGTCTGTGGTAGCAGGTAACGCATCTATATGATTGAACAGTCTGGGTGGTGAGCGTCCATTCGGAGATGGGCTGGTGTCCATAGCGCTATAAGGAGGTGGCTGAGATGTGTCGTTTCAGTGTCCCACGCATTTCATGATGTTCCGGGTGCGAATCATGATCTTGTGGCTGAAGCAGTACATCTCTGCAAGGTATCCTGCAGTCTCTGGACGTCTCCGTCAGTGACGAGCATAATTTCGGGACCCATGCATCTTCAGTAATTTCTTCAGGCAGCAAGCGAAGGCGCTGTTACCGCGGACCCTGACTTACTATGCTTAGAGGAATATTTGAACGACGGGATTGCAGACAAAGGTGCCATACGCTGCACGTATTCTGTGTCTGAGCTGAAGGAGGACGAAGCTGCTCCATGGCTCTATGCAGCCATAAACTGCACAAGGAAATGCGATAAAGAAGACACATGGTGTCGGGCATGTGAAGTAACAATTTCTTCTTTGTTCAAGTAGACCAGCCCATAGAAGACCTAATCAGCGGCTGATCTGGTCGGAGAAGTAATGATGCTTGTCTCGAAAACATTAATTCGGAGCTCGCTTCCGTGCGGAATTGGGCCCGTGGGGAAGCACACCACTTCGCATTGTAACAGTCACCCATGCTCGACAAAGCACGTCAAGTGCGGTGTTCTGATCCAGATCGCTGGGATCGGCGGAGGCTTGTGGCCGGTCTCCAGTGACACTCGGTCAGTACCTACCATATCGCTGCCTTGCCGGGTAACCAGACGATAAGAGAGGCCAGAAGGAACCGCCTGACATGCCCAAGACAAAGTCTGGATACCAAGGGCTGGAGACATCTATAAGCAACCATGTTTGTCTTTCGAAGAGGAAAACAAGGAAATGCCATGAGTCTGGTACTGCCCGCTCAGCCGGGTCCCACTCTGCTGCCGGCAGTTCTTAGCCTTGGACCTGTGTGCCACGCTTTCGGGTTGCAAGTCGATATGCTGTGAGCCGGTGATGATTGTTTAGGCGCCATCAGAAAGAAGGGAGGCGTTATGTGGATCTGGCCGCAGACGTCCAGCGTTGCACAACAGGTGTTGTTGGTCGTCTTTCATCTGGCCTCTCTGGAATGAATCAAGCAAGCCCTTTGCTCTTAGCTGTGGGGCGACACCACACAACGTCGAGCAGACCAAGATGCGCGACGTCTTATTGGGCGACATGACAGATTATAAATTTGACCTCGCTATCGGCAGCGTGCATTGCCATGAATCGACAGGCTTGGGAAAACAAGGCGTCTGGCTGGCGATTGCTGACGGTGACGACGCCGATGCCGACAACAAACAGAGTGCAGCATGAGTAGGGGGAGCAGCAAGCAACAGCAGCCGTCCTCTCTTCCTCCTGTCTTCCAGTGACCGCCTCGCCGTGTACGCCCATGGCATCGATTGCCAAACTAGAAGCGTGCATTTGAAATTGGCGGTGTGTCCGAGATGTGTTTGGGAGCGGGTGGGGACGGCTGTCAAACACATCTTTTTTCCGCTTCGACCTCGAGGAAAGCAACACAATCACGCATGCAGACTTGTGACAAGCAACGAACCCCAAGAGTCGAGAGCCGTAGAAATGTGACACGTCAGGACTCGGCTTGGTGTATTCATCATGCCTTGCACCACTGTGGATGTCCAGCAGTGATATTAAAAGGTGCTTACCACCCACCACTTGAGGAAGCCTTACAACTCGCTGCTCTGTGGTCCGTGTCTTCTGTCTACGAGATTCCTGTCAAGCGTATCTGCACCTTCTCACACTATGTATCACTCTTCAAAGATGACTTCGACCGGCGGGCACCATTACCACCACCAACAGCAGTCGAATCGCAGCGATCGTTGTAGAGAAATCATGTCAATAGACAACCTCCTGACACCACAGAGGAGCCAGCTATCGGTGCAAACACACAACTTGCAATCTGCATCTTCTCAAATGCTGAGCCCTTCGGGATCCGAAAGCGCATTCGAACGAACACCTCGGGAGAAGCGCGAACCATACTCGGATCAGGCGCAATTCTATATCATGTACGTTCGAGTCGGCAAAGAAAAGGACTGGAACCAGATCGAGCGCTCGTTCGAAGAAGTGTTTGGCCAACATCGTGCGAAAGACGGGTTGACAGCTGTCTACTACCGCATCAGGAGCAAATGGGGTCTTCCACCAGTCAACAAGTCTTCGCAAGAGATTTCCGAAGAGGGAAAGGATATGATTCGGCAACGGGCGCGTGGTTTCGATCATGGGTTCCTGAAAAGAGTCGGGTATTTCGAGTGGTGCCAGTCTTACCAATCGTCAGCTGCGCCGAGATGAAGAAAGCCTCCTCAAAGCTCTTCGTCGTCTTGCTCGCCGGCAGCACCCTGGGAAGAGCGCATCCAAGGGAACTTCTTCCAGGGATTCTGCATTGCTTCATCGCCATCGCTCCACTCATCTGGATCCGACTCCCACTGCTCATTGTCAGATCCTCCATGACGATAGCCGTATGCGCCTCGGTCGTATTCGTCGTCAGAAGCGACCTCGTCCTCTGGATAATCAGCGGCATAATAACCTTCGGNCTGGAGTTGAGGTCATGTGTCAGTATTCGGGTTGCTAAAATTGGGTGGAAGGATCAAATGTTTACCGTTCTCGTCCTCGTCGTCGGTCTCGAACTCTTTGTCGCTTTCAGCGTCGTCTTCAAAGTACGTCTCCCACAGAGGCTGGTCCTCTTCGGAGATGACAATGTAGCCAACCTGGATGTTGGAGGGATCTTCGGATTCGAGATTTGCGGGGACCACAGGGTCTTTTGTGCGGATATATGTATCGTAGACATAATCATCGTCGTCGCTCATCATGTCGACATCTTCTTCTGTCTTGTTGGTCTTTTGCGCCTGAGCAGCAAACTGCTCGGGATGGCGCTCACGGTATCTTTGGACGGGCTTCTTAGGGATAACGGTGACCTTCGGCTTTATGCGGGCTTCTTCGCGAGCCTCCTCCTCTAGTGCGAAACGATGAAGGGCGTCGGCGAGACGATCCGGAGGCGGGTTTGCGGGACTCTGGAAGAGCGCTTCGGCAGTGGGTTTCTTTAGCCTGGAGCTTGCGCCGGGTCTTTTGAGTGTGCTGGGGGTGGAGACAGGGGTGTCTGCCACGGATTGAGGAGCATCCTCCTGACCGACACGGCGTCGCTTAGGAGTGGCTTCGACGAAGGTGGGAATGTCGTGGAGGTCCAATTGGGCTTTGCGCTTCCGGACGGATTCGATGCGCCTGTGGAGAGGGCGAGTCGGGCGGGCAAGGCGAAACTCGCGACGGACCAGGGTGTCTTGCTGGAGCTGTTGGAGGTGGTGCTGCTGCTGCTCTTGCTGGAAGTGGTCTACGGCGCTGGACGGAATGGAGGCTCCGGACACACCGCCGTTTGGCGTGTCAGATGGCAGCTGCGAGGGGTGTGTCTGCTGCAGACGGAACTGCCACACCTGCTGCTTCTTCAGGGTCCGTTCTTCGAGGAACAAGTCGGCCGTGGGCTCTTCGCCACGCTTGCGCTTGACGCGCACCAACGATGGGAGTTCTGCCATCTTGCTATGAGATGCGCTGCTTCTGGTCGCTCGCTAGTCCAGCTGTCGACTTTGTGATGTTGGAGGCAGGGAATTGTTCTGGTCTCTGTTGTTGTCACCATCGGCTACCGGAGTGCGGCTCCTCCCGCCGAGCCCTATCTACTCTTGTTCCCGGCTCCTGAATGAATCCCAATCCCTTCCGCTCTCATCACCTTGTGCGAATTGTTGCTTGGCAGACATCCTGATTGCAATGCACTAGATCTGGGTCCATGTTAGACTTCCAACTGTTACAAGTTGTAGGAAGTGCATCTACGAGAGCAGCTTTGCGCCTTCTTGTGACCCTTTGTACATTCTGTGGATCTTTGCAATATTCTGAGTGAGAAATGCAAATCCGGATACTGTTGTTGCTGAAGCTCGCGAAGGAGTCACTATGAAGGTCGATATGCTCAGTATGGTCAGGGTAGTTCAATCAAAGTGAATGCTTCATGAAGCTGCTTTCACTACACCCTATACTCAATCTATGCGTACCATGTCTTGCAACAGCTTCAAGTAGGTACTTCTCCTAACATCTTAGCCGCCAGAAGTTGTCTCAGTCGTTTGCCATTCAATTCCATAGGTAGTTCTGCCGTCAATCGAGACGACAAACGCAGCAAACGACATTGCTTACAGTCAGGCTGTTGATTCCTCGGCCTCACTGTCTTTCCTCGTCGTCACTCCTCAGAGTCAATCAACACATCAACACGCGCTTCAGTCACTTCTCTTTTCACCTCCACCACTTTCCGGTCGGCCTATCCACTTCAACTTCCACTCCCTTCTCTTTTCCTTCAACATCTTTCTTGTTCCTTCCAAGCTACACGCAACAACCAACCCATGGAAGGAACCAACCAGCCTGCCACCTGGCCTCCCGCGCCGACCGTCGACGACGAATCTGCTACCGAAACTCAATCCATCACTACCTCTACTACTGAACGCAACATGTCAGGTCTTCCAAATGGTCCATCCACCTCTGCGGACGGCGCTGATACACACGACGCCGAACCTGGCACTCCCACCAACAATGGCGCCGCTGCCAACCCTGACGAGCCCAGAACTCCCGCCAACGCTGCACCCGATGCCCCTCCCGCCGACCGTGTACAGATCGTTCTCAAGGACCAGAGCGGCACTCAGGTTGCATTTGGTGTCAAGTCAAACACCCGCATGGAGAAGGTCCAGAACGCCTACGCCGACAGAGCCGGCCGTCCTGTAGCATCTTTGCGCTTTTATTACGAAGGTGCCCGTGTGCTTGCCGAGGACACTGTTGCTACGGTAAGCGACTTCTCAACTCAACTCTATCGGCACCGGATACTAACGATGGCTAGNCTCGAAATGGAGAACGAAGACATCATCGAGGTCATGACTGAGCAGATCGGTGGTGGCGGTCAATTTGATGTCGCTTCTATCCGACTCAACAGATACATCGCACAACACGGACTCGAGGAGGCTGATTTTGATGAAATACCATTTTTCATCAACCCTGTTGAGGTAGATGGCAAGATGATCAAAGAGATGGAGTTCGTCATTGGACCTGATGTCAAAGTCAAGGACTTCATGCATTCTTGGGCCAAACGTGCTGGTTGCGCTGTGGACAAGGTGGTCTTTCGCCATCATCTGGACAAGGAAGGACCCGGACTTCCATTCGAGTCCGAAGACGAAACATTTGGTGACGTGAGTGATCTGGAACAAAATCTCAGCTGCTCAGTGATACTGATGTCCATCCAGAACAGCTTTACCCACGGAGACTCCATCTGTGTTAGTGCAGCAGCTGACGAGCCTGTCAACCTTGCACGTCCTAGTCAGAACGTTTCTGCCGGTCATATCAACACTGTGACTGCAACCTTCAAAGATACAATTGTAATCACTGTCAAGTACCTTGGTCAGGACGATATCTTACGTGAAATACAGTGCAAGATGACTCAGTTCATGTCTTTCAACAGGTTCATCGACATGTACGCGAAGCGTTGGGACATCGATGCTTCTGCTCAGCGTCTGACTTTCAACATGAAGACCGTATTCCCTAGCGACACTCCCGCCTCAGTAAGTTAGTTTCTGTTCTCATGTACATCTCGAGATGCAGTGTACCTCTGCAGCTGTATTTTCGTGGTAGCGGATAGATTCTTGAGCCTATCGAGCCCTGACTGACGTTTTCTTTTTTATTAGATCGGTGCAGAGCACGGTGCCGTGCTCGACATCGCAGAGGGTCCTAACATATTTGCTATGGACCTCACACTTGACTGAGCCGTATCTGTCCGCGCACTGCTCAAACTCGTTCCGGTGCAGCAAATGGATCATTGTTCGCAACAAAGTCCAGCAATAACGATTCACATGAAGTTCCGAAGGTTCAATTACGAAGAAAGTCAGGAGAGGAAAAGAGAAGCAAGGCTCAGTCAGTTCTGTCCAGAAAAATACAAAAGAGCAAAGAAAAAAAAAACAGAATAGCAGACATGTAGACTAGCAGAGCCAGACCCAAGAAATCTTCCACTCAGTACTTGCTTGCTCTTACGCTTTCTTTGAGCCATCTGACCTGTTTTCTCCTATAATATCTTTTCGATGTCAAATATTCGTTTGCTAGTTCGGGAAAGGGCAGCACAAGTCATGCAAACGCGACACTGTCCGATGCAGGAATCCGACGGATGCGAACATGTAGACCGCTCTTTTCAGTGTTGCCCAGATTGGGAAGCAAGCTTCTTCCATTGTCTAGATCTTTTGTCGCAGATCAGTAAAGATAGCCGAGAGAAGGGAACCAGCATGTTCACATTGATGGATGCACAGCACAAGACGAAGACAGAGTATCAGAGTTTTGTTCTATCTAGAATACTCTGCGCTTTCGACAGTCATCATTCATTCCATCATCATCTGCACTACTTTGATGCATCAGAAGCGTGCGATTACGCTTTGATACGTTGCATGAAATCATGTATACCATCGATGAGCACCGGACCCCACGCCTCGAACGACCTGCTGATGAGGTTGTCAAAGAACGTAATGGCTTCTTCCTCGCTGAGCTGCAGACAGAATCTCTCTTCCACTTTCTTGACAGCTTGATCACCAGCGAGCTTGATATCAGGGATATTGGCGTCCTGCATAAGTGCAAAGAGGTTGAGTATGAGATTCGATGAGCGACGTAGTGTGGTGAAGGCAGTGAAGCAGTACTGCTTGAACTCATCGAATCTGCTGTCAGGATTACTCGGGTTTCGGTCGGGACTACCGCCTAGACCATCAATCATCTCGACACTGAGTCTCATGCTGGGCGCCAAAGGTTTGGGATCGCGACCAAGGATGTAGCCAAAGTCGGCATGGAAGAAATGGCCATCTGGAGCGAGAAGCAAGTTGTCCATGTGACGGTCGCCCACACCTAGCAGGTATGTAATAACACAGTAGCCAGCCAAGGACTTGACATAGGTATCCATCACTTCTTTACGCACACCCATAGGGGCCGCACCATCTGGGTTATGCTCACGAAGGTAGCCAAGGATCGAGTTGCTGTATTTGGCATTTCCCAGGATGGTAGAGAGAGGGTTGGATGACACGAACTGAACGGCACCGGCGAGCGCCCCAGTTGCCAAGATACGATATGGCGACAGTTGAAGATTGAGATTTTCTTTCAATAGTAGTTGGTCCATCAGAGTGATGATCTGGATGACCAGTTGGTCTTGACGCAGGTTGTCGCCGACTTTGAAGATGAGAGGATAGATGTCTCCTTTAGTTGTTCTGAAATGGAGCAATAAAGGTGACAATGTCGACTTGAAGACATTCACATTGTCAGGTACGGCGCCCACGATCTCCACATTGGGATCGAGGGGCAGAGGAAGAGGTGGATCAATCCTGACGAGATCATTCTTGGGGTCCATAAGAGACTTCTTGAGCTTCTCGACTTTGCGTATGCGATCAACATTCTTGTTCCTCGCATCTTCGCAAAGTTGAGACAANNGAACAGTGATGAATTCACCCTGGCGCAGCAAAGTCTTGCGGCGCGCTTGTCCTTCCGGTGTTTTCTCGAGCTCCTGCATGAAATCATATGATACACGAGCATAGAGTTTCTTGAAAGTAGCTGCCTGTGCGTCATTGGAGCTTTCGTCCAACTCGACCATGAGGTACCAATGTAGGTAGTTGCCGAGGAAGATGTTGGCGGCGGAGCGAGCAACAAGGAAGCTAGCTAGAGATGAGTCGTACTGATCGAAGTTCGCGTTTGCTTTTACTTCGGGCTCAAATTTCAAAGCCTGGACCAGTTGTAGGAGATATAGGAGTAGCTCTTCGTCACCTGCCTTACGCAAGCGATCGACAGCGTATGCGCGAACTTCTTTGTTGTCAAATGAAGGACCCAGTAGTTCGAGGGCATCGTCGATGTCGATCTCCTCCCACTTGGGGAGTAGCTGGATGACTTGACGCACCTCATTTGCGTCGTTCCAGGATGTCGATTTTATCAGCTTGGTAAGAGCACGTTTGTCACGGGTGAGGTAATGTCTGAACTTGAAGACCTTGTCTCTTTCTTCAGCACTCAGGTCCGTGGTAGGACCATATGACAGGATGTGATTAAGTTGATCTCTGGTCTTTGGATTGGGCTTGAGATGTCGATCGAGCATGCCGATGCGTTGGTTTCGCACCAGGCTGCGGTGTTTGATCTCAGCAGGGTTGTCATAGAAGCCGACTTCAGGATCGTATATGCGAATCAGATGAGGAGCGTGAGCGTCGCCGTAACCTGGATTTTTCGAGTCGATGCCAGGACCGACGTGGATCTCCGGCGGAGGTTTCAGACGAACGTCAGAGCCTGGAGCGGCACGTACGCGAGCACTCGAAACTGGAGGAGGAGGATATTCGTGGTCGGTGAAGACGACGGGGTGGTCGAAGCGGGGAAACTCGATGTAGAGGTAGAAGATTGCAGAGTCCTCTTGTGTATGACCGTTAGCACCCGGCTGGGCGTGGATTTTGGAATCGTCACGGATGTTTGCTCGCTCCAATCGCTCAATCTGGCGAAAGACCATCTGGTCCAGCCACTTGTGCTCGGACAGTTCACCCATCTCGTGCCTCTTGAGAAGGCCTTGTAGTCGTTCCAGCTCGGCAGCCCTCTGGCTATGCTTGTCGTCGGCGAAAAGCTGGAGGTTCCCGTGGCTGCGACGACGACGCTTGGTAGAAGGAGCCCACGGGGTAGTCGAGTCGGAAAAGGCATCGGCCTGCTTGTGCCTCCAAAGGCGGCACTTCTGCCTGCCCTTCCTTAAGGTGCCATCGTCGTCGAAGAGCGAGATTGTGGTGCCGCCGAAGGGGATATGATGGCCTCTTGCACCATGAGTACCGGCGGGTGACAGGTCCCAGACGGTGATTGCGAGCTGGGCATTGAGCGGGAGCAGAGCATAGTCGATCGGAAGTCGTAGCCACTCATTCCAGGCACGGGCATNTTTGAAGGTCTTGTACGGAGTCTGAGCGTGTACAGTCAAGGGCTTACTGTCGGCGAAGACTTGAGCGGTGACATAGAGCTCGGATGTCGGGCTNNGGGCAGGCTTCAGCTTGGGACTTGTCTACGGGTGGTTGGATGTCACATACCTCAGGTTGGAGCCTCGGTGACGCAGCTCGGGCTGGCGTAGCAGAGTCGAGTAGGCCAAGGCTTTCTCGTGGCCCTCGAGACGGCCTCTGCGAAAGTGTTAGTGGTTGGGTTGCGTTTGGTAGAGAGAGGCCGTGAAGCGATACCACACCTTGACGCTGACACTGGTCTTGACCTCCGAGGCACTCGCAAAGGTGAAGGTGTCCATGGCAGCCTCGCTCATGACGGCCGCATTGGAGAGGATGAAGGTGCTATGTCACAGTGTCACATGCTCGTCGCCAGTGTCGCGGTAACGCGCTGTTCCTACGCGTAACTCCGATAGCCCCGATCGCTGCTTCCCATTGTTGCCTACCACCACCTTGATTTTACCGCTCAACAACAACCTCCTGCGCTTTGTCTATCTCACAAGCTCTAGCTTTCTGTCAGCCAATTCATACCGTCATGGCCGATTATTCAAATCACAATTGCGGCCAGGAAGACGAAGAGGACGAAGAAGACATTGATGAAACTGTACTAAACTTAATTCTTTTGTGTGTAAACAGACATATACTGACGAGTCCANNGGGCTACAAAATCATCAAAGATGCTGTCCTCTTCGCCATCGATGTCAGCTCGACCATGCTCACCAAACCTCCTCAACTTGACTCCAAAAAAGCCGATCGCGACACTCCCACAATTGCTGCTCTGAAATGTGCCTATTCCCTGATGCAGCAACGCATCATCTCCAACCCTAACGATATGATGGGAATCCTGCTCTTTGGCACCGAAAAGTCCCGCTTCCAGGACGAGAGTGCTTCTTCCAAGGGTCTCTCGTACCCTCACTGCTACCTCTTGACAGACCTGGATGTTCCTGGAGCTAGAGATATCAAACGCCTGCGTGACCTCGTCAGCGATGAGGATCAAGCCAACGAATTCCTTAAGCCTTCGACCGATGCCGTATCCATGGCCAATGTCTTGTTTTGCGCAAATCAGATCTTCACCACAAAGGCTCCCAATTTCTCGTCGAGGCGCCTGTTCCTGGTCACCGACAACGACACGCCTCATGATGACGACAAAGCCTTGAGGTCGGCCGCCGCTGTCAGAGCAAAGGACTTGTACGACCTGGGCGTTGTCATCGAGCTCTTCCCCATCTCGAGTCCCGAACACACGTTCGATCGCTCCATCTTCTACAATGTATATATTTTCTCTGACTACTCTATGAATCTTGGCTCACACAAGACANNGGACATCATTTACAGCGCTATACCTTCAGATCCCGATGCCCCTGCGCCTGTGACCAAGGCCTCCAGAGCTTCCGCCAGCGGTGATGGTCTCACTCTACTACAATCCCTCTTGTCCAACATCAATTCAAGATCTGCTCCACGACGTGCCTTGTTCTCAAACATACCTTTTGAGATCGGTCCAGGTCTGAAGATCTCCATTAAAGGCTACATAATCATCAAGCGCCAGGAACCCGCAAGAAGCAGCTATGTTTTCATGGGTGGAGAAAGACCCCAGCTCGCTGTTGGATGTTCTACCCTCCAAGCAGAGGACACGGCAAGATCGGTTGAAAAAGTTGAGATCCGAAAAGCATACAAGTTCGGAGGCGAGACTGTGTCTTTCACCCCAGAGGAGATCTCGGAGATCAGGCACTTCGGCGATCCTGTTCTTCGCATCATCGGCTTCAAGCTCCTGAGTATGCTACCTGTCTGGGCAAACTATCGTCCGTCCACTTTCATATACCCCTCAGAAGAAGACATCATTGGCAGCACAAGAGTCTTCTCTGCTTTACAACAGAAGCTTCTCAGAGACCAAAAGATGGCCCTCGCTTGGTACATTCCTCGCCGCAACGCAACGCCTACTCTTGCTGCTGTCATACCGGGAGCAGAAAGACTAGATGAGGAAGGAGTGCAGGCCATGCCACCAGGTCTGTGGATTCACGTGCTTCCATTCGCAGACGACGTCCGTCAGATACCCGACACGACGGTGGTCCAGGCACCTGATTCTTTGGTCGACAAGATGAGGACTGTCGTCCAGCAGCTACAACTACCGAAAGCTGTGTATGATCCCAAAAAGTACCCCAACCCCTCTCTGCAGTGGTTCTATCGCATATTGCAAGCTCTAGCTCTGGAAGAAGACTTGCCGGAAAAGCCCGAGGACAAGACTTTACCTCGCTATCGCCAGATCGACAAACGGGCAGGCCCTTATGTCATCGAATGGGGTTCTGAGCTCGAGAAACAGTACGAGGTTTGGAAAAAGGCCAACGCTGGTCGTCACACTGCCACGGGTGCGACTAAGCGTGGCTCAGCAGCAGCGGGTGAAAGCGGCAAACGAACCAAGACGACCGCTGAAGGTACCTCCAAGTCGGGCGATAGCATCAGCGACGAAGACATGCGCAAGGCCTTTGAGACAAATAAGATCAACAAACTCACTGTTGCAGTCCTCAAAGCTTGGTGCAAAGAGAAGGATATCAAGCTGCCGACAGGTGCGAAGAAAGGCGATGTCGTTGACGAAGTGACGAGCCATTTCGAGAACAAGATGGCCATCTGAGGAGAAGCTCAGAAGGTGGATCTGGAGGAAGCGTCGCTGTGACAGATTACGGAATCAGGCAAAAAGAATTAATTATACCCCTAGCTTTATGTACCTGATGTTCAAATGGACAGAGAGATGAGAACACGGAGATTGGTGGCTCAATGTTTCGGTATGCGCTTTCTCGTTCAACGGTGATGTACCTATAGTTATGTCTTCTGGCTCACTTCCTCATGTGCATTCCAGTGTCGACCTCTCGAGATTGAGCCGTCTGTCCGCACATCACCATCAGAAGGTCTAAGAAGTATCTTTGCGGACAGGGCCAAGGGAAGACCGATAAACCGTCGACATGCTCGACTGAACACCACACGACCAAAGAGAAGGCGTTAGCAACTCGACGTAGCTCTACACAGACTTGTTGCGCTCACGTCAACGAGAGGCAAAATTATGCCATTGATATCATTCCATAACTCACGTCCTAGCTAGGCACCTGTAGTCTTACTACCTTGTCCTTCCTGCGATCAATTACCTACTCTTGCATCATCACATCCGCGAGCATTGTGATGAACGTGCGCGTGAAGAGAAAGCCCGTTGCTGCTTGCGGAAGATGGTGCGCAGTCTCTAACAACAGCAAGCGAGTGATGTGCGAAGAAGATTTAAAAGGCATTCAATTTGGCACAACAGTAACGGCAAAGCTACGATCTATCGAGGGACTGCAAAGAAGTGGTGATATGATTTCCCACGTTTTCTGCAAACAATTGCTCGTCTTTTACATCCAAAGCGCCCGCTTGCCATGATATGACAATCGTAAGATCGCCTTGGTATCTGGAGACGACGTTGAAGTTCAGACAACCAGAACCTACGTTGGCGGGCTGTGAAAATATCATGGACTCAATGTTCCATATTTTTTCTGGTTCAAATAGCCCAGGATTGAAGGACATGATGTTGCTGAGTTCGTAGGAGCATTCTCTGCGCTTGCCGACTTGGCCTCTGGTCCAAGGATACATGTTGCGAAGATATGCTAGCAATCCCACTGGCTGGTCATTAAGAGTGCCGGCACATTGGGACAGGTTTTGGGTCGTCAAGCGTGCAGCGTCCCACAAAGCTTCGGTCATGGAGCTCGACTCTTTCGATGTGTTGCCTTGCACGGTCCTTGTGAACAGCTCATAGTATGCGGTCGGGCATAGCGCCATATCACTATCAGTGATGCCCTTGAGGTGTGATCGTAGATCAACAGCAGTCTGTGACACAAAGCAACCTGCTTTTTCAGGAGGTAGCTCTTTGCTCAAAGCCTGTACTATGATCTGATGAAGGAGACCGGTGAACTTGATGTCATGTTTCCGACATTCCTGGAGAATCTTCTGAACGTGACCATTTTCGATAGACAGGACTTTGAGGCGGGTCTGGTAAGCTTCGGGGTCGAAAAATGTTTTCTTGCCTGTCCATTGATCGTGCGCTTCTGGTGTGGCTGATGCACGGATACCAAGTGAGTTCGCGACAAAGGATGGCAGATATGCTCCCAGCAGTGGTGACAGTAGATAGCTCCAAGAGATTGATAGTCGTCCCGCCGTCTCGAGTGTGGGCAGTAAAGGGTTGCTCGGGCTCGCAAATTTGGGGTCATCGTCGTAGGCACAGTCAGCACTCTGGGCCTGCTTCAGTCCAGAAAGAAGTGTCTCATGGAAAGCCAATCCAGATTTACCATCTCCATGCGAGTGATAGTAGCCGAACAGTATGAAGTATCTACTTGTCTTTGATTGTTCTCTGGCCAGCAGCGGTAGTACGGTAATCATCCACGGAGGCGTGTTGTCACAGCTCTTGAACACATGATCATTAGTTTGAGCCAAGATAAGGCTGATCAAGCTTTTCTCATCAAGAAGATCCGGAGATTGCTGTGTGCCTAGTATGTCGATATGGTTGTTCAGATCTAAGACAGCCGGTCTGGCAAACCCTGGCGCTTCTGTCTCTTCCCCATATATACAGGCAGATAGAATCGGGTGTGAGGCGACGCAGTGCTTCAGAGCCTTGATGAGAGTGCTCTGCAGCGAGAGATTGCTAGANNTGATTTGTCGAGTATATATTCCTCCTACAACCAGAGTGCGATAGTACCCTAATGCTTGTCGAACAATACATCGGCGCTCATTGGGACCTGATCAAGTTAGATGGTAGAAATAGCGGTCGTACAGATGGGTATTCGTACCAGCTTTTCTCAGACGTTCCATCGCAACGATTGGTGAGTCTTGTTAACTTTGTCTTGTGTTTCGGTCAAGTTGCTCAAGTTGGAGCCTGACAGGGAGGCTCGGGTGTGAAGCATCAATCAATGTCCGCTGAGGCTTGGCATGTTTTGCGCCTATTACAGTATCGTCACCGCATCCTCAAGTTAGCTACGGGTTGCCGGACAACGACCATCAGGCGAGGTCTGCAAATTTCTGGTATCTTTGCTCAGCTCCCTCCGATGTGCACATCATGGGCGGTGGTCTTGATGATAAGTGTCAATGCCGATGATAGCCGCCTATTTCCGTATGCCTCCACTGCTTGACCTGGCCGCCAGGCTGATCTTCTCTGCGGGATAGGGCAAGGGCGAGCGGGGTAATAATGTTTTTATAGACCCAGCAAATGGCACAAAACTTCTCAAGTATTCCTCTCAGCAGCAAAGTACAAGCTTCGAGATCCAGCGGACAGATCAACGCAATGTCTAAAGTTCCAGCAGCAGGAGTTTGGGCTCCGGCAATCACGTTTTTCGACCCAGCAACCGACGATCTCGACCTTGACTCACAAAAAGCATACTACAACTACTTGTCGAAATCCGGCCTCACAGGACTTGTCATTCTGGGTACAAATGCCGAGACATTTCTCCTGACACGAGACGAGCGTGCCTCACTGCTGAAATGCGCGCGCGAGGCCGTAGGTCCTCAATATCCCCTCATGGCAGGCGTGGGCGGTCACTCGACAAAACAAGTGCTGGAATACATAGCCGATGCAGCCGATGCAGGAGCTGATTATGTTCTTGTCCTNCCCCCTGGATATTTTGGTCCTGCGACCACGGAGATTGTGGTTCGCAACTTCTACGCCCAAGTTGCAAAAGCTTCGGCCCTGCCAATCGTGCTCTACAACTTCCCAGGAGTCTGCAACGGCGTGGATCTTTCGTCGTCTCTGATCGCGGAGCTGGCAAACACACATTCAAACATTGTTGGCGTGAAGCTGACCTGCGGTAGCGTGGGCAAGATTACAAGACTGGCCGCACAACTTCCTGCTTCTCGATTCAGTGTGTACGGTGGACAATCCGACTTTCTCATCGGTGGATTGAGTGTTGGAAGCGCCGGATGTATTGCAGCTTTCGCAAACGTGTTCCCCAAAACAATAAGTCGCATCTACAAGCTCTGGACCGAGGGACAGCACGAGGAGGCCTTGAAGCTGCATCGCGTGGCTAGTCTGGCAGAGGAACCTTGCAAGGCAGGCATTGCGAGTACAAAGTATGCAGCTAGCGTGTTCTCGGCTCCCAAGGCTGGTATACAAGATGCGGAGGTCAAACTGAGACCTCGCCAGCCATATCCACCAGCAGGAGAAGCAGTACAGAAGAAGATCCGGGAAGTCATGGCCGAGATGAGCAGGCTGGAAGATTAAGTCAAGCAGAGGTTGGCCATGCACGTATCCGACGAAGAATATGGTCCGAGAATGCTCACTGCCTGAGCGACAAGAGCTAGAATTAGATTAGGATACCGGAAAACTCATTTCTCATTAGTGACGACGAGCGATCTGCCCTAGCCACAGCAATCAAGAGCTCCTGGGTCTGCAGCGGCTGGACGTCAGAAGCCCACCCTGATCCGTCTAGTAGAGCCAGTGTGTGATGTGCCGGTGTTTGAGTGAGGGTATGGCTACCACTCGTTGAGCGACGCTGATTTTGGTCGGGCGTGATGCTGAAGTCTGGGTTTGGAATCGATCCAGAGATATAGTGTGTTGGGCCGTAGCCGGCGACAATGCCGTAGCCATGTCGCTTAGTCGCTGCTTCCGCATCCTCTGCATCCGCAGTTGACGCACTGAATGACCTGGTCCTCCTTGAGCTGCTTGCGAGGCACGCGACAGATACAAGTGCTGTTGAAGTTGGTTTCCTTGGTCTGGATGCATCGGAGACAACAGAGCTAGCAAGGAGCAGTTAGCGTCTGCAAGACAAACAGAACTGTATAGGGGCAACACACCTTTTCGTAGCCCTGCTTCTTCCACTTTGCGATCAGGTTCTTGTCGGCATAGTTGTTCTTCAGCAGCCACTCGTATAGCTGCTTGGAGATGGCTTCTTTCTCGTAGTAGAGGTCGTAAATGTATTTGGNAGCCTGGTGAGCAGAGTCAGCACTCGTGGTGCACTCGGTGGGAGTTGCGCAGGCCTCCATCTCTCGCTGTGGGCCAAGAAACTAGAGACGGACCTGGAAGGAGTTTTGTCACGTACGCTGATGTGTGATCTGAAAGACGGGCCACACCATCTCGTGCTTCTTCTTTCCCTCGTGCGAGGCATTCTCGGCGTCCTTGAGCTTGTTGGAGAATTCGAGCAGCGTGTCTTCGATGTCTTCGAAGCCATCGGGCGGAGGCTTGCGGTTTCTGGAGCTGCGGATCGGAGGCATTTTGATTCTTGTTGTGAAGGTCGCAACGCGGATGCGATGCGATGGCCGAACAGAAAAGGCAGTGTCGAGTGACGCGCGAAAGCTGGTGCCAAGGCTTGCTGACCTCCGCTCCGCTCGGCCTCTCGCGCCGGCTGGTATGGCCTCGCTCGACGTAGAAGCTCTCGAAGAAGCCATTGAACTCTCGTCCACTCGCCTCACTACACACAATGATCAACCCTACCTACCTTGCCCAAAGGACGCGCTCGTGTACGCCACACACACCCATTTCCGCCCTTGCGCCGTCACGCTGACCCCACCTCGTACANGCCGTCAACTGGAACGATGCCCAGAAGAGAGTCATCAAGTCCTACCGCGAGTGGGTTCGCGCCGTACGATACCCTCTACAGGAATTCTCGCCGCCGAAACACCCTCTGACCCCTCTCAGNGCTCCCGAGATCCAACAGATGTACTCGCTCAACATGCCCGTCTCGGCCATCCGCACAAAGATGAGACAGGAGTTCGAAAGACACCGTTACGTCCAGCAATTGAAGACCGTCGACGTCCTTCTTTTCAACTCTCACCAGGAATATCAGGTGCACTATCACCGACTGGCTCGAACAAGCTCAACGTTGACCAATCTCTACNNACAGGAAACCCTCAACTTCTGGAAGCAACTCACCCACGTCCTCAAGTACTTCCGCGCCGAGGAGGACCCAAAGTCTGCACTGCCCAAGAACTTCATCCAAGGTTTCCTCGAGGTACGAATTACCGTGCCACAAAATATCATGTGAGCTTCTTGTATTGACACAAATATCTCCAGGGACGCAACTAGAGAACAAAACAATCATCATGCGCCTTTTGACTTTCCCCAGCCTTCCCGTAATGATACCATTTTAAACCGCAACCCCATTCTCTCCATATGCTCAGAAACGCCTGTAACATGCATGCTTTGCGACCATATTATCATGCCTTGCTGGCGTTGAATGCATCTCTTGACACCGTAAACTTGTCGACCACCACATCGCAGAGATTCATAAGATCATTGAGACCCTTTTCCAGAACATCGTAGACGTTGACTTCGTCTGTGTACTGGTCAGCAAATTGCATGTCGCCATAGCCAGGTCTGTCCTTACCCCATGTTTGAATGCGCAGGTTCATCTTTGCTTCTGAAGGATGGGGGATCGAGTAACCGCAGAACTCAACATCCGGGCTNNGCATTTGCATGAGTAAATGATTCCAGAAATAGATTGAGTGGGTTTCTCACTTCTTCATGATGATGTATCGTAGAGCATTTCCAAGAGTGTGGTCCTCCTTGGTGAATTCGAATGAAGCGGCAGTATCGGTTGACCCAGGAANGCTATTTTTTATCAGATTTGCTCATTTTTGTTCGTTCGTAACATGTTGCAGCAGCGTTCTGCAAACCGACAGCGTAGGCGGAAAAAGAATCTATATGGAAAAGCAGAATAGATAGATACTCACAACTCTGATGCGCTGGGGCTCGACGAGTTCAACTTCGGCGCCGTCCACATCAGCGCCGACAACAGCATCCGCCATCTCGTGGTCTCCGTTGGTAGACATGATTTGCTTTGTGTTTTTGTGATGTGCAGAAATGTTGCGATATAGCATTGCAAGGCGGGAGAAGTTTGCCGCCAAGCTGCCCATTATCTTATCGATCTCCCATCTCCGCGCCGACCATCGGCTGCTGGAAACATGTTCGTCATTTCACTTTTGTGACTCGATCACGATCAACAATACACACATTACTCAACATGTCTGACAAGCAAGTCCGCAGTGCGGTCATCAACCGCGATACCAACGAGACCAAGATTCAATTGGCTCTTAACCTTGACGGTGGCTCATTGGAGCAGATCACATCCGAGGACAATGGCGCAGACAAGTCACACGCTGCTCAAGCTTCGAAATCGCAGACCATCGACATTGATACTGGCATTGGCTTCCTGGACCACATGATTCACGCTCTTGCAAAGCATTCGGGTTGGAGTCTAAAGCTCAGGTGTCGTGGTGACCTCCACATCGACGACCACCACACTGCCGAGGACGTCTTTATTGCCATGGGCCAGGTTCGTTCAAGAGCGACTGAGAGACTAAGCTGTACATTTGTGCTTACCAATAGCCAGGCTTTCAAATCCGCCCTCAAGTCGACCGCCGGTCTCGCCCGTTTCGGCTACGCATACGCCCCTCTCGATGAAGCCCTCGCCCGCGCAGTCGTCGACCTGTCCAACCGTCCCTTCTGTGTCAGCGACCTGAAGCTGCGTCGCGAGAAGATTGGCGACCTCAGCACCGAGATGCTGCCCCACTGTCTGCAGAGCTTCTCCCAAGGTTCCGGCGTCACCATGCACGTCGATGTTATCAGAGGTGACAACGATCACCACAAGGCCGAGAGTGCCTTCAAGGCTCTTGCTGTTGCCATCAGAATGGCTAGCACACCGGTGGTCGGCCGCGAAGGCGAGATTCCAAGCACAAAGGGCGTTCTCTTCTAGACGTTCGCAATACTGTATTGTTGGTACATTGCTCTGCAACTCTAGAACATACTTTCATGGCCTCTTTATGTCTCAAACATTGTCACAATCTTGCTGTATCATCTATATTTCTCCCATGCCGATGCATAACGTAATAAGCTGTACAAATGCACAGTTTCATCCCGAAACAGAATTATGACCATTGAGATACACTCAGACGACCATCTCTCCGTGGACAACACTTTGCTTTCTGGAACTACCGTGACTTTCTATGGCTACATCAAACAGTCTTTGGCATACGGGAGAGAGACATCACATCATTTGAAGAAGCTGAAATCATGACGAGCTTCTCGTAAAATTGCTTTTCTTGCTTGCTTGGTATACAGTTACATTTAAAAAAAAAAAATGGGTGAATGTCATGGCTCAATGCAAATATTGCAGAGCTCCAACCCGTCGTTTTCGAATCGTTGACTTTTCAGTATCAGAACGAAGCAAAACAAAATCAAAATCCAATGCGACGTCAAGCATCGTCCTGCTCTGTCTTTCAATCCGTCGTCATGTTTCTCTTTCTGTTCGTTCAGCAGGGCTCGAAAAGAGCGTCCTGAGCAGTGCAGGTTGCAAACGACCATGTGTCAGGGTTAGATGTGTTGTCGTTGAAGCTGACAGGTGTGCTGAGTCCAGGGCAACACTCGATCGAGTTGATGGGGGTGTTGGGGTCAACCACAAGTGTGAGGCCGTTTGCTGTGTATGCGAAGTTGGGAGAAGGTGCATCACCCATGACGCTGTCAGAGCGTTCGGGCGACTCGACACCGGCCTGCTTTCTGATGGGTGTTAAGCAGCGAATAGGGCCGTCTTCTTCATCCTCCTCAACGATGAAGCGCACACGCTTGTTGAGCTTGGCCGGCTTTGCCTTCTTGACCTTGCTGATCTTGGTGACCTTAGTCTTCTTCTTTCCAGCAGGCTCGACTTCGAAATCGACCTTGAAATCACGGCCACGGAATGCCTCAACAACGTCAACGACGTAATCTCTGTACTGAGCCTCCAAATAGTTTCTGGCTGCCAAGTTGGTGGAAGCTGGGATCTTTTCGTCGTAGGTGACAACACTAGGCGTGGCGACACGGGTGTGCTTGACGGCATAGTCTTCCATGGCTGAGACTACATTGAAGATGGGGCGCTTGCGGACGTGAAACTTGATAATTTGGTGGATGCTCGACATCTTTTCGGGGTCGTCGGTGCCATAGCCGACAACGATGGCAGGACGCAGGCCCTCGTCAAGAATCCAGTACAGACCCTCAACCTTAAGCATAGGAGTCTTGCGCGCACGTAGAGAGCCGAGCGCGATATCCATCACGCTGCCTATACAAAGTCAGTGACTGAATTTCTCATGGATGAGACTTGACAAACCCTGAACATCATCGATGACTTTGTTGGAGCCCATGGTGGAGATTGTTGATGTTGAGAAGTGGTTACATAAGATCTTTGTATTGGTGTGTAGAAGAAGAGAAAAAGAGAAAGTGGAGGAGTGGTGTGTAGGGGAAGAGGTTTGGTTAAGAAGAAAGAAAGCTTTTATAGTCTGCGGTCGAGCTGAGCTGATGATCAATCAGGAAGGCGTAGGTTGACTGTACCAGTCAAGAAAGCAGTAGTGAGGGAAATGGTAGTGAGAACAGCGGTAGTGAGGAAAGCGATAGTGAGGAAAGCGGTAGTGAGTGAAGTATTTGTATATCTGACGTTGAAATCGAGGCAGGTCGATGTTATCTTTCCAAAAGAATATTGGTGTGATATGTGAGCTGTAGAAATCCACGATCATCTTCCAATGTTGAACCATTCCAAAGAGAGCCGATGAGACAATGACCTCTCAGTGGACTCTTTCCACTTTCAGATACTGTTGTTCATTTTCACAGAGCGGCTTTGTCTGAACGTGTCCAGTGAGATTTATGCATTCTGAGAAGATGATTGGGAGAAGGAAACGCTTTGTAGAATTCGAAGAGTACCAACTCACTGTCTGACTGCCTGCCTTTTATGCGGTGTTCCAAAGCTGAGGCTTGCTGGCACTGCCATACTTGGCCTGCCAGGCAAAAAANNAGTACATGAGTGCAGCTAGTGGTTGACCAACAAGGCAGAAAGAGATCCAGAAAATGAGGTTGCCTAGAAGTTTTCCGTTGCCTCCTCTCATTCTGGCCAGCGGATCTGTTAGGAAGATCAAGGGCAATTGGAACATCATACCAGCAAAAGCCACACCTGCTACCAGTTAGTGTCGAAGATCAATGTTATGTGCTACATGCCGACTGACCAANNGGATGTTATGAGTAGGTACACCGACCAAGAGCTCGTGAAGCACACCAGAGAAAAGGAAGGTCATGATCTGAGCGACGAGCGGCGGCACGCCTCGCCCAACCATCGGCGAATAGATATGTCGCTTCATGAATTGGAAGACTGGCTTGTTCCAGCTGGACCAGTATCCTCTCACTCCACTGCTATTCCACCACTCCCCGTAGAACTCTCTGTCGCCAAAGCGCATCACTTCTGCGAGGGCATTCAGGAAAGATTGGAATAGGGCGTAGAATCCAGCTAGCCAACAGAAGAGCGAGATGGTTGACAGCTTCATGAGACGCTCGGCGATAGACGGCAAGTCCAGCGAAGATATGGTTCCCAGAGAGTTTTTGAGAAGTGGAGCTGCGTATTGGGCACTGGCAATCCAGATGACAATGCTGAGTCCAACGACTTCGACACAACGCTTAAAGACGAAAGGCCAGCGAATTTTCTCAGTTCTGGGATACACTGGCTGGTAGATCAACGTTGGAGCCCACCAGAAGTAAGTGAGGTTGTGTAGAGTGATGTTCTGTGGGTACGGACAGGAACTGTAAAGCTCGGGGACTTCGCTTGCATAAGGATATAGCAGGGCATGTCGCAGATCGCGATTGGTGAAAGCATAAGAGCATGTCTTGAGCCATACAATCACAGCGTGTAGCTCGCACAAGGTGCCAATACCGGGATGGTGGATATGGTAGTAGACAACGTAGGTTGCAAGGGCCAAGTTGAGGGTAGCATTGACGCCATGTGCGAAGGCGATCAAGTGCCATGCTGTGCGGAAGGTTCGTAGCTCCTGCCTTCGTTGACTTGAGTTCGCTGCTGCATCGACGCCCATCTTTTTGGCTCTGGCAAGAGCGCCCTTGGCCTGCTGAGCAGCAATAAGCTCGATGAGGTAGGCAACGAACAGATGGCAAGGGACCAGGAAGTAGAGAATGCTACCATAAACGACATCTTGCCGGCGATAGTCGTGGCAGCGGATGCATATCAAGACACCGTNACTGAATAATTAGCCAAAAACAACAAGACATACATTTCAGACTCAAGCTACCTTCTTGAAATTCTCGATCATCAACCGCAGATTGGAAACAANCTAGGACTGTTAGTCACCAACCAAGACGGCAGTTGTCGCTGGACACTGACTAATTACCAGCGCACCCAGGTTCCTGAAACCAGTAAAGCTGGTGGGCGCAGCCGAGTCCTGGCTCAGGCATGACGGTCTGGTGGTAGAATGCACAGCAAAGGTGTGTCTGTATTTCTTGGGAAGCTGTACTCCAAGTTTCTCTGCTTTCTTCTTCTCGACAGGGTCCTGTTGCATGACAAGCTTTCCAGGATTATTTGTTGGGATCTCATGGCTGGTTGTGATGGCTGTATCAACGAGGGACGTCATGTTTCCGAAGCTTGGAAGCTGTTTGCGCAAGTTGGGAGAGAGCCAGGGAGCTTGGATATAGAATTTTAAAGTACAGGGTCAAGTCAACATCAGATAACCACCTTGCTGAGAGCCAGGAGACAAAGAGGGTTTCAGCGGCAAAGCAATCAACATGGCGGTTTGCAGGAACAATTAGAGCAAACAAGTTGCATCTTGAGTTCAACGCGTCGTCAAGGAACGAGCTGCCATGCGGTTGACGCTGCCGAGTGCCCCAGCCCTGCAAAGCCAAGCGCCCTAGTGACGCAGGAACACAATTGGGCGCTATTGTTGGCCAGCTTGCCATCCCGACTTTCCCGATCTCGCGACAACTTCATGTCTCCTACGCCGCTAGCCATTGTGGTCAAGGGAATAGTCTTGTGATGAGCATCTCTATTTGTTTCTAACCATCTGATAACAGCTTGAGCTTCTCGAGCGCTATTGTCATTAATCTTCGAGCTTGTGACATCGCCCTCTTGGTGAGCTGCGTGAGATCGTGTCTTCTCGAGCTCAAGCCCTGCGCAACGCGTAGCTGAGCCAGCCCAACTTATCATACAACAACACGTCTGTTACGATCTGGTCCCGTCTTACAATCAGCCATCATGGATCANGGAGACCAAGGCGGAGGCCATGAGGGCTTCATCAAGAGAACCAGACTCTCGCGGCGTACGTGCTCTTTGACTGTCTTACACTAAGATCTCGAATCGCGTACACTGGACAACCACTGACACGCAAGCTAGGCNCCTGCTACTGACTACAGTGCGAACATGGCACAGTTTGTGCACAATCGCCGGCCGCAATACAAAGGAACCATGGGATTCGAGATGGAAAGACCGAGTGCTAGTTACGTGATAGACGTGAGTTTGTGCTCGGCGTCTGTTCAGATAGACGGTGTAATTAAGAGCTGTATGTTGACTCGAATCGTANNGATGCTCCTACCACCAGCCCGCAGAGGCAATGCAGTAGATTCAGTGCCGGCTAGACATCTGCATTCATCCTTGAACAAGATGCGCCATCCTGTCAACGTGGTCAAATGGACGCCGGAGGGAAGGCGTCTGCTCACTGGATCGACCAGCGGTGAATTCACTCTGTGGAATGGAACGGCATTCAACTTCGAGACGATCATGCAGGTGCGAACATTCGTGATAGCTCGATGCGACACGTTGCTAATACACATGTCNCAGGCTCATGATAGTGCGGTACGAGCAGTGGCATATTCACATAGCAACGACTGGCTTATCTCCGCCGAACAAGCTGGCATCGTCAAATACTGGCAACCAAACTTCAACAACGTCAAGTCTTTGCAAGCGCACAACGACCCCGTTCGAGATCTGGCGTTTGCACCCACCGATACCAAGTTCGTGACGGCTGCGGACGATGCTCACCTCAAAATCTTCGATTTCGCCGGCGGCATGGAAGAACTGGTCTTGGAAGGTCATCAGTGGGACGCTAAATGCGTTGACTGGCATCCTACCAAAGGACTGTTGGTTTCCGGCTCAAAAGATCATCAAATCAAGCTATGGGACCCTCGAAACGGACGGTGCCTAACCACACTACATGGCCACAAGAACACCGTGAGCAAGACACTCTTTGAACCGACAAATGGCGTGCTACTGGCTTCTTGTGCTCGTGATTCTACTGCTAGAGTTTTTGACATACGTATGATGAGAGACGTCTTCTTATTGCGTGGTCACGAGAAGGACATCAGCACACTTGCTTGGCACCCAATTCATTCAAACTTCTTGACAACCGGAGGTGCTGACGGCGCAATGCATCATTATCTGCTAGACGAGCAGAACCTCCCCGCTGGTTCAGCGCCTACGCTTTCACCATACGACGCGCCAGAGAACTCGGATGCGCCTGCTCAAACGATATATCCTGCACATCGCGTCTCCTACGCCCACGACTTTGCCATTTGGAGTCTTGACTGGCATCCTCTTGGTCACATTCTGGCTTCTGGATCCAACGATAGAGCGACGAGATTCTGGTCAAGGCCGAGACCCGGAGACAGCACGTACAAGGACGATCGTTGGCATATTGGTCAGACAGCAGCAGAAGCCCAAGGGACGTGGAAGCGTACAACAGACCGTACAACTAGAGATGAGGAGGAGGAACTTGAAGACGAGGCAGATGGTCTTGTCGATCAACAGATGCCAGCCCGACAAAACATGCTGCCTGGCCTTGCTGGTCTTCCTGGTATTTCTGCACCAAGACCGGCATTCCCAGATGGAACCAGCACTGGAGGAGCACAGCCGTTACCCATGCCAGGTATGGGCAGCAACGGGCTACCTTTCCCAGGTGGGCCACCGATGCTTGGAGGCCAAGGCCTGCCGTTCTCATTACCGCATGGCGGCGCACCACCACCACTACCTGGGAACATGGACATCGAGAAACTCAAGCAGATGTTTGGTGGGCAACTACCTCCCATGCCTCCACCAGGTGCACAGCAAGGATTTCCACCACCTCCACCGCCTGGATTCCCAGGTGGGCAAGGTCTTCCACCACCCCCAATGCCTTTCCCAGGCTTTGCTGGAGCTCCGCCTATGCCTCCTCCAGGATTTCCAGGGTTCCCATCGGGTAACGCACCTCCTGATTTACACGGACAGAACAGGAGGAGGGCACCTCTGCCGAGTCAGAGTGAGAGCTTGCAAGAGGAGATTAGAAGAGGAAAATACCCCAGGGCGAGGTGAGACCGGCAGGCACTAGCTGTTAAAATGTGATGAGAAGAATTTGAGCTTTAGATGAATATCCTGAAGCACAAAACCGAATCCATTGCATGTCCATCTCTTTGACGTGGGCCAAGCCTAGGCTTTGTGACGAATTGATGTGGTTGTATGCCTATGCTGACGAGAACGTGTGCGACCGTCTAGTAAGAATTAATGTTTCAACGAGAGAGTCGTGAAACATAATGGTAGTGAGACGGAGACGGAAATGCGTGAGCGTTAAAAGGGTGCTTATCAAGCAAAAGAGCTCGGAGATGAAGTCAGACTTGCATCCGAGGCGCGGTTTGGGAAACTTGGAAGGCAGCAGCTTCAGCGACCTTCACAAAACACTCTTGCATTTTCATTTGGACAATCTTCAAGTCGATTCATCAAAAGACACTAAAATGTTCGCTCTCAATGTCACCCCAGAATACGGGTAAGCAACAATTCTGCGAGCCGATCGCCTCGTTCCTGCATGGGCGATTGCGTGCTTGGAGGGGCTTGTTGACTGACCACTCGTATAGCTACGTCGTCCTCACTGCCGTCGGCACCTGCTTCCTGGGCACCTGGCATGGCATGAGATGCTCTTCCTTCCGCAAGGCCGCCGGCCTGGGCTACCCTACNCCCTACGCCGATTCCGCACAGATGGCCGCCGCATCCGCCGAGCAGAAGCAAAAGCTGTACCTCTTCAACTGCGCCCAGCGCGCCCACGGCAACTTCCTCGAGAACCACTACATGGCCCTCGCCACCCTGCTTATCGGTGGCCTCCGCTACCCTTTGCTCAGCTCGGCTTTCGGTCTCGTCTGGTCGCTTGGCAGAATCGTTTACGCTGTTGGATACACCGCACAGAACAAGGAGAATGGCAAGGGCAGATTGGCTGGCGCCTTCTTCTGGCTCGCTCAGCTTGGTCTGTTTGTTAATGCTGGCTTGACCGGTTACAACCTGGCCTTTTAAAAAGAGACTAGCATAACGTCCTACAATCAATTAATTCACACATGTCTCTGATTTCCTTTTCTTCTGAGCGTTGTGTCGCTCTTTGCTTCTTGCTCTGAGGTCAAGCATTGGGTTCACGTAGAGCGAGACGGGAAATGAACTATCCAAGGACAAGATGCAGTGGAACATGTGGGCTACAGCCAATGTCACTTCTGACAATCATGACATGGTATCAGCACCTGTTGCATTTGTCTCATAACAGTTCGGTAACAAAATCAAACGCCTCGTCAAATGTCGTGATTGTCTGATTATGGAATTTGGAGCATAGAACAAGAAATATCATGTCGAAGCGGCCAACAGCACCTTCTCCGAACGCTTTCACTGTCCACCTCCTTCTTCGTTGCTCGTCTTCCCTGACAGGGAAAGAGAGATGGGTCCAATGCTTATTCCCTTTTGTGGTCCTGGACTGTCTTCCTTGCTGCGCAGGCTCCCTTTTCTTCTTAGCGGATGCCCTGTACCGTTTTGTTGCTGGATGCTGGTGGGTGAATCCAAGTTTGCGGCCGACATGTCGCTCCGCACACTGCCTATGCTGCTGACTGAGCTGCGACGCTTGGCCGGGACCGCGCCCGCCAACTTCTCCAAGTCATCTTCGTCGTCGTCTTCTCGTCTTCGTTTCTCTGGCACGATCGACAGAGGCGAACCCAGTGTCTCGGGCGTCGTCGACTCGACGCTAGGCTCTTTCTTTTCAGCAGGCGTGCCTGGTGATGCTGCAAGAAGTTCCATTGCATCTTCGTCCTCATCTTCCGGGTAAGACACCAGAGGTCGCATTGGAGGACCGACTTCAGGAGTCTTGGCAGCAACGGTCTCTGGTAGCGAAGCTGCACCTTCGTCTTCAGTCTCGTCATCTGAAGTGGTGTTGAAATACGCTTCCTCTTCCGCATCGGCATCTTTGAGTCCTTGCCAACGCTGGCCGCCAGCGACGAGACTCCGGTTCGGCGTCTCGCCGCCCTGGGTTGAGAAGCTGGTTTCATCAGGATTGAATCCGCTTTGTATTTGCTCGTACTTCAATACGAGGGCCCCAAATGTGTTGACATAAGTAATACCAAGCAACTTCTCTCGATAGCCCTCGACCAGTGGTATGACCAGTTGCTTGAGGTTCTCGCGCTTGATAAACTCGAATAGCTCGAGACAGGCTGAATTGAGAAGGTTGTCCCGGGGCATTGTCTGGTAGACAATGTCAAGAATCGGGTCAAATACCCCTTTGGTGATCATGTCTTTGTTGTGATGTTCGTCATTGAGGGCAACACATGTTCGGAACCACTTGAGGGNCCGCTAAAATTTGTTAGCATCGGAATGTCAACGCCGCCATATCATCGGGAACATACTCAGCTTCAGATGTTTCTGAGGGCAAGACAGCAGCTGGGCGACACGGCAATGTAAGTTTTCGGCAAGAATGTAATATTTACTTCGGAAATTATGTTGACGAATGAAGAAACATAATATTTCGACCAAATGGACGAAAAGAGAAGCTTCCTGTACAGATATAGTGTGTACTGCAGAGTGTGTTGTTAGCAATTGGGTCGTGTCGAAAGGCTTTATGAACTGACAATTTTGGCTGTGCTCAAGGTCCTTCAAAGGCTGGAATAGGCGTTTGGCACCATCGTTGTAAAAATTGTCCACGAAGCTTTCCATTTGGGCGCTGGAATTAGGATTTGCACCTCTCATCTTTGCCATGAAGTCCCCGTTGGTTCTGCCTAGCATATCCATGGAAGTCGAGCTAGCATGAGGATCCAGAAGGACTTTGATCGCATCCGCCATTTGGGCTTTGACGCCTAGGTCGACCTCGACAAGCAACAGCTCGATTAGTGTGTCTGTCAATGGTTTGGTCTTTTGGTTGATAGAACGGAAAATGTGAGAACGCATCATGACTGGATCATGATCGATGAGTGCAACGAGAATGTCGGTGCCAGCAACACGTACAGAGGCATGGCGGTGGCGCAAAGCATATGTGACTACATCCAGAAGACCGCCATGAATGAAATTTTGGAAAAGGTGAGCACGCGACTGTGCTTGAATGCTCTTAGCGACGGAGCAGCACGTCTGGATGAAGTGCACAGCGTCTTTCTTGCGTTGGTCGTCGGAATCAGGAGTTGTAAAGATGGTAAAAAGCTCCTGGATGAAGTCCTTGCTAGACTGGATGTGGTTAACGATGTCGACCTGGTTGTAAAATATAAGGGAGTTGAGGACAGTGAAGGTAGGGTCGTCGAGAATACGGGCCAGCACTACATCCTTGAGATATTGCAGGCGATATGTGGCGTGGATTTTGTTCTTGATGACGGGATTGTCAATGGCAACAACCTCCTTGAAACGCGACTCGTCGGCCAGGTAGTGGCGGTGGTTGGCCTTGTGACTGGGGAAATCTGGATCGTACTCCAAAGCACCAACAACGCCCAGAATGGCATGGTCCGAGACAGTCAACTCTATGATGGATGTGTCGTTGAGCAGGATGAGCGTCTTCATGATGGTGCACAGGCGGTGCAGAGCTTGAATGTCCTCGACGTGTTCGGCAAGTTCGACCAGCGGCAGAAGCTTAGAAAGGTACTGCGTTTCGGGAGCCATGACAAACTTGACTAAAGCATCACGACCATGGGTTGTCTGGCTGGCTGCGCGCATCGTCTCTTGTACCTGGTGCAGGTTGGCTAGCTCGGGCATGGGCAGCAGCAGACCCTGGCCATCGACAAGCTCGTCGGACAGACCGTCGTATTCGTTGGGGTGCATTGCGAGCATGCGCTGCTGTATATCGGTGATGAACTNCCCTGGCACGCCATCCGTGTCAACTCTATCTTGCTTGTGGAGCCAAAGACCGACTCGGACTCACCATATCTGAGCGCATCCGTCTGCCTCCTGAAAGCTCAAGGCCATGTCGATGCCGCTTGGCTCGGTCCATACTATCAGCGTGTCNNTGCGCATTGCTTGCATCAGCTTGTGTCTGTGTGCTTTGTTCGACCGAGTGCGTGTACCCTGTTGTCTCTGATATCCATCGTCGCGCGAGATTCTCGTTTCCAGCAGCATGCGCTGGGCGTCGTCTTCGGACTGGACGAAGATGCGCGCTTCGTCGTTGGCCAGGAGCTGACCGGCGCAGAAGCCAGTGCCGCGGTCATACCAGTCGTTGTTCTTGAGCTCGTAGACCTTGACGCGCTTGCGATCATTGAGCGGAGGAGCGGCAAGTGCCATCATCAATTAGATGCTGCGCACTGCCTGACTCCACAGCCCGGGGGCTCGCTGGTCGCGTGTCTCGTGATGTTTCAAGCTCGTCTGCTGTGTACGCTGTGTCGTGCCCGGGAGACGCGACGCGTGCTGTGTGTGTAAATGGGCTGCGCGGCTGTGTATAGCGATGATGATGCTGATGATGGAAATGATGGCAATGCGCGGCGGATAGCGGCAATGGCGTGCGCGTAGGCGTCTCTGAGGAAGATAGTCGGACGCGCCGATAGCTCTGAGCAATCAAGCACGTGTGTCGGGCTGGTCGTTGAGATGCGGGTGCTGCGTGGGCGGTCGTGTGTAGCATGCAGCATCCGAGATGCGCTTCAGGTTGTCGAGCCCAGGTCCAGTTCCAGAGTCCGAAGCACGGACTCCTCCTGTGTTGCGCAAGAAACTCGCCTTTGCCAGCCCTTAGCCCGTCCGCCAACTCGACAACAACTCGCGCGTTCACAGACTACCTAATGGTTTTAGCCCCTCATGTCATACTGTAAGTCATCAATCCACCCCTCATCCCTCTTGGCCTACAGTGCCATATATCCGACGTACAAGTATCGCTGCTCTCTTCGTTCGGTCCTCGGGCTCGATCCGAAACCCTCAGCACGTCATAGCTACTTCTATTTTCATCGTTGCACGTGATCTGCAACGCTCTTCCTCTGCTTCCACTCCTCGCTCGGATGCTTGGAGCTTTTCAATCTCTGCTCTTCAGTGCTGATCTTCGAGCGGAGTGAAGTGCGTTCCTCCCCACGGGCCAAGGGCTGTCTGCAGAACATGTACGATCCACGATCGTCGACATGCCGCTCTGTCCTGCAGACGCAGAGTTTGTTTCGAGTCATTGGAGAACATACCATCTGCACAGACTAGCAATTCCAACCTTCTTACTGCTGTTACTGTGACACGCAGCCCGTCTTCCGATCCCTCGTCGAAGGCCATGCACTATTGCTCGTCTTGACCTGGCTGTCGTTGCTTTTNGTGCTGTACATACCCCGCAGCCTCTGTTGGGTTGGCAATACTCGTCACTCCATACAACCGAACTCGNNCTCCATGTCTCAGCTTGTGGCTGCGGTCTCGCTCTACCTGAAGCAGCCATGTGTGATAGTCCTACATCGTGACAACAACTACGACCACGACGAAACGACAACGTCGAGCCTTCTCCACGTTTAAAGTGCTGGTATTCCTCGTTTGTGTCTCATCCCCAAGGTCTCGCCCAGCATACCGGACAAGAAAACCGTTGTGTAGGGCCAGGCCAGACTTNNCCACATCGTGACGCCAGCCGTAAGCNNCATACCATAGAGATAAGTACCTGCAACAGCCATGACCCCACGAATATCGATTCGTCCAAAGTGCCACTGACTGCGCCCTCAAAGAGAGGCTCCTCTATTCGACCGCTCCGAACCTTTGCTTTGTGAGATTTGAATTTTTGCCAATCATCTCCAGACAGGTCTTGCTATGTGGTACGTTGCCAGCCGGTGAGCGACGGCAACTCGATCGTTTGGGCGTTGCGGTAGGCAATCTCGTGCTCGCCAAGTGTCTCTGCATCCAGGACAGGAGCAATAATGTTACTAAGGNGACGTCTGCATAATGACGGAGTTCATGCAAGTTACCGAGTACATNCCTAAGGTACGAACTATTGATAGATGGCCTCCTCACGAAACACTTTCGGTCGTGCTTGTTGAGAGAGGCACAGCGAACGCCCTTCCAACCTGGACTCTGCGATTACTGTTCCCCCTCTTTCACAGCTCTCGGCGTCTTCAGCTCCAAATCCAGCTCCAGCTGTTGTACACGTGGATACGATTCACAGAACCGCCAGCGTTCTTCTCAAGTCTAGCATGCGCCGGTTTCACAAGCGCCACAGTATCTGTCAAACTCTGATCACGTCCGCCGTTCCTGGATCCGTTACCGTCTGTGCACGCTCTTCTCGTGCTTCCTGATGCGGACAAGTCAACGGCACGTCCGGGAGTTCGACAGCCCAAGGCTCGGTTGCCTTTCGTCTCCAGCCGAACCTGGTGATAAGAATTACAGTTTTTCAGCCATCCTTCATCATGCCGAGACTACTGCTTCAGTAGTTCTTCACAGCTTACAGGCGGAGCAGTTTCTGTGTCTCGGATGCGACTCAAATTCAACTGTAAGATCGTCATGAAGCCATCTCCTTCTACCGCAGTGGAACAAACGGCATACCGATAACCGCCGCGGAATAGTAAAGCCCGACAATGCACTCGTATCGTGTCAGTCCTGTATCGTGCAGAACAAGGTATCCTGCATACTAAGAAAACCAGGCGCTCCATTTCATGTACATGCAATCATTCTGTCCCGATTGAGCGGATCCATGAGCTTGAGCCAACCTTAACGAGACCTGATAATTACCAAGTCGAGGTCTCCCCAATGACTCTAACATATTGTATGTTCCGGCCTCTGCCACCCCTGGCTATAAAGCTAGCCGCTGGAGGTATTATCTTGGCCGTTGCCTACGCAGTGGATCGCCAACCTTCCGTGCGTTTTGACCTTGTCCGTCGAATACTTTATTTTTGGCGCCACGCTAGATTCAGAGTGTGCAATCAAGGTCCCTGGCTGAGCTCGGGAATCTCTTCGCGGATCCGTTCTGTGAAGTAATCAAAAGGCCGCTGTCCCACTGCTCCTCGAGCGTTGCCTTCTAGTGAACTATTCGTCCTGTGCTACTTACGATCTGCTTTCGACACAGGGACGTGGGGACATTACAACACCTTCCATCCTCTCAGCAAAGCCCAATCAGCTCCCATTTCACAGTCATCATACCCGACCACAATGTCTATCATCTCAAAGCTTAAGGGTGCCAAAAAGGCTGCGGACGACCACAAGGCAAAGACAGACGAACAGGATACCAAGCCTGTTGCTACTATTCCTTACAAACATGTTCCTACTCATGCTGCTACCGATGCCATGACCAGTTCGCCTGGAGGCTGGAAATCTGAAGAGATCGCATACCAAAACAAAGCTCGCCTTAGCAGAATCGGCAGTGACTATTCAACCCGTCCTTCTACCTCTCACACTACCACCACACGATCCAACAGCAGACCAGGATTCAACAGAGCCAACAGCGATTCGTCCCTGGACTTCACCCCGGCTTCCCAAGGTTTCTCGATGCCTCTAAGATCAACAGGCTCATCGTTGAAATCGGCTGCCATCTCGCGCAATCCCAGCTACCAAGGTCTCGAGAAGGTCATGGAGTCCAATGATCGTGATCAGGAGCCAGTNTTTGCAGCCGCACTATTGGCCAACAGAACCAAGGCATCACGCTCTCCTCGTGGTTCCACTCGAAGCTCGCTAGGTAAAAGTCCTTTGTCTAGTGTTGGTAAGTTTCTCTTCATGCTCACTACTTTTCGCCAACTGACCCATCTTCAGAATCATCCGCCGAGTCATCACCCGCAGAGAGTGAAAATAGTTCTCCTACGGGCTCAAGCAGTAAGTTTTGCCATCATAACTTCATTTCAGTCCACTCAAATTAACCTTTCTGTAGGTGGTCAAATTGAACTCAGATCATCGGCGGTTGCCTATGCATCCGCTCTCGAGATTCATCCTGGTCACAAAGTCAATCAGATGCCCGTGGAGCAACCACAGCCTCAACGCAAATATTTTGGACACAACAAGCCGCCCACGTCTGAAACCAAGGAAGCTTCTGTCCCAGCACCTGTCATAGTCAAGAAGGAAAAACGATTCTCGTTTTTGAAGAGAGGCAGCAGTTCTGTGGCTGCTCACTGAGAGTACTCCTAAGACTCTCCATCGCCAGCCATGCCATGGGCATCTTGTCAAAATCGCAAGTCGTGAACGAAACCTGTCTATGACGAGCGCAATGATTCCTCCACTCGGAGGAAAACGCTTTTTACGATTCTCCTATGTCTTCGATTCTATGTTTATTGGGTTTTTGTTGAATGAATAGGATTTGACTCAGGAGTTGGAATTGCTACACTTAGCGACAGTTGTTTATGGGTCTGGGGTTATGCTTTGATGTGTTTCTAGAATGCAGGGTGCTGCAAGCACCCAGCGACCACACGAAGCGAAGACGATACATGCAATTACGATTTCACTATTGTTTCGGTTGTTTGTTTTTTCTCATATGCTAAAGCATGTTCGTCGATCTTCATGTGCAGATACAGAGTCCTGTTTTCATTCCAACTCTTGTGTGCTTATATATGGGGTTCCACTATACCACAGGGACAGAGGACACCATTGAAGGATTCGTGTTTTAGGTTTCAGGAAGCGAGCGGAGGATTCACACCCCTTTGTTATCGGTGGACAGCAAAGATAATGGTGATCGATAAGGCTGTTGGGATCTCCCTACATTTTCTTCCCTCAGCAAAACACGTGCTGGGCGCATGAATCCAAGGTCCTGTCAATAAAGCAAGAAGCAAGAGGATTTGGTTCACAGGCTCGGCTCGGTGATACAGGTTTATGCTGCAGGTCCGCGACGTTCAGCTCCAGCCTCTTCCGTCAATCGTGCCTCAGCCCGAGCTATGCAAACGGCTATCCCTGGAAGCTCCGCTCAACAGGGGCGGGTGGTTAATCATTGTTAGCAGTGCGTGAACGGTGACCATTGGCCACTTTCGTGTAAAAGAAAGGCCGAAATGTGCTAGAGTTCGGACCTGCCGCTATCTGCGCCGCTGAGTGGAAGAGATTGTAGCGACCGTGGCCGAAGCGAGGCGTGGAACCAGTCTCGATGCAGGCCTGCACAATTGCTGTCACAGTACTAGCCCTACTCGGTGAGTTGCTGATCAGCGCACCGGAGTGAAACCCGCCCAATGATTTTGAGGCTCAAAGAACACGGCACATGTGGCAGCGCGTCTTTCGCGTGTTGAATCTATTGATCAATTTTGCACGAGTCTGGACCTCGCTTGGCGATAGAAGGATCATGATGAACCAATCAGATTGGTCCATGGCACCTTCTCATTTGGTCGGATCTTTGCCTTCCTTCCACAGGAAAAAAGAAAAGAAGTCGACCAGAGCAGCTTGGGCATCCAAACAGGTAGCAGTCTTTCGCGACGAACACGACTAGACGTTAGGTGACCAGGCTGTTGCGCTCCCTTCTGGCGCTTATACGATCTGTCTTCCGCCCTCCGTCGAACGAGTCAGCCGAGTGCGCCGAGCATTGTCGGCATGAGCCACCAAGGTGAGCGACAGCAACGCGAAGTCGTCCAGGCCAACGACACTATCGAGATCGAAGCTCCAGTAGAGCGTATCACTGTGAAGACGAAAGGGACCACCACCACGCCTGAACCTTCCACGCCCAGCTCGAGCATTGACGGCAGACTTCACGGCGCCCCAGAGATCCTCGATGATACAGGAGCCGTACACGAGTACGAAGAAAGAGAGGGCGCGAAGAAAACGAGGTTTGCATACCTCAGGACAAGGGACTTTTGGGTTGTATTATTGCTTACGCAGATCATCGCGTTGGCCCAAACTGGAACAAACACCCTCACATCTTTGATTAATGCTCGAGGCACGAGTATACCGGCCTTCCAAACCTTCTTCAACTATGTCTTGCTCAATATAGTGTACACTTCCTTCACCATTTACAAGTACGGTTTCTCGAAATGGGCCAAGATGGTTGTAAAAGATGGCTGGAGATTCTTCATTCTGGCTTTCTTGGATGTCGAGGGCAACTACTTCATTGTGCTTGCGTACAAGTACACAAACCTTTTGTCCGCACAACTTTTCAGCTTCTGGACCGTAATTGTGGTAGTTGTCATTTCGCTGGTCATCCTCAAGGTCCGCTATCACCTCGCACAGTATGGAGGCATCGTACTTGCATGCGGAGGCTTTGCACTCCTGATAGCGTCCGATTACATCACCAAGAGCAACAACTACGCCCCTTCAGACGCTCTCAAAGGAGATCTTTTCTGCCTGCTCGCCCAGACTCTATATGGTTTCAGCAACACATTCGAAGAGTTTTTGGTCTCAAAAAGACCCATGTACGAAGTCATTGGCCAACTCGCCTTCTGGGGAATGTTCATCAATGGCGTACAAGCAGCCATCTTCGATCGTCACTCTATTCAGGAAGCACACTGGGACGGGCAAATTATTGGGTACATTGTCGGCTACACTTTGTTGCTATTTATCTTTTACTCTCTGGCACCAATCGTCTTCCGCATGAGCAGTGCCGCTTTCTTCAACATTGGTCTTTTGACAGGCACCTTTTGGGGAATCGTCGTCGGTACTCAAGTTCTGGGTTACCACATCCACTATCTCTACCCTATTGCCTTCGTTCTTATCATCCTCGGTCACTTCGTTTACTATGGCACTGAGGGTGTGCTAGGCGAGGCTAAGAAACCTTGGTTGGGAGAGAATCAGGAGCTTGGTGAGAGCGGTCTGGGAACAGCTCGGCGTCGTGCTGAACACCTCAACGCCATCGTCTGATCATTCCGAGTTGCAGAGTTTAGAGTTATACGGCTGCTCTCCTGGATATCGATGTGTTGTATGTAATCTTTGCTTATATGTTGATACCGTATACATGACTTATGACATTCTACTTCGATTGCTTCCATATTTTCCTGGTGGTCGTGGCTAACGATAGCACCCTGTCCGTACTTACATATGGCGACAGCGACGACGAGGTTACGATCCACGTGATTTGAAATACATGTGACATTGAAATAAGACCCAATATACGTCTCACGCCAGTTCATAGAATATCTGAGCCAGATTTAAAGATATTTCGAAATTATTTCTGAAATCCGTTTCATTCGACATACACACTGTTTGAACAGCCGCATAAAGCATTCCTCTCTCAATTAGTATCAGTCAAGCCTTTTTCTTCCTTCATCTCACCATATTGCGCGTTAGAGAGACCGAGAAGCAGAGACTCCCACACCCAATCCACGGTCTTGAACATCCCCCGAAGAGCGCAGCCGCCGAAATGCTCTTTTCACCCTCTGAGAAGCAACGCAAGTCGAGAAAGAGCGCACAAGCAGCCAACTCAAAGAATCGTCATGTCAAGAGCCTATGACTTGACTGGCGCAGAGCAGCAAGTCCATCAGATCATATTAACTGCATTGATTGCCACCTAGACTCTGGTTGCCCCAAGCAAGGAAAAGCTTGACACCACAAAATTGAGCTTCAATATTCTTTGGGAGTAGCTCGAGAGAGAGAGACTGAAGCAGTTTGGACACGACTTGCGTTGGGAGCTGGATAAATTCTCTTACTTTGTTACCAAGTCAGACCGCTTTACCACCATAGCAAAGAAGCTGAGCACCATGCGGGATGATTTTGAAGATCCTGCCCTTCTTACACTCGTGCTCTCACACTTGACCCAACGTTCTCACGCCGTCATTTTTTCCTTCCATCGGATTCTCATTACCGCAGGCTTCTTCAAGTCTTGTGACTTTCTTCATCCTTTAGGCATGGTCAACGTCCACACCTCTATAGGCACCCGTCTATCACTGGTCGGCCGCCACAGTCATGCCGCCAAAGCCATAAATATACAGACATGATGAGACCGTTGGAGGCGATATCACTTTCGAAGTCGTACGAGCAGGACTTGCTCAGAGAGCGAAGAACAGATTGAGGGAAGCGGCCATTGCCCCCAAGACGCCGATTCAGCGAGTCTACAGCATTTACCTCTGACAGCTCAGGTTCCTTGAGTCGCAGACTTCGGCCGTTACTACTCAGCCTTCATCCAGCCATCACGAGTCACGAGCATTTCTTCCGTCACTCTCTACGCTTGCCTTACTCTTTCCTTCAAACAATATCATCTGGAGAATCTCGGGATTCGTACGGCAATGGAACAAGCAGTACACGACGCGTCACTCATCGGTGAGCAAAAAGCTGACAAGAACGAGCACCAAGAAAATGAGCAGTACGAAAAGGACTTGGATGCATGTCTAGACGACATCGACATTGCCATCAATCACTTAAAGCCGCCTTAGAAGCCACCCTCCCACAATTCTTCGCAACTTAATGCCGACGCCACCAATGCCGTCCATCCTGGCTGCAGCCTAAGGACTCTATAAGTTACGGCAATAGATTAGGACATGTCTGTCCTTCTAAACTACCAGCGGTACTCCGACGAGACGATCAACACCATTGCTAAAATTGCTCGGTCTTAAGCTCCGCATAGCAAGGTCCGTAGTTGTTGGCAAATCTTTCCGGTTTGCACACGCAATGCTCATCTCGACTGTATTGATTTGACGACCGACCATGGGTTTCTCAACACATGGTTCACCGCATCCCTTAGCAGGAAGTACGTCCATTATCGAATGGACTGTCGCAGCTACATAAGGGTATGGCCGTCCAAGGAGTCCATGGTCTCCATCCCTCAGCCACCAGAAACTCCACTATTCCAGTCTGCCGCTCAGTCTTTGTTGAATCAAGAAGTTTCTGTCATCCATCACACTACCATTGATGAGAAGTCACATCCAGGTTCATATGGCCAAGAACTTACCAGATTTCTTGAATCCCCCGTAGGTTCCCTCGTTAACATCGAATTTGTTATGTGGAACGCCATGGTACAGGGCGGCGTTCATGATTACATCTCAACACCCTAGGTTCTCTAGCTGGTTCCTCCAGGTGTCGCCAACACCCTCGTCAAACTTGTAACAAGTGACATAGACCAAATCCTTCACCACATAATCAAGTATTCTCCATCCTTCGACCTACACCTATCTTTTATGAGTGGTCGCAGTAACGAAGAGCAACTCACACTTGTCCCACATCATGGCATCAGATCTCTAGATCCGTGTGAAATTTCCAAGGCTCTTTCGACATCCATGTCCCATGGAGGGATGTCATCTACTATTCACAATGCAGCCAGTCGCGACTATCTAGCGTTATACTTGTTAAGCAGCACTCGAGTGACGGCACACAGGATTCTGCTTTTGGCCAAACGCTAAAGGCATACTGGGAACACACATTTCCAAGAGATGGCACACCTATTAGGGAGACAGTTTATCTTACTCATAGTGAACACCCATCTTTCCGGAACTTTCACCATCTTAGGGCTTAAGATGTAAAGTTCCAAGACGCCTCTACTAAACCAAAAGCCTTAAGTTCCTAACTTTCGTTCTTGAACTCTCAACCAGCATGCCTAAACGTCGCAATCGTAATGACAAGCGTAGACGCCATATCGTCAAGCTCACTCTCTTGGTGCAGCCTTGAGAAGTTGTATCCTAACCTCAACTTTTCTATCATGCAAATGCATTGCCCTGATACCAATCGCACAACCATCCAGCCGTATGTTGTACACAGACGTTCATCTATGCTCTATTCTTGGACAGTTAACATTTCCCAAAATTGCTGAAACTTCACAGCCATGAAGGGATATTATTGTTGCGAAGCAAGTGTGGCTTTGCAGCAAACAGATCTGGAGAGAAGTCCGGTCACCTCGGTCTTTCGAACCTCCTCCCACGCTCGGGACACGATCTGGCACGACCAGAACTGTTTGTGCATTGCCCAGTCCGGCGTTGCAGACGCTGATCGATGCGGTCGAAAGCTGCAACGGATCACGCGTCAACTCTCAATAAGATCACCCAACAGAGTTGTAAGGCTCAGGGTCAAGGTAGGCGTTATAGCGTGTGACTTGGAGCAGAGGTTGCATAGGTGTGTTCTAGTCCGCACGCGTGTTCAAAAAGGTTCTCCATACAATAAGTGGGGTATTCTCTGGAGGATGGAGCTGACGAGTACGGCAGCATTGTGGGCCTGTGGAGTACTCGCGGTCGGATTCGTGGGGATAGAATCTGCAACTGGCCAACGTCACGGGGAAACAAAGGAACGAACAAGTTATGAACAAAGAGCAAGGCTCACGGAGCGCAGGAAGAGACTCCCTGTTTTTCCGGCCGGCGGCCATGGCTGCGTTGTGACTTGCGAGTCAAGCAACGCAGAATCTGAAGCCGATGGTTGCACACGGCCTCGGACTTGGATGAAGAAAAATGTTCATTGTTCAAATGATTCATGGGCGAGCAACATTCGGCAACAAGGCCTTGGTTGGCGCGATACTGGACGAATAGGACAAAGAACGTGTACATTTCGCTCGGTGATGCCATCCAGAGCGTGCCAGACGCGATGCACGAGGAAAACAGCGCTTCGTCTCCGAGCTCTGAGGAGCGCATGGTTGACATCAACGCATGCCGGTCAGCGTCGACCTTTTTCGTAGCTCGAAATGCAGTTATCACGGGAGTAGTACTCCGAACAGTCTGTTGATGAGCGAGTGGACGAAACAGCGCAGTCTGGACTAACCAAATCGACACGAGTTTTGCCGAAAGGCAAAGTGCGGACAAGGGCTCTGGAGAGGGCGCCAACCCAGAGCGTCGTGGCCGCTTCGAAAGATGTCATGCGTCAATCCGACCAAAATTGCGAATCGCTCCACTTCTCAAAGGCTCCAAGGGGTGCACCGTTGTACGTGGACAAGACCCTCTGCTCGAGACTACTTCTACGTACCGAGCCCGCCTTGCTCTTCCCCTCCAGACCCATGAAATACAGACAGCTATATTATCAGTCCTCATCTCCTCCTTGAAAACGCCCTGCCGTACCTGCAGCAAGTACTTGTATTGTCCCCGGATCGACGACGCCTTTTATTGGCAGCCCTTATCGGCAAAGACCCTCGCTTTCTTTGATAGAAAAGCCTCACCGCTGCAGCAGCAGCATCTATTCACGACGGGTACGCATCACTCTCGTTACCTGTTTTCCTGTTTCTGTCCGGCCGAAGAATGAGATTTGCTTATTGTCGAGAATCGAGCAGCTGGAGTGCGATCTGCTCAGCCGCGTTTCCGATGCTCTGCAAAGCCGTCATGCCGATTCAGGGAGCCCGTTCTGACACATTCAACGACAGTTATATTTGGGCAACACCTATCTCCAGCCTTTACATACCTAGATAAGGACGCACACTTCCCAGCAAGGCGCGCCCTGTCTGTGTCCGGTGCTGTGACCGCTGTTGCTTGGATACACACTGCCTCGGCCACCCTCGGCTTAAGTTGCATGTCAACCACATTCGTCTTATCATAAATCGCGCTCCTGTCCTCGTCTGATAAAGATGAGTCCTCCGCCGCAACAAAATGCGCGGAATCAGACGTCCAACACTCGCCGAGCTGCACCTACACATGCTCGCACGTTAAAACCTCCTGCCCCGGGTCCTCGAAAGAACAGCCACTCGGGTCATTCCAAGAAGAGTTCCGCTTGCACAAAGACCATTATCAGCTCTAGTAAGAGCAACCACAGGACAGACACAGCTATCGCTGCAGAGGACGAAGACATGGCCGGTCTTCCCCAGTTCTGGTGAGCACACATGCACGTCGCTTGCCCTCGCTTTACTAACCCGTCTNNTAGTGCTACTTGCGAGAGGCAGATCCTCACACCTGCCTGCAATTCCGTGCTGTACTGCTCAGAGAGCTGTCGCCGAAAGGACCACAACAAGCCTCTCAGTCATTCAATCCTGCCGTCGGAACCCTCACCGCAGCCGACCACCCCTCGAAGCTCGTATTTCTTCGATGACAACCAGCACGAGATCCTTCCCATGCGATCACCCACCGTTGTTCGCCCACCATCCTTGGCCTTCTCGGACGATAGCTTTGACCTGTCTGTCAGCGAGGAGCAACCCAGATATCATCGTAGTGAGAGCGATGGTTCTCGCTACCTCTCACACTACCACCATAACTCTGGCGACCACAGCCCTCGTCGTGCGAGCTATGATCCGTATACACCATCATTGTCTCACACTCCGACGTCGCTTATCAGTACTGTCGGCTCATATCTGTCTACACGCCCACTTCCTGGTCGCAAGAACCCCTATAGTGCATCATTCAGCTCTCTCTCGGTTGATCTCGTGACACCGGTCGTTAATACAGAGTCACTGACCGCATCGACCGACCTCAGTCACCAGACCGCTTCTCTCCGCAGTAGCGCAAGTACCAGCACTGCTTTCCGTGTCGTCGAGGGAGAGATGAGTTATGGCAACAAGGATTACACGTCTGGCACTTCACCCAGTAAGGGCAGCCTTCGACAACTCTTCTTCCACGAGGCCATGCAAGCTCCTCCTAGACACGAGTAACATGCTTCGAATCTCTGCTTTTCTGTTTCGCATATTGGTTTTAATTATACGAAGTTTACGACGGATACAAGTTTATGGAACAGCCTCTTGCCATCTTGACGAGAAGCAGCATCAGCATGGGGTACATTGAAAGCCAAAAGCTTTGGGTTAGGTCTCTCGGAGTTTGGAATTGGGAAAAGTGTTTAGATTGCCTTACGAATAAGATCGTGTCAGCTCGAATGATACCTAGCATTTGTCATTTGACCATATAAACACAAACTACATCACGTCTCTCGACATGTTAACCGTCTTCGATCAATGCACTCAAACAATTCGTATGGGCCGGTCACTTTTTCCATGTCGGCAGCATTGTTTAGAACTGAAAGCCACATGTATATCCCTCAAGGTGATTGAACGAGAGGGCGCGGATTTGTGCAATCATGTACAAACATGCACATATGGCCCGTGCAGACGTGCCTGTGCCGAAGCATTCTCGCTTTCACTGGAGGCACATGTTTTGGTCAACATTGACCAATGCAAAATGCAATGCGAAGGGTAGTAATAACAGGCCTGGGAGCTATTACTCCACTCGCAGTGGGTAGGTTTAATAAGACCATCGTTTGTTCGTAGCGCAAGACTCATCGAATCTCCNNAGGCATTCGACCGACTTGGAAGCGACTGATCGATGGCCACTGTGGAATAGTGAACATCAGAAACAGAAATACAAAGTTTGCCTCTTTACCATCGCAGGTTGCGGGTGTTATTCCTCCTGGTTTAAGAGTGGATGGTGGCTGGAATCCCAAAGAATGGTTACGGCCTGGTGTGAGCAGCGCACACTCCATAACCTATTCGACAACATATTGACCTTAGAATCAGGATGACCGGAAGATGGCACTGTTTGCACAGTACGCCATGGCTTCGGCGGAAGAAGCTCTACAAGACGCAAACTGGGTGCCCCAGTCCGAAGAAGATCTTCAAGCAACAGTATGTTAGCAGTATTGGTGACATAGCAGAAGGCGATGCTGATTTGCTTGCAGNGGTGTCTACATTGGCTCTGGTATAGGCAGCCTGGATGATGCCTACAACACGGCAGTTGAGTTCGANAAAGGGCGTACGTCAAATTCTAACGGTCTACTTGATAACAAGATACTGACACTATCACAGGGTTACAAGAAAGTGTCGCCACTATTTGTGCCCAGACTCCTGATCAATTTGGCCGCAGGTCACATTTCCATGAAATACGGATTCAAGGTACGTTTGACCTTTCTACAACGTCGACAGACCTCTTGCACTAACGGTGGNAAGGGGCCTAATCACGCAGCAACAACGGCCTGTACAACAGGGGTCCATGCCATCGGTGATGCTGCCCGTATGATTACCTTTGGAGATGCGGATGTCATGGTTGCTGGGGGTGCAGAGTCTTGCATTCATCCGCTCGCCGTCGCTGGTTTCGCTCGAGCCAGAAGCTTAGCTACGGATTGGAACGACAACCCTCAGGAGGCTTCGAGGCCATTCGACAGATCGAGAGCGGGTTTCGTGATTGGCGAAGGAGCTGGTGTTGTGGTACTTGAAGTAAGCCTTGCATGCACAGCATTTCATGGCGCGATATGTTCTAATCATGCTCGTCATCTANNGGAATTGGAGCACGCAAGAGCACGTGGAGCTTCCATTTATGCTGAAATCAAAGGCTATGGTCTCTCGTCAGATGCACACCATATGACGGCTCCCCGAGAAGACGGTCAGGGCCCATATCTCGCCATGAAGCGCGCGCTAAAGCAAGCCGGTATCAAACCTAGGAGTGTCGACTATGTGAATGCTCATGCTACTTCGACCGTACTTGGTGATGCCGCCGAAAACCGTGCTATCAAGACATTGCTACTCGGCGAAGAAGGATACACGAGCGCTGGCGAGGTCAATATCAGCAGTACCAAAGGTGCAGTAGGCCACTTGCTTGGAGCCGCTGGAGCCGTAGAGACCATATTCACTGTTCTGGCATTACAGAACGTATGTACCAGTCCCAAAGCTCAGAGTGGAACAAACTGACCAAGCACANNGAACATTCTGCCACCAACTTTGAACCTCGAACAGGCCGGCGATCCAGTAAGCGACTTCAACTGCAACTATGTCCCCAAAACAGCTCAGCACTGTAATGTGAATGTTGCTTTGTCCAACAGCTTCGGATTCGGNGGGACGAACGCAAGCATCTGTCTGAGCAAATATCAAGATTAAATGGCTTACCGAAGCTTTATCTCATAGTATCCCTACGAGTCGCTTCTATGAACAAACATGTATGTCACCCTGACGGCCTCTTGTTGCTCGATGGAAACTGTCAAGCAAGAAGCCTCAGCAAAGCGGCGCGCCCCCAGATTCGCCAGCGGGCCGCCGCCCACACATGCCCCACCTGGTTGATAAGTGCGGGACCTCAAGTCATATCTGTATATTGTGAATTTTTCCTTCCGTCTTTGTTCCTTTTCTTTCGAAGAAACATCACGTCGAAGGGGTTGTCGTGTCATCTCCGGAGAGCGACAATGTCATCCCAAGCCAATCCCTTGATGGCCGGCTCTGAGGACGAGGGCAGCAAGAACGCCGTTTATCTTCGGCTCAAGAGTAAAGGCAAGCACTATCATGCAAAGATTCCAGTATTGAAACGCTTGCCTTTCCCTTCCATTGCAATCATATCGTTACTGGTTGTCGTAAATCTCTTAGTGTGGATAGCAGTTGGCATAGTTCTTGTGAGTCAGTATCAAATCAATATTCTGTCTGACAGGACTCCTAATCTTCGATAGAGCTATCACACGTAAGAGACCAATATTGTAAGAACCATTCGCTGTACTAAACACCTATCAGANTCTCTGGTCTCCACTGCTGTCCTTGCATACTCCCTTGGTCTGAGGCATGCTCTCGATGCAGACCACATCTCGGTAATCAAGATCCATATGTTCGATTATAGAAGCAATATTGATACCAGTAGNGCCATCGATCTTATGACTCGTCGTCTTATCGCGACCGGACAGCGTCCAGTCACAGTCGGCACGTTCTTCTCGTTAGGACACTCAACGTATTCAAGCTCTGCATGAACCATACTTGAACCAAGCATACTGATCGGTCAAAAGNNCATCGTTGTCATAACTTCTATCGTGGTAGCTTCGACCGCCGCTGCTGTTTCGTCAAAATTCGGAGCCTTCTCTCGAGTTGGTGGTATCATCGGAAGCAGCGTCTCAGCCACTTTCTTGATTGTGCTTGGGATCATGAATGTTTTTATCCTATACAAGCTCATCAAGCAGCTCCGCGAAATCATCAACTCTCCTGCAAACTCGCCCCAGCCAGAGTTCCAAATTGAAGGTGGAGGATGTCTCTTCCGTGTTTTAAAAAGTATGTTCAAGCTCATTGATCGGTACGTTACCATTTGAGTGAGATGTCGATGGAGATGAAGCTGATCAAATGTGCAGNNTCCTTGGAAGATGTATCCTCTAGGAGTCATGTTCGGCCTAGGATTCGACACTTCGTCAGAGATTGCTCTGCTGGGCATCAGTGCCATCTCCGCCAGTCAGGGAACGTCATTCTGGCTCATCCTCTTGTTCCCTGTTCTGTTCACCGCAGGTATGTGTTTGTTAGACACTACGGATGGTGCCCTTATGATGGCTCTATACACATCGACACGACTGGCAAAAGACACCATCGCCGTACTCTACTATCAGGCTGTTCTCACCGGCGTCACCGTGCTCGTTGCTGTGGTTATTGGTGTTGTCCAACTCCTCGGTATGCTGCAGGGCGCCGCCAATCTCGAGGGCGGATTCTGGGATGGCGTTGAAGTCGCGAGTGACAATTACGACATCATTGGTAAGTAAGTCCTCCTGACTCGACGCTTGTGCATGTACTAAGCCAATTGCNNAGGTGGTGCTATATGTGGCAGCTTCGTCGTCTTTGGTGTCCTGAGTGCTGTCCTCTATTGTCCTTGGAGAAGACGGGTTGACGCAAGGCGAAATGCCCTTGTCGGACCATTTGGCGAAGATCAATACGATGTGACAGAGCTACGCAACGTTTTGGAAACACACGGAGAACCAGAAGTTATACAAGAGGAGGTCTCAGTACCGCATGTCCGTCCAGACCGAAAAGGAGATCATGAAGTGTGAATAAGTAAACGGACGAGTGAACGTCTGTCTAGATTATCTGCAAGAAAAATAGCAGTATTTGTATTTCAAATGCTATCAAAATCTACAACTTAGAGATGTACATACTCAATTCAGAACATCTGGCACTGCTTCGATACCATCCGCAATATAGCGCTGTACAGTATCCGCCTGCTCCGCATAGAACTTGTGCATCGTCTCATCGTTGACGTAGCCCATGTGTGGCGAGAGAACAACGAGAGACCGGCCATCTTGCCCCCAGGAGGTGGTGCGCCATGGACTGTCCCGAGGAAGAGGCTCCACGTCAAAGACATCCAATGCTGCACCTCTAATGACACCACGGTTGAGTGCATCGAGTAGAGCCTCCTCGTCTATCAGAGGACCCCGAGAAGTGTTGACCAAGATGGCGTTCTTCTTCATCATGGCAATTTCAGCTGCACCAATGGTTCCTCTGCTACGATCCGAGAGCACGTAATGCATGCTGATAACATCTGCTGTCTTGAGCAACTCTTCCTTGGTCACGGCTTTGATGGAACCTTTTGGGAGACCTGCATTCGCAGCTGCCTCGTCTGCTTTCTCTTGGGTCAAGTTTGCACTCCATGAGATGACTTTCATTCCGAATCCCAGAACAGCTGTACGCGCAGCATTTGTACCAAGCCTTCCAAGACCGACAGCTCCATAGACTTTGTTGGAAAGAGTAAAACCAAGGCCAGTCTGGAATGAACCGCCTGAGTGCAATGCGGCGTCCTCGGTTGGTATGCGTGAAGCAAGAGCGAGGATGAGAGCAAAACAATGCTGGGTAGTGGCATCGTACTCGGGTGATGGAGCAACGATCAAGGGAAGCTCTGGATGAGTGATATCACGAGTGCCTGGAGCGGTAGCGACCACAATGCCGAGTTCTCGTGCGGCAGCCATGTCGATAGCACGATTGCGCTTGGCGGTGGTGATCAAGAGTTTGAGGTTGGGCAGTGCAGCAAGCAGGTCTTTGGGAAACGGGGTACGTTCACGCATGGAGCTGATGATGGCATACTGATCAAGACGAGCAGCCAGTGCTCGTACGTTTTCTGGGTTGTTTGGTGGTATAGTGTCGGGGAAGCTGTCGACATGGAGATTTTGAATGTGCTTGAAATAGGTGGGAGCTATGCCAGCATAGTCGTCCAGAATAGCGAGAGAAGGCATCGTGTGAGAGCTGAAGGACAGAGTGCTGGGGAAGAGTGGTTCAGGAGGTGTACTGGGGGTGAGACAACAAACAGTTCTTACGAGGAGATGAGGGGTGGGAGCTTCCCCGGATGCTGGCAGCGGTATATACGAGATGCTTCATCATGTCAATGGTTCGGCAACGGTTCATGGTGAGATATGCACGACATGAGCGGACTACAGCAGGACGCGTGGAACCTCTTTGCCCAGCGTTGATAGTGATAGTGCGATATATGAAGAGGCCCTTGACGACAGATGGATAAACGAAGAAGGCACGAAGGCATGTGAAAACGAGGCTTGGCAGGAACCGCAAACAAAGCACTCAACGCGGACTCCACACTCAGCCGGTCGCGCGAGCTTCTTACTCAGTATACTTGCGAGCGGCTTCCTTTCCTCTACAACAACATCGCCTGCAGCCATGGGCTCTCTGTTGCAGTTGTCGGATGTCGCCAACTTGATCCCACGACGCGATGCCCAAGAGTTCCGCGAGAGAGTTGCCCACCTGCTCAACCGCTCCTCGAACAACTTTCCCGGCGCCCAGCCAGTGAGCTTCTCGCGCCGTCATTTTCGTGACCTGCAAGACACCGACTACTGGCTCTGTGAAAAGACTGACGGTATCCGCTGCCTCCTCTACTTCACCACCTTCTCCGACGGCAACAACCACCTGGAAGCCCACATGCTCATCGATCGCAAGAACGACTACTACAACATCGACAACGAACACTTCCATTTCNNCCCCCTGCCCGATGGTCCCGACGCTAGCTACCACACCGAAACTCTTCTCGATGGCGAACTTGTCTTGGACAAGCTACCCAGTGGTGAACACCAGAAGACTTATCTGGTCTTTGACTGCCTCGCTGTCGACGGCAAGTCATTGCAACAACGCACCCTTGACAAGCGACTGGGCTACTTTGTCGAATCCGTGCTCAAGCCTTACAACAAGCTCCTGGTTCGATATCCCGAGGAGAAAGAGTTGCAGCCCTTTGTCATCACTGCGAAGAAGATGGAAAAGGCTTACGGCGTCATGATGATGATCAAGGACGTCTTGCCAAAGCTGCCACACGGCAGCGATGGCCTCATCTTCACTTGCCGAACTTCTCCCTATACAAGCGGCACGGATCCGAAGATCATCAAATGGAAGCCGCCGCACGAGAACACGATCGACTTTCGGTTACAGCTGGGCGGATTCCCGACCGTCACAACGGACGGCCAGACCTTTACCGACTACGATGCTTGCCCACCCATGAACTTGCTGGTCTTCCACGGCGACAAGCGAAACGAGGTGTTCGCAAAGCTCCATGTGACTGAAACCGAGTGGGAGAGTATGAAGGGCATGCAGCAGATTCTGGACGGGCGTATCATCGAGTGCCATAAGGATGAACAAGGTCGGTGGTGCTACAAGAAGGAGGAAAATGGCGAGCCGCGCTTTAGGGATGACAAAACAGAGGCCAACCATATTAGTACGGTGGAGAGCGTTCTGGAGAGCATCGAGGACGCGGTGAGCGAACAGGACCTTTTGGACAATGCCAAAATGATCAACGCACAATGGAAGAGGCGCGAAGCCGAGGCGTCAAGACCACAGGCAAATGGCGGGTCACGGTAGACGAGAGCTCCTACGGGATTCATGATGACATGACGATTGGGGGAGAAACGATTGGCGGTTTGGAGGTGCGATTCGTTCTATGGTTACAGACGTTCACAAGATACCCATTCACGGCGCGGCGTCAGATAGCGCCAAAGCAGAGAATATGATGATATTACACGACTTGTCAAGATTGAAATCAATTGACCGACTGCACGGCGTGTGAGTTTGATGTTGCTGGCTTTCATGTGCTTGTTGACAAGCGCTGCCACGGATTTGCGGAGAAGGCCAAAGTCCAAGCATGGCGAAACGACATTGATCCATGACAAGGCCGACTTCAATTTACCCACTGTGATTCAAACACCTGCTACTGGAAATTCACAAACAGCTCGCTGCATCCGATCGTCTTCAATACCGATTCCGCCATCTAGCCACAGCTCAGCCGTCCACATTCCCTGCTCTGCCTGGCCCCGCCATCAACACCTGTTCATCCTCGGCCGATACCATCACCTCGATCTCAGAAAAGACTTTATCAGCGATCCGCTTTCGCAACAGTCACGCCGCCATCTTGTCAACCTCAAGCTTACAAGCTCAGCCCCACGACCAGTAGAGAGAGCAAGACGGCGGCAAACCAAAGTCAAGAGCCGTGTGGTTGGAGGGGACGGTGGATCGAGAGGCAAGCCAAAGCTCTGGTCTAGTGGTGAGCGGAGGGGCAGAGAGTAGATGGATCCACAGAGCGTGGCCTTTGTTCCGAACAACGACTCCTGGCGCCTGTGCAACGACTTGCTGCGCCTGCAGCAGGTCCAGCAAGACCACACCGACCGCCTTCTACGTCTCGAACGTCGCCAGGACGACGACGCCAGGATGAAGTCGGTCTGGGGCGCCACCTCTCCTTCCCGAGCGTCCTGAGTGGCACTCCTCAGCATGCTCCCATCCACCACCTCAAGGACTTTGACGATGAACCCGTCAATCTGATTGGCAGTCTCCACCTCGACCCGGATGAAGAGCCCCGTCGCATGGGTGCAACCTCTCGTGCCAACAGCGTCCGCTTTGATGAATCTGCCAACCAAGGCCACTGGGCTCATGCCTCACGATCCTCAATCGATTTTCTTCCTCGTAGTGCAAGCAGCTTGGCTGGACTCGGCATGACTGAGCGTACCTCATCTCACAAGTCTGACGGCCGTGCCAGCTCGGTCCATTCGGTCAGGTCTGCCGCTTCGGGCCGTGCTAGTAGCATCAATCTAGATACTGGTTATGCTTCTCCTGTCGATACACCAGCCATCGCCCCTGGTCTACTAATCTTAGGCCCTGTCCCAGCCATTGTGCGTTGTTGGATAAACACAAACTTCAAGCATGACGCTCTTCTATATGCTGCCGTGTCCACCGCTTCGTACAGGTCTCAGATAGATGAGCGTCTAGTCCAGTCGCTAGGATTGGAGGATTGCATAGTGGAGAGCGCTTCCGGTGGGAGATTGCTTGCACTGTCCGTCTACTTCGCCGAGGCTATCCCACACCCCATCTCAACACGGTCCAGTAGTCCAGCACCACAGGTCCCCTCAGTCACAGTCGAGTTCAACATAGTCGCCCCTACGCAACCAGATCTTGACTCTAAGGCTATTCAAATCGTTATTGGCAGCGATGTGCTTCGGTCACATAATGCCGACATTTTGTTTTCGTCTAATAGCATGACTATCTTTGACGACGATCAATGCAAGCTATCCATTCCTCTGGTCCGTCCTGAGAATGAGGGGACCTTCAACTCTTTGTTCATCTCGTCTTCACAGCCAATAAAGCCTCAGGAGATGATGCCAGAAGAACAGACTCTCAATGGACTGGGTCAAATGGAACCAAACACCCCATCTAACGAGTTGACATTCGAACATGAACCTTTGCAGCCAGTAACCGACACTCTTCGAAAACCAGCCGGAAAATCAATAGTTGAGGAAGGCGTCAGTGCTAGTAGGCTACAAACATCTGCTTCAAGGATCGTTCGATCAGAGAACAAGGACTCTACAGCCTCGACACAAGTCTCACCAGCTGCACCGTCAGCTTCATCGCCATCGATATGGAGCAATTGGCGTCGTGAAACATCGAGCCAAAACAACGGTTCAGAGGTTGGAGACACTACATCCAAGGTCAAGGACAGTGGCTATCAACGGCGAGATGCTGGCATCAAAGTGCTAAGACCAACTAGAAGCAGTGGGCGCACATTTTCAAGTGGCTCGGTAGCATCATTACCCGCTGGAGAAGGAAGATCGCGTTATTTTGACGATGGAAAGAAGAAGGGACCAGACACTGTTGCGGGTGACGAGAAAGCGACAAGAGTGACGGGAGATAACCAAGTCGAGGCAGTGACGAGTAAGACAAGGAGCAATCCAGCAGGAGGAGGCTCGGCTTTCTCTTGGTTACACTCGGGAAACAGGGCCTGAGGCAACGAGTACAATAGCATGTGCGAAAACATGCCTCAATGAAGATGATAAGCCCGAAAACGCAGAGGGCAGTTTAGAATAAAGCATGTCTATTAATGGTCAATTGACGCCTCCTGAATGGCTGTGCATCCAGAATGTTCGCCGACGGTCTCAACGTGAAAGACATGCAGCAAGGTCGCTATGAAAAGTGAAGCGACGAACGGCAGTCTGTTTGTTGTTGCTACCAGATCGTCACAAGGTCCTCGTTGGGCAGAAGAAGAGAAGCGCAATCACTGTGACACTTGGATGCAGATCACGTCTCGTTCGAGCCACACCCCAGGTACCGGAGGCAGATCAAAAATCTACGTCAGGAAGCAAAGCCGTGGCCGCGTGGTTGCAGCACAATTTCCATCTCGCTGGCAGCAGAACAACCGAGTGCAGCACCCATCGCCGGACCTCTTGTCGNCTGTACTTACACGTCCCTTCCTTGACTGAAACNGAGCTGCCCTCCAGCGGCGGCTCACCCAGCGTCAAAACGGCGTCCTCAAAGAAGCAGAAAGTCGTCCACTCTGCCACAGACGATCCGAGACACGCATACCATCACACTGTGCATGACCCTGACCGCCAGCCCTCGTCGCCGCAATCATCGTCCTCGCCTTCCAGCAACCAAGCAGGACATACTCCTTCGTCGCCGCCGCGCTACATCCCTCCCCATCTGCACCTTGATTCGCGAGGCAGTTCTCCTAGCGACGCCTACGCCCAGCTGAACCTGGCCGAAGACATGTCCCATCCCACCAATCAAGGAGATGCTGACGCTCTCAATCCGACACAACGCCCTGCCTCGCCGGCCAAGCGATCTGCTGCCACCATGGAAGGCATTGACTCCGCTCAAGAAGACACCACGTTGAATACACCAGCAGATGCGCCTCCGTCGTACGATGCCCACCAACACGACGCCAGTCCGGCGGCCACACCGAGCATCGAGGAGCAGGTTGCGCACATTCAGTCCCTACTCAACACACCCCTAGAAGACGGTTCGAAAGGTTTCATTGTCGCTTCCAAATGGTTCAATCGAGTGGTGGCTAGAACAGAAGGCGCCAAACAGAAAGACTTCGATGCCGAAATGTTGCAAGGAGAGATTGGCAAGATCGACAACTCTTCCGTTGTTACTGCTGGTAAGTGCATTGCTGCCNNACCATGGCAGGTCATGGCTGAAGTTGGAACAATAGGTGCATTCGAAAACCCTCTCGCTTTCCCAGGCAAGCCTGATCAGCAGTTTATCCCTCTGCGCGCCGACGTAGAAAGAATCGCCGACTACGAGATATTCACCGAGGAAGCATGGCGTCAAGTCGTCGCGTGGTATGGCACCATCGACGGGCAGAAGCCCATCATACGTATTGCACACAACTCGGCACCTGAGGGCTCAACATCGGCTCACATTGTCTATGACCTGAGTCCGCCGGTCTTCGCTGTACGCAAAGTACCAAGTACCCACCAAACTACCCAAGGCGATGCCGCTGCTGTCAAATTGGTCGCCTCGCGAACTGAGCGCTTCCAAAGCTTCCTGGCCCGTGCAAAGGAAGCTGCTGGTATNCCCTTGCAGCACAAGGTCAAGATCTTCAGGCAGCTGGACCCTACAAAGGTTTCTGGCGCCATGCCCAACATTTCTCAACCAGGCATTCCGAGCCCTCCGACCTCGAGGAATCCTTCACCATCCCCTTCCGCTTCTTCGAAACTTGTCATTGAGAGCTCAGTTTTTGCCAAATGGACAGAAGGAACCAACTTCGAGTCTGTTGATGGCCAGGACCACACTGCAAATGAGAAGTATAATGGAAAACTGGATCTGGAGACACTTGGCTTGATTTCGGATCAGACTCTGATTCTGGAGGAGCAGCAACGAGGAGCAGAGTTTGCTTCGGACGTGGCCAAGAANGGGAAGAAGAACAACTCTCAGCTCTCTTTATCGGAGAGTGCCAATAAACGTACCAGTCCTGCTCCTACAGCTCCCGTCACACGAGGACGTACCCGCAAGGATGGCAGAACCCGTGGTACAATTGGTCTGACTAACCTCGGCAATACGTGCTATATGAATTCGGCTCTGCAATGCATAAGTAGAGTTGAGGAGCTGGCCGTCTACTTCCTTCACCAGAAGCACAAGCCTGAGATTAATGCTGACAACCCGCTTGGTTACAACGGCAAAATCGCGAATGCCTACGCCAACTTCCTGGCTGGGCTCTATAGTGACAGTGCCACTTCTGCCTACCGACCTGGTGGCTTCAAGGGCGCTCTCTCTATGGCACAGCCCATGTTCTCAGGATATGGCCAGCAAGACTCGCAGGAGTTTTTGAGTTTCCTCGTCGATGCTCTGCACGAAGACCTCAACCGCATTCAGAAGAAGCCATACATTGAGAACCCGGATTCAGACGACAAGACTGTCCATGATCCTGAGGCTATCAGGCACCTCGGTGATACATACAGAGCGAATCACCATGCCCGCAACGACTCTATCGCTATGGATCTCTTCAATGGCTTCTACAAGAACACCATGGTCTGTCCTGACTGTGACAAAGTCAGTGTGACCTTTGATCCTTATTCTCTTCTTACTCTCCAACTGCCGATTGAGAACACCTGGCAGGCAAAGATCATGTTCATGCCCGTCACTGGATACCCTTTCGCTTTCGAGATTGATGTTGAGAAGAACATATCTATTAGGGCACTCAAGGACATCTTTGTTGGTAAAATCGGTCGTGGACTTACCCGTGAGAGGCTCATCTTTGCCGAAATGTTTAGCCACCGTTTCTACAAGATTGGATACGACAGTCAAACTCTGTCGGAGCTTGAGTTCTCAAACAATGATGTTCTCTGTATGTATGAGCTCCCAGAGGTCCCGACAAATGCGGCCTTCATGCCGAAGAAACAGTCGACTTATCGTTCCTTCTACCACGATGCGCCTGAGAACACTCTGCCAGGAATGGACTCGCCTCTTGCAGAGACTATGGCGGTACCTGTCTTTCATTCTAAATTAGACAAACGCTCGTCAGGCCTCGTCCTCAATCCAACTCTGGTGACTATCACAAGAGAAGAGGCCAAGGACTACGATGCAATCCTGAGAAAGGTGCTTGCTTCGGTTGCGACAATGACCACAAAGCATATCCTCGAGAATTCGAACAAGCAAGACCAAGACAGTTCGACACAAGATGTCCAGCAGGATGTTGATGTTCCTATGCGCGACGGTAGTCAAACGCCCTCAGCACAATTGTCAGAAGCCCTGCAGTCTGCCCACTCGATCTCTCGCGACCTCAGCAACATGTTTGAGCTCAAGTATGTCCAAGCTACCGGCGATATGTTTATGACCGGAACGAATAGTATCGGTAACGGTCACGTCATGCAAACCCGTGTCCGCGCTGTCGAACGGCGTAGAGGCAGCACCACTTCGGTCACTTCGAACACCTCTGGCAGAAGCAAAGACTCTGGCTACGATGGTCAAGGTAGAAGCTCGTCCGAAAGCGATGAGGATGCTGATCCAATGGTGGAGTCTTTCAAGGCCAACAGCCAGAACACATTCTCTGGTGATGTGCAGAGCGACGAGGAATCAGGCATGGGCTCGCTTGAACAGTTGACAGCCAAGGACAACCGCAGACGTAAGTTCCATCAAAAACAAGCGAGGAAGACGTATTCGCGCAAAGGCGGTCGTCCAAACAAGAAAAATCTAGCGCGTTCTAACGTACTTCGCTCCACAGCAGCAGACGAACCAGCAGACAACAACGAGTTCTATGTCAAACTCGGCGAAGGCATCGTGATAGAGTGGCAGGCAGACGCCTTCGAGTCGCTATTTGGCGGTGGTAACGGTAATGGCCAATTCACATTCAACGAGAAGGATGTCCCTTTGGTCGATGATGCCGAGCTCCAAGTGAAGAGAAACAAACGTATGCAACGCAAGAAGAACGGCATCACTCTTGACGATTGCTTCACCGAAACCGGCAAGACTGAGGTGTTGTCGGAGGACAACGCATGGTACTGTGGTAGGTGCAAAGAACTTCGCCGTGCCAGTAAGACATTGGAGCTATGGACTGTTCCGGACATCCTTGTCGTCCACCTCAAGCGCTTCAGTGGCGAGCGCTTCAGGCGTGACAAGGTTGATGTCCTTGTCGACTTCCCCATTGAAGGACTCGACTTGACCAAGAGAATCGGGTGCAAGGAAGAAGGCAAAGAGTATATCTATGACTTGTTTGCTGTCGACAACCATTATGGCGGTCTTGGTGGTGGACATTACACAGCCTACGCCAAGAACTTCTATGATGGTAACTGGTACGATTACAACGGTAAGAGCAAAACATAACTGTTAGTTTTGCATGATTGCTAATTCGTGAGCNNAGATTCCTCCGTCAGTCGACAAAACGCAGAAGGTGTCGTGTCGACAGCCGCGTACTTGCTCTTCTACCGTCGCCGCTCGTCGACGCCTCTAGGTCCCGCATACCTGCAAGAGTTGGTTCTCAAGGCACGCAACCCCGATGAAGCCTCGGATGCAGAGGACGAGTCNGGGGAAGGCGAGCGTCTCGGCGACCACTCCTCAGCTACCTCTCGCCTGCCTGGGTCGTCGGACGCTGGAGCAGTCGGAGCAGGAGCCACGATCACCGGGACGCTTCATCAGGGAGCCAACGTAGGTGGCCCTGGCAGAGGAGTGAGCCAGGCAGTGAGATCGATGAATGAGACGGATGACGATGAGGGCATCTCTCTCAACGACGAGCTCTACGGTAACAACAACAATAACGTCACTGCCGTTGCGCTGGCCAATCAGGAAGCCACTTGGGGATTCGACGGCTTGGGCGAAGATGACAACACTACCTCCGTCAACACGCCTGCGGCCTCTGACCGTCCAGATGTTGGCTCGGATGTCGAAGATCGGTCCATGGATCTGGATCATGACGCGTTCGACAACGATGACTCCATGCCACCATTGATGGATGATGACCAAACGCAATTCGACGGAGCAATCTCCAGCGCACACCAAGACGGGTAAGACCCGGTCTATTGGTTTCTCAACTTTGATTGAGTGACGCGTATTGGAGATCCAAGGTGAAGTTCCTAAGCAATGAAACTCAGGGTCAAAGATGTACAACCAAAAAGCAAATCATAGAGTAGACGGAGATTGACGCCAGAACGCTGAAATGTCAATGCAAGCTTCAAACTGCTCAGTCTAGTTGGAATAATCAGTATGTGCTAATCGTGATCAACATGTTTCTGAATACTCATGTGCGTAATTGACACGTTCAGGCAAGAATCAAGCATCTTTCAGCCTGCCCCATTCGGGCTTGACTTCAACCAGTCCATGCTCATCTACAACCTTGCCTCGGTCCCATTCCCGTCCCTCGCCTTTCTTTGCCCATACGACGTCCTCTTCCGACTTCCCGCCGCCCTTCTCCCATTTGCTGACCTCTTTTTCGGTAAAGCCGGCGGCACGGAGTCTGTCTGCACCTTGTTGCTTCCACTTCTGGCGATCCCGTAGAGCCTCGAGAGCTTGATCCCAGTCATCGTCTTCTTGCGGATCTGGTTGTACATCGGCAGATGGGTCGTAGTTTGAGGAGAAATGATTATCGATGGCCGAAGCATGATTCTGAGCACCACGGCCCCGTGAGCGAACTGGTGGATGAGACGGAGGTGCAGGGCCGATGATGGCATCTAGAGGATCGGAATCCGATGCGTCAGATGGTGGAGAACGCCTTCGATTGTGGCGATGAGTCGAGTTTTCAGATGACTTGGATGGTTTCGTCGATGAATGGCGGTTACGCGGTGAAGAGGAGCGGTGTCTCGAGTGATGGTGGCGTCTGCTTGATTCGTGATGTCTTGAGTCTGGCGAACGGCGGTCTCTGTGATGGCGTTGCGAGGAATGACGGTCTGGCGAGGTGTCGCGACGGCTTGAGCGGGAATGCCTGGGTTTCGTATCGGGGGAATGGCGATGACTCTCACGGGTCTTCTGCTCGGTAGATAGATGGTCATGGTCGTCAGGATCGAGACGCCTCCTCTTGGGATTGTGTCTATCGCGTGCAGAGTAGAGTTGCTGGGCAGGACGGTGCGAGCGAGGCAGGTTTTGCAGACGGAGTCTTGATTCCTCGGCCTCCTTCTTGAGCAGGGCCGAGTTGTGGTTGTCGGTGTGTCGGAGGATATTTCTCAGGAAGGTGGTATTTGGTTTGGGAGCATTGGCCGAGCGCGANNGCTGGTAGCGAAGAAGGCATAAGCGATGCAAGACTTTCGACAGTGGCGCTCATGGACAGCACCTTTTGTTCATCAGCGACGCGAGACTCGACGATGAGGACAAGGCCTTGGCATCTCGTTTGAGCATCTCGGTGACATAGTCGTCAGTAATGTCGTCGTTTCCAGACGCAGGCATGGCTTGTCGATGGTGTTGGTGTGAGAAAGAGGCATGTGAAAGGGAGGAACAAAGCACAAGGCCCTTGGGTGACGTCGATCTCCCGCTCGCCGAACTGCACCGATTGTGGGGAAAGTGGCCCTTGCTCGTCAACATGTAAACAACCTGAAAACCGATAACTTGGACTGCGAGCAATTCGACCACCAAAATGGCTCAAACGGAAGGTTCGTCGCTCACCATCCTCAGCCTCGCTGAACCACTACTTTCCGCCCACGACAGCGCCGACCGCCTCACCAAATCAACCCTGAACGCAGAGCTCGAGCACTACAAGGATCTCTTTTCCAAACTGCGCTTTTCATATGTCGAACAAGTCACAAAAGAAGGCTTCCTCAAGGCAATCGTCGCCGATCCTCCTCAGCTAGTCGATGCTGCTGAGAATGCCCGTCTGGAACATGACCTAGCTCAAGCGAAGGCTGCTCTCAAGGCCAAGAAGGAACACACCAACCAGAAAGTCCAGGAGCTGCAAGAATTAGGAAGCCGTTTAGCACAATGTAACTTCTCCCATCGACATCTCTTGGGCTACCAGCGCTAACAACAAGTCCANGCTCACGAATTGATCCAATTGCAAACCACCCAACTGCACGCCCTACCTGCCGACATTCACAATCTCGAACTCACCATCGCAAACCTCAAAGCTGCCCAGGAAGCGCCCTCGTCCTTGCCTATGCTCAACCTTCCTCTACACGCTACAAATGAACTGCTGTCAGAAAAGGAATCAGACCTTGCTCGACTCGATCGCGAAATTGCACAATTGCAATCTACCCTGCCCGACAAGAAATGTCATGTCGCGGCCCTAAAGGCCGACCTGGAGCCCATTGAATCTCGCAAACGCTCTGCCATCACCGATGCCCAAGAGGCCCAGAAGAGACGGGGACAGCACTCGCTTGCTCAGGACCTTGACGAGAGGNNGGGAAAGTGGCTCAAGTCTGTCGACTCTGGCCTTCGTATCATGCTTCAGATCTAATGTCTTGTTTAGCCGTGTTATGCCCTTATTTTGCTTTGTTTACTTAGATACCCCCACCAACTTGGCTTTATTTCTGTCTTCAATTTGAATCACCCTTGTCTCAATGCCTATTGTGAAAGCCGAAAATGCTAATATCTTTGTATTAATGGACCGGGAAGCAATCATTCCACAATCCTCGTCGCCGTTACTTCGTGCAAGACCTTCTTTCATAGACAAGTTACATCGAGCGAAGAGGCTTAAACGGGGAACCAAAACTAAGGTATATCGCAAACAAGACAAGAATCAATCAAAAATCGACTGAAACAAAAAAACCAGAAAACAGAAAAACGTCGACGTCCGTAGGTCATCACGGACCATCTCTTTGCAACAAACAGGTTTGAAAAGGGTGGAGAGCAATGTCGAGCTCGCATACCTGATACCCGGCGTTTTGTCACCATGCTCAAACCCGTTCCTTGATGGCTGGGTGCGCTGCTGCACTCGACGAGGAAGTCACAGGTTGGGCAACTGAACTCGACGTGCTCGGTCGCTCATCATCGTCATCGTCATCATCATGGCCAACTTCTAATCCACGTCTCCAGTTGTCCAGGCCAAACTCAGCTGGCGCAGTACCACTCGTCGGTGTCTTTTCGAACTCGAGATCGCTGATACGGTATGACTTGTTGGTCGTCTCCCACTGCGTGCGTAGAGCGTCCAGCTCTGTGGCAAGATTGTCGAGCGCGAGGCTATCACGTCCGTCTGGCACTTCAATCTCGCCCGTCTCCGAAGCTGCAACACTTTGGGAGTAGATGCTGTCACCTCCCAGTGATTCGCCTCGAGAATGGCCCCGAGAGTGCACAGGTATAAAATTGGCCGTGCTGGCACTCACGTTGCTCAGCGCTCTGTGGTGACCAAACCCATTTGTGTTGCCGTTTGGCATCGACGATTGACGCCGGTAATTGTCGACAGATGACTCGACTTGATCAAGCAGGAGTTGGACCTTGTTCTCGGCATCCCGAGCGCGCTCCTCCAATTGTGCATTCTCCTCTGCAGGCGCTCTAGATCTGCTCGCGAGGTTTCGTGAGTCGACTGAAGCGTGGCAAACTTTGATTGCGTCGTNTTCATGAGAGTTGCGCAGATTGTTGAGATCGGTCTCTCTCTCGCCAAGCTGAAGGTGCAGGCTCGAAATTTGGGCCTCCAGGTCTGTCTTCATCTTTTCGAGGTCCTTTCGGAGGTCATCTTTTTCGGCACCGTGGTTAGCATTAGACTCGTGATCCAGGCTACGAGTGTCGTTCTCTTTGGTACGCATTGTGTCCAGCTCCTTCGCATAGTCTGCAGCTTGGTTCTTGACACGCTGCAGTTCCTGCTTCATCTTACTAAGCATCTTCTCAGTGCCACGAAGGTACTTCACGGCTGCCTGGTGATCATTGTGCAATGTCGCAAGTTTCTCCTCGTACTCCTTCCTGGTAAGACCTTCGCGGTCCTGCATTTCCTCCAGACTAGTCTTCATCTCTTCGTGCGCTCTAAGATTAGCCTCCAGTTGCTGCTCCAGTTCTTTGACACGCTGAATATCAGGAGTGCCAAATCTGATTTGCGATGAAGGCGAGTCAAAGCCCCGAGACTTGCGCACATCAACAGGGTTCACGCCACGCTCAGACAAAATGTCCTTGAGAGCACCGTGCTGCACGGCAATGGCATTTGTTTCCAGCTGCTGGCTCTGCAATTGCTGCTGCAAGTCGGCCCGTTCTTCGGCCAGGGTTCGAGCCTCCTTGAGTGCCGTCTGAAGCTGCTTTCGAATCGTCAAGCCTTCACGGGAGGCCTGCTCTTGATAAGACTCAAGTCCAGCAATACGCTCTTCAGCACGTCGCAGTTTCTCAGAGGCAAGATCGGCTGCAGCTTGGTTTTGCCTGGCCATAGTATTGGCCGTTTCAACCTGCCCATGAAGGATAGTGACACGCTCATCAGTAACGTTGCGAGTGTCGGAACCGCGTGAGGAAATCTTGCCGAGCCCGTCTAGAACAGCTTGACGGTGAGTACGTGCTTCAGTTGCATGTTTTACGGCGAGGTCTTCTGCATCTCTAAGACGCCGGCCAGTGGTTTCGAGCTCGGTGGCACGCTCTTCATGTTGCGATCGGAGTTGAGAGACTTGCTGCTCGAGCTCGTTTCGCTCTCTCTTCTCTTCCTCAAGACGATTCTCGAGAAGATTGGACTTGTCAGTCGACGCTGCCAGTGCTTCGCGTAAAGAGCCAAGAATTGCCTCATGTTCCGCTGTTTCTGCGAGAGCATTCTCCAGTCTGGTACTGAGTTCGGTTTTGTCAACGGCGAGAAGTTTGTGCGAGGCAAGTGCATCAGCATGGTTGGCAGAAGCTTCTCTAGCAGTCTTCTGAGCCTCGTGTAGTTCGTCGCGCAGCGATTCAATTTCTGAGGCAATGCGTTGTCTATCCGTGTTGAGTTCGGTGACGCGTTGCTGAGCGGCTTCGGCAGTCTCCTCTGCCAAAAGCCGGGCTTGCTTCTCGGCTTCCTTCTCGTGAATCAGGCTGTCGATCTTGCGGGATAATTCGGTCTGAGCTGCGAGTGAAGATGCAAGTCGTCTGTTCATGTCACCGACGCGATCTGTGTCGGGAGTACCATGTCGGCTAGAGTCTAGTAGAGGTGAAGCGCCTCCTTGACCCGCGAGCTTTGCTTTGGCGAAGACGGCTTCGCTGATGGCGGTATCTCTTTGCTTTTCTATTTCGGCGATACGAGCGGCCGCAGCTTCTGCTTGACTGTCGATAGAGCCCTGCACCTTGGCCAGCTCTGCGCGCATACGGAGCAAAGCTTCCACGAGTGGTCTATCGTCATCGCCGAACGCGTCGGTAGAGCGTTCATCGAAGGCTGGAGTGTTTGTAGTGCTCCGAGAGTAACCTGCCTTTCGTGCCAGCGCAAGCTCCGATGCGAACCAGGCATTTTTGGTCTTCTCGGTTTCTAGCTCTTTGGTCAGACTGCTGGCGCTGTGATTAGATACAGGTGCTTGGTCCAGTGGGCCATCGATCTGTGTTCCTCTCTGTACATCTTGACGACCATTGTCAGGCACAATCTCTCGCTGGGTGGGATGGCGGGACATGTCGACTGGCGTTCCTCTATCGAATCGTTCTTGCGGCTCCAAGTTTCGCAATGATGGATGCGTACGGTGCATTGGTTGATTGGCTGTTTCTTCGGTGTTTTCGCGAACTGCTTGTGCTCCAGTTCTTGAACTAGTCCTGGATGGGGGCGAGAAAGTTTGATCCACAGACTTGTCAATCGAAGAAATTGGTTGATGAGTTGGTTTGTATGTCTGCGGCGTTCTGTCTTGATCGTCATCTAGGCTCTTTGGGTTGATGTTTGCGTTTGTGCTGGCCATTGTAGGAGTAGCTGTTGTTGGTGACATTGTTCTTGCGCCAACCGAGTCATTGTGGAAAGGTCCGGGAGCCATGCGAGTAACAACAGTGGGCGACGCTGCGGCTTGATTTGGACTCAGTGCACGTTCCGGTCTGGTTGGTTGGCGGCTCGGCGGTGTTGTGGGCTTGTTTTGCTGTTGTTGTTGTTGTTGTTGTTGTTGTTGTTGCTGGGGTGCTGAACCAGGTCCTGGCGGTCCAGCAGCACGCGGCAGCCTCGAACCCACAGCCATGGGATCAGGAGCTCGATTGACTGGGATAGAACTATCTCTACCAGGACGTCGAGGGCCATCAGAATCCACTTGGTCCCGAGGAGAGGCACGACTCTGTGGGATACCGGTCCTGTCACCGCTTGGGCGTCTGTGACCCTGAATTCGTTGATCGGCCGGCATTTGCGACTGAGAGTCGTTGGGATACCGTATCTTACTGGTATCCAAGTAGTATGCAAGACTGAGTTCGGCAGCATCTCGTGGGGCCGAACTTGGCTCACCACCAGTAACTATAATATGTTTTCCAAAAGCAGTCATGCTATGTCCGGAGCGAGGTGAAGGCGAAGGACCCATGTTCTGGAAAGTGTACCAGCGCCTAGTTGTGATGCGGAAGGCCGCAAGGTCGCCGAGATCATTACCCTCTTCAGTGCGGCCTCCAAAAACATACATGACATCGCCAACTAAAGCAGCTGCGTGGCCCTCACGAGCTACTGGAATGTAGCCAATACATTCAAGCTGCGACCAGGAATTAGTTCGAGGGTCATAGGCCCAGACGTCGCTGAACCAGGTGACTCCATCTGTACCGCCAAAGAGGTACAACTTTTCGTTCCACGTTACGACCGAGTGGTTGGTGCGTGCTGGAGGAATCTGACCATGTGGAGGGCCTCCATCGATGGTGTTTTGAATCAGCGTCTCCCATCTATTGCTGGCCTGCTGCAGTGCGTTGAGGTCAAATGTGACTAGATCGTTAAAGAAGAAGCCCTCGACTTGACCACCAAAAATATAAATCTTTGAGCCAATGATGTTTAGCGAGTGGCCATAGCGGCCCGGGGGACGAGGGCCTGCCGGAGCAGCTCTCGACCATTGCTTGGTNNGGCTGTCAACAGTTAGCAAATAGTCAAAACTCGGCCAGGAGTCCGACAACGCACAGGTATTCAGCAAATAAAGGGTATCATCGAGCATGTCGGTCTCGTCCGTCTTTGTGTCTCCTCCAAAGACGATAAAAGCGTNTTCAACCAGCAAGGCAGCATGTCCTACTCTCGGACCAGGGCCCTCGGAAGTGGTCGCGACGGGATAGCAGCTGAGGTTGTTGGGGGCGGACTCGATCATCCACAAGTCGCCCTTGACGGTCGAGCCGTGGATCAAACCACCCATGATATAGATTGAACCATCCTTGGACGACAATGAGTTCGCGGCGGCGCCATAACGAGGGAATGGATGGTTCGTAGGGACGGTAAAGTTCAGGTGTCGCTGGGACCAAGGATACGGCGAGGAGTCTTGGTGGGGACGCATACGTGAGTGNNCTAACAAGCCATGTCAGCGGGCATTCAAACACGGCGGACAGAGGCAGCGGCTTACTTGTAAATCGCTGTCGGCACGGTCGCGCAAAGCCTTTGCTCGGGGCTAGGTGTGTTCGAGGGCTTTTCGGACGACCATTGGGGGCTATCTTGCAGCTTTTCGCCNCAGAGAGTTGAGCGAGTTGACGCTGGTACCGGGTGTAGGGGTTTGCTGGGACTTCTCTCTTGGACTGCCACCAGAGCCGTCTCGCGCATGTCCAAGAGCCGAGGGAATGTTGGAGGGAGTACCGGGGCCGTCTGAGGACTTGATATTGCGCGTCGCAGCAGGTAGAGCAGAGCCCTGCTGCTTCTTGGACGACTTGAACAGAAACGACATGTTTACAGGGGCGCTCTAGAGGCGCGAGGACGAGGTGAAGGGGACAGAGGACGAGGCAGGCATTAGACGGCAAGGAATCTCCGGGGACACACGGCGAATGTCATGAGTAGGTTAGCGAACGGGCGACGACTATGCTGAAGGAGAGAAAAAAGGCAGGGAACGTTGTTGGAATGGCGATGAGCACGCGTGGCTGGCAATTGTCCTTGGGTCTTGGTTCAATTTGGGCCTCTCTCCACACACCAGCTCGGAGCAACCATCAAATATCATTTGCTGCAGGCTAATCCGGCGACCTGAAACACAGGTCCGTTGCATATATTAAGTACAGACGTCCCTGCTAATCAAGAGAAGACTCTCCATGCGCGTCCACGAGGCATAGCATCGTTAACGGTACAAACAGTTGGACGGTACTGGAGAGGCTGGCTGGCCACCTCGAAGCCTCGACCAAGAAACTCCCGCTGGCGGCGGCTGCTGCTTGTCCGTTGAACAATACGTCTTTGTTTCTGTCACACGACTTTTAGGTGCTACAATGCAATGAGCGAGAACCCGGTGCCAACACTCTCGTCGCTCTACTAGTCGGAGGTACAGACGGTACTTCTCCATGCATCGTTGCCAATACTCAGAGAAGCAACAGCAATCAAAAGCCAGACAGGCCTCGAGAAGCGGACCCGAAGGTGTGCTATGGAAAGAGGCCGTGCACAATGTCGCAGTGGATGCTTACACTTGCCTGATTCATGCTAACTCGGTATCTTATCAGATCCGCAAAGAGTCCTGAGTCGTGACTTCCTGCATAGTGACCGAGTGCCTGCCTGCCCTGCCTGCTGTTCGTCGCTGTCTGTACGTGCTCGAAGCCAACAGCTCTTCTTGCCAACCCTACGCGTCTGTTGTTCGCATCTATCGCCTCCAGATCATCATCTATCCGTAGTGTCGGAGATGCGCTCGTGAACACTAGCACGAACCTGATGTCAATGCAGTCTGCCCTCGCCGCGCAACATGAGGGTGGGCGCGCTGCAAGACGATGCTGCCGGTCAATACCGCGCAGCCAAGCATCCGCAACCCGTCCTCGATCCTCTACCCTCCAACCTATACGAAGGCAGCATTGAACACGCCGCCCATCCCAACGCTAATCCTCCGCCGGACCCTCAGACCCAGGCCATTAATGGCAACACCGTCGCCCATCTTCCTCCTCCTCATCAGTTTCTCAACCACTCTGCAAATCCATCGACAGGCAGCTCGGCCGTCAACAGCTCTCCATCAGAAGATGGTCCGCTTGGTCCAAGGTCCGAGCGACCTCTGATGCTGCGCGCAAAGAGCGACTACGGCCCAGGGAAACAAAGGCAGACCATTGCCTCATCATTCGAGCAGCACAGAGACGGAGATGAAGCTTCAAAATTCAAGATGCGCCACGGTTGGGAAGACCAACTCATGTCACCAGAGCAAGCAAACCTGTTATCACAGACATTTTATATGTATTACACCGACAAGCGGCACGAGACTGCTGGCAATCCAAAAGATGTCAAGGATGATTATCACGTCCAGGAATGGCGTATGAAGGACCGTCTCAAGACCATATCCGCTCTTTTGACCGTCTGCCTGAACATTGGCGTCGACCCGCCAGATGTCATCAAGACAAATCCCTGTGCACGCATGGAGTGCTGGGTCGATCCCATGGGTACCGAGGGCCCGCAAGGCTCTGGTGGTGCTAATCCTCAAATCGGGAAGAACCTACAAACACAGTACGAGACGCTCAGTATGCGTACCCGCTACAAGCTCGTTATGGATCCCAGCATTGAGGAAATGAAGAAATACTGCACCACTCTGCGTCGCAACGCCAAAGACGAAAGAATACTTTTCCACTACAATGGCCATGGCGTGCCAAAGCCTACCGCGGCCGGAGAGATTTGGGTTTTTAACCGTTCCTTTACCCAGTACATTCCCATCTCATTGTACGACCTACAGAGCTGGCTCGGCGCACCTGGCCTGTTCGTGTATGACTGTTCTGCTGCCGGTTTAATCATCAAGAACTTCCATCCTTGCATTAAGAAGCACGAAACCGATCAAGTAGAGGCCAGACGGCGAGACCCTACAGCACCTTTGATGAACTGGAGCGATTGCATACATTTGGCTGCTTGCCGCGAAGACGAGTCTTTGCCCACCAACCCTGACCTCCCCGCCGATCTGTTCACGTCTTGTTTGACTACTCCGATTGAAATGGCTGTTCGCTTCTTCATTCTCCAAAACCCCTTGCCCGGAGGTCCCACTCTTTCTGAAGGCCGCAACATTCCTGGAAAGATATCCGAACGCAGAACTCCTCTTGGTGAATTGAACTGGATTTTTACCGCCATCACTGACACAATTGCGTGGAACTGCCTTCCTAAACCGCTCTTCAAGAAGTTGTTCCGACAAGACTTGATGGTCGCTGCCTTGTTTCGTAATTTCCTCTTGGCTCAAAGGATCATGCGAAAGTATCACTGCCATCCTCAATGTTATCCCGAGATACCAGAGACCCATAATCACCCTCTGTGGCAGAGCTGGGACTATGCTGTTGAGATGATTCTTGCTCAATTGCCCAGCTTGATTCAACAAGCCAAAGAAAACAAGGAGCTGGAATATTCACACTCCGAGTTCTTTGCGCATCAACTCAGTGCATTCGAAGTATACCTTAGCCAAGGCGCGCTGGAGCAAAAGGTTCCAGAGCAACTTCCAATTGTCTTGCAAGTACTCCTGAGTCAAGTACATCGTCTACGCGCCCTGATCCTTTTGGGTAAGTTCCTCGATCTAGGGCCATGGGCTGTCAATCTTGCTCTCAGCATTGGCATCTTTCCCTACGTCTTGAAACTACTTCAATCCCAGGCGATTGAGCTCAAACCTGTCATGGTCTTCATCTGGACTCGCATCCTGGCTATTGACCAATCATGTCAGTCGGACCTGCTCAAAGACAATGGTTACGCCTACTTTATCAACATTATAAGCCCCCAAACCGGTATCCCTGTTGGCAATATGGCTGAGCATCGTGCCATGTGCGCGTTCATCATTGCCATGTTCTGCAAAGACTTTCGTCCGGGACAGAATGTATGTCTGAGCACTAACCCTGAGCTCATCGAGAGTCTTTTGAGTCATTTGGTGGATATGGAGAATCCTCTTCTCAGGCAGCATTCTTGCCTGTGCATCAGTATGCTCTGGTATGATTTTCCCGAAGCCAAATGGCAGGGTATACGCTCTCAAGCGCACATGCGCCTCTGCGATCTTGCTCTTGATCCTGTGCCCGAGGTTAGAACGGCAATGCTGCATGCTTTGACAAGTTTCTTGGGCATTCCAGACGTGACGGATCAAGTTGCGTACATCGAGGAAACCATTGCTTCAATCATTCTCGCCATGGCAAATGATAGCAGCGTCATGGTTCGCAAGGAGCTGCTTGTGTTCCATTCCACCTTTATTGCAAGGTACAAGAACAAGTTCGTTGTGGCAGCATATGAGCAATTTACGGAAGAGCACGCGGCTCATCTAGCTCAAGATGCCAGCATTCATCGTCCAACAACACCCTCGGAAGCAGTCGGATCATATGACAGCAAGCGTGATTTGTCCTTTGAATCCCACAATTTTTTCTCGAGGGGTTCCGTTGAGTCGGCGGCATCGAGAAACACGGTGTTTTCGGCAATGTGGAAGCAAATTTTGATCATATCAGCCGACCCCCACCCAGAGATTGCGAGAAACGCAGGTATTATTCTGGATAATGTCCTGGGTGCCCTGTTTGATTCTCCGCTGGCTGTATACGTCCATCAGATGCTGGATGACATGGCAGCACGGCCTATTCCCTATGCTCAAGCACCGGCTACTTTACCGGACGGACCAACAAGACTACAGCATTCGGACGTTCCCCGAGCTCCACCATCCCCGACACCATCGACGAGTTCAAAGCATGATGGGTATTTCTCAGTGTCTGCAGGTCTGAGACGTACAGCTAGTATGGCCGCCTCCATTAAAAATCTTGCTTCCTTTGGTGTTGGCAAAGCTTCCCAAGACCCTTCGCAGAGTCAATCTTTACGAGGGCCAGGAACTGGCAGACGGTCCCAAGTCCCCTCGGATTGGAACAGACCACCAGATGCGGCTGATCCACAACCAACCCGTGTTCGTGGTCATCAGATTGCAAAGTCACCATCGGTGCCCAACTTTGAACCCAGGAACTTTTCCCAGCCTCCAACAATCCCTTTGACGTCCAACTTCTTCCAATGGTCAGCTTCATATTTCAGGGAGCCCCAAATGCGGCCATCAGAGGCCGACGAGCCAGGATCTCTAGACTATAATGAACGACTGTGGCGACGCAATCGTAATGACAAGATAATTGCTTCGACACAGCCACTCAAGGAAGTTGCGGGCACTGGCCGCTGGGATGTTCCCGCTGGGGTGCTTGCAACGAACAGTCCTCCAATGAGAATGGTTTTCCATCAATTTGAAGACCACCTTGTCATTAGTGATGATCAGGATGGCATCACTGTATGGGATTGGCACCGGGAGAGAAGATTGGCGCGATTCAGTGCGGGCAATCCTCATGGTAGCAAGATCAGCGATCTTCGTTTTATCAATGAAGATGACCAAGCGCTGCTCATGACCGGTAGCTCGGATGGAGTCATCAAAGTGTTCCGAAATTACGAGAATGAGAAAGAAGTCGAGTTGGTCGCTGCATTCCGCGCACTCACAGATCTTGTACCTAGCACGCACAATGCGGGACTGGTCTTTGACTGGCAGCAAGGCCAGGGACGTGTCTTGGTCGCAGGTGATCTTCGAGTCATTCGCGTGTGGCAAGCTGGAACAGAATTGTGCACTGCAGACATTCCGGCAAGATCGGGATCCTGCGTGACTAGCTTGACTTCGGATCAAGTAGAAGGGAATGTCTTTGTGGCAGGCTTTGGCGATGGTGCAATTCGTGTCTATGATCAGCGCAACCGACCAGCAGAAAGCATGGTACGGGTATGGAAAGAACACAAGGGATGGGTTGTTGGATGCCATTTGCAGCGCGGTGGCATGCGAGAACTCATTTCAGCAGAACGTGGCGGTGCCGTCAGGCTCTGGGACATTCGTATGGATCGCAGTGTGGGTGTAGTCAAAGGTAAGGGTGAGGGCGGTATCGGCACGTGTCGAACCTTGAGCGTGCATGAGCATGCACCCGTGTTTGCAACGTAAGTTGAAAGTTCAAGTTAAAACATGGAAATTGGTACTGACAGACGTACACAGNNAGGGTCGTCTCACAATGCAGTTCGCGTTTTCTCAACCAACAACCTGACAGCGACAGCAGCGAACTCGACGCCGCTGTCAACCATCGAACCATTCAGCAACTTCTTGCATACCAATGTACTCTCGTCACATCGACCAACGCCGATTGCCTCGACGGCATTCCATCCTCACAGGATGATGTTGGCGTGTTCTACAGTCAACGACGGACATGTCAGTCTGTTCAAGTGCGCGTCGAGAGATGGCTCCATGCTTAGCGGACAGAATGGCATCGTCAAGGAATGGGAGGCGTGAAATTCATGACCTTGCTTAACCCCTTGATATCAAAGAACTGTACGACATGATTCGTGTTCAAACGATCGAGAAGCTAGGAGGCAATGGCTTCTTTGAGGCGATACAATGAGTGGGCGATTTAAGCATAGCGAGAAGGGAAGGCGTTTGTTGGTTGCTGATAATTGCTACAAGTGTATTAATGCTAGTGTGAAGCGAGTGCCGCATCCTTATCGCGAGCGGTGATGTATGCATATTGATGAAAGATGTGCAATAGACATGTACCTACGAAGGAATCTACAATAATATACATGAGAATGCGAATGCAAGCATATCGATTGTCAATCAACTCAAGTGCGTGTTATGAGTGAAGCTTGGATCGAAATAGAATCAAGCACACCACGATAACAGCAACGTGTTTATCATACTGCGAGTACAATGACACATCATGAATCTTACGTAGAACGTAATACGATTGCTTTTACTTGCCTATACTGTCAAGAAGACAAGCAGGCGAAGATATCTGGATCAATTGACTTGCTGACAGGGCAACCCTGTACTGATTATGACAGCGGCCGTTTCTGCTTTCCAATTCCATGATTGTTCCTGCCCCAAAGAGTACGTGCCATTGTCTGAGACTGTATGATGGTAATACGCCAGATACTTTACACGCAGAGGCATATGATCAAAGGGGAGGTGTGATATGAACAGAAATATGATACATAACCATGATTTTACAAGTATCTAAGTATAGTTTGCGTTGAGGTCTTCACGCACGACGGGAACCTGATCCAGATTCTCACGTTGAATCATGTTGGTCTTGCCCTCGACCAACTGCATCATCATGTAGTTGCAGACGCATTGCATGCCCATCTCTTCGCCTCTGCGGACAATGTAGCCGTTGATGTAGCGGACCTCGGTCTTTTTACCGGCACGCACATCGGCAAGCATGCTACTGATGTTGTCGCCCGTCTTGCTTGCTATGCTAACGATCAACGTCTCGAGACGCTCGGGTGAAAAGCGATCTTGGATGTTGGGCAAGCCTCGTAGCTCGGGCAGCGAGCGAATGACCAAGGAGATTTCGGCCAGCAACAAACGCATGGTGCGGGTTATTGCAAAGTTGTATAGAATGGAGCCGTTGGGAGCATCCAGCATGACGGTCAATGGGTTGATGACGGCATTGATGGCCAGTTTTTCGAGTTGCTGCTGCATGAATTCGAGAGGTGGAAAGCCAACGGCGGCGAGGACGGGACTACCGGTCAGGGTACGCAGCAAGTAGCGCGCGGTAGGTGCAAAGGGAACAGAGGCCGAGGGGTTGTCTTTGAGGTCACCTCTCGGCAGGGCAGCTAGAGCGATGGTACCATGGGCGGCATGGACGGCGAAGAAAGGGTCGTTACGGTCGGGAGAATTTAGACCGTGCGTGACGACTCCCTGTATGTAGTTTGGGCGAGTGACGGGGTCTGGGAAGATTTCTTTATTGACTTGATCTATGATGCCCATACCATTCTGCAACAGACAGACGGTCGACTTGGGCCGTAGGCGATGCTTGACGGCGTCGAGGGCACTGAGTGTAAAAGGGGCCTTTGCGGTCAGGATCAAGTTGTCGATTGGCTCTTGGTCCGAGGCATCGAGTGAGTCGTGGTCGTCGGACTCGAGGCGTTCGCCATGGCTGCGTCGATGTGGAAGGGCGAGGTCGACATCATAACCAGAACGAGGGACGCGGTGGCCGTCAGACTCGAGGACAATTGTTTGATCGCTCTGGTTCCATGCGTTTAGCAGACGCGGGCGGTGGAAGAGCAGAGTGACTGGTGGGGNGTTATTGTTGTCGGCGCGCAGCGAGTGGGCAATCAGCTTGCCCACGTTGCCGACGCCGTAGACATGGATGCGCCGCGGGACACTGCTCTCGCGCGCATACTGTTCGCTAGCTGCCGTATACGTGCGCCGGCCGAGACTGCTGGTGCCGACGGAGCGTCGCACGAGGAAGGTGCATGGCTGGAGTGGCATGATTGTGCTCTCAAGAAGGAAGGCGCCAGGAAAACGAACCATGACGCAGCTCCTTCCCTCCGCTGTTCAGTCGTAAATCCATCTTTCCCTCCTCTCGACAATGCCGTTACGCATCCACACACGCTCCTTTTCCGTGCTCAGTCGCCCAAAGCCAAACTACCCTGGCCATGTGCCCTTGACCGTCGTCGAGCGATGCGGTCTGGCCGTCGGCTCTGCCCTTGGCTCCATGCTCGACCATCACCGCCACGGTACTTTCTCTCCCTCCACAGCAACCATCTTCCTTACTGACACATCCNNAGACTTGGTTGCTGCTCTGGGCGAGGCAACATGCAAGCCGTACTTTATTACTCGCTTGCGACAGAGCATGCTGTCGCATCCCACTGGCCGCCGTATTCTCCGTGACCGTCCCCGCATCTCCAGCAAGACCATGTCGCTCGAACATCTACGTACTCTGCCAGACAACTCGGTCGGCCGTGTCTACGCCCAATGGCTCGATCGCGAGGGCGTCACTCCCGATACCCGCGACCAGGTTCGCTACATTGACGACCCAGAGGAGGCCTATGTCATGCAGCGCTACCGCGAGTCGCACGACTTTTACCACGCTCTCACTGGCTTGCCCGTCTTTGCAGAGGGTGAAATTGCTCTAAAGGCCTTTGAGTTTGCAAACACTCTTTTGCCCATGACTGCCCTCTCCATGGCTGCTGTCGTCAAGCTCAAGCCTGCTGCTCGCCGCCGCTTCTGGTCCACATATCTACCTTGGGCCGTGTCCAATGGTTTGCGCGCCGAAGATGTCATCAACATCTATTGGGAAGAAGTCCTTGAGAAGGATTGTGATCAGTTGAGACAAGAGCTGGGTATTGAGAAGCCTCCGGATCTTCGCGAACAGAGAAAGATGATGAGAGACCAGAAGAAGGCCCAAAAGGCTGCTAGTGAAGCCCGTCAAACTGTTGGTCAAGGTATCATGTCGAATTAATCGTCTTGTGTGTATACAGGTTCTTTCATCTATATATCACCATATATGGGTATTCGTCCCAGAACATAAAAAAAAACACAATGTGGCCTTTTCTTCAAATCATGATTTTTCATCTCGTCACTTTGCTTAGAGCTGGTCCAAAAGACCTTCAGCCTCGAGCAGCAACACAATCTGGTGGACAGCTGTGCGCACGCTAATCTTGGTCAGGTCAACGGTAAGGTTGGCCTCACCCTCGGCAGGGGTCTCGTACGGGTCGTCAACACCGGTGAAGTTCTTAATCTCACCACGACGAGCGGCAGCGTAGATACCTCTGCGATCAGTCTTCTCACACTCCTCCAGTGGTGTGGCAACGTGAACAAGGTAGAAGGATCCGTACTTTTCGACAAGCTCGCGGGCGTGCTTTCTGCTTGACTGGAAGGGTGCGATGGGGGCGGCGATGACGGCGGCGCCAGCCTTGGTCAACTCACTGGCAACGAAGCCAATGCGGCCAACGTTGGTGTTGCGGTCCTCCTTGTTGAAGCCAAGCTCTGAGCTAAGCTCTGAGCGGACAGTCTCTCCGAGAAGAAGCGACACGGTGCGGCCACCCTGCTGGTTGAAGGTAACGTTCAAGGCACGGGCAATAGCGTCCTTGCCGCTGTTGGCGTAACCAGTCAAGAAGACGGTGAAACCCTGCTTGTTACGGGCAGGGTGCGACTCGCGAAGCACGCGGACAACCTCGGGGTATGAGAACCACTCGGGAATGTCACCGCCAGTGCGCAGACGGCGGCGGAGCTCGGTACCCGAAATGTCGAGAGTTCTGACGTCCTTGGGGACCTGGTCTCTAGGGCGGTACTCATCCGAGTCGGGGAGGTAGGTCATTTGGAGGAAAGGAACAACCTCGATGCCGAGCTCGTCTCTGTACTTCTCGACAAGGTCCTGGGCATCGTAAGGTCCGTAGAAGTCCTGGCCCTGGCTGTTCTTGCCAGGTCCGGCGTGGTCACGACCGACAATGAAGTGGGTAGCACCGTGGTTCTTGCGGATGATGGCGTGCCACAATGCCTCACGGGGACCGGCCATACGCATAGCCAGAGGAAGAAGGGCGAGGACAGCCATGCCGTTGGGGTAACGGGNGAGGAGGGCCTGGTAGACACGGACACGGGTGAAGTGGTCAATGTCACCGGGCTTGGTGAGACCAACGACGGGGTGGATGAGGACGTTGGCCTGGCGAGAACGAGCAGCGCGGACAGTCAGCTCACGGTGAGCGCGGTGCATGGGGTTTCTGGTCTGGAAAGCGACAACTCTGGACCAGCCAAGCTTGTCGAAGTGCAGACGGATCTCTGCGGGAGAGTCTGTTTTTCTGGTCAATTTTCTGTCGTTGAGAATCGAGTTTCTGCGGCTTCTTACNNATCTAAGAGCGACATAGTCGTAGTGCATAAGACGGTCAATGGCATCAATCTTGCCACCAATGTAGAAGTCACCGGCAGTTCTGTACAGGTACTTGACAGCGGGGTGAGCCTCGTCGTCGGCACCAAAGACCTCGACAGCCTCCTTCTTCTTGTCGGGGCGGTAGATGTCGTCGACGGTGATGATGGCCAAGTTACGGTCGTCTCTGAAATCACGGAGGGTGATGCGGGCACCAGCCTTCGCCTTGACCTCGTCAATTGTCTCCTGGAAGACATCAAGGCAGATGGGCATGGAGAACAGGTTGCCGTCAACGAGACGGTTGTTGTCGACGACGCTGCACTCTGATCAGTGTCTGCAGCTTGTTTGCTCGTTTGTCCTTTGATGCGTACCNNCATTGTAGTCCTTCTCATTCATGAAGCNCTGTGGTTGACCAGTCAGAATTCCATCCTACTGTTATGCAATTCTCGTCTCAGACTTACCCTCAAGAGGGGAGAAGCCTCCGTTGAGGATGAGCTCGAGATCACAAAGCTGACGCTCATTGAGGACAATGGCAGGCAGCTTCTCGGCCTCGTCAATGAGTTGCTGGCGACGAGGAGCATCACGAGCAATGAGGTCCTTGAGGATACCACCTAGGCTTCAGTCAGTTTCCGCAAGCCACACGTCTGTGCATTGGCGCCTTCGTACCGTGGGGAGGGTTGGCCATGATTGCGTGTATTGGCAGATACGAATGAGTGGTTACGATGAAGGAAAGAAGTCAAAGGAATGGGAGAGGAAAGAAGAGGTAAGAGCCGGGGAAAGAGTTGCGAGACCGGAGAGGCTCCACGACGACTTTATATTTACACACTACGGATACGCAAGCAAGGCTTTTGGTTGAATAGCAACGATCCGAATCTCGATACTCGATTATCCCACAAAAATTCGTCTCCCCCCTCTAAGCATGCCCCTCAGGAACCGCTAACTGCCTTGGCGAAACGTGCGGATGTACGTCAGTGGGTGTTGTGCTTGCTGTCATTGCGCTGCAGCGTTTCATGCCCTCACCAGCCTTGACAATGTTGATCGATTCTTTGTTTCCGATGCAAGTTTTCATTATCATGCTATTAAACGGAACTTTTCTGTGACAACTATCTAAAGTGCATCTGCACAGATGTGTAATTGTATGACTATGAAAGACGTGGGTCATCATGTATCCAACCTCCCGATGCTGAGGTATCGATTCTCCCATCCAATGCCATTTTAAAACTCCAATATGCCCCATCATGATCCAACCAACGCCTATGCTAAATTCACAGAAACATGTAAACAGAAAAATGACAACAGAGAAGAGCATCTAGACGACTTGCTCAATGTTCAGCCCCGAGTTGATAGCCTGGCTAAGCTCATCTTGACGCTTTTGCTCCTGCTCTTGCAAGAACATGGCGTAGCGGCTCTTCTTGTTGTGAATGCCGCACTCTGTCTTGGCACGGCCCTTCCAGCGACCGGCTCTCTCGTCCTCGCCTTCCTTGACAGGCTGGGTAGAGTGCCAGTCACCAATCGAACGGTAGCCTTGAGACATAAGAGCATTGACGGGGACATTGTTCTCCTTGATGTAGTCATTGACTTGTTGGAAAGACCAGTTTGCCAGAGGGTTGATCTTGATCATGCCTGCATCGTCGAGTTCAACAATGTCGAGGTCTCCACGCTTGCCTCCTTGGCTACGGCGACGGCCAGTGATGACAGCAGCAACTCCCAACTCAGCATAAGAACGTTGAGCAGGCTCGACCTTGGCCACATAGTCGTAGAGTTCCTCGTTGGTCTCCCACAGCTTCTCGCCGTGCTTGCGCTTGAAGTCCTCTACATTCTCGCAGCCCTCGGGCTTGTAGGTGTGGATGGTAAGGCTAGNGTATCTATCCTTGACGGCTTGCACAAGCTCGTAGGTCTCCTTGAATGCGTGTAGGGTATCCAGATAGATCAAGTCGATGTTGGGCTTGATGGGGCTATCAAGCTTGGATACCATGTCGTTGATTGCAAGTCCAGTAAGTCCAAAAGCAGTGGTCTGGAAAAGACGAGGCAGAGTCATGATGCACCATTTTAGAATATCTATAAAAGTCAGAAGGGAAAGTCCTTGGCTGGCATAACATGGGTACATACCTTGAGGCTCGAGGTTTTGCAATTGCTGGTTGATGAATTTCAAGTGTGGACGAGAGAAATAAACCTCTGGAAGACTGGCACTCGAACTACCACTGGCATAGCCAGACTCTGCATCATGGTCGGACGAATATGAACGGGGCATCGTGGCGTGGGGTTGTCGCTACTTTTTGTTCCGCTTCTTAGCAACGAGGTGAATATGATTTTGTATAAACAATTGCGGAGGCACGCCTGATTTGAGCTTGTATGACAGATGGATTGAGAGAAGAGAGGAAAGAGAAGACAGAATTGATATTGCTTGCGAGAGCCGGTCACGGCACCTGGATTCATCGCTTTGAAATCACCATAGAAAAACTCACTGACGTGCTCGTTCTGAGCGATGGTGTGCTTGAGGTTAAACGCTTTCAGGCTTAGCACAGGCATGACAACATCACGATCCAGACTCTAGGCTTGAGATCCGAGTGTAAAACAATAGAGAACGTAGGGCGGAAGAGTGGCTGACGGCTCAGTCTAGAGAGCAGAGTTTATGGGGCAAGATTGCGTGTGTCCCACAACCATCATTGCTGAAAGCGTGGCTCTTAGCAGTGGCGATACGGCTCTTGTTGTCGTTGAAACGTTCTGTAGTGATATTATCCGTTCTGTGTGATCCCGTCCGGGATGTGTTTCTGAAGCCTGTGCCGAACGTTTTGTGGTAGATCAGATTTTGCCATGTTGGTGTAATCCTCGTGGATCTGGATATATCAATACACCATTCATGGTATAAATCTCGTCATTGCTTTGGCATCCGGGTGATGAGGATGCCAGTCTCCAGGATATATATCTGCGGCTCTATCACGCTCCCCGCGAGCGTATAACCTTGTTTTCCTTGATCATCTTGGTGCTTGCTTCTAGAAGTGTACTGAAGCGCGTGAGTAGGCGTTGGATCTTGAACGTGTCGAGCGGAAACTGTGGCTGGGAAAAGTCGTTCTCAACCGATTGAGCTTTTTCCTCCGCGCTTTCCGACTTCTCCGTTGCGTCCTCAATTCCGCGGAGAGTCATCAATCATATCAAAACTAACACGCATTGATGATGTGACTGTAGGCTGCTGCATAGAAGCACGCAAGGAAACGTCGTGAATCGTGATTGCAGTGGTTCGCTTTACTTTATGAATTCGCAAGATGGCGCCATCTGGCCGATGAAAGATGACAACGCAGAGGAATGGCAAGCGGGAAGAAAGAGAGTTTGACGCGCAGAGGATGTGCACGTGGCGTGCTTTGCTGTACCATCTCAACTTCGCTGTGAGTTTGGACAGCTCATCTAAGCCGACAATAAGTAGGATTCTTCATACTCAAGATAACATGAGATGAACCTGAAACAGGAGTATTATAATATACGTATACGTTGGCATCAACCACAGAACGTGGTATTAGCGCTACTCTAGATAAAGACATGAACGCATCCGGGTTCGTAAGGAACAAGAGAAGATAGAAAATGGAATATTACAGGAATTCGAGAAGTATGGCGTGGAAGGAAAGTGTCGAATAGGGCAGCCGTATCTTAGCCACCGGTCACCGTGCCGTTAGCTAACGTGACAGAGTGGGTTTGGAGGTTTGCACTCATGTCAGCACCAAGATCGATGTTTGAAGAATCAATCTGTTGTCCGGTACTTGTTGTTCCAGAGGTGAAGTAGTTTTGAAGATTCTCCTGTGCAGCGATCGCATTGTTCAATTGGCCCGACTGCTGAAAGACAAAGAGTACGGCAATTCTAGCAAAGTCGAGTGTTGTCGAATCGGACAATGCAGATGAAGAGGACGTCAATGATGATGTAGTAGCATCGAAGCTCGAGGATGTCGATGAGGATGATGAATCGCTTGGTGATCCGCTTGCAAAGACAATACCATTGCTAGTGACAGCAGCTCCAGCAACAGATGTAGCATCTCCACGTCCCATCAGCACTTTGGTTGGAGTAGCTTTAGTTTCAGAGATGTCCTCCGAAATGGAGCGAGCAGAAAGGCCGTTGAATGTGACCAATGCATTCTCCGAGGTGCAGGTAAGCTTGGATGAAGCAAATAGTCCCAAGATGTTGGTAGCGTTGAGTGGAATGCTGAAGTTGGCTGCTGAACCAGTGAAGAGACGTGGAATAGAATTTCCAAGCGTTACATTTGTCATGTAGCTGCCAATAGTGGTGGTAGTGCAGGAAGCACTCGATGGTTGGGTGCATTCAGAACCTGCAAACCCATTGACGCACAAACAACTACAGCTGCCGTCGCTACCCAAGATGTTGATGCCACCATTCTTGCAGTCTAGGGACTTTTGGCATGTGGCAAGCGCAGAGGCCGAGGCACTGCCGGAAGCATTGTTTTGTTGAGGGATGACAACGAGAACTATGGGGATTATGATAGCAGCAGCAATGAGGATGACCATGAGCAAAAGCAGTGTAAAGAAGAGCCACGAAGGCATACCACAGCATCTCCTCTTTCGCTCAGGCTCTTCGCCAAGATCACTTGCTGAAGGAAGAGAGCTGTGTTGTAAGTTTGAAGACCATGGCATTGCTCTGGAATTCCTGGATCCTCCCCTGGAACCTCTAGATCCAGTGGGAGTCGCAAGTCCCGGCGGGGGAAATGAAGCGAGGATATCTGAAAGTGAGCCAGATCTCCTGCTGTCCGAAGCATGTGCTTGTCGCGCATCGTCATCAAAGAAGTTGAGACCAAGTCTGCTCGCAGTCCGGCCGCGATCGAGGTTGGACGCAACTTTGGTAGCTCTACGGATAAGGTCTGAAAGACTGGTTAGACTGCCACGGGCTTCTGCTTCTCGGACGGCATCCACATTGAGCCTTGGTGGCCGCTTGGAACCCACTCGTTCGGCGAGTGTCGTCTTGTTCTCCAAGTCGTGAATATCATTTTNTTCGGACACTTGGAAAGCGGAAAATGAAGATTTGTCTCCAATCGACTTTCCATGTGCCATTGCGTCTCTGCCGAGGATATCGGAGCTACTAGTTCGTGTAGACAATTGAGCAAAAGACTCTTCGGACCGTTCATCAGGAGACATGTCAACCATCGGATAGCTCATGTCTAGAGCCTGACGTTCAGTATCTTCAGCACCATGGCGAGAACGATCCANGGGTCGAGTCTGACTATCTGGTCGTAGATCGCCATTCTTGATCGTGGTCAAGACTGGTGTCGACTTGCGACCGACGCTAGCCTGACGAACAGGAATAGGGCGCATCATCTGTTCGGGCTCACTGCTGTCAGAATCTTCGTATTGATCCTGGAATGGGGATTCCTTGTCTTGACGCATGTCATGCTGATCGGCAAGATGCTTCGAGATGCCAATAGGAATTGCATTACTAGAAGCAAAAGAACTCTTCGAGTCGTGCAATCCTCTTTGACTGTCTGTTTCTTCCAAAATCGGCGCGACGTAGTTTGTTTGCGGATAGTACGATGCAGGACCTTTGCGCGCCGAGGGGGAGGACCNCAACGGTGGGCGGCGGTTGGGTTGATATATCGGCCTAGCAACTTGTTGGGGAACTTGTGGAGCCTGAGGGATGGGATGGTCGGGAACCGAGTAGACGGAAGATCCAGTAGAGTCGCGATGAGTCTCTGCAAAAGGGCGAGGTATATCTGGCGATAGAGAGCTGGGCGAGACCTCATTGATCCAAGCGCTTATAGGCTCTTGATTAATGTACTGTCTGACTGGGGNGCCTGAATCTTGACGATATTGAGGGATGGTGCGTGTGACTGGTGGTTCTCTGTTTGCAGCTGGTCGTGGTCGACCCAATACAAAGGGTGCCTGATCTGGTCGAAGGGGTCTGCTAGGTTGCGACCGTTGAGAAGGATGCAGAGAAGGATTGGNTGCGCCAGGCCTCGCGCCCCCGTTGCTTCGTGAAGATTGTTGAGATGATGGTTGATGGAGTGGACGCTGTGATTGACGTCCATCCCGTTGATAAAGCATTGTATGTTTTTATGGCGACTGTTCTTGATGACAGCGAGTATTCTACAGGCTTGAGGCTGGTATTGAAGAAAGGAGGTAAGGAGAAGCCGGCTCTCTAAAGGTTTCGTGCTGTCGGTATAGAATTGTAGCCGGGTTGAATCAAGCGAATGTGGTGATGTGTCAAAACGAGTGTAATCGGTCCAGATCTGTTATACTGCTTTGCAGGACCCAGGCATGTGAGCAGAGATATATGAGAAGCGAAAATAGCGCAAGGTACTGAGGTCATTAGCAAGAGCGCTATCGCGTGCGAAGCGTATACAGGTATTCGTACCAGGGCTGAAGGCCTGTTGAACGACAAGAGAACAAAAGAGTGAATGACAAGTCGCGACCAGCGTCCGATTGACAAAGCAGCGATCTACGCGACCTTGGACGTAGCGACACCAAAAAGAGAACAGAAGGGATCAGGAAAACTGCCAGACAAACCCCATGCAGCATGTCTGCTGCAGGAGGCTCTTAGCTTAGCGAGGCATGGGATAATCGTTGGTAGCGCGCCGTTGCTCGGGCCATCTTGAAACACTGCTGATTGACCTCTGATTTGCTGATTGCTTTGTGACACTTTATTAGTATTGGACGCGAAGAAGTCAAATCTAAACATCTTCTACAGTGCCCTAGACTTGTTAGCGACTATTCGAATCGAGTGATTTCAGCTGCTGTCATACTACAATGAGAAGACGTGCTGAAGAAGAGCAATCTACTGTTTGTTTGTGGACGGGACCTGTGTGCATGCTGAAACCTAGATTCGAAACGAGCCTCGCCCTTTCTGGGGAAGGTCAATCTCCGCTCTTAAAGATCGACGTCCCTGGTCCATGCCTGGTACCACTGATGCTATATGATCATGCTCGACCCGTCCACCCATTTTTGAGAGGACTCTAGCTATACCACTTTGCAGGCAGGCTAATCGCGAGTCTGAATTCTTTGCAAGAAAAGCAAGATGCTGCTGTTTTGAGCAGAGTAATGTGTTGCATGATACTACTACTACTATACATGAGGTGGCCCAAGGCTTTCATTCTTCAGATTGAGGCTCTGCAATACAGCTCGAGCCACTTCACGACCACATGAGGATAGGTGGTGGACTCGTCGCTGTCTCGATCAGGCCGAATGCCTAAGAGCACCTTCATTATTGTTTCGTACTGGATCCTCTTGCGCCATGTCTGCCTTTTTTGGTAGAAAAAGTGGCCAACACTCCAGTTTACAATTAAGGATGACCATACAGACTGCTTTGGGATGCAGCAAGTTATAGGTAGATCTCTTTAAGCAAGCTTTTAAGCACATACTGACCACCCTCCAACACCATCTCTTGGCGCAAGATCTCGGTCACCTCCTCGACAGTGTAGCCAAGGATGTAAGTAACGTCCAAAAGGCCGTCGGCGTTGATCTTGGTGGGAGCTTGTACTTGAACCTTTGGCTTTGCGTTGAAGGCAATTCCAAGACCAGCTTGGTGCATCATCGGTAGATCATTGCTCCCGTCGCCAACAGCAATCACATTTTCCAACGAGATGCTCTCCTTTTCGGCGATAGATAGAAGCAATGTGCGTTTCTTTTCGGCGTGAATGATAGGCATGCCTTCCACCAGCTCGCCTGTCAAATGACCATCCACCTCGACCAAGTGGTTGGCATAGCAGTAATCCAGGCCCAATTCCTGTTTTACCCATTCAGCCAAGGGCGTGAAGCCACCGCTCAACACCGCAGTCTTCCAGCCAAGTTTGCGAAGTACGCGTATCAGTTCACGAGCTCCGGGAGTGAATGAGATGATACCAGCGCGGAGATGTTGCCAGATAGAGACAGGTACACCAGCAAGATGACCGACGCGAGCGCGAAGAGACGCCTCAAAATCAGTGTACGGGGCCTCTCCACGCATTGCAGCCTCGGTGATGCTAGAAACTTGAGCATAACGACCCACAGCGCGAGCCAATTCATCAATGACTTCCTGCTGGATCAAGGTACTGTCCATGTCGAACACAGCCAGACCCGGAGTTCTGTGAGCCACGTACAAGGCCTGAGGTTGCAACACAATCTCAATATTGTGACGCTGGCACAGACTGACGATGGAAGCAGTCTTGGCGATTGCGGAACATTCCAACAGGGTGGGGGATGGGTTCTTCTGAGGTAGTGGGATGGCAATCTCCAAGACCCGGCATCCTTCACCGTCTTCAGGGCCATCTAAGAAACGGCGAGGAGTCGAGAGTGAACGTCTGATGGAGAGCTCTTCCTGTAGCGTGTAGGTGACAAAAGCTGCAACGTTTTTCCATTGCTCAACATCCAGAGAGCCCTGTCTCAAGAACACAAGTGCAACGACCTGGTTTTTACGCGCATCAGATCGTTCGCGCTTGACTCTAGGCTTAGACTGTTGTTCAGTGGTTTGCTGGGGATCCGCAGCAAATGAGAAGGTCTCATAGGCGACTGACGACATGACGGGCACTGCTTGACTGGTTGATCGCTGCTCAGGAAGAAAGTCCAGCAATTGATGAGCTACGGATTGGATGCCAAGACCAGGCCGAAGCTCGGAGCAAAATGTTCACCTTTTACCAGGTATGAATTTAGTTCGATTCCTTCTACTTCTTCTCTCAACGGATGACTCGGATCAATGTTCTAACTATAGGATTGCATTGACATTTAGATCTAGACTAGAGACAGGGAAGCTCCATGATAACAGAACATTGCTCCGACTCGAACACTTGCAAGTCACGAGATCTTTCCGAGCTAACTCGATTGGAGTTCTCGTGTGTAGCTAGCATGCGTGCTCTTGCTTTGTATAAGAACTAGATTGACCATGCCTAAGATATAGAACAAGGCATTTGATCGTTGTAACACAGTCTGTATAGTAAGGGCGTTGCTGGTAGCTGAATCCTGCTCTAGAAACCATGGTGACTACATTCGCTAAATAGCTTAGCAAATCCAAATTTGTAGAAACTATAGATATGGGATCTTGCGACATGACACTCGATGAGCCATAAAGGACCAAGTGCTCGCAAGCTTCAGAAAGGAGTCTGGGAGGGGTTATGAACCTATATTCAGACGCCAAATCTTGTATATCCATCTCTCGAGTTTACCTTGCTTTTCGCTCTCTGACGAGCACCAGGGTTCCTTCTCTTGCACGCTCAAAGTCTTGTAGGAAGCCTATGAAGTGTAGCAAGTAAGGTGTTGCGCGATGGAGGCTCGTGGAGTCTGACTCGTCGAATGTGGAGATGCGACTTTGCTATAGACATTATGCATCCAAAAATTCGAGTTCGCTAGACCTTGCGATATCGTCCGCATTTGTAGCTGCTCGAGCAGTCCAGTCTTTGTTGTTCCGAGATGGAGTGGTCAAAATTTCTGAGACGGAAGTTACTACCGAGCTCTGGTCGTGCCTGCCCATCAAGGTGATTAGGACCATCAAGGTTGAAATCCATCAAGGTAGTTGACACAATATAAAACCCATTGCACAAGGTCGACACGCTTCCAAAGGTCATATCAACATGGCTCAATGCTCTCTTCTCCACGATGTGCTCATTATTGGAGCTGGGCCATGTGGTTTGGCCGTTTCAGCACGACTTTGTGAGCGAACGCCCTCGGCAATCTTTACAGACACGGAACACCAGCGATACCATTGGATAAGAAACCATGGAGATCGCGTTTTCATCAAAGACAAGCGGACTGGTCAGACAAAGACACCAAACAGGCCCGAGAGTTGTCGTAACTATTCTACTCTTGTCCTCGACGGCACCAACAAGGACTGGATGGCACGGTGGAATCATCTGTTCAAGACGTTCGAGATCTCACACTTGAGAAGTCCTCTCTTCTTCCACGTCGATCCCCAGGATCGAGATGGGCTACTGTCCTATACGTATGAACAAGGAAGAGACAATGAGCTCGTTGAAATTCCGGAATGCGTGGGCAAAGAGATTAGCAAGCACAAAAAGAAGCAGAGGCTCAAGTGCCAGACCCATGGGTGTGTATCGATAGTGGCATTGATCCATCCAAACTGAATGCAATATTGACTGTGCCTTTCAGANGCTAGACCACCAGTTACAATCGATGAGCGGGACCGCAAAGACTACTTTACGCCCTCCTGCTCCCTCTTCCAGGACTATTGCGAGTGCGTAATTGACCGGTATGGACTCAGGAACAATCTCATACAGAAAGAGCGAGTTGAAGACATCGATTTTAGCATTGTTCCAGAGGTCTCCGAAACCGAGCAAGTATTCACGGTACGTTCTGATCAAGGCACGCACCATGCCCGCAGTGTTATACTTGCAGTTGGACCAGGAAATGTACCATCTATTCCAGCGGGCCTAGGCAGGGTTGAAGAGGGATGCTGCCATGCCATGCAGATTCGAGAGTTTCCAGATCCTTCGGTTAGAGCCAAGTTGCAACAGAAGAAAGATGTAAACATAGTGGTCGTGGGTGGTGGCCTGACTTCTGCTCAATTGACTGTAATGGCAAGCAAGCACGGAGCAAGAAAGGTGTTTCATCTGGTCAGGGGTCGACTAAGAGTTAAACCTTTCGACGTGGACTTGAACTGGATGGGCAAGTTCCGCAACTTTGAAGAAGCATCNTTTTGGTCGGCAGACGCTGATGAAGGTAAGAAGAGCATACAACCACACGAAATCTTTTTGCTAACCATCATCNNAGAGCGTCTCGAAAAAATTAAGGAAGCTCGTGGAGGCGGGTCAATCACTCCTAGGTACCACAAGCTGCTCAAGCAGTATGTAACTGCCGGCAAGATTGCCCTACACACTGAAACGACAATTGCTTCGTCCACCTTCTCCAACGGATCATGGTCCCTGACCACAAGTCCACCTCTCAACCTACCAAAAATTGACTATATCTATTTTGCCACGGGTATTGCTAGTGACTTCAGAAGCTTGACCTTCCTGGAAACCATCAATCGCAAGTTTCCTGTTGACTCATACGGCGGACTTCCTGCCTTGACAGATGATTTGATGTGGAAGGAAAATGTTCCACTCTTTGTGACAGGACGACTGGCAGCGTTGCGGTTAGGTCCAGGGGCGGGAAATCTTGCAGGAGCACGCAGTGGTGCAGAGAGGATAGCTTGGGCTATCGAGGATGTTCTGCCGAGGGAACAAGATCGAAAAGAGGATGACGATAAGATATACAACTTCAAGGCCGGTACAGGGAGTCAGTTTTGCAGTCTAGATTGCGAGGCATGTATCTAGTGCTGTACCAATCAACGTCTACTCTTTGACGCTCAGTCTAAGCCGCACGCCTTGGTGACCTATGAGTGCATCGGCGAGTAACAAGCATATCGATTATACAGTTTTATGTACAGCACACATGCGTTATTTAGATAATGAATGCCGCGTACGGGGGCCTCCAGAGAACATATGGTAAATTGTAGAGAGCATGTGGTTAACTTCGATAAGTAAACCCTCTTCCCGGTCAGCAGATGATGCTATAGTATCATGTAGAAATGCACAGTTGTGTATTGAATCAGAGGTGTAACCAGTGATGTAGCCCTAGAGTGTTATCTCTCCTTGGACAATCTCTCGTTCTAAGAAGTATTGTGTGTTTCCACAGCCACGCCACAAAGGTCTTTCAGCACACGGGGAGAAAACGGCAGGGAAGTGGAATCAAACACAAAAAACGGAGCTGAGCACATGTTCTCTATGGTTTACCACATGTTCTCTAAAGAGGCCGCGTTCCTGGAAAACCCCTACACAGTAGCAGGTACCGCTTGACCATGAGGTCCAGGGTTGCCTCCCGCTCGACCGGCTGGTTTTGCCACTGATACGTTTTTNNTTCTCTCTTCCGCAACTTCGTCATCGTATGCAGACTCTGNCAGCGACTTGGTAAGTACAAGAACTGTTTTGAACACAAAGAAGAACGAACCTGCCATGAATGGACTCCTAGCTCGGATAGCAGATCCTTTGATAAGAAGGAACACAGGAGCCAAACTCAGAATCAGAGCAACTAGGCCGAGCAGAGTGGAAGCCCATTGATATCCAAGATTGGAATACAATTGAGGAGACGCAAGTGGAAGAAATGCTCCAAAGACGTTTCTTCCAAAAGATGCCGCCGACAGTGCAGAGGCAGAGTACTTGCTGTAAGCATCCGTGAAGTAGTTNNCTGCATATCAAGTCAGCGGATACCTTGTAGTATTTCTTTTCAGACTTACAACAACAGCTTGGTAGATGGAGTAGATACCAAAACCAACCATCGCTATGCCAATAGCTGGTGCAATCCAAGGAACAAAAGTGTACGATGTCCACCCGTAGACGAACAATCCTGCCGTAAAGATTAGAGAACCTGGGATGGAAAAGTAAAGTCTGGCCTCTGGTATAGGCTTTCCTGGAGATTCTTTGTTTCTTCTCGCCGATCTCAGGTAGGGTTGGTCTTGAAAAGGGTTGACAATGGTGGCTATCGTAGCTCCTGCACTCAGAGAGAGCTGTATAAGCGAGGTCTGAAAGACACTGAACCTATAGTTTGTGCTAAAGGTCTGTGTAATCGATGATTGGAACAAGAAAAGCAGGCCCCNACTTTGAGATGGTCAGCAGAGGCATATACAAAGACATTCGAGAGAACCACTTACAGCGAACGACACCCAAAGCTGGCAAAGAGGTCAGTATGGATGCGATATCATACAAGAGATTTCAACACTTACGGTGAATGAGGCGACAGTATACTCTGTCAATAGCATCTTGGTAGGTCTTTTGAAGGATACCTTTAGCATCTCAAGTACATTGTCCTTGTTTAGTTCGCTTCTAGCATAAGCATTCCGGCCTTCTTTGCGAAGTTTCTTGGCTCTCCTTGCGAGAATTACATCGCCTCGAGTTTCCTTAAGGAGAAACCAGAAGATAGGAAGGCACCCAGCNNCTATAAAAGAATTAGTTAAAATCTTAGGAGCGGCTCCTCTGACACGTACATTGAAGATGATTTGAATATAATGTATCCATCTCCAATTGAGATTTCGCTGAATGGCCCCACCTATGAAGGGGCCAAGTGCAATTCCTGGACACATACTCGATTAGTAGATGTCTTCGGTAAGGTTGGTCTGTACAGTTCAGATGATGAGCACCCATCTGTATCAGCTCGAAAACATATTAACTACCGATGTCCATCCGAAAATGGACATTGGGATCGATCTNNACAAACACAGGCGATTAGCTGACCGTTGAATTTGCATTGTTAAGAACCATTACCTTTCTTTCTCTGTCCGGTACAGATCTGATATGGAGCCTCCCACTAGGTTGATACTGACTGATGATGCGCCACCTCCAATGAATCGAGTAACGACCATAGTAGCAAAATTTTGCGCGAAGGCTGATGGAAAGAGAAAGATAATGAAGATGATGTAAGATGCNNACTGCAACATATAGGTCAATATGCCGCATACAGAATTACTCTTAGCTTCCACATACAAGTAACCAGGCATTCTGCNCCCTACAATGGCTGTTAGCTTCAAATTCGTACAAGGATGACAAACGGGCCGTACATACAAATTTCCAGTCAGAGGCACAAAGAGCAAGGGGAACAGTGCAGCTCCCAGATTCCACGAGACAGTCGACCAAGTAAGGTTTGGGAATGGTTCATTCTGGACGTGCCATAAGGAGCCCATCTGGTCATTAGCAGCACTATAGCTGCCAGCCGGCAGACCTGTCAAGATCGAACTGTAACAACTCAGCAAGTGAATACCGGTTAAGCTGAACCGGTTCATACATAAAACAGGTAGTCAAAGTCATGACCCATTTGCGCGACGTGGACCAATTGAATCTGTGTTGAGTACTCAGTATCGTGTTTCTTTCAGTAGAGACTAGTATAAGCGGCTTACGGGTTTGCCGGATCGTCTCGACCATCCCAGTTAACAACTTCAATATCGCCATATTCGTTCGATGGATGGTCGTTTTGCTTTCTACCATCCGAAGTCTTCCCAGAGGATGGTCTGTCCTTGCCAAAGTCTTTCTCGTCCTTATCGCTTGATACCGAAGTAGACTCTCTATTGGTAGACAAGATTTCGAGTCGATGTTAGTGGAAGATTGAGAGTAATTTTGGAGACCTAGAGAACAGCTGGGTTGATGAGGTATGATGCAAAATAAAACGGTCTTCAATGGCAGTGTGACATCAGCCGCAACTTGGTTTTTAACTGCGTACAGATTACAAAGATGCTGCTTTGCAAGGAAGAAGGGCCGAGTTAGCACCAGAAAACGGGTCCTGACACATGATGTCGGCTCTGATAAGCCTTTGTTTGTGCACATGTACAATCATTAAATATGGTTCCCTTAGAGCCAGTGAGTCGTTGACCGATTCAATCAACTGTGACGTGGTGGAATAGCGCGGTAACTGTTAGGAGATGCGGAGTGAGTAAGATTAAACTTGAGCGGAGCCTTATGTGCAATCATTAAGCTTTCCGGTTAAACCTGCCGGTTGTCTACTTGGCTAGTTCTAGACATGAGCGCTTAACGAGAAGTTGTGAGGATTATACCAGCTGACCAAATGTAAACATTGGCCCTTTGCGAATTTTTTTGTGAGAATCTCTCTCAATGGACTTTCCGCTAGTCTGTAATGCTGTCTGGCTGTATCCTTTCCGGCAGCCTGACGACTCCGTTGTGATATTGGTGTCGGGCAGGTTGGGCGGAATTCAGGTTGCATGAGTATATGAAGTGCCTAGAATTATCGGTCCACACCTAGGCAATGGCTGTTCACAGCAGCTGATGATGTTCAAGGCAGCAGGTAGATGGGACTGCGAGATTGTGATGGCTGAACTGGGTGAATCGTCACAATAGACCAAGACTTCAGACTCTTATATAGGCTGCAAACATCAGTGTCATGATCAGAATGCCAAAAGTAGTAGTACTTACTGGCATCAATCTTCGAGACCTGAGGCAGAGCTAAGCGGACCTTGTTGCGATACAGAACGGGGTTGGACTTTTGTAAAGGATTTCCTTCAAAGTAGACTTCGGAGAGCTCCTTCTTGTCACCGAGCTCTTTTTCGAGCTCATCGAAACGTTCCAGCTTACAGCTTGTTGCCCAGAGGTTTTCGATATGGACCAGTGCTGAAACACCACGTAGCGAAGTGATGGGATTGTTCTGAACGTCTAGAATTCGAATGTTGGGGGCATACGAGAGAGGCTCGAGAGAATTCAACAGATTATCGGAGATGTACAGCTCTTCGAGTTGAGGTAGCTCCTTGAGCCCTTCCAATGATGTGATTCTGTTTGCTTGGATGGACAGGGTCTTTAGTTTCGTAAGAGTGGAAAGTCCCTTGTACTTGTTAGCGTGTATAATACTTGGTGCATGTTCTGGTGTGGCGCACCTTGAGCTCAGTAATCTTGTTTTGACCGAGCCATAACGAGTCAAGATTGACCAGAGTTTCCAGGCCCGATATTTCCTAAGTGAGAATAAGCATGTGTCACTCTGAGTGAAAATGGGGGACAAATGATACTCTGATTCTGTTGGCACCCAACTCCAAGTATGTGAGGTTTGTTAGACCGTCCAAGCCCTCGATGCGCGAAATCTTGTTTTGGACAAAGTAGAGATGGTCGAGCTTCTTCAAGTGATCGACACGTTTGATGTGTTTGATCTTGTTGTAACNNTCAGGTCCAAGCTGCGCAGCTCGGTAAAGGAGTCGAGACCTTTGATGTGCGAGATGAGATTGTCGTATAGCTCGAGGTCTCGGAGAGTAGTGGCGAGGGATTCGGGGAGTTCGATGGAGGAAATGGAGTTTTGGCGCAAACACAGTTTNNCTGAGAGAGGGAGTCAGTCTTCGCTGCGTGTAAAGTTGGAGGGCGCGTGTAGACTCACGATGACTTTGCTGAAGCGTTCGAGGCGGAGGGCAGAAATGGATGACACGCGGCTGTGCTGGACGTCTATCTCCTACAGCTTGTCAGCACACGAGCTGAATGGCAAGCGAGCGAAAGGAGCAACCTCGGTCTCAGGGTCCTCGTCTTCGAGCAAGTCNNTGACGGAAGTCGTCAGTATGAGGCAAAGCACTGTTGTAGATAGACGCAGTCAAGTACCTTCGTCTGCTTCAATCTGATCGACCGGAGGGGCGTCTTCGTCAGAGTACTCGGGATCCGACAGAGCCTCTGGGTTTGCCAGTACGGCCTNTTTGTTCTGGTCCAGGCGTAGCTTGCCGTCCCACCCCGACTTGTTGCTGTGCAAGCCGTTGCTCTTAGCAGCAGCAGCTTCTCCAGATCCGGATGCGACCACCTGGTCGGCGGCAGCTGCGTCAGTAGGCGTCGACATGGCTGTTCAATAATTTCCTGTCAGGGAGGAGAGAGTCGACAAGTTCAAGGGTCGCAAAACGGGCGTCATTGTGTGGGGAGGGGAGTCTTCACGAGCCTGCAAACATGGTACGCGTCACACCATCACATGCCACTATCTCAATCACGCCCAGCTGAATCGTCCATCACAACATGATAAAAAAGTATACATTGAATTCTATTCGAAGAGTATCAGGTCCCATACTCACAAGAACGCCGCGCTTTGATCAGTTCGTAATCCATCCTGCACCCGCTTCTACCATCTCAACTCCTGAGCTCGCTGAAGATGTATGGGAACAGCACAACGCAAGCCTTGTACAGCACTCCAATGCTCGCAACTGCGCGGAACGGCATCAGTAAAGCATTACCAGACGTGATGTACACCCAGATGGAGAGGAAAGCGACGGCGAAGAAATGGTAAAAGAGGACCATGGGTTGCCGTATGATTCCAGCCAGGAGTCCGACAGGTCCGTCGATACACTGTCCGCCTCTCTGGAAGTAGCGGAAGCATCCCTGCTGCAGTGCTCTGAGTTGAGGATCTGTTGTCTGTTAGTTGTCTTGATCCTCGTAGCTGCTTGACGAGCCCAACTTACCATTCGCTGCGAACAACGAGTACAGCGCTTGTGCAAGGATGTTGATGACGCTAGTCAAGTTCTTTCTCCTCCAGTGAAATACGTCCAGCTGAGCCAACACAGCCTTGGTGTCCTCGAAACGTGGCACTTGTTCGGGAGAGAGCAGTTTGGACAACAGCAGAGCATCATTGAAGGCCACAGTCATACCACCTCCTGTCAGAGGATGACGCATGTTCATCGCATCTCCAAGCAGTATCACACCTGAATGCTTGTTTTTGGATGCAGGCAGGAATGAGTTGGGCATGGATCGTAATGCACCACGATCCAGAGCGGCTTCGAATGACGGACGCACCTTTGCAGGCAACGACGGCAGCACAACATTGCGCAAATGGTNTTTGACGCCGCCGTTGCTGACCGATGCAGACGGGAGACCTTCGGGTATGTCTACAAGAGCACGTGTCTCGTGTGTACCAATCTGGTAGAGGAGAACGGGAGGGCTGTCACTAATCAAAACGTGACCATGATTGGGCATGGGCAGGTCGGCATCGATCAATTCAAGGCCCCAAAACTTGGACTTGACCACGGGTGCCCGAGTGTTGACTTCCTTGCGAAACTTGCTAGCATAACCATCGGCGACGACAGTGAGATGGGCAAAATAGTAATCCTTGTGGTCCCTAGTGGAGCATTCGACTCCCAAGACCTGTCCGGTGTATCCGCTGCGCACCAAGTCTGTGGCCGTGGTTTCGATGACAGTGACATTGGCGCATTTGAGGGCACGCTCTCGGAGTTTTTGGATGAATCGGCCATGATGGAACGACCGGCCTTCAGGTCTTGACTTCTTCTCTTTCTCGTCTGGGTTGGTAGCGGTAGAACCGGCGTTCTCGGGGTATGCAATGGTAACTTCGTCGCCGTGGTATATCACATCGTACCCAAACACCTTGATAGCGTCAATGCCCTCTAGACAATCGGCTAGTCCAAGCTCTTCCAAAGCAGCGACTCCACCAGGCTGCAGTAATTCTCCAACGATACGGTCGGGTTGTTTGAGGGATTTTTCGAGCAGAATGACACTCCGGCCCTGATCGGAAAAGGCGACGGCGAGTGCGCATCCTAGAATGCCAGCACCAATGATGACCACATCTGCTTCGTGGTGCACTCGGCGGCGCGACTCCAGGGTGTCGGATATAGTGGGAGACGGCGGAGGCGAATCGAGGATGAGCGGCATAATGTAGGACGACGGGTTCTCAGGCAGAAGTCGAGGACAATAGCATACCAGGGTGGATTTAGCAATGCGACAAAGGGTCAACAAGAGATGCAGAAAGGAGCGATTGTCATACGATTGAGTTGACTATTACCGGTAAATTTGACAGGGTCTGCAACCGCCTCATACGTATCGAATGTCACCCCACCGTCTGGACCATCAGGCCATTGTGGCTGTCTTCATCAAAACACCTTTGGAACAAAAGTGATCATATGTTGGTCTATGTTTTGCACTCTCACAACCATCACGCAGGCTTATGCTTGTAGAACAAATAGATGTCATCTCGATGCGACTAGATTGGGGAGGTGGGGACGCCTCTGTTGGCCAATGTCGGAGACAGGCGGGAATCGAATGATAAATGTACTGACGTTTTATTTTCTCTGTGCAAACACTTGTTGGATCTCTCAATTTCCAGTAGGACGGGGACCCACAGGAAAGAACATTTTTTACAATACGTGGAAGCGAGCAGAACAGATCGGGTAGGCTCAATGCTCCTTCGTTGTCACTCACTCGTTGGGCACGAAAGAGACAAAGAGACAAAGAGACAAAGAGACAAAGAGCAAGCCACAGCTACCAGTACCCAGTCACCCAGACCTTGTCTGTGCAACCGAGCTGTCAGGAGCGGTGTCACGCATGCATGTCTTTTCGCATTCGAAATCGCCTGCGTACTAAAGGCTCAATATAACTGCACCAGGTCGAGTGTTGGAAGGCCAAATAGGGGACGTTTCTCTCCCGTTAGTAACACTCAAGCCCTATGACCATCGTGATGCCATCAGACTGGTGACGTCGACATCCTCGCCATGGATCTTGAACTCACGAATAGCTTTGTTGCTGCGCTGTCCTGCTCGCAACCAATTATCAGTTTATTTTCAATCTAGACACAGGTATGGCACCTAATCTTAGCGACTGCAGAGTGCTCAAAGAAGAGCCGCTTGCTTCTTCTGATGCCAAATGGACTGCATTGAGAAAGTACGTTTTGGGAACACGATTTGCTTGTACTCGGGCACTGAACATATCCAAGNNGATCACCTATAACAATGCGGAGAATGTCACCAAGATCTGGTAGGACCATCACAGAAGCCTTGTGTTTCGTCAAAACTCAAGAGAACCAGGNGAATCGGCCGTCAGGCCAACTCGACCGTCAAATAGCTTGATCGATGCAGTAGGCATTGTCGCTATTCTGGAGAAGGCCAGCGGTCCGGAGTTACTTTTACAAAAACAATATCGGCCACCTATCGACAAAGTCTGCATAGAGGTTCCTGCTGGTTTGGTAGACGAGGGTGAAGATGCCGAGACTTGTGCGCTGAGAGAGCTCAAAGAAGAGACTGGGTATGTGGGAGAAGTGATCGAGGGCGCTCTAGGAGTGACCCCATGATGTTCAACGGTATGTATGGACTTAAGGGATGATGATATTACCGCGACTAATTATACGTTTGTAGACCCAGGATTCTGTAATACGAACCTAAACATGGTCCATGTTCGTCTAGATATGTCGAATCCCGACAATCAAAACCCACGACCCGAGCTTGATGAGAACGAGTTCATCGAATGTTTCTCAACTCCGTTGAAGACACTCTATGCGGAGTGCAAGAAGCTCGAGGCTGAGGGATATGCTATAGACGCCAGAGTGCTCACACTGGCCGAAGGCATTGAAGTAGCTCGACAATTCAAAATCGTCTAATCTGAATTGGATGGTATAATCAACCATGTCTTTTCGCAATCGTACATCGCTGTGGTAGGGAGAGAAAGCTCGGATAGAATGCGATTTCTTTGTGGATTCCCAATTCCAGACCTTCCTCCGAGCTGTCAAGCGCGGCGCGCGGAAGCAGGTGTTAGCTTCCTGTCCCCGGATTTATTGATGTGTCTCTCATCTGTATGCAAGCGACGATCCTCAACGACCGTGCCGCGTCTGCGTGCTATCATTTCGTTCCTGAATATGGAGACGACGATACTCCTTTTCTAAGGAGATCCTTTCCTCCTCATACGCTCAAATATGCAACAGGTATGGGTATCAAGATACACAATAGTCTTTGGGAACAGTGTGGTGTCCATTTGGAGGTGTGGGCTCTCTCTGATTACATTTCTAGACTGGATGCTTCTGTGTCTTTTCATCATCCAAAAGTGGCCCTCCTTGTTCTTGTGGGGGATAGGAGGTTACAGGCTCTTGCACATGGGGAGCACAACTGGAGCTGGGCTGTCAAGGAGGGAAACGAGGGTCTAGGCATGAATTCAACGCAACGGCGGTGCAGACGACTCGGGAAGGCCCGCTGTCGCCAACGTTTTGACGGGCGAGCGACTTTGAAGCACGTTTCGCCGAGAAAGACTTGATAAGAACAAGCTAGGATCACTCTTTATGCACCATCTGCGCGAATCACGAAAAACTGTGGTCGGGGATGCAGGAGTTCTCTGCGGTGTGATTGGATGGCTTGGCTGTCATTCTTGCCATCACACTACCGATCGTTTGGGGAGGGGGGATGACTCGACAATGCAGCACAAGTATATTGGGGACATGGTACAACACGACCAGGACCGATGGTGACATTTTCCAGACCTTCATTCCCGGATGCGGACCGCTCATAAGAGACGACGCCGTCCAAGAATAACGGGCATCTTGACTTGTTTCTGGAGAAAGAGTACATCGAGTGCTTTCGGTATAGCCAGCAATCAAGCACGGACGGGGCTGAACCACCTCGGCTCGACCAAAGGAGCTGCATACCTCTTCGTTTGTTCCGGTACCTTGGTCAACTAATATGCATCCCCACTTCCAGTTCGACGCCAAGGCCATGAAAACCTGGTCCGCTGGCCTCGAGCTCATCAGCATGAGAAAGGGATTTGAGTGGGTTTGACACCATGTCCGGGAACGCATCCACGCACGGGCAGACAGGGCTCGTATCACAGCGTACCAGCAAGATGGGAGAGGACGAGGCGAGACTAGCAGCCGAATGGTCAAATGAGATGCACTACCTTGGGTGTGAAGATCTACTCGAGCGGCGTAGGAGCCAGCAGAAAAAAGCGGCGTGTCGCTTTTCATAAAATACCCTCGCCAGAAGACCCTACAGTACAGGCGCCGGGCGCTATCTACCCGAATCCACACAACGGGTCAATGCACTAAACCAAAGCAGCATGTACGTGCAGATGCTCTCTCGCGTTAGTTGACTTGTGTGTGTTCCCACCGTCAGACATTAAAGATAATCGGTCTGGCACGATTTCATCCACCGCTCTCTCCTCTCCCCCACTCTCTCTTTGGGATGCAAGGATCGCTTGCCTTTTTGCATGTATCTCTCGCAACCCACGCATTCGCTTCCATCTCTGCTTCGCCCTTGTAAGGCAACTACTTCTTCTGGTTCGGAACCGTAACCTGGCTTTGACATCGTCTCGCAGCTGCTGTGCTCGATCGCCTCGCGCCCATTCACCCACGCCGATTGGGTGGCCGAATCATATGTGACAGGAGCATGCACAGTATATCAAGTTCGTTCCGTTGCACCTGTTCAAGAATTTTGTCTGTATCACGCTCTGGCGGACATCTCCAAAACCGCCCTGCTACTTCTCCATATCCCTTCGCATCAACATTACTGTCAAAAATCTAGTGGTATACTCCAAATGCTATTGTAGGATATCTTTGCTGGGCCGACAAAACTCTTCAACCACACGTATGTCCGGGTCGCGCCCTCCTTCGCCTGTCCATCCTCGCATTGTCAATACCTCTTTCAGAGAGATGGCGGCGGAGGCTCAGAGGCCACATCACTTTTCTGTCCCGCAATTCCTCGGACACCCTGAACGACAAAATTCTATTGGATATCAATTCCCGCCAATACCTGGACAAGAACGGTCGAGTATATCGTTTCATCCACCATTTACTACTCTGCCGCCGCCTTCGTCACGTCCAGGGGCTTCGACAAATCCTCAGAACTATGTGCAGCGGTCTGTTCCAATAGCCAAGTTGTTGTCCGATACCCCTCAGGAACCACCGCTCCGCTCCAGACAGATATCAATACCTGGTCCTTTCTCTCCCGGACTGCCTTCGCCGCCGTCGCCGCCGCCGCTGCCTCCTGGGATGTACCAACGAACCGCAGTCAATCCACCACAGTATTTGCCGCTGCCAAGCCTGCGAACATCGCCTGTCTTTCATATACCACAGTATCCGCCGCAGGTTGCAAGTCCGCACCATATCTCACATTATCCGCAACACAGTTCGCCTATTGCTTCAAACAGTCCATCGTCGGCCTCTCTGGACTCAGGTACCTCGCCACAGGAACGTCCGCCTGCCATTACCGAGAAGTTCAATCGTCTGCCATCCTTTGCTACACCATCACCGAATCTGAGATATGAGCTCAACATGCGGCAACAGCCTGTAGCTGCCAGAGCATGCGGTTTTGGAGAACGTGACCGACGTGTCGTTGATCCTCCACCTATCCTCGAACTCAAAATCATCGATGCCGAGACAGGGAAAGTCGACAGCGAGAACACTCCTTATGTATACACGACACTGCATTGTACCCTAATCAACTCCATGACATACAAAGACGAATCACAGATCGAGCCAGCACATCCAAACGCTCAAGCCACACAGCGTCTCATGGGAACCGCAGTGGCATCGCCATTTTCAGGCACAGATGAAACAGGAAAGAGAGGGACCTTCTTCGTCTTTCCTGATTTATCTTGCCGTAACCCCGGAAAATATCGATTCCAGTTTCGATTGTTGATAGTCGATCCACTGAACCTTTCTGTCGGAACAACCTCGCGTATACAGAGTTCAATCATCTCGGAACCATTTGAGGTATTTACTGCAAAAGAGTTTCCTGGAATGCGAGCCAGCAGTGCCTTGCTCAAAGCTCTGAGGAAACAGGGTCTGAACGTGGCTGTCAAGAAAGGCCGTGAAGCCACGAAGAAGGCGACCAGGAGACCCGGCCATGTTGACGAAGACGACAGCAGTGGTGAAGACGGAGAAAATGTCCCTGATGAGGATGACCAGGATAGCGACGACGCGCGCTCTCAAGTAGCCACGGGTAGCAAGGATCGAAGAAAAGAAAGAGAAGAGAGTGAATGAGACCACGAACTTGCGCGACAGGCCCTCATAGATGTATGGTTTCTTTTTTAGTTTCATTTTCGGTTGTTTATACGGGCATTTTGGCCGGCATGTCTAGTGATTGCAGCTTGTGTATCTTGCGCTTTCTCCCTTCGACCCCGAAGAATTTCTTACTAACGAAGATGGTCATCGGTTGCATGTAGGCACTCTTGAGTATTTGGCTGATTCTACGAGATAGCATTTCGGTTGGTGGAAGACATATGTTTATTGGTTCTCATGTTTGACCAAACTTTACGTTCAGAATTGCAACCCTCGTGATAACTTTTGCTTGAAAGTATGATACATAACCACTCAGTCAAGAGAAGACTTATGCGTCCTCTAAACCTTCATACAACTTGACTTTCCAGCTCTTGCTCGGATTGTTGTATCTATGAGTAAACTCGCGGCCGAGTTTTGTGAAAATATCCAGATCATCCGAGTCAAGCTCGATATGCTTACTTTCCAGATTCTCTTCGATTCTGTCTGCATGCGCGCTCTTGGGTATGACGCTCGTGCCTCGACGCATGCCCCAAGCCAATGATATGCCCGCAGTTGTGGAGTTATGTTTGTCAGCCAGCTTGATCATGGCTTTGTTCTTGAGCAATGGAGGAGGCAGGTTTTTGGCCTTTCCACGGTAGGTGGGATTGGTTCCTCCGAGTGGGGAGTAGGCGGTCACATGGATACCGCGCGTTTTGTGGTACTGGATCCAATCTTCTTGCTGAAGATAAGGGTGTAGCTCCATTTGGTGAGCGTATGGCACATGAGTTGTGTGGTTCAACAAGGTATCCAGTTGGGCAGGTGAGAAGTTGGAGATTCCAATGCGTCTGGTCTTTCCCGACTGGACTAACTGAATCATCGCATCCCAGGTGCTGAGAAAAGAGATCTCGTTTCCTTTGTTCGTCTCAGCCACTGGCCAATGCATGTGATAAAGATCCAGATAGTCAAGGTTGAGATCGGATAATGTCTTGTCAATGGCGGTTCCAACCTTGGCAGGATCGTGATGATCGTTCCAGAGTTTGGAAGTCACCCAGATGTCTTCACGGGACAGCCCAGCTTTCTTCAAGCCCTCAGAAATGCCTCTGCCCACAGTTTCNNCTGTATATCGTTATGACTTGGCCGATCAAGATGGGAGACACATCGTTACCTCATTGCTGTATGCGGCTGCACAATCTATGTGTCTGTAGCCAGTGTGGATTGCATAAGACACTGCCTCTGTAGCATTATCCTTCAGGTTCCATGTTCCGAAGCCTATGGTTGGGATTTGAAAAAGGGTTGATGGTCCGAGAGGCACTTGTTGTTCGGCAGCAACAACTGCGAAGGTTGCTGCAAATGGCAAAAGTGAAAGCAAACGCATTCTGTCAGTCTGGTGCAGGAGAGCAAGGTCAAGCAAACCAGGTCTCGAGGCCGACACAGCTCTTATATCTGTTCAACAATCCCTGCGATATCTGATGTCATGGACTGCTCATTAGGCAGGTGGTAGCTTTCCCCGCAGTTCGTGTGCCTGTCCATGCAATAGACTGTCACAGTGCATCTATAGAGATGCACAATACTTGGTATCAAAGAACGAGATCCATGGAGAAAAGGTCAGCCTTGAGCATCTCCATGGCCACACTTTCATCAAGAAAGCGACTGTGCATTTTCATAGCATATAACAACACTATATGTTACGGTAAGAGCGAGGCCGTGACTGTCTTGTGCGCACGGGGAGATTGCGCGAAGTCGCAGCGAGTGTGCTGCAACCTGCATCGAGAGAAGTACACAGCATCTTATACAACTTCCATGCTTCCTGATGTCCTGTTATGTATGAACAGACTCCACGCCGAATGGTTTCAATATTGCTAGATGTTGGCGGTAGAGACATTTGGAGTCGGATCTTGCTCCACACAAGCTGTCTAAACCCCACTCTGTTTGTTTGTCTGGTTTGCTTCGGCGATTACAGGCCTTGTGTGTACAGACAGCTCGAGCAACTGGCAGATGACAAGGAATGCAGTTTGGAGCATCAAGAGGGGTGCAAGTGACTGTTATGCCAAAGACTCAACATGTCCACAATCTCCAACCCTGAAGTGAGTATATCTGGGAAGGCGCTTGGACCACAGGGCCTTTTCGAGTCAGAGTGCTTCCCCAGGAAAATGGCAGTGAACGCGTTTTTCTGGCGTTTCGCGAAAAAATTCCACCTTCTTTCTTTCCCGCTGGCATAAGCTAGTGAGGCGACCCTAAGGTGTATATCTAAAGCAAACATGAAATACGTATTGGTATCCGGAGGTAAGAGCTACAGCACGAGCATGGCGACTCGTTCCTGGACTAATGGCTTGTCCAGGTGTTATCAGCGGTGTCGGCAAGGGCATTATTGGTATGACCAGCGTTCACAAGAATGCACGCCGATACTGACATGATTGCGTCGTCAANGCCTCGTCGACCGGCCTGTTGCTGAAGACTATGGGATTGAAGATATGTCTGACCTGTGTCTGCTGTTTGTTCTTGTGCTGACAAGAAGCACGTCTCTTCCATCAANNGATTGACCCCTATCTCAATGTCGATGCTGGTACCATGAACCCCAAGGAGTATGTCCTCTGTCCCCGTACTGCAATCGCGCAGTTCTGACGTCTTCAAGGNCATGGCGAAGTCTTCGTTCTCGACGATGGCGGTGAAGTCGACCTCGATCTCGGCAACTACGAGCGCTACCTCAACATCACCCTGACCCGCGAAAACAACATCACCACTGGCAAGATCTACCAGCACGTCATCGAGAAGGAGCGCAGAGGAGACTACCTGGGCCACACCGTCCAGGTCGTTCCTCACATTGTCGACGCCATCCAGGACTGGGTCGAGAGAGTGGCCAAGATCCCTGTCGACGACACAAATGAAGAGCCCGACGTGTGTATCATCGAATTGGGAGGCACAGTTGGCGACATTGAGAGCATGCCCTTTGTCGAGGCAATGACTCAGCTCCGCGCCCGTGCCGGAAGAGACAACTTCATGCAGATCCACGTCAGCTACGTGCCCATGGTTCACGGCGAACAAAAGACAAAGCCCACACAGATGGCCATCAAGGCTGTGCGCAGTGCCGGTCTGATTCCTGATCTGATTGCCTGCCGTTGCGAACACCCTCTCGACGCTGGCGCTCACCAGAAGATTGCGCGCTTTTGTCAGGTCCCTCTNCCCCAGGTTCTCGTTGTCCGCGACATGCCCACCACATACCAAGTCCCCATTCTCCTTCAAGAACAAGGTCTCCTGCAGAGCTTGAAGGACATTCTTCGCATCGATGCATTGACCATTTCTCCCGCTCTCGCAACCAAGGGTGCCGAAATCTGGGCCACCTGGAACAGCCTGGCAAACGGTTTGGCAACCGTCACCGATGTTGTCGAGATTGCGCTGGTTGGAAAATACCTCGAGTGTCCCGACAGCTATCTGAGTGTTGTCAAGAGCGTGGAGCACGCCGCCATGAGATGCAAGAAGAAGCTGAAGATTGTCTGGGTCGACGCCGAGCACCTCGAGCCTCAGTCCGAGCGTGCAAGCCCCGCTGCTTACCACAAGGCCTGGCACGATGTCTGCACCGCTTCTGGTATCCTGGTCCCTGGTGGTTTCGGTCAAAGAGGCACTGAAGGTATGATGAAGGCTGCCAAGTGGGCCCGCGAGAATGGCACACCCTACCTCGGAATTTGCCTCGGTATGCAAATTGCCGTCATCGAGTTTGCAAGAAACGTCTGCGACATTCCCGTTCCTGTCTCGACCAGCCAGGAATTCGATGCTCGTGACGAGGACCGCATCATTGTTTCCATGCCCGAGCACCACCCCGGACAGCTCGGTGGAACCATGAGACTTGGTCTCAGACCTACTCTCTGGCAGCCAGACTCAGAGTGGAGTCGCCTGCGTGCCCTCTACGCTTCCACCACTTCTGCCGACGGCCAATCCCAAATTCTGGAGCGCCACCGTCACAGATACGAAGTCAACCCCAACTACGTCTCTACTCTGGAGTCCAAGGGTCTGAACTTTATCGGCAAGGACGAGACTGGAGTTCGTCAAGAAATCATCGAGCTCAAGGATCACCCCTGGTTCGTTGGAGTCCAGTACCACCCCGAGTACCTCTCTCGTGTCCTCCACCCCAGCAAGCCCTACCTCGGATTCATTGCTGCTAGTGCGGGCATGCTCGACACAATCACTGCCGAGATTGTCAAGGAGAAGACGGCAAACACCTCGTTCTAGAGATAGAAGAATCACGACTATGAATGGTTGGATGCATCGAAAAGAAAACAAGATGGGGGATTTACACAATGCATTATCACGGCGTTTTGCAGGCGTCCATGTACGCAAGAGGATGGGATAGAAGATTCCTTGCAGTAGAGAGAGACAGGCCATACCACATTGAAATTGGTTCTGCGATGGTGTTATCAGTGGTGACGAAAATAAAATCAATTCTTTCAAGTCTTCTCCAAACTGTGCAACGACGTTCCACGCGGCCGAGACTGGAGTCACGATGTCCATCTCTATCCATTCCATTGATTGGTGCGTTTCCAAATCAGAGGCTTGCTGTTTTCAAAGATTCATTACGTGCAATATCCTATAGGGCGACAACAGTATTAACCTTCCAAACGACTCTTGAGACTGGCAACCTCTTTTGTCAGGCTCTCGATACGTTCGGCCTGTGCTGCCATGTCCTGAGCTTGTTGCACCAGCAGACCTCTAATTTCAGACAGAGCGCCCTTGATACCTTCAGCTGCTCCCTTCGCTGCGCCTGCAGCTGTAGTAGGAGGCTCCACACTGGCGGGTGTAGGCTTGGGGGTCTCGGCTACTGGCGACTTGATGTCGTTGGTCTTGGGCTCAGCGACGGGCTCAGGAGCCGGAGCAGATGTGGTGGTGGTCGTAGGAGTGTGGACTTGTGGGGGTGTGCGGACACCAGTCTTCTCCTCTTGCTTGGTGGCAATGGTTGAGGTGGGACGTTGTACAGGCTTGGGTACTTCATCAAACGCATCATTGGCATTGCCCCTCGATTGAGTTACTTCATCCTTATCGGCGAATCTATCAGCCATAGCAGACATGCTGGCTTGATTCTCCTGCATAGATCCTCTGTTGACGGGAGCAGGTGTGGGTTCAGACTTTGCAGGCGAGGCAGGAATATGGGTTGGAGCAGAAGAGGAGGACATTGAACCGGGAGCAGGAGTGTTCTTGACTTGAGTAGTAGAAGGGGCCTTTTCAGCAGGAATCTCGACCGGAGTCTCACCCTCGTACAGACTCTCAAGAGAAATCTTTGGTGGTAGGGCAGCTTCCTTGCCCGAGAACCAGTCCTCGCTAGACATGGAAGGCTTGCTACCAGTGGCGGGAGGGTAGATGTCGTTTTGGAAGACCTCTGCACGGCGAGGAACAATGAATGAGATGGGCTCAATCAAGTTCTCGTTGACAGTCTTGTAGGCACGCATGACCTCGTTCTGGTGCAAGTTGACACCACGCTTGGGCACGAAGGCAACACCGCGTTGAGGGTCGGCCGACTTGTACTCGGAGAGATACTCGAACTTGTCGTTCTCGTACTCATAGTAGCGAATGTTTCCATCACCTTTGCCAGCAAGGTACAGCATCTGAGTGCCGTCGTCCCAGAAGGGCATGCAGACACCACTGATGGAGTCAAGAATGGAGAAGCCACCAATGGGCTCTTTCGGGTTGCGCACATCCCACAGACCAAGTTGACGGTCGCTCATGCGCGAGAAGCCGGTCGTGGCCACACGGTCATGTTCGCCCATCCATACTGCTCTACTGTTCTTTGCGCCAGGGTGTCCCTGAACCTCGTGTGCCGGTCTTTCTTGTCTTACATCCCAAAAACGAATCTTCTTGTCGCGGCAGGTGGTTACAAGCATGCCGCCGTCGGCGGACCATGACAAGGACTGGACAATGTCATTGTGCTTGAGAGCAAGCCGAGGGTTGTTTGAGGCGAGATCCCACAACTTGACGGTGCAGTCGCCTGAAGAACTGGCCAGAACGTTTGCGGCAGAGGNGTTGAACAAGACATGGCCGACTTNTGCTGCTGTGGGTTAGTGTGGACCAGTTGGGGACGTGTGCGATGTAGCATACCGGGTATGGCCAGACAGCTTGTGCACGGGACTGACGTCGGTGGGCTCATCGGCGTCGGTGTGCAGAGTAAAGTCTTCGGGGACCTGCCAAACAAAGACNNCTGCGAGCACGAGGACGTCAGTGGGGCATTGACAATGCAGCAAGGCTTGAGTAAGTACCTTTCCGTCATCGGAACCAGAAGCAATGATCGAGTCGTCAAAGGGGTNTCCTGTCAAGGCGCGTCAGGAAGCTGTGGGATCAGAGTCGGAGGGTTGGAAAGCGCACCAGTCGGTGTCGAGGACAGCAGCCGTGTGGCCACGGAAAAGGGGCATGACATCGGGCAGCTTTCCACGCTCGTCGACAGGAATGACAGCAAAGGCGCCGCCACCGCTGGCCTCCCAATTGACCGAAAGGTACTTGGGGTTGGCCTTGATCAGGTTCGTGTCCCAAGCATTCTTAGAGATGCGGAGGTTGTCGTAGCATTGCTCCTGCTCAGCGAAGCGTCGTCAGAGGGAACACGGTGGATGGCGAGGGTGCGATGGGGATACCTTCTTGGTCGACTGCCCGAAGACGTGTCCTGGTCGGTGTTAGACATGTCGTGTGCTTGGGATGGACGCGTTGGGGCGCTTACGGTACTTTGACGCTCTAACGAAGCGGCCAGACATGGTGAATTGGACAGGCGTCTTCACCGGCTACAGAACAATACAGGGCGAGGACGACGAGGCTTGCGACTGAGAGTCCGTGAGGGTCGAAGTGATACGGTATGCGCACGGTACCCCCGGCCGAGGCGCTTCGCTCTCTGGTCCGACGACGCTCCGCCCTCTCGTCATTTCCGCTAAGACCTTCCGTCCAAGCCACATTTATCCAGCTTGCTTGTTGCTTCTCTCCAGACTCTAGAGCTCTCCACCAAGCGCCTAAGATAGCACATTCTTGACCAGTCGGTTGCAGATGTCTTTTGCCAAAAGCTGAGATCCTGCGTTCCAATGCACAGATCTCGCACCCAAGCAGCACTGCTCCATCTTGAGTCGTCCGGATTGCCCTATATCATCCATGGACCGTCAAGTTCAACATAGAGCGTAAATTATGATGACCTCGTCAGGGTATTCCGTTCTAGCCAGATAATCATCGCTGCTTCTTGAGTTCCCTCACCATGTCGGCCGAAGTGTAATTGACCTCTCAACGGAGTCGTGAATAGTGACCCATCCTCGTAGCTGAGGATCGCAAGCATGCTCAACGACAGGCTCATCCCGTGACAAGCATACGGAGCTAGCCCTTCTTGGCTCTGCTTCTCGCTGCATCGCTCCTTCTATGTCGATCGAATTTCTTGCTTTTGGCTCGAAGAGTGTTTCGTTTCAAACTTCTCGATGTACGACAAACGTCCTCTACTATACCATAGTGAACCGTTGGTACGTAGCTATACTATCATACAGTATCATAGGGGAATGGGGCGAGGGTCGTCTTGAAGACATGGTTTTCTCTCTGGCCGATTCACGATTGAGCATTCAAATTATAGGTCACTTGTAGCCGCGCGGCAATGCAAGAGGAGCGTGTGAGTGTGTTCAATGCTATAATGTGGGTATCTTGATGTGGACTAATGAGGTGAGATATTGCAAGCCTGTCCGACACCCTACTATATGAGCGCGGCACCCTTGAACATTCCATCGCGGACCTCCTTGACAATGTCTCTGCGGTCTCCTTTACCTACGAGGACAATACCACGGCCGCGTCTACCCATGCGACCGACACGTCCAAGGCGATGAATAAAGTCGATACTGGTGTGGGGTACATTGTACAAGATGACGTTGCGTACCATCAAGGTGTCGATACCACGAGAGCCGAGATCAGTCATGACGAGCACCTTTGTGTTGCTCAATTGTCTCTTGCCAGGTAGAGCACGAGGCGCTGATGGTCTGGTTTGGCTGGATTTCGAATCAACAATCGCGCCAGTGAATTCGGCGAGGACCTGTGCCTGCTTGCGTTCGTCAGAGTCACGGCTGAGCGCCATGGCATCGACACCTTTGCTCTGGAGATACAGCGACAGCTCGGAGCACTTTTCACGCTCGTTCACAAAGACGATCACCCTCTTGACGGTATCTTCACCTGCTTCACGACCGAGATTCCAGACGGTGTCTGCGCAAGCGAGGTCTCTGTTACCCTTGTACGGGTCCTTTTCGACATCTACGACGCTGAGCTGGACACGACGAGGAATGGCGTGCAGATTCGGAGTGGCAAGACGACGAATATCCGGAAAACGCTTGCGGAGGTAGGAATCCAGACTACGAGGAATGGTGGCGGAACAGAGCACTAGCTGCTTCAAGCTTGGAGTAGCACGATCGAGGATGCTGCCAGTGATGGGTGCAAAGGAGCGGTCAAGAAGTGAATCGGCCTCATCGATGACCAGATGTGTGACTCGCGAGAGCACGTTGGGATCGTTCTCACTAATGCTCGCGAGCAGGTGTGGGGTTGAAACGAGGAGATCGACGCCTGAAGGTGAGAACAGACGATTGCGAATAACGGTACCGGTAAAGTTGGCAGAGATGAGAGCTGCACGGAACTTGGTCGTGTGGGATAAGGACTTGGCCAGGGCACCGACTTGCTGCACTAGCTCTGCGGTAGGAACCAAGATGATGGCACGTGGGCGGCCGGTAGTTGGATGAGGCTCGTTTGATAGCGGTGGTGATTCGAGTTCAAACATGTTCTTGCGCGCAGCTGCCTCCTTCTCCACCTGAGCATCTTGTTCGGCCTGAGTAATCTCGGCGCGCTTCAGAGCATCGATGACTGGTAGGAGGTAGGCCAGAGTTTTGCCAGATCCAGTCTCTGCAGCCAGTAGGTACTGCTGCATCGACTGAGCATCTTTGGATCTCTTGCCATTGGTCCCGAGCAAAGCAGGAATCGCAAGACGTTGAATTGGGGTAGGGGAAGTATCATCCAAACCATTCAGTACCTGAGTTGAAATGGATTGGTGGACGGTAGGTAATAGACCAAACTCGTTGAAAGATTCGGTATCGGCTATGCTTTGCTTGACGGCAGAACGATGACTGTAGGATACTTGACTGAGAGCGCGCTGCATCTTCAAGGCTTTGAACGAGTCCTTGTCCTTCTCATCCTTTGGCTTGTACTTTTCTGGAGCATTTCGCGTGGCCCTCTTTTGTTCGGCCGTCGATGGACGTTGACGAGGCGCATTGCGAAAGTCTGCATGTGTGACGTTCATGCCACCGAAAGGGCTATTCGTACGTCTTCTCGGAGGTTTGGCATCTGGGAGGGCGACCTTGGGCGACAGATCCATTCGATTTGGTCGAGGTTTTTGCATAGTAGCCATGTGGCGCGTGGAGCGCATAGCAAAGACTGGCCGCGCCATCGAGGCAGCAGCCTCGCAGAAGGGACATAGAGACGGGCGCATCCTAGAGGAGAGCATGTGTACGTCCGCGACAGCGACAGTGATGGCGACAGTGACGGATGACGAATATGGCGGCAGTGCGACAAGCGGATGGACAGACCTACTCCGACAATCTGACAAAAATAGTCCAATCCCGGTTCGGTTTCAAGCGGCAGTTTCAGCGTATCGATTAGGTACCTGGATACATTTGAATAGAGAACGTAGGGCTAGGGCGCACGATGCTTGTGTCGAACCTTGTGGATGTATTTACTGTCCGTATATATCGTGAGACCTGGACAAAACTCCGATTGGACCGATACCAGAAGTCTAGCAGTCCATTGGTTAGAGCGATATCAAGATATCTGCTTGCCTACTAGAGAAAGGTGAATTGGACAATCAATCACATCGTGAGGTCATGCGACTTGTGCAGTAACTCGAGTGAAGTGATGCGATACGCATACGACCCCACACCAGACCACCAAAATATCGGCTTGGCGTGGCTCACCAGGATCCCGTATCCTTATGGAGCTGAGAGCCCAAGTTGCCCGTTCTATATCTAGTCTGCCACTCTGCCGCCGTTGTCATATCAACTAACTCGGGCGGGATTCAAGGAAAACAAGCGACTCCGCTGTTGCTGTTTTGTTGGTATATTGAGCTCGCAGCGCCAATCACTCTGTTCAATCACCTTTACTTTTTTGTTCTGTGGCTCGAGTTTTGCTTTCTTGCCTTTGCAAAAGCGTCACTATATCTACATCTATCATTGGTTTTAGTCCATCGCGCTCCCTGGACGGACAAGCGCACATTCCTCATCAACAATGGCCACCGAAGAGGTAATATGGTGTGGATCGTCACCTCTCACATGCGCTGACGTTCGCCCTAGGTGCAGCCGCTCAAGATAGTCAAATCCAACTCGACCGCTTCGTCGATTGGCTCGCCCACCAAGATGTCACGTCCACTATCAGAAATTGGCTCGACAGAGCGGAGGAGGAATTCACCCAGTTACAACCAGGCCACCAAGGTAAGTTGACCACCGCGCATGCTTACCAAACCTAGCACCAGCTAACCATCCGCATCANNGAAGATGGTCACCAGCAAGGATTCGTCGCCCTTTGATTCATCACCGCTGCAACAACAGCGCTCGCCGCGCATGTTCTGGGAGGACCGCGCTTCGCCCTCGCGCTTTGGTTCCGAGAACAGTCCTGAGCGTCCCGAGCGCTCTGCTTCTCCTACTGGAACATCCTCACACCGTCGCTCATCCATTGAGAACCTCAAAAAGGCGTCACGCGTAAAGAACAGCACCATGTATGCCCGCGAAACAAAGCACAACTACGATCCTTCAAGCTCTCCTGTCATCGAGCGTCCTCTAAGCAACCGCGGCTGGGGCGGCAACTTTCAAAACAACGTATTCACACGCTTCGACAGTCTCCGCAAGGAAAACAGCCCTCTCAAATCTCCCACCGANGGGGATCTGAGTCCTTCCAAGATTCCATGTCCTTCAGCCGGCCCCTCTGTTGTGACATCCAATCCCAACTCTCCCCGCCGGGAGACACCTTCGCCAACCAAGTCTTCTCTCACATACAACAGCCGTTTTGCTGCGTCTTTCGAGTCCGACCAAAGTCACTGGCCTGAGGACCAAGACGATGCTAGAGTCGCTACTCCCCGTGCGCAGCCGCGTCATGCGAAAAGCGTCACATTCGAGACGGCACCTCCTGAGATCAACGAATACGAACAGCAAACACCAGAACCATCTTCCGTCGCATCGGGTTCACGAGAGGGCAGCTACGATTCCGATGACTACGAAGATAACAGCTTTGAACGTGCCTCCTCTGTCGACGAAGACAGTTTCGATGCCTCACTCGAGGACACAGACAAGACTCCAGTGGTTCTTCCCGAAGATTGGAGGCATATGAGCCCTGATGTTGCTCGTAGCCATCTTGCCATCGACTACGACGACGTTTTCGATGATGACGATGAACACATCGAGAGACAAGCTTCGAATTCGACCAACGAGCAACGTCCTTCTTCCAGCCGCTCCGAATCTGCCAACTCGGATGCCGAAGCAAGACCTCTGCCTCCACTTCCTGGAGTCCCCTCTTTTAGAAGAGAGCGTGTTGACTCTGGTAGTCTTGCTGCTGCTGCAGAACGCGCAAGTAGTATTCAGCGTTCCCTGCCTTCTCCACCCCGTCCTGCTTCAGTCTCAAAAGATGAGATTCTTCGTATGAGGGAGGCCAACATGTCTATGGAAGACAGAATGAATCTCCTCAAACTGCAAACATCTCTGTCTGATGTACAAAAGTCACAAGACACAGAAGAACATGCGGAAGGAGACGTCAAGTCTACCCACGAAGACGCTGCCCCGACTCCAGAGCATTCAGATGTCGAAGACGATGATTTGGCCGGCTTTGACTTTGCACCAAGCATCTCGCGCGAGTCCATCCTGCGTAACGTCAAGTCACAAAAGTATGACCAATTCGATGCCGATTTGCAAGAGGAATCCATGGTCTCGTTCGCCGATAGAGACTATCGCGAACTCGCCAACCTCGATCCTGATGTTCCAATTCCCTCCCGCGAAACATCAACCCAATTTGACGCCGAAATTGGTGCTGACATCAAGGAAGAGGCTGAAAATAGCTACCTCGACCTCAGTGCTGTTCCATCTTTCCACACTGAGCTCGATGAAACCAGAGCAGATGAATACGACAGACAGTCTGTTATTCACCATGCTGACTATGACGAAGGCTCTCAGGTCGAGGACGACGAAAGTCGCTACTCATCNCCCATGTCGGTCCTGATCAACGAACAACCAGAAGAGCCTCAACACATGCCTTGTCAAGATGATCAGGAATCACCCATGGAAGACGAAGCATTCGCGACTCCGCTTGGTAACCCACAATCCACAGAAGAGTCGAGTAGTATGGGTCTTCCCCTAAGCTTCTTGGGTAATGATGACTTTGACTTCGGTCTAAAGGACTACATCACTCCTACACCACCTTCCTCATCCGGCACACAGGAAGAAAGCAANAAGTCTATACTCGAACCCCCCGTGGTGTTACAGCCTAGCTTCACCACCGAAGCCCAATACGAACGACAGAGCTCAGTCGAGTCTGATCACACTATTGGACATGAGTCATTTGGTTCTGTCATTCATGGTTCGATGATTGACATGTCTCCTCCTCCCGAAGAAACACCCATCATTCCCGAGCGTAAAGCCACCATCAAGACTCAGGGAAAGCTCAAAGCTCGACCCTCTGGAACACCTGCCGACCTAGAAGCCATGAGAGCTCAACGTCGACATGTGAGCCAGGAAGTGCCTCCGATTCCTGACCAGTACCGCTCCGAGACGTCGGCTCAAGCAGATGAGCAAACCTCTTCTGACGAGGAAGAAGATGAAGAATCACACAGCTCAGAGTCGCTCGCTGAGCCGGAGATGGCTGGCCAAGAATACCAACAGCTCGCGACAAATGACGAGCAGGGCATTGAGAGGTCCCTCCAGAGCGACACGAGTCTTGAAAAGGATGGTCAGCACGAAGACGAAGCTACATCCGACATTCTCCCCGAACAGCGTCGACAAAGCCGCAACATGAAACTCGACCTTGACTTCAAGCTTGATTCTTTCGACGACGACGATATGGGTCTCGGGATGGATGCCGAGTTTGACCGCGTGATTGAGTCTCANAAAGGTATGAATCGATAGACCCACCAACCTCTCGTACACATGCTAACTATTATACAGAAGGGATATCTCATGCGTCAAAACACCAAGGTCATTGTCGCTAGCAACAGAAACTTTAGCGATGAGAGTCAACGTCCGCTCTCTCCCAATGGCCAGGCCAACCCCTCAACTTCTGGCAAGAGCAAGCGCACCCCGCGCAAGTCAAGCGCTGGTGAGAAGTACTTGACGACTGAACCATGGAACGGCAAGACTAGACGTAAAAGTTCCAGGAGATCCTCTGGCAGGAAATCCAACGTTGGCGGGCCGGCCCCTCCCTTGCCTGGTCACGAAAGCTCTCTCGGAAAGGTTGATGAATACCTCACTACCGACGAGACTAATGATGGTGAGGAGAGAGGACGACTTTTTGTCAAGGTCGTTGGTGTAAAGGAACTCGACCTACCACTGCCACGCAGTAAGTGCCTCTTTGATGTCTTCCCAAATCGAACTAACATGATTTTGCANGACGATCGTCTCTTCTTCCAACTCACCCTGGACAATGGCTTGCATTGCGTGACTACTGCTGATCTTCAGCTTGGAACAGCCGCCGCAATCGGCCAGGAATTCGAGCTCGTTGTTCTTCAGGACCTCGAGTTTCAACTAACTCTGACTACAAAGCTGCCGGCCCCTGCACCCAAGCCCCAAATGTCGATCCCCGTTCCAGTGTCCCCCACAAAGCCCATCAAGTCGTCAACATCAAGATTCTCTCGCCTCCTCACCTCTCCCAAGAAGAGAGCGGAGCGTGAGAGAAAGGAGAGAGAAGAGGCTGCCGAGATTGAACGTCGTCAACAAGAAGAGATGCAACGCAAGCGCGCCTCTGTCAAGCCCACGTCTTGGGATATGCTGCGCGAAGTTGTTGATGCCAAATCTGGTTCATTTGCTCGCGCTTATGTCTCCTTGAAGTCTCACGAGTCTCAGTGTTTCGGACGACAGCTCACCGTCGACATGCCTTGCTTCAACGAGTGGGCAATCGAAAAGGATGCCGATGTTGTCAGCAGTGTGCGCAGCAAGCGCAACAATGGCAATCCTGGCTTCGGTGGCAGAGATGGTACCATCAGGCGTCCACCCTACGCAGTGGGCAAGCTTGAGTTGCAGCTCATGTACATTCCAAAGCCCAAGGGCGCTGGTGACGAGCACATGCCCAAGAGCATGAGTTCAGCTGTCAGAGAAATGAAGGCGGCCGAACAAGTCAAGGAGTCCTCGTGGGAAGGCTGCTTGAGTCAGCAAGGCGGTGACTGTCCGTACTGGCGCCGTCGCTTCTTCCGTCTTCAGGGGACAAAGCTCACAGCTTATCACGAGCACACTCGTCAGCCTAGAGCGACTATCAATCTCTCAAAGGCTACAAGGTTGATTGACGACCAGAAATCACTTCTCGCCGATCCGACATCAGGCCACCCGACCAAAGGAAGACGCAAGTCTGCCTTTGCCGAAGAAGATGATGGCTATCAGTTTGTCGAGGAAGGTTTCAGAATGAGATTTGCCAATGGCGAGACCATCGACTTCTACGCCGACACCGCCGCAGACAAGGACGCGTGGATGAAGGCACTTGGCTCATGCATAGGGAAACCTTCGACAAGCAGCACGGCCAAATGGACCGATGTGGTGTTGACCAAGGAACGATCAGATGCAAAAGCAACAAAGGCACAACAGAACTCGGAAGACTCCAGTCGACCAGGACCAGATGCTCATGACACCAAAGCCGGTGCACCCAAGCTCAAGCGAACAATGTCACAACAGGATTCTGTGCGCGGTGAGACACCGCCCACCAGCAGTCCACGCCCCGGGCACCGTGACAGACATCAGGTCAAGAGCATGATCTTCTAGAGGGGTCAGACAGAACCGACCTCTTTTCTTTTTCCTCTTACCTCTTTCACCTTTCTTGTTCCCTATTTTCCATTTCTCTTGTCTTTTGCTTCTCTTCTGTGGACAAAACCAGCATGGCATAGCCGTTGCCCTTTTTCTTCTTTCGTTTTATTTATTTTCTTTGTTGCGTATCGAGAAGGGCTTTGGAGATTCGGAGTTCACGATCGTAATGAACACAATGCATGTGCTACTACTACAGACACTTTTTCAATTAAATTGTTTCTTCTTCTCTTTGGAGTCCTTTTGGTTTTATGAATATATGAAGTGTGGTTGTTCGTAAAGTCAGATCATGTTTCTATCTTGGTCACAATTCGGGTAATCGCAGTCTCTTTGACTCTGTCGAAATATCACCTCTTGTGGACACAAATGATAGATATTTGGCTCTTTGCCTGACTTGAAGGACTGTAACATGAAGAAATGGTGATTCCAGATATACTAGCAGGCGGAAGGAGGATACAAACTTATGTGCTGTATACAAGGCCAGGGTTGTCACCCAGACAAGACTATGGACTACACAATACCCACCGCCATCTTTTCATTGATTCGAAACACGCACGATGAGTGTTGAACAGAAAACAACCGATTCTTCGAGCAGATACAATTCACGTATTGAGCAGGTGGCTCTCATTGAGATCATCCCTTCTCAAAATCCATCCCTGAAGCTCACAATTCCATGTCACATATCAACAAACGTACACCTTTCATATCCTCCTTGTCAGGCCTAGAAAATAGTGAGACTCAGAACAACTCTTTGTTCATACATAGACAAGAAAAATGGTAGATGCGTGACCCTGCTCAAAAAGGATCAAGAAAGCCGCCTGGTCACGCGGGTATCTCAAAAGACAGGAAACTGGTATGACAAGAAATAAAAAGAACGCCGTTGAAAACCCCCATGCAAAATGCTTTTTGCTTACAAGAATAGACGCCATGCTGTAAAGTCCAAATGATGCGCAATTCGATCGGCAAGGTTTAGAAACTAGAGTCGTGTTAGCAAGATATCAGGGTTTTTGGGAGATGTAAGGACTTACCGTATCTCATAACTGCCCGCCCGTGTCATATACCGCACCCACTTGACACTGCTGTACTGACTCTTTTCAAAGACCTTGAGGTATCTGACCAACAAGCCTGAGCTCGTAAACATGAGCAGTGAGAAGTTCAGGCTCAAGGGTGGTCTACTCCAGGCTTTTTGGTTGGTCATGGAGGTAAGTTGAGCTTCAGCGCTGAGCACGTATTCGGAGCCACCAGTGAAGCGCGCAATCTTCCAAACGATGTTGTTGTGTTCGGGCTCGTATTTGGCCTTGCCCTGAGAAGTTCTTTCGGTGATGGAAGCAGTGTTGAGAGGAGTTGGGATGCGGATGACGACGTTTGTGGCGAAGAGCTTTGCGCCATAGTTTGCTTTGATGGCAATGCTGTACTCGACCTTTGTCTTTCCAATCTCGTTGACAATGGCATGAACCTTGAAGGGTAGGTTGATGTTCTCGGTAGCACGGTATCGCATCAGCTCGAAGCTACCGTCGGNGGGAATAAAGGAGATGGTCCTGTCGGTGTCGAATTTACCCAGACGCACGCACTGATGGAATTGACAATCCTCGAGGGTGACACTACCGGCGGCAGCCTTTGTAGCCTTTGTACCAGCCATGTTTCCAGAAGGTGAGGCCAGGGCTTCCTCGCCCAGGGTGAGGCGGTCGTTGAGGCCAAACTTGCATTCAGGGGTACCAGAGAGGTAGGCGCGCATTTCAATCTGGCCATTGACGTCGGCACGCAAGACTGTTCCGTTGGCGGACATGAGAAGGTTGACATCTTCGATAACGTCGACGAAGGCTTCGTTCTTGCGGTATTTGATGTTGTCTCGTCGCCAGGACATGGCACCGGTAGCTTGCATGGTGATCTTGGACGAGTCCTCNNCTGTTGAAGTGTAAGCGATTGAAGTTACAGATGGCGAGCTAGATGGGCGTACTACGAGGTTTCTCTCGGACTTGACACCTTCGGTGGTAATGTACATCTTGAGAGTGTCGGTATCGGTATTTTGAGGATAGCCAAAGTCGAGGATTTNCTGGACATGTGGTGAGCAGACTGTCGGAGTGTAAAGAGCGAGTTGGGACGGACCATCGAGCAATTCATAGATCAGGACAAAGTTGTTCTTAACAGCCTCCTCGTCGAACTTGGCGAAATAGGAGCGGCCCAGCTGAATTAAGCGATAGAGGAACTCAAAGACCAGGGCAGCATTGGCATTGCCCTTTGTGACGGCGACAATGAAGATGTTCTCGTGCTTGACATGGCTGAAGGTGGTGGAACCGAGAGTCAAGATAGGCGAGCGGACTAGAGGGTTCGAGATGACCTGGATACGGAAGACATCGGCGAGACGCGGGCGACAGTCATTGCGGAAGGCACGAAAGATGAGGTTCTCGCCCTTTTGGTTGAAGACGAGGATGCCCGAAATCATGGCGACTTGGTTGGTATATGCTATGTAACAAGCTACTGTATAAGGTGGTCGAGGGGTCTGGCAGCGGAGGTCGGCTTGGCACGGACGCAACCAGGCACGTCAGTCAGCTACAGAACGAAACGACATTCATCCACCACTCTCTAGTAAAAGCCCTTCTCGCAATACCGCCTCTTGCGCTCAGACAACAGACGCGAATCTTAGCCTCTCAAGTCGCTTGACCCATCCGGACGTCCCCCAAACCACGCTCTTCACACAACCGCGAACCGCCGCCTCGACGACTGCACGCCTCAACCCACCATGAAGCCCGTCGTATCCGCCTTCAATGCCTGGACATGGTGCGCCTGCCTGTTGCCCACTTCCCTGGACGCCCGCTAACATAGCGACAGTGTTGTCATCTCCATCTTCGCCATCGTCATCCTCTCCGTCATTGGTGCTCTCTTCAAGACAAACAACCACTCCATGATGGGCTCCGAGGAAGACCCCACTGATGGCGCTGCTGTCGCTGCTTCAGTCTTTGGTGCCGTTGCCATCTACGGCGTATGTCACTGCCTCAATCTTACAACCATCTCACTACTCATGCTAACCTAACCTCAGGCCTTCCTCGTCTTTTGCGCCGGCCAAGCATATTTGCACCAACGAGACAGATCAAGAGGTGCCATCGCCTTGTCGTAATCCACTTCTGAAACAAACTCCAACAAAGCTACAAACAACTTCGATAATCTGACCCTCGTTTTTCGACATCACGACCATCACCACCACTTTTGCTTTTTCGGCGCGGCGTTATCCCTTTCTTTCAAGGTCCGGCTTGTTATAGACATTTTCAATTGGGCGGCAATCGGGCGCATCACCCTTGTGTATACCTATCATCTATCTCTTGCAAATCTGCAGCTTTCGTCAAGTTCGATCTTGTCCCGTAAACGCCGCCATCCATGTTGATATCCGTCAAATGCATCATAACTCCAACAACCATCAGATATTAACATCAGAAACCATCGTCACTCTCCTCATCATCCTTGGGCTTCAGCCATTTGCTCATGTACGGTCCATCGAGCCAATACCCAAGTTTGGCGTAGTAGCTGCGTACTCCCACACCAGAGATGATGCTGAGCTTCTCACTGCCATGTTCGTCACGCGCGATTCTCTCAGCCTCTTCCATCAACAGTGTACCGTAACCTTGATGTTGGAACTTTCTGGGATCGCGTCCATGAACGGGCACCGCCGAGCCGTAAACGTGTAGCTCACGCACCAGACTTGTTGGCTGCCCAGTGAGCTCTGGACGGAAAGTGTGCGTTGAGCTGCACTTGCGTAGACGCAATAACCCAATCAGAATATCTTGCTTTGGGTCCTCGTAAGCCAGGAACGTCTCCCATCCACCATTTGCTGTATAGTCTCGGCGGACCAGTTCGACCTGCGAGGGTCGGATCTTGTTCTTGACTTCGTTGATACCAACCTCTCGTGTACGGACATCGCGACATGTCGTGCCAAAGTCCTTCATACGAGACAAGGCTAGCTCACGCAGGTTACCGTTCTCGACACCTGATGTAACAAGAGGCATGGGAATATCACGCTGGACACGATAGATACGGGTCCATGGCGGTACCAGGGCCAGGATGCGAGCAACCAGATCAATCAGCGCATTGGGCGTGTAGTTCTTGTAGCGGCCTGTTCTCCACAGCTCGTACAATCCAGTTCCTCGAATGACCAATGTCGGGTAGATCTTAAGACCATCGGTTCTGAATGCAGGGTTCTCGAAGTACTCTCTGAATTGATCCAGATCCCTTTCCATGCCAACATTGGGCAAATCAGGCATCATGTGACTCACGACCTTGAAGCCTGCATCCTTGGCCAACTTGAAAGTCTCTGCGACTGCTGCAACAGTGTGGCCTCTGTTGGTGTCACGCGCGACATCCTCGTACAACGACTGGACACCAATCTCTAGACGAGTACATCCATAACGCAGCATATCGCTCAAATGCTGATCCAAACAGTAGTCAGGTCTCGTCTCAATAGTGATACCAACACACTTCGTGCTGCTCATCTCGCCAGCCAAGACAGCCTCGTCGACGTTGGTCGCCTGGAAACCACTGAGGGCGTTGTGTAGTTGAGAGATGAACTCTTCTCTGTAGCTGACAGGCAGCGACATGAAGGTACCACCCATGATGATGTATTCAACCTTGTCGACCGAGTGACCCAAAGACTTGATCTGATCTACTCTTCCTCTTGCCTGCTCGAATGGATCGTATCTCGCGCGGATGGCACGCATCGAAGTAGGCTCGTATCCGGTATAGGATTGAGTCGAGTACTCAAAATCAGAATCAGGACCTCCAGGACAGTAGACGCAAATGTTTCCAGTGTATGAGATGTGCGGACATCTGTGGGGCTTGCACATGACGGCAACAACGGCAATACCAGAAGCACTTCGGATGGGCTTTGCGATCAAGCGAGGCAGGATGTACTTCTTGTAGTGTTCGGGCACGGCATTGATGATGGCGGTAAGAGGCGGAGTGTTGCTGAGGAAGTGTTTCTTCGCGATATTGTTGCGCAAGGTATTGAGGTTGAGGTCTTTCTTGGGCTTCTTGCCATCGACCTGACTCTCATAATCCTCGACCAATGCCAGTGCTACATCTGCACATGCGCGGATGTACCTCTCATTCTCAGGAGCGAGCTTGACACCTTTGGGTACCTTGGAATGCTTGGGTTTGGTATCGTTTGCCGTCATGGTCATGGTTGCCATGTTGGACTATAGCTTCTGCGAGCCTGCAGTAGTGAGGATTGTGATGCGGCGAGTACTTTTGTTGAAGAATTCTATGGATCGATCGCGGGGTTCGGTTTTATCGAAATGTTGTATGTACGAGAAAAGCACTATGACAAGTGTCTCAGTGTGGTCGAGATGGATGGCTGGTTGGCGACAAAAAGTTCAAAAGTTCGTGAATTCCCCGCAAGTGGCAGCGGCGAGTCGTGCATACAGAGGGCAGGTGCAGGCTCGGCGGGCTGGATTGCACTTGCCTCGGCGGGTGATTGTCGGCGTACGGGCGTTTGAGGGTTGCTGCGGCTTTGTTCGCTCTTCGCAAACTCGGGAAACAGCTGGAGCAAGAAGTTATTATTGTTTCGACAACCACCTTCCTCACCACCCACCACCGCCTCTCTTTCCCTCGACAATGCAGAGCTACATCAGAAAGCCCCTGGGCTCCGCTCTGCGCGTTGCCTCGCGCCCCTACAGCAGCTCCTCGTACCTGACCACCAACACCAACCTCCGTATCAACGACCAGACCAAGGTCATCTTCCAGGGCTTCACCGGCAAGCAGGGAACCTTCCACGCCCAGCAGGCCATTGAGTACGGCACCCAAGTAGTCGGTGGCACCAACCCCAAGAAGGCCGGAGAGACACACCTGGGCAAGCCCGTCTTCGCAACCGTCGCCGACGCTGTCAAGGAGACTGGCGCTACCGCTTCCGCCATCTTCGTNCCCCCTCCCGTCGCCGCCAAGGGTATCGAGGAGGCCATCGAGGCCGAGATCCCTCTCGTTGTCTGTATCACCGAGGGTATTCCCCAGCACGACATGGTCCGCATCACCGACATCCTCAAGACCCAGAGCAAGACCAGACTCGTCGGTCCCAACTGCCCCGGTATCATCGCTCCGGTATGATAAAACAAAGACCAAATCCTGGGCCACTACATCTCTGACCACCCTACANNGGGCCAATGCAAGATTGGTATCATGCCTGGCTTCATCCACAAGCGCGGTCGCATTGGTATCGTCTCCCGTTCCGGTACCCTCACCTACGAGGCCGTCAACCAGACCACCCAGACCGGTCTCGGTCAATCTCTCGTCGTCGGTATCGGTGGTGACCCCTTCTCTGGTACCAACTTCATCGACTGCCTCAAGGTCTTCCTCGAGGATGGCGAGACTGACGGTATCATCATGATCGGTGAGATTGGTGGTTCTGCCGAGGAGGATGCTGCAGACTTCCTCAAGCAGTACAACACTGCCAACAAGCCCGTTGTCTCCTTCATCGCTGGTATCTCTGCTCCTCCCGGCAGACGTATGGGTCACGCTGGTGAGTACACCCGACATTCCTTATTTGACCTAACATTTCTGACGATCCAAACAGGTGCCATTGTCAGCGGTGGCAAGGGTGGTGCCGACTCCAAGATCTCGGCCCTCGAGGCTGCTGGCGTCATTGTCGAGCGCAGCCCTGCTTCGCTCGGTAAGACCATGCACGCAGAGTTCGTCAAGCGCGACATGATCTAAATCCGTGCTTCCACTCTGTAATACCCACTTGATGTTTTAGTAGACCACCGGGACATGGTCTGGGGATTTTGAGGGAAAGAGAGAGAAAAGACCCATTGTGTATAAGCCGGCGCAACTCCAGTACCCCCTCTTAGAAACCCTTTTTTGTTCTAGTTTTCTTATATTTTTTTCCCGATTTTCTTCGTCATGCGCGCATGGGTTCGCCAGGCTCTTTATCTGTTCGGGTAGTTCTTTCTGATCAAATCTACTTGCGACAGTTCCTTGGGATTCGGCATTGGATTGGTTGTTCGAGCGCAACGTGAAAATTCAGATGTGGTCTATCTATGTCTATTCTGAAACGAATCTGCTGATCATGATTGCCATCATCAGACCTTTTACAAAGCGAGACCCGTGTTCCACCATCGGTCTCCTTTATGCCACCATACGATACCTCCCCACCAGCACCAAAATCCGTCGCCTTTTCCACCCAAGCCTAGCCCTCTGGAGCGGACTGACAGGTAGCGGTTCGAATAACCAAATACCACCACGTGCAAAGTCGTCGCATAGCAGCGGCGCGGTGTAGTAGAACCATACATGTACGTAGACAAAATTGGCTGTACGTTGCAGCCACTTGGGCGATCGCTGCACCACACCAACCCGACGCAAGAATGAGATGAGTGCTAGCTGAGCACTAATACCTCCAATCTGCGAGACAAAGAACAAGAAAGGACCGGAGAGCGGATATGTGTGTCCAAGCTGCGTGTAGCTGCCACAAGCGTGCAACATACCCGACAATACGAATGCGACTGTCAGGCCCAAGAACTTTCCAGTGGCCGACTTTGGGTTGATTTTCAAGAGCTCCATCAATTTTGATGATGGAGCTTCGAAAGCGTAACGGAAGGATTGATGCCACCAGCCGCCCCACCAACCAGCAAGACCTTTGTCGAGTACGTTGCTGAATGAGCCAAAGCTATCGGGATACATCCAAGGCTCGCCTCGCACACCAATGTAACGAGGACCAATTATGCCGACGAAGAAGAGAGGGCCAAGTGCAAAGATGGCCTGCAATGCTGTATACACCGCAGTCAAGCTGAGTAGCAGACGAGCACTACGCACCGTGACAGGAGAAGCCCGAAGAGATGCTGGCAAGTAATTCGGTGTCGCCGAGACGTTACCATCCCAGAAATAAGCATCGTGTGAGATCAAGGTCTTGAGTATATCGAGGATTATAACGTCGCGACAGACGATCCAAAGGTTGGCTTTGAGTAGAGAGGACTTGTCATGGTAGCGGTGGACGCCAGTACGACTGACCAGAGTTTTCTTCTCGTCCTCTTCTGGTGGCAGCGCACCCAGATTGCCAGCGAGCTGTGCTTGCGCCCACAGTGGCGGCGAGGGCAATCCAGAGATACGCCAGTTCCATCCCATGCCTCTGAAATTGGAGAAAATATCCGCGACCCAGTCGAGACGCTCCATAAACGGAGCCGAGGGATAGCCCTGCCAGGCAAGCGTACCATTTCTTTGAGCTGGTGATTGTGTTGTGCCAACTTTGCTGGTACGGTTGTGCAAAGTTGAGCCATTTTGATGAGCACTTCCACTTGCCTGGCCGTTCGACTCTGCAGTCTGTGGGGGTGCAGACGCATAAACCATATCCAGACGTGATTCCTTTCTCTCAATTCTCGAAAAGTCCTGCTGCACATCTTTTACGACCAGCATCATGAAACACCACAATATCGACCAGGCAGAAATCAGACCAACACCGAACGCGGCGGCTGGGTTGCGTGCTCGGAAACTTTTGATATTCCAGATCGCAAAGATGGTGATGAACGCCCATGCTGCAAAACGAGCTTTGCGTAGCCATGGCCGTGATCGATGATCCAGAAGAAGGTAGAGGATGACTACGGTGGCGCCCAGAGTTCCGAAAGGATAGGTGAAAGGGTGGTAATCTCCAGATGCCAGTAGACTGCCATACTGTCCATTGAGACGGTCTATGATGTCGTAGTGCGTGACCGGGACGAATGCTTCTTTGAGATACATGCCTTGACTCGGGTCAGGATATATGCACCTGATGATGTCTTCAAGGAAAGATCCCTAGTACTGGCCCGAGAGCTGGACGAGTTTCCTCGCAGATATCGAATCTATCGGTGGAAGCGTAGATTGGAGAGATGAGATGGATTGTTCAAGAAACGCATCTTACACGACATCACATCCCATCGACGACTCATCCAGTCTAACCTGTTACAGTATTTGGAAAACAAGATCGCGCGTGTCACTGTTTTTGGCAGAGTCTCGATGACGTTCGACGTTCAGATGGTCTGTGCTTGCGGGCGGGACTGAGCCTCTCTCGTTGGTGGCTGGACTGCGGTGGAGAACGTCTGCCAAAGAATTCACGAGCTTGTGTGCAGTTTGTATTCGAACGGCGACGATTACCACCTTGTGCATATTAACATCTTGATATACTGTCCGAGGAGAGCAGAAGCTTCCACTAGCCGCAAATATGGTGAACATCACGGAAAAGATCAAGGAGTGCGTTCTCTTAGGAAGAAAAACAATTGCGATGGCATGAGACTAATTCTTTTTCTAGGATTGAGGCCGAAATGGCCAGGACGCAGAGTATGTATAATCGTCTAGCACGAATTAAACAGATGGCTAATATGCACTGCAGAAAACAAAGCAACAGGTGCGGACTGGACATCTACTCCAAGAATGTTGAAATTTGGCACTAACAACCCAATCAGAATATCACTTGGGTCTTCTTAAAGGGTTAGTACAAGCATACTTTGAGAAAGAAAAAACCTGCTGACTGTTTCCAAGAAAGCTCGCTCGTCTGAGGGCACAACTTCTGGAACCTGGCCCAGGTGCAGGTGGCCCTGGCGGAGAAGGGTTCGATGTCACGAAGAGTGGTGATGCTCGTATTGCACTTGTTGGTTTCCCTTCGTAAGTCATACTGAGACTGTTTTCGGAGTTTCTCGCTGATGTTTTGTTGTAAGGNGTCGGTAAATCAACGTTCATGGGAAAGATCACAAAAACAAAGTCCATAGTCGCGGCATATGCCTTCACCACACTCACCGCCATACCTGGTGTGCTCGAGTACGGAGGCGCTGAAATCCAGATTCTCGATCTTCCAGGTATCATCGAGGGTGCAGCAGAAGGCAAGGGTCGTGGAAGACAGGTTATCAGTGCCGCNAAAGGTAATGTCCGCACCTTCGCTTCTGCTCGATTCTCTTACTGACTTCTGTAGACCAGCGACATGATCTTGATGGTCTTGGACGCAACGAAAAGAGCCGAACAAAGAGCTCTTCTAGAAGCCGAGTTGGAGGCCGTCGGCATCAGGTTGAACAAACAGCCCCGTGAGTACCCACGCTGTGTCGAAACCGCTTCAACATGCTGAAGATGAAACAGGAATATCTACTTGAAGCCGAAGAAGGCTGGTGGCATGAAGATCACCTTCCAAACCCCTCCTAAGAACGGCCTCGACGAGAAAATGTTGTATAACATTCTCCGTGACTACAAGATCTTGAATTGCGAAGTGCTTGTCCGTGACGAGAATGGTATGTGTAGGCATGTATCGATGTTTGGATTTTCGCGCTAACATTGCTANGTCACCGTTGATGACTTTATCGATGTGATCATGAAGGACCACCGCACATACATCAACTGGTAAGTCTTCTGTTATTCCTGAAATATGAGCTTTCACTGACGTCCGNNCAAAAGCCTTTATGTATATAACAAGGTCGATGCCATCGGTCTCGATCACATGGACATGCTAGCAAGAGAACCCAACACCGTCATCATGAGCTGCGAGCTCGATCTCGGCGTCAGAGATGTAGTAGATCGATGCTGGGAAGAACTCGGCTTGATCCGTATCTACACCAAGAGGTAAGTCCCCCCTCTCTCATTCTCAAAACCGTCCCGTCTTTTTCTTGGCCGCTAACAATTACCANNCAGAAAGGGCATCGATCCAGACTTCAGCGAGGCGCTGATCGTTCGTGGCAACTCGACAATCGAAGACGTCTGTGATGCCATCCATCGCAATCTCAAGGAGAGCTTCAAGTATGCGTTGGTATGGGGTGCTTCTGCCAAACACATCCCTCAAAGGGTTGGTCTGGGTCATGTTGTCTCTGACGAGGACGTGGTGTCGATTGTTGGTACCAAGTCTGGTCTTGCAGCGAAGTAGTGGAGTTGGGTAGTAAATGGAGACTGTCTATGTCTACAGAGATTGGATCTTCGGCTTTGCAATTTATGTCTTCTCTATGTGCTGATCGCAAGTGATATCCTCTACTTGATCACTTCTCGAAGTTGGCGAACCAGAGGCTATTCACATCCGAATCTAGTTCGAGCAAGATCTCTGCAATTCCTATGATGCTAGACAATGAGAAGCCTTTGCGAGCAATCCACTGCTCACTAAGGAGCTTCCAACGACGGTGCCAGAGCATGGAGCGGCCATTGACTGTCGTCCATCGAGCAGCTTGTTCGATTCTTTCCAAGATGAGGGTTTTGAATGCCGTGAGCATCGAGGACGAGCTGACCGTGCGTGGAAAGAACTTGTGCAACTTCTCGCCCCAACGCACGTGATTCATGAGGTCTTGTAACTGCCGTTCGAAGTCGATTGGTGTGTAGGCACGATGGTGATTTGGATGCGAGTAAGCGGTTCGACGGACAATACCAAACCTCTGACCACGAATGTCAAAGTCAACGTCGAGGATAATGCACGCATTGAAGTTTACAAAGGAGAGAGAGCGCACGGAAGCAACATAACATGACTCAAGGTCATGAAGCCAACTGTTCATGTCAGATAGCGCCTGTACTCCAGGCTTTGGTTGAGTGACAAACACGGTGAATCTGTTGCTGCCATAGTACAAAGCTAATGCTTCGTTTCTCAAGAGCCGACAGGTCCTGGCGATGACAGGCTGCTGTAGGGGGTGAACAATGGTAGTAGAGTTGATGCACACAAGACGAAGCACCATCTCGCGTACTTCTGCAGGTAGACAGAGGAAGTCGAACTGGAAGTCGTGATCTGCACGCTCCAGCTCTTGAATTAGGGATGTCCTTGAGAGCCTTTGAGCAGCCTTGAGCGACCTTTGTAGTATCCTCTGAGTAACGCGTTGAGACTTGTAGACGACTCTTCTGGCCGCAGGTCCTCGGACAGGCATGGCGATCGTTCTGGGTATCTTAGAAGGCAGGCCTTTGCTGACGAGGGTGGAAGCGGCAGGTCTCCCCCTGGGCAATAAGCCTCGATGATCGTCTCAACAAGACACCGGGTTTAGTCACAGGCGCGCCACTGCTGGGATTTACTTGACGATCTTGAGATGCAGCTCCGGTCATGTTGGGACCCTGTACAGTCGCGGCGCTCTTGGATGTACATTTGTCCAGATGTTTCTGAGCAGTTTTGCTGAGCTTCAAGTGTCTGGAAGTGGTGAAGTCGACCAAGTCCTGGCGAGTAAAGCCTTCGTAGATGATAGGCTGGCTGGGGAGCTTCTTTAGCATGTCGATGAGAGCCTTCCTGTCGCATCTTCCGGTAACGATGCCGAAGGCGGTACACTGTTCGCGTAATTGATTGGTCTGATGAGGGTCCACCTTTTTAACAAGAGTGGAAGACGCGTTGAGTATGTCCAAGTCCAGTATGGTGGGTAGAGGCAACATCTTGTTGGGTGGAGTGATGTTTGTGGTTTGGCAGAAGACGGCATGATTGACACGACGGCGCGTTCATAAAGCAGAGGAAGGCCCAAGAACAACACCATTGAACAACTAACACCTACCTGATAGGCATACTTTCACACTCACGAAGATGTTACTGGATGCAGCAGACAAAGCCAATGATATAGAGGACGAAACAAACGGGAAGACCCGATCAGTGTTGCGCAGGGTTGGTGATAGACATTGGTACGAGGTCAGCGCTGACAGCACCATGGATTGAGATATGGCCCAGTTCACTGTGGTGCGATAGATAGACGAAGGCTTGGGTTGCGAGATGAAATAAGACGCAAGTCAAGAAGATGATGATCAGGGTGACGCAGCTTCTCCACAGCCGTTTGACCGTCAAGCTTCACATGGGAGCGGACGCGGGCAGGTGCTCTTGATTGCATGCTGCTGCTGTTTGTCTCTTTGTGACATTATTTTGCTCTCAAGAAGGCATATTAGGGAGAGGGATCCAACATGGCCGAACTCACATCGACCAAACTCCACCCAGAACAGCATCTGCTGCTGGTATGCGTCACCAATCCGCCATCAATGTAGTCGTCGATTGACACAGCCCACAGNGACCAACCGCTGCTACGAGTGCCCTTCGAACTGACGCGGAAGAACTTTGCCCAAGCAAGACGACACATTGAGAAGACATCGGCCGACACGCTTGCCGCCCTCAACGCCGCTGCTACCGCCGCTCCATCAGCCACCTCGGACCAGACTCTCGCCTCGCTTGACGCCATGATAGCCAAAGCCCAGACTCTCAAACGCAAGTTGGAGGCCCTTCATGCCGAGGAAGAGATGCTGCATCGTCATCAGCGAGCCCGCATCAACCATCTACAGGATCTGCACGATATACCCAACCTGGCCGATGTCAAGTACGATGACTGGAGCAAGATCCGTCTAGATCGCATGCTGGTCGACTATCTGTTACGTCAGGGCTATATCCAGAGTGCCAGTCAGCTGGCCAAGGAGAAGAAGATCGAAGACCTGGTCGACGTCCAAGCCTTCATCGAGTCTAGTCGCATAGAACACAGCCTGCAGAACGGCCGTACCCAGGACTGCCTGGCCTGGTGCTCCGAGAACAAACAGACGTTGAAGAAGATCAACAGCAACCTGGAGCTTGAGCTACGCTTGCAGCAGTTCATCGAGCTGGTCCGGAGCGGAGAGCCACAGAAGTTGATCGAAGCCACGCTGCATGCGAGGAAGCATTTGGGCACACACCAGAACGACTCGTACGGTCTACGTGCTGGAGGCCTGCTTGCAAACCCTCCAAATACCATGACAGAGCCTTACAAAGTATTTTCTCCCCATACCACCCCTATACCATCTCTGACCTTCTCCAGNACCATGTACTCGGCCGCTCGCTGGCAACAACTGTCCGAACTCTTCGTCAAGACACACCACGAAATCTTCTCTTTACCGCCACGGCCCCTCCTGCACATTGCCCTCTCCGCTGGCCTTAGCGCTCTGAAGACGCCTGCCTGTCATTCGCATTACGCCTCTTCATCGTCGAACGCTTCTTCGTCAACCACATCCGTCTGCCCCATCTGCTCCACCGAGCTGAACGAACTCGCCCGCACCGTTCCCTACGCACATCACAGCAAGAGCTACGTCGAAGATGATCCAGTCATGCTGCCCAACGGACGCATCTACGGTAGAGGCAGACTCATGGCTCTGAACGAAAAGATAGGAACCGCCGAGGGCAAAGTCAGAGATCCCACCGACCTGTCTCAGGAGTTTGACGAATGCGACATCAAGAAGGTCTATATCTCTTGATTCTCCTCATCCGTTCGGGCTTCTGGACTGCGTACATCCCTACTTGATAGTGAGCTTTTCATATTTTTGTCTCGTCTTTGAATTAGCGAGGGGCTTTTAAGATACCAGAGGATTGGGTGCAGCATATTCGGGGACACCAATAGGCGTTTTTTTTTTCTTCTCTTTTTGACTTGATCACGAACGAAACGTATTTATGACTTCCTTTCCTTGTTATGCATGGAGCCAAATAGTCGAGAGTATGCATATGGACGAGAGAAAGAGGAACTGAACAAATGAGTCGACATATTGTATCGTGATATAGAAGAATGCTACGCTTATGATCCTCTTTATAGTCCGGACATGTATCCTTTTCTTCACCCAAACGCCAACGCTAAACAGAGATCGAGGTATATCATGCGACAAACTCACTGGTGACGGCTACTCTGCGCTCTCGCAGACTTGCCCAACCTCGCGGGACCCAGCCCGAAGCGAATCTCATCAAGCTGCTCCATTCCAGTCTGGAAACCCGACTNTTTGATATGTCTGCCTCTGTTACCAGCCCTAGAGTGTCCAGCAAGGAAACCATCCATAATGCTATCGAAGTCTGTGCGGACGAGATTGGGAGCTTCAGAGTCTGTGGCGCGCGAGTAGGAGGAAATGGCAGAGGCATGGGACATGCCAGTCATTCCCGAAGCCATGGACTCGGCATCGTCGAATTGGGAGCCGTAGTCGTCGAAATCGTCTTCGGCGTAGGATTCTTCAATCTTGTCGAAGCGTTGGTCGAGCAGGGATTGTGCGGATGTGCGCACCAGGGCGGAGGAGGACATGGAGTAGCCTGAGGTGGAAGTCATGGCACCCTTGCGTTTCTTCCTGCGGCCGGATGCCAATGAAGATAAGCCTGTGTTTATGGATTGGCTGTCTGAGGGTGCGGGTTGAGCGGGCTGTTTGGGAAGAGCCTTTGCGGCCTTGACGTCTTGCTTGAATTTTGTGAACTCTTCCATCCAGGCTCCGGCGGAGGGGTCGGAGGAGCGNNGTGCAGCGGCGGTGTCGGTGGGCGGTGGTAGATGTGTTTCGTCCTTGTCGCCGGCTTTGATCGTGTCGTCAGATTGCCAGCCGTCGTCCTCGTCGTCAATGTAGCCATTGCCTTCTTCCTCGTCAAATTCCAGGCCCTCCCAGTCGTCGCGGTCGAGCTCTTCAGCATCGCCGGTCAGTTCTTCGAAAATGTCGTCCTCGTCGTCAACGTAGGCTTCGTCTTCCAGGGCCTCGAGGGCTTCACGCAGGCGAGGATCCATGTCGGGTTGGAAACCAGCAATGGCGTCGGGCACATTCTGCATATCCTGGTATGTGGTCTTGCGCACAAAGTCGCTGGGCAGCATATCGTCGGGCATCAGACTCCTGGTAGAAGCAACACTCTCTCCGCCATAACTCTGCAAGTCGTCGTCTTTGACGTCCATGCCGCGCAGAGCATCTTCCAAGCTCATCTTTCCCTTGTTCTTGTTTTTCGCCGAGGNGGCTTCCACCCAAGTGGCTGCACCGCCGCCAGAGCCCAAGTCGCGCAAATGCTGCATGTAATCGTATTGGGTGTCGTCAAAGTAGACACCGTGCTCGGCGGCCTCGCCCTCGTGGGGCTTGTAGTCGGTGCCAAACTCGTCTTCCAGATCGCCACGTTCCTTGATCTTGCGGCTGTTTTTGGCATATTGAGGGCCTCTGAGTTCGGCAAAGACCATGCTAGGGGCGTCGGCATCGTTGATGAGAGGGTCGTTCTGGGCACGATGGACCAGTGCGAACTTGGTCGCATTCTTACCGCTGTACACATGTCAGGAGCGGATCAACCATCTCATCCCATGGCAGATACGTACAACTTGCGAGGAGCCATCTTGACTGCTTGTGGTGGTGTTTTTGGGGAGGACAAAAAAGTTTCAAGATTCGTCAGATTCGAGATTCACCCCAATGGCGCGCCAAGAGGCCGCGGCTGACATGTGCCTGCCACTGTTTCGACCTTCCTCATCTACATGTCCTCGAGAGAGGAAAAAACACATCCTTCCGACATGTCGCAAGAGCCCGAGAATGAGGTCCCTGCCGATGAGCTGCTGGTCCATGGCCGCGCAAAGAGAGCCACCGCCGGCAACCGCATGCACTTCCTCATGCAACATCTCGAAGACGAAGACGTGCGAAACGACCTGCTGCAAGAAGACGAGACGGACCAGATAGACTATCAACTCTCCGACACCGAAGACGTCGCCTTTGGCTCCAGCGACGACGAAGACGACGACCAAGAAAGAGACGAAGACCAAGGCGAGAAAAGAGCTGCAAAGCAGGAGCGCCAGGAGGCTCGCAAGAAGAAGCGCAAGGCCAACGACTTTGCCAACATGCCGCTTAACCCTCTGATGAAACGCCAAAGACTTGCCCACACCAATTCGCTGCTCGCGCCCCGTCCGCGCAAAAAGTCCGAACGCATCTCCTGGCTACCCACCCTCGACGATGCCCCGACACGCCAGTCGCGTCGTCGCCAGACCGTCGCAAACAAGGAACAGACAGAAGCCAAGCTGAAGGAGAGTCAAAAGCGCTCGGAAAAGGCTCACGAGCTGATGAAGATTGCTGCCGAGAAGAAGGCTGCCTCTGCCGTGCCAGCTCTCACCCAAGAAGACCGCATGAAGAGGGCGCTGAAGGTAGAAAAGGAGAACAGCAGGACCCTCAATCGCTGGGAGAAGGCCGAGGAGGAACGTCAACTTGCTCAACAGATGAGACTTGAAGCCTTGCGAGACCGACAACTCGAAGGTCCTGTCTTCAGGTACTGGAGTGGTTCCGTCATGTGGGAAGGGGAAAAGATCAAGGTCAAGCGTGTGCACCAACCGAGGGTCGAAGCCGTGAAGGAAATCACACTGCCTCAAGCTGCAGCGACTGAGACCGACAAGACAACAAATCTGGAAGTTAAGCCCGCGCAGGAGTCAGAAACACAGCAGGACGAAGACACAACCATGGTAGATGCCACAGCTGAGTCAATATCTGCTGCATCACCAGATCAACAAGTAAAACAGCCTTCAAATACGGAAAAGGATGAAGGCATAACACCAAAAGCTACAGTCGAAACAACCCAAACGACGATACAAGATGTGGTGGAAAACGCTGAAGCAAACACGCCAAAGTCTTCTGATGAGACAACGATTGAGCAGAAGCCTGTCGGGAATAAGATGTCTGAGCATGAGCAAACCGAGCTAGACAAGACCCAACCATCCACTGCTCCTGCTCCTGAACAAAAGTCACCATCGTTCTTGGACGGCATTCATTACTGGGCTTCCCAATCACCAGAGGCTACTGCGCAAAAGAACAAGACTCCAGCCTTACAAACCCCTACACCGGCATCAGCTCCCGAAGGCCAACCCATCGAGACAGCACCCGCCGAGACACAACCTATACAACCAAATGTGGCAGACGAGCCTCTTGCAACAGCGGTCGTCGATCCGACTAAACCACCCACCACTCAAGATTCCACTCTACAGCCTACAGACCCTACACAACAATCTTCAACACCCTTCGACGTGTACCCTCAAGTTCAGCCCGANGACGGCTCCCCTGCACCTCCACCATCCATCCCCTTGATGCGCGAACAAGCCCAACGCTCCCTCATAATCCTCGAAGCCTTTCCCTCCCTCGAAATCGCACCACCCATNTACCCCCTCCAACAAAAAGTCCACCACAACTACCTCCTTACTCTCCTCCATCCTCCTACCCTCCTCTCAACCCACTCTCACCCCCGCAGAGTCCAAATACCTCACCTCCAAATCCGCAAAAAGAAGGAATTTCTGCCTCCCCCACCGCCAAAACCTGTATGCAGTATCACAGCCAAAGCGGCAAAGTACAAGGACCCAGCAACGGGGTTGGCGTATCAAGGCTTGGAAGCCTATAAAGCTATCCAAAGGGTCAGTGCTGGGGGATGTAGATGGGGAGGGTCTGGGTGGGATGCCTGGATGGGAATCTTGGGGGAGGGTGTTATGGGGAGGGTTGCCAGGGGTGTACCTGAGTGTTTTGTTACGGGCGTGGTGAAGAGGAAGGAGAAGGAGAAGGAGGTGAAGAGTGAAGAGGGTGGGAAGGAGGGTGCGGGTGTGCCTGTTGCTCCTGTTGCTCCTGTTGCCACAACAGCTGCTCCTGTTGCTCCTATGGCCTCGGTCGCACCTGCGTCTTCTGTGACCACACCGGCCAATACCCCCTCATCAAAGACATCCTAGCATCAAAGCATAGCATAGCATAGCGTACCTGCTTCACGATACCCAGAATAACGAATTCCAATGACCTCAAAACTTCTCTACTTTCTCCAAACCATCGAGTGACCCTGTTACGACTTGGCTCTAATGTTAGAAGCAAATGCTTGCTTGATTCTTGCTTTCCTTGACACTGGCAAACCAGAAAAGTAGTTCCTGGTGTTGTTTGTCTGTGTGTTAACTGGACAAGGTTAGAGACTTAGACAACCACGACATTCATCAAGCCCCTTTAGCTCAGTTGGAAGAGCGCGGCACTAGTATCGCTGGATGCATGCTGAGGTCGCCGCACAAGTATCTGTTTTTTCGACTTCTTCAGGGGGCAAAGCATTTGGTCTGTCAGGGTGTGGGGTGCGTTGAGAAGAATTTCATTTCGATTGGTATGTGAGGTCACGAAAGCAAAGCTCTGGACCCAAGTTCCTGCATTGCAACACGACCAAGTGCCCTGGGTGATTTTGCGTCAAACCGACTTTGGAATATGTTCAATCGAGAAACCTTCATCCTCTAACCATTACTCTGCTGACCTACACTTTCGCAAACGCAAATCTCGACACAGGTATCTTGAGTGGCCATGGCTTATCCCTATATTCAGCCAACCACACCGCATCGCCATTAAACTGCTCCAGCATCTTCTTCGCATCATCTGGTAACTGAGAAACAGGCCCCAATATTCTCAACACATCATCAAATCTTTCTGCATCCACCTCGACAAACTTGACAATGGCAAGCAGCAAAGCTTGCAAACTTTCCACCAGTGTCTTGGTAGAAGTATCTATATATGCTTGCTTTGTGCTGATTGCAAGATTTGCATGCTGTTGTGATTTTCGCGCCGAGACATTGATTTCGAGAACAAGTTTGCGGTGTAGAGACAGCAATTCAGGCCACAAAGACTCGATGCGGGTCCGCATAAAGGTGCCTGCGTATTCACACATTGTGGCAATGATGGTATGAGAACCGCTCACGATAAATGCTTCTGTGTCAAAGAGGCGTGATGTTACTTCTGGCCATAGTGTGTTTACGAGGGGCAAAAACGAATTTTCGTGTTTTGCAAGGGCGGGGATTGTGGTGTTGAGGAGAGAGAAGAGAGATGTGCGTAAGGAGGACGAAGAAGAGGAGAGGTAGTGTTGGGTCAATTGTGTGATTTTCAGGAGCAGGGAGTAGGTTTTGGGAGCTGGTGGGTGCGACTCTGAGGGCTCGGGATCTTCGAGTTGAGAGGAGGGTGCGTTGTCGTCTTCTGGGTCGAGGAGGCTGGTTGGCGGATCCAAGGCATCAATGGGCTTTTGGGAAAGACTCTGGATGAGTTGAATAACGTCTGTGAGATGTGCGGGTTTCCATCTGCTGGAGTCCTGTTTTGGTGTTTCTGGGTCGTTTGTGATGGCGAGCAATGGAGACTTCACTCCCTCTTCTGCCATGGTGCGCAGAACAGCAAATAGAAGCTCGACTAGAGTAGTATAGCCATGATAGTCCTCCAACGCAGCAAAGATGCTTTCAAGTGTGTCTTCCAAATAAGGCAGCAACGACGGACCAGCCAGCCGCACCATCATGAGCAAAACTTGAGGTCCCTGTGGCGACACATCAAAGGCATTGAGCTTCAAAGCCACAGCATTGACGAGGTAATCGACATTCGATACGATAAGCTCGCCCGCGTCAGTGTAGCCACACGCGTTCGCGACGATATTCAGACATGTCATTGCATGATTCCGGACATATCCTGACTCTGAGCCAAGGTGATGGAGAATAGGGTACAATGCTTCCACCAGCTCATCGCGGAACTCGACACCATAACGTTGTGCGTGGAAAGCAACAGCTTCAAGAGCCAGGCTCTTGAGTCGCCAGTCGGCAGATTCGTCATTCTCCAGCACCTCCAAGGAGAATGAGTATAACTGTTCCCGTAATGATATAGAGTGGTCCTTGGAGTACAGATCGCCGACCAGCATATCATTCATGAAGCCGTCGACTTCATCATTATTGTTCTGAAGATCCTGTAGTATGAGCCAGAACGTTGCAACCTGAGTGGTTTTCTCCGATGTCCTCAACGCTAGCATGAGATCTGAAGCAAGCCCCAGAGATGGATGTGCGCCCTTCAACTTCTTGAGCATCTGACTGATGTAACTCAGTATTGTTTCTTGAGTCTTGTATTCCGCCAGTGGTGAAGTAAACGTTAACGACTTTTGACTCGTCTGGAGCGAGATGTCAGAGATGGTGATAGGCGTGACTCTAGATTTCTTCGCATTGCGGTCGACTGAATGTTGCAGTGTAGTCATCACGCTATCCTTGAGACCGCTTGCGAGCATTCTTGAGATCATCGACATATCAACCTCAGTGCCAGCCAGTATTGTGTAGGCGCCGAAAAGCTTGCCGAGGGATCGCTCTTTTGCCTGGTCGTCGTTTGACTGCATGATCCGCACCAAGGAGAGCTGTTCGTTGCGGAATACTGTTGCCAGAAGGTCTGATATCGATAAGTTGTTCTGTGCCAAAGTTGCGATTTTGTCTCTGTAGGAAGCATTCGAATCTGCTTGCATGAGCAATAAGATGGTCTCCGCTGCCAAAGCACAGGAGTCTGCCAATGCATTGCTACATCGAGAGAGAAGTGTCAAGTTGAATTCAAGCACGGCTGCTTGCACTTCCTGGCGTTCGTGTGTGCGTAGTCTGTTGATGTTTGCTATTGCGACTTTCAACTGTGCTGCCGTCGCTTTGACCCAACTACTAGCGAGTTTCGTAGTTTTTGAATCTTTCGCAGATACTTCTTGTTTTGCTGGAGATGATAGCTGATCGACTGTTTCATCGCTGAGAAGTGCCCTGAGGAGCGACTCGATTGTTTGCAGGCCAGCAACAAGAACGCGCCAATGTCGGCGACCTTTGGTGTTGGGCGTGAGAGCCTTGGTCCACGATGACACGATACCCGGCAGAAAGCTTGACAGCACCTCCAGATCATCTATACAAGCGACAAGTGCCTTCAAGGCATCTGCTGCCGCCAGTTGGACCTGAAAAGATTCTCCAGTGACGATGCCCTCGAGAACCACCGAGACAGCATGTCCCAAAGAAGGAACATTTGCCGTTCCAACCAGAGAAGCCTTCCCTGCAGAGCTGGCACTCAATGACTGGAAGAGAACCTGCATGCATTGAAATCCAATCGCGCGAAGCTCATCCGTAGCAAGCCCTGTAGGCACAGTCTTCCCAGAAGTATCGCAAGTAAGCGTCAAGAAGATTAAAAGCTGACCACTCAAGTTCAAATCAATCCTTGTCGTCCAGCCTTTGGAGATGAGAACAACCAGACATTGCAAACACGCTTCCATAGCCTGAACTGGAAGATCCCGACTCGCTTTGAGAACCTGTGAGATGGGGAAGAAGACATAATCGGCCAGCTTGTGATCAAATGTGTCTGGTCGCGTTGTAACATCTTTTAACGTCCTTGATAGCGTTTCAAGGGTTTGGATGATGTTGTCGACATTCTTGTGGTTGCCCACAAACGCTAAGGTCGACTGGCTGAGGGCAATGCAGATTGGTTTGAGNNCTATACATGGTGAGAACAGCATCAAGAACACTATCAATACGCTGCCACTTACCTTCTGAAATGCCTCATTTCTCCTTTCCATCTTATCGCGTGTTTCTGATTTGAGCCGAGAATGTTTATGGGATAGAATTGTGTTCAGAAGAACTTCAAAACTGCTTGATCATGGTCTGCCAAGACACCTATGCCACTGGTACAACCCTGGCCACCTTTCTTCCATCATTCGTCGCGTGTCGTATCGCCCATCATACATACAACTATGCATGCGTAGATCCAAAGTACTTCGAAGAAGGCTATCTGTGTCCCAATGTTTGTATTCCGAGCAAATCGCCATATCAAGACTCAGAGGCGACAACGAATGATAATCCGACACTTTCATGCACGACGTTCATGAAACAGGACACAAAGCAGTACGTATCTCGTGTCTATTTGAAAACATATACACAAGGTTGATATACACAATCTGGATCCACTTGTAGCGTACCCCTTTTTAAACATGACAGGTTCCTTTCGATGTCAGAACAAGGGACTGTTTTTGAAGTTCTTCCGCTCCGAGGGCACCTTCGGGCGTAACCTGCTGTCCACCAAGGTTATGTAGATCAGGGCCTGCAAGCTGCAGCTACGTTGTCAAAGTCCGTTATCTGCTCGTCCCAGATCAACGAGCTAGAAACCTTGTATTCACTATATGCCAAAAAGACCCGAGCACCCACCGAGAAGCACTCGGAGAATGCACCGATCTAAAGGCAAGATGTTGCGTAGTCTTAAGTATATCTTTATGCATAGTGATATGCACGAGTCAGAGCCGAAGCGGGAGATCTACGCGATGCGGCTTCAGCCAGCATCACGAACATCCCGGAGCCGGGGTTCCTCTGAGGCAAGGGCTGCTATAAGGATTATTCTAATCGTGATTCTCTGCCTCTTGCCATGCACAGAACCGTGAGCCGTTACTATCTACAGCATTGCACATTGGGTGTTGGCTCAGAGTTGGAGCGAGAGAGTCATGTACTCGAGCACTAAGATCGCGATGCGCGTCAGCGGCCAGCCGTTCAAAAGTCGTTGTCCACTTTGCGCCTAAACCCAGCCAACTCCTTGTAGAGGTTTAGCTAGATGGGCCTGATTAGCGTACCTTATTGTGGGCAGATTTAGGTTGTACTCAAGAAAAGCCATACGTGTTCATGATTCACGAAAGTAAACCTGGCCCTCGTGGGGCCTACAAAGTACCTTGAAGATTCCTTACCTTAATTCCTGGTGCCACTTCCGGGGTGTCTTGTGGCGCACTACTCATTGCTCACGCGCATGGTTAGTCCGGACCAGATCGTGGAGAGATTTCGATTCTCGAACTTCTCAAACCTCCTGGTGCCAGCCATGAACTCGAGGCGCTCTCCGTACCTAAAGGTGCTAGAGAATGCGAATGATCAACGGCCGTAAAGGCCTGATAGGAGCCGGTGAACTGTCTTCCAGACGTGTAACTGAGGGGCTCAAAGTTTCTCTGGCGTGTTTGTGGCATCTAAAATGTTTCGGCCGTACACCTGCTCGTATCATAAGGCAGGCACTCGTATGCCTCTGTCTGCTGCTTCCCGAGGGTGCCTTAATCCATGTAAGTGTTCACTGGGACCTCTCGTGGCGTCCAAAAGTCGAAGTAGTCAAGTAGACGCCAAAGAATGGGGAAGCATCTTTCACCCAGCCGGCTGCCTCGTGGTTTTCGAAGCATGGCGGAAAGCTTGAGCATGGATAATGGCGGGTTCTAGAAAGAAGGATCACAAACTTTGTAGACGACCTTGCCAGTGGTTCTGGTTGGAAAGGTTGTTCCTGTTAAAGGATCCAACGATGAGGATCAGATAGGCGATAACAGAAAAGTTGTACACGAAAAATATCAGCTCCGCCTGGTGGCTCTGACCCACGGAACTTGGCCGGTACACCAGGCAAGTGAACAGACGGGCCTGGGGTACAACGTGTACAAGGAAGATGGCCAGCACGATGGCACATCATATGTCGACGATGATGGGGACCTATATGGGATCGGATGTGGATCGGTGTCTTGCGAAGCAATGCCAACGTCCAATCATACAGCAGGGAAGCCCCGAGCTGGGAATGTATTGATCTAGCAGGGCGAAGTGATGGTAGAGCGTGGCATCGCGTGGCAGACGTTATAGAGTTTGTGAATCAACGTGCGGAGAGGCCGAGAGTTTGAACGAATCAAAGCGTAAGATGGCTAGCTGATACAGAAGCCATGTGAGTGCCGCTGTCAGCGTGGTGGCTGTTTCGAAAGTGAAAAGGATGGAGAAGAGGGAGCAAGAATCTCTTGTAATGAAGATGGACGTTCGGAGCGAGAGTTTACGTGTCTGATGATGGGGATTGTTCGCGTGACAGGAAAAGACAGACGTAGGAACAAGTCAAGCGGCAGGTTGGAGCGAGAGCCTGACGGGGAAGCAACATGGCAATCTGCACAGGGCTTAAGCTAGGAAGTTGCGACTCGTGGGCCGTGGCAGAGTCGGGTCAAGGCGCTCGGAGCAGGCGGAGCAAAACGAAGAAGAGGAAAGAGCGGGACTCGCATGACAAAAACAGAAACTGGGCAGAAAGCAGGAAGAGCGTTTGGGTGATGTTTCTGAAGCCAACGGCCCAGGTGGGAGTTTTGACCCGGTGAGATGGAACGGATGGCCGTTGGATATACGGAAAAGTCATGGAATATTGGATAGTCAGGATCCGGTGCGGATGCGTATGCAGGCGTCAAGACAAGGACGTGAGCGACGCGAGATTGGGACACAGCTGCAGATTGTCATCTCTGTGGCAGTGGCCGGCGGGCGAGCACTGGTTGCTGATTATTGCGTTCCAAGACAGGGGACGAACTCTGGTTACCTAAGGTAGGGAAGTTAGCTTGGAGCCGGATTAGATTGACTCTGAGACCCTTAACTCAGCAAGCGTTTTTTCTGGGCCGAGCGCAAGTGCTCGATTCAGGCGGGAGCGCTCAGAGCATATTCTGGGTTATGCCTCATACTATCGGCATCTCAGACCCAGCGTCCAGTTCGTCATTGCGACAATCCGCTACATGGACATGGTCGGCCCTCAACACTCGGCGCCTGTCAATTTTGCGTCGGTCTTTCGCCCAGGTTCACGGAGCAGCAATCTGAGTCCTAATACTCACACGGCTACCATTACCGCCAACAACTCAACCACACCCAAGACGACGACTCGACGCTTCGCTTCGCTCAGAGGTCTGCATGACCGCCCGAACTCGTCTCGTCTGAAGAAGCAGCAGACGCAGAGCCCGGCCCCAGTCCCAACCCCGACCGTCCACGACGAACTCGGCGACATGATCGATGCTACTGGACCAAAGTCTCGACGAGAGCGCACTCTGATCGGTACAGAATGCGCAGCATGCGAGGAGCCGCTGGAGCACACGTTGCGCGGCGAGCGCATCCTGCAGCTGTCGTGTGGCCATGTCGCCCACGAGGCCTGCTTCTACGAGTTCATCAAGGAGTTTGAGTCGCAGGAATGCCCATCGTGTAACGCTCCATTGGGACTCGACACCAGCCGCGGCGGCAATCTCAACTTCGGTAACACAGACCTCTGCCATCGACCACTCTGTCGGTAATTGACTGACAACCTCCANGCAAAACTCAACAACCTCGTCAACAACCGCAGTACAAACAGCCCAGACTTGCGCGATCGTACAAGAGACTCGGACAACACTCCCACGCCCTGGGACGATCCGCCTCGCCATCACCACCAAAGTCATAGCTCTGTCCCCAGCCAACCTCACCAAAGTCATGGCTCCATACAGAACCATGCTCATCACAGCTATACTTCGGTCCCGAACCAGGCTTACCATAGTTACAACTCGATCCCAAGCCAGACTCAACACAGTCACCACAGCTACAATTCCGTCCAGACTGCCATACTCGATCCAAGCCCGCGCCCACCCACCCAACAAAGCTTCACACGCTCTCACCAACACAACAATAGCGTCAATACGCACCTCACCCACAGCAACAGCCACCACAGCAGATCAGTAGAGTCGCGCCAGCACGAGAGAAACAACAGCCAAGCCACAGACGAGTCTCGCAACCGACGCATCGAGTACGACCTCCAATCCATCGCTGCCGACATACCAAGCCCACGGCCCAACATCAAGAACCCCATACCTGCTCCCACCGTCACTGTCCGTACCGAATTCCCTACACTGAACCGAAGCCGACAGCAGCAAAGCTTGACCTGTCTCATCACGGTCGAAGTCGTTGACGGAAAATGGCATGCCGATCCTCAAGACATCGTTTCTCCTGCTGCCGACAGCATCGATGCCATGTCAATGCCTCGCTCGCCTGAACCGCAAAGGCAGCTCGACCTTCCCCACCCTCCTTCTCACGTACTGGACCGTGTCACTGAGGACTTGCATACCAAGGTCGACAACTGGCACGGCCTGGATTTCTCAAGGCAAGAAGATCTCTCCGTTCCTTGTCCGCTCCAGTACTAACACTATTTTTCANNCAGATTTGGCAGACTGCTTCTTCATGGCACCATTCGTGTAGGCAAAGACCGCCAGTCGTGGCAAGATCTGGAGTGCTATCTGTTCACTGAGATGCTCATCTGTATCAAGGAGAAGAAGCCTCAACACCAATGGGAGACGGCTTCGGAATCTGCCAAGATGAGGACCAGGTGCACGCTCAAGGGCTCCATCTTGATCAAGCGACACTTGAAGCAGGTTCAATTTGTCCCCGAGCAAGACATACTCACTCTGAACCTTTCAGTCGCCGAGCTACCGCATTTCCACCTCCAGTTTCACGACAGATCGCAGCTGGACATCTGGCGACGCGCTCTGATCAGCATCAACAGCCTCGAATTGTCTGAAAGTGACGAGGACTTTGAAACTTCTGGTACCGATGAAGATGATTTGGCATCAAGAGGAGGTAGACGCTCCTCCATCCCATCGTCTTATGGTGCTGGAAAATCCGCCTACACTGCACCTACCGAGTACACCAGCCCTACTTTCCGTGGCACACATGGTTACAGTCTCCCGATTGCCATGCACGTTCCGTTGGATATTGTCGTGGTCATACCAATCTCTTCGTCCATGCAAGGCCTCAAAATCTCCCTACTCCGCGATGTGTTACGTTTCCTCGTCAACAACCTTGGCGAGCAAGATCGTATGGGCCTTGTGACCTACGGATCTAGCGGAGGCAGCATGCCTGTCGTAGGTATGACTTCCAAGAACTGGAACGGATGGTCCAGAGTTTTCGAATCAATCAAGCCGATCGGACAGAAGAGTCTACGCGCTGATGTTGTCGACGGCGCAAACGTAGCCATGGATGTTCTGATGCAGAGAAAGGCGGCCAACCCAATCTCAGGAATCATGCTCATCAGCGACTCGACAACATCCGATGTTGAGAGCGTCGATTTTGTCGTTTCTCGCGCTGAAGCCGCNAAAGTAAGTACTTTGAGGCTCTGAAAATTCCTGCATCCAAAACTAATGTGTCGCAGAATCGCCATACACTCATTCGGCCTGGGACTGACCCACAAGCCCGATACTATGATCGAACTGTCTACCCGCACCAAAGCAACATATACATACGTCAAAGACTGGATGATGCTTCGTGAATGCGTGGCAGGCTGTCTAGGATCCTTGCAAAGCGTTTCACATCAAAACGCTAAGCTTAAACTGCGCTTGCCCGAAGGTTCACCTGCCAAATTCGTCAAAATTAGCGGAGCGCTCCAAATCACGAAGCGTGCTACCGGTCGTGATGCTGAGGCATCATTGGGCGATTTGCGCTTCGGTGACAAGAGAGGTAAGCTAGCCACAAATTTCATCTTCGCGCAATAACTAATTCTCGTGTANGACATCCTCGTACAGCTAGCCATCTCACCTGACAATTCATCTCCCGAGCAGGATTTGCAAGATCCTTGGGAGACCATCGTTTCTGGACTCGAGGCTTTGGGTGGACCACTCGACCAGGATGATATGCGCCCAGTCTCTGTCGAGGAAGTGGCCCTCATTCAGGCCGACCTCGCATGGGGCGATATCCTTCGCGAAGGAAATGTCTCTCAATTGCCCCGTCCATCGCTCCTTGCAATTACCATGCTTCCTCCGGTCTCGAATAAGGCCTCAATGAGCCGTACAACGACCCCACCAATTCCACCTCATCCATCAGTGGTACAAAGACGCATGGAGCTGTTGACATCCGACATGCTCACACGAGCTTTGACACTGGTCTCACGAGGCCAACATGAAAGAGCTTCCCATCTCCTCACAGAGACTCGCAGTATTCTCAAGGGCCTCGGAAAAGGCGGACTTCCTCCTCTTCCACCACCTTCAGCGCCACCCACTGCTCGTCTTCCGCCTACCCCTACGGCAAGCATCCACAGCAACGGCGCAGACTACCCACCTTCAGGACCTCCCACAGGACCTCTTCCACCGCCTCCCATTTTCACAGGACATTCGGCATCCATGGAGCCTAGACGCACCCCGACTCCTCCTCGTCTCGAGCCTTTGAGTCCCTTCACTCCCGCCGCTGGCATTGATGCCGATATCATGTCAGCACTCGACACGGAGCTCGCCTCGTCGTTAGAATGGATCAACCACCCCGCCGTCTTTGGCCGTGACAGCCGCAAAGCTGTCTTGCAGGCCATTGGCGTCATCAGCAGCCAGCGTGGCTTCACTATGCGCACTCCAGCAGAAAGCCTATGGGCAACACGTATCCCTGGTACAAGGCGTTTGAATGACCGCAGCCTTGAGTGGCGCTCGGCTGGAGACGAGTTCCTCGCCGAGGAGTCTTAGAGAAAAGCAACCATATTTGCTTCTTACGACGACCCACGAATCTTCATCTCTTCCGTTCATCTTCATTTACTTTTTTGTCCTCTGTTGATCTTCTTCTAAGATATCCCCCTTTGTTGTTTCTTGTCGATACCCGTTTTTGTTCACCTTCTTGGTTTTTATTGTCCTATTTGTCATCTATTGATCCTTTTTGGACCAGGCTTTTGAAGAGGAAGGGGCGAGTGAAGATAGAAAAAAGTATATCACGCAAGCGGCGCATTGTCTGTCTTACTCATTTTGATATGTTTCTGCTTTTCCCATGATCTCCTTCTTGACTTTGCAGTTGCGCAATTGGATCTAGAATCGACTTGTATATAGATCTTCTTTTCTTGAGAACAGCGGTATTTGTATCCATCCATTCCATCGTTCCTGGTCTTTGTTGTTCGGATGTTCATTGAGACTGCTGGGTTCGCTTGACACGTTAATGCTGCTTGGGTGCTCGATGTTATAGTGTCATACTTCCTTCGCCTGCGTTTCGCGCAATGAGATCGTTTGGAAGAACGCTTTCTGTATAAGTTCCCTTCTCTTTTCTGTTTGACAATACAACCGTGCGATTACTGTACCTTTTCTTGCACTTCACATTCTTTCGGTGCTCTACACATTTTGAAAGCAAGGTGATCGGCATCATTTGAGAAACAAGTTTTTCTTTTTCGGGTAGGCACAATTGTCTGGAGAATCTTCTCATTTCTGTCATTCTTTGGAAAGTGCTTTGCTAAGAACCACTTGTTGATCCTCTCTTCTGTAAAAAAAAAAAAGGGGGAAACTGGAAAAACAACAAAGGAAAACGTGCATGAAAATGGGCATTTGTTTTTGGGCCAGAGTTACTTTTCTCCAAAAAGCTCCAAGGTTTCCTCGCGCAGATCCTGGAAACTGCTGGGTAATTTCCTCCTGTTGTCTTTGTTTTGGGAGATTATCCTGTGTATGGGATGATGGAAAGGAAGAAAGGGAAACAAGGAAAACGCTTGATGCTGTGTATCGGGGTATCATCGCTGGGTAAAAAGAGAGTGAAACGCCGTTGTTTGAACTGCCTCTTGGGCAAAAGAAAAATCCGATGGTGGATAAGAGATGCTGGAAAACGGGACCAAAGAGAAGAGAACAAGGTAAGCTCTGCCGGCCTTGCAGTCTTGTGAGCTCAGTGAGGACGTGCTGCTGTGGGAAAAGATCTCTTGTTCTTGTGTATCTCTGGACTAATTGGTCGGTAGTCTTTGTTGGTGTCTCGTCAAGCCATCTTCTGTTCAAAGTCTGAAAAGCTAAACGCCTCCAATGAGAAAGAGTGGCTTTAGTGGAGGCTGCCCTCGCCGAAAATACCATTGCTGTCAAAGTCGGGCAGGTCGGCAAAGTCTCCAACATACTGTTGCATGTTGGGCTTGGTGTCGTTGGCCATGACCTGCATGTCAGCATCGCCGACTGAGAAAAACTGCTGCTGAGAGGGCATGGTGCTGGCAGGACCGCTGGAAAAGCTGTAGTCACCCATCTCGGTGTCGGGATGGAAGGGTTCTCTGGGCATGAGGGCGGGAGCGTTCATGATGCCCAAGCCGTGAGGACCAGAGTTGTGGCCGTTGATGTTGGGGTTTGTGTACTGCTGCTGTTGCTGTTGTATGGGGATGGCTGCTGATGCCTGCTGCCGGTGAAGGCCGAAGATGTATTGCCTCATCTGCTCCTCGTTCATGTTTGCCAACTTTTCGGGACTCATCTTCGACAGATTGTGGCCGTGAGCAAAGGAAAGAGCATAGCCTTGCATCACCTGCTGACCGTAGTTATTGCCAGGGAAGCCATTCTGCATGGAGTTGTGATAGCCGTTGGGCATGCACTGAGTCTGCATGGTAGGCAAGGACTGGCTGGGAGCGGTGGACACAGTTGATTGCGAGTCGAAGCTCTGACTGGGCTGGTAACCGCGCATCTGGAATCGGTCGGCAGGCAGTCCTGTGCGCATGCTTTCGAAAGATTGAACCGGCATGGTGGGACCATCGGTGTTGACTCTGCCATAGCTTTGAGCAGCAGATTTCTCTACCTCGTTGACAGCGACTGGAGCGGCTTCCATGGCGGCTGGCTCCTCGGCCTCAGGAACGTTAGTAGCCTTTGCCTTTCTCTTGGGAGCTGGTACCTTCTTTGAGGGAGTTGCAGCTGCCTCGAGGTCTGCGGCTCCAGGAGAATCAACCATCATAGTTGACATCTTCTTGACCATAGTCGAGGGTGTCTTCTTTGACTTGGTGACGCCCTTGGGCTTGGCAGGAGTGGCCTTGCTGGCTGGTTTTGTGGGTGCCTTTCTCTTGGACGTTGCAGGAGTGTTCTGAGTCTTGCGAGGGGCCTTGTTGTTGTATGCAGCATCGTCACCTTCCTCTGCCTTGACGACCTTCTTGGCAGATCTGGGTTTCTTCTCAGTCGACACGGCCAGCAGACTACCCTCATCCTCGGCCTCCCTCTTGAGGGTTGCTTTGGTTGGCTTGCCCTTCTTCTTGCTTGAGACAGCCGTAGGTTTGGGTGCTCTGGGGGCCTTGGCTGGAGTATTAGGGTTCATTCTCAATATGTGCTCCGTCATGCTGACTACAGAGTTTGTTGTAGTGTCGTAGTATGGGAGCTCGGGTCTGCCCTTGATAGCCAGGGGAGTGTACTGAGGCTCAACGGTACCATCTGTGTCTTCCAACTTGTCTTCGCAGCCTGGCTTGGTGTATGTGATTGTGTTCCAGATCTTGAGTTCCTTCTCACTAGGCATCACAACTGTCTCAGCAGTAGTGCTGTTCTTCTTTGGCAGAGGTGGTGGCACCGGTAGCGCAAAGTAGATACGGGCCTTGCGCACTTTGGTGAGATGCTGGGAAAGCGAGTCCTTGCCAGCTCCAGCGAGGATGTGGTAGTTTACCTCCTCGAGCAAGTGCTTGGTCTCGATACCGTCTCTCTCGAGAAGGTAGATCAGGCTCAGCAGTGCAAGTTGGTCCTGGCCGGCTGTAAATGTGTCAGTGTGCGGTGAGCTGTGGTGATCCCATTCCCGACTTACTGTTCCAGCGGATCAGCATACGTGAGCGACTGTATGGCTTGCGCTTCTGTTTCTTGTCCTTTCCGTTCCCATCCTCGTCCTCGTCTTCGTCGGCTCCTTCCTCGTCCTCTTCTGCAAACTCTTGATCGGAGTCACGCTCTTCGTTCTTCGGAGGAACTTCGTCTTCGGCAACTTCCTCTTCGTTGGCGTTGTCATGCTCGATTGAATCCGCAACGTCTTCGGCCTCGTCGTTGGCAAGCACGACGGAGGTATCCCGACCCTGCTGTGCCCTTTGGTTGCAAGCATGACCGTTGAAGTCGGAAGGAGCGGCGAGCTGTTGTTGCTCGTGGCCATGCTGCGAGCTTTGATGGAAAGAGCGACCACCAGGGCCAGAGGAAGCAGCATAGCCATGATAGTCGTTGCCATACTGCAACTTCTGAGCAGTAGCATGTCCGTCGACATCAAAAGGAGCAGCGAAAGTTTGGTACTCATGACCGTTGTCCGTGTTCTGCAAGGACATGTAGCCATCGATATTGGAAGGAGCAATGAAGGGTTGTTGAGCAATGTTGTTGGAGAAAGAGAGGATACCATGGCCACTGTTCACGTTGTTGCTGCCGAAGACATCAAGGCCCAAGGTGTCGTTATAGTCGTCGTGGATCTTGAAGTCGTCCATCTCCAATCTGTTGTGGCTAGAGTCGTCCATGTCGTGCGAGTAGCCTGCATCATAGGCAGACTCGTTCTGACGGAGGAATGTGTCGATGTCCACACTCATGATGTATCTGTAGACAAGTTTAGCTGAGTGTCAGACAACATGCTTGGGCGAGTAGCAGAAGAAGTATGGTGCGAGCTTGTACTTACGAGATCTCTGGTCGACAATCTTGATCGGGACTCAAGAATGGAGAAGCAAATCTTCTGGAAAAGCAAAGTGCACGGCACTGTAGTGTTCGAGGAAGACTGTCCGTTCCAAGGTCAGCAAAGGTTGGGTAAAGTGGAAGTATCGATCGAAGTATCGTCGGGCTGCGTCGAAACGGGGTCTCGTCGAAAGAATCGCTCTCAACGAATTGCGAGTGAAGAGTGAAAGTGATAGAAGACAAACAAGACAGAGGCAAAGGAGAGGGAGAAGATGGAGATGGTGTCGTCGTTGCCGACTCGTCGGTAACGCGTCGAGCGAGCAACTTTTGCCAAACGACGTCGTTGAGACGACTGCCTCTCAACAAAGTAGAAGTGAAGTGAAGGGAGAAAGAGGTGTAGGATGCAGAAAGGAAGAGGAGTAAAATAAAGGGGGATGGGTAATGTTGAGATGGCGGGTGGAAGGAGACGGGAGGAGATAGTTGACAAGAACTTGTCGTCCACGACGAACAAGTCTCGATGAGGTAGGTGTGAAGTCAAAGACAGGGATGAATGGCAGGCTACTAGACGAAAGAGAGGCTCCTCGACGAAAGCTCATAAACAAACGCTTCTCGACAGACCAGACTCAAACAACAGCGATCGGTGCCAATACAAGCGAGAGGCAGTTGTTCGAGATGGATAGAAGGTCTTCGATAAGGCGAACGTGAAGGGAAAGGATGATAAGTGGAAAGGATAGAGAACAGCAGACAAAGGCAAAGACCCAGCTCTATAGAGAGAAATGTCGACAGCTAATGTCTTGCTGTGGACTGAGCTGGACTTGGAGGGAAGGAGCCGCAACGGCACAGGCAGAGTGTGGGCAGTTGTGAGGATGATCGTTATGGCCAGAAGAACAATAAACAAAACTTACGATGTGCGAGAGCAATAGAAGCAGGTCGCGCTGAGCAAAGACGATGTCGAGAAGACTCAACGTCGAAAGAGAACAGCAATGCGCTGCGCGGTTGAGCGTCAGCGAATTTGTCGTTTACGCGTGCGTCGGCAGCGGCAGTGAGGAAGATGTGGAATGGAGCGAGGACAACGTCAAGGAAGAGGATAGTGTGTAAAGAGCAGTGTATGCAAAGAGCAGTGTTGTGCAAAGGGTAGTGTTTGAGAAGGATAATGTGTGTAATGGATGCAAGTGTACTTACAAGAAGAGCGATGTCGAAGGAAGGAGATGTTGAGATGAGATGCTGAGATAAGATGTCGAGAGGGAGCAATGATAGAGTGAATGACTGGTGTCGAAGCGTCGAGGAAGGCGTCAAGGTATCGTCGAAGAAAGCGTTGAGGTATCGTTGGGGGAATCCGTCGGGGCAGGATGTTGAGGATAGCATCGACAGTATAAGTGAAGCAAATGGTGGTTCCCTCACGGTACAAAAACAAACCAGGTCCCGAGCAACCAAACAGCCGGGCCCGACGCCGGTGGGGACGACGACGACGATGCCGGCCAAAGCGACGACGAGCCCCGATTGGCTGAGCACTGACCATCTGTTAGCGACGACGACGACGAACTCGACGATTCCTGACTCCCAGTGAGAGACTCCCGGCGAGCTTCAACATCGTGCTTTCCCTCAAGACCATCAGCACCCAAATCCATATCAACGATTGATTTCTTGGATCGACATATTGAAACCAGTCATAGAACATCCAATGCGATACCCCTACTGGATTGGAGTACATACCTTGAGGAGCCGGGAGCTGGATTCATCGACTGAGCTTGTAGTACCATCAGGACTAGTTGTCATACCCAGACGTTCAATACGACCAAGGCCATTCACTCTCGGAACACGCTTTCCAATGTCACAGTCAATACGAAATGGATCCTTCGGTTTATTCCCTGGTCAAGAACTTCTGGCTGATATGTTGGACCAAACTGTCCAGCGATTGCATTTTTGGTAACCGTCTTCTTGGAAGAAACCTTGGAGGACACGGAGACGTTCTTGAACGAGACAGAGGTCCCCTCTGACCGTGTTCTCTGAGAAACTGATAAAGGCGCGTGTAGTTAACAGCTTACGGCTTGATGTCCCAGGTTTCGACTCGACTGAGCCGAGCCTTTTTGCAAGAGTAGGGGATTTGGCCGAAGAGACAACCATCCAAGGGTCTATACACGACCGGAAGGTACATGATACATGCATGTTGCTGCTAATGGCATCCCTGTATCGATGTAGATCAAAATTCTAGCATGAGGCATACTCGACGTACTTGGAGGCCTTCCACAGAGATGGTACATGCCACCAGTTGCACAACCAGCGAACATGATTGATATGGAGAGTCAGAAGCTGTCAAAGCAGTGTGATCGTCGGGTTGAGCAAGCGACCGAAGACATCGGGCCAGAGGAAAGCTCCAGCTAGTATGGATGACTGATTCATGCTGAAATAAGGACAATATCGTCGAGGTGGAAGCTGTTGAGGCAGTCTGGTCGTGTAGTTGATCGAGCACCCAAGGACCTCGATGCAGAAAAGAAGCTCCAGCGGGTATGAATAACCGGACTCTATCAAATAGGGACATGACGTCGTGCTGACATCGTCGAGGTGGGAACATGTTCGGCAAACGATCATTCCTTATGTGCCATTAATGACTTTGAAACAACCGCGAAGCATTCTTGACACTCACGTCGAATGTTGGAATGGACACACAGTCCATGTCAACGTGAAGTCAGTACCAACGTATGGTCAGTATGTTCGGAGGAACATCATCAAGCGATATTGGTACTCGTGTCGAGAACCAGGTCCAAGTGTATCGTCGTATCCGATACTTTTGGCCATCGCTATTGCTTGTCAGCGTTTCTGAAGAAGATCCTTGGTAGCATCAGTACTTAGGCTGAACATCAAATCCAAGGAGGAAGCTGTGGAGCGGTACCGTGGTATTCGACGCTTTCGGCATATTGCTATTACGTGTCAGCCTTTCTGGAAAAGATGCATGGATTGGTGTCAGTACTTACGTCGAACACCAGGTCCAAGAAGAGGCAGTTGGCCAGTACCGCCGCATTCGACGCTTTCGGTATACTGCGGTTGCTTGTTCATGCCTCTGGAAATAGGATATCGTCAAGTGAACCTGGTACTTGTGTCAAAGTCAGAGACTGGGTCCAATGATGAGGTTGTACGCCGGTACCGCCGCATTCGACACTTTCGGCAGATCGCTATTGCTTGTTAGCATTGCTGGAGAAGATCTATGAAGTGTTGTCAATGCTTACGTCGAATATGAGGTGAACAAAAGAGACTACAAGTCAGTACCGTCGTGTTCGACGCATTCGACGTATTGCTATTGCCTGTCAGCACTTCTTACTACCACAAACAGAAAAACCACGAGATCTTTGCGTAGAGATGAAAGGAGAAGATGGGATTGGAGCGTGAGTAAGTTCTGTCATTGCCAACTCGTTATTGCCACTCGTCGATACCGCTTGCTGCAGTGAAAAAGAGTACGTGTTACAGACTGAGAAAGAAAAAGAGAAGTAAACGAAAACCACCAGACTTGAGCACATTCGACGTGTGATGGCCTGAGTGCAATCTGCAGGTGAATCTAAGCTTCAGCATCACTGTTCTCGGCCTTGATCTTCAGTTCCTCCTGGCCAGGAGCGGCCTTCTGAAGCTTCTTGGTCAGGGGAGTNNGCCCTCGTCGTCGTCATCTGAGTCGGAAGCAGCCTTGCGCTTGGATGTAGCCTTAGCTTTGCCCTTGGACTTGGGGCCAGCAGCAGAGCCAGCAGTACTTGGAAAAGTTAGTGAGTAGGGATTTTCGTGTCAGCATGTCTTGGACTTGCAACGTACCCGTTGGACTTGGCCTTTCCCTTCTTGGGAGCAGGAGTCTTGGGGCTGGACTGTCAGAGCCCTCACTGATGCGTCCGATAGTCAGTACGATTCAATCAAGTCTTGGATGAGTGAAGGCATACTCATTGTCGTTCTTTGCAGCAACACGGATGCGAGAAGTGTGCTTCTTCAAAGCGGCAACAGTGCAGGTAGCAGCATCAGTGGTGAGCTCTGCAGCGAGAGCGTCCCAGTCGACGTTTGCGGAGGCACTAGGGTCCTTCAAGACTGCGAGCAGGATCTTGCGATCAGCCTCAGCTGTAACAAAGTCAATGATAATCGAAAGGCAAAGCAATGAGTCCTTATTCCTTACCATCCCAGGTGATACCAGGCATCTTGTTAGATTGTGGGTTGTTGTTCGTGGGATTTGGTGAAACTTTTGAAAGAGGAGTTGATGTTTGTAGGAGTTGGCAAGTCTGAGGATTAAGGGTGAAGGCACAAGGGATATGTAGGAATTGGATCGAACTTGGGAAGCTGGTGGAAGAAAGAGCGCAGACAGGAAAGCGGAGATGAAGAGAGAAAGGGAAAGAAGTCGCAGAGTCGGCGGAACCTATTGGATCTGGTTGAGGGTCGACGAGCGTGCAGCTTCGTCGCAGGCTTTCACTTGGAGCAACGAAGTGTTGGTTCTTCACACAAGTCAGACCAATCCGACGATGAGACTCACAGAAAAAGAACAGAACAGAATGAGTCGAAAAAGTCCAGAGCCCACCACAAGTATCAGATAGCACAACTTCAAAGTCCAAAGGCATCAGCAAGACTTGCAGTACCCTGCATTCTTGCCAATTGCTGGTTCTGGTTTCCAGTGCCGCCCAAGATCAGACAATTCTATCTGTTTCATATAATGATTACCTACCTCATCTTCTCCTGTCGATGGTTGAATACGGATGGGCTGAGAAGCCATTCCTCGGTGGAAAGATGTCGCAATGAAAAGTGGTCCTGAGGTGCATTTTTCCAATTATCTGGTGTCGAGATTCTGAGCAACAACCTCGTGGGTATCAGGCGTGCATCTGAGGGACTAAGGAGTCGCAAACCTTTTCATCGCCATCAAGATGTCAGCAACAGAAACTCCTTTTGCTCGAGTTGCTTACAGCTTTCCTCATGTTGCAATTAGCTCGAAGCACCCAAGCTGACGGCAGAATCATCTGGCAAGACCTCGCATTGTGCTCGATTGCCTTGAGCGTGCAGTCGACCCAGATATAGCAGCTGTGTATACGTTTCGCTTCTTGATGCTTCAGTATGAGCACTCATACAAACATCGAGCAAAGAAGATGTAGGTAGACTCAAAGGACGAGATGTCGTTGAAAGGGATGACGGTGAAAGCCGTCCAAGGCTTGGCGAGCCTGCCTTCCTCGTGCCTTGCGGCCACTTCCTTTCAACCATTATTCTGAGGGTTTCTTGTACAAATGGTGGCCTTTGCAAGATGAAAGTATCGCCTTCGCAAAGTCATTACCTCTGCTGGATCTGGTTGCTTCCGATGAAGCTCGCACCGTGTTTAATGCTTGCCAGCAGCTCAAGACAACAAGCCGGACAAAACATTAGAAACACATCAATAAATAGAACACAGTAAGTTCAGATCGGACGAATAGAGTGTGGAAAAAGCAGTTTCATTTCTTGATTGGAAACATGTTGGAGGGGGCCATCGATGATAGAATGAGTGAAAGAGACAGAAAAACATGGCCATCCCTTCCCAAGTAAGTATAAGCAGTTCTTCTTGCTGCAGAGGTTCGTTATCCTCGTTGTGTCGGCGCTCCAGTCGCTACTGCAATGCTGCCAGAAGAGTAGGATATCAATGTCGTGGTAGGCGATCAAGCAACAGTCTATNTGCCAAGTCGGTCAACTCAGCCACATTACTTTCAGTCCCCAAATCNNTCACCTCTTCATCGCCGTCTTCAGTGTCAAGCTCAGTCTTGACGACATCCTCCTCGCCCTCAATAGCATCCAAAGCATCGTAATCGACAATTTGTTCAGCGTCGACTTCGGCCTCGGCTTCAGAGCTGTGCTCATGCTTCATCTTGCGCTTCTTCTTCGCGCTTCCTCCTTGTCTGCGCGTTTGGCGTCCCTTTCCTTTTGCTCGCGGCGGATCTTCTTGCGCGTCGCTTTGCTCTCCTTCTTCATCTCCAGCGCGATTCTTGGCACGAGCAGTAGGAACGCGGCCAGCGCTGCTGCGCAGTACTCCACGGACCCCATAGTCGGCGGCGAGTTTGTTGTAGCGCTTGGAGCTGTTGGGTGGGTAGGTTGCTTGGTCAGTTGGGTGAGATCGCGAGAGGTGTGATGGGAAAATGAGAGAGACGTACGCGGCGTTAGTGGTGAGTCCGGTGTCTGTGGCGACGCCGCTCCATTCGACTTGGCCTGCGCCTTTGCTGTTCTTGATGCAAGAGAAGAGCAGAACAATCTGCTCGTCCTTTGTGATCGGAGCCATTGTTAGTGTTGTTCAGAAGAGGTAATGAAGAAAGACTTGTTTGGGTGGTTGATGGATTGAAGAGTTAAGAGAGGAAAGAAGGAGAAGGGACTGGATGGAAGAAACTAAGAAAGAGACCAGCCACAGAGAAGTGGACTGAAGCCGCTGATGTGTTGTGCAGAAGTGAATCTGTGGATAGTGACAAGCTTGTTCACCGATGACGAGCGGCGAACAGCGGGCTGGATTGAAACACGACGACAGTGTCGACTATTGAGAGGGGTACTCACTTTTGTGTATCCTTGGGTAGCGTGAACTTGGGGATGTTATGAGTGTATCAGGGGCGTTTTCACAGAGGCGACGTCGAAGGTTGTATATGTCAAGAGGCATGTCTTGAAGCAGTCGGGTGAACTGTTGATATAGCTAGCATGTGAGAGCACGATCGCCTGATCAATGTCACTTAGCCAGACAAGCCACCTCTGATAGACACTATCTAGTGAAGCAACTGCTTGTCTTTGTCGGACTGGAGCTGCTGAAAGCACAAGGGTGACATGATCAGACATGTGAACACATACAGCCTCTTTCGTGAACCCTCTAGTGTAACGAAAAAGCAAGCAATCGTGCAAATGCGATGAAATATGTCAAATTGATATTCGCTGCATAAAGAAGAACTTATTTGGCCTTGGGGCTAGCCTTGGCCTTCTTGCCTGCTTTGTTCAGGCTCCTCCTCTCTTTCTTGCTTTGAGCCTCCGTTGAGGTTCCCACAGCATGTCCACCAACCTCGCTGACACCATCTTTGACTGGGTTCTCAGCTACCTTGGGACTCTTTGTGCCTGATGGCGATTTCACGGCCTTCTCTTCTATTTGGTCCTCGGCGTTAGGCTCCTCAGATGTGACTTCCTTCTCCTTGGGCTTCTTAGTGGACTTTGTGGCTTTGGGATCGATGCCCTTCTTCTTGAGCTGCTTCGCGCGGGCACGTTGGATGATGGCCTCATCCTCGGAGTCCGAGAAGCCACCAAACTCGTCATTCTCGGCTTCCTCGCTGATAGGGGTTCTGTCGATGATCTCTTCGTCTCCATCCTTCTTCACATTTTGCTTCTGTTCTTCCGAGCCTTGTGCCTTGATGGCGTTTGCAGGTGTAGGGCCGACCTTCTTGAACTTGGCGACGTAGAAGCCATCAACGTTGTAGGCGTGAGGGTAGTATCTTCTGGTCTCCTTCAAGCTGGGGTGGAACTTCTTGCCCATGAAGCTGGTGAAGCCCTCCTTACCAAACACAAGGCCGGTGCTGACAAGCTTGACATTGGGGCGTCTGTTGAGAGCGTACTGAACAACTTGCTCGTTCTCCTCGACGGTGACACTACACGTTGAGTATACAATGTAACCTCCGGTCTTTGAGGCGTGGTCTACTGAGTCGATGGCGGCGAGCAGAAGCTGCTTCTGGAGATGGGGCAGGCGCAGGAAATCGGCCTCGGTCTTGTTGGTCTTGACACTCTGATCCTTGGCAATAACACCGGTACCGGAGCAAGGAGCATCGAGAAGAACTCTGTCGAATCCACCCATGACCTTGGGGAACTCAAGAGCGGAGTAGTGACACACAATAGTGTTCTTGACACCGAGACGATGAATGTTACCAATCAAACCCTTGGCACGGACTTTACTGGCATCGTTGGCGAAGATGACACCAGTGTTGCGCATCAGAGCAGCGGCGTATGTTGTTTTACCACCGGGAGCAGCAGCCATATCCAGGACACGCTCGTTCTCTTGCGGCGCCAAAGCCATGACGGGCAAGAAGGAACTGGCGGCTTGGAGGATGTAGTGTCCAGCAAGATATTCGGGAGTGGCACCCAAGGGAACCTGAGATTCGAAAACCTGCAGACCAACCTTGCTCCACTTTCCAACGGGCTCGAGAGTAACACCGCGGTTGATCAAAGAGTGAGCGAGGTCACGACGGTGAGTGCGGAGGGTGTTTGTTCTGATGACCAGAGGACGAGGAGTCTCGTTAGCGTCGAAGAAGGCAAGGGCCTCCTGGGNGGTGAACAGCCTCCACAGCTTCTCGGCCAAGAAGCGCGAGTAGCCGTAGTAAGCGCAGATATCGTTGAGGAGCGAGTTGATGTAGTCGGCACGCGAGCGCGAAGGGTCGGACAGTTCCTTGAAGCTGGTCAGAACACGGGTGGTTTCGGTGATACGGGTACGGAGCAGCTGGAGGTCGGGAGCAAGAGTGGCTTTTCGTTGGGCGGCCTCGTCGTCGTCTTCGTCCTCGGGAATGTCAGCGGCGGCAATGTTGGTCTGCATGGCATCGTCCTCGAGTTCGGCTTGTGCATCAGCAGCCTCTTGTGCGGCTTCTTCATCAAGGCGACCCGAAAGACCAGCAATGTTGGCAGCGTTCAGCATCTCTTCAGCGTCCGAGGCATCTTCATCCTCTGACCACATGGCGCGCTGCACGTCCGGGTCGTCTGAATCCATGAAGTCATCATCCTCAGCAGGCTCGTCGTCCGACTCGAGGACGCCCAAATCGTCAACGGCATCTGAGTCTTCTTCGACATCTTCGTCGTCGGACTCAACCAGTTGTTGAGCCTCCTTTGCTACCGTCTTTGGTGTCTTTCCATTGGCTGCGAATTGGCCCTTGGTCGTCTTCTTTCCGGCCGAGTTCTTGGGCTTGTTGGGGTCGGTTCTGCGCTTCTTGTATGTTGCCTCTGGCGGCGGAGGTGCGTCCTTTCTCTTTCTGGAAACCAGCGATTCGTTCAGGGGCTCGGGCACACCCTGCTTCTGCATACGACGACTAGGTGCCATTTTGTGCTGTGATGTCGAATGCGACTGAGAAAACCAAAAATTCAATGCAGCAGGAAAGACGCTGCTCTTTCTCAAACTTTACGAGACTTTTTCTGGAACCACTTTGTGGGGAAAGCCGCTCTCATTGGCCACCTCGTGCCAGCTCGGCCTTTACCAGCGACCATATCTTATCGCCGTACGCATGCAATAGGAGCCATTCACAAAACACTCGTACAATCTGATGGATGGTCAAGTTTGGTGGTGATGTTCATCATGAGCTACAGGAATCCCGAGTTCGACTTCTTAGTCGCTGTCCTCATCGCTCCCATATCCAACCAATGGACCCGCAGGCTTGTCCGGAGCCTTGCTGGCCGCCGCTCCTGAGCCTGCTGTGAAGCCTTTCAATGCACTCAGCGTTGATCCTCCAAGAATTCCAGAGGACGCTTCCGGTCTTTTCATGTCCTCGATCCGAAGCGGTGCGCCTTCGTCGTCGTCCTCTAGGTCTCCAGCTTCAAGCAGATATGGCTCTTGTGGTGCTCCAAGTCTGGCCTTCTCCGATGCATACCACACCTCGTCGCTGGCTTCATACCCGGTCAACCCAAATGTGCCTTCAACCTTTCTCCTCTTCCTTGCTTCCTCCCATCCTTCACCACGGCCTTCGATCTCGGCCACGTATTCTGCTGGTAGAGCACGGCGAATTGCATCTGCTGCCTGCTCCTCAATCTTGCGCACTTCTCGTTTCTGGGCTTGCGGATTCGGATCGACAGTTGCCCATCTCACGTTCAGCGTCTCGTTGTTGTCCAGCGGTTGGTGCGCCATGGCCTCTTTCGCGAACTCCTGTATAATCGTCAGCTTCTTTTCAACGACTCAGGTCTAGGCCAGGTAACTTACCGCATTGGCCAAGTGGACGTAGGTCACAAATGCCACACCTCTAGCCGGCAGCACGCGTACGCGCTCGATCTGACCCCACTCTTGGAAGTGTCTGGCGACCACCTCCTCAATGTCGTCTGATGTGTGAATCCTGCCCACGTATAGAGTTCTGTTGACGCGCATGAAACTTCCAACACCACCCATGTCGTCTCTGTAGTCGCTGAACTTGTCGCGTCCGAAGCAGTCGACGTTGGAAGGGAAAATGTCGCCTAAGCCGCCCTCTTTTTCTACGCGCGAGTTTGGCAGACGGTGGAGGTACTCGCAATCTTGGCCTTTGGGACACAGGCCGCGGGAAAAGAATAGACAGAAGTAGCTGCCAGGAATGCTGTCGGCTTTTGTGTATCCAGAGTCGGTCGCAACGTTGCACCTGCCCTTTGCCTGTTGCTTGGAGGAGTAGGCGTCTTCGCGATCACCGCCAGACCATTTGTTGTACCAGATGTTGAAGATTGTGCCGGTTTGAGCGGGTCTTTCTGACTGGAAGCCTTCTTGTTGTACTCTGGCGGGCCTCCTCTTCTTCTTGACCATGATCTTCTTGGTCTTCTTCTTAGGCTCCAGAGCAGTGCTGTCTTGATTCGTAGGGACCAGTGCCGCCGAGTCTGTGACTTCCATGTTCGCGAGAGGATTTTGATCGGTCGCAGTGGCCTCTTGCACCGGGGGTGTATCTACGTCGGCCATGGTTGTGTGTGATGTGTAAGGTGTCGCGTAGATGTTCGATAGAGAAATTGGCTGATAGTGAGTCGGATGATCGAGATGAATGGTCGTAGTTGCCGTATGGAATGAAGAAGGCACAAGTTTGGCGCGGCGGAGAAGGCGCGGGCGTGAGCTTGGACCACCACTAGGTAAGCTCTCCAGAGCGAGCCTAACAGTGGACTATCGTCAAGCACCATCACACGCTTTCTATACCACCCATCACCTCCCTCTTCTCACACACACCGTCAACATGCCTGGATTCGACTTCTCGCTGCACAACCGCAACCTCGCCTTGCACGCACAGGGTGTGCCGCTGCCCAAGGCCACCAGCACCGGAACCACCATTGTCGGCTGCCTCTACGATGGCGGCGTCGTCATCGCCGCAGACACAAGAGCTACCTCAGGGCCTATCGTCGCCGACAAGGTCAGCACCCATCTATCTCCATTCTAAAGGCCCCCAGACTGACTCTGCATCCAACAGAACTGCGAGAAGTTGCATTACATTGCNCCCCAGATCTGGTGCGCTGGCGCTGGTACCGCTGCCGACACCGAGTTCACCACCGCTCTCATCTCCTCCAACATCGAACTGCACGCCCTTTCCACCGGACGCAAGCCTCGCGTCGCCACCGTCATGACCATGCTCAAGCAACATCTGTTCCGCTACCAAGGTCACATCGGCGCCTACCTGGTCGTAGCCGGCGTCGACCCCACAGGCAGCCATCTCTTCACCGTCCACGCCCACGGCAGCACCGACAAGCTCCCCTACGTCACCATGGGCTCGGGTTCGCTGGCCGCCATGTCCGTCTTCGAAACCCAATGGAAGTCGGGTCTCAACAAGGACGACGCCATCAAGCTCTGCGCCGACGCCATCCAAGCCGGTATCTGGAACGATCTGGGTTCGGGCTCCAACGTCGATGTCTGTGTCATCACTGCCGAGAAGACGACGTTGCTGAGAAACTACATCACCCCCAACAAGCGCGAGCAGAAGATGAGGAATTACAGGTTCCAGAGAGGAACCACCGCCGTCCTCAACGAGAAGATCATTACTCGCCAGGACATTAGCAAATACGTCACGGTGCACGAGCTCAGCGACAATGATGCTGGCCAGGCCGCAGAGAAGATGGAGGTCGACTCATAGACAACGATGTTCTTGGCCATAGACACGGGCCAAATCAATGACTTTTGACACATTTTCTGTATTCTAATGGGGACCAACGATTCGGGGGCTTTTACTACCATAAAGCAAGCACAGGCATTTTTCGGGGAGTTTGCAAATATCAAAATCGGTCATAATGCTTCTTCTTTCTTATGTGTATTTTGTGTCTTGTCTGAGTCTTTACCAAATCTCTGAAGTGAAAGTCTATGTACGATGGAAGAAGAAGATGTGCGGCGAGGTCCAGCCTTGCCAATCGACTAAAGACAATCCCAGTAGTAGCCATAGCCTGCAGAGTAGTGTTGGTATAAGTGTTGTTCTTCGTCAAAGAGAATGTGTTCAGCCGCCTCCTCTGCATCCTCAGTTGCATTGCGAGGAAAAATAAGCGTTTGAGTGCTGAGGGTGGACGTACCGTCGGAGGATTGTGAGGTTTGAAGTTCGGTGGTCGTAGACGCAGATGCAGATGCAGACGGAAGGTTGGTTACAGCTGCTGCGTTTGTGGTGATATGAACGCCAGTGCTGCTTGCCACATCCGTCCCTGTAGTGTTGACCTCGCAATTGGAGATATCGATACTGGAGCGATTGAAATAAGCCTCCACGGATGCAATCTGGAGAACGCTGTCTTGCACCGGCGGCCCATACGTCCACACATATCCATTGCTCCACGAGTTCCACATTAGCCAGCCAGCCGCTGAAGGCACATTTCTGTATATCGACATCACATGCACACCATCAATATAGAAATTTGTTTCTGTGGGCAACCAATCGTAGCGGTATTCATGGAAGGCGGTTGTCATGGTGGATGGTGCGGGATATGCGAATGTGGATTCCCCGGTGCCGGGTGCGGTCTGTTGGTTTGTGAAGTGGATGTTTTGGGGGTCGCCTGTGCGAATCTCGATGTCGGTTTCTTGAGTGTCGTTCATGTACATGAAGAAGCNCTGTATAATGTCAGCATCAGTTATGCGCAAGCAAAGCATTGGAGCATAGAATGGAAATGCAGCAAACGTACCGTGAACTGTGCCGTTGATGGGGCTGGCTTGCGCGACTGTCCTTACACTGGCATAAAGTATATCGTCATATCTGGTCACCAATTGACATGTATCCAGAGGGTCTACAGTTTGACCACCGGGGACAATCATCTGCATGGGCTGACCAGATCCAAGAATTATATTGCTAGGATTGAAGATGTGTGAATATGGAGCATAGGGTCCAGAACCGACTTCATAGGTACTAGCGATCAACTCGTCCGGGAGTGTATCCATGGTAGTGAAGTCGAATGCAAGGTGGCAAGTAAAGGCACCCACGCCTTCGACCTGATAGTGGCAGCCATCAAAGATATCATCTGCGCTGGTAGCCGAGCGAGTAGTAAGCCTGCTGCTAGAAGCAGAGGGTGTCGGGTGGTCAGAAGAAGTTGTATCTGCAACAACAGCAGTGATAGTGGCCAAAAAGAAAAGGCAGAATATGTTCCTAGATGAAGGCATGGTATGGGATTACAAACGACTGCCCAACATTGTTGTGAACAGAAGATGACCAGCAAAAGAAAGAAAATGGGATTGAAATTGAGTTGCAGCGCGTAGTAGTTTAGAGCTTCCAGGGCCTGGGTACAAATGGTAATATATGTTCAAGGCGGCAGTTGGGAGGGAGAAAACGGGCGAGGCGTCACTCATCGGACAAAACTAGTAGACGTTTCCAGCACATGGGTATGGGATGCAAACGGTATAAGGAAAACCTTGTATGTGCCGGGGCGGGATGTAGGAATGGTGGTTCGAGAAGGACATCGTCAAGAGTCAGGGTATGGAGTGGATCCTGGCGTCAAGGTTGTTGTGGTAGGGCTGCGAGGCTCAGGGAGACAGGTAGGGGAACCCGGAAGTGCTGAATAGCAAGCCGGGCTACTGCACAATTGAAAAAGCTTGAACTTGTAAACTGACCATCTGCGAGATAGTGGTACTGTCCGATATGGCTTCGGATGTGCAGCGAGAAGATCTGGTGTGGTGCTGGAAATGGCATTGGAGGACATAGAAGTTGAAGGACCGACAGCTCAACAGCATCTGCAGCGTCCTACTGGAGACAGAGTACTACAGTGCACTACCCAACAGATAGCTAACAACACATGCGTGCGACGATTTGGTAGGATACATTGAAAAGAGTCGTAGAGGAATGGGCGAAGATCCCCGCATCCGCGGGCGAGAGTGATCGTCCCGGCGTGCCTGCAGATGATGCGAGCCGACGGGGTGGGTCGAAGCCAAAAAGGCGACCAAGAGCTGTGACGACTGAGGAAGGAAGGGACACGCAACTGCCATGTAGCTCGGTGACGATTGCAAGTCTCATGCATACCATGACATGAACCTTCGCTCCTTCCACCCAGTCCTCGACCACTGGCATCATGAGTAAAGCATCCTTCAAGACGTCGGCTCCTCCATCGCCTGACGAAGCCTCGCAAACACCTGTCGCCGGTGCATCGTCGTCAGCTCTACCTCTGCCTCCTTCCTTGACACTGCGTAGTCGCTCATCGACAAAGACAAGTCATCCTGCTGCTGATGGCGCGTCTCCCATCGAGCCATCCCTCTCTCGCCGTCGCTCCTCGCTGCTCTCATTCTCGAGCTTGGACGACACGCGACACTCGGCCGGTGACTTCATCCGTCCATCCCTAGGTCTCGACGATGATGACTCGACCGCTCCAGAGGACTTGTCGCACTGGCACAGCTCGCCCTTGGCCTTTGCTTTTCTCCCCGCCCTCGCCGGCCTGTTCTTCACCAATGGAAGTGCTTTCGTCACTGACATCATCCTACTTGGCCTAGCTGCTCTGTTCCTCAACTGGAGTGTCAGACTACCCTGGTATGTCTTCTTCTAGCCATCTTCCCTCATAGACTGACAAGCTAGGGACTGGTATCGTTCAGCTCAGGCTCAGTTCACTCTGGACCAATTGAGCAAGCAGGATCCGACTGAAGACGACCAACAACCCCCATCTCCCGAGCGAGCACAACCAGGTCAAGAGCAGGAAGATGCGGCGGCTAGTCTCCGCCAACACGAGCTCCTTGCTCTAATATCTACCTTCTTGTTTCCTGCAGGTGCTGCCTACCTTCTGCATGTCATCCGTGGTCAGCTCTCGCGCCCGTCAGAAGGTCTGGTGTCAGATTACAACCTCACTATATTCCTTCTCGCTGCCGAGATACGCCCCATCAGGCAATTGATCCGCTTGTTCACCCATCGGACCATTCATCTGCAGCGTATTGTTCGTGGCAACAACGACTCCTCGGCCATGAGCAGGAAGGACAAGGCCATTACAGAGCTTGCCTCACGCCTAATCATCCTTGAAGACAAGTTTGGCGATCAACTGTCGTCTCCAGGCGTCTCAATCGTTCAAAAGGAAGAAGTCAGTGCCCTTTCCAGTGACATTAGAAAGCGTTACGAACCTCGTCTGGATGCTCTAGAGCGTGCTGTCAGAAGATATGAGAAGCGAGCCACTACTCTGACTCTGCTCACCGAGCAAAGGTTGCAATCTCTAGAAAATCGTCTGCAAGATGCTCTCAGTTTGGCTGCTGTCGCTGCTCAGTCATCGAGTAAACCAGGCATCGTAGCTGCCATGCTGTCTACTCTAGCAAAGACACTAGCGGTACCTCTGGAACTTGTCTGGTTCGTTTTCGTGTGGCCATTGAAGGTAACAGAGTCGATGCTCAAGAAAGCTGGCGTCTTGGTTCTGGGCCCGTCAAACCCCCTCGTCGTCGTAGTGACTCCAAAGGTCCCAGACCAAGGTCGGAAAAGAATAAGGACGACTCTTATTTTCAACGACATTATTGATAGCATAGCCCACCCATGTTGGAGCTTCATGCACCGGCCTGAGTGCTATACATTATTTATGATTTATGACCTGTATCACTCGAGCAAGTATGGAGACCTCGAGATTCCTTATTCCCACTCATCGGTTGTCGTCGCGAACCTTAGAACTACTTTTTCACCCTCAACGAGATTTATAGTGACGATCACCCGCAATGTGTGCAGTCCAACTCGTTGTGATGATCCGAGTATATCGTTGAGGGGACGACCCTGTCGCGATATCATTCTCCTCCTGGCTCCTCTCTACATATGTAAACGGATTGAACTTTGACGACAATATATGTTGGAATGAATAGGCATCAGAGGTGTGAGAGAATGAGATGTTATATCAGAGGTGCGCAAGATCGTAACAGTCCTCGGCAAGTGGAAAGCCAGACTATACCCAGATATCACCGACCCACATTCGAAGGCAATCACAGAATGCGTGACATTGCATCTAGCATCCACCTCCACCTCCTCCACAACCGCCTCCGCCGCCGCCTCCTCCACCGCAGCCGGCACTTCCTCCTGTTCCTCCACAAGCCCCAGCCATCGAAGCACCACACGATCCCGCTGCAGCACCCGCACCACAAGTGCCGGCACAACAGTTTCCAACAGCACCTGCCCCCACAGCCATACAGCCAGGATTGACGGGGTAGACTACTGGTGTATACGGCATGGCGCCATAGTACGGCGCATACGCAGGTATATACACTGGATAACCATATGCGTCAGAGTAGTAATAGTCATCCCTTTTGGGGCGTGGGTTGCCCTTCTTGTCGGCACGCTGACAGGCCTTGTCGTATGCTTTTTCGAGCTCTGCGAGCCGTTTTGCGACGCCGTCGTCGTAGGCCTTGTCGCCGGTGGGCCGCACGGCATTGTGCGTGGAGATGTGAACGGACTTTCTGGGGTCCGAGGGCACAGCGTGCAGGTTTTCTGCTGCGGTGGCCACGTTACTGCGGAATATGCGTGATGCAGTTGAGGTGTGTGATTCGCGCACTGCTTCGCAGTACCAGCAAGTGCATTCGGAGTAGGGCTCGCCATAGAGTTTCTGGTAAATCTTGCTGGTGTCGGCAAAGGCATCTGTGAGTTTTGCTTCTGCGACCTTGTCGTCGTGGTCGATGAAGGTTCTGCTTTGGGTCACGGTGTATTGGAGGTATTTGGAGGNGGTGAGCTGGTGCGTGTGCCAGGCGAGGTCTACGTCTAGTGTCGGCACGGCCATCTTGCTGTAGCGGGAGATGATCGCGATGAAGCGCGAGTACTTGCGTATCAGGCGAGGCATGGTACTCGACAGCGCGGGCGAGTGCAGCCAGTCGATATTATGCATCTTCTCCACGAAGTCGCCTTGACGTATCACTGCACCAACAAGATCGATGGCGAACACGGATGGATTCTCCCAATACCTCGACATCATGCGGCGAAGAGCCAAAGCTTCCTCTGGGAAGATTTTGGAACCGGTTTTGTAGTGCTTGGCTTGCTTGACTAGTTCTTTGACGGAGAGGTAGTCTTCGATGACTTCGCGGACGCTGGCCATTTGCATGTCCGAGGCGCCGAGATCGAGGATCCGTTTGGCGCGGCCAATCTTCATTAACTTGCTCGGGAATGCAAAGTACGACCAGCCATTGCGATCAAGGACCTTGCCAACTCTCCCTGGTAACCCGTCCCTGCCTAAGATACCTCCGGGCAACATGACATCTCTCTCGATGAGATTGATCAAGTCCTTGCGGAGCTTTCCTACGCAGAGAGAGTCGTGCGTGATTTGGGAGTTGCATTGCTGACAAGTCAAGGTGAACTCCTTGTCAGCAAACCCATAACAAGTACTGAGTAGAGCTTGAACATTTCCAAGGACGGCAGCACCGTCCGACAATGACTCCTGTGGACGTGTACCAAACGCTGCAGACGCTTCTCCATATGTAGTCCAGGGTGCAGTATTTTGTGTACCGCAGAAGTGGCATTCTATGTTTGTGTGGCCTGGACCATCCAGGTTGTCCCAGTCGAGTCCAGTCTGCTCTCTGAAGCTAGTGATTGTTTGCTTTGCCACTTGGTAGTGACAGTCCGAAGCATCAATATGGTCGGCCACTGTCTCTGATGGAAATGATGTATGCCATAGACGCATCCGACCTTCACGCGCACAATCTTCCAGGTATGCTCTCGGATTCAACATGTATGAATGCCAGACCATCAAGACGTCTAATCAATGGTCAGCAGGCTTCATTAGTGAATGAGCTGTTGACTTACCTATGGGTGGTAGGTTTCCAGCGTCGAAAAACCATGGCTTGGCCGTTCCAGGATTCACACGGTCGGCCAGTATCTGTCCTTTCGAAGAGATAGCTTGATTGAGTATGTAGTAATCAGGGTTGGGCTCCAGACTATACCTCCACCTTGCGAAGCGCTCGACTGCCCGAGAGACGTAAACTTGCCATCTCTTCTCTGCAAGGAGAGTCAACGTCTCGTTCTTTGGGTCCTTGTGAGTGTCCTTTTGTGGTGTGCTCTGATCAAAGTTTCCGACAGCGTCACAAGATATGCCAAAGAGGCCTTCAGTACTTGCAATCTTTTGCTTTAGGCGGTAGAAACACTCCAGCAGCTTGAGGTGTGCTACACAATCTTCAGGACTTGGCAGATCCGGATCTAAATGCGGCAAGCTGCTGACAGACGGTGTAGAGACCTGAACATTGTGTTGTTGACGTCCAGCTTCCTCATAAGTCGGAGGGGGCGGTGATGGACTCTTTTCGACAGAGTCGACAGTAGTGGTTACGTTTGCCTCTTTCTCCTTGTCGGTCTCCTTGACCCTGGAGAAGGCTCTTGAAAGTCGTCCCATGATCGGTGGTATACTGGTTAATGATATGTGTCTGCAAAATGAGCGACGGTGTTGGGAAGTCGCTCGTTTATATATAGTGTAAGCGGTCATTAGTTGTTACGAACCCCGCCCTTTCTCAGATCAGGCAGGCTCGAAGGGTTTCGCGGTGGATGCCACATGACTCTTCTCGGACACCTGCTCATCCTATCAGGCGTCTATCTTTCAGATCTGGAGGAAGCGGCTGTGTTCGCAGGATTCAGAAATATGGATGATGTGCATCGATCTTGCCTCTCTGGGCATCAGAACCAACCTTCCAGAGACTTTCTAGCGCGACTTGGGTTGAGGCTTGGACTGCTCAAGCATTCAGTCAATCGCAACGTCACTTTTTTCTCGAGGCTGAGTCCTGAGAGGCTTGTACTCTACAGCAAGCCTCTGACATTTCAGGCATCTCATATTGAACGATTGCGGCCGTAGAGTGTTGCGGCGGAGCACTCTTTGGCTCTCATTGACGGAGGAATTAGACAAGGCGGCGGCGTCGAGGCGCAATATGAGAGGAGGCCAAGAAACGGCAACTCGGACCGAACATGCCAGAAGGTAGAACCGAGCTGCCCTGTTCTTTTTGACTGCCTGCGACTGCCTCGAAGGTCGGCTTCCTTTCTGCCTTGAAGGCATAAGAAGGACATTTCTACTACTATGACAGTTGAACAGATGAAGAACTAGACAGGAGTACGATCGGTATAACGTCCAGACTGATGATCCTAATTGCCAAGCGCAATCATTCCAGGCAGACATGAAACAAAGTCACCTCCACATGAATCTATCTCTTACAATCAAGCGAGCTGAGAGGTTCGTGTATAATGTATCGGAACGTCTTTGATCGTCTTGTATCTTCCTCTCCTCGTGCTAAAGATTGTTATAGTATAGCTATAGAAATGCACAGTACTTCTCCAGAAGAAAGTAATGCCCAAGGAGATGTACTATCTTGAGGCCGTCTCTGTGGTCATACGTCTGATCTGATGAGCAGCTGTGTATCTCTATAGAATACTATAGTAATAACCGTTGGTATGGGATATGATTTGGTCGTGAGTCTGAGCCCTGCCCCGTGAATGGGCTGATTTGACTGTATGTCTTCCATGGAGGATCTTTGAAGACGCCCTTGAGGCCAACTTCAAATTTTTGAAGAAACTGCAACTCTAGCTCTAATGTCAGTTCAAGATTCAAAGGCTGCTACCGAGGCTGCCCTAATCTGACAGCTCTCATACCTTGTGGTGGTTCCAACTCATTTATATACATCTTCGTGAGCATGCGATTAGGGCAAGGTATTGAACTTCAGGGCACGGCATGAGTTGGTACATAGTATTCGTGTATATAACAGACATCAAACCTACTGCACTCTAGTTCTCGTTCTCTCGATCAGCATCTCTTTCGTTGACCCAGAAAGGCTGGTTTCCTTTCGTCCGTTCATTTGCCATTACTTTCTTGTTTTCTCAAACAACCAGAAGTATACACACCATGATTTCTCTGCCAATTGTTCTTTCTTTCACGACGTCGCTCGCCGCTGCTGCTGGTTTGAGCAACACGTCTTTGAAAAATTACGTCAACTCGCTCGAGCTGGACTATAGCTTCAATCCCGTCAAGGAGGCCTACTGGACAGACCTGCCTCATCACCGCAGAACACCGTTTGCTCTCTCTCCTGACGGCACTCGTGCTTTCCTCGCGTACCTGGACGATAGCGAGACCGATGTCCACATCCAACGTGTCGATCCTCAGACTTTTGCCGCAGTCGGCACCGCAGTGACTGTCAAGGGAGGCAAGGAGGCTGGTGGACTTGTTGCCCACAATGATGGGTTTGCATTGTTTACCAATGAGGCTTTGCCATTTGGTACAGCTAATGCCCCTGCTGGTAGCACTCCTGTACCTGTCTTGTACAGATATACCGAGGGAGAGCAGACTTTCAAGACGTTCCTGGGCGGGCCTGGTGTTCATGAAAGCGATGGTCTTTCTGCATCTCCTGATCTCAATGACGATCTGGTATATTCAGAAAAGGCTGGGCTGTACGGCGCTTACTTCGTCGTCACCGATTACAGTGGATGGGCCGAAGGCCACTTTGGCGATTCGGTCCAGTATGTCTCGACCAATGGGTCGCTGGAAACCCTGCCCGAGTCCAGTGCTTGGGGTTGCTCTCACAATACCGGTATTGCTTTCGAAGCCGCCGATGCCGTTCCATTTGCCAGTATCTGTGCCGAAGATCAGGGCGACATCTGGCTGAACACCAATAACCGCGGCATGAACCTGTCCGGAGTCAAGATCTCGAATGAGAACACCACCAATGGTGCCAGTGGCGAGTCGATGGGCGGTATGAGTGGATCCTACAGCAATCTCGCACGCTTCCAAGGCGAAGACTCCTACATATTCTCTTGGGTATCTCGCGGCGCCGTTGATCTTTACGAAAATACCTGGATGGGCAAGGGTTATGTTGCCTCTTCCAATAGGACAAACGGCCGCAACGTCGCCATTGCAACTTTCTCGGACAAGCAAACCATGGATGGGGAACAAGCTTCTTCGGTTGTTGGCGCCAAAGACGGCGACTCGCAGGTCAATTGGCTCACCACAGGCACAGCTGACTGCTCCAATGCTCACGTCGCCACTTTCGACGGCAGCAATGCTCTCGTAACCTGGGAGCAGATTGACAAGCCTCAATGTGACAACATTGCCATGGGTTGTCAAGGCGAGTTCAGTGGATCCTACTTCCAATTGGTGAACAAGGGCGAGAAGGTTGGTCAGCCGATCCAGTCAATGGATACCTATGTCGCTGGCGATATGGTTACCATGTCTGATGGTCGTATCTGCTGGCCTTATGTCAACATGACTTGGAGACTCGATGGGACTGCCGGTCAATATGGCAGTCTGCCTTCTTCAACTACAAAGCGAATGTCTTTCGCTTGCATGGACATTGCAGGTGCTGCTGATGCATTTTCTTCGGCTACCGTCTCATCGGACAGTGTTGTTTCGTCCAAAGTAGATACCACTGCTGCTTTCATCAGTACTTCGAGTGTACCATTAAAGATCCCGGCTTCCGTCCCTGTCCTTGTCTCATCGAGCACTATGTCCTCTTCCACTTCTAGCATCAAGGTCGCCAGAAAAACGCACACAAAAGCGTACTCGAGCGCTTCTTCTGCTCTGGCTACCTCAGCAACTACCTTCTCGACTGCAGTCAGAGTATCTTCCACTTCGAGCGTGGTTGGCAAGGAATCTTCTTCCACACTTTCTAGTGCTGCTGATAACAAGGGTGAAACCTGCGAGGTTCAGTATATCTACGAGTAGTTCCCAGTTGAAACTGGATCAGACTCGTTGGTGAATATCTATCAAATTGTCAGCAGATTAATGCATTATCTGATCCTTGAGTGACCAGTCGGTTTCCGCGTTATAGGTAGAAGCATTATAGACATGGCTGCATATAAATTCTTGATCATTTCGTTCTCCTATCGACAACAGTGTGAGGCCCCAGACTTTGGCCGTGAGAGATATCGTGTCGACCAGTGCTCGCAACTTCTGGGGGATATCAAGTACGCGTGACTTTCTCGGCACGGCCGTTCGTTGTCGAGGATTTGGGGAGTGCTGTCGGTACTGAAGACTGCTGCATGGCGCCTTCAAGCTCAGATAGCAATCTAGAGGGCCTTGCCCATGAACTTTCTCTTGGTGAAACTCAACCACCANNCTGGCAGCACTAGCTTAGCATTTCTACTGGTACCTGGTGCAGGGAGCAGTCTTACCTTGCTAGGAGCATCACCGTCTGCGTATATCCTGTTCAACAATCTGTTGGCCAGCTCTTGTCTCATTTGGCTGATGTACTGTCTCAAGACCTCGGCTTCTTGTCTGTCCCGCGGAGGCTCGAAGGCCTGGTTGAGAGGGAATGTGGCATCGCCAGGGACGGCGAAGTTTGTGTCGAGAGCGAGGTTCATGACGGCCTTCTCGGCTTCTCTCCTGGACATCTGAGGCTTGATCTTTTGGATGACTTCGCTGACGAACAGGATACCGTAGATGAGGACACGGTCGGCGGGACCTTTGATTTCGAAGTTGCGGAAGAAGGTGTTGGCACGGAACAGGGCCAGCGTCTCGTCCAGCGGGTCGTAGCTTTCGTGTGAGGCATCGATAGTGAGTTCTGTCACGTCGCCGGAAAGGGCGGGAAGTTGCATAGCGGGGCCACGAGTTCTGGTACGGAGAGGGAGCAGGGCAAAGTTGCCAATGACTTGTTGGTTGGGCTCATCGAGGAAGACCGAGTGGTATGCCTGCCCAGCTAGCTGTCAGTGGGGGTCGCTCGAAGGTGCTGTGAACGATTGAGGTTCGTACAGGCATGGTGGAACGTGGATGACAGCAGTGGAGCCGCCGGAGTGGAAGATGAATATAGTCGGGGAGAGGATTGAGATTGATAGCTAGAGAGAACAATCAATCGCCCAACCTCGATGGCTGCGCGTCGCTGCCCGCGCCTACGTATGATGTTGTCGGTCGAGCTTGGCGTCCGCCGCGCGCCAAGACGCGGGACTCCCGACCGCCGAACGCGGGGTGCTGTTGCGTGAGGTCGAAAAAATATCCTCAAGATTGACTCCTTTGCGACAGCGAGCTTCCGAGATCGCTGAATTCTCTCCATACCGCGTGCCAACCTCTGTCAATCTAGACAAGGTCTTCTCGCGACTTCCTTTCTTTGTTTATATCCGATTGTCAAGAACGTTGACAGCTGATTCTGTCCAATATGTCCTTCTCAATCAGTATGAAGCATTGCTCATTTCTGCCCCACGATCAAGGCTAATTTTCCACAGAGGTGCCGTGTTCTTCGGCCAACATTGGTATTACTTACCAATCGCCTTTTATATGTCTGCTCGTCAATTGACTTCTTGACCANGGCCCCGGCTTTGATGTCATCGGTCTGGCCCTCTCTGTCTGGCTCGAGCTGCGTGTCACCGTAGACTCATCCAAGAAGTCTTCTGAACACCAGTCCAACTGCAAGATTACTTACGAGGGTCTCGGCAAGGAGAGTGTCGACCTCGTTGCTGACCGCAACCTGATTACTCAGACTGCTCTCTACGTTCTGCGATGTCACAACCAGCACGCTTTCCCTTCCGAGACTCATGTGCACATCATCAACCCCATCCCTCTGGGCCGTGGTCTCGGCTCTTCCGGAGCTGCTGTTGTTGCTGGTGTCATGCTCGGTAGTGAGGTTGGTGGACTCAATTTGACCAAGGACCGCATGCTCGACTTCTGCTTGATGATCGAGAGACATCCTGACAACGTTGCCGCTGCTCTGTTTGGTGGCTTCGTTGGCTCATACCTCAAGGACCTGGACCCGGAGGACATGAAGCGCAAGGAAATTCCTCTGAGTGAAGTCCTTCCCGCCCCTGCTGGTGGTGTTGACACCGGACTTACTCCTCCTATTCCCCCGATCAACATTGGCAAGCACATCAAGTTCAACTGGGCCCCTGAAATCAAGTGTATCGCTATCATTCCTGATTTCGAGGTTTCTACCGCGAAGGCTCGCTCTGTTCTCCCCACTGAGTACCCCAAGGCAGATGTCATCTCCAACTTGCAGAGAATCGCTCTGTTGACTACCGCTCTCGGCCAGAGCCCTCCCAACGCTGACATGATCTACGATGGTATGCAGGACAAGATCCACCAGCCTTACAGAAAGACTCTCATTCCTGGTTTGACCGAGATTCTGAAGTCTGTCACTCCCACATCTCAGCCCGGTCTTCTCGGTATCTGCTTGTCTGGTGCTGGTCCTACTGTTCTGGCTTTGGCTACTCACAACTTTGAGCAAATTGCCAACCATCTTCTAGGCGAGTTCAAGAAGGAGAACATTAACTGCGAGTGGAAGCTATTGGAGCCCGCTTACGATGGTGCTGTCTGCACCAGAGACGTTGAGAAGCCCAAGGCCATGACTTACGCTGATGCTGGTGTATCTATCGACGCCGGTAACGATCTGGTCGTCGCCATCAAGAAGGCTGTCAAGTCCACTCGCAGACCTGGTGCCGATGCTGAGATTGGTGGCTTTGGTGGTGCACTCGATCTCCAAGCCGCTGGCTACGACGAGGCTCCCATCATGATTCAGGCCATTGATGGTATTGGTACCAAGCTGAAGGTCGCTTTCGCCATGGACAAGTTCGATACTGTTGGTATCGATCTTGTTGCCATGAACGTCAACGATTTGGTTGTGCAAGGTGCCGAGCCCTTGACCTTCCTGGATTACTACGCCTGCAGCAAGCTGGAGATCAAGGAAGCTGTCTCGTTCATTGAGGGTGTTGCTGCTGGTTGCCGTGAATCAGGATGCGCTCTCGTTGGTGGCGAGACTGCGGAGATGCCTGGCATGTACCAAGGCAACGAGTTCGATGCTGGTGGTTGTGCTACTGGTGCCCTTAAACGTGGTCGCACCATCCTGCCCGATATGGCATCTATGGTTGAGGGTGACGTCCTTCTGGGTCTTGCCAGTGATGGTGTTCACTCCAACGGTTTCTCTCTTGTCAGAAAGGTTGTTGAACGCCAAGGACTTTCGTACCACGACAAGGCACCTTGGGCACCCAACACCACTGTTGGTGCTAGCTTGTTGACCCCCACTCGCATCTACGTCAAGCCCCTTCTGAAGGCTGTCGAGAAGGATCTGCTTAAGGGTATGGCACATATTACTGGTGGTGGTCTCTACGACAACATCCCCAGAATGTTGCCCAAGACCCTTGCTGCTGAGGTTGATGTGTCAGCATGGTCTGTTCCCCCGGTGCTCAAGTGGCTCAAGGAAGCTGGTAACGTCGAGTCCCGTGAGTTCGCCCGCACATGGAACACTGGTCTTGGCATGGTTATCGTTGTGAGCAAGGAGAATGCCGCCGAGGCCCAGAAGGTCTTGGAAGAGGCAGGCGAGAGAGTGTCCGTCATCGGAAAGCTCTTCTCTAGAGGTGAGGATGAGGTCGTTCTCAAGAACCTTGAGGCCTGGAACTAGGAGTGTACCAGACGTTGGAACAGGAATACATCGAATGACTTTAGCATACGGCCAGGGAAAGCCGCACATGCAACGATATAGGCGTTATACAAAAATCAAGGGTGGGCCGAGGCAGGAATAGATATGACATTTGCAAATTTACTACAGCTTTGAAATTACCGAGACTACCGCGTTCATGTGCAAGTAAGAAACCGTTCGCTATGGGCTCAACGACTATTTGTTGGTAAGTCCCTCCATCTTCGAGATTCTTGTAAAGCGGCAGCAAGGCAACATTGCGCAACAGTCATGCGTTTCTTCTGGCCAGACGTGGTGACGTCGGAATCTTGAACGTTGGTGATCAGGAAGGGCTCCTCAACTCCCTTCCTGACTTACAGACGCTTTGGCAACAATCCCATGACATCCAACAGAATTCACTGTCGGTATCGTACCATCTCTGCAATCTGCCGCTCTATGCGAGTTCTGTTGCTGGATAATGCCCCCAGCCAGAACCATCCTGCAACTTTCAATAAACACTCGAGAGCGATTGACTCCTCAGTGAACTATGGGGAGGTTATGCTTACCTGACAGGATATTCAGGTACGCCAGGTACTCTTTAATCCCCACGCATGGATCTAGGAGTAGCTACCAATGGTCAGTCGAAGAATTAACTCATCACGGTCGAAGCATGAGTCCCCGATCCGCCCCACGCCTCTAGGCCATAATACGCTCATCTCGACACAAACTCGCGCTCTAATGCAGAGAGAACGCGACCTTATTCTTACATTCGGATGGTGATCAGCTATTATGATTCGCAGGCAAAAGCCTGGGCGGTAAATATTGACACCTTTGCAAGAAGAGATTTTCTTCTTAAGATCGTGCCAGGTAACCAGAGAAGTTGGAGTTTGGTCATCTCTTTATTTTGACAGTTTTTGTCGTTCGCTTCGTTGCTGGTGCCCGTTAACATGCGCTCGTTCATATTCCCGCTGGCTGCCCTTATACCTTCTTTGGTGTCTGCACAGGACCGACTCGCTGTCCTGGGCGCAGATGGGATCTCTGTCGGATACCACACCAACACTTCGGTTCTTGCAGTTGCCCCAGTTGGTCTCAAGAAGACACAAACTGGAGTAAGCCAAACGTCTCAAAGTCTGTCCTTACAGTCGCAGCCCATCGAGGCTCACACAATCATCTCCTATTCGCCATCAAGCTGGTCAGAACCTATCCAACAGCCTACGGAAAGCCGATCTGGCAGCATACCTCCCAGCCAGCCCGCTTTACAGCATTGGGCTCCTGCTCAGCCTGTTGCCCCTATTCAATCGTGGGCTCCTGCTCAAGCTTCGGCCGTCGTCCAACCTTCAGTCCCCATCCAATCTGATGTTGCCTCCGCCGTTGAAAAGCCTGCTGAGTGGCAAACTTATGGAGATGACGAACCAGGACCCGATGCCGCGCACTCGATGGGCTTTTGGGTTCTTAACAGAAACGCCGTAACACATCACATCAGTACAGACTGGGCGGAAAACGACGTTCAACAATACGGCGCCCATGAATACCTCCAGTTCTCCACGGCTACAGTTGGACCTGGTGAGAACTTGTGGATCCCCACACTGCCTGGGATGAACCCAAAGTTATTTGTGGGTGTCTCTCCGAATAACAAGACTGCAGAAGTCGGCGATCACCGAAATCACGACACTCTCGTTGAGGCAACCTTCAAGGGAGGCTATGACCATCTCTACTATGATATCGATATCGAGCGTGGCTTCTCCTCGCCAGTCTGGTGCCATGGACAGGGCGATGCATGGGAGGACGGCCAAGGCTGCGTTGCAGATTTGCTTTACGTGTGTCCTGANAAAGACCAACATCGACACCCAGTGACCGGGGTGTACGACCAATGTCGAGGAGCTGACGACAATATCGCCTTCCGTCGTCATTACTGCCCCAGATCCTACGTCGTATATAACGACGACTATGCCACTGTCACTCCAAGCNNCACGGAAAGGACGGTCAACCCATGACAGACGGTAAGACGATGATATGGCCATTATGCCTATCGTAAGTTGTCGCTGACTTTTGTCAAAGTGCTCATCTGTACTATCATCGCTACACCATCGACCAGCAACATTCAGACCGCTCAGATCGCCGAAGCTAAGAGNAAAAAGGCAGCCGGTATCAGCCCAACCGCTGTCCTGCCTAGGCGTGCCCTGCCTCGAGGCCACACCAAGAACAAGCGACTTTCTGGACACGCTTAGCTGCCTGGCGTTACAGCATGATGACTTGTGCACAAGTCACAGTGGAATTTCCATTTGTTGCCGATTGAATGTGATATTAGGGACTCGAGTCGTTGACCCAAAAAAAGAGAAAAGGAAAAAAGAAGATAGGTGGGATGATATGTGAGGTACTGTAATAGTTTTTAATTTATAATTTATAGTAGTAATGCAAAAGTTCTTTTGGTTTCCCATGATCTCTATATCCGCTTGGTTGTTTGCTCTTCTCCTTGTCCAAATCTACAAAATATTGTTATACACTCGCTGTTCGCGTATTGCTCTGGAAGTATGTTGATTAATCTACTGGTTGTCTTTCACTCAAAAAAACAAGCAGATGGACGCGAGCAGTGCAAAAGCCAGACTTCCTTAGAGAATCATGTGATGAGCTATTTAGAACATGTAGTCAACTTCGAGATCATCTTGTGCTTAAGACAATCACAATTCTCTCTCCTACGTCAACGACTAGTGCTATAGTATGCTATCAAAGTGCACAATTACTTACCGAATCAGAAAAGGACCATCAAGACGACGCTAGGATGATGTATTTCCTTAGACACCGCCTCCGAACTGAAAACCATCGCGCATTTATATAGTATACTATAAATTCGAGCGGTAAGCTGAGCGACCCATCAGCTGCGCACCCCCAATAGCTGCGCAGCTGCGCAGCTCTAAGGCCTCGATAAATTCGACTGTATAAACATTAAAAGTTGTCTATCTGCCACTTAAATTAGAGCGATTCGAAGCTCTACTCTACGAGCTTACGCGTAGCAGCAGAAGCGTCGTATTTCGACTGTCTCGCTGCCTCTCGTGCCTCTTGTTATACGAGGGCCTTCCTCGCGCGTATAATGTTATCTATGCTTACAAATTAAGTATTTAGGTTAGTAGGGACCTTCTTCCGCCTCTTAATAGCTAATCTATCGACTTAGGCCTTAAGTTAAGCGTTGCGCTACTATAGAGCGACCTGTTTTGCGTTAAGATGATCTATCGTATAGCTAGCCTTATGTAGAGCTTGATATAGTGCTTATTTCTCGCCTAATATCTTACGAATTAATTAAGTAGTTTAATGTATGTATCGTAAGCTCTTTAGTGTATAGAAAATTAAAGTGGTTTCTTAAGGTTATAGTAGTATAGATTAACGTAGTTTTAATGCCTATACTTAGGAGGAATTTAGCCCTTTTAAGGGGTTAAATGGATAGATACCTACTACCTACTAGCTAGTACGTAATAGGCGAGGTGTAAAGGTCTCTAATCGAGCTAAATGGTAGCAAGTAATAAAGCGTTACTTTTTAATAGGTAAGGCATCATTAAGCGAAGCTAACGCTATAATTTAAGACCGGTATCTTAATTTAAGAGGTATAAATACACTAAGATTAAGAGGCTATAATACATAGCTTATATAAGTAGGTAGAAATAACAGATATATGTTATTTTACTTATAATACTAGAGGAAATTAATAGCNNTACTATAGCTACTATAGCTATCTAGGATAAGTAGACGCTATTAGCCATCTTAAGGCCTTATCTCGGGCTTAAAAATGGTTTAAAGGTAAGAGAGACCCTTAGAATTAGTAGTCTAGCCATTTTTAGAGCTAGTATATAGCTAATTAGGAGCATTAGTTAGAAAGTGGGTAGTTTATAGCGCTATACCCTTAAAAATTATAAGGGNGCGTGCAAATCCGTTAGTTAGGGATATAACCTTAATAATTAAGACCCATTCGCGTAATTCTAGTAATTTGACGTATAAGCGCTTCTTCTCTAATGATCTAAGTATATGTAAGTTAGTACATACACCTATAGCAATGCCGTGCTTATCCATATTCTAAGTGTTATATAGCTAAATGTTAAAGCGGCGAACGATGTCTTAGTACATAGTATAGAACTCTTATATTGCTTCGGGATGTGTTCCGTTAATACGAGCTTACTTAACAGGCCTTTCTATAACCGAGGCAATGCGTAGATTATCTCGAATGAACTTAGTAACGAATCTCTTTCTAAGTGGCTCGGTATCGCCATTTATACGTAAAATTCGGGTAGCCATTTTACGATAACAAGCGTGCGAGGGAGGAAAGCCTTAAGCTTCTTATTCGAGTATCTATTTAATAAGAAACTCCTCTTGTCGAGTAGAGAGCCTCTTACGATATTAGTATGCGATACGTCGATTAGTTATGCCGGCGAGACGCGCGCGAAGCGTCGATTTAGGGATACCGTACGTAGCACTAGCTGCTCGAATTGATGCGATAACACCTATACGAAGGTCCTTAAGGGCGAGATTAATCTGCTGCTCGCGTTAAGTTATAGCGACGACGTAATTGTTGAGTCAATTAAGTAGGAAGTGGTTGTGTTGATGAGAGCGACAAATCGCGAAACGCGCAGCTGTTGGGGGTGCGCAGCTGAGGGGTCGACCAGCTTATGAAGAGAATAGGAGCAATGCCCCTTTAAGAGAACATGTAGTCAGCTCCAAATTTCTGCTGCACCCCTGTCTTTTCATCCCAGTGTGCCAAATACTTTTATAGATAGCTGTAGAAATACACAATACTTTTTGGAAAAAGTGTTGTCCAACGAGAGCTATCATTTCAAGGCTGCCTCTGCAGCCACAAGACGAATCCTGTAAACGACTGTGCATTCCTATAGAATACTATAGCACCATCTGCTGACGGGAAAGAGAGGCTAGTTATCGAAGTTGACCACATGTCCTCTATTGTTTAGCACATCGTCTCTGGAAAGGCTCTCTTAAAGGCATTCAATAACATTGATAACATTATTCAAAAAAATCTTCGTCGTTAGCTACACTATCGTTTTTACAGAAACGTGTTCGGCCAAGCAAAAAAGGCACACTCATCATCTCATTACTCCTTTCTTTCCCTTACGCATCAGAATCAAGAAACCTGCACAAACTGACCGATGCCAGGCACACCATCCACAACTACATACACCACATACGGACCTGGAGGCGCAATTTTGGCACTCGGCGGCATGGTCACAGTAAGTGTCTGCTGCGTAGCCCCATTCTTCCAACCCGCAGTATCCAGGAACAGCATACGGTGACTCATGTGCACAGAATGCGTGACAAAACCTCCATGGTACAGCGATACTTTGACGCTTTTGGCACCCACAGGGACCTCAAAATCGGTATTGAAGGTCTGAGAGTTCGCTTGCAGGGAATTTGAGGACAAGGAAATGTTTGTGGGGCGCTTGTTTGCATTTTCGCCGGCGAGGTAGGGTGGTGTGTAGATCTCGACGCGGAATTCTGTGACGTAGGGGTCTTGGGTGGTGGGTTTGAGGATAGGTTGCTCGACTGGGTTTGAGCCTGCGACCATCAATGTGCCATCCAGGAGCAGCAAAGCTATAGAGTGATAGAGGCGAGGGATTGTGGACGAGGCGCCGGTGGTGAAGCGTTGACCAAGAGGTTTGGCGGGATCGTAGATCAGGGCTTCAAAGGTTGGGTCGCGGGCGAGGCCGAAGCCTTGGGCGCCTTCGTTGCCGCCGTTGACGAAGATGACGGTGCCGTCGGGGAGTAGAGTGCCTTCGACCATGCCGCGGCCTTGAGGCATGGCGTCCATTTCCCATTTGGCGTTCGTGGAGAGAGGTTGGATGCGGCCGCAGCTGGGGTCGGTGGGCGAAGTAATGTCTTGGTATGCACCGCCGCCGCAGATGACGATGTCTGGGTTCCAGTCGTTGGTAGAAGACAGGGGAAGCAAGACTGAGCCGCCGGTGTTGGGGTAAGTGCGGTAGTCGCCCGGAAGGTCGGCAAAGGTCCTCAACGTGGTGTTGGTGTCAACATTGAAAAGCTCAGATGACTTAGAAACGAAGACGAAAAGCGAGCCGTCCTTGAGCTGGTGCATGAATGGGTACATATAGTAAGGTTGGTTCTTGACCAGAATCTCCATAGGGATAGAGACACCAGATGACTTGCCATTCTTGTCCAGAATCTCGTACGTCGGGTTGTTATTGGCAGGTACAGTGGGGTCTAGTCCATTCAATGATCCAGAGGCAACAAAGAGTCTACCATCTGGAAGAGTTTGGACTGAAGGGTACCATCGTTTAGAGCTAAGTTTGTTGCCTGGCTCACTCCAGTCTTGCCCGTCCAAGGAAGCGTCAGAGGGGGAACGAGTTAGGTAACGAATAGCGTCAAAGCCATCTCCCACAGTAGGATCGATGAAGTCCAGAGGAGCATTACNCCCTAGAGAGATGAATTGCCCGTTAGCGAGGAAAGAGCCACCGGCACAGAAGGCATTGGTCTTGTAGGCCAGAGGGGTGTACTTGTTAGTAGCAGGGTCGTACTCGGTAGAGTATGCGTACTGGCCATTGGGAAGCTTGACCTGTGTATAGTTCTCCACTTTGTCAAGGAAGACTACTTTACCGTTGGGGAGAAGGCCGGCATGCATAGCAGGCGCTCCTGAGTCGCCGACGATGTTGAAGGATCCAGGATTAGCATTGACGGGTGCAGGACTAGGTCCAGGAGCTGCAACGACGGCGCCGTTCAAGCAAGGCCCACTTTGACATCCGTCACCACAATGGGCGGTGCTGTTTCCGCAGTAACCATACATGCTAGCACAAAAGTTAGCTACCTGGACAGGTTCACAACAACCTCGCGTGTGCTAAAGTCTGCAACTCCGCTCTCCCACAAGAGTATACAGAGAAGTGTACGCTATAGAAAGACACGATTCGCTTCCGAAGCAGAAGAGGAGCCAGAGAGAGCCGACATTTTGGCGGCTCTCAGTGGATACTGCCCTGTTTCTCGATACCACTGTGCATTTTCATAGCTATGCGCGATGCATACTTAGCACACGGGGAGGAGAGAAGACTTACGAGCAGCAGCTACCTTGAGCCCAGTCACCACAGATAGTATTGTCGTACGTAGCACCGCAAGTGCCGTCCTTAGTGACAGTGCCTGTCGGGGCACTCCCAGCAGAGGAGGACGCTGCCGATATGATCGGCTCACCAGTCGTGCTTGAAAGAGCAGCCGAGTTTACATTAGAATGAGCGACCGACGAAACGACTGCGGACGTGGGAGGTGCACTTGTCGGCGCTGCGCTCTTACAGCCAGATATGCATCCATTTGCAGCCAAGCAGTGACTATCAGTACTGCCACAGTATCCATAAGAGCTNNGATACGATGATTAGCCGAGTCTATTGTTTAGGTTCCATCATGCTTACGAGCAACAGCCACCGTATGCGCCATTTGGATCACACAATGCATTGTTGAAATCAGGGCCACATCTACCGTCATCCCGAGGAGCAGCACCAGAGGCCGAAGGTGCTACTCTGACGATTGTCGAACTTGAGACAGGAAGCTTAGCAGCCGCTGAGCTCGAAGTTGTAACAGGAGGCTTAGCAGCAGCCGAGCTCGAAGAGCAGCCAGAGGAGCAACCACTTCCACAGTGAGCAGGAGTATCACCACACCATCCTTTAATTTTATCAGCAAAAGCATATAGGCCATGCCGATATATAAAGACTGNACCATATGAAGAACAGCATGTTCCCTTGTACACTGTGCTATTAGGGTCACACAAGAGATTGCCATTGTTCGGACCACATTTGCCATCTTGTGAGTATTTGGGGCCGGTGGGGATGATTTTGCCCTTGTGTTGGAAGATTCCTTCCGAGAAATCGAAGATGCCTCTTTTGCCGTGATCCTGGAAGGACATTGGCCATGTGTGTTTTACAGCAGTGCATCTATCGTTGTGAGTTTCATATCTTCGAATGCAAAATGATATAGCGTACGTGTTGTTCAACTGACAAAATTGTCCTTTTAGACATCCACTAAACTGCAGATCCTGGCTGTTGCATGTTGGTTGGACTTTGGGGAAATAGATGTTGGCGAGAGTTGTGCTGGCGCTAAGGCCGAGCAGTAGAATTGACTGCTTCATAGCTGTTCGAGTGCTCGATTGAAACAACCAAGATCTGGTTTGCTTTATGAAGGTGTTGGTCGCCGAAAGAGCCAACAGTCGGATGACGGGTGTTGTCGAATGACAGTAAGGTATTTGAAAAATCCGAGACACTGTACAATGGCAAATGCGTCAATTGTCAAAGTGAGTGACAGAGAAAGCGAGAGGAACAAGAGTCACGAAACGAGTGACAACTTGGGGGACAAGCGGCAAGGAAGGAAGGACGAAAAGAAAAAGCGAAGGTTACTGTTTATATCTCGAGGTCTTGCCTTTGCCACGACGGAAACAGCCCACTACCTGAGACTCGACAGGGACGCCACACCTGCAGGCTAACACACGCGAATGCATCCTATAGTCTCCCAAACTTAGCAGGACAGGTAGACCCTCGAGCCGGCCGCTCGCAGGATGCTAGTTGTTTGATCAGTTGGCGGGAACGAGAGCCAATGCATGATCTTCTTGGGGACATCTTGGCTGCCGCTGTCCGTTGAATCTACTCTGCAACACCTCAAACGATCGCTCTTTCCTGTTCGGAGAATTTAGATGTGGTATGCGACGGCGACGACGCCCACGAGATCGACACTCGTGCGTGCTTCGTGGCCCCGTTGTTCTATTGCCCTTGCGCTTTTCTACATGGTCAACTGATACCTTGCAGCAGCAGATACGAGGGCATGCGGGCAGCTCACTGTGGTTACACGATTGCCCTGCGTTTCAAGTCGCCAGCTGAGGAGTTTCATAGGCGCTTAAAAAAGCTTGGTCAAAGCTTGGAGCTGGGCTATTGTTTGGACTTGCAGCAACATGCAGACATTGGGAAACGAGTTCCTCAGTAGGATGCTCGGATTGGTTGGAAGTGATAGTTGATCAGTCTATTCGTTCTCTTTGGTCGAGAGAGATCGCGTCGTCGCGTTGGATCGAATGAGTGGAGAAGGACAGGGTTGGACTTTTTGTCGGAGCAAAGGAGAGATACGTGACATCACCGAGGGTTGCCAGCAACGACATCTGGTCACCCCTCATGCCTTGAAAAAGCGATGATACATGTTCAATGATAAATAGCATTCTTCTCTCTCAGAGGAAATGACCCTAGATGCCCGATAGATATCACTACAACCCTACGACTTGAACATTTCCGTCCATTGGATTAGTTAACGCCGCACCTGGTCTCGAGACTACCCAGTACAATCAAAACCGCCTGTAGAAAGAAACAAAATCGCAACAACTGGCATCTTACGACTTTCCGATCTTACGACCGTGAAATCCTCGACCGTATGATCTGAAGATTCTATCAACATTCTCACGATCTCGGATATCATCACCATCATCAACAACAATCATGGAGCACGAATACTTCTCATCCAACCCCCGACCANNAAAAGTCCTTCCGAAGCACTCGACTTTAGCCTGCGAATTCATCTCCCGCCATGCCTCTGATAACCGTCGCGTCGTCCTCGTGACATCTGGCGGCACGACTGTACCCCTAGAAAACCAAATGGTGCGCTTTGTCGACAACTTCAGTGCCGGAACCCGTGGCGCCACTTCCGCAGAATATTTCCTCGATCACGGATACGCAGTCATATTTCTGCATCGCCAATTCTCGCTATTGCCGTATAGCAGACATTATTCGCATAATGTGAATTGCTTCTTGGACTTTATGGATGAGGGCGAGGGCGGCAAAGTTGTGGTGGGTGAGGAGTATCAGAGTGAAATGGTCGAGGTGTTGAGAAAGTATACGGACGCGAGAAAGAAGGGGAAATTGCTCTCTATCCCTTTTGTCACGGTCAATGACTATCTGTGGGAGTTGAGGGAGATTGCTATCCTTATGCAGCCCCTGGGTGGCAACGCATTGTTCTATCTCGCAGCTGCCGTCAGCGACTTCTTCATCCCCAGCGACAGAATGGTGGAGCACAAGATCCAATCTTCGGAAGACTTCAACAAAGAAAACCAGGACGGTGCCGATGGGACAAAATCACCTGCTGCACGTATCGAAGGTCAACGTTTAGTGCTCGGTCTGGAGCCGGTACCCAAATTCTTAAAGACACTGGTCGATGGATGGGCCCCCGAGGGCATGATTGTCAGTTTCAAGCTCGAAACCGACCCAGCCATCTTGGTCAAGAAGGCTGAGTACGCACTAAACAAATACTCGCACCATCTCGTCATTGGAAACCTGTTGTCGACGCGCAAATGGGAAGTCGTATTTGTGTCTGCATCGGCAGGCCAACAGTGGATCCGCGTGCCCAGAAGCAAACGCACTCCCAGCATATCCGGCAAAGTCGAGCATGTGGGATTGGCTTCTGGTGGTGATGCAGAGCAAGATGCAGAAGCCGTGACGGGACAACCTGCCGTCGAGATTGAATCGTTGATCATCCCCGAGGTCGCAAAGATGCACGCCGCACACATGTCTAGAAGGAAGTCGAAATAGAGAAGAAAGCGTTTAGTATAAAAAGACATTGGTTTCGAACCATACCCAGATGACATCACGTATTGCCCCTTAAACAATCTCTCATCAAAGAATGATACGCCATTGTGCAGTACGATGGCGCATCCTGGCGCCGAAAATGCTGAGCGGAATGGCGAACAACAGTATTCCAACCGCTATGGCAGCTTGCTCACCATAACACTCTGCGTATCCAACCTTGAACACCCAAGGCGTGATGGCATACAGGAAGCCAAACGCAGCAACATTCTTCAGTCCATTGATCAATAACAGTGCGTCAGGAGCGATTGGAAGATACTGTTAGACATTGATTAGCCGAATTCGATTTCGTCCATCGCAGACGCATCAGAGAGAAGAGCGGAGGACAAACAAATGCAGACTTACACAATCCGAGATATAGGTCATGGTGATACAAGGTATCGTCGTCAACCCCGTCGCAACCATGCCATATCCAAAGAACATACTAGTCCAGTGCAATTTGTCTTGAACACCATATCCGAAAGCCAAACACCCCGCGGGTACCATTACAGCCGGAAAGATCAACAGCGTCAATCTCGACTCTGGTTGAAAGACACCGCCATTTTNTCTGGCGCGCCAATCAGAGTACCGATCGACCAGCGGTCCACCTACTAGAGCACCACAAATGTTTCCCAAAAAGCCAGGGATATTGATAAGGCCGTTTACAGCAGGGGACCAGGAGTAAGGCGGTGCTTGGAGGACGAAGGAGTTCAGGATGTTTATGCCTACTACCCAAGCAAGCGCGAATGCCGTCGCTAGAGTGGAAAAAATGACCTCGGGGTATACGATCAATGGCCACGGGCGTAAGAAAAGTTCAAACAGCGAAAGATCCTTAGGCAAAGGCGACCAGAGCTTGAGTTGTTGGGACCATGGTTTCTTGGGAACCGTATCCACAGGTGTGGTGTCCGAGGTATCTGATGGGCGATGCACAGGCTGTTGTTCTGGGTTCGAGATTGTCTTCTCGAGAGTGTTGGCATCGCTGGCTGTTCTCAAAGGTGTGAGAGGTTCCGCGAGTCCATGTCCTGCGCGGTCGAATCTGGTTTCAGGGCACAGAAAGACCACGACGAGGAAGTTTATGCCGACAAGAATGGCTGCGATGATTTTGTGCCAACGCTACAAGCCAGTCAGCCGAGATCGTTTGGTCGAGGTTGTAAGATTACTACTTACCCAGCTCAAGCCTTGAACCACAAATCCGCAGATCAGAGNGCTGGGAACAAAGTAGTCAGTATTGGGACATCGAGTCACTCTCCGTGAACAATTACTTACACCTAAAGTGTTACCAGCCGAGATGGAGTTGACATACCAACTCATCTTGCCAGCACGCTCATGCAAAAAGTACAGATCATTCACCATTGACGCAGCCACAGCTTCAGATGCACTGCCTCCAAATGCACCGACAATATTGGACCAGAGCAAACTCTCAAAACTCTGTGCAGTCGCACCCCAAATGTAGCATACGCACAGAAGAAGGGTGCAAAATACAAAGATGGGTCGTTTGCCATAGTAGTTCGCCAGCGGTACCCAAAGGAAGTTNNCTTTGCGATTATCAGTACAAGTATAGATGGGGAATGGCAACATCTGACATACAAAGACACCAAAAACGAGGACAGGCCATAGGAGCAGCTCGCTAGTCTGATGTTGCGACTTTCCAAACTCCAGACTTAGAATGTAGAAAGCCGGAGCCAGACCTCCAATGGCATAGTTGGACAGGAATGCAAAAGCACATACACTGCCAAAGGCGACATGTTTCCTCCAAAGAGGCCATCGGAGCGGGTCGTTGGGGTCTGTAGGTGAGGGAGCAGGGTACAGGATAACAGCAGTGTCTTTGTCGTTATGCAGACGAACATTTCCTTCCGAGTCGTCGAGCTCCTTCAAAGAGTGTAGACGCATGCTTGCGGTGTCTTAGAATCCGTGGGAAATCCAGGAAGCCAACCAGGCCGGTATGGAGGAAGGTGCAGAAGACGAAGTAGAGGTGGTCACAGGCTGGTCGTCTAGAGACATCCGGAGCATGGTGCTCGTCTTTTATGTAACTCTCAAGTGGCTTCTGATATCGTGTTACCCAAGAAGGAGGAATAAGGCGGGATAAGGTGAATGGATGCCAGGAGCAAAAATATATCCGAGCCTAGAAGTAAGCAATGTGGAAACACAACAACCTGCAGTGACACCGTTGAGGAACACCACTGTCGGAGTCTTGATGATCCATGGTGGATTTTCAATGTTGAGCAAAACGAATGTAGGCAATGCTTTGGTACTGACCCGGGTCGTGGAGAGCCGAAGTTGGAGCCTCCAGTGACACAGATCCGCGCTCTGTATTGACATCACACAGTTTTTATTTAGCCCACTACGGAAAATAGGCAGAAACAGCCAGAGATCAACGACTTCGAAATCCGGGACAGTCAAGATCGACAGGAGGATGTGTGCATTTGACAAAAGCAGTGCATCCACCACGATGTTTGTGCTCCCTGGGCATCACCGGCGTCATGGCAAACAGCAAGCACACAACATTGCTTGGACAATGCTAATGGCTGCATCAAGCATAAGGATGAAAATGAAGTCTTGCTTACATTTCTATATTTCAAGTCGTCTCTTTCCTCTGGGCAAGATCAATACAAGGCACTTGTCCTACTCGAGGGCTACTCGCGCATTTCCATCTCATGCCAATCTCGAGCTCATGGGGGTACTCCAGATATCATAAACCCAAAACGCCCCAAACAATCCGCCCAAGGATGTTTGTTCCCTCATCATGACAAGCGCCAAAAAATGGACATGTTCAATACTCATGATTTCTAATCCTTGACCTTCGCCTGCCTCTTCGCGGTTCCAATGTGAGTGTTATGCANCCTAAGAGTCTAGTCAGTGGTTGTAACTTTGGTTCAATTAGAGTAAAAACGAACCTTGGTAGCGAATTTCAAACTGGTCAAGGTCTCTGACAGATGGGCCTGCAAAGGGCTGACCATAACAAACATCAGTGTCTTGCTGTTTCCGCCCAGCGAATATTGCAAGAGATAGGTCAACTGCGAACTTGTTAGACTGGTATTCAGAGATAGTTCATGCCTCCAACTCACTTTGCTATTACGATACGGGATGTGCTTCGCATCTTTGCCTGACCCTAGAGCACTGATGACATCGCCTAAACAACTCAGACTCTTGTTGATGTTCTGTGTCTCTTTCAAGCGGTCGCCTGAAACTTGACTGTGGGCAAGACGCTCACTACCTGCCAAATCGACGAGGTTGAGGGTGCCCTCAGAACGTTCTCCCGTCATTGAGTTTTCTCCAATGAGCCTGAGAATGAAGACTGAGTGACTTCGTGACGAGCGCGAATTAGCTTGGGTAGCGGCCACTCGTCTGTTGCGATTGGCTTGGTCCAGAATAGCATTGACACGCGAAGGCGAGTCTAAGTCAACTGTTGTCACGTCTGTGATCGTGGTCTTGAGCTTGACTGGATCTTGACGGATTTCGTGCTTTTTGTTGTTCCAGTCTTCCGCCTTGCCAAGGAGATCATTCACAGTCTCGTTGTATACCTCGACAAAGCTACCCTCCATAGAGTACGTCCAACCCTTGTCCTCCAAACTCTTAGCTGTCTCGTAGATTTGAGTCACAGCGCTTGGGATCATGCCATCAGCTGAAGACATGGTGTATGTTTTTCCAGATCCGGTTTGGCCATAACAGAAGATGCAGACGTTGTATCCATCGAGCGCACTTTGAACGAGCTGACTGATTTCATCGAAGATCTCGCCGTTCTGCGAAGATGGACCAAATACTCGATCGAAGGAGAAGTTGTTGTTGGCTTTGGTGACAGTACCCATGGCGCTCTTCTGATCCGGACCCTGCACAACAACCTCTTTGCTGTCTGTATCAGCATCAGGGAAAGCGAGCTCTGCTTNTTTCGTCTCCTCATCGCCTAGCGTTGGACGGACACGGCAGAAAACACGAATATTGCCCTTGAGCTCCTGAACTTGGTTGTGAAGCTTCCTTCGCAGAGTCTCCTCCTGGCGGAGCTTCTCCTTTGCCTCAGCAGCCACAGCTTGTGCATCCAGCATCTGTTGGTTGAGATCCTGGAAGGCTTGTGATTGTGCTTGGTTATCCGACTCAAGGAAATCAATCTTCGCCTTCATAGCGCGCATCGAGGTTTCGAGGGTAAGGGTGTTAGTCGAGGCTTCGGTCAACTTTTCCTTCAAGTTGGTGTTCAGTGCATTCGAGGATTCCAGATTGGCCTTGACTTCGTTCAGTTCGGATCGCAAGCTCTGCAGTTCGCGATCTTTTTGCGTAACATCGTTGTCTGCCGTCAGCTTTTGCATGCTGAATTGTGTTGTGAGTTCCTGAACTTCGCGCAGCCTGCGGCTTCTCTCTTCCTCGAGCTCTGCCCTGAGTTCGCGTTCTTTCTCGGCCACCTCTTCCCTTCGTGTTTTGTTTGCTCTGTCGGCTTCTTCTTGGGCATCCTTCCTGACTCGATCAAGCTCATCTCTTGCTTCACGCTGGAGACGCTCAAGCTCCTTTCGATGGTCGTCTTTGGCATCCTCGATATCGTTGCGGAACTTCCTTCTGAGATCATCTATCTCGAAAGCCTGTGATCGCTTTGTGTCATCCAGTTGTGTGTTCGCTGAAGATAGTTTCACTTTGGTCTCGGCGAGTTCGGTGGTCAATGTTTGGTTGGCGGCGGAGAGTTGCAGGCGTACTTGCTCCATTTCGGTTACTGCGAAGCAAGAGGTGAGCTAGCGGCAATGTAAAGAGGACTTGCGAGACGTACTGCGTGCTCTGCACATGGATATGCCCTCCTCCATGCCAGATTTTTCTGTAGCGGCGGAATCGAGTTGCGACTTGAGTTGCGAGTAGAGGGTCTCCATGTCTTCGAGGCGACCTTTGGTATCCCAGGCTGGAGCAGGAGTGTTAGAATTGCGATTCAAATATACGATCTTGCCCGGGGAAGCATTGTGAACGGAATACTTGGTGTGGGNGGTCTTAAAGATGTGCAAGTCTGAACTCGGCGGACACAGAGTCTTCGGGACAGGCTTGAGCTTGGGTATCTGCGATGGAGTTTTGGGGCACAGAGGCTCGTCTTGCTGTGTTGAAGAAAACGAGGCAGACCGAGAGTCCGAGTTGTTGGAACTCAGGCTCAGGTTGTGAAATGCTGTGGAAAGAGAGGTATTGCGGTATGCTGAAAAGGCAAACTTTTTCGGGCAAGACGTGGACGTGAAGGGATTTGGGAAGGCTTCAGCAGACGGAACACGCGACAAGACTGAGGCATAAGATGAAGCTTTGACGTGCGTTCGCGGCTGGTGAAGAACGAGGGTAGAAGATTCAACAATGGGAGGTAGCATACCCTTGCGCTTGTTTGGGAGGATGCTCGAGGAAGATAGATCTTCGTCGTCGTCCTCTTGTGTGACCGAGTTAGGGCGAGCAGCCAGGGCACTGCGGGATCCGGTTCGAGGGAGGGCGGAATTGGTTCGGTGGGTAGCGGCAGCGGAGGCAGGACGGGCGGATGAGGTTGTGTGGTTTCCGGAAGGCTTTCGCAGATTGTTCGTTGTGTTGGAGCGCTTCATAACTCGGGAGGTGGTATGGGTAGGACGAGCAGGAGGCTCGCCAGCGCGTTCGGCCAGAGTCTTTCTCTTAGGGGCGGGCTCAGGTACTTGGGCAGATGAGCGGTCAATGGATGTCTTTCCTGATGCGACAGCTGAGACATACAGGCTGAGCCTTTGTGCTTTAGCAGGTTGGCTGGAGGCGGGATTGCGCGCGCATTGTTGTCAGAGGCCGACATCTCCAGCAGTCCAGTAGTTGCTGGGATGCGACTCGGGGCCGCAGCCCTGACGCGCGGATCGGCTGTGGTACAAACATCAGACATGGTGTCGAGGAAGCGGATAGCAGAGGACGTACGGCATTTTCAGCGTTGGGGACCATGATTGATCTCAGGAAACGATTATATCAGACTACATGCCACGGCGTCGCAGAAATGCAGAGCGAGCATGAAACAGAATACCGTTGGTGGTGGGGCCTCTGTGTCGTTGTCGCTGTCAAAATGGCAGGCGCGAGGCTCGAGCTGTTTCCCCGATAAACAAACACCCAAGGGACCTCTTTCTTGCCGCTTTCCTAAAGGAGATGCCGTGCACGGTCCTTTTCCCATGTTCAATCTTCACATGCCAAACAGCCATCCAGCACCAACTGAATGACGTTTCGGGAGTCCAGCCCAACTTTTTCCCATCCACCTGAACCTTCCTGTCTCCCTGCCATATTCGCCATATGAATAGCCATGGAGAAGTACAGTGCTTTTCGTGATCGAGGTGAGTCGTGCCATGCCACAATCTTTCGACACGTGCTGATCATGTGGCANGGCTCGGGCATTGCGCCCTTCTTTCCCATTCCCACTCAGCCCGCGGGATATGCCCTTCCATTTCACGTCTTTCTCTTCGTTGTGCGCATCTTCTTCTTGATCCCTGTCGCCATTACCTACTTCTTGCTCCTCTCATGGCTTCCCATTGGTTCTCTCGGCAAGAAGGCTGTACTCTGGTGTATGCTGGGTGTTCCTGGCATCTGGTGGATAGATTTGGGTGTTGATGGCGTGAAGAAGNNGGGTAAGTAACTTTTTGCTGGCTCCTGCTCAACTCATCTTCTAACATGTTGCAGCTCTCTTGGCCAGAACCAACACAAGCTCCCTCAGCCTGGCTCTGTCATTGCTTCGTCTTACACGTCCCCGATCGACGCTCTTTACCTGGCTGCCATCTTTGATCCTGTCTTTACCCGCTCTTTTCCTGGAGAGCGCAACGTTCAGCGCATCACTCTCCTCCAGGCTATGTTGCAAGCTCTGGCGCCACCTATTCTTTCACCACCCAAAGACGCCAAATTAGTGCCCATCTCTGACATCCTGCGCGACACTCCGGACGGCTGTGTTGCTGTCTTCCCAGAGTGCACTGCTACCAATGGCCGTGGCATCCTACCCTTCTGCCCCAGCCTTCTCACCGTGCCCATCAAGACCAAGATTTTCCCTGTCAGTCTGCGCTACACTCCCGCAGATGTCACCACCCCTGTTCCTAGCTCTTACCTTTCTTTCCTCTGGAACCTTTGCTCCAAGCCCACTCACTGCATACGTGTTCGTATCGCCGAGGCTACTTTCAACGAGCCTACTACTCCTGAGCCACCACGCAAAAACTCTTTCCAAACCAACCTTCTCGACGACTTGCATTCGCGTACCAACCAGAGCGGGGGCATGACTAACCCGGAAAAGGAGTCTCTGGACAAGATTGCCGAGTCGCTCGCTCGTCTGGGACGTGTCAAGCGTCTAGGCCTGGGTCCAGCGGACAAGATCGCCTTCATCAAAGTCTGGAGCAAGAGAAGATCATGAGCGTTGATTCAGTCGTGCAGTTTTCCAAGCGGGTGGTGTTGGTGCGTTTGCATGATTGTATAACTAGCATGAGTCTCCAGTGCTGTGTCTTGCGCAGCTTGAATTGAACCCAGATGATAGAGATACCAGAACGAATACTCTTACATTCAACGACATTGTTGCGCTCTCGTTATTACAAGCAGGACTCGTCTTCTTCCCGTGTGCTGAAGCCCGTCACGGCAACCTGAAAACGTACAATGCTTTCGAAGAAGAAAGCAGTGTCCATAGCGATACGTCTTCCCTGACTGTTCTACGTAAACACATGTTTGATGCTAGAACAATTGTGTAATTCTACAGCTTACAGAATTGCTACGTGTTGCCACACATGAGAGGTCGACATGATAACCTGACAAATTCAAACACACAAAGATCCAATGATTCAAGAAAAACACATGGATGAAAGAGAAAAAAACATAAAGGCAAGCAAGAACAAGGTTCTTCTATTCTGCTTCTGACTATCAACAACAGGTGACCATGACCTCTGTGATCCTTCCCGATATATGCAAATCGCATCGTCCTCTACAATCCAACATCGTAGTAAACGCAATTGGCAGTTCTGAAGTTATACAGACAAGCCTCTCTACTAGCTCCTTCCTCCTGCTGCTCCCATTTCTTCCTCATCTCCAACAGCAACTCATGAACTTGAGCCAAATACTGACGTTCAGCAAGTGGCGTGTTCTGAATCAGTTTACGCCACGAATCCGGATCCGAGAGTCGAGTCTCGTCGCGGATGTTGTCGACGATGCCTTCACGTCCTTCGATGGCGAGGATGGGCGCAGACTTCCAGGTGTCGATGTAGGAGGCCCAGCGCTGTTGGGCCGCTTCCACGATGTGGTATTTGTTGCTTTTCTTGCCGCGGTGCTGGGCCATGAGGACTTGGACGTTATTCTTACCGCGCTCGCTGTTACCATTGCCTTCGTTGTGGTGAGAGGAATGGCGGATGAGTGATGGATGGTGGCGAGAGCGATGGTTGCCTGCCTCGCGCGACTCTCGTTCACGCATCTCAGAGCGCATGTGCGAGATCAAGTTCGTGCTGGCAACTTCGGTCTCGGTGTCTGTGGTGCTGTTGCGGACTTTGAAGGTGCTGGAGGCTTCGTGCTTGACCATGACGATCCAGGGGTGGGATGCGTCTCGCTGCTTGCTGAGCACATCGTCAATGGTTCGTGCGTCTGTGGCTAGTTCGGCGCTGAAGTCGTTGGCCCAGAGGCTGGAGAGCACTTTGATGCCGGTGGAGCGGAGGACGGTTGGGTCGCCAGAAGCTACGAGGATGTCGCAGCGCTTTGCGTTCCAGACTGGGCTGAGTGACTCTTCTTGGCCCTTCTTGAGGTATGCACTGTTGATTGCATTTTTCTTGTGCCTCATGATTGCCGCAATGAGGCCATCCCAGCCGATGCTGACGCCAACAGCATGACACGCCTCACTTGTGGCATGGGCGCGAGAGCGATGGGCATCGATGAGTCGGTCGTACCTTCCGCCTGCAGCAAAGACGTTTCTGTTCTTCTTGTCATAAATGCATTGGAACAACACACTTCCGGTGTAGAATTTCTCGTTGACGCTGCCCAAGGGACAGATGTATATCTTGCGCCGGACGCCAAAGAGCTTCATAGCATCGACCACATGCTTAATGTGTTCCATGGGTCTTCTGATCCTGCTAGCGTGTGTGCTGTCCTCAAGAATCTCTTGCATCTTTCTCAAAGCCTTGTCAGGAGTCTCACGGAAGTCGAACTGTGCCAAATCGTCCAAGGATGTAGAGTGAATACCAATCAATGGTGAGCGAAGTTCAGCACGTATCTTTGACCAGCCAAACTGATGGATGTTTAGCTTGCTGAGTGTTTCCTTAACGATCGGTCTTTGGGATTTGTCGATGCGACAGAAGTCAAGAATGAGCTCCAACAGATCGGAATGGCTCAGATGAAAGCACATAGGCTGCGAAGACAGTGCGGGGACCTCATCGATAATCTCGTCGACTACTTTGAGGACTTCTGCTTCTTGTAGTGCAAGATCATCGCTCTCTTTAGTCACAATATCAAAGTCGACTTCCTTGATTGTTCTAGGAGGACCTCCGCTAAGGGTGTCACGAAAGACATTGCCAAAGACGAACGTTTTTTCGACCGAGGGTTCCTGTTTGGCAAGACGCCTTGCATGTGGCAGAACTAGATCATATGGCAGTTGCAAGAGGTTACCTGTACCATCCAAGAGTTGAACGATATTGGGTGCAGTGTAGTAGCTGGATCGGGGAAGCAGCAAAGTACGTTGCGTCTCTTCGGCTCCGTGCCTGCGGAAGATGGAACAAAGGGTATTTCTGGCAATGTCTCTTACACGAAAATCTTCGGCTGTCGGTGGTTCCTTGCTGGCTTTGGCATCCCATGCAAAGTCTTTGATTCGATGATCGGGCGTCTGAGTGAACAAAGCTGTCATCATCTTCTGGTAGTACTCTGATCCCGGATCGGTGAGACTTTGCAAGGCTTGTCGGATAGTCTCATCCTCGATCTGCACCGGCAACTTCCCGCTTCTAAGGAGTTCCAAGCTGCTTGGGCGATCGCCAGGAGAGTGACTGATCAAATCCATAATGATGTTGCCTTGAAGTACCTTATCTGGGGCTTGAAATTCCGAAGGCAAGACATGCTCTTTCTCTCTCATCTTTAACAACACCTCATGGCGCTCCATGGCTGTCCGGAGTGGGAAGCACATCTCGAAGAATATGATGCCGAGCGAGTACATGTCGACTTTGTCGTTGTAGTTCACTCCAGAACCAGACTTAATCTCGGGCGCAACATACATGGCAGTCCCGACACTCCTGGTCATGTCGGCACCTATATTAGTGCTGGCCATGACTTTGTCAGCGCTAGTGTACTGGCTTGTCGTGGCCAATCCAAAGTCTCCGATACGAGGGTTGCCGGCAACGTCGATAAAAATGTTGTCGGGTTTGAGATCACGATGGATGATGCCATGATTGTGGATATGAGCAAGACCTTCGAGAACTTGTCGGAGCATTTGCCAGCCTTGTTCGGGCCTCGCGTACATGTCTTTCCTGATCAAATCTCGAAGAGTATGTCTCTCGCAATATTCCATCTGGATATAAAGTGTAGAGCGCATGAAGCGACGAGATGAGGCGCGATGTGTTCTTTGAGGTCGCGAGTCGGTATCCTCACCATCGCTGATCGCACTCTCTGAAGGCGCGTCATTTCTGAAGATGGACCTTCCGTTTGTAATGCGACCATCGGTCTCGGTTCCAGACGCCGAATCCTCGTCATCATCATTATCCTCCTCTTCTTCATCATCGCTGTCTTCGCCAAAGACAATATCGTCACCAAGGCCGCTCGAGCTGACAAAGTCCAAGCCACGACTGCTCATGCCAAACTGGATGCCATCGCCTGAGGAGGTCGTCATATCTTCTGCGAACGAGACAGACTCCTGGTCTAATTCAACCATGCCAGACAAGTCGTCCTCGACCCAGGCCGAGTAGTAACGGACTACATAAGCATGATTGAGTCTATGCAGAAGCATGACTTCGGACAAAACGTGCTCAAGTTGCGCAGCCGAGTCTTGCTTGACCTTCTTGATGGCGTAGACTCCGCCATCAAGCTTGTTGCGAGCTTTGACAACTTCACCGAAGCCACCCTTACCGAGGCGACCTAGCTCGGTGAAGTCTTTGGTATACCTTGAAAACACTGGACCTTCGCCAACGCTCTGAGAATTCTGCCTAGAGCGCCTAGCGATAGGACTCTTGAAGTCACCTGAGAAGCCCATAGAGGAGGATTGTCTGCGTTGACCCTTGGAGAACTCCGTGTTAATAATGGGTAAGTCGCTGCGGAAGAACTCGCTAGGAATCAGCTCAAAGGCCGTAGGTCTGTTCTTAGGTTCTTTGCTGAAGACTCTGCGCAGAACATCGCTGAGAGGTTCGGATAGATCAAGAGACTCAAGCATAGTCATTGGACCATTGTACTTGCGAGTGATAGCAGTACCAAAGAGCATCTGGACAAGCAGGACACCAAAATCCCAAACATCGCTTCGTCGAGTGAAGGTGGCGTCTTCTCCAGAGCACTCGGGTGCAAGCCATGCTGCCATCTTCTTGCCTTTTTCCAGGGTGCTTGCTCGACCTTGTAGCCTGAGTAGCCTGTCTTCATAGGCAGCGTCTGCTAGTTTCGGTGCAGTGACTCCAGTGTCTGATCGAAACAGCAGAATGTTAGCGCTGTGTATGCGTTTGTGTACAATACCGTGACGGTGATAGTAATCCAAGGCTTCAAGCAAGTCTAGAGACCATTGCTTTGCTTTAGCGGGCGGTACAGTGTTGCCATCTTCGAGCATCTCGGCGAGACTTCCTCTATTGGCAAGATCTGATAGGACTGAGACATCCCAATCTTGGTTCAGTCCTCCATCTCTTCCCTCGGGCTTTCCAACCTTGAAAGCATAAACGTTGACGATGTTGGGTTGACGAAGTACTTTCAGCGCTTCAAGCTCTTCTTCTAAGGCCAATAAATGGTTCTTGCTCGTAGCGTCACCATGTACTATCTTCAAGGACAAACGGCGAACTGCAAGCATGGTCGGACTCATAAAGGAGCCTCTCGACAACTTGGGTTGAGTAGCGTAGATACTCATCTGGCCTTTGGAAGCAATAGGCGCTACCATGGTAACAGTGTTGAAAGGGACGCTTTCTACACCAGGTCCGAGCGCGACGGCTTGATCGAAGTTGATAGTGTTATTATTGTCGTCATCGGCCGANNAGGGCGCGGACTCGACCCTGTCTGAGTGCGANNGAAGATTGGTCGCGTCGTTTGGACTCACGACGTTCGACCTCATCCTGAACCATTTTTTGCAGCATGCGTTCTTCCTCATCCTGGGCAGCCTGCACTCTCTTGGCCTCGTCTTCTTCGGNNCTTCCTTAGCTTGATCGAAAGCGGCAGCCTCCTGGTTCATGCGTTCATCGTCAAGACTGGGTAATACGCCCTGCTCTCTAGCCTGGACCGCGTCCTCAAGAGCATCCTGAATGTCTGATGCGATAGCATGCATCATGACTTCGCCGGCCATCTCAGCTGGTCTGTTCTTGACAACATTTTGAACACGCTTCTTGGCCTGAGCTTGCAACTTGTCCAAACCTTCTATCTGAAGCACAGGCGCAGATTTGGGATAGGTCGCCGTCAACTTTGCAGATAGAACGACAAAGGTAGATTCATCAGAGAAGGCTTTCAATTTGAGTTTGAATGCCCGATCGGAGCTCTTGCTCCAGGCAGTCTTGACTTCTACTTCTTCATAGTCTTCCATGTAGATGGCTTGAAGGACGTCGATCTCCTCGGCCTGGACCTCTGCATAGTTGACGTGAGGGCCATCTGCTGCTGGATCCGAGGCGGGAGGTTTGGGAGCGTTTGGTTCATTGTGTTTGCGATTTCTGGTAGACGTCTTTGCAGGCGTTTTTGAAGCCATCCTTACAAGGTGGTCATGAGCGTGTGTGGTAAAAGTGCCAGGGGACACTACCAAGATTATGCAAGAAGAGTGCAGCCGAAGCCACACTTCTTTACGCTGTGGCCGACATTATCTCTCTGTGATATTTATGGTATAGGAAAAAGGAGTGGTTATCAGAAGAACATACTCGGATGGAAGCGGTGGAAGATGAACCCTCGTGGCTAGGCGGTGAGCGGCACGGTGTTAGCGTGGCAGAATTTGGGAGTAAACAAAGCCATCCACACTCCTTCCCTGGGCGCAAACGCGGTTAGTCGTCGACGACATCATCGCTCGTCATGCTTTCCTGGATTACGGGCTCTACGGGCCTTGAAGAAGCTGAAGGTACCTATCTATCAATCCTGCTTTCATAGGGACAGGTCTAATCCATACCAGATGCCTTCCCTGAGGCGCCAGAGACGCCGGCCCATGTTTTTGCAGCACGCGCATTCAAGCATGCCATCTTCGGCACCCCTGCTCCACCCAACGAGGCAAACTACGTACAAGAAACTGTAACTAGACAGTCTGTCGAACTCGATTCCAAGCCTCGTACTATGACTCTGGAAATGCCTACACGATCGAAAGACGATACGGATGCGATCACTCTCCCCTCGGCACCTGGGCTGTCACCCTCGAAACCTAATGGCATCCTCATGACTCCCGGAACTACCAGACGAAACAAGACTGTGTCCTTTGGAGCTCAGGTCGTGGACAATGAGTCGAAGAAACAGGACAGGACTGGTCTACCTAGCGCTTTCCCTGGCGATGGCCTCACTCAGTCAGGCTCGACTTCAAACAGAGCACGAACAAAACTCACTGCCCAACTCCAAGAGGTTCGCGACTCGGCGCAAAAGGGCAAGACACATCAGAGCCAGAGAGCAAAAGACGACACCGACCTGACCATGGACTATATGGAGCCCCGGTCACAATCAGGAAAATACTGGAAGAGANNGAGTACGAAGCATACGCCGAAAACACTCAGCGCGAGATGAAGAAGTTGGTCATCAAGCAGAAAGCTGCAAAGGACTATGCGAAGGAAAAGGAGGAGGAAGTCGCCAACTTGCAGACCCAGCTCCGTCAAGAAAGACTCAAGGCCGAGAAGCTTGAAGCCAAGACCAAAGAGTTTNGCTGCACAGATGAAGGCGTTTGAGAAGAAGATGATGGGCCAGACAAGCCAAGACACGCAGAAGGACATTGCAAAGTTCAAGGCTGAGAACGAACATCTTCGCCACGATTCTGACCAAGTGCTGGGAAAGAAGAGCGGCATTGCCAACAGTCCAAAACGCAAAACGCCAAAGACACTTCCAGCAGGCGATCTTTGGGCCAATGTCGCCATGTCGAGTCCTTTCGTGGACGACGCCGCAGACAAGGATCAGTCCCCTCTGCGGGCACGAGACATGAACATCCAAGGTCAGACGCCCAAGGACGGAAAGCCCAAGGTGGTTAGGAATGTTCATACAAAACGTCTTAGCGAAGACACTATGGACATGTCACTGCCTCTTCCGTCTCCCGAGCCCTTACCTCGCGCTACACCTCGCAGTAACAGGAAGTCGACAGCAGATATGACGATAGATGAACTGGTTGAGAAGTACTCGCCAGAGAAACCGCAGTTCGATCGTCTTGCTCTGCCTTTGGGTGTTGGTGCGCTGAACTTTGGTTCGAGCAAGCCTGAGATGAAACCCACAGCAAGCTCATCCAAGACTGGAGCTAGAATTACCAGTCTAAGTGATGACAGGCTAGCCAAAGCACAAGCACGTATCGAGGCTAGAAGACTGTCCAAGTTGGCTGCAGCATGAGTAGGGTCTGGTACGAAGGCTACACGAATCACGCATTGTTAGAACGATTTTGCTTCTGTTGATACTCTTTAATTGATACCCCATTCTACTGTTCTGCACCTTTTCTCACCGGGTTTGCCTTGCAACATTTCCATCACCATAATCCCATGCCAAGACGTCAAAAGTCCATGGATTTCATGACGCAGCACTAGGAACCGTGAAGCTCCATCCAAAGCGCAAGGCAACTCGACAACCACTACTGTAACCAACTCGTCTCTCATATACAACTCGCCCAAATCACAAAACACACATTCACACATAATGGACTCTCTAGGCAGCGGCAACATCGACATCTCCAAAATGTCCGACGCCGAAAAGCAAGACCTGCAACAATTCGTCGTCAACGAGTCGCAAAAGGCGCGCATCCAACAATGTACGTTTATGGCCCTTCTACTACTTCCCTTCTCCCCTCTGCACGCCATCACTAACACGATGAATCCAACAGCCATCCACTCCCTCACAGACACCTGTTTCCGCAAGTGCATCACCGGCAAGATTTCGTCGGGCAAGCTGGACAGGAGCGAGGAGCCCTGTATGCAAAACTGCGTCGATCGCTTCATGGACGCAAACCTCGTCGTCATCAAGAATTTGGAGCAGATGAGAACGCACATGTAGAGATGTGGAAGGAAGAAGAGAGGTCGCAAACCATATCCTCAGGCTCTGGTGCGATGGCAATACGGATCGCCCAAGCGATGAGGAGGATATTGCGATCTGACAAGGAGGCAGATACGGATTGTTATGGCGAACGAGCATGATCCGAGACATGAATGTAAATGTACACTATGGAGGGATGTATGATAAAAGGGATCACCGTGGTCTTGCAGAAAGCATGTTCATATACAGGAAGGGCTGTTGAAAATACATCGGCAAAGCAATTATCCACTGGTACAACAGATTCAATGAATACATGTCACGATACAGATCACAGAATTCGAGAAGGGCGGCGAGGGCATGAATGAACTAGATTTGGGATTTCTCCCTGGTATCGAAAAGGGGCCTGCTTCCTTGCAGCCACCCACACCCACGTAACGCCAATGCTTTTGTTTTGAGCAGACCATAATCATAACCACGACACGAGAGCATAAACCGCCTATCCTTCTTTGGGATGAGACTGATTTAAACAATGGCGAGCTTGGTGGCAGCAATGTCGAGGGCGTCGACGTCAGGAGTAAGACGGGCGAAGGCCTTCTTGGTGCCGTCAGGNNGCTGTTGGATATACATGTTAGCGTCGCCCTTGAAGAATGTGCGACAAGTTGTGGAAACATACCGGATCAGGGTGTTGATCTTGACGGTGTCAACGTCGTACTGCTTCTTGAGGGCGTCCTTGATCTGGCGCTTGTTGGCCTTGGTGTCGACGATGAAGACGAGGGTGTTGTTCTCCTCAATCTTCTTCATGGCAGACTCGGTGTTGAGAGGGTGGATCAGGACCTTGTGCTGCTCGACACCGGTCTCGGCCTGGACACTCTTGCGGGGGTACTTGGGAGCGCGCGAGAGCTTGAGGGTCTTGGGCTGGTGGAAGGTGGTCGACAGGCGGACTTTGCGGACCTTGTGCGAGTTGACCTAATCAAAAGAATAGGCCGTCAGCGATGGGAGTGCTGACACGCCTCTATTTCAGGTAGTCCTTACGCCACGAAGAGCAGCCTTAGCGGCAGCGCCGGCCTTGGCCGAGGGCTTGGTGGCCTTCTTTGCGCCTGCGATGCGTGTTAGCGATTTGTTCTGGCGGTATGCGGAATTTCGCAGAGGAGGATCAAGGCCTGGGGTCGAACACATGCGGCGAAGACAATTTTTGTCGCAATTGAAAAGTCGTTCGTCGTAGGTTATCCGCCTTCATCGCTCGTCCTGGTGAGTCGCACCTTGGGTGTTGTTCTTGGGGGCCATCTCGTTGAGTTGTCGGGGTCGTTGCTACAGAAGTCGCTCGCTGCTCGGATTCGAATTTGCAAAGTGCGAACAGACAAAGAGCGACCCTCGGTCAAACTCCGGGTCGAAGCGCCCGCCTGGCCTAATCGAAATCTTGGCATTCAATGTCAAACACTTTTTCTTGTCTAGTGAAAACAATAGTTGAGAGTGAAGAGAGATAATTCTGGCCAGACGATTTTGTTCTGTGAGTTCTGAAGTTTCCGGTATTTGAAGTTCACTTGGGTGTCGCCAAAAGGTCACACATCATTGCTTTACTACGAGGCTGTCAAGAACGATCACCACATCCAGACTCCACAAAATGGTCAACACCAAGAAGAAGCAAAAGCCTGTGAGCCTTTCTCACGGTCGACCTCCAGCAGCCAAGAAGCCAAAAGCATCATTGTCATCCAAGGCCACGAGAAACCTGATTCAAAGTCATCATCGTCTTCACAAAGCGCTCGCCGATGCCACGCGTCAAGGAGACGAGCGGACTGCGTCGGCCATTCGGCAGCAGATCGAGGAGAAAGGTGGTCTGAAAAGTTACCAGCAAGCAAGCATCCAAGGCCAATCCAGCGACCGAGGCGGAGATACTTCGAGGATTCTGCTGGACTGGTTGCCGAAGGACCTGCCGAAAGGACGCACAATCCGTATGCTCGAAGTCGGCGCCCTTTCTGTTAACAATGTATGCTCAAAGTCAGACATCTTCGATGTGACGCGCATCGATCTGAACTCACAGGCCGCTGGGATCGAGCAGCAAGACTTCATGGACCGACCCGTCCCAGAGACAAACGCTGACAAATTCGACATCATCTCTCTATCTCTTGTATTGAACTATGTTCCGGAAGCGCTTGGCAGGGGAGAGATGCTGCGAAGAACATGTCAATTTCTGCGAGCTTTGCCCGTCTTAGGTTTCGGGGAATCAGAATCGGCGCCCGAGTACTTCCCGTCCCTTTTCTTGGTCCTGCCAGCGCCCTGTGTGATCAACTCACGCTATCTGGATGAAACTCTCTTGAACCAGATCATGGTCACCCTCGGCTTTGCTATGGTGAAGAAGAAGCTATCGACAAAGCTCATCTATTATCTGTGGCGTTACCAGGGCAAGGGTTCAGAGAAACGGCACAGGTTTCGAAAAGATGAAGTCCATCCTGGAAAGACACGGAACAATTTCTGTATCATCTTGGAGTGATCAATTCTTCAAGCTTTATCGTTTAGTATAATCAGACACCATCCTCTGGCATCACGTCCTTTGTAGGGAATAACTGTATGCCACTTGACCAGTAAACGATGCAATGCGCAAAGGTGTCGTGTTAGCAGCTTGGACTAGGTTGGGCTGCAATTCTCAAACCAGGCATCAGACACATCATATCTCTCAATCACACGCCGATCGACGTGCGCTGGCTTTTCTGCAAGAGAGATGCACACAAGAGCCATTGATGGCATGGACGGGGTTGATGGGCAGGAAAAGTCATGGCCAAGGATAACTATACCAAGCATGGTTAGCAATCACATGATTGGTTGATGATGCATGCGCTCTGGCAGGCATAATCTCATGCCGTGCAGGCGGTAGAGGGACAGCTCTCTTTGGCCAGTACAACCTGCTTCACCGGATACGATGTGCAGAGGCGCGCGGCTCGGATGCATAATGCTCATGCACTGCAAACAATCCATCACATCCTGCACCTACATCCGTACGAGAGATCGAGTGAGCTGAAAACCATGACGAGTGCCTCTAGAAAGAATTGAGAGCCCGATCTCGAAGTTGCTTGACAATTGGTTAATTTCCTCCAACATATCGACAAGGCTGATGATAATCTTCGAGAAGTCTCCGCGCGAAGTGACTTCATTTACTGAGTAGATTGTGAGAAGTCCCGAGTGGACGGAAGGATTCAGTAGAGGCTGTTTAGCGCAGTTGGTTCGGGTAGAGGTCTACAACCGCATGTCTTGTTGCACAAACTCTGAACAACCAACAACAGAGCCATCGACTCTCCAGACTGAGTCGTCGATATCAAGATATGAAGCGACATGGAATCTCGTGTCACATATGCATGTAAAGGCAGGAGGGTACGGCCCGCTTGCCGCATAACGCAAGCAACAGACGAGGGTCACATTCTGACCTGTCAATAGGCAAGATGATGAAACAGCGTTCTAGAAAAGCGAGTTGAAGTCGGCAGGATTGTTGCCCAAGTAAGCAGCACAGATGCCTGAACAGACCCTGACGGGTCAAGAGCGAACGCCAACATGCGGTCCGGTCCATGGGAGATGAAGCCTACAGCAGTTCATAGCATTCTGATCAACTGGAATCTATGTTGCTTTTTCAGTGCGCGATTTAACTAATCGTGTAGTCTTTGATTGAGAGAGACAGCGCGGAAGAAGCGGAAGAAGGACAAGCAAAACAATGACTAGGCAGGTGCTGAAGGTCAAAGACCATTTCGTGGCCTTGAAAGAAGCACATAGAAGGTCAAAGCATACGCCCATGCGAGGCTCTAGCGCAGTGGCTCTGGGATCAGCTGCCGGCGCGCTGCAGCAAGGCAGGCCTGGAGAATTCTTGGGGACTGGTGGGCCAATTGGGCTCGACCGGTCACGATGGAAAGTAGCCAAGGTGAACAACAACAAATAGCGAGAACAGGCCAGCGACTTTGGTATGCGACGGAATGCATGATGGCACGCTGTATGGAGACGAAAAACGACAAGACTACCGAGTGGGGTCCGGCGGCCTGTTTTAGAATCGGTGGCCAGGACTCAGGGTCAAGCAGATGTCGTGGCCTTTACCGATGCACACTGAGGGCGGGCGCGGGCCTCTCTGCGACTGTGTTTGGTGAGGAAGTGTGCTCCGCTGACGGACATGCTGTGAAATTGTCTGTCTCGAAGCAGGGGTCTGCATATATAAAGCTATTTGAATGGAGAGTGTCCGAACGGTGCTGTGATGGTGCATCTTTGTTGATCTGTTTCAGCATCGTATCCCTCGATCTTTTAGTTGTTACGGAGATTGTGATATCTGACTCGAGCGTCAAACGGCTTGCGGAGCCAGAGAGAGAAAGACCACAAGGCTGTTTTGCTGCATCATAACGCCAAGCTGCGCAGTACCCACATCGACCTTTCGCGGCCATCGCAAAATCCTCTCTCGAATACCTTCTCTCCTCCCTCCTCCAACCCTCAAACCCTGCTTCTCATCTCCTTGTCGACTGCTGGTTTGATAGAGGTCCCCCTGCATTGTTCTCGCGCTTCTGGTCTGATTCCACGGGCTTATGAGATCACGCCCCGCCACGAAAAACGACTGACGACAAAGAAACCAAGTTGGCCAGCTACAGCCACAACGACGCCCGGCTGTTGTCTTCAGGAAAAACGTCCCTCTCATCTCGACGCCCTCGCGAAGTCCCCTTTGTGTCTTGGTGCATTCTAGCCCTCGCTGCACTGCTTGTCCTGCAATTCTTCAGGCAACCCGTTTCTGCCGTTACAAAGTCACCGAGCTAGCTGGGGTCACACGTCTTCGACACTTTTGGTCTGCCTAAACGCTTTTGACATCACGTCCCCCCGACAACTCTAAACTCTTTTTGTCGAATTCTCTTCCTTCGACCTTGCCTGTCGACAGACATCATGAGTCTCCAACAACCGGACATGTATTACGACAATCCGCCTGCAAGTCGCTCTCCCCATGTGCAGCGCCACCAGCCTCAGCTGCATCGCCAGTCGTCGCGCCAATTCGACTCGTACGCTCACCTGCCCTCGGGCCTCTATGGCGCCGAGGATCAGCAGCAGCAACGTTTTGATGCTCCTCGCTACAACGACAGGATGGGCGCTCCTCCCAACATGCACCAGAACATGAATCAGAATATGAATCAGAACATGAACCAAAACTATGGTGGATACGACATGGGTGCTCAGAACTGGAACAGCGCCGCCTTTGGAAACAACACCATCGGCGCTTTGGGTGCTTCCCAGCGCAGACGGGGACCGCAACAGGCCCCGAGAAACGGTCTTCCTTCGGTAAGCTCCAGCGCGGCTTCCCATCAATATGGACTGGGTCTGACTAACGCGGGTGGACAGGCCTGGCTCGACCAGCCTCAACCTATGCCCCAAGTTTCTCCATACCTTGGCCTCGGTGGAGGCGTTCTTGGTGCACCATCAATTAGATCGGATCAGCTTGGCTCCGAGCCTGATGAGGAGCTCATCCCTACCGCCATTGTCATCAAGAATATTCCTTTCGCCGTCAAGAAAGAACAGCTGGTCCAGTTGATGACCGACATGGGTCTTCCTCTCCCCTACGCTTTCAACTACCATTTCGACAATGGTGTTTTCCGCGGATTGGCTTTCGCCAACTTCACCTCGCCCGATGAGACTGCCGCCGTCATCGACGCTATGAACCACTTTGAACTCCAGGGCAGGAAGTTGAGAGTCGAGTACAAGAAGATGCTTCCCGCAGCCGAGCGCGAGAGAATTGAAAGAGAGAAGCGTGAGCGTCGTGGACAGCTCGAGGAGCAGCACCGTCCTATGGCAACTCAGACTCTGCAGACTCAGACCTCCATGTCCTCGCTCACCGGCCACATGCCTCCCGCCTCTCCTTCGCCCGTGTCGGCCGGAAACGTTGGACTTGCTGTCGATCTCAACAACCCCGACACTCTTAAGGTCTACTCGGACCTCTTGATCTTCAAGGAAGACAAGAACAGAGACCTGTTCATCTTCCCCTCTAACCTGAGCCCTCCTCAGAGACGTGTTATCCACACCATTTCCCACCACATGGGTCTCGCCCATATCTCCAAGGGACAGGCTGACCAGCGTGCTGTCCACGTTTACAAAGAAGCTCCTCGCCAGAGGCTCAGCCCTCCTCTGCCCCAGATTCAGGCTATTCAGCAGGGTGAGACACAGAGAAGAGGCCTCAACCGCGCTGCAACGACCGACTTCACCGATGTTCGCAACCAAGACGCATTTTACAACCCCGCTGGTGTTCGTCACCAGCAATCTGGTTACCTTGCCGGCTTCCAGGACGCTCCCAACACTCTCGCCGCAGGTCCCAACCTCCGTGCTGCCAAGTCTTTTGCCGACTTGCGCTCTTACACTCCTTCTCCCGTCCCTTCTACTGCCAGTTTCCCTGCCACTCTTGGCAACAATGTCTCTCGCTTCGCTGAGTACGCTCGTGAAAACGGCGGTACTCCTGCCATCACTCCCACTGGTACCGCTGCACCCATCGGCACCCGTGGTGACGAGAACATGCTCGTCAACGGACTCGGAAACATGAACATTGGTGGCCCCGCTGGTTTCGCCAGCAGCCCTCGTGGCCTGCGCGGTATGATGTCTTGGGACCGCGAATCCAACCCTGGACCCATTGGCGGCCACCGCTCTTTCAGCACCAATAACACCGGCTATGACGAGCAGCCCCGTGACCGCAACCAGGGCGTACCCTCTCGCCAGCCTCGAGGCCCAATGCCCGAGCGCGGCTCTGGCTTCCCTCGTCGCAATGGTCACATGGCTCGCGGCAGTGATGAACTGTCGCAACAGTCCGGTGTCGAGATCACTGTCGAGTAGATCACTCATTTTCTATGACACCTAACGGCAACTGTACACCCTCATGAGTATGATGCTTGCAACTCGAACCGATTTCAAGAACGATGAACAAGCTACCACGGCATGGGCAGACGAGAGAAGATTGTCATGTCTTCTTCGGTCTCTCGGCTGCCTTGATGAAGTCAATGACGAATGACACCAACGACCGCTACGAAAGTAGACCCCTTTCAAAAGAACATATCCCACCATTATTGGCTTTCAGCATGGCTTGAAGGAACATTCACACAAGCCGGAAAGCAGCGCACTGATTTTTGTCGAAATTGCATCGAGTCTAGTCTTTCCCTTTTTCCCCCATCTGCTGCACTTCTGCTTTGTTATTTCCCTCGTCTTTTGAGCACGAACGCGGAAAGGAGGAAACGAAACTGTTTGGAATCTCTCGAGAAAACAAAAGATAGTATACGAATTCGAGATGGCAAACACTTTGTCTGATTTTTCCTTTTGTTCTTTTCATTTCAAATTCCTCGTTTTTCCTATCTCTCATCTCTTCTTTCCTTTCTTGGGAACGGGACCGTGGATAGGAGAATATTCCGGCACTAATCTTCCTACAACTGGATGTGTATTTTATTATGCTTACTGGAGGGGTAGGGAGGGACATGGTGGATTGGCTGTTTGCTTGCAAACGACCTAGGTAATATTCAGATGAAGTGTATTATTTTGATTTATGTGCATTTATTCTCGCATTCATGCTGCTTCAGTGACCCTGTTCAGATATATCATATCTTTCCTCCCGACGTTCAACAGGGTGTAAGAGATGAACAGAACAGTGATTGCTCTGCGGGCTTTCAAGAACAAGAAATAGAAATGCCTGTAGAAGAATTCACCCATTGTGTGTCGTACGTTGTCGGAACACAAATCGTGCGTCTGACTACCACTCCGAGATGGCATTCCACTATTTCTACGCGAGGATAGAGACAAACAAGAAATGGACCATAGCTGCAAACAACATTGAAGGACACCTCAAACGTATGGACAAGTTGACAGAAACATCCTATACAGCTGTGAATAGAACTTTTCGAGATGCTTTTACGAAGCCTTCACGTCAACTCGCGAAACGCTCTTTACCGTCACTTGGAGCGACCAATCAAGTCGCGGTCACTCGATGCTCTCCAATAAATGACAGTGCTTATTTGGTAATGCTCACATTGACCTTGGAAGCGGTCGTTGTCATCAGAGCATCACAATGGGTAGCCAAGCACCAATTGGCGCTCTTGAAATTGTGGATGACGGCGTTGTGATGCCGACTTCCAAACACCTGGGATCAACGACGGAAACACCTCCTGTCGTTCCACCTCTCGAAACAGACATTCCTCCAGCAAACCGGTCAAAGGGGAGACGGGTATGCTAATAGTCTAAGGTGTTAGCAGTCGACGATGTGTATCAGCTGCCAGAAGTTCGTCATGAAGCTCCGCAGAGGTGAGAAAGTGAAGCTGTCATGAACGCGGTAGAGAGACACAAAGCGGTAAACAATTGCATCAACATGACAGTGACAGTCCCCATGCGGGGTCCGTGGCTTCCCCTTTGCTTGTTTAAAGCTAGTGAAGAGCAGCAAGACATGGTCAGCAGCTCTTGATCTGATCGTCCCATTGCTCTTTGCACCTTCCTACTCAAAAGGAAGAGCGGCACCACTTCCACTTTCCTCCCTCCTCTTAAACCCCCTTCAGTCTCCGATTCCTCTTCTTGACATTGCATTGCTTCATTGAGCCAAACACAAGCGTCTCATGCCTTTTTCACCACCAACTCTACTTAGCAACACACTCCGAGCAAACGTATTCAGAGCTCGATTCTCAATCAGATTAACCTGCACAACAATCAGACGAGCAAACATGGCAACCGCTCACAAGACCACCATGGTCACGGCCTCGCCCGAACAGTTCATGAAAACCTCCGGCTCTACCGATGCCGTCTGGATCCACACCGAGCCTTACAGCAACCGCCCTCATTACCCTCGCCTCAACCAAGATCTGGAGACCGATGTCTGTGTCATCGGTAGCGGTATTGCAGGTATCTCAACTGCCTACGAACTAGTCAAGAAGGGCGTCCAGGTCGTCATGATCGAGGCCCGTGACATCCTCTCTGGAGAGTCTGGACGTACCAGTGGTCACCTGTCAAGCGACATTGACGATGGCTACACTGAGGTCAAGTCCAAGCATGGAGACAAGGGTGCTGTCATGCATTTCGAGAGTCACGACTGGGCAATCAAGCGTGTCGGCGAGATCTCGAAAGAGCTGGGCATCGAGTGCGAGTACCGCAACCTCCCTGCCTACAACGTCTCACAATACCCTCGCGGTGACAAGTACCACGAGGAGGACGTCAAGATGCTGAAGGAAGAGATTGCTTACTCCAAGACCCTCGGCATGGACGCAGAATGGAAGGAGGGCTACGCTGTCAAGGGCTGGAATGGACAGGTTGATCAGCGTGATGCTGCTGTCTTCTACAACCAGGGAACTTTCCACCCGACCAAGTACCTTCTCGGCGTCTTGAAGTGGCTCTCGCAGCAACCCAACTTCAGCTGCTACACTCGCACCCGCATGATGGAGTGCCAGGAGAAGGGCATCGAGATTATGGGCTTCGGATCCAAGGAGGTCAAGGTTACCACCGAGGAGGATAAGACCATCAGCTGCAAGGATGTCGTCATGGCCACATGTGTGCCTCTTCAGAAGCTGAGCGTGGTTGCCGAAATGGAGTACCATCGTACATATTGTATCGCCGTTCGCATCCCCAAGGGCTCGTACGAGGATTCTCTCATCTACGACACTGCCGAGGCCTACAAGTACATCAGATTCACCGAGTGCGACGAAAAGGACGACTACTTGGTCATTGGAGGCTGTGATCACAAGGTTGGCCAGCACGAAAACGAGAAGGAGAACTACGAGGAGCTTGAGAGATGGACACGCGAACGCTTCACTCAGGTTGGCTCCACCGACTACAAGTGGAGTGGTCAGATTTTCGAGCCCGTTGATGCTGTCGCTTTCATTGGTTTGGATCCCGGCACCAAGCACACGTACATCGTTACTGGTGACAGTGGAAATGGATTGACCCACGGTGTCATGGCTGGTCGCATCATCGCAGACCAGATCACTGGCCAGGAGAATGCATGGGCTTCCCTGTATGACCCCTCGCGCAAGGCCAGCATCGTCAAGTCGGCAAAGGAGATGATCACACACGACCTTCAAATCAACAGCCAGTACAAACGTTTGGTGCAGTCGGACATCAACGACATCGAAGACTTGCTTCCCGGTACTGGCGGTGTGCTGAATTCGAAGACCAGCAAGCCGATCGCTGTGTACAAGACAGACAGTGGCGAAGTGCGCAAGATGTCTGCTCTTTGTCCCCACATGAAGGGAGTGGTCTGCTGGAACCACGCCGAAGGAAGTTGGGATTGCCCCGTCCATGCCTCTCGCTTTTCCTCGGATGGTGTCTGTGTCATGGGTCCGGCCAAGGGTAACTTGAACCCAGAGAACGAGGAGGCCAAGAAGGCTCTGCAGCAAGCAATTCAGGGTTGATGAGATGCACACAGAGAGTAGATTCAGTCAAGGAAAATAGGCGTTACGAGTTTGACGAAGAGCATGATCAACCGGGTTGGAGTGCATGGCTAGGAGTTTCAGTAGTTTTCAACAATCAACATTTTGTAAACCAGAATTCGAAAGGACCAGCCGCACAAGATACAATGGCCAGACAGCTGTTTTGATGAGCAGACAGACACTGAGCAGGATAATGTATGCCTTGTCTTCAAGAAAAAGTGGATGGAAGAATGCAATCCTTGAGATTTTGATCTTATGCAATATGATAAAAGCATGTGACAACCACCAGGATCCACCTGCAAGTGATGTTTGACGCAGTAAAAGGTCTTCACGACCTAGCGACCTCGTTCATTTTGGCAGAGGTTTCGAGAAAAGGACAGAAACAGAAAACGCCATCCTCCCAGTAATGCATCCCATGATAAACTCCAAGCCTCCCAGTGAAAAGAACCCCACCAGAGCAGCAAAATAATGGCAAGCTGCGAACAACTTTCTTTTCGTCTTGCCAGTAATGCACCTCTCTCCCTTGAATCTGTCCTTATGCAACAGCTTCTTCCTCTCTGTATCTTCCATCTCTTACTTCTCAGGCGCATCGGGCAACCTCTCAATAACATACTTGCCCTTTGCCACATTGATAATCGGCACACCCGGAATCTTTCTCAACCGTCTCTTTAAATCGCGATCGTTCGTCGCAACCAGATAAATCCTATGCTTCAACACACGATCCACGATACAGTCATCGGCATAGGTTCCCTTGTGCGAACACTCCAGTCTCTCCCACCTCTCGTCTCTGGCAATCTTGAGCGCAATACGGTATTTTTGACCCAGTTTTTCCAGCTCGGCCATTACGCAGGATGTGATGATGGGGCGGCAGGTGGCGTACAGGCAATCCATGAGTGAGGGAAGTAACTCGAGTTTGTTGTGCACGGTGTGGGAGAGGAAGTTTGTGTCGACGAGGACCGAGTAAGGTGGTTGGAGGGCTGTGTTGTGCTGGAAGAACATTGACGAGGGTGCTTGTGNGGCTGTGCTCTTATCAGTATGTGTTTTGTTGCGCGAGTTCAAATGTTGCCGTCCGGGAGTTGCTCACATCTCGCGCACGACTTCCTCGGCAGGCTTTTTGGCCTTGTCGTCGCCGGTGACTTGGTTTTTCTTGAGGCGTGCATCGCGTTGGCCGATGACGCGCTTGACCTGTGCGAACTTGCGTGTCTTTTNTTGCACTCCCATGATGCCCGCGGTGTGATATGTGTTGTTTGTGGTATGCTTGTTGTGTTAAGAAGAGGATTGAGATGTGCAGAGTTGCTTCTTTCGTGGCGCATTCACTTTCTTGCGCTGCAACAATCACTTTTTGGGACCCTATCTTATCGCCAAAAGTGGTCTGTGCGTCCATCGGGCTTGAATCTCCCGAGGTTCCGCGAGTCGACCCCTTGCGCTTTGCTGCTGACACGTTCTATCGCTCATCGTTTAGATACTGGAGGTCGTCTATGTAGATGAGTGCCATTTAGCTAAAGGGTTTGTCATGGAGCCCGCGAGTGACACGAAATCAAGACACAACTCGAAACAGAGGACGAAATAAGAAGTGAAAGCAAAACAGAAATTGGAGAATATGTACAAGGTACAGCCAATTAGCGGTGGGATATCAAACCAGCCAGACATAAAAAAGAACAAACACCAGCGCGATATGACATCTCTCGAAACACCTCCTCTACACCCAAAGAGAACGTCATGCTCAAAGGATAAAATCAGTGAAAAACGCATAACTTCTTGACAGCCTTTGTGATTGGCAAAGGCGTAACCGCTTCCTCCCAAAAAACAAAAACAAAAAAAAACAGAAAAACACCAAACCAGGGCAGGTCGGCAGACAGAAGAGAGAAAGAAAAAGGTGGCCGACCTCGTCATTATGCCCCCAAGCCAATTCGTTCCCACCATAAACCCCACCCAGCCGTCCATATCCATGGATCAAGATGCACGTATACTGGATTCGAGCATGAAGCCGTTCATCACCGTTGATGCATTGTCGGACGTATGCAACCTTCATTCGAGTATGAAACGTGAGTACGCGTCGAGATAGTAAGAAACAAGTCGTGATAATTCATGCAATGTCAGAGACCACCGCTGACAGAGAGGATCCGCACTTGTGTGAGAATCTTTGTGGGCCTCGCAAGGTTGAGCCAAATTCTCGGCCCTGTTGTTAGCGAGGTTCATCCTTGGATGGATTCTCAAGGTGTCAGAGGATGTTGACCGACAAATTCCCGCTCAAGAGGCCATACTTAGACATAGCCAGATCATCATCAACGAGGCCCATCCCGATGCCGCTATCATCAAGGTCGGCTGCATCCAGACCTTGGTTTTGCATGGGCTGGGAAGGCAGAGACTGTCGCGGATGCGGCATTGCAAACTTTTGCTGTGGTTGTGATGAGAGCTGTTGTGACTGAGACAGTTGCATGGGCTGGCCACTCATGTCGAAGGAAGCATTGTAGGTGTGCATGGATTGTGTAGAATGAGCACGCGTCANCTTTTAGGCTTGAAGTCAGTCAGAGCTCCATGGAAAAGACAATTGAGAACAAAAAGTTAAGGACTTACTTTGAGCACTGGCAGGCCGAGACTGCGGCTGCATCTTGAAATCGACTTCTATGCTGCTCATTCTGCTATCGCTGCCACTTCGCATGCTAGCGGTCGAGTCCACAGGCTTGACTTCAGGAGAAACCTGAGCAGCAAAGGTGGCAGGGGTTGCATGAACAGGGTTGTGCTCGAGGAAGCCACCCATGGCTGCTAACCACAGAGCCATCTCGTCCACAAAAATCTTCATGACCCACCAAGTCTGGTAGCTGGCACCTCCCATGATAGTGATATCTCTCAGAGCTGCAGTTCCGACGGCGCTAATACAGTGCAGCAAGAGCCTCGTGTTTGCTTGAGGGAAGCGCGAAGGGAGAGATGTGAGGAAGACGGACCATCTGTCGAGAACGTTCTCGGTCGAGATCTGTCCTGACTGGTCGGTAGTTTGAGGTGGAGGTTGCTGAAAAGTAGGGAAGTTGGCCTGAGCGAAGCCGTATGCTTGGTTGTCATGAGCGAAGAGCGGGTTGTCGGGGAATGNGGGAGAACTGAGAGGTTCTAAGAGACCTCTGATGTCGCATGTCATGATTTTGTAGACCTCTTCGTAGCCACAGGCAGGAAGCTCGGCCTCCATGACACGCTTGGGGTTGACCATAGTCACCCATTCACGCCACATTTGCTCACGGTTCTGGTCGACAGTAAGCAGGTTTGCGGCAGCGTGAGCAGCGGCGTTGACGCGGATCAGACGATGCAGAAGGCTGGCAAAGGTTGCAGCAGGCTTGAGTTTGGCTTGCAGGACGTGAGTGGGATGCGAGGCAAACGTCTTTGAGATGTGAGCATGCAAGTTGGTCGAGATGTTGTTGAGGATGTTGATGACAACAGGCGGCGCAGCCTGGAGGGTGAGGCGTGAGACGAAGCGAACCATCTTCTGGTACATCAACGTGTCACAGGCCTGGATCCAGGGTGCAAGGTTTGGATGAGCCAGCAGCTTTTGTACAGGCACTGTCAACGTGCCGTGGAAGGAGGTAAAGAGGCGGAAGAACTGCTTTTCCTTGCAGAAGCGAATGCAGTCAATCAACGATGTGCAGTGTGTGCGGTACAGAGCGGTGAGGGCTTCGGCCGTGTCGGGATCCGTCTTGACGGGGCAGAAAGGCAGGATGTTGGGCAGCACGATCGTGTCGTTCTCTTGGAAGGGTGCGTCTTCCTTAGCAGGGAAGCGCAAGTTCTGGTCGTACATGATGGAGCAATCATTGTCGGCCACCATGCCACGCGTATCTGGGTAAGCGAACAGTCGCGCCGTTGATGGTGGGCCACGAGGCTCGACCTGTAGTGAGGGTTGCGATTCGGCTGACTCATCACTGCTATTTGTTCCATCGAGACCATGGGTTGGGAAGGCAGCAGCATCAGCAGGAAGGCGTGGCACCTGGTTGAAGTCTAGATGAGGGTTGGTCGAGGCACTGCGACGCATGTCCGAAGCCTCGGCATGCAATGAGTTGGAGTTTGAGCGTTGAAGACTGAGCTGCGAGTCCGAGTTGTCGTCGACGAGGCACAAGTCGACATAGTGGTACTTGGACTCACCACGAACACCAAGTCGTCTAGTCTGGATGCCCGGGAAGATGACTCGCACCAGCTTGCCAAACGATGCTGGGTTGAGAGGCACTACACGTTCTGTACCGCAACGCGTAGCGTAGTGCGAGTAGACACGGTTGCGCGGCACCGAGGTTTTGGCCGCTTTGCACACCTTGCGCAGCCTAACGTCGCGTCAGTAAGAGACCTAGTCGTCAACAACAAACAAGACCTACCAGAGCATAGCGAACAGCTGTTTTGTCTTTTCGGCCTGAGGAGTGCGTTCCTTGGCGATGACTTCTTGGGCGACTTCTGGTAATGAGCGCGCCTCGTTCTTGGATAGCAACTCGCGCAATTCCTTGTCGTTGGTTGCAGTGGCCGATGAACCTTTGCGGCGACGATCCTCGGGCTCATGGCCACTGAGTTGGGGGAAGGCGGCGAGACCCATGGGGACGGGATAATCGGCGGGCTGGAACATATACGAGCCATCCTGAGTCGCGAACTGCTGAGCTTGCGCGGTGAACTGGTCCATAGGTATGTGTTGATTTTGGAAGGTGCGCTGCATCATCTGGGCGTCCATGTGCGGTGCGGAGCCCTGGGCATAGTGTAGCAGCATTGTCTCGGGGTTGTGGTGGTTCAAGTATTGTTGTTGATGCAGCATGTCGGGAGCGGGAGAGTGGGCGCTCTGGGTCGAGGCGCGCGACAGCGGGCGATGTATCGAGTGGGTAGAGCGTGTTCGCTGCATGATGGCTATGTCGATTGGTCTCTACTGTTCATAATCCAGCGAGGTCGAGTTTGTTGATATTGATGTTGTTGACTTCCAAGTTATTTGTTTGTAATGATCCGGGAAGACACCGACAAGGCCGCACGTGTAGACGTCTAAACAAACCTTGAGGTGCGAGAGTCCTAGAAGAGCGAGGGAGAGCGCGTGTAGATTATGCGCTGGTATGGAACCGGATTGTCGAGGACAAAAGGCGAGTCGAGGATGCACGAGTAGCGATGCGGATCGTCAATGTTTGGCATGTGTTTACCAACAGCAACCGGGCGCCGAACGACAGAGTCGCAGTCACGTGCAATGCGCAGGACCAGTCGACGTCACACCAACTAAATAGTACCTCCAAACCGAGCAGTGTTTTAGGTCGTTTGCTTTGGAAGCGAGTGGATAATGAGCTTCAATCTCACGGAGATTGGCAGTTGCTGGATGCAGCAGCCTCCTGCAACGTTGTTTCTTAAACCGTTGTCGCTTCGTTGGCAGGGTGGGAGCACGCTGGACGCAGGAAGGCACAGCAGAATGTAGCCAAAGATTTGCCGGCGCTGGGCAGGAGCCACCGAGCGCTGACGTACGGGGTTTTTCGAGCTCTCGTCTCTCCTGGCCTCGAACCTTTCTCTCCCCTAAACCATCAACCAATTCGCCTTTGTCGCTCCCATCTCATTTGCTTGCCGTTTGCATAGCCTTATTTCAGCCCGTTATCAAAATGTCTTTCCAGGAACGCGCCCAGTCGCACATTTCGCAGCTCGACAAGGAGGTACATCTTGCAGAGCTCCACGTGCCTGTTCGCACTCGCTGACGCACCTGTCTACAGCTGTCCAAGTACCCTGCCCTCAACAACTTTGAGCAGCAGAGCTCCGTCCCCAAGGTCTACGTTGTCCTCGGTCTCGGTGCCCTCTACTTCTTCCTGATCTTCTTCAACATTGCTGGCGAGTTCCTCGTCAACTTTGCTGGCTTCATCATCCCCGGCTACTACTCGCTGGAGGCTCTCTTCTCCCAGACTAAGGCCGATGACACCCACTGGTTGACCTACTGGGTCACCTACGCCTTCTTGACCGTTCTCGAGAGCGCTGTCAACGCCGTCTACTGGTTCCGTGCGTTATCCCGTCCGCTTCCCTGATGCTCATTTGCCGTTTTGCTAACNATAAGTCTAGCCTTCTACTACACCTTCAAGTTCGTCCTTGTCCTCTGGATGTCCCTTCCCCAGACTGGGTAAGTCATGCTGCTCCTTCACTAGCCTATGCGCTCATGCTAATATCATGCAGTNGGTGCCAAGATTGTCTTCAATTCCCTCCTCCACCCTCTCTTCGGCCGCTTCTTCAACCAGGGCCCCATCGAGAATGCCAAGACCCAGTAAATCTGTCGTCGCAATAATAGCAACATGGCAGTGTAAGGATACTTGTGTGAAGCCTGGCTTTCCTTGACTGGCTTCTTGCTTTTCTCGGAGCAGCCCTGTCTGATGGGAAACACGACTAATGCCCTTGAAAAATTGTTGGCAAATATGGAGATGAACAAGAAAGAAGTTGAAGTGTTGTTTTGAGTCAAGCCTTTTAGGCCTCTGGAGATTATATGTGGACGTTATAGGTATGCTGAAGGTATTACAATGAAAGAGTTTGTGTGTACACCCTCTACCGCCTTGTTGTGTTGCACTCGTGACTTTGAGCAGCATAAAACATGCCTATTGGCCGTTGTATCCCATATATCTGCTGATCTTGCAGTTGTGTCTATAGGCATTCACGTGTACACGTCGCTCGTGTGTCGTCTGCGTTGGCACAAGCTCAGGAGTCTCTATAAGGATATACTTCCTGCTTGATCATGCTGCATTTGCTTCGCAATCATCAGCTTCCGTAAGATGGACTCCCAAGCCAAGACCGTTGGATTCTTGCGTCTACCACCCGAGATACGCAATCAAATCTACCATCATGCGTTGAGCGAGCCACGAGGCATATTTCTGAACAACCTTCAGCGACCAGCATTGTTGGCTACATGTCGCCAGATCCAGCAAGAAGCGTCGCCCATACTATTTTCCAGCAATCAATTCGAGTTCCACCTCAGTCGGCCATACCCGGGATGTGACCCGAACATGATCTTGAGACCATGCACTGCTATATTCCTGAGAAACATGCAAGCTTGCATGACCCATATCATCCACATCAATGTACACGCGACTATCCGCTACAAGGCGTGGAACGGGTTCTTCACCACTTTTCGCATCAGAGTCAGAGACAGCCATGTGCACGTTGAACTCGATGTAACCAAATTGATTGGTCGCGCAAGGTCTCTCTGTGTACCTATTCTGTTGGCCTTGGACGAGCGTATCATCCGGACGGTTGAATCTAGCCACTCCAGAGCCCTCGGCTTCTATGACCTTGAGACGTTGGTCAACATATTTCGACCACATCTACTCAATGGGCTGGACATTTGCTTTGCTCCTTGCTCCAACTATAGCCAACACGATGGTTGGCTACCAAGGCCATCTGCTATTTCAGAATCTCCAGTCTTAACGAAGAGCGAATCAAATCCACTTCCAAGTGAGGAACTTCTGCACACGATACTACTCGGATTTGCAAACTAAGAAGTGTTGCAAATGCTTGGTTCCATTGTTCCAAACATCATACAAGATTTATCACTTTGCTCTACTTGATGCAGGTTCCACCGTGGCTGCCTCATCAAGAAAAGTTAAACTTCTCACCAACATAACATCACTCTCTGAGTCACATACTCTGCCACATATATCATTGACGAAACTCCTCACTCCTTAGTCTCTCACTACCGGTTCGAAGTAAGTTGCGCAGGATCTTGTCTAACAAGCAAACATAATCTAATTTCTCTTCAAGGTTCGTTGCAAAGCCTACGATAAGAAGGACCGAGCGCAGTATAGTTCACTCCCTGGTCTTTTCCAAGCACACAAGACCAGACATCGATATGGCGGCACAATCGGTTGTGCAGTCATCCTCAGAATGGCGTACAACGCCAACACACATACGGTTCGACTTTACGGCAGAGGCTGCTCTGATTGTGGTCAGAGCAGCTACCGCCAAACACAAATACTCAGCACTTGGCTTTCTGGACTCGCCTGGTGAAGTCCGAAACCTGGTCTACGTCTCTGTGATCGAGGATCTGCCATGCGATCCTGATTTGAACCTCTACAACTTCCGCATACCGATTCCAAACATGGCATTAGCGTGTAAGCAGATCTTCAGGGAACTTGTGAGTGTTCGGTTTGCAAAGTATGACTCTGGGTTTTGGTGGCAAGGTCACGAGTCTGGCGGTGCCTTGAATTTCTCTATCACGCAAGTCCCAATGCTCTCAAGAGCTACTCAGCGTTGGGCGGACAGATGTGCTGAGCTGGGTGCACATCTCAGCTTCAAGCATCTGGTGTTCTATGCACCTTCTAGTCATGGCACGGAACCGGCAGCCAGGCGTCATACATGGATCATCGGTGTGAGAGATGACACAGTTCGTGTCGAACTTGCCCCTCTCACGGGAGCAATGGAGTGCGTGGAGATCTTAGAGGACAACTCGACGAAAGGGTTGACAGATATCATGCATCAGCACGGCACAAGATTGCTGGGCATTCCTGAGCTTGAGGCATTCCGTCTTCTACTTGGTCGCTTCAATCTGCATCAACACTTTGAGGGCAGATCAGTCAGTCCTCGAGCACTTATGTCTAAGGACCCCGAAATGATCAGGCTCAAAGCTACATATCTTGGTTGTCACCTTGAAAGCCATCCATGGGAGTTCTACACGAGGNNAGATGTTGACAAGAAAACGCATGGAAGTTGAACAAAAGTATCAGTCAGAAAGTTGGCCCGATGAATGGCACGAGGGAATGACCACGGGACAATGTAACAGTATCGGGAACTCTATCAATTTATATGGGTCAACGAACGAGGGTAGTCTTAGGAAAGTAAACGATGATCTCGAAGGCTTGATTAACACTTCTGCTCACATTCGACTGTTCCATTGTTTACTCTCAACGACAGTTAACCATGTTGTAAGCTGTCGGTATGCGCATGCATTTCTGTGAGAGAGAGTTGAACCTGAAGAGAAGCAACCTATTCACAACTCTCGGTAGATGCTGCTCCGGCTTACAAAGAGACTGTGTATTTCATAGGTGAGATCTGATAATATCTAGCACCTGAGGACGTAGTAGATACCTAGTAGCACTTTTCGAATATACGAGCATACAGCCAGGACAATTGGTATGTATGGTGATGAGATGCGTGACTAGAATGGAGGCAGAAAGAGTGGCGTCGAGACCGCATGCCCGGATACGGTATGGATTATGGTGACTCAACCAACAAAACAACGATGATGTAGTACAAAGACTCGCTCACTCCCATCGAGTACATAAGACCTCGATCCCTTCGAAATCGCAAAAGAGGAAAACAGTAAGAGAGTGAAACCAAAAATATCGAAAATGACATCACCGAAAAAGAGCGCCGAAATGGCCGACGATCGCGACACAATTTCCGAGTGGAAGTCGCTACCCATGCACTCGCGACAAGAAGCCGTCGCAACAGACAGCGCGACTTCCTCCGTACGCGCAGACTCGCCCGTCTCGGTCGCAACCACNCTCCTCTACATCCTCGACGCAAAAAAGAAGCGAAAGAAGGAAAATCGCAGAAACAAGCAACAACAAACACCGCCTTCTCGTGTCGACACTCCACTGTCTGCTGCCCCCACGGACGACGACGCAACAATGACTTCTCTTCCACTCCTCATTTGCAGTCTCGGCAACCCGGGCGCCGCATACGCAAACACATTACACAGTGCCGGCCACAACGTCGTAGCCGCACTGGCGACACTGCTCCAAGCCGGCCAATTCACAAAAGACCGCTCGTATGGTAATGGCACCCTCACACGTTGCTACGACCCAGAGATGCCGTGGACACTATGGCAATCGCCAACATTTATGAATGAGAGCGGCAAAGGCGTGAGTGCCGCCTACCGCACCTGGGCGCGCGAGAACAATATGCAAGGCAGACTGGTGGTTGTGCATGACGAGTTGGAGAAGCCATTGGGGTCGGTGACGATACGGGATAAAGAAGGGCTTTCTGCCAGAGGACACAATGGGCTCAAGAGCTGTCTGGCGAGTCTGGGAGGCGTCAAGTTTGTGAGGGTGGGCGTGGGGATCGGGAGACCTATCAGCAGGGAGCCTAATGATGTTGCGAGGTATGTCTTGAAGAAGATGACCCCGGTGGAGAGACAAAAGGTTGAAGGCGCGGCCGAGGATGTGCTGAACAAGTTGTTGGCCATCAAGGGTTGAAGAGGTGATGACTTCTTCGACATGTACAAACACACACATCTAGCCAGCATTGGCAAAGATGGATGCCTGCGGAAAAGCAAGAGGCTGATGGTTAGTCCACGGTTCTGCTTCGAGGTTAGTCGGATGCTCATCAAGCCACCCACGTACCAGACTCGATTGAGATACTGCTTGGGGCGAGCACTTAGATCACCATATCCTCATCAAGAGTGACTTTGGTATTATCAGCAGCACAGTAACATCGCCGAATCCATAGTGGCTCTTTCCAAAATGGCAACTATGGTACAAGGCCGCCTTTGTCAAAATCCTGACACAAGACATTTTGGTGCTCATCTTTCCTTCCATATCTTCTTTTGTTTCGGTGGTGGAAGAGTTTTTTTCTCGAGATATGGTAGAGCTGATTAACATGGCATCGCCTTTTCACTGGATTCATATGAACCTACTAGGGTGGCGAGTGTCGTCTCTTTAAGATAGCCCAGTACATCGGTCTTAATTCTCGACAACTCGAAGTCGAAAAGTCCATCTTCCAGCAGTTAAAAGATAGACGCACACTTGACACATGCTTAAAAACAAGGGCCACATGAAATCGATTCGCACTCAGTCCCAGCAGCATGGTTAGAGTGCAAAGTATTATTATTATCCATGCTTTTGAGAGTCCAGGGGGCGCGAAAAAAAAGATTATCCACGGCGCAGAGTTTCGGTACATACGTTGGTTTGCCGGTAGTTAGAAGAGGCTCATACTTTCGGTGTTATAGCACCGAGAATATATCCTTTGCGTTTCGCACTTCGCTCCGAACCGGTAGGGCAAGAGTGAGGAATCTGAGAATAACACTTTAAGAGAGTTAAGGTATCTGAGATGCTTAGGTTTGGATTTTCCGTTCGTTGCTGTCAAAAGGGCGTGGGGAGTGGAAGTTTGTCTGATATACCTCGAGTTTGCTATATTGGTGCCTGAGGCATCTGGTTGTGGTATGGGAGACCCTGTTCTTGCCTTTTATTTGTTTTATGTCTGATTGTTGGCATTCTATAGTCTTCGTGCCTTCTATCGTACGGCCGCAGAGATGCTGTTCTAAGCCAGACATACACGGAAGTGTTCATTTGTCTTGAAGAACATTGAAACAAACAAAAGTGGACAAGTGTTGCTCCTCATACGTTCGGCCGTGGCATAGGCATAGCACGGAATGTAGAAAACCCGTTGTGCAGGCTGGCTGACTTGCACAAAGTCCTCAGGACGTTTCGAGGATCACAGACAGAATGTGGTGAACGACGCACAGGATGCCTTGCGGCCGTAGGACAAGATGTCATCAGGTTTGATTCAGGTCTCGGACCGACGACTCAGATCTCATCAAGCCCCAGAAGTTGCAACAGGGTCTTGCGGAGACTGGAGAGAGAGCGTGCGAGGAACCATGAAGCAGGGACGAGTCAGCACAGCATGGAGTCGGATCACTGACTCAAAACCTACACTCTTGCAGTTTGACCGCTTACATTCGGCTCCCAATTTGTCTAACTCTCACCATAGCACCGGTAAGGCATCAACCGTCAAAGGCTGAGGAAGAGGAAGCTGTAAATATGAACAAGGAGGGTCGGGAGTTTCTGCTGCCCCGTTGCGGCCGATCCACTGCGCCGTCGGCCACTCTTGACAAGACACTTCTTGAGCCCTAGCATTGCATGAGCGAACTTGCCAATTGACCCATGAGTCAGTCGTGGACTTCACCTGCTGATCAGGCATATTGATATTGCAACACTTTCTGATAGAAACAAGTTGTTTTGTAAGAGTTGGCGATCAAGTTCTGGTCCGCGGACAGGGACAAGGGTCGGCGTCCGGCGGGTTACGAGCATGTTTTCCTGGTCGCTCGCGATCCTGATCAATGTGGTCTTACGCTACATGAGAGTGCGTGCAGCCGTGTCTGCATCGTCGAGGTACAAGAGACAGTATGTTCACTACACTGCTAGGCCCTACGACGACAGTGAGATCGTGGAACCTACGTGATGCTGCCAGGGATTGGATCGTTGCCCTATACGCGTCATCATGGTGTGCTGCTTTCAAGTCACATATCAGATGCAGGGATTGTGTATGATGACCATCGCGGAATTGAGCTCCTGCCTGGTCATGGGAGGTATACCATCTGCTCGTTATCGAAGCGTTTCTGACCATGTCCAGGTCGCACAAGCGACGTACTGTTCTAGCGTAATAACGGTTTGCAATCAAGCCCTCGTGCTGTAGGCCACTTGCCGTCAAAACGCGGCTTTTGCATGTGCATGCATGGGCACAATACTGGAGCAAGCGAGGATCCTCTTCGCTGCAGTATGACAGAGGAATCACCTCGATGATATCGTTGTCAGATAGAACATCTTGGAGATTCCGCGTGCAATTGGCCCCTTGAGATAGTCGATAGAGCACCGTGACTCGATTGGTGATGGTTGAAACTCCAATCTCCTCATCCGCCAATACACCACAAACTTTCAACAACGCCAACAGTTGCTTGCTGGCGCCACCGAGCACCAGATTGGGAAGCCATTGACGGCAGTGCCACGCATCTTTTCGAGGCGCGACCAAGCTAACCTCAGTGAACCCCGACTAATGCACCAGCATCGAGGGCAGCGACGATGTCAACTTTGACGATACGAGGACCAAAGAAGAGGGCCACGACGCCCTGGACTAATCGTGAGATGGCTCTGATCCCTGAACCAGAGCCCGATACTTGGCTACGAGGGCCTACGGCCTGACCCCGCCCACCTCGTGATTGCGCAACGCAATGAACGAACGGTGTCAGATCTAAGCGCGCTGGTGACACGCCAGGGAGGGTTTACTTTTCCCCAGTACTTTTTTCGGCTCTATGGATGGGCATAGTGCAAGGACTCGGATGCGATATTCAGCTAGTACGTGCGCATTAGAGGCTCCGTGGAGCATGTGCCTCGAGGGGGTAGATATCGAGCTTCGGGGATCATGATTCCTTCGTGTAGAGAAGTGATCTGCTCGTGGAGTCGCACGGTGAGCCCTCGAGTCCTAGACCAGTGGCGCAGCACGTTAGGCGTGAAGTTTCGCAAAGTGTTGAAACCCAAAATGAGCACAAGCTGCCGGGGGAGAGGCATCAGCACAAGCCTCGTGACTTAGGAACGTCAAAAAGCAACCCTGACCACGATTGCGGTTTGCAACAACTGAAAGGATAGGGGAGGGATTTGGCAACTGTCAGAGACAATTCACGAGATCTTTGACTTTGTCTTTCTTCGATAGATGCGAGGAAACCGAGAGCTTATCCGTGGCAAGGCGGCTTCCACACGTGATATCGAAGTCCAATGGAGAAATTAGCTTGTTCATGCAAGATAAATTGCTTGAAGCATAAATCTGGAAGACACCAAGACAACGAAGGTACCTCATACACCACTTAGCAGTAGGGTCGCCGATCTCATGGACCACACGATTGTTGCAGGCGGATGGCCAATTCAGGTCAAGATAGAAAATAGACACGTCTGTCTGAGCTTCGCAGGAAGCGATAGCGGGACACAAGCTGGGCAGAGAAAGGACACTCCGAATGGCTCTTGAGTCGTCATGGCCACTGATAGAGACCAACTGACATCCTATCGAGTACAAGCACTCGTATACTGGAGCCGATCGGTACCGTGGTTCTCAACGGCGCCCGAACTGGGGAGACTGGTACGGAGGCGGTGCCATTCGAAGGAAAAGACAACGTCAGGCGGCGGCTATTGAAGGGTTTGGGCGAGCTGAATTCTGAGTTATCCCCGCGGGCATGTTTAATGTGCCCAGGGGTGTATTAGATGAACCAGGTTCAGCAGGCCTCGTAACGGGGATGGTCCGCGTCTCTTGGGTTTAGCGATTCTGAGCTTCTCCGAAGTTCACACTCAGATTGCGCCAACCAACGTCAGAATGTCTTTAGCAAAAGTCACTTTGTGGCTATGGTCCTGTACACGTGGCCGAGGAAAGAGGAGAAACATACAAGAAGTACTCCAGTACAACAAGTGATCGGAGGCGTTGTGAGTTCTGGAAGAAGTTGAGCGGCGAAGGGTGAGATTGTTCTACAGCAGACCAGACGTTGCGAGCGGAGGTGCCAAAAGAGGTATAAACAGAGAGGAATGTCTGGTCTGCCGGACCGAGTGTGAGTCCAATGCCTGGGACGGCAAGCCACGGTCCAGAGTGTAGATGCCAGTTGTTGCGCAACAACAAGGTTGACGGCGGCCGTTTGGCTGCGCCGGAATCGGCGTGGATTTCACCTTCGGCAGACTGACCCTAAAGGCCACGCGCTATGCTCTGCACCAGATTTGCTTCAAGGGACGATGCGCTCCGTAGAAGGATCTCAAAACGTGCGGCCGAGAGTTGCATTGTACGAAAGGGGGAGGTGCGAAAGGCTCAAGTGACCCATCATCTAGTCAGATTAGTGAACAATAGACAGGGACCGTGTTGCTCCGGCCGAAATTGTCTAGCACTCCGTGAGTCCGGGGCCGACCGATCGATTACATGTCTCGATCTAACATCGGTTTGGAATTGTCGAGTAGGTACTATTTGAGAATCGAGCATCACGATGTACGTGCGTACCTATTACACAGCCTTGTACAGATACATTGTCCCGAAAGTATTTGCGTTTCGGTTCAGATCATGCTTAATGCTCCCATCGCATGAGTTCTTCTCGGCCTAACGAAGAACATGACGTACAGCCAAGGGTGCGCAATACCTTGGTACAAGTGAAATCCACAACGGCCTCTCCGGTGGACGGTTTCTTTGCGAGGTTCATTCTACAAGCCGTTTGATGAGAGCGAGCGTGGGTCATTCCGGGGCTTTGACCTAGACAGAGTGTGTCTTGCGCTTCGCCTGTTTAGTCATTAGCAAGACAGCCCTGCAGTATAGGTGCATTCAAGACAATGTCGAGTTGTATACCACGGCACTCTCCGTTCGCAATAGTTGTCTGCACCGCTCTCTTCCTGAACTCTAATGGCACATGCGGCAAGGTTGCCCTTTGACACCCACAGTTCTCCTGTCGATCATCAACTCAACCCTAAGGGATGAACGTAGATGAGACTGAATTCTGGCACATCTGCGACACAGTCCGAGCGAACCGCTTTGCTACGTGCGCTCTTCAGCTTGTTTGCAAGCATACGAGCCTGCTGCGTGCGCTAAGGTCATGCTGACAGCTTTTTTTCTCAAGTACCAAGTGGTTCCGCAATTTCCAAGGCAGGAACTGGTCTGTGAGCTGCTCTATCCATCTCGTCATATTGACTTTCGACCATCGTCGCTTGGGCGTCTTCTAGAAAAAGTCGTATCCACTATGCTGGTACGAACGTCTGTCCTGAGCGTTTGACTTTTCTCACCACTTGGCTTCCGTTATCATGTTTAAGTGCACGATTCTGGTCGTCCACTTCTTGTATCTATCTTTGCCAGCGAAACACTGTTACGCATTATGGTGATGCTGCTATGCAAAGCAGGTTCGCTCCTTGAAGCAACTAGTCCTGTCGCCTGTCCCCGAATAAGTGGCGTCACGCCGCCTTAAAGGTCTTGCCCGTTTGTGGACGAGCCGCTAGGATCAACTTCACCGTGTAGTCGCACTAACTCGCTTGTCAATTTGCAAAAATTCTGCAGACCATCTCACAGCCCAAGCTGTCAGCTGTCTGGTGATTCATTCCACCACGATGGCGAGTGTTAAATCCTGATCCGTCGGACTTGGAACGCAATACTTGCTTGAGATACTCATCCAGATGATTCTGGCTTGTCCTCGGAGCACTCTCCGTTTCAGTCCCACCTTCTGGTCTTTCTGAGTTAGCTGCTGGTGCTAAATATGAGGTTGCTGGCCGTGTGCGATACCATTCATCATCAATAATCATTATTCACTCCCTGACGCTAGCACTAATCGTGGTCATCATGCTCGGATATGTGACCGCTTTCGCGAACGAGACGAGTATGTGTAAAACGCCATGTATATGCCGAGGCAATCATATCATTTGAGGTTAGGAGAGAACGCTGGGGTCGGCTCGCATGGCCACATCCCACATGGCATACAGCCGCTTCGCCCTAGCCTATCCTAGGGGCAGTTGCGTTGCTTAGGGCAGAATATGACGCAACCAATCAGACTGTGCGATTCGTAGTGACCAGATTAACATCTGAGATGTAGCTCTCGAGTACATCTCGAGAGATGCGTTGCGAACCAATATTCCTCAGAGACTCGTGGCTGTGTTCCAAGGTCCAGCGCGCCGCGGAGTGACGGACGGCAGCCGATAGCTAGTTGTTCATTCAGGTATATCGCAGGCCGGATAGACCAGGTCCGTATGGCACGTACCATCAGAGACGCTGCGTGATCGTCATCCAANNTGAATGGCTTGCCGTAGTGTTGATCCGAGCTAAGTCCAGTCCGCCATCAGTCACCTTCAGTCGCCGCTTCGCAGTTTCAGAACACGGACAAGTGGACAGTGGACGTGTCGTATTGCTTTTGGGGAGCGCTCGACCGGGTCACCATCATGCGAGTCAACATGTCNNAGCCATGGCGGCGCAGGATNNTAAGGAGACGCGAGATATGCAGGTAACCGAATGCCAGCGTACTGTCAATGTCGCATCGTTCAGGCATGCAGTTGCTCCCATGCAGAACGAAGAGCAGAAGTGCTCGCTCGTTGAAGCGCAGTGGTATGGGCTGGGCCTTGACCGGGCGGCTGGGTCCCTGGGATTGTCTCTGCAGGTCATCATCATCATCAACAATCGCTGCAATGATCGGGTTCCCGCGCTACTGTATACCCTTACNCTAGATAGGATCGGCAGCCGCGAGACTAGGGAGATGCTCCGTCCAGTCAGCAAACGAGCGGCATCACACCCCTTCTGGGGTCGCCCTGACAGACGTNNTTTTTTATTCTCACGAGAACCGCCGATGCTAGCTCCGAACCACTCCCGCTCGACTGGCACAATTCTAATTCAATTAAAGACATCTGTGCCTGCTGTCAAGTCGACCGTNTTTTCGGATTGTGTCTCTGACCTCTTTGCATTCNNGATTTGCAAGTCTCGCCGAGGCCAAGCACGTCCGATCGTCACCGGCTCTCGCGTCTTCCTTGAACAGAGGCGTCGTTGCGCTGCNTTCCCCTCTTGCTAAAAAGCGGCCCCTCCGGTGCTGCTATCCAGTGTGCATTTTTATTAAAGCTGCGGTTGCTCACCACACTACTTTTACTCTTGTCACCCTCTTCCCCACCGAGAGTCAATCTTCACCCTCCCAAATCTTAACCCCTCAAAACTCTCGAAGTCTGTTTAACGCACTCCCGCCGCACGCCATTCGCCGGTCCAAACTCTGATCGTCTCGTCGGTGCCCAATTATTGGCTCACCCATCAATTCACGACTTTCGATCACTGTTTCCATCCTGATCTGTCCTCGGCCCGAACGTACTTTGCCAGCGTGATCACAGCTCCAGTGCTGTCCAAGCTGTGCTTCGAAGCCAATCTTGCAACAGATTGCCCTGCTTGCTTGCTCGCCGACCTCCCTCTAGGTAGGGTCTCATCTGCAATTCCAAAACAAGGTCCTGGACACTTGTTGACTCGACACAGCTCTGTGCACTCAGTTCGCCAGCGTCATCCGATCCCGCGGACGTAGCCACCACGCCTGAGCAGAACCGCTGATTGACGAATTGACCCCTCCTCCCGACGTCGAGCCACACAGCAGTTGCTTGGTCGACCTCTTACATCCTAGATCTCAACATCGAGCCATACCACTTGGTCGAAAAACGGGTGAGTTAGTTCTTGTCTCAATCCTAACTATGTCCCTCACTCGATGACTGACGCGTATTAGAATATTGAAAGGTCACAGTCGGTTGCGATTGCAGTATCAGCTCGACTTGGACAACCGTGGTTAACTCTACTTGCCGGTAAGTGTAAAGTCTATTCCAACGCGTTGCGATTCTACGAGTCTAGCGCATACTCCCCAAAAGCAATCCGTGCTCCCAGCCTGTCTTTTCCCAATATGCTATCACCGTTCCCTTCCCCTCATTCATCATAAGCCTTTCGCACCATCACTACCTTATTGCCCTGTTCCTACTTTGCTCCCTCAAACTATATCACCTGCCCTGTGTACCTACCGTTCGCAGCTCTGTCAGGCCATCGAAACATCCGCGCACCCCACTGCATTCTTGCGCAAATCCTCTCTGCTATCCAGTCACTCATTCTTCGATTTGTTTCCATCTCACGAAACACTCGCTGACCCTTTGAAGAAGACAAGAAGCAACAAGGCCTCGAATCCAATATTGAATTTGCTTTTACTCTCAGCTCTATCTGCCCCAACCTTGTCAACGATAGTTGACCTTTATATCGACCTCAATCCTCAAGGTTACTGCCTTCATTGAACAGTATGAGTGGCAGTGGCTCTGGTTCTGGCCCGCTCCAGCCTACATGGCATGGTTTCATCCAGAACAGCATGGACGGACTCGTCCTCTTCGAAGCTTGTTTGAGTGGAAAGCTGCATCACGTNCCTCGTCGTCCTCACGACCGTGAGCGAGCAAGCTTGATCAAAAGTGGAAGCGTTTTCATCTACGAAGAGAACGCGTCGGGCATCAAGCGCTGGACAGACGGTGTCGCCTGGAGTCCCAGTCGCATTCTAGGAAACTTCTTGATCTATCGCGAGCTCGAGAAGCCTTTCCCGCCCGGCGAGAAAAAGCGAGCAATGAAACGCAAACGATCCTCGCAAGAACCTGAAGGTCGTCGCGAATCCGAGGAGAACGAAGTTGCTGAATACAACAGACTGCCTCCAACACCTCCATCGCCTGCGAATCCCTCAGAATCAAAATCCACCGCACCGGGCGCAACTGACAGCGAGAAAGAGATGGAGCGCCAGCTCATCGGCTCTCTTGTCGATAGCTATGGCTTCAGACCAAATGGTCTTGTCAAGAAGACTATGAGCATTTCATTGAACGGCGTCTCACACCACCTGGTTAGCTACTACACCGTGGAAGATGTCAAGCAACGAAAGCTTGGACGGCCTTTGAACGACTCGCGTCTTAACGGCATAGCCATCCGCCCTGAGCTTTACCTGAAGCAAAACTTCCGCGCACCTGTTGAGGAGCAAGACCAGTTTGCCGTCGACCACAGCGGACACGCCTATCCCCAACTAGGCGGCTACCCACATATGGTAGCACCTTCTGGCTACATGATGCGCCAAAGCTACGTGGCACCTGGCTACCCACCCATGTACGGTGCCGCACCAGTATCCACTGGAGCAGGTGTTTATACTAGCTTGCCAGCTACAGCGTCGGCACCTTCTTGGCCACAGTCGTACAGCGCAGCACCTTCGCAGCAGAGCTACAATGGTTACTACAGCCGCACAGATGCACCAACTCCCCAGACATCAACTAACTCATACACACCGATGCCGCCAATGCAATCCCAATATCAGTCACCAATGAGAACACCTGCTCAGAGCTATGGCCCACCAAGCAGTATGACCACATCATCTACTCCAGTGGCAACACAATCGCAATACCAACCAACGCAAACTGCCACAGCACCGCAATACCAGCCAACAAGCTATGGCGTTCAAACAAACTCCCACCAAAGTGCTTCGCCTCAACAGCAGAGCATGAGATCGCCTCCAGTAGGGCCACCGCCTCAGTCGATGAACGCTTATCCCTCGCGCTCCAATCTTCCAAGCAATCTCCCTAGCATGTCAAGCTACAGACAATACACGAGCCAGAGCGCTGGGCCGCAAAACGAAATGCCCAGCATTGGAATGGCTTCTGGATACGGCAGCAGCCATTCCCAGCCTTCTAGTGCAAGCTATGGTGCACCCAGCTACGGACCTCCAGGCAGCCTCAGCGCGCCCCAAAATTACCGACACAGCAGTGACGCAGCGCCTCCGGTTCAGAGCACGCAATACTACAACGATGGAAAGCCTGCCGTGAGCAACTATTCTTGAGTGAATAGTCGCCCTTCTCTTCAAACTGTTCATGTTTACGATCATTTTTCTTCAGAGTCTTGCTGCGTTTGAGCGAGTTCTTTGCTTTTCATTGTTTTCTTCACAACAGGTAACCAAAGGCGAGGACCGGTCTCGAGTAGCTATGACCGTGTTGAGCATCAGTTGATGGTATTGGCATTGTACCTAGTTAGAATTAAAAAAGACAAACAACCATCAAATCTAACCCTGTTCATCAATCCCAAGCCTATGACGATTCGTCTACATGATACAGTCTGTGTTCTTGGCCGCGCCTATTGAATGGTTGTGGCAGATATGCGGCGCGCAACAGCTGGACCTTGGGTGGTGGGTGAGATGTGGGCAGATTCTGTCTGGAGAACTTCCCCCAACCGCAACGCACAATCTGTGAGCAGTGTCCGGTCTATGCAACCTTGACAATTCACAATATACGACCAGCAATTGCTTTTGGATTTTCTGTGATAGTGTGTGCGTCGGCAGATATTTCTTCAAAAGTCGAGGACGTCCCTCGCACGACAGCCTGCCCTAAAATGGGTTTTGGGATGTGCTCTCGAACCCCTCGGACCTCTGGATCTGCAGCGTCTTCAAAATGACGATCATCGCGGAGCGTTGGCGTTCTCATGTGATTGTCTCTTTTCCATTATTGGCGAACGGACCTTTTTGCAAGCGCGCCAAACGAACGACATGTCGCATCCAACAGCAGTCAATAGGTCATTGTTTGCGAGCCATGGAAGGTGGTCAATGGCACATTTCAACATCTCGGGCAGGATGTCAGCTGTCAGCTCCGCCGCCATGACCGGCCGATCACTCCCTCTACTGTGCCGTGGCCTCACCTACGCCGCGGTCGCTAGACCATCCGTATCGACATCAGCATCATGCTCCGCGCGTTTTGCGTTCCGCCAGTCCATTCAACAATACCGTTGCAGTCTGCGGTACCACATTACCGTGAGCTCCTCAACCAGGTAGATTTTCAACCCATGATCGTGTCCAAAGCTATGGAGACCATATGATCTAATATTCGCGATCATAGCGCATACTCCACCTTGTCATCAAGCCCACGCCGCTATTCATCAACTTCGAGGGAAGGCAGTCTTGGGAAGTCTGTAAGTCTTACCAGTAGTTTCATTGAGCGTCTATACTGTGATTTTCGCGAGACCGTTTTGCGTCGAATGGCATGTGTGATACTTCTTCATCTCCGCCTGCATTAAAACTTCGGTTGTAGGGGAAGTCTTAAAATCAACATTGACTGACAGGTGGCTGAAGGGAAAGGAGAATTCGCAGGCCCCGGAAACGGGAACATCTCTCGCGCAGGATATCAATGGTGCAGACCAGAAATCAAGCATCATTGGCGACAAGGTCCGCTCCTTGACACCACGCGAGCAGATTTATAACATCCCGAATATCCTCACCGCATCCCGCTTGATCGCTGCGCCTTTTGTTGGATATCTGGTGTTGCACGAGCAGCACAAATGGGCTCTCGCTCTTTTCGCATATGCAGGTATCACTGACTTGGTCGATGGATGGATTGCCCGCAAGTACAAGCTGCAGACTGTTGTCGGTAGTGTCATCGATCCTATGGCCGACAAATTCTTGATGACCATTCTGACTGTCACTTTGTCTATGAACGGCCTCTTGCCGGGTGAGTGATCTTGGTGATGCATAGGGCGTTCTCATCTGACTCGCGTCGCAGTATCTCTGGCAACCCTCATCCTGGGACGTGATGTGTCCCTTGCAGTGGCTGCTCTCTATTGGAGATATGCATCTCTGCCAGCGCCAAAGACTTTTAAGCGCTACTGGGACTTCTCACTGCCATCTGCCGAGGTGCATCCTACAACCATGAGCAAGTACAACACTTTCCTACAACTGCTGCTGATCGGCGCTACCTTGGCATATCCTGTCATCACAGCCGACAACCACCATCTAGGTGTGATGCACGATGTTGGTCTTGAGAAACTCGACCTCGCTCAGTTCATGACCTACTTCCAGATCCTGGTGGCTGGAACCACAGCATGGAGTGGACTCAGTTATGCATTCCTCAAGGATGCCGTCAAGATACTGGGCAAGGATGAGCAGCTGAAGCTTAAGCAGGGAAGAAGAGGTAGAGCAATCATCGGCGTCACTTTTGGCAGTGTCGTTGTCACTGCCGCATACTTGGCCTTGACCAAGGATCTGCCAAAGAAAAAGGAAGAGGGAATCATTGCTTGAAGTCGCTTTGAATTGTCGAGTGAAGGGCCTTCAAAACATAACTAGCACTCAAAAACTGCACCCTCGTTCTGGTAGTTCAGCCGCCATATTGCAGGTTAAATCAATTGCGGCAGGAAGATGACGCTTGGCATCCGACTCGGGAAGATGCGACTTCCCTGTCTTACTATATGTGGTCTTGCCTCTGATTAGGTCTTGCTTCAGCTCATACTCGCTCTTTCTCGGTCTGTCTGCTTGCTCTTCTCGAGTTCTTGGCTTGTGCTTTCTCTCCGTTTCAACTTCCATTCCGTTTGCATCCATCATCCATCGTCCATCATCCATCGTTTGTAACCTAGAGTCGTTACTCATTCATCATCATTCATCGCCTATATATGCATCGTCGACGATCGCCTGCCTGTCGCCTTCGTCGGTATCTATCAAACATGCACTAGTTCTCGTTGGCCTTTGGATAACTCATCTTCTTAAACACCTACCGTCTCCTCACCTCTCACAAAACACATGACGATGCTATCAGCGACGGCCAATCACGCGACACCCTTGCTCGAGGATCCTTAAGGGGACCGAGACCCGAGACTACAAGTTTAGGCACCCCTCTGCTGATGTCATGGTGCTGTTGAATGCTTGCTCCTCTACGTTGTTTACTCGGGGCGGTGTAGAAGCGGGTTATCCGATCAAGATAGCGGACTCTGATTTCGTGTCCGGATTCGCTTCGCACATTACCACACGATACTTTTCAAGAACATGTGCTACGCTGACAATCTTTTGCGATTCGCAGGGTATCAAGGCTTTATGGACGAAGATGACTAGAAGTCCTTACAACATTACATGAGACACGAGAACCTGCTGTTGATGCCCATACATCGACTGATGATGCGATGTCGATATATCCAAGTACTACGCCAGGGTCACCCCCCCCAAGTCAACCGACCATTCTCAGTCACCGGAACGCTGGTTCCAATGAGTGCGATACGACAGATACCATAACATGCCGGCATGGTGTAACATCAAGAACAAGATACCTACAGTCGGGCCAAGCTACGCAACTCCTCGTATACGTTCATGCACGATAATTTGAGAATACGCATGATGGAAGAAATAATCAGGCCTCCTTATGCATATTGCGTAACTTAGCAGCATGCAACGGCCTTCTGCGAACAACATTGCAGACACGATCTTCAGCACGATCACTCTTCGTTTGCTCGACCGCCACCCCTTCTGTTAATTTACATGCAAGATATACGCATGGCGGTGAGCTGAAGAGCAGGAGAAAACAACGCATGCATATTGCCAGCAAGCCAATTTAAATATACCCATATACCCAGTCCGGGAGTTACCTTCATCTGCGGGAATACGGTGACAGCTCTCTGTGTCGGAGCTGTCCAAATGAGGAAGCAGCTTCTCGTCTATGCAAGAGGTTTGTGGTATACACATGGCATACATGTGGTGGCTTGTCACAGCGCGCATGCTCGGATCCAACGCCCCAAGTGGAGTTCAAAACCCTGTTGTTCCCATGTGGAAACAGAAAAAATCTGCCCCAGCAGAACAGAATGGAGATTTTCGAGAACGAGGTGGACCGGATGGTCTAGACAGACCGTTTAGAAGTGTAGTCCAGAACAGGAGTACCGTCCCTTGACGTTTTCGCAGGATGAATTCCAGATATATCAGCCATCACAGGCTGATATAGTCGATACCATTTGGCCGTGACCAAAACAATGACAAGTAAGCGTCAACCTGGCTCAAATGGACACTAGTCATCGATGGTTGGCGATACAGGAGGAACGAGTAGAGGATGGTACATTAACCAAGTGACCAACCAGAAAGCAGCAGTATTTCTAGGATCAGGTCCCCAACCATAGAGAACCGACCACAAAGAGAGGGAGGACCAACTACGAAAAGTTCTAGAAAAGCATGGCCAAAAGCTCTAGAGCGAAAGGATAATAACAAAGCATTCACATATCAATAGTACACACAGATATTGAAGATGCCCTAGAGCAAAAATTCAGACGTTTCCAGCTCATTTACATGAATTGTAGCGTCGCTGAACAGCACGATATCAGACTCTAGGACTGCGAGACAAGAGAAGTTTAGATTGCAAAAAAGGGCAACCAACACAAAAACATATAGAAGCATAGAACTACAACCACAATGCTATATCTGCTAACCAATAGAACTAAGCCATTGTACAGTAGAGAGGAGTGATCAAACGTCACAAACCAAAGCTCTGGACCATGTATCCCAAGCAAAATGAAAGGACACGATCGAAGAACAAGCACACGGAGAAAGGGATCAATAAACGAGGAAAGGCCAAGGCGAACAAACAAATAAAAAAAAACGACCTTGACTACAACATATAAGAAAAGAAGAAACATGGTTAGGAACTATAAGCAATTATCCAGTATTCACAGCAGATCAAGGCAAGCTGAGAACAGAAAGAATGTTGCAAAGCATCTCACGAGGGAAAGAAGAAGCCGAACAGCAGTAACCTGACTTTTTAAGAAAAGAAAGATATAGGCAGGTATATGTTAACAAGAGAGAAAGGAAGGTACGGGCATGAGGGAAGACACGAGCATAAGGGAAGACACGAGCATAAGGGAAGACACGAGCATAAGGGAAGGTACAATTGAGGACACATGAAGGAAAGGACAACCTAACCTGACGAGGAAGGAGTGACCGAGTTAATCGGAGACTCATCCGAGTACGAGTAAATAAAGAGCATACAAAGTAGTCACAAATTCGAAGAGAAAATTGCAGCTTGGGAACAGTGATCGCTTCTTGGATATACACGGGGTTATAAGGAAAAGAAGAAAGAAAAAGGAAAATACCAGCAGTCCCCATGCTATCCCCGTCTCATTTCGTCGTCGCTGTCCCTGGAGAGATGTTTACTAAATGCAAAGAACTTTTATGCGATGTCATGATCTTCTTGCTCCATGTTGGCATCGACAGGTTGCTCAGCGGCAGCAGTGGCAGCGGCCTCGACGGCTTGTGCCTCTGCCTTGACTCTTTCGGCCTCTCTAGCGACATCGGCAGCTTCGATGGCGGCCTCGCTAACAATGGCCTCCTCGACAGCCATCTTGCGTCTCCAGACACGAGCCCAGCGAGCACCCCACTGCTGCAGCAAAGTCTGCTCGGCGCTGTCACCGTCGAAACGTTCAATCATGTCGTCTTGAGCTGCGTTGGCAACAGTCGAGACAGCCTCGATAATGGCGTTGAAGAGATCACGCATAGTCTGACGTTCGCGGACCAGAGTCTCATCCAACAAGCTCTTTTGCTCTTCAGAGAGATCGGCCTCGGCACGAGCGCGTACAATCTGGCGCATGCGGTTGCTGACCTTGAACATGGTAGCTGAAATCATCTCGTAGATGTGAGTCTGTGCGAGCGCGCGGCCGTGCTGCATGTGATCGTGCAGTGCCCACTCGATAACGCTCATGGGTGTGATAATGGTGTAGTTGAGCAGTTTGTCGATGATGTTGACAGCAGTGCCTGGGTGGTCGGCCCAGTATTCAATGACTGATGTGATGATTTGACGACGCGCAAGCTCAGACTGAGGGCCGATTGCAAGAAGACGTTCCTTGCATCGCTCAATACAAGACAGGACGTGAGAAAGCGACTTGCTACCGACTGAGCAGATGCTGGTCATGTATGCGTCGGTGCTAGGAACGAGGACGTCTTCAACACCGTGTTCGGTGGCCAAGGTCTGGATCTCGTTGATAACAAGTTCGATTTCTTCTTCAGGGGCCTTTCTGCGAATCAGTGCATGCATGGCATTTCCTTGTTGAGAGTAAGGAGTTTGCTCGTTGAGGTACTTGAAGTCAGGAGTATCCTTCATCTTGCCCTCGGAGATGAGGGGAGCGTATGCCTCGGGAAGGGTCTCTCTGATACGCTTAGCGAAAGAGAGGCGGATCTCCTTGTCGAGCGAGCCAACGATGAAGGCCTTTCTTGGCTCCAGATCAGAACGCTCAAGCTCGTCAATCCATTCGGTCCACTTCCAGCGGAACTCGAAGTTGCTCAGATGGTGGGCAAACCAGTCCATGTAGCGGTACTGAAGCTCGAGGTCCATGACATCGAGGCTCCGGAAGAGGAAACGGATGGCTCTACCCAGACTGGGGGCGACAGCAGCAGGGGCGATTTTGCATGCCTCGGTGATGACAGAGTGGTAGTAGACGAGCTTGTGCTCCGAGGTAGGAAGGCGCAGGATTTGAGAGAAGACAGCATCAACAACCAGGTCTTCGGGCTTCCAGGTCGAGCGTCCTTCGGGGATGTCCTTGAGCTTGTCGAAAGCGGTAGCACGCTTGACAAATGTGTTGGGGGCCCAGTAACAGTCGACATCGATGAGGAACTTGGCAGCAGCGTTGCGGTTGAAGTCGAGGATGTTGATAGTATCCGTGACGGCGTCTCGTAGCAGCGATGCGGCAATGTTGGAGGTAGGAGGGACAGACTCTACGTCTTGGTCGGCAAAGAGCGAGAAGCAGACTTCGGGGAAGAGGGCGTTGGGACCAGGGTTGACAGGAGAGGGCACCGAGAGCTGGGGGAACGAGTGCTTGGTGGGTACAGCCTGCTCGCCGTTCTCTCCCTCGGCTGGTGCTGGAGCGGTGACACGGGTGAGGCGGGGGATGCATGCGAGCTTCCAGCCCGAGGCGGCTTCACCCTGAAGCTGGTTCTGCAATGCGCTGAGTACACTGGGGCATGCCATGGGCTTCTGTTCGCCCTCGGCTGTTGGGTATGGGTCGACCAGGGCCTCGAGGGCGTGCGGTGTGGAGGCAACGATGTCCGTCTTTTCCAGCAGCTCAGCGGCGCGCTGTTCCAGACCAGTGTCGGGCGCAGCCAGGACGTAGGGAATGGTAAGGAGGATGATCTTGACCAGCTCGAGACCGACGGCGTCGTCGGACGAGGCAGTCTGGAGGTCAACAGCGCGATCGAAGAGCTCGTTGAGGATGCCAAAGACACCATCGTCGCTGAACAGAGGCTGAAGGCAGGCCAGGAATCGTAGCAATAGCTTGACA